CAACATCCGGACCTCAGTATAATCAACATCCGGACCTCAGTATAATCAACATCCGGACCTCAGTATAATCAACATCCGGACCTCAGTATAATCAACATCCGGACCTCAGTATAATCAACATCCGGACCTCAGTATAATCAACATCCGGACCTCAGTATAATCAACATCCGGACCTCAGTATAATCAACATCCGGACCTCAGTATAATCAACATCCGGACCTCAGTATAATCAACATCCGGACCTCAGTATAATCAACATCCGGACCTCAGTATAATCAACATCCGGACCTCAGTATAATCAACATCCGGACCTCAGTATAATCAACATCCGGACCTCAGTATAATCAACATCCGGACCTCAGTATAATCAACATCCCCATTCAGATCTCAGCTACATTGCCCCATCTAACTGCACTCAAACACACCACTGCGAACTAGTTAGAGTATCCATGGTCACAAACGACTCTCATAGTAACGTAGCCAGTCGTCATATTATCTTCTCAGTTGATTGTGTGTGTGTTTAGTTTTTCGTCTCCATGGTGATAGTACTATTTTGTCTAAGAATTACAACAAAATTTGTGCGATTTTGTACTTATTATAAAACAGTTGCCAAGGTATGGCCAATGACACTACAATGATACTATGATTTTTTAGTCTCTTCATCACTGTTTGTCACTGTTGTACTGTATCTGTCTCTATTTTATATACCCTTGACTTGAGTACTTGTATCCTTGATTTTATTCCAAAGTTCCATTGTAGAGATCTCTAAACAACGCCGCATACATATTGACACAAGCTGAGCAGCATACGTTCTTGGCATCTTCAAATGTGATCGGCATCTACTAATCAATTGTGAGCTAGCTAATACAAAACACACTACGAATGGGTTAGGCATGGAGAGGAGGAAACAAATGCTAAGTGTGAAAGACTCAATTGAAAACTACAATGCCATGAGGTGTGGAACCCCATTGGTTAGAGTGTAGACTTCATCGTAAATTAAAAAAGTTAACTACTCCATAGTCAAGAGACACAGCTCCACTAGTGCTAGTGCGAAGCCGTCTGGGTCGATTCGTCACTACCTTGGGTCAATCAACTATTGTACATCCACAGTTGCAACCTTCCATTATGCCGTCATGCTATATAAATGTTGGCCTGCACCAGGTATTATACTTGCATTTCACTCATTCTCCCCAAGCATAACTGATTTGTCACTCTTTGAAGTAGTTCTGGACGATTCCATTTGGCACTGTTATGTTAAATCTAGACTTATTCCCTTTTTTTTCTACCCATTCAAGTCTATACAACCTTGGATTATCACCACTGGATTCATCTGAAATCCCTTTTATCTTATTGCCATGCAAAGCAAGATACGTGAGTTTTGTTGGTCTTGGAAACGTCAACTTAACCTCCTCAATTTGGTTGCATAATATATCCGACGCTTCGACGGAGCATGTCAGGAAATGGATGTGACCTTTACAAAGTTTGTTAACTGCGAGGTTCACTAAAGTAAGGTCCTCAAACAAGTAAGCCGTGCTGGGGTCTCTTCCAAGTTGTTATGCGACAAGTCAACCTCTTCAACACAGGCAGGTGATTCGACATCAAATCTTGACAAATTACATCCGACCAGAAATAGATACCTTAAAGCAAACCCGAGTGTCAACTTTGTAAATTCTAGATTGCAAGTTTCTTCGAACCTATCGACAATGCAACAACTAGATCGCTGATATGTTTAAATAATTTCACAAACTTGTGCATATCAAAAGAGAACATATGGACAAAGTCCAAATTGAATGCCAATGACACTGTATCGCTAGGTTGTAAGGACTCAATCAATTCGATCAAGTGAAAAATGTCAACTTTGTGCTTGAGCCCATAAGAAATCTTGAAGGTTTTTCGTATCGATTGCTCAACACAGTATGTCTCTACCACTTCATACTGCTCTCTATTCAACACATAGGCGTCTTGAGTTCTCGAGTCTAGGAATTTGTAGTCATCTCCATAGTTTCTTGAGGTTCCGCGTTAATAGCAGAATCGTCGTTCTAGCGTGTGGTGTATGACACTTTTGACATTGGAGCTGTGCAGCAGAAAGGGTTCATCAAAGACAGATGTAATTTCCTTCATCTCAATGAAAACGAATACCTTCAACAAGACATATAAGGGGTACAAATCAAGTATAAGTCTCAATGTGACGTGTATTTGTAAAGAAGATTTACCACCAAAAAAATATTTTGAGGGGGTTTTTTTTAATCGAATGTCGTGAAAGTGCGACACAGAAGCCCCTCAACAAAAATTTAAGACACGGAAACGCATAGCTCAACTTCCCCATAAAGAGAGACCTCTTGAATGAACACAAATGAAATATCCAATTTGAGCAAATCTAGGTCATGGTATTTTCTTTTCCAAAATCTCAAACTGCAAAGAAGCCATCACATAAATAAGAGGTACAGGATAGTGGTATCATGGCATATCTGAGCCTTAGATGGCTAAAGACAAAGTAGTTGAGATGATGGGGTGTACTTGAAGGAGGATTTTCAATGATGATTTTGATGACTTGGAAAATTTACCCAAAACAAGGTAGCATTAAATATTTACCACCGATACACAAAGATGAAAATACATTGTGTGCAACATCTACACAAATCTAATAACTTGAACAAAAAAAGTGGGGATCAATGGAAGCCAGGAAAATCATACACATGCAGTCACATCAACTGTAATGACTGACAACATCTCACGCAGTACAGACACCAAGACCAGAAAACGTCCTAGAGTGATATTGGCATGTAACAGATGTCGTCAACGAAAGACCAAATGCGATGGCAGACAACCTGCTTGTGGCACCTGTACCAAACGTAATGCTGAATGTGTTTATGGTACGAAATATGATCGAGCTCACGTGTCTGTGGAATATGTGAGAGATTTGGAAGAAAGGTTAGGCATAGCTCCCAGAAAAAACCATAATGCCGCGTCTCCTGGTATCAACAACATGATTTCATCCGACGAGGGTAACTCAAGGCAACACATTCTCAATGCACACCGACAACCACCACCGCCACAACCACGAGAATTATTTCCGGTTCAAAATCAACATCATCATCGAGGCTCAACTGGAAGTAATGGAAGTAAGGGCCACAAGAATACAGCAACTGCCATATCCCCTTCAAGTTCACTTATAACCACCAATTCTACCACCAGTGCTTTTAAAAGTTGCACAGACTCCACTAGTGCAATGGGTGCAGGGGAAATGGTCAAACAGAAACGTGGCAAAGAAAGGGATTATTACGGGTCTTCAGCAGCAATATCTTTCATGAAAGATTTAGCTAGCGTTATTGATGGTCCTACCAGATCAAATGGTTCAGCTACGGATGATGAGGAGATCAGACAATACAAGATGTCTCGATGTGATCCAATGTCATCAATGCCTGCTTCTGAATTGGATCTCCCGCCAAGAGACCTAGCTGACCTTTATGTCAAGAATTACTTTGAGTTTGCGTATACTTTGTACCCATTTCTCCACAAACCAACTTTTATGGCCACCTATCAAGCTATGTGGAACGATGATGGAGAGGAGCAGGCTGTTGATGAATTGTTTTGTTCAATCGTCAACATTGTCTTTGCATTTGGATGCCAACTAGCACCGACAAGTCAAAATTTGGAAGATGATTCTGAGCATTATTTTGAAAAATCTCAATCATTTCTTCGATTTAACTTGATGGATAGTGGTTCTGTATTGTTGGTTCAAGCATTATTGCTAACGGGTCAGTTTTTGCAAGCTAGTTCTGGCCTGGCTGGTTGTTGGAATATCGTTGGCTTGGCAATACGAATTGCTCAAGGGTTAGGATTACATCTGGACCAGATTTATGCTTCTACAAAGAGTCACATAGATAGAGAGATTAGGAAAAGATTGTGGCAGGGCTGTTTGTTAATGGACAAGATAGTTTCAATGACAATGGGGAGACCAATGATGGTGACACACGAATTTGAACAAGGAGAATTTCCATTGTGCGTGGATGATGAGTACATCAAAGACGATGCAATCTTGTCGATGAGCAAACCATCTGAATTGGAGTTTTTCCATCAAACGATCAAACTATACAACATTCTTGCTGATATTTTGAAATCGGTTTATCCCAATGACCAACTTGATGAGAACCCACAGTTGTTACTGAACATTTTCAAGTTTGAAGATAGATTAAATGAATTTACAGCAAATTTACCTAACCATTTACAATTCAGTTTTGATTTACAAAAGATGATGCCATTTGAGAGACAAAGTATTGTGCTACATATCAGAGTTCTTCACCTTAAAATAATGCTTTATCGTTCGATGCTATTCCCAAAATCACCCAATCATAAAATTTCTGACTATGGAGGTTCTGAATTGTACACTTCAACGCAAAGGTCAGTTGCTTTACTTTGCGTCAACTTAGCCATGGAGCTCATCAATGTAATTTCCAGATATCGCGCAGGTGATATTATTTACTTGCCGGCACACTGGTACAATGTGTTCTACATATATACAGCCGGTACTATTCTTCTTGCGGCTAAACTTCAAGTCACCTTACATAAGGATATTGACTTAATGGCATTTGAACAAGCGTGGAACTCATGTTTAGAAATTCTCCGGTCATACACTCAACAATCTGCATCAGCAAGTCGTTGCTTAAAAGTCTTGGAAATGATGGGGAATAAGGTTCGTATCTCGTCACAAAGATTGGCCACACAAGTCAATTCTCCAGTTGCGATGAATGATGAGGGGACTGAGCATGATGGAGCATCACACACAAGTTTAGTATACCCCTTGCATCATCAACACAGTCCTAGCTCAACTTCACCAGAGGTTCCCACTGATGTGTTGTACTCGTTGCTTTACGACACTGCTGGTCCATTTGGTGGTCCCTTCCATTACACTGATGACATGAACTCTTTTTACTTACGATAGCGGATGTGTATATCCACATTTCTTTTTGCAGTCAAACTCAATGCAAGTAGGTAACGACTTTAAATCTGGACCATGAATTGGCTCACGTCTTTGCCTTAGATCTCGTCTTTGTTGTTTTTGTCGTTGTTGTATTGAGCTGATTTAACTCTAATGCCACTTTTCTGATTCGGTTGATAAAAAGCCACGCTTTGTGTAACTTACACAGGCTTTTGCTTCAGTTACATTTACATTCGGAATTTCATTCCGACAAAGTCCCCTCCTCGCACATATTAGCATTGACTCCTCGGTGGAAGCTATATCCGTCAAACTTGCAAGAAGATCATTCCTATACCACTCGATTGTAGCTTTTATAGTTTCAAAATACATTCTCTACTTGATACCACTTTTCTTTTCCAACTTATTGGAAATGTCATATACGGGTTCTTGTCTCTGTGGTGAGGTTTCATTCAAGCTTATTGGCGAGCCATCACGCTCATTTGTTTGCTATTGCATTGATTGTCGGAAAGGGTCTGGTCACTTGGGTCAGTTCATAAGCCAATACGCTACTGATATGGTAGAGATTGATGATAAAAATGGAAAAATGGCTGAATATGTTGTTCAAAAAACAAAGAGTGGCCATCCAAAGAAAAAGCAATTTTGTAAAGATTGTGGTTGTACTATTCGTACTTTGCCAATGAAGTTTAATGGAGAAGTCAGTATGATTAGACAATCTTTAGTGGATGAGAACTTTACAAAATTGAGTCCGCAATTGGCCATGTTTGGAGATGAAAAGAGTAGGTTTATTGAGGATGCTAAGTCCGAGTTCTATTAGCAGTGTGTTAGTTTAGTTCACCAATCAAATGTCACATATCCTGGATTCTACGAGCGTAGCTCCATTTACACAGCTTGTAAAGTTATCGCTCCGAAATCAAAAAGTATAGATTGATACTATGACCTCAAGTAAACCCAAAGTACAACCCCAGCACAGTATCTTGGAAGAGTTTCCAGATGAACGCATTTATATCATGTATCTCTACCTGTATATTCATTTAGTACCTAAACCTATAAGCATCTTAAACAAAGTCCATCTTGTTAGAAAGAGTACCAATTTGTGTAATTTCAACTTCAACTTCATCACCGTTTTTCAAGTACTTTGGGACCTTCATACCCATAGCAACACCACTTGGAGTACCAGTCATGATAACAGTACCTTGTTCTAAAGTGGTAGATTGAGAAATGAAAGCAATGATCTTGGGAACATTGAATAACAAATCATCAGTATCAGTATCTTGACGAACTTCACCATTAACCCTGGTAGTCAAATGTAAAGTAGCTGGGTCGGAAATAACTTGAGAAGAGACCAATTGTGGACCTAATGGAGCGTATTTGTCAAAGGACTTGGAGAAACACCATTGAGGAACACCACCGGCATGCTTTGGATCTCTTTGCCAAGTTCTAGCGGAAACATCATTACCAGAAACGTAACCAGCAACGTAGCTTAAAGCATCTTCTTCCTTGATATCTTTTCCAGTCTTGCCAATAACCACACATAACTCACCTTCATAATCACACTGGTTTTCTTGGGCAATCTTTGGTATTGGGATTGGTTCACCGAAATCAGCAACAGCAAATCTAGGTTTGTAGAAGATAGATGGGTAAGGTGGAGGGGTTCTACCACCTTCTTGGATGTGCTTCATGTAGTTTAATCCAACACATTTTATGATGGGGACTTCCTCTTCGGTTAATGGCCCTAACAATTTCTTAACTTCCAAGACTTTTTCAGTAACAACCGCATCTCCGAAAATGTTTCCCCCCTCGATGACTTTCGCTTTGATGGTCTTGCCTTGTAAAGCAAGCTTGCCAACATCGTATTCAGCATCACTAACAAGTGGTTCACCCCTGTAGATTTTATCATCGTGAGCAACAAATCTAATTAATCTCTTCCAAGCAGTAGTCATCGTTATTATAATAAGTAGTAATGATGAGGTAAAAGGGATTCTTCATATCAATTGAAAGAAAATCTGGTCTGTATTTATTTGAACCCATCCCATCACAGAAACCAGGTAATAAAACCTTGTGGAGGTGTATCGGCCCAATCTTCCACCATTGTGATTTCTCTGAGTTATAGTCATCGATTCTTATTGTCGGAAACAATCTCCGATTTCCTCGCTCTTTCGAGAAAAGCGGAATTGAGTCCGTCATTTGTAATGCTTTTTTTTTTTTTTTTTTCTTTTTCCCTGTTGCATCGGAATGTCTGGCCGAACAGTTAAAAGATAACTTTTCTCAAGGGATTTGTCAAGTGGATAACAATTCCGAATGGTTATAGTCCCATTCTATGGAGACTACAATTTGTACCCCTTAGGACATAGATGCCGATGTACCGATGAATGCAACCCCATATTTGAAATATTATGAAGCATATATAAACATACATTGGGATCCTCCTTTCCCAAATTTACTGTCGGGTTCACATCACTCAAGAATCATTTAGAATGTCTCCAGTCGAAGCATCCACTAACGAAAAAGTTGAATTCTTAAAAAGTTTGAAACCACAAAATGTAGAGCCATTATGGACCGTTATGTCTGCTATGGTCCCACCGGTGCCCAAGCCAAGGGCTGTCCCCGCAGTTTGGAATTACAAAAAATTGAGACCTTTATTGGTTGAATCTGGCCGTTTAGTGCCAACTGAAGAATCAGAAAGAAGAGTTTTGATGTTGATCAACCCAGCTTTGAAAGCCCCCCAAACTACTGACACATTGTATGCTGGTTTACAATACATCAACCCAGGGGAAGTTGCTCCAGCCCACAGACATTCTGCTTTTGCTTTGAGGTTTATTATCGAAGGTGACGGTGGCTACACTGCTGTTGAAGGTCAAAGAATCTACATGGAAAGAGGTGATGTTATATTGACTCCAAGATGGGACTGGCATGACCATGGCAAGGAAGGTGATGGTCCAATGATTTGGTTGGATGGTCTTGACTTGCCAATGTTCCAAGCCATTCCTGTGAATTTCGCTGAACACTACCATGAAGAATGTTATCCAGCTGAAACTGTTGCTGAATCTAACATCAAGTTCCCATGGAAGATTACCCAAGACTACCTTGATTCTATTGAAAGTGACTATGCTGTTTTTGATTACACCGGCCAAAACAAAGCACCGTTGTCAACCATTCTTACTGCTCAAGCTGAAAGAGTCAATGTTGGAAGTTCAAGTGAATGGCGCCAAGAAAACTCTTCATTTGTCTACCATGTTTATGAAGGTGCTGGTTACACTGCTATCGAGGAAGACAATGGTGAGGAAACAATCTTGAGATGGGAAGGTAAGGATACCTTTTGTATTCCTGCTTGGAAAAGGTTCAAACATGTCAATGACGGTGTCCAAACTGCTTACCTTTTCTCTTTCAACGACTCTCCTTTGCTTAAGAATTTGGCTATCCACAAAACTGCTGCAAATTAAACATGCTTCAGTTTTGATTTATTTAATTTAGCTTTCGTGCAGATTGACTTATATAGTTTATTTTGATAATATACTATGTTTTATGAATCATGATTGCGCCTAAAACTCGAGGCTTTTGGGAAGACAAGTGTTTGGGTCGGTAAATAGTAGACAATTGCTTTCCCAAAGAATGTTTATGAGATTTATTTTCAAGACATAGACGCAATACTACAATGCAAAATATAGTGGAATCATAATTCAAAATATATAGAGACTAACCAGAGCCCCACTGACTATATATATATATATATACTATAAATCTAGACACTTATGCTTTGATGGCACGTCTAGCACCAATGAAATGAACTACAACAGTTGGCACCCAAGCAAACAAAAGCACAAGACCACACATTAAACCAGCAGACCCGGCAAAGTTGAGGTTTTCAAACATATCTGGAAAGTAAAATGGTCCCAAGAAACCGAAAAGGGATCTGACAAAGTTGATGTATAAACCAACATCACCAGCCTTGTGTGGAGCATTATCGATTGCAAAAGTGGTAACAACAGTTGCAACAATATTATTACCAGCAGCGGCGATAGCAGCACCAACCAAGGGTTTAATGGACCAGTGACCTGGTGTAGCTTTAAATAAATAGATACCCCACACAAGCAAGCCAACAATAACCAAGATGTAACCATTGTAACAAACCCATAATCTGTCAGCAATAACTCTTTGACCATTTCTTTTTGCAGTGCTTCTCCTCATCCACCAATCAGAAAGCGGTCCAGCAAGAACTTCACCAATGATGGAGCCAATAATAATTGAAATGTACTGTAAAGACATCTGCTGAGCGTCGAGGTGAAATAATGGTACCATAACTTGTGGCATTTCCACCACCAAAACAATGTTTGCGTAGCAAAAAGTAACCGAAGCGGCAATGACAGCAATGGTAATGTTTAAATTAGCAGCTTGTTTCAATGGTCTGAAGAACATCTTCCAGGAGAATGGTCTCGAAGAAGATTTTCTAATACCAACAACTTTGAGCAAGCCTTGGGAATAGTATTCTGGACTGGCTCTCGTGTAAATGGTCTCCCTTGCAAATATCCACAAAACAAATTGGATAAAGTTCATAATAGCAAATACAAAGAAGATCCATTTGGTCCCAGCATGTTGCTGAATGAACCCAGTGAAAAAAGGACCTCCCGGAGTTCCAATAAGCAACGCTAAGGACCACCAACCATTCTTCTTACCTCTTTCATGGGCAAAAGCTAAATCACCAACAACGGAAGAACCAGCGGCCGTAACAGCAGAAACAAAAACAGCAACCAACACTCTAGTAGCCATTTGTTGACCATATGTCTTGGCAAACCCACCGCCAATATTCAAAATACAACAAGCTAAAGCAGCCACAGTCAAGAATGGCTTTCTACCATAAGCATTCATCAAGGGAACCCAAAACAAGGGCAACACTCCGAAAACAGCAATTTGAGCAGAAGTGAAATAAGCAGCAGTTGGAAGATCAACACCATACTCTTCAGCCATTGTTTCAAAGGCAGGAGTCAAACCAGCAGCCATGAAAGTTGATGAAAAAGTACCGAAAGCAATTAATAAAATTTCATAGTTCTTTTGCCAGTCTGGCCAGTTGAGGGGGTCTTCTGGATCAGCAGATGGAAGTGGGTCTAACTGAACCGACCCATGTCTCAGAATGAGATATTTGTGATGTTCAGGATCAAGTTCTTCAGTAAGGGCCACTGGGTCCAAATTTTCATGGTGAGAGGTGATTCCTCCTTTTTCGATATCACTGGCAATAGATTCAGTAGTAGTCATAGTTAGTTGTGTTTGGTTGACAATGTTTTGATGTGATGATGAAAAAGTTGTGCAGCTAGGAAATCAGAAGGGAACCATTTTGCAGCTATTTATAATGACACGCCCCGGCTTTTTTAACAATGGATTACATTGTGAGTCCTTACTTTGAGTTATCAACGATCTAATAAACAACCCCAACTTTTACCGTCCAAGGCACTCGGAAATTCACCTCCCACAAACAACTTTTTGTGGAACATCATCCCGTTTGAACAATGGGTTAAATCAACAAAAAAGCAATTTAAGTTCTCCCCACTTTTGTTTGATCAGCCTCCTAGATCATTGTGTTCTTGTGGTAAACGCGATGCAACACAAATGGAACTCATCTCCGAATTTTGCCTTTGTACCTTCCCCACAAATTTGTAATTGAAGCGTGATAACAAAATTCTATTCTCTTTGTTGTGTCTATATTACATTATAGGTTCCGCCCAACTCTTATGAGAACCCCCCCTCCGAGCTTCTGCCTCGGCAAAACGTTCTTCAAGAGATGTATATAACGCAAGAGATGTTTTGAGGATGAACCACGCCTGTTGTTGCCTGTAAAAAAATGAAAAAAAAAGTACGAGATCATATTAAGCGCCATGCATAGCATATCTCGCAACCAATTATTTTACTGAGTATCACGAGAAACAACAGGAAAATACCATGTTAGTCTCCTCCTTGCAATGAATGGCCAGAGACGAGCCCCACTTAACTAAGTAGTAGTATTCAGATTTCTGACAGCCAGCACTAATCAAATACGCGCTGATCCATGGACTGAGTCTTTGATTCAAGGATGAAATAGAGAGGGGGAATATACCCCCATCTTTATTACAAACTTTTTTCAGTGACCACTTCGCTGTTGTAATCACGTAAGCCTAAGCTGAAAGTAGGATTGTATATTCAGCCGATGAGTAACCCACATCTTGAAAGCTTAATATCTCGTTTTATGTAAATGTCGGATGCAAATTTAGGATTTTAACACAAAACCCACCCAAAGTTGCAAATTTATTTTCAGATCGGAATAGCCTTCTGACAATTAATAGGAAGGATCGCAGACCCGAAAAAAAAAAAAAAAACACAATCAAGCACTTCTCAATTAATGAGTGCTCCACTTTGGTATCATGATAGTTCGCATGATGGCTGTGAAGGAAGCATATTCCGATATATATATATCAAAACATGGAATGAGATTCCGAAATTCTCAACTACCCCATACTGCTATCTGTATTGGATCTGGTGCCGATGAGGGTAGGTTTCCCGTTTAAGTTACCAATCGCACCTCGGAGTTGACAACACCAAAATAAACCCCAGATTTTTAATTCTCTCATGAAACTATATATATAAGTTCATGAATCTGCTCTCATTTCCCGTCATACCTTTTCCTCTTCAATTAGTTCCCCAATCTCATAAATACAAAAACAATTTTAAAGATCAAATAAATACAATGGTTTCCTTTAATGTTATTGTCTGCGGTGGTGGTTTAGGTGGTCTTGCTGCTGCTATTGGCTTAAAGAAAAAGGGTCACCAAGTTACAATCCTTGAAGGAAGCGCGGCTCTTAACGAAGTTGGTGCTGGTATTCAAATGCCACCAAACTCTGTCAAAATTCTCAAAGAGTATGGCATCTTTGACAAATTTGAGAAATACGTCACCAGACCAAACAACATCATTTTGAGAAGATATGACACTGGTGCTGCATTGTCCACAACTCCTTTGGATCCAGACATGACTGATGCTTATGGTAACCCATACTTGTTGATTCATCGTGCTGATTACCAAAAATTATTATATGAAGCTGCTCTTGATCTCGGTATTGAATACAAGAATGGTTGCAGGGTTCAAAAAGTTGACCAAAACACCGCTACTGTTATTTTGGAAACGGGAGAAAGATATTCTGCTGATTTAGTTGTGGGTGCGGATGGTATTAGGTCTCGAGTTAGAGATTCAGCAGTTGTTCCAGAAGAAACTGTTCTTCCAACTCCATCTTCCAATTGTGCATTCAGAGCCACTGTACCAAGAGCAGAAATGTTATCGGATCCGGTTATTGCTCACTTGATGAGTGATGTCAACTCCAATTGTTGGATCGGATATAGAAGACACGTTATGGCTTACCCTATAAGAAATGGTGAAATGTACAATATTGTGATGTCACACCCTGGCCAAGCTACTGTCGGTAAATGGAACGAACCAGGTAACGTTGAAGAAATGAGAAACCATTATAAAAACTTTGATCCGGTTGTTCGTCAATTATTAACTCACGTGAAATCGGTGTTGAAATGGGTGTTGGCTGATTTACCAAAACTACCAAGATGGGTTTCACAAAGTGGTAAAGTTGTTTTAATTGGTGATGCTGCTCACGCAATGTTACCGTACTTGGCTCAAGGTGCTGCTCAAGCTGTTGAGGATGGTGCTACTTTAGCTGAAGAGTTAGACCACTGTGTATCTACTGAAGATATTCCATTAGCTCTTCAACGATACCAAAAGAAGAGAAAAAGAAGAGCTGAGACTATTCAAGCTGGTGCTAGAAAGAATGGTGATATTTGGCACTTACCAGATGGTGATGAACAAGAAGAAAGAGACTCATTGATGAAGGCTAGAGACGGTCATAACCCTGATCAATGGTCCGATAGAGAATTTCAACAATGGTTATTTGGGTGGAATGCATTCACCAGTACTTTTGAATCTAAGTTATAGGCAATGGAGAAGAATAATTCGTTTTGGAAATAAAAGTCTTATGTATAGCACAACAATATAAAACAGAGCGTATACAAACGTACATCTACCTAATAACGACCTTCCACAACGCATTCAGTCACACATTAAATCAATATCTATACACTGGCCGCAAGGGCACTTAACTCGTCGTAATTGTAAAACTTGTCATCATCATCATAGTCATCATCGTCGTCTTCATTTCCCACGTCATTACTCTCCAACGACAATGATTGTGTGTTTCTCCTTATTTCGATCAATGAAGTAATTTGCTTTTGGGTTTCTTCCGATAAAGACTTTATTCCCTTCAACATTTTCAATCCGTCCAACCAGATGAATCGATTAACTTCGGAATCAGTGTAGAAGGAAAGTAGCTTGGTTTTGTTTGCACCTAGAATAGTAATCTTTTCATAAGAAATGGTGCCCTTTATCGAAATTAACATGGAATTCTTTTGTTTTTCTTTCTCTCCAATTGATTCACCAATCTTGATCGATTTTAAATCTTGAACATCACTCAATTTGATTCCTCCAGTTTGTTCCAATTCTTCAATGCTTGGATTGGTGCTTGGCTTTTCACCGTACTCTTTGAAATATATCCACTTTCTATTGGGTGACAACACAATGTAGTAGTATTTCGACGATGGAGAAGCATTCTTTCTCGAGCTGAATAAAGCTTCTCCAAATGATTCGGTAAACACCCATGATCCTTTCAACAATTGCACCACCCTTTGTTCCGACACCAATTGAGCAACTTCCTTTGTCAACTCTTGATTGAACTCAGTGAGCCGGGGATTCCATTTGTTGGTGAAGTCTTTGCTAATCTTTGTCGCCTGATTGTGTCTCATGTCGTCTCCGGACCTAGTCGATGTAATGTCGAGACATTCTTCAATTGATTTGTTTCCACCCAATTGTTCTTCAAAAGTGTCAATATTTGATTCCAATAACCGAAGAATTTTGTCAATATCAAGCTGGTTGTTTTGTGATTTTGTCTCTTGCCAAAGGATAAGACAATTGTTCATTGTGTAGTAAATCATGAGCTCCCAGTTCAAAATTGAATTGACAACATTTGGGTACTTTTGTCTTTGTTCAAAGATGTCAATCCACATTTTGGATGTCTTGGCGATAAATAGCGACAATGGGAACGTTCTTGAGTGCTCACTCATCATCAACTCCTCATGAAACCTCTTTTTAAATGTAAAGTTTGGATCTTTCAAGAAGATTTTCAAATCCATAGCAAGAAGAATGGAGAAATTTTCCACAATAAACTGACGTGGGTTTTCTGTGAAACCAGCCTTAACATATTCTGAAGTTGTTGCAGGTGACCCGTACTCATTAAGTGAAACTTCCAAAAAGATAAACAAGTTATTTAACATAATCTGGTGCGCTTGAATTGATAAATCAAAGTGAATATTGTTGAGATACACATTGAGATCATAGTAGGCAACTTTCAATTTCTCAATCGCCTCCAAGGTGAGTTTGTCCTCAGTCAATTCAACCAAACTATCAACAGTACTAAAGAACAACACATGTTTCAATCTTCCCGATAAGGTGATTATCCCAGCGTAGTTGTATCTCAACGCCTTATTGATAAGATCCGTAACCAATTTGATTGAATTCAAAATGATCTTGCTGTCTTGAAGTAACAACTTTGTCGCCATAATATCAATCACATCCAAGTACTCAATCAAACTTTCATACAATGGCAAGTACCTTACAATTGAATCATCCTTTGTTCTGAATATAGCGCCTGAAATGTCAATCGCAGCAATTTTTAAAATAGCCTTGTAAGTCTCAGAAGACATGTTGATGCTGACAATTGAAAACAACGTGCTGAATAGGTGGTGATCCAAAACATGAACAAAATCATCGGTTACCGCTTCACTACCAATTATGCAATCAAGCAACTTTGCCAACACAACTATGGAATTAACCTTTTCTTGCTTATCTTTGCCCAAAATGTTGGACTTGAGAACTGTTGCATAATTCAAGGCGGTTGACTCATCCAATTTCAGTTTACTTATATTGTCTGATTCAAAAATTATATGGTTAGTATAGTGCGAAAAGCAGTGACTGTGAGAAGCTAAACATACTTTTACTCAATATCTCGTTCAACTTATGGTTGATAGTTCTTGAGGAATCCGACATAGTTGAGAGCTGTGAAGAAAAGGATACTCAACTGAAGCAGAAGTAATTTTGAAAATATATATATATTGTTGGAATAAAGGCCATATGTCGTCAATGAAATTCTCTTGTTTCGCTTAAGAAAAAATTAAAAATAAATTACTCTTCATCATTACACAAAACGATAAGACAACAGAAGATTTGAAAACTTTCACCCGGGTTACCGCCTCTCACTGCTGAGGTTGTACACCTTTGAAAAACTGTGGGCATTGGCGGTAATAGATAGATGAGTGCACAGGTGCATATGTCCACAGAGTGCACCCTAGAGTATTACAAACCAACTAGACCTGTCGCAAGTTGGACATGATGCATCGGAAGGTGGAATTCTTTCATAAATTTCATAAATTTCAACTTCCATGCATCAAATCTTAAATTCAAACTATCCTTGTATGGCAATAGAAAGAACGTATATATACGCCTTGAAGTGAAGCGAGGGTTGTGCACTTATCTTACCAAAAACAAGGCTCATCGCGATGATGAAAGAGCTGCAGTAGGGCTTGTGGGTGTTGTGAGATCTCTTGGACCCTGTTGAATCACAAAGCTTTCATCAGAGGTGGTTCTTCTTGGTTGGAAGCCCATGAAAGACACCTTTTCCTCGCTTTAAACGTAAGCCATTCTTTTAAAGACCCGAAACTCTCATCATTTCAACCTCAGTACAATGTCGTCGGCTGCCCGGTGCACCACCAAGCCTGCGGTGCGGTCCATCGACCTTCTACTTCAACCGACAATTAGGTGTCAGAGAAATATAATAAAGTCAATGCCACGCACACACTCTATCCCACTGCGGCTCAATATAATTTTTTCAGTGCCGAATTTGTCAATACACGACACTGGAATTTAGATTTTTTACGACACTTTACCACCAAAGGAAAAAACTGCTTTGAATGGAGACCAAAAAAACAATACCCAGCGCACTCCCCTCTTAACCAGATCCCCCCTTCGCAGAAGCCCCAATGACTAACCCCAACAATTTAGAAAACTATCGTGGCTTTCATGCCAATAGGAGACCAAACAATAGTAGCAATGTGCCTCCATTGCTTCACCCGATCAAACCTAAATTCAAGAAAAAGAGCAGTTCATTGTTCAATAAATTGATATATTCGCGAAGAGACACGGGTGGGGATGAGGAAGAACAACAAGAGGACGAGGAGTCGAAAAGGGATCCTCTATTATCAACATCAGATGCATCGGTGTCTCCTACTCAATCTGGCCAATCATCGCGAGCCAATTCCATTGCTTCAGATGAGCAAGATCCTCAACAACAGCAACAACAACAGCCAAAACGCAAAAGCAATTCATCGGCTTCTTCAAGCCACTCTAAACATAAGTTTAGACTCCCATCGTTGTCGTTGGACTACCACCCCCATCACATTTCCTCTGTTCTGCCCAATCTGTTGCAAATGTCTCAACCGGATAACCCCGTGACTCCCATGAAAATGAAACACGATGTGTATTCCACACCTTCACCTTCAGACGTGTCACAAAGGGACCAATCGGTGTCGTCACTACACTCTTTAGGCCCCACCGATAACATGATGTCGTTGGATTTGAACTTGGATGAAATGAGAGATATTGTGAAAACAGATGAGACTACAGCACCAAAGCAAAATTGGAAAGCGCCGGATTCTTGGGATGTAAAAGCTTCCAAAATAGAGGAAATACCAGAGGAGATTACTGAACCTGATTTTGTGGAGAAACTGTTGCCGGTGCTTTATGGAACCAGACAGGGTTCGCACGTGTCGAAATCGATGGATCCACACCCTAGTCACATTATTCGAATATTCAAAGAGGACAATACTTTCACGACCATATTATGCCCCTTAGAGACAACTACGACCGAGCTTTTAGCAATTGTGCAGAAAAAATTCTTTTTAGAATCGGCATCAAATTACCAATTGTCAGTCCACATTGGAAACTGTGTCAAGGTGTTGGAAAGTTTCGAAAAGCCCATTAAGATACAAACGGGGTTGCTTCTTTTAAGTGGGTACACCGAAGATGACAATTTGAGAATAATCGGTAGGGGGGACATGTCGTTTGTGTGCAAGTTTGTGGTGGAAAATATCTATCTCAGAAGTTTGACCCATGAAGAAGAGGCGTTGCTCTCGAAAAACTATGTGGATGTCAATATATCCTCTCTAAACCTCAAAAACATTCCCATCATATTCCACCAACACACTTATGAAATTGAAAAATTGAATGTGTCGGAAAATCCATCGATATACATTCCATTAGATTTCATTCAATCATGCACCAATTTGACAAGCGTCAATTTTTCCCGAAACGGATGCTCCAAATTTCCCACCAATCTCCTTGAAGCAGTTGGTCTCACCCATTTGAATCTCGAGATGAATTTTTTGGATGATTTACCATTGAAGATCAACAGCCTTAACAACTTGACTCATTTGAAACTCAATTCCAACCAGTTGTCACTGCTTCCGAAATCATTTGGTGAACTTAAAAACTTGGTCTACCTCAATTTGTCGTCAAATTACTTTGTCAACTACCCAGAACCGGTCAATGATTTGGACAAATTGATTGAGTTGGACTTGTCGTATAACGATCTTTCGTACCTACCAGAGTCGATGGTGAATCTTAAAAGCTTGCAGAAGTTGAACTTGTGCACAAACAAGCTAGACAAGGCATTGCCAGATTTCCTTGCCGGCTTGCAGTCATTGAAAAGATTGGATATTCGTTACAACCAGATAGCAAATGTTGACGTGTTAGGCGAATTACCAAATCTTGAAGTCTTGTACGCATCTAGAAATTCGATATCGGCATTTTGTGATCGAATGGAGAACCTTAGACTTTTACATTTTGATAAAAATCCAATCACAGAACTCAAGTTTATCAATCAATTGCAAATGCTCAATATCTTGGACTTGTCAAAGGCAAAAATTACTGCTATCCCTGCCGAGTTTATGATCAAGATACCTAACATCGAAAAGTTGGTACTTGATAAAAACCACTTGGTAACACTCCCACAAGAATTGGGACAATTGACGAGATTATCATATCTCTCCATTTACTCAAACAATTTACAGGCAGTGCCATCCACAATTGGTAATCTATCCAATTTGCAATACTTGAATCTTCACTCAAACAGTATCCAAACCTTGCCGGACGAGATTTGGAACTTGAGGTCGTTGGCGGTATTAAATGTGGCTAGTAATAACCTCACTTCTTTCCCCAAACCACCATTTGCCATCGCAAAGAGAATTTCTTCCTCGAATGATTTTGGAGAATTGCCAGCCTCAGAATCAATTGCTGACGCTTTATCAGTTTTGACAATTTCAGACAATAGGTTGAACGACGACTGTTTTGATGCCATTTCATTCCTTGTTGGCTTAAAGTCACTAAACATGTCGTATAACGATTTGATTGAGATTCCAGAAGGGTCAATTTCGAGAATGAGACGATTGAATGAGCTATATTTGTCGGGTAACGACTTGACAACGCTTCCTGCAGATGATTTAGAACAACTAAAGGCGTTGAAACTTCTTTATATCAACAACAACAAATTGGTGTCATTACCAGCAGAATTGAGCAAATTGACTAATTTACAACACTTGGACGTGGGGTCCAATCAATTGAAATACAACATCTCCAACTGGCCATACGACTGGAATTGGCATTGGAATAAGAATTTGAAATACTTGAACTTTTCTGGAAACAAACGGTTCGAAATTAAACAAAGTCATGTAAAGAATCCGGAAACTGGTGAGGATTTTGACAGTTTATTAGTTTTGGACCAATTGAAAGTATTGGGTTTGATTGATGTCACGTTGACAACAACATCTGTCCCCGAGCAATCTGTCGACAAGAGGATAAGAACAACTGCATCTGAATTGGACAATATTGGATACGGTGTAAGTGATACAATGGGACAGAGAGACTTTATATCAAATCGAGATCTTTTCATACAAAAGTTTAGAGGCAACGAAGACGAGGTGCTTATTTGCTCCTTTGATGGTAAACATGGAGCTCCGAATCAGGGCCATAGAATATCATTAATTGCACGAAACATGATTACAAAAAGTGTAACTGAGGAATTGTCTAAAATTAACAATGACCCCGACAAGGTTTACATTGCTCTCAGGAGGGCATTCTTATCATTCAATAAGGAAATCAATGGAATATTATTGGCCAAAAAGAGTCATACATTCACTCCTGGCCCACAATACTCCAAAGAGCAAAGCGAGTTGAACTTGATTGATGATGCAAGAAGTGGTGCATCTGCCACTGTCATTTACATCAAAAACAAAAAGCTTTATTGTGCAAACATTGGAGACATTGAAACATTACTATGCCAAAACAATGGTAATTTCCGTGTATTGACAAATTCTCACAAACCAACAAATCGTGAAGAGTTCGAACGAATTAGAGCTTCCGGTGGGTATGTTTCTGGAAGCGGTGATTTAGATGGAGACTTGCCTGTATCTCGAGGGGCAGGATACTTTTCATATTTACCCCATACTCATTCTGGTCCAGATGTGAGTGAGTTGACATTGACTCCCGCTGATGACTTGTTGGTTATTGCCACTAAAGTGCTTTGGGAGTATATCTCCTATGAACTTGCGGTCGACATTATACGACAAGAAAAGAATGATCCAATGATTGCTGCGCAGAAGTTGCGTGATTTCGCCATCTGCTATGGTGCTTCAGACAAGATAACGGTGATTGTGCTTACATTTGGTGAAAAGACAAAACTGAATGCCTTGTATAATAACCTTGGTCGAGAATCTGATTTTTTCAAAAGGAGAAGAGATAGACAAGTTGGTGGTGATTCAACTCTTCGTAGGTTGGAAAGTGAAATTGAACCACCGGTTGGCGAATTGGCATTGGTATTTACAGATATCAAGAATTCGACATTACTTTGGGATTCGTACCCAGCACCAATGAGGTCTGCTATCAAGACACATAACTCAATCATGAGACGTCAATTGAGGATTGTTGGAGGATACGAGGTTAAAACAGAAGGTGATGCATTTATGGTTGCATTTCCTTCGCCCACATCGGCTCTATTATGGTGCTTCAACGTGCAACAGAACTTGCTTACTGCTGATTGGCCGACAGAGATTCTTGAAACCGACCAATGTTGTGAAGTGACTGATGGCGCTGGGAACGTAATATATCGTGGGTTGTCGGTTCGTATGGGTATACATTGGGGTTCACCCGTGTGTGAACCGGATGTTGTTACTGGAAGAATGGACTATTTTGGCCCCATGGTGAATCGAGCTTCTCGAATTAGTGCAATTGCCGATGGTGGTCAAATTGCCGTAAGCTCAAACTTTCTTGACGAAATGAGAGCATTAACTGCCATCCATGATGACATTAAAAATAATGTCAAGACCATTAGTGATGCATATCAGGGGAATGACAATGCCGGAATCATTATTGAAAGAGAGCTAACCGCAATCGAGGAGCTCGGGTCAAACTACTACAAAATTGGAGAGAGGAAGCTTAAAGGGTTGGAAACGCCAGAATTGATCACCTTAGTTTACTCCACCCGGTTGAAATTACGATTCGAGATTTTCCAAAAGAGATTAGATGCAGATGAAAAACATAGCACAAGAGTGATTGGCACCATACCTATTGAGTGTATCACAGCAATCAACAATATTGCATTACGTTTGGAAAATTTGTTGTCGTATTTAAATTATGGTACCTATATCAAAGAAGGGCTCAAGCAAAATCAAAGATTAATTGATCCCAATGTACAAGAATTGTTGAATTCGGTAACGAGAATAGAAAACTCGGTGGCTACTTTATATCTAAGGCAATTGACGGAACCAAATAACAACAAAGCATTCAGCATGAGTCCATTAAGTCAAATATTGGACGAGTTGTCGGCAATTATGAAACACGTACAGGATACATAGATTTCAAATAAAACACTTGTCTAATTCTTTTTAACCTTGTGTGGTCCAAGAACCTTTTTCCTTTGCTTGATCATATAAGTATAAAGCATGTAAAAACCTGGGATGTAAGTTACCAAGATAACTTTCAAGAACAAATTGTAGTAAAAACCAGCATCATCAAGTGACAACACAATTTGATACACTTCACTGAAAACACCCGTTGGATACAATACATAAAAAGTAGTGTAACGTAGCCAAGTTAACCAATCAGGAACATCATTTCTCAAATGTTGAGCATAATATGAGTACCTAATGATTTCAGTTATGGACCAACTCAAACACAATGTGATATATGTCCAGTGGTAGTTCGCAGGTGAATTTGGCAAGTACTGGTGAATACCCCACACAATTAGCAACCTAGAAAACACTTGGGCGACAGTGGTAAACAACGGAGATTTTACCAATCCCATTGCAGCATTGATGATCTCAATCACGGCAAAAGATTGAATTCCAGTGGTGATAAGATTAGTTTTGGTGTATACAAATGGTTGACCCAATGTAAATGAAAGAAATACGGTGTTGAACAACACAACAGACCATAATGACGCTGAGATGGAATTGTATGCAACAAGGAATCTATTGGGTTGTGGTTGTGCCATTGGTATAAAGAAGGCTATATGAAGAGAAGTGGAATTGGAATGAAATTTGGGCTCGAGATAATTTTTTTTTTTGTTGGGGGAAGAAATGAATGTCACTGTTAATTTATATTCCATTTACCAAATATAAGGTACAACCAACGAAATACGACCAACTTGTAAATACACCGAGATCTCTGTTAAGTATAGCCAGAGAAAAGCGTTAACACCTGCAACTGAGATTCCAATGGCGTCTTGCCATCATCAAAGATGTCGTAAGTATAGACGTATTTGGTGGGAAATTACTCAAACACCAATTGTAAGACAAATGGCATTAGCTAATAGTATTAAATACAAAATAGTATTCTTTGTTCTTTACTTTTATGAGGCTTTGATCATGTATTCTTTCAATGAGTCCTTGTAATTATCTTTGTCCAATTCAGCAGCATTCAACATTTTCCACCTTGTAACTACTTCCATAACATTCCATTACATCCGCTCCAACGTAGGCTCATTTTGCTCTTAACTGCCATATGATTATTAAAAGTTTACACGTAAACCTCCCACGTGTAATTCCTCACTTCTGATATTTATTGCATCAAAATTTCAATCTTGCACTTCTTCTTCTTGGTATTTTGAGTGTGAAACGCGGAGTTATACAGTCAATTTCGGAAATGAAATTGAGCAAACCTAAACATGATTGTTTCAAAATTGGTAATTTGAAGCATGTTGCTGAAAAAATTAATCAAACTTCGGTACCCACATTCCAACATTCATTTTCCTGTAACGTAACATCTAGGTTTACATGGAACGTCCGGTCAATCACCCCCTGAATACCACTCAATGAGGTATTACCTATCACGTTACTGGGGGTGTCGATGGCTTCGTAATCATTTAAATTGTTCCTCGCTTTCGCCTCCGCTTCCTCATACGTAGGCAACAGTCTGAATATTGACGGGTCATGCCGCGTACCGTCATAGGGTGAACCGTTACTCTTGACTAGCAATGTATAACTACCTGCACTGAGACCACTCACATTGTATAACCCGTTGACGCACTCAAATACCTCACCCAAGGCCCAGTTATATTCCTCCATGTCCTTATGTCCCACTACTATATCGACTCCATCAGCGTCCTCTGTATATCTCACAGATGCCAAATAGCCTAAACCATCTATACATTCTTTGATAATTGTCACCTTCACCGTTTTTGGCGGTTTGAAAAGTACTCTAGTATCTGTCTTTGTCGGTATATAGTCGTAAAAGTGAAGGTAATAAAAACAAAAAATTTGAATCTGATTCATGTGATGACTGTGCGTTTACTTCATGATAAGCCTTATGAGTCATAGCCGTGCACAAACTTATCGATTAACGTTTTTTAGTCAAGGGTGATAGTAAGTAAGCCTTATTGAGATATTCAACCTACTACATACATTTGCGAGATCCAGTTAAACAATCGTGTCGTAAACATACTACATGCAATCCCATCAACCGCGTGTAGTGAGGAACATACACATTGAAATTTCTAGATGAGTTAATCTGTCGAAATATTCTTTCACTTCCCCTCCGCGCATAAGTTAACACAAGCAAAAGTATTTTGCATTGATGATTTGCAACCGATCTCGTTTATTATAATTTTTATGAGCTAACCACTATGACCTCACTAATTTATGCAACCGGATGCAAATTTACACTATAACGCATCTAGATCAACTTTTGTTTCTCTCTATTCAACACTTTTCTCCTTTGTTTGATCATGTAGCTGTACAAGTACAAGAACCCTGGGATGTACAACGGCATAGCATACTTGAGAAAGTTGGAGTAGCTAGGTAACCTCGTGGCAATCACTTCGTAAGAGTAGTAAACAGTGGCACTCTCACAAACAAGACCCAAAGGATACAATACAAAGAATGCCGAGTATCGTAACCACAACACCCAATAAGGTACGGAAAACTTACCCAATTTAAGCACATAGAACCCGTATCTGATGATTTCCGTGATGGACCATGCCAAAGTCAAACCAGCAAATGTGAAAACGTTGTAATTGGCTGGTGATTCAGGAATGACGTAGCAAATTCCAATCAATATAATCAACCTGGCAAACGATTGAAGTAACAATGTTGGTATTGGAGTGGGGACCAATCCAAGCACTGAATGAAGAAACTCAAATGATGAATTAAACAATTGGGTTGCAATCATAAACTTGTGCGGAATGCCATGACCAGGTTCAAACAGGTAGTAGCCATTGGAAATATCAATTGAGCAGCGATAGAAGATGAATGCCCATAGTAATGCAGATACTCCGTTATAGAGGAGTAGATACAGCTTTGCCATCCTTGTAGTGGAAAGAAAAGTTGCTGACAGATTTTCGGCGCGTAGAAGCAAAGTTCTACCCCCCCATATTTTTGTATTTTTTGCTTGTGATAAATACCAAAAGAGAATGAACCTACTAAACACTTACGTATAAAATGTTTTCATTTTTAGCTATCTATATAACATTTCGTCCCCCCACGTCTATTGATCAACGTATTTAGCCAACAAAGCTTTCAAAGTCTCTTGATCGCCAGCCAATAAATCTTGGTCCCAGTCAACAACTAAAGGAGCCTTAAAAATCTGGGCTGGGTTTGTCTCAACAGATTGATCATTTTCATTCTCCACCAACTTGTTAAATGTGTCGTAGATTTTTTGATACTCTGATTGAGAGAACACTTTATTTGCCCAATCAACTCCTTTGATGGTCACTTTTTTACCATGTGAGTCGAGCAAATCAATCAGTCTTTCATTCAAAAAGGGGAAACTATCATGTAATGTCTTTTTAGCTTGATCAGACTTGAGGAATTTATTGACAAAGATCTGGTATTGCTCGTAAGTGGGCATCTTATTCTTCATCAAATCAATTTGAAAGTCATATTTTGGCTTCTCGGGTAAGGAATCGTATGTCTTGTTCAAAACCTTGTACAATTCATTTGACAATGGGATCTTGCTGTTATGGAAAAGAGTGATGGTTGCTGGAGACGATTGTAAAGTTCTGAAAAGTGACATCGTTAATGTAGTTTATCGGGCAATAAAGATTTTCAACTGAGTTGGCAAAAAAGAAGACCAATTTTTCGAAGTTGGTATTTAGTTTCTAAATATAATTCTTTGACCAACTTTTAAATTGCGTTTGGTTTTGATGGTGAATGCAGAAAGGGTTGTTCAAATTGAGGATGGAATTGAATGGAAGGAATTGAAAAAGGGACACAATAAAGGGGGTTGGTTTTGTGTATCAGCAATCTTATCACCAAAATGCTACCATGTGGAGTGAATAATCTTCTAATGAAGCTGTGGTGGTAGGAAAGTAACAGGTCAAGGAGAACGAGTGTCTGTGTTTGGCGGGTGTTGGTTTCAAGACAGTCTTAATGATGAAAATGAGGGGGGGGAGGTGGAAGTATGGTGCATGAACTTTACCAAGTTTGCATCACAATTGGTGCAAAATTGTACCCCGAGAAAATATCACCGATTTTGAACAAACTGATTCCCTGATTCCAATAGTAAGAGGAAAGCCAGTCGTAGAGCTCACTATCATGACCACAAGATAACTACATGGAACCACACACATTTCCTTTTTTTCTGTTTTCTTTTCTTTTTCATTCTCTGCGCTTTTTTATCACCACATATCAGATTTTGATAACCAAAAAAAAAAAAAAAAAAAAAAAAAAAATAGAATAAATTGTGGCATCATCCAAGAACCCACTTCAAATACCAAAGATGTGCAGGTTCATGATATTCAAAGGAAGGGAGCTGATGGTTCTATCAGACCTACTAACGAAACCGGCTCATTCCATAATCAACCAATCATTTGATTCGAGACTACGGTTAGACATGCGTAACCCAATTAATGGTGATGGATTTGGTGTAGGATACTACACTGAACACAATGAACCTTGCATCTTCAAAGCTATCACACCAGCTTGGAATAATGTCAACTTGAATAACTTATCTCAATGTACGGAGTCAGAGTTGGTTTTCGCTCATGTAAGGGCATCAACACAAGGGGTATTATCAGAAACAAACTGCCATCCATTTAGCTATGGCAAGTTGATGTTTATGCATAATGGCGGTATTTCATGTTTTCATTTGATCAAAAAGAAGCTTATAAACCACTTAGATGATAAATATTTCCTCTATATACAAGGATCAACTGATTCGGAATGTTGTTTTGCCTTGTTTCTTGACACTTTGGACAAGATGGGGTTTGACCCACTGTCAAGAGATACAAAGTTTTCACACACGATTTTGAAAAAGGCTATTTTGAAAACTATTGAGTTAATCAAAAATTGGCAAACCGAAGTAACATCGGAGCCATCGTTGTTGAATTTTGCAGCCACTGATGGAGAATCAATTGTTGTGAGTAGATACATTACGTCAAAGACCGATGAAGCTGCATCGTTACATTTCAGCACCGGTTCCAAGTTTTTTGAATACCAACCGGGTCTATTTAAAATGGAGAGATTAAACCGATCACAAGACGTCATTTTCGTCTCGAGCGAGCCATTGACATTTGAAAGAGGCGACTGGTTGTGCGTACCGACAAACACATTAATCACCATCACTAACAAAAACACAGTGTTGATGCACCCTATAGAAGATGAATTTTACGATGGCGGTGTTGGTGAAAGATCATCTGGATTTGCCATGAGTAAAGGCTTGATGGGAGGAGTGCCACCATCGGAGGAAGACCACACTCAAGAGAATGGAATCAACGGCAATGGCAACACAATCATGCAGCAAGTACCACCTCTTGAAAGAGAGGGAAGAGCTAACTTTAAAGCAGCGGTCCATTAAAAAAAAGTGTTTAACAAAACTCGTAAAAAAAAGTATCTATTAGAATAATTTTCAAAAAATTGCATTATCGTTTCATTGTACACGAAAGTCCAATCATTATTCGCAAGGTGCTTCACTCGCATTTTCACCTCTAGTTCTTGCTTGCAGACCTGGTCAATTCAGGGGCATCGACGTCAAGTTCGTCATCTGAGCTTGAGTTTGAACTGGAATCTGAATCATCATCCACCACATCTTTATCAAACTCAGGATGAGCATTTTTCAATTCACCCTTGCTGTCATATAATGGATTGGATTTTTTGTAAGACATACCATCGTCATTAGGATCTATATAGTCATCAGCGTCGTCTTCATTCACAATATGCTCCTCATCATCTTCACTTGAACTCTCTTCACGCTCTTGATTTGCAGTGTTTGAGGAATTGGCAAGTTGTTGTGACATGTAGTTTGAGAAATGGTCATCTTCATCAGATTCTGACTCGTCACTATCCAACAAATCCTTCTTATTGCTTCCCGCATTATTTGCGTCGTTTTTCTCTTCTGGCTCCTCCTCCTCATCCTCCTCCTCTTCTTCTTCTTCCTCATGTCGACCCGCATCCTCTTCGTGAGATTCTTCAACTTCTCTCTCCTCATCATCATGAAATACTAAACCCGTCTTTACCTCCTCAATAATTTCACCTAACCCTTCATCAAAAGTCGTGTTATCCTCCTCTTCATCCTTGTCATCTTCATCTTCATTTCCACCTAAAATGGCATTATACTTTTCTCGAGTATCGTACAAAACATTACTGACATAATCTTCCCATACATCACTCTCAATCTTTTCATTAATGTACTCGCTCAATGTGTTGGACGGAAACAATTGAACAAACTTAACAACCTCTTCCGCGATTAAAGTCAAATGACCCATAAATCCCAATCTCAAACCATTATGGCTCGTTTCGTAATCAGAACATAGTCTTTGACCTTCAATGATCTTGTTGGTGATATCAGCCAGATGAAACAAATCAATTGCCAAAAATTTATTGAATCCAATATCCATAGACCCATTCAAGACTTGTTGCACCACATCAAAAACAACATTGTGCAAAAAGTTATTCCAAGGGAAACGGAAAAACATGGATAAAATATTAGAAATGATTTGGGTGTCAAACAAAGCAATTTTCAAAAAATCGCCCACCACCGGATTAGCCCTGATTTGTTCCTCAGTCAAGTTTGAATTGGCATGTGGTTCATCTTCGTCAAGAGCATCTTCTTGTTTATTAAATTCATCAATGGTGTCGTCCTTGATTGAGTTACTAGTGTCATCAACGTCATTCTTTGCTTCGTTGTCATCGTCATCATGTGGCAACGTAATAGCCTCATTATACTTAAAACTGATTGGATCGTACTCCTTCATTTTATTCCGTAATTCATCCCGCTCTTTTACAACATCAAAACCTTTATTATCATTTAACAATGCCATATTAGAGCAATGCAACAACTCAGCAATCAATTCACAAATCTTGAATCGTTCAAACCCCAATGGTTGAATGACACCAAACGGCGTTCTCAATTTGGAATCAGTGTGCTCTTTGATCAACAATTCATTAAAATCCAGAATTCGTTCGCCAAACACTCTCAACAAATGGCCAAGGTAGATTGGATCTCTTCCAGTTGGCGGATGGCTCTCCAATGTGATATACAATACCGGTAAAATATCATAGTCTGAGTTATTCTTTCTGATGATTTCAATGATAATACCCACACCGTTAGCCAAGGCATACCCACCTTTAAGCATGATTTCACACAACCTTGTCATTTGCTCTTTTGAAACAAGCTCTCTTGTAAGCTCATTTGGGCCAATAGTTGAATTATCGGCGGTTGAGTTTGCTGAAATTGTTATTAGGGCTTTGAGAAAATCCGCGGCTGAACTCTGTTCGATCAATAGTAACTCATGACTTTTACCACCTTCCTCTACGTCATTACTTTCAGGAACATCTAACACGTCCAATGCATTTATCAAATGGGTGATTAGGTCTTGATTTTGCAAAAATTCTATTATACCTGTTGAGTTATCAGGTTTGTCAGTGGATATCAATTTTAACAAGAAATCCATTAACGGAGGATTAGACAAATGGTTGATGAATTTTTCCACTAAATTTGGTTGATTGTCTATTAGATAAGTTATCATTTCGTCACATTTCATGTCTAGTAAATGCTCCATAATTTTCATAAAGTGAGTTGATACGTGAATATCTAGTGCATCTTTAGTATCTAATACACTCCACAACTTGTTGAGATTTTCAGTAGACTCCATTACTGTATCAGTCAAGGACCACACATCAGCGCTAAGAACTTCTGATGCCAACGTTGCCCTTCGTCTGAATCTTTCCTCAGGCAGCTCTTCCTCACCTTCCTCATCTTGGTCATCCAGATCATCAAAATCACCAGAGACTTTGGGGGTGGGCTCCTCGTCATCGTCCTTTGTATCGTTCTTAGACGAATCTTTTTCATTTCCCTCTTTCGGTGTGTCTGCCTTATTACTTGTTGATTTCACTAAATCTTCTTTCCTTTCTTCCTTGTCTTCAATGTCGCGCACTTCGAAGTCATTGGATATGACAATATCCACCAACATAGTCAAAACATGCTCGTTTCTCAAAAACTCCAACAACATGGGATTATTCGACAAAAGCTCCTGTAGTAAATCATTTTCATCCAACAACTTTACAAGTACCTCGCGTTGTTCGTCTTCTCCCTTGTTTGTATCCACCGACAGGGTATCATTTTGCTCTTGATTCAGGTTATAATTTTCAAGTAAGGTTGTGATATTCGAAAGTGACGTGAACCCGTTGCTGAACTTCCAAAAGGATCCCGACATGACTCCTTAAAATGATTGAATATAAATGCAAGGGAAAACTGGGAATGTCTAAATTGAAGTCCCTCGTTTGAAATTTCAAGTATGACCTGCAAAGTGAGTTTTTTTGTATCCTTGCCACTTTCTTTCTGTAGTTTCTAATGATGTATATCCCAAAGGTCCAATCTCAATACGAATTCAATTGATGAACCATTAACGAATGTGCTTGGTATTGGAATAGGCTCTTATTTTTTTTTTTTTTTTGATGTTTTCAATTCCCAACAAATGATCTCAACGGTAACAGTAGAAAATCCGAAAGCTAAAACAAGATGACGTCGATATATTCACCCTCCACTTGAGTTGGTACTATGCTAGAATATATATATGTATGCCTGTAGTTATAGGTAAGTTGTTGTAACTGCCCAAGTATCGACCTGATTAATATAAAAACCCGTTGAAGAATTGGGTTATATTTAAATTTGCGTTTCGGCAGAGAGAGAGAAAGCATCAAAATTCAGAACAAAAAAAAAAAATTTTTTTTTATTGACGCTGAGTTAACAATTACGTACTACATCAACCTACCACTAAGGGCCTTGTCATATATCGCGGTCACTTGAACTCGACACGCAATAGAGAATCCAAAAGTTCCTTCTCTTTAATCTACTACGATTGTAAGAAAAGTGTAGTAGAAACCATCCATCTGTCCACCAAAACTAGGTAGCTCTTCCTATATTTTCCGCGCCGCTTTGTCGGATAAAATTTTTTCAAAACTTCCTAGAAATAGACGGTTACTTCTAGTGCACATCCACAATAAAGGCTACTCATCATGTCACTCTTATTCAGTCGAACGGCAAGGCTTATACGACCAACATGCTACAATCCCATCATTAGGTTTCAAAGTACGATTGCTGCCTCCAGTAAAGTCACTGCCAATCCGTCACTAACAAACTCGTTTCCAAGGCAAGACATTTACAATAATATATCAGCGCTCAAACTATCATCGAATGGATCAAAGGATTTGTACGCGGTCATGAGATTGTACAATATGCCTTACTTGGTCACCAAAGGTGACAAGATATACTTACCTTACAAGATGAAAAATGTCAAAGTTGGCGATGTTTTGAACTTGAATGATGTGACAACATTGGGATCTACTACTCACACTTTGAACATCAACAGTGGCATAGACCCTTCCATTTACGAATTGCAAGCAAGTGTTGTTGAAATAACTAGAGAACCTCTTTACCAAGTGGTGAAGAAGAAGCCAAGGTGTAGAAGAACAAAAACCACCAATGTCGAACCTTATCAAACCGTGTTGAGAATCAATGAGCTAAGATTAAAGTAACCAAAACATGTATATAGATCAATAAATGTTTTACGAAGGACACACTTTACTATTAAACTTGATGAGTCGACCCAACTCTGTTGACTCAAAATTAAACTCGCGCGAGGTGGTGACGAATGGGTCATTCAATAACTCTTCTGCCGTGGGTCTCAATGCAGGATCTATAGTGAAGCACCGGTTTATAAAGTTCTCAGCCTCTTTGCTAACTAAGTGGGCAATATCTTTGGGTATTGGAGGGGCTTTCTTTTCTTTCCCTGCCTTATAAATTACACTGATTGCCGCCTCATTCGACCAAGGACGTTTTCCAGCAAACATTTCCAACACAACACAACCCAAGGACCATATGTCAACCTTTGCACTGTATCCCTCCACCATGTTATCAATAACCTCTGGAGCCATCCAAAATATAGTACCCTTCATTGACATGTTGGCGTTGCTATAAATGTCATTATTCTTGCGGGAAATTCCAAAATCCGAAATTTTGCATGTCCCATCAATATCCAACAACAAATTGTCTGCCTTCAAGTCTCGGTGGATGATGTTATTGGAGTGTAGATACTCCAAACCTAGCAAAACTTGTTTGGTGATTATTCTAATTAATGTTTCATCAAATTTGCCATATGATTTGAGACACATGGCTATAGAGCCACCAGCAACATACTCTAGAAATAAACTGTAGGTATTGTCTTTTCTTTCGTAACCAAGATATTGCACAATATGCTTGTGGTCCAAATCTTTCATGGTTTCAACTTCCTTATGCAATGCCATTATTCCCTCGAGGTCAAGCTTGTTACTTTTAACAACTTGCTTTACCGCTAACATCTCTCCCGTTGTTACATTCAACCCCAAATAAACATCACCAAAAGATCCACGGCCAATCAATTCACCTTTGATCCAAGCAAATTCCTGATACTGACCATTCTTATTTTGAAATTTGTTCACAACACCACGCTCTATTTCACTACTTGTAACTTCAAACACCTTTTGTCCCCACATTTTCGTATTTGATCTGGTCAACTTTTTGCTATTTTCCCTCGAAATATTGGCAAACGTGATTGGTGGTGATTGCTGCTTCCTTTTCAAAGCTTTACGACGCGCTTCATTAGCAACACCTCGAATAGTCTTCATTCTCCTAATACGTGAGTTGTTTTCCGGGGCAGTCTGCTGCGGATTCACCGGTGAGATATTAGCATTTGAAAAAGTACGCGAAATAGAAGGCTTCTTCTCCTTAATTGAAGGTACCAGTGGTTCATCATCGATAATGGGTTTGTCAAGGTTTGTATGGGGAAAGTATTTTTCCAAGTTGTCATACAATTCCTCAACTGGAGGTCGAACAGTCATTTGCTGCGTCTTTTGTCTCATTGGCTTTACAAAAAAATCACATTCAGAATCAGCATCTGATTTGGTTGATCCTGCATCGGTAACCTCACTCAAATGGTCCAGAACCACTTCTTTTTTGCTCATTGGCTTCACGAAAAAGTCATCCTCACTATCCCTATCGGAGTCTCTGCAGTTATTTGAGCTAGATGGTGAGTGCATTGACTGGACGCCGAGAAATACAGAGCGATGCTGCCGTGCTTGTGAAAGTCGATCTCTTGGTGGAGGAGGGGCAGCTCTTCTCGCTTTGATTGAGTCATTGCGTGGATCGCTTCTTTGACTAGCACTCTTTTTCAATTTTGCAGCGTCCCTAGGATCATCCTTCAATGTCATTACTGTCGAGGCTGTAATAGGCGAGCTTTTGAAATCTGATAGCGACGACTCATATATATTTGCAATTAGCTTGGGAGCCTTTTTCTCAAAGGGGGATTTCCGTCTCTCATCAAAATTAATTTCATTGGCTCCTTTTCTGATCACTTTGAACGAAGATCCAGAAGATTCAGGGGATACAGATGAATTTCTCAGACTGACAAAACCGGAAGTATCAATTTGAAGTAAAGGTGTCTTTTTCTTACTATTTGTGCGAAAGGGGAACTTTAACGGAAAATTGTGAGAATTCGATTTTTGTCTCAAATGGTCAAAACTTCGAGCCAGTTCATGTTGCTGTGGCTCAGGTTCATTTCCTATCGAGTTGTCCGTTTGCGTTTCTTTCAGTGCCATTTTTGGATTTTCCGAAATCTTGGACAAATTTGTTTGCTCTTTAAAGTTCCAATAGTCAACGTTGGCATTGTTGAGGTTTTGCAATAAATATTGTGGTGTTGCTGGGTATGTCCTATGCTCATCGCTTGTTTCAAATGACTTGGAATCGGACGACACTGTCGAAGTGGTTTTCAAAGTCCCCTCTGGTGAATCAATGTATTGCCTTATAACAAACTTGATCAATGAATCTTGTTGTAAAACCTTAGATATCAATGAATCTGGCAAAGCTTCACCCTCTGTCGCATTAAAGTCAGTCAAATGTATAGTGATAGTTCCCACATCAACCATACCCAAATGCAGAATCACTTTCAGCTTGAATGATGAAATATCATATAGCTCATCATGACCCATTGAAAAGGGTACAAAAGACTTGTTGTCAGTACTAACCAATACAGTTTTCGTTGCCTGTTGCAGAAAACTCTGGGGCATATAAATGTCATCCAACGGAGACGGGATCTCGTCATATTTTTCTATCAAAAATGAGGGGACTGAATTGGTGGAATTCGTACTATCGATGGACCTTCTAGCTATTGGTCTTGGAGGTATTAACGTTGGAAAATCGTTCTCAAAATCCTGCACAGGCAGTTGATTGGAGTACGACAGCACCGCGCTATTTCGATTACTCAGTCGTCCCGTAGATGCTTTTACCATACCGACAGCTTTGTCACCACCATATTTTCTAATAGTGTTGATGATCCCACCATTCTTTTTGAAATCCAACTTTGAATGTCTCTTTGTATCGTCAAGCACTTGACTCTTCCTCTTTGTTTCATTCTCATTTGATCCGCTTCTGTGTCTTCGAAAAAACAGGTGATTTGATGAAGTGGGTTGGTCCTTAGATCTAGGGTCTATATACGAAGTCGGCCTCTGCATAGATGACGCAGAATTTGTAGAAGACACTGAGGAGCTTGATTTGTGTTTGGAGAAGACTGGTGTTGATTTTCTATTTTCATACTTGACGTTGGCCGGTAGTAGATTGTCTTTGTTTCCAGATTCCTTTTCTGTCTCACTCCGTAGTAGCTCGATAAATCTTTCTATTGAATTGAGATTAGAATCGAGTTTCAAATACTTTGAAAACTGTTTCCAAATCATTGAGTTTTTATCAAAGTTTTCCAATTCCAAAAATCGATTTCCTGATATCTCATTGTTCTTAAAAGTCTCCTGCCATGAGGTGTTAAATTGATGTTCCTTCAACCAAGCAAGAACATTATCGATATCCCATCTTTTGGAAGCATTTACTGAAGGAGCCTGTGTATTCATTGCGTATCTGACAAATCGCTTGCTTTTATTTTGTTGATCGTTTGAAGACTGATTGGATAGCGTGGAGGTATCTGAATCTTGTCGGCGATGAGACAGCGTAGAGCGACTATAATCCAGTCCGATTCTCGTATATGAATCGCTCGAAGTTTGTTTTATCAATTCAGGACTTACAGACTTTTTCTCCAAATTCACCGAGCTCTGACTATAATTGTAGCTGCCGATGATGGAGCCAATGGCATTGGACGTAAGGCTGTTTGTAAAAGACTTTGATGGTGAGGAAGAGCCCCCGCGCTTGCTAGATTCTACTTCTGGTGACTCGGGAACAGGACTTATGGTGTTCAAATCCATGGTCGGGTATGGTAGTTGAACTCTAGCATTGTGAGCTCCCCCACCACTGCCGCCGGTGCTGCTGCTCACTTGAGCAAAGTCTTGACTGACAGGAGTTTGATAAAATTGGCTCGCTCCTGAACTATGATTGGAGTCAAAGCTAGTCCTCTCCGAATTGGATTCCAGAGACTGGTACTGTCTCGAAGGGGGCTGATAATAGGATAGATCACCGTATTTGTCGTATATAATTGAGTCAGAGGCCATTCTTGGTTGCAGGTACTTCAGTCGCAGGGGTTCCAGGTTTGTGATGCCGTATCGTGCATACTGCGAGTCTGGATGTTTCACCCGTTGTGAGTCGTAGCTAGCAGACCTTCTTTTATCGACACGACCAGTTGTCGTAGTATTTGGTAAACTTGAGTATGGAAGCACTTTGAATAATTGTATCTTGGTTGAAGGAGCATGTACAGCCTTTTCTGAGTTCTAAAATTAGACAACTAGCTAGAAAAAAAGGAAAACAAAAAGATCATACAAAGGTAAATAGCATCAAGGTGCATGTAGACAACCACATGTGAAGAAACAGCGGAAACATGGAATATAGAGAAGTCATACATGACATCTTAAAGGGATTGAAGCGACTTGAGGACTACAATGGAGTGGATGCAGAAGAGTATGAGTCGATGTTAAAGTCAGCGATCAACTATTTGAAGTATATTTTGGTATTGGATGGACATTATCACATATTGGGCTTAACAACTAATATCGAGACAATTGGCTATACCCACGATGTAGCATATCGTGGAGCACCAGGCACAAATAATATCGAATTTTCCAACGTTTTGAACCATCTCAAATCGCCGACGAGTAGTAGTGGAGGCTCCATACGTTCCATACTTGAGGTTCTTTCAAATCCATCGAATCCATTAAGAATCAAGTCGGAATATTATTCAATAACGGGGAGGCTAGTTGTCATTTTGCGCAGTGTAATCAAAGCAAGGGACGATGCAGAGCGTAAGCTCAAAGAGTTTGTATGCTCCTGTATTCTATATGATTTGAACTTTTATAGGGGCAAAATCAGCGATGATATGGAAGACACTCAAATGCTAGCAGATATTGTGGAATCACAAACTGTTGAAAGAGAGGAAAATTCAGTGTTTAGCATTTCAGAACCAGTTGATATATACCATCCACTTGAACTCGAATCAAACAATGGCACATTTTTGACGATTTATCGTCTTCTTTTACCAGTTTTAGTTGTACGTCCCAGGGTAAGTGTGTGGAAGGTAGCAAGCTCGATAGTAGAGGTGTTCAAGAGGGACCAAAAAATAACTTATTTCGAGAGCACTGAGGAGGAAGTCGATATTGCATCATTACTCCCCACAATGCACAAAGAGCTCAATCAAAAATATCTCGAGGAAATAGTGGAAAAGCCGGCGTGTGACTCGGAAAAAGATGAAATTTTAGATCCTATGTCGGTGTACCCCAGCCTTGTACAAGTTGTCAACGAGCTTCAAGACTTCAGCAAGAACGTAAATCCAAATTTTCCTCGTCTTTTTAGACACTACCTCAAATTCATGGACATGAACTTATCAAGTACGCGAAAGCAGGATTACGATTTTATTGAAGAGGTGCCTGAAGTGGTACATTCAATCCTCAAATCGGATTCTGCTGTAGACTTGAAAGGCGTGCTAGAGAGATTTATTTACCTTCAGTCTTTACTACTGTGTGATAACCCTTCAGGTCTGATGACATTGCTAATGCGTGCAAGTTGGTTTGATTTCGAAAAATTGCAAAGACTAAAGGAATACGCGTTTGAAATTTGGCGAGGCAGATTGAAAAAATTAGATGAGGTTGAAAATCGGTTCTCAAAATGGGACACGAGACCACAAATACTTTCCAAATGGCGACTGATTACTGAATGGGTAAAGTTGCAAGAAGCAGCCACCGTATCTCACTATGAGGAAAAGTTACAATTAATTATGATATGGAAATTGAAAGTTACTCTAAAAAAGATGAAGGAGAACAATGCGAGAGCAAGACAAGCGAACTTAAGGCGATATTTCAAATGGTGGACCAACCAACTCTCAATGGTCAGGACAGATCAAGCCCTAGCTGTGCGACATTATGAAAATACTTTACTTCAGAAGTGCACAAGTGTCTGGAACAAGAAAGAGAAAAATAGGAAGCAAACAATTGCCAAACTAAATGAGGATTGTGAAGCCTTTAATGAGGTTCGTCGCCAATGGCTTTTAAGACGAACCTTTACGAATTGGTGTGGGAAATTGAGTTCGCAGCGCGGGACGCTCGACTTGTTTTCCAAGTTGCAAAAATTCAAAGAAATCAGAAATGAATTTACAGTTGAAATTTGGTTCCAGAAGTGGCGGCAATCCACCGAAATGATTTTTAAAGTTGAGCAGCTCAAAAGGAAACACAACCGCATGGTGGTACATATTGTGTTTGACAAGTGGAGAAGTCAGTTGCATCTAGATGAACGGGCGCAGCATATCATTCATGACCGGAATATTGCAACAAAGCAAGGGTTATTTCAGAAATGGAAGATGGATGCGATGCAGAAACAAGATCTGCGGTCATTTTGGAATGGCAAACTCATTCACCGCTATTTCAAAAAATGGAAAATGATCACCCTAGCAAATTTGTTTGCAGCATCGTGGGAAACGCAAGCGTTGAAAGATACACTCAAACATTGGAAACTTCAAACAATTGAGAAATACTGTCGTGATATAAAAGATAAAGACTTTGTAGTGTCCACTTATGACAAGTGGGAGGAGAAATATAAAGTTGCCGCAATACAAAATGAGAAGGCTGCAGCGTTTAACAGTAGGAGGTTGAGAAAATTGTGCTATAAACAGTGGAAGTCATCATTGTATGGGGTCGAAGATTTGCAGTTTATGGCCAACACTGTTGTTCAGAAGAAGTTTTTTACCAGATGGAGGAACTGCCACCGCAAGTGGACGAAGGGGTACGAAAATGTCAGGTTTGGTAACGAACACACGATCAAGCGCGTGATGTCAATATGGAAGTACAAGTACGATTTTGTTCTAGAGAAGAGGCTATCTAGTCGGATACCACTCTTGACTGATTACTCAAACTTACTATTGAAAGTGAGATATTTCACCAAGTGGAGAGAACAAAATCTATACCAATTGGAGTTGCAAAGCATCAACCTTGAGTACACACCAAGCTTTCGTACATACGTTTACCACTGGTTGAGTCGTCTCGATGAAGTTCGCGGATTGAATGAAAGAATCGCCATTTATGAGAAAGGATTGATTGATCGAACCTTTTCACTTTGGCGGTTTCGACTTGAGCAGTTAGACTCCATTAATGAGAAAGCAGAGGACCAATTAGCTCAGCGAAATTTTGCAATTTTGAGACAAAGCACACAGGATTGGATATACAAGCTCAACAAGAATGTGAAACGAAATTATCAACTGTTGGAAACTTTTCAAGAACGGACCGATAAGCGATTGGTTAGAAATGTGATACACTTATGGCTGCAGAAACATAGAGATAAGGTGGAGGAAGAGGAGCTTGCCAATGAAACATATGTGAGTAGTTCTTCTCCCCTTGCTAGTAGAACTCATCAACAAAGGCAACAAAGGGAAAGTAATGGGATCCCCACTCTACAGAGGCACTTTTCTCCAAACAAGATATCGACTCCGAGGCCAAAAGTACCCAGTCCGTCAAAATTGCAAGAAACATCGCAACGAATGAGATATCAACAAGTGTCGCAACTACGAGAACGTTTTGGTAGGGCTAAATTGTCACCACGTTATAACAAGTCAATTTCACCAGTGAAACTAAACTATGATGTGGATCTTTCTCCACCAAAAGATGAAATTGGACCTCAGTTAAAAAACGAGTACCAGAGTCCCCAATCATCCAATTCATCTAGTCCAACTGAAATTAAATCTCAATTAGATGTCGCTGATTCATCGTTGATATCTACGGCGAAGAGGATGGGACGTATAAGACCGATTGCATTTCCTACTGGAGAGGATGTAGTTGATGTCAGACTCTCACCCGCTAGCAAGGTCAAGAGAGAATCTAGAATATTGATATAAAGTAATGAATAACGATGTATAATTATAGCGTACAAATGCTCTTCCTATTTCACCCTGACTTGATGGGCTTTTCATAAACATTTATATAATCCTCCAGAACAATTGTGGATCTTAATAAGCTTTTCAATGTTTCATTAGTCCCGTTCAAAAATTCATCAACCATAATTTTCAAAAGTATGAACAACATAGAGCGATTAGCTCTTTGAGATTCGACCAATTTGATGATAGTGGAAAGGTTCAAACCTTTAAAGATTTTTGCCTTGTGTAGGAGTTTCCAACCATCAAGTGTACCATTAGTGATGACAAGATCAAAATTGGCGTAATCGAAATCGGTCTCAGATTTGTCGTACGTTACTGCTTTATGATGTAGTTCTCCAAACCGAGTAACCCCCGTCATACAAGCGGGGACATCCAAATGAATCGACACGTTGCGATCACTGTAAACTTTTGACACATAATAATTAGCAAAAGTCAATGCTTCTCCACCAGGGTAGTTATAACTGGAGATGTATCCCATGTATAATGAAAGAATTGAACTCACCAAAATCAAGAGAGAAACTAGCAAAGTCAACAACTTGTTTGAGAAGCTAAGACTCCACTTAATCGAGATATTGCTCAATCCATTAGCTGCTTGCAAGGTAAAGATAGGCACAGTGTAGATAATGAAGCGCCACTCCTTATGAGGTTGAAAGGACATAATTGCAATAAAAATGATTGACGACGTGCACAATATACGTAACGAATTTCTTGCTGGATGACGCACGGCTTTGGTATTTGTTACAGCAACTCCGTCGTCAGCTGGGTCATTCAAGAAACCAACAACGGACAAGATTAGAATCACCGGCGGTCTAAACAACTGGAAAAGGTACTTTTTAAAGTAAGCTCCCCATGGCTCAACCCCCCACTCAGCTGCGTTGCCATTGATGATGTTAAAGATGAATGAACTAATCTCAGGAACGAGTGGTTTCCCCCAAAAATAGGTGTCAATAAATAATGAGGTCAATGTACCAAATAACCCCCCGGCAAACAAGAGTACAAAATCAGTCACAATATTAGATTGTCCAAATACCAAAGAGGAAACCATTGCAATAACCACAGCAAATACACCCACTTCCATTCGGAATATGGCACCAGTCATTGCCAACCATGTCAAACCAGACAAATCACCCACAATCAACTTGCTCAATCCAAAATTAACGAACGGTAAAGCGATAAAGTTTGGTAATGTACGTGTCGAATAGTATACCAAATGGAATTGCGATAACAATAAAACAGAAAACCAAAACCCATTTAGCCCTTTGATTTTACTCTTTCTGTCCCTGAATGTAACCTTGTTGAGCTGATCTCTGAGTCTAATTAGGGATAATGTGTTTGCTAGACCTAAAATACCCCGAACAATGCTTTGAAGTTGACTTTGGTCTCCTTGCAATAAATCCTTTCCAAAAAGAGCGGATACAAAAATGACAGGTTTTGCTAATAGGGCAAGTACCACGCTGCCTATAAAAGTCCTCGGCACTGCTCCTGGAAATTGTTTGTGGTCGTACTTTTCAAGTGCTTCAGCGGAGAATGCTCCATAATTAAGAATATCATGCACCGCCTGAATGTTGAAGGACTCTTCAACTTTGGAATACGGAGAGATAACAAGGTGATACGTCACCAATGCTATCAATGCAGCATCAAGCACCTTGTTGAATCTCTGCATGGGTCTTGTGTGGGTGTGTGAAATCGTAAGACTTTTGAAATTCTCGTCTATATTCTTTTCTTGAAAAATTGGTGCCGTGTCCGCTCATCAACAAGAAAATGGAGGAAGATATACCCCAATTAGTCATTGATTTACCAAAAGATGGAGCTTTTGAGACAGAAAAGGTAACCATGGACCCCCAGCCATCGTTGAACCTGACCACAGTTTCGTCAACCAAAAAAATTCCCATCACCATAGTTACAGGATATCTTGGATCGGGCAAATCCACCTTGCTCAAGAAGATCGGAGAAAAGTCAAACAAGAGATTAGCTATCATTTTGAATGAGTTTGGTGACTCCTCAGTTATTGAAAAGTCTGTCACAATACAAGATCAGAACGAAAGCGTTCAAGAATGGCTAGATATAGGGAACGGTTGTTTATGCTGCACAGTGAAGGATAATGGAGTCACAGCAATTGAAAATTTAGTGGAAAATTCAAGAGACAAAATTGATTATATTTTGTTGGAGACTACAGGCATTGCCGATCCCGCGCCAATTGCCAAAATGTTTTGGCTCGATGAAGGACTAGCGTCGAATATATATATTGATGGTGTGGTAACTGTTGTCGATTCGGGGAATATTCTCACTTGTTTGAATGACGTTGGTGGACATTGGCATAGGGAACATGATTTGGAACCCGTTGAAGAAGGTGTGACAACTGCTCATTTACAAGTTGCGTTGGCTGATGTGATTCTATTGAATAAATCAGACAAGGTCAAAGATCTGGACGAGATAATAACCAGGATAAGAAGTATAAACCAAACCGCTCCCATATATCCCACAAGCTTTGGTGATATTGATCTTAGCAAGATCTTGGATTTACACGCTTTTGAAGCAAATACCCAGGTTTCGGAGCCCACAGCATCGTTTCACGATGGAAGAATCACGACCATCACTATAGATTTCCCCTTTCTCGAAAATGATAGCGGATTTGACAAAATTGAAAAGTTTCTTCAATACGTTTTATGGGAAAATAAAGTCAATGGTAAGGATGTTGAAATCCATCGGTTAAAGGGAGTCTTGGTGCATAAAGACGACGTTAGAGTCGTTCAAGGTGTCAGAGAAACTTATGAAATTATAGAAGGTGGTAAACTACTAGACGAAATAAAGCAAAACAAGTTGGTATTTATAGGTAAAGATTTAGATCATGACGACTTAATGGTAGAATTACATAGGTTCATACAGTGAATGTACCCAAATTGGGGCAATTGTTGCAAAATCTGAAAAATTCTTTTCATCGAATTTTTTTTTTTTTCCCTATTGACAACCAATAAAGAATCTTTTACCTAGACCCAACTCTTCACCACAATGAGTGACCCTAAACCAGAGTCACCACAACCGGATGCCAAATCCAATGTCAAACCTGAGATCAAGCCACAGCCTCCCAAAAAGAAGGGATTTTCAAACCCCGCATTACGAATGATGGGAATCCCCAGAATTTCACTTCCATCGCGAAACTGGCTCATCTTTTGGTCAGTTCTTGTAGGAGTTGGATCATCAATAGCCTATGACAAATACGAACAGAAACAGGTTCGTAAGAAATGGATGGCAAGTGTATCTCATTTGAGCGAGGAAGTATACACCAACGATAGAATACCTCGAAAATTGACGATTTATATTGCACCTCCACCAAATGACTTTCTTGATTCATCATTAAGGATATTTCGCAAGTTCATCAAGCCTGTGTTGAATGCCGGGTCAGTCGATTTTGAAATCTTTAGTGAGGGCAGACAGGGGGATATCAGATCCAGTGTGGCTCAAAGAATCAGGGATTTGCGAATCAAGGAACTTGAAAAGGGGAAAGTAGTGAAAGAGTCTAAATCCAGCGAGATAATCGAAGAACCTGAATATGTCAAAAGGTCAGATTTATACAAGCCAAGTGATGTTCTCGGGTTGTACAAGATTTTCCCCCAAAACATTGACACTGTTTCTGACGATGCAAACACAGATGTTGCAGGAGGTGTTGTATGTATCGGAAGAGGTGCATTCAAAGAGTACATTAGTGGTGTACATGAAGGTTTACTAGGACCATTACAGAAACCGCAAGCAATTGCTGATGAAGAAGCGCGTAGAGCTGAACAGAAGGCAAAAGATAAAGAGGAAAACCCAAGCAAGTATAGCGATGATGATGATGACGAAGACAATGATAATTTGAAACCAGTACCGATGAGATTCATCAAGTCCTCAGAATATGCAAATGCACCTTTGGCACCAGAGTTTAACTTGGATACAATACTCAAAGATGACAAGGGGATTCCTTATTTCTTTGAGCAACCAGTTTACGTGTTTTCTGTGCCCACCATTCAAGGGTTCAAGAATGTGCCACGTAAAGTATACCGTTTTTTCACTAAGAGATTTTTTGCCGACGACTATGGAGAAAGAACGACTCATATTGTGAATAAAGATACCAGACCGTTTAAAGAAAAGGATATTTTAATGGCCAAGGAAGAAGAAGTGGACTGGCCACCAAATTGGGTTAAAAGGGGTACTGAAAGGGGATCGGAGTGGGTCCAAGAGTTGGCATACGACGATAGAGTAATCTCGAGAATGAGAGTCTTTGATGATAAAAAGTAGGGTGAATTCCAAGTGTATATATATAGAAACTTCTACCGTTTTTGCCATAATGTGTAATTGTAAACAAACTTGTTTTCTTGGTTGTCGTCATCGATTGCTTCCTCTCCTGTGAATTGAATCAATTCCGATTTCGACAGTTTTGTCCATTGGTTCACATCAAATTTCAAAAACGTATCCATTGCAATCTCTTCTTGCTCCGAATGTTCTATTTCAGTCAACAAGACATTATCAACTAATCCACTCTTGATAAACTCGTTGTAAATTTCAGCACCACCAATGACATAAACACGTTCAATATTTTCTTCTCGTACAAGCTTCAATGAGTCCTCAACTGAACTTGCATGCAAAATATTCTCATCGATAACTTTATTGTCAAACGATCTAGACAATACAACATTGAGTCTGTTAGGCAAGGGTCTGAACTTGGTCGGTATCGAGTCCCAGGTTTTTCTTCCCATGATGACAGCATTTCTCAATGATGGGTCAACTGTACGCGTTGTAACTCTCTTGAAATATGCCATTTCTTTACGTAAACGCCACGGAAGGCTGCCCTTGTTTCCTATTCCATACAATGGTTTGAGTGCAGCAACGATGATGGTAACAACAGGTTTTGACATGTTTGGGAGTGGAGAAAATGGAAGAGGAGAAGAGTCAAAGAAGGTAAAAATCTTTGTCAAAGTGTCGCACAGCACACCTCGTGTTTATTATGGTTGAGATATCAATGTATCGAAACCTTACGTTAAAAGCTGTCACAGTCAGTGCCAGCAAAATGCATAGAGCCTCCATATTTTCTATAGAGTTTTCTTCGCCAATATTACAATATACAACATGAAAACACATCAAGGAATTCAAATACAACAAAATATAGGATTAAAACATGTACTCATTTGACTGAATTGAAACAGAAAAGAAAGAAAACGTACAGCTTAAGGAGTGGAAACGTCATTATAACCAAAAGATCGTTTCTCACTTCTTTGCGACCTTGGTCTTCTTTGGAGCAGCTTTTTCCTTTTTAGCAGTAGTTGACTTGGCAGTGGCATCCTTTTTAGTGGTAATTTTCTCATTAGCAGCCTTTGCAGCAGCAGTCTTTTTGGCGGTGGAAGTTTTAGTCTTGGTGGGTGACTTCTTAGTAACCTTATTTGGAGCAGCACCAGTAGCAGTAGCAGACTTCTTGGCTGGTTTCTTGGCTTTAGTTTCTTTAATTGCTGCTGCTTTTTTGTTCAATTTGACTGGCCCTGAGGGTCCCTTTGGTTGAAGGAATTCACCAAGATCAACACCTTTCTTCAAAGCGGTGTTAAACAATGAATCGAAATTATTTGCTTTGATGTCATTGTTACTTTTAACGTACTGCTTGAGCGCTTGGCGACTAAGGTGGAGTTAGTATATTGATATTGCTAACGAGGTAGAAACAAAAAAGTTTGAGAACACACATACGATGATCCATTTCTATCTTTCAAATTGGCAATAGCTTCTTTGATCATGACTGTGAAAGCATGGTTAGTAATTTGTTTAATACAAAACTGATCCAATTAGGCGGTCTCTAGTTAAACCTCGTCACGAATTGGCCATCAGCGCCAGCCTATATAGGCATCAAAAATAAAACAAAAAAAAGCCCTTTCCGAAACCAAAACAAATGACCTAAAGAAAAATAAGAAGCCAAAAGACCGAAAGGAAGCGGGGCATCAACATACCTCTGTAGGGCTTTGCATTTGAAGTTGATGTTTCTGTTGCTGCTGTAGCCATTGTTGCGATAAAATAGTTGTATATGTGGTGATGAAAAGAAGAAGTGAAGAAGAAAAGATGTAAAAGATGTACAAGAATTGGAGAATTTATAAGTAAAAAATATGAATTGGGGGGGGGGGAGGAAAGAATTTAAAATCACAACAACAAAATCACAACAACAACAAACAACATTAACGCCAAAAAACATAAAAAACAACTGATTACTGTAGGAAGGTAACACAAAACTAAAACTACAGTACAGTAAACGATCACACAAAGCAAATAGAACAGCAATAGCCAATGATGTCACATAGTATTATGTTACGACATTAAAAAATTAACGACACTGAATGACCTTGACAATGTCACAAATAGATACATTACGACAATAGTTATACGACACTTTTAGACGCCACACTTTTATTAACACTGTCAGTGAATTCTATATACCACACCCATACAACACTGTATCCTCTAACTAACCTTCTTTGCCTTCCGATCACCCCTTCCCCTATGGACACACTTCTTCCTCGGTCCAAGTGTGACTCTCTTCATCCAACTCATACACAAACCTCTTATCTTTATCTTGCTCATAGTAGTCAACATAATTAACAAATATTGTCCCTACTGCAAAATTCTTATACCCATCCTCCTCCTTTTTCCCATCGACCCCTCTCTGTATCTTACTAATCAATTTGGCCTTATCTTCTGTCATGGGTGATTTCGGATCTGGTTTCCTAAAAGAAGTCTTTAATGCTTTAGACAATCCATTCCACTGCCTGTCCAATTCTTGTTGCCATTCTTCTCTGGTCGGAGGCGCGTATTGATACGTCGACAAATCTTCTTGCGTATTGTCGTTCTCAACAAACGATGGTGATATTAAGGATGTCTGGACTGGTTGTTTCTGTACACGAGCTCTGGAATCATCTTCATTAGAGTCAAGCTCAATCGGAGTTACTTCACCACTCGTGATATGGTTCAAATCAATACTTGGCTGATGCTCAGAGTCAAGCAATCTAACTTTGCCCCTAAATCGAATTTGTTTTCGAATATGACCAAACCAAAACACAGCTTCAACTTTGTCACTGTCCAATAGCTCTTGATACTTTTCCATCCTCTTGTCGGTGGTGAATGTAATGACATTGGACGACTTATTGTTGAAAAGCCAACCGCGGTATATCAATGTCCTATTCTGAGGGTATCCCGTTTTGGAATCTATAGTTGCCAATTGAAACGTGGTAAATGGTGGATTATTATCAGTTGCTGCTAATTCATTGCTAACACAATTGTTGAGGATTGGTACCCACGGCGCTTGGAAATTGAATTGAACCATTGATGATAAGTATAAATGTCGATGAAATTTGAGAATAGCCGTCACTACTAATTTGATATTGACTGGCTATACGCAGCTTCGTATTGAAAGTATCTCCGGGGACCTGTATCTCCACAATGTTTCTTTAATATATCAAAAGTGTTGATCTTCACGCTGTGGCTTCACTGTCTGAGCAAAATCTATGGTTTTTTTCCCGTAAAATGACAAAAGTTCCAGCGATATGTTGAATATGCAGATCGATCTTTATATATATGTCTCAGCCCTATCACTCCACCAAGTCACAAGTGTCGTATGAGCGTTAATTTTCTTTTTGGTTTTTTTTTTTAGTTGTTGCATTTCGTAACATCCAAAGAAAAATTGCAGCGCTAAAAATAAATTATTTCCAGGCAATTCCGATTAATTGCGAAAAGAGAGGGCCCCACGTGTGTCTCTTCAAGAGTCGCTCTATTGAATTTGGATCGATGTTGCTTGAATAAGGTTGGTTGTTGCCGCTTCAATTTACAAAGGAACCAGTCTACAATCGGTGCTGTGATAGCACTTCCTCTCGTTGTTCTCCATCCGCTTTCACCCTTGACGTATTCTGTCTCAAATTTTCTTGGTTCATGGTGATTTATTTTCATGACAGTTGTCGGGAGTTTTCCGGTTTCGACTTTCCCTCGGCCAAGTTTCAGCCGCCTTGAGACATATCTCCGAGAATTCGGAGTTTACAAAAATGTAACCTAATGATAGCTTACGATTGACCAGAGATACGCTCTACCATATAGAAAGAACTAGCAGGCAACCCACTCAGCTTCTACCTAATACCCTCACATCTACCAACTTCATTGTAATGCCGTGTTTGTGGTTGACTTTGCGAAGAGAGAAAAAAAAAAGGATCTTCACCATTGTAAAGAACCCCCCTCCTTAAACATGGTAAGGCACGAACATGTCAAACTCGAATCTGAAACCAACCTGTTCCCAATTGATGAAGTTATTCGCAGACATCCCTACTACACCACTGTTCGCGTAATCACTACTCCATTAGCGAACTTCACTCCAAAACCATTTTTGCATGAAGTTTCCACAACTACAAACTTGATAGAACTCATACAACTCAGAATGAATGCTAGTCAGTCATATATCGAAGCAATTCCTCTAGACCAAGTTGACGTCGAAGCTGCATTTCAGAACAAGTTGCAATTTTATGGCTCAAAGAATGAGGTAATTTTACACATTGATCAAGCATCGTATCAGAAATTGCCCAACTTGCAAAAAGATCAAACCCATGATCGTTATGGTTCTGTATCTTCATTCGAACATGCTCAAGTAAAGAGACTTACCGATTACAAGATCGGCCATGGTGAAAACAATTACTCTCGATATAGATACAAAATAAAAATTAAATTCTCACAACCTGAACTCGAATACATCATCAAGACGCTATTCAACAATGTACGCACCGAATCATACATCTATGACCCAGAAATGGACTTGCCAATACCCGAATGCGAAGAAGATATAGTAAGGATGCCCTTATCACCCGCCCATCAAACAGAACTAGATGACCATAAAACACAAGCCCGTGAATTGACTACGCTATTTGCAAATTTGGAGCCACATCAAATAACAAATTACCAGCAATATAATACCTTCCCGTTGCCTCGCTATACTATGCACAATGTTTATTGTGAATCTATCACGCAATCAGATTGGGTGATGCTTTCGTTGCACACTAGAGATACGCATACGTTTATTGAAAAAGATGGATTGGTTGCAAAAGTTCGCGAAGAAAAATGACAGAGCTGTTTGAGATAGTACGGGTAAGCCAAGGAGTTATTTCTTCCTCCAATGCATTCGTCGAAGTTGAAGTCAACAATTGGGAGTCTTGCTAGATTTTCGAGCTTGCTGTATGACAAAGTCTGTGTCCTCATACCAAAGGACAATTGTGATCGCTTAATTATAACAAATAAATCACCCGTGTTATTCAATTCACTTATATACAGTAAGAAATATATATACATGATTGCTCCGAATTGAAAATCGAATATATACGCACACTAACCTCGTTAAAACAAACATGAAAACATCATCAAGAAACAAACAGTAACATCTCAAAGGAAATCCTTGAAAAGTTCATCAATGGGGAAATTCTCAAACATCTCTCCATGATTCAATTCAAATGAATTGAATACGCCACCTCCAGTACCACCAACACCCGCGGAACCTCCAGCTGCCGAGAAACTTGTTCCTGAAAGTCCACCAAGAACACCAGGACTGAAAGCAACACCAGCGCCACTTTCACCATCCATTTGACTGAGAAAACCAGGTGTGGCTCCATACATCAGGTTCATCGTGCCTGGATCATTGAATCTACTAAAAGGATCCTCGTTATTCTTCATATTCATCATCTGTAACCAAATGGTATCGACTTGTTCATTGGGTTTGTACTCGCTATCAGATGTAGTTGATCCAGTTGAACTAACTGAGTTGTCATGATTTCTCAAATTGACATTACCATTGATGAATGAATTGACATTGTTTTCCAACTCCTCCTCCATAGATACATTATCGCAATCTTGTTGTCTTGGCTCATTGGTGGTGGTCGTCAGTGCACGTCTTTTCTCCATTTTGCGTTGGTTTCTACTTTGCTCAACTTTACTCAATGAAACTTCAAAAAGGTGTTCAAATTGATCCAACATCTGGGAATTAAGCGGCTGTGGAGAGAATGTTGGCTGGTATGTTTCAAAAAACTTGTCATTTAACAGTTGCTTAAGAAAATTTTGCGCTTTTGTCACCCGCCAAGCATAATAATACCGTTGCGATAACCGTGCAACACCATCACGGAAATGACTCATACATTTATCCACCAAATCAGCCAAACGTACCAATTTTTGGAAATTGCCCTTGTAAATTTCATCAGCAGGATCATACAGTCTCATTCTTGTACTGTGGTCATATCTCTTTTGTAAATCATGGATCCAATACCGGAGCCTAAGGTGAAATGAAAACAACACAATCAACGACTTGTGAGCAACAGTGATGAAACTGGGGCTAGCCATTAAATCAGCTGCATTTTTGAACGCATTTTTCTTGTGTCGAATGCATTCAACAAAACAGGGCATCACATCGTAAACAATCATCAGCACAATCTTTTTGATATAAAAGTAAGCCAAGTTTAAGTTTCTTTTTCTTTCGTAGTAGTTGAATATGTGGAAATGCATTGATGCAATGAGGAAAGTACAAGTAAAGTAGATCTTCAACCTGAGGATACTTGGCATAGCCTCGTTTGAGACGTCGCGAGGAGCTGTGGTATAAAGTTTTGGAACATCATTATATTGCTCATTGAAGTGAGACTCCATAAAATTCATCCTTCTAATCAAGTCGACCATATTCACTTCGCCTCTAACTTTAAACACCGAGGAAAACATTTCACTCATGGGTTCGTAAGTATAGTCAAAACTTGGGAAACACGAACATGCAATCTTTTCCATTTCTGCATCTTGAACATTTTCACAACCAGGTACATAAACCGGAGGTTTGGTGTCAAAGGAATCAAAACTTGCTGTCACGGTAGTTCCTTCATTCATGGCATTGTTAAACTCCAAAACCAAGATATAGTACCAAATCTTTCTTGCCAAGTTGTTTTGTTTTGGATCCTTGAATGCATCGGGGAACAACTCGGGATCACGATGAAGACCCAATGATTTTGCCATCTGGATTAGTGTGGCATTGAATATCAATGCATTCCCACCATCAACACCATCACCCAACTCTGGTGCATACAAGTGGTAAAGTCTCGTCATTACCGCCAATTGCAATATTGCCATGTTTGCACACCTCATCATGTCAAATTGGTTCAAGCATAGCTGTGCCACATCAATAACATCAATATCAATTGGGTTATTCAACAAAAACTTGATTTGTTGAGCTTTTGGTTCTGGATTGTTTGTTTGAAAATTTATCTCATTGATGGTTGAGTCGTGTGAGAAAAGTGACACATAGCTAAACCGAATCACAATCAACAATAGACCCAAGTAGGCAAAATCCAATTTCTTTTCGACTTTAACGGGCACCTTGACATCTTGGTAGTCTTCTGGACCTATAAGTCGCTCCACTTGCTCTTTCAAGGCAACCTCATCTAACAAGGGTATGGCAACATACAAGTGAGTGAAGAATCTCGTGTACAACCTCCATATCACATTTTGTTTCGGCAACACCAATCTTATTTTCTCTACCAATTCCAACTCCTCGTCCAATCCTCCTTTATAAAATGACAAACCTAGTGATTTGGCCTTTTCATTCAACTGTTCTTGAGTAACAACTCTTTTGGGGCCTGCTTTGACCTCCGTCTCCCTGAATAGTTTAACGTCATGCTCCCCATCGTCTTTATATGCCTTTTCTGAAAAGTCCTTTTCAGCTTGCGTTGCATTCTCACCAGGAGGAATGAAATGGGTACCGACTTTTACCTTGTACTGTTTCTTTAAATGTTCCATTTGGGTCCAAACAGCAGCGACTGCATTATCAATTTTCAACAACGACACCCACGATAAAGGGCCATAATGCTTTCTGCAAACTGGCTCTCTATTAAGTATGGGATTGTAACCGGCAGTAAAATTGATCCATTCGTTTTCAGATTCGATTGGGTTGAAACCAAAAAGATCTATTGGATCTACCAGAGATAATATGGGATTGGAAGGGGAAAAAGCACTGATTCTACCGTCGGATGTTTGTGTGAATGGACCATGTAGCAGCGGCAGCAGCTGCTGCATCAGCAGCTTCAGTCGCATCGAGTCTTGTACTTCCGATGTTTTATGTAGTGGGGGCTGAGTGTTCAATTGTTGTTCCAAAGATTGTAATTTCAGTTTGAGGAATGACAATTCGTCATGGACCATGTCAATGCTTGTACCATCTGGTGTCAATGGCTTTGACACAGCCCCATTTGCTTGTGCTGGCCCATCGAGGGACGCAGACCTTGGTGTAAAAAGGGAACCGTGGTGGTTCATTCTTTCGTCAATTCCATCGTTACTCTTTTGTCTGGTGGTATACTTTCTTAGTGGTTCTTCATCGACGTCATCTTCATTACCCAATAGCTCAGAATAAACACAAGGACTTCTTTTGTACTTGACACATGTTGAGCAAGGGTTACCCAAATCACATTTAACTTTTCTCTTTTTGCAAAAGTCACAAACTTTAGATACTCTTGCCCGTATCTTTCCCATGACGTAAGCAAGGACTCAATTAGATAAAAAAGTAGTTCTTCTTGATATCGTTTATATAGTAGACACGCTTCGACGCGTGTGGATGTAGTTTTCAATTTGGTGTACTGTTAAGGCTGCTAGCAACGATGAGGTAAATGTAATGTATCGGGAAGTCTCTCTAGTCCTCGATTGTAATGCCGAAAGGGAAAAGCCAACAAAAGATGTTTATATATTTCTCTTCTATGCTCGTGAAGCAACTGAGTTTGCTTTGATAATTTGCCTCCGTAATTGCTTTCTTTATGTAAAGTTTAGTGTAGTTATGACCCTTTGTGAATTTTTTTTTTATACGTAGAAGCCTCACACTAAAATGAAATTTTTGTATGCTTCTATTATTTTGAGTTATCTTTGTGGTATCTTTTTGCAATTTTACGAGTTATACACTCAGAACTAGTGGTGGCAGAAAAACCTTGAGCTAGAATCCAGTGAGGTGCAATAAGAATTGATGGCTTTAGTGAGGGAAAAGTATGGCAATATTGCTATCGATGTCTATTCAAGCGCTTAATTGGTGGTAGCAGTAGAAGTTACTAGCGACAACTCTTTTGTATTGTACTAAAATGGATGGCAATTGAACTATTTACACCTTCAGGTAGAATGTTTGAAAGGTTGACAAAAAGTTGAAGTTGTGTGTGGCGTCCAATTGCAGTCAATTGTGTGTAAAGAGGATTTGCAGTCTAATTTATATCCATTCACTCGCAACCGAAGCTCAGTAGAGCAATTACAATTGTGGCATAGGTTACTACTACAGGAAGGACAGGTAACAAATTGACCTCCCATTGTGTTGTGCTCAGTTGCCCATTGTCGGACTCACCACGAAGTTTGCATAGATTAGTGCAACTTCTTTTTCTTTTGCAGTTCTAGCCTCCGATTGTTTCCCTCATTTGACCCCGCCAACTATAAACATTGCCATGTGCTTTTCTTTTTTTTACTCTTCAACAGGCTCATACGGCGTTTTAACTCAAAAGTGTATGACCCCAGGTATGAATTAGATTTGGATACGACTAATAGTAAATCAGAGGAGCTTAACCGTCATACGTATGTAGAACAATAGGGATATTGTTTCTTTTTTTTTTTTTAACTTTCCTCTAGAGGTTCTTTCGATCTAAACGATTGACTAAGTCGAAGAAATTACCGATACAATAGTATGGTACTATAAAAGCGGCTGTGCTTTTAGGTTTAGTATGTCCCGTTGTACCGTTATTGTTATGTGGTAACTCAATTGAAAATGTGGTGGTGACTCATGAAGATCGATTGGTAAACAAACATGAAATGCAGTACTCTCGTTAAAGGACACAAAAGGGTATTCAACACAATAAGATTTCCTAATCTTTACCCTGCAATTGTTTAGCTTTGTTATAGAAAGGGAAGGATACGTTGTCTCAGTAACAACTGAGCCTACTGTGAGCAGTATGTGTGCGAATTCAACCGTGGTAGAACTAAACACAAAGGAAGAAAAGAAAAATACCGAGCTGTAAATTCATCGTGCATACGGATTTACGAACTGTTTGGTAAAATGTCCGATCCAGTACAATTAACAATTCCGATAACGCCGATCGGTCTCTAGACAAAGCAAAGAGGTCACGCTCTTTCAATAACCTCAATACAGAGACGCATTGCCCGAAACGGCATAGGATTATGAATGTCAAAAAGTGTGGCGCCAACGTGGCTCTTTTAAAAGATGGCACACAGCATCCTTTTTTGTATCTCTTTTTCACAGAAGCTTCTGACTAGATGATTTCAACTTGGCATTGGGATCCCTGGTTTACCCTTCAGAGAGTCATTCAGTTTGGAAGCGGTCTCCACAAACTTGAGAACAATAGAAAAAGCTTACAAATAGGAGATTCTGAATAAAAGTTACACAAATTTATGAGCTTGAGATAGCGTAAGCGCTTACGTAATTCCGAGATTGAGCGTAGAAGAAGTGACCTCCTTCATGGTGGATTGAGAGTAGAGAAGTGGCTTATTTTCAACACTTGTTTGTTGATAATGCAGTAGTGTGCCCAAGGTTTCACCAATCCCCTTCCATTCCGGCATCAAAGCCTCGTTGTGGAATACGTTTACGGATCAATTGGAGCCTCGTGAGTGCAGGAAACGAAGAAAAGTACAGGGTCAGTTTCACACTCAATTTTGAAACCATGCTTGTTGAGTTGAATTTGGTGTCTCTTCCGCAATGCAAGTCCTGATTGCCAATTGAGCCGTGTGGTATTGATGAGACAACAAAACGAGATTAATCAATTGAATCTGATCCAAAAAGCAATTGGCAACTGAAATGATTACTAATTATGCCGATAACTGAGGATGACGCAAGGTTCATGACGTGTACTTGATTTTTTTTTTGGAACCGTTTGATCAAAGGTAACATCGGAGATTTATCTCCAGCATTATTCAATTGTTTTTTTTTTTTTTTTGATTTTCTCTGCGCTTAAATCGGGTCATACTTTGCTGCAAGGGGAAAGAATTAAACGGCACTAAATTGTAGGATTAGCAAAGGCCAAAATTGGGCTTGTTACAAACGCATTCAATGCCTGTTACATGTAGTGAGATCTGCTGGAGATCTGCTGGAGACCTCTTCGAACCCAGTCTCTTGCTTTCTGAAAAGGTATTTGAATACTACACTCCACCTCCTATATAATAAGGGCACCTGCAGAAAGTGCACAATGGCTTAAATTACTAATTTTAGTTGGAGATAATCGTAAACAAAGTAATAACCACTACAATGGTTATGAAAATTTCATGAATGAAGCGATTCCAAAGAAGGGAAAATCAGATACCCAGTCGTTTGAAAGTCGAGTAGCCGAAGCTCACTTTCGGCCATGTGGTCAAACGAGCCCATGTACACCTCGTTTGAGCGATTGCAGTGGCACTTCTGGTCTGTAACTTCATGAAATAAGAGCGCACAATTAATTTTTGTTTTCTCATCAACGATTTTGGTCTAGAATTGGTCTTTGACGATCATTGCAAACAATAGCCCTATTGTTCCTTGATGCAATTCTATCGTTTTACTGAGATTGCACTACTCAACAACCATCTGTTCCTCTTTTGCGATGTACTTACAATGAGAACAATAAATTCTATAAATAGAACTATACTTTAAATGAGATTAAAGATCAGTTCTATTGCGGAGAAACTTTTAACAAATAGGTCAATTAGAAGAGGCAAAATGGTGCATAATCTACCATTGTTCGATGTTCTTTTTATAGACGTTTGTTGTTTTAAACGATTTAGAAAATTTGTCCGAAACCTAAAACAAACTTTTCAAGGTTCCCACGATGTCTGCTTCTTTGTATTGTTTTGTAAGGATCATTTTCTCCACCTTGTTTCCCTTGAATCGAAACGTTTGCTTCAATAAGTTGTGCTTGAATAATGAATAGAAAAGGGGGATACAATAGGGTCGGATAATTCTTGAAACGGTGTGGAACAAAATAGGTGAGGGTGAGCACAAAAACAGTTCGTAAATTATACCCGATTAGGATGCGCCGTGTGGTTCACATCGTCACCCCGATCAGCTTCCCCCCATTAGTTAAGAGAACCTTTCTTCATTACTCGTACTGCTAACGAAGTTGCCCCGCACGGCTGAACAACAAGAGCAAAAATTGAGAATATGCACACAGGATTTTCTGTTTCGACTCTCCTTTCGAGACCACAGTTGAGGCCAAAGCCACACAAGTTTGCTTTTGTTCCAATGAAGAATGTAATTGATCCGTTTTTGAGGCAACAAAGAAGTATTTTCCGCCATTGCAAAGGATACGTTTGAGGAGAGGTTTACGTTGTCTTTTTATTGTTCTTTACTTTTGCCGTACTTGGAAATGGTTCGTAGATAAGAAAGCCCACGATCTTCAACTAATTCTCACACGGCATTTTAGAAGATATTTTTCAAAACTTTGACGACCGTGGGAGTATTTATCCAAGTGCAGGAGATTGGAACAATAGAATGTGGCTTAAAATATTTGTCCGCTAAAAGAAGCTAAAAGAATCACAAAATTGTTCACTTACGCACCGAGTCAAGGTTCCTACAATTTACTTCCCAATAAGGAAATCAATCTATGCTTATTCTAAAAATCGTGCAAGCGCAAATTTACCACAACTCTCTTTCCCCCCTTACCTCCAATAGTAGTCCAGTCGATTACACTACAACTATACATCTCTATTACACGATTCCCCAACAATGAGTATCTCCTGGACAACATCGAACAATCCTGATTTCCAAGTTCAAGTAATGATCAAGACATTACGACAATTGGGGTACGACAAATTATCATCAGATTTACTCCACGAATACCGAACACAAGTACAACGAGACAATGAAAAAGATATACCCGTTTTACTTAGTTGGCTTCACAATGCTTTGCGCACCAATAACTATCGTACACTTGATGATTACTTAGTTCTGATTTTGCAAACTGGTCATGAGGAGTTTATACATATTACAAATTACATTGGTGAAGATCACAAGTCGGTTATCAATTCTGTGTTGTATATGGTACGGAGGATGGATTATTGTCATAACCATAAAAATGATGACGAGTTTGCCTACTTATGGGATAAATTGTTGCCATTGTTGGATGTGATTGATATCGATGCCATTAGTGACTTATACGATGCCCTGATTTTGGATCAATTGAAATACGAGAATGAAGCAGAGACACTAACTAATGGGAACTTGCCACTACACAAACTCTTTTTCAACTTACCTGGCGTCGACAATAATATTCAAGAAGTACAAGATGCCATATTTAAAAAAGTGTTTAAAAACTCGCATCTTATATTCAACTCACCAACTCATGTACCTTCATTATCAACAATTATTGACCAATCGGTCAAATACCAACAATCACAATCACCACTATACCTCCCACCAAGAACCAAACACGAATCGAGGAAATCGGCACAGAGTCAATCACAAACGACAACAAACAATTTCAATATAACAAAACTCCATTACACTTTAACTGACCATTTAGACGAAGTGTGGTTTTTGAAATTTTCACCACTGGGCAAATACCTTGTTACTGGATCCCTTGATGGCCGATTAATCTTGTACAATGTGTATGACAATTTTCAACGTATTAAAATCATGGAACCTACAAATGCAGCCGATTCAGCAGCGTTTGTGCCATTTTCAACCAAACCATCAAGTGGGAAAACGAAAGCAGTGATTTATTGTTGCTGGGATCCAAAAGAGCAGTACTTGGTCAGTTGTTGTTTAGACACGGTGATTCGTATATGGTCTATTGGTGATATTGATCGCAAACGCATCACCAGAAGCGAAGCTAATGCTAGCCATGATATCAAGTTGATGACATGTTTCACCTTAGGACGGGATATCAAGACTTGGTCGTGTGAGTTTTTACCATACACAAAGGAAACCTCAATCACTTCGTCAACACCACAGTTTATCATTGGGTCACCAGATAAAGCATTAAAAGTGTTTGATTGTCATGGGGTGGAGATTTTTGACTTTTATGGAAACTTGGAAGATGAGGAAGATGAAAAGAGTCATCACGACAGGATCCTTGACCCAAACACTTCCGGTGCTACGTCTAGCAGCTCACGTCATTCTAATGATGCCGGAAGCACCACCAATTATAACAACAATGGGGATACAGCAATCGACCACGAAGATAATACTAATGACGACAACAACGATGGGGACGACAGGAAAGATGATGTTTCAATGAAAGATGTCGATGCTAAATCTACATTTACTGATAACCCATTCAATCGTATCAATGATTTAGCAATTACCCCCGATGGAAACTTTCTCATCACGGCAAATAATGACAAGAAACTTCTCTTTTATCGTATTCCTGATGTATTCAATGATTCATCAACTACAAAGAAACTAGCATGTATAAACTTGCGTGGACGACTCACATCATGCTCAGTCTCATCCAATGGCAAATACGTTTTGATCAATTCGGCTCCCGAGGAGTTGCAAGTTTGGGATATATCTCCCTTATTGCATCACAATCCGCCAATCTTGTATCGCAAGTACATTGGACACAGCCAAAGCACATACATTGTCCGAAGCTCATTTGGATACTTGAATGAGGAAACTGGAGAAGAAGAGTTGGTGATGAGTGGATCAGATGATGGGTTTGTGTATTTCTGGAAGTTACACACTGGTCAGCTTATTACTCGCGTCAAGGCGCATGTTGATTTATGCAATGCCGTTGATTGGAATTTACATGGACTGTTGGTGAGAAACAACGATTACGGTAAGCTATGGGGAAGTGTAGGCGATGACAAGTTGGTCAAGATATGGGGTCCATAATGATCTACAGGCATTTAATGTATACTGAAATTTTTTTATTTTTAATTTCCCAAATTACACACAACTAACTAGCTCTACAATTCATCATGTTCAACTTCATCCTTTTCTTCAGCAACTTTATCTTTCAATTCTTCAGCAACATCCCCGGCGGCTTCTTCAGCAGCGTCTTTAGCCTCTTTCAATTTTTCTTGCAATGCAGAACCATCAACTCCCAAAGCACCTTTTTCCTTGACGAAATCAAGCAAGGCATTCAACTCTCTTTGACCTTCAAAGACAATTGGTACTCTCAATCCAGTCTTTTCATCAATCTCACCATTGGCTGGGTACAACAACAAAGTTGGGTATCCTTTGATATCATAGGGAATATCGACATCATTGGCAGTGTGATCCAAATCAGCAATGACAACTTGTGAGTCATCCTTGTTTGATCCAAAGATTTCAGCCAATTCTTCCCAAGTTGGTGCCAATTTTTTACAGTGACCACACCATGGAGCATAGTATTTAACAAAGATATCCTTGTCAGTGTTTTTCATAATTTCATCATAATTGTGAGCAACCAATTTGACAACTGGGTTGGCTGCTCTTTCTTCTTCAGTTGGTAATGGTTCCGACTTGATGATTGGTTCCACCTTGTTGTCAAAAAAGTCGGCTACAAATTTCTCAATAACCTTGAATGATGGACCATCTGGGTGTTCAGTTTGGTTAATACCATACTTTTTGTTTTCAACAATTTGTTGAATAGCAAACAATGGAACAATTTCAGGATCCATTGAAATGGCTTCAGCGTGTCTTCCATATAAGTTGGCATCCAAACCAACAATGTTTAATTTTCCTCTGTATTTTTTACCCAACTTACTTAAGTCAGCAGCAATAGCTTCTCTTTGTTCTGGAGTCTTGTAGAAATAGTAAGCAATTGGCAAAGATGACGACATGTAAGCCATGTAGGTATCTCTACTAATTTCACCAAAGTATGGCAATGTTTCAACCGAAATGAATTCATTCAATTTTTCCAAATCAGCTTTACCCTCGAATTTGATAGCATCGACAACCTCTCCTGGATGAACAACCAAGTAGGAAGCCTTTTTCAAGTCTTGGTTTATAACTTTGCCCAATTGTTTCAAGTAATCTTTGCCAACATCGATAAATGTGTAATCATTTCTCTTGCCAGTAGCAATTTTTTCAAAAATATCATCAGCAGCACCATCGACTTTCAAAATGTATGGTTTGGTTTGTTCCTTGATTAATTTTTCCAAATCTTCCCATGAAGTTGGGACTTGAACAGCTGGCAATGATTGTTTGATCATGTAGTCAACAATACCTTGGTGCTCTCTTGGACCTTGATAGTCTTCGGCAGATTTTGATTCACCATCTCTGATAATCTTCAAAGTTGGGTATCCTTTAATCTCATGCTCAGCACACAAGTCCTGATCTTCAGTACAATCAACTTGAGCCAACTTGATATTTGGGTGAGATTCATTCAAAGTGTCAGCAGCTTTGGAAAATTCAGGACCCAACATTTTACAGTATCCACACCAAGGAGCAAAAAACTCTGTCAAAACCAATGGATTTTCTTCAAGGAAAGTGGCAAAGTTGTCAGTGGTTAATTTGACAACAGCAGAGTTTGGATCGGCAATAGCTTCGCCATCAGCGGGGCCACTAGCATTGGTGATGGATACAACCGCAAGAAGAGTGGCCAATGCACTAGTTGAGTATTTCCAGAATTGCATGGTGTATATGTGAGTATCTATATGACAAGTGGGGAGTGAGTGTGTGTGTGTTAAACAAGTGGAAAAGAAGAAAAGGTGTCCGTTGAGGTTTTATACAAATCGGAGATCTCTCCCTTTTGCTTCTTTCGTGTTCGGTTTTGTCTAATTTTTTTTTTCTTTTTTTTTTTTTTTTCACTCAAACACTAACTCACTTAATCAGTAACTTCGCATCATTGAAAGTAGCTATTACGTGGCAGTTTCGAGAATCAGAGACATCTATAGACTAAGCCTACGGCTATGGGCTTTATCAGAGAAAAAAAGCCCATTGATTTGAGACAACGTGTCAGCTGTGTCACAACGTTAAACCCAGTGTGTTTAGTTTCTCGGTAGCAGTAGTAGTAGAAGTAGCAGTATAGTGTAATTTGTAATCAATAGTAATTGTTGTTGTTGTTGTTGTTGTTGTTATTATGTTGACAGCGTGTTAACAACATTTCAGCTTTTTAAAATACTTTTTTGAGCCAATAGACACGACCTTTTGGTAAGTCGTTTTATTTTTTCTCTTTTGGTTCACATTTTTGCGCTTTCATGATTTAAATGCGCGTTTCTTACTGAACTGAAAGCAACAGGTATGTGGTTTGTTCTTTGAATTCTTTTTATATACATCTTTGTGGAGCATGAGACAGACTTTGTACTTCAGGATCTATTCTCATGATATCTCATCTATAGTTGACTTTGGAGATTTCGTTGTCACCAATGGGTGTGGCCAAGTTGATACAAATTGACACAAGAATGAAAACAGTTGCAAAAATGTTTGGTTGACAAAAATTAAGGAAATGATAAAATTGTCTTTCAATTATTCACCACCAATCCATAATTATGACACTCTTTTTGAGAAACAACTTGTCTTTTCTTTCAGGGTACGCACCAAAACATCAACCACGCCTTCCAAACCTCGAACCGGCACCATAGTCTCCAATACAAATCAATTAAGTTACCTCGTTGATGATACATGAGCACCAAAATCGCAATTAAATACGGAGTCAAGGTTAGTAGTTACTTATAAGGCTATCATGATTACCATTGACTTAACCTAGAGTTCGTATGCCTACTCAAATAAGATGCAAAAAGCTTGCAACAAAGCATAAAGCTGGAGGAAATCCCCTGGGAGCATTTCGCAACAAAGACGACCCCAACTACCGCAAGCATCGCAATTAAGGGCAAGATTGTAATTTTCTCCGGAAAATGAATGCATTAACAATGTTGATCGGCTTGATTTTTTTCGAATACCGTTTTCGAAACTCGTAATGATGACAAAATTTTTGTGAAGGTTGGAAATAGGTTAAGTATATTTTTTGCAAAATATGATATCAAGTTGTGGTTCTAGTCCAATTCCGAGCTACACTCATATTTCAAATTTTAATCTACTTATTGGAGAGGTGCTCTAGTAATGGCAGCCATAGTGCCACATAGCACATGAAGTTTGAAGATAATTGATACCGAGTTTTGACTTCGTATAATTTAGGTGCTCTATTTCTTTTTTTTTAACAGATTGGTTTCTACAAGTTGTCATAGAGACCAATTTCTTGTGTGTGGGTTTCAATCAAATACAATTCGTAGCACAAAGTTGCAGCTTCAATACGAAAGTATCGATGCGATACTCTGACCAAATATGCGCTTTTCGTAAAGCACACGGGAATACAATGGGTAATCAAGCTCAGTAAACCTTGTCAACGATATAAAGCTTCATGATACATTTTTGGATAAATTTACGATAGCTATGGATAGCACTACAAAAGCACACTAGTATCTCTTGAGGTAACATTTCGATGAATGACTAATGCAAAACTACTGTGTGTCGAATTCAGCATAAAATTTATATGTTTCAAGCTATTTTTACCCTTCTTACATTATCCCATTTGTTCCAAATCTCAATTAGTAGCTTACTATACTACAAGTTTGACCAGCTCGTACATTTACAGAGCTCTTTCTACCAGTAGCATATTTTCAAAAAAAAATAAACAATCAGAAAGGGCAACTGCACATACAAATATAGCCAACAAACATAAATTCTAAAAGGTAATCAACCCAAAAGCAAGTTTTGACAATGACAATTTCTTGATTGAGTTGAAACAATACGATAATTGCATTGGTTCTTCTCACAATTTCAAGGTTGCGCACATATTCAACAAATGCTATTGGTGGGTCATAATTTTAAAGCTCAGGATCAAAGGAATCGTTTGGGTATTGAAGTAAGAACTCGTTGGTGCTTTTTTTCGGAGCAATCACAATCACAGCATTGGTCTATATGAGTGAGATTTTTTGGCAACAAAGTTTCTGGTAGTTAACCTCAGTTTCGATTGGTCGTGTCGGTGGTGGTTGAAATAGAAGCGGTCGTCTCGAAATCATCTTTCAATTTCTCTTGCTCATATCAGGAGTCGTACATTTTGTAAATGTATCGTTGTCGTTGTCGTTGTCAATATTCGTTAAGTGAATTCAGAGTTTACGGAAAGGGAAAATACAACTTAACGTCCGACACATATGTCTATACATATATTCTGTATTTTTGATAGTTTATTGTGAAAAACAAGAAAAGTACAAAATCTCGAGGGAAAACCATGGCACTGGAAGTTTGAAAGTGCATTCGGTGGCCAAAGCGTCAAACTACAGCTTTATGTAAAGGGCCAAAACAATTCTCGTTAGTGTATAAGTTTTGCACGTATGATACCCAATAAAATGGACTCTTATTAAGAATTGTTAGATTGCAATTGATCATCCAACAATTGAGTTTCAACTTTTATGTACCCATTTTCACCTTTGTAGTGGCTATTAATTGCTAAAGCCTTTCTAACTAAGAACGAAACCGAGGAAAGTAAGCAGAATGAACAGATGATATTCTTGGTAGTGTTCCACACCACTTTGTTGATTCTAGTGATGATTGCGGGAACTTGATGGATGAGGATGTTTCTAATTTCTATGCTTCTTCTACTACTGGTGTAAGTAGTCCCTTTATAAATGCCGTTGAACACCGGATTTAACGAGTTGTTTATCAACTACAACATTAACTGTTTTTCAAGATTAAGGAAAGCCGAACAGAAGAATAGTTGGGCCTGATGTAAAATCATTTTGACAACATACGCGCTATTCACTGTGCAGCTCAGTTTACACAAGAGGCTACTTTCCCAGAGCACTTTACACTGTTTGGCGACTTGCTCATATAATTCGTATAAAACTTTGTAATTTAATCGTGGTTTAACTCCTTGCAGTGAGGGAGTAACAGTTGCTAATTCATGTATTGGATGTAATGGCACCAAACTCATTGCTACATCAACTACTTGGCAAAGATACGATATTATTTGTTTGACCTCGGTATAATCAATATTCGATACTTCTTCTACAATATATTGAGTCGCCTTCTGTTACTCATCGTTTCTAAACGTTGGCTTCTGACTGATTTGAGATAAACACAACAACAACAATAGCATCTTGCTCTTCTTTGTAAGCTTCTAACTCTAATTGTTACAACATTTTCTACTGCATTAATATTATCTCTTGCTGCGACCGTAGAAGGTAGAACAGTGAGCTTAACAGAATTTTGCACTGCTATGACACGAAATGACACAAAACTGGTACAGCTGCAAAAATTGGCTTAGGCCCCACTTAACAAATAAGCTAAGACTAGGACTAGGTTATCGTCTCTTTATTTATTCCTACCCATCTCATCATATCAATGTATTTTTGAAAGATAGCACCCTCAACTAGGAGCTCGCTATAATTTCAAATTTATCATTATGCATTCAACGCAATAAGTACCTTTACTAACTTAAACTACGAACACATAAATATAGGTTACTATTATAAAGAAAATAAGTGCTTGGTTACTTTCAGGGTACTTTATATGCAATTTTGGGTTACAGTACTGGTGAATTCTTGTTGAGATGGTCTCACTTGTTTCGTAAAAACCTAGATACAGGCACTGAGGATAAATTTGATATCTGCCAGAACGCCAAAATGATCCTGGAATGGATAGGGGCCAAATGCGTCTTCGGATTTGCCATAATCACTGCGCCTAATTCCATTGGAGTCAATGACAAGTCCCTTGTGGTGTTTTTTGAACAAGTAATTGGTTTATTGCGTGGTATTGTTGTTCAAAAGCTTTCAAACCGGGATTCTGGCTTAAAGTCAAATGTTACTGCAACTGGTGCAAGTACCATCAAAAGCTTAAAAGCTCGAGTGTCGCTCCAAGCCCAGGTATAGTTTTAATTAGCTACCCATTGCCAACTTGGAGAAGTTTTCGTTAGTTCGATCCTAGAGTCAGTAATTCTCATTGAAGACTCAAACAAGTCAAGTATATTCGTATAGTTTTGCTAAGTACACAAAGTTTTCTCTCAACTAAAGATACCAGAACTCTATCGAAATAGTATTATAGCGCAAATACACCAAAAAACGTGGTTGTTGATTCTTTAAACCCCCAAAAATTCCTTCCAATTAGACCATGTATCCATCTCCACATCGTAAATATATGCCATTGAATGTCTCAATGAACTTTGTAAATATTGTGGTCTATAATCATAAATTAACATAACCAATCCCCAAACCAATATAGCAAAATATTTCCACAGTTTGTTATAAATCATGTTCTTCAATTTTTTTTGTTGATGCAGAGTTAAATCACGATATGTAATTTGATCACCAGCAAAATTGGTAAAGCTTGGTTGAAAACATCCAAGATAATTATCCAAAAGAATCTTGCCCACTGCAATTATAACTCTTGAAAAACAATACAAGGTGATTTGATGAGTGATTCCACCATGAAATAAATTGAAATGACCAGAATAAACAATCCATGAACCTAAACAACCGGCAATGAATTTGGGCAATTGTGTGTTTTTAGGACCTAGGAAGGCATCACTTTGAAGAATTTTAACTGCTAGTTTATAAATTATTGCAAATGAAGCCAATACCTCAGCATGATCTTTTGACGCTTCCAAAACCAGCTTCATACGTGGACCTAGTGGACCAGATCTGTATAGTAAGTTTATGACTAGCGCATGTGAAAACCTCAATTTACCACCGTAAACAACACCATTTCTAGCTGATCTGATTATCTCTAAAAGTGGACGATACAAAGGGTTTGTGAGTATTGTCATTGGGTCTTGTATACGCTTTGATCTTTAGTACTATGTGTAAGGAGAAGCCTTTAGTGTGCTGCCCTTTGTATTGATGAAATGGAAGACGTGTATGTGGTTGGTAGATTGATTGAATCAGTTGGTTGTTGAATCCGATTGCTTCTGTCTCTCGTCCGATTCATCTTTTTGATTTATTTTTTTATGGGGTAGATGAACGAAATAGGAAATGAAAATAGTATGTGAGGCTCACATACCGAGGTACACACCATGGCAAGAACAATTCACATTGGCAACAATCTAGAAAGCGAGGAAATGATAGTAGAGACAAGGATCGGAGAGGGCATATGCTCCTCCGCGTAGTGGTTGCAATTACACAGGTTTGCTAGATCGAGGTTAATATCAAGAAGAAAAGTTCTGAACTTGTGTCTGAAAAGTTACACCGTTTCTACCGAAGAAGAGGCCGATGAAACCCAGTTATAGCTCTAGTCTTGAAAACCAATGGTTCGCGTATCTCCTCTGTGACAACGAGCCTGATATCTCATATCAAATGTAGTATGTTCAAAAAGCTGTTGAATATACATAATTGACCCAATTGAAAAGCACAAAGTGTTCACGTGATAAGCCTCTAGTGAATAAGGTGAAAGTAAAGATTCGAAACAGAATTGAGAGTGTCATGTACTTTAATAGGTTAGTAGCTAACTGTGTGATGGAGTATAGTATATGTCTTGTACTTTTTGGTGCTACCAAATTCTAAAACAAACGTTATAGAAGTGAAGCCCTGTGAAAAAATTTTTTCTCTTTGTTGGGAGACGAACAGAAAGAGACAATAAGAGACAGACAAAAAGAACAAAAAAAAAATTTTCTTCATAATTTTACCTACTTTTACCCAAACTATTCCCTGATTTCAACAACACCTTTTTTAGCATTCTATTGCTCCAGTTTTACATATAAGGCTTTCATTTGAGGTAAAATTTCCATACCTTTAGCATCAGCATTATTGTCCATAAAAGGGGTTATCCAAAACTAAGAGGGATAAACGTATTTCCTCATTGAGATCAATCAAAATTTTAATTTTCACTTATTAGTCATCAATTCATTTCAGCATGACTTCCAATGTATCATATGCTGCTTTAGCAAAGTCATTATCTGATGGTAAATCGCCAAAGGAAGCTCCTGTTGAGACACAGACACCTACTACCAAGACCACTGAATCAAAGGATATTAAAGACACTAAAGACACCAACGACATTAAGGAGACCAAGGAGTCTAGAGGGCCCGTTAAGGACACCAAAGGAGCAACTAAAGAGTCCAAATCCAAGAAATTGGAGTCACAATCACCAGCTGCTTCATCTGACTCAGCTCCTTCATCAGCAGCAAACACCAACACCACCAATACTGCAAACTCCAACACCACCAATACTGCAAACTCCACTGCTGCCACCAACTCACCCAAGTCATCACCTGCCAAAGTATCTTTGGCACCAGCACCAGTCCCTACTACGTCAGTATGGGGCTCGATATCCAACGATGTTGATGCATTAAAGATTAACGATACTACCACCACTTCGGACAATAAACGTACTCCATTATTGGGTGAGCAGACGCCGTCGATAAAGAAGCAACAACAACCCAAGAAATTTATCAAGCCTATAACCACTAAATGGGTCCCCTTGGATGTTAATGTGACTTTACAATCAAGATCGACTGGTGGTTCGAAACCTAGAAGCAAACGGAGACAGAATAATAATCATAGTTCTGGTGCAACTAATCATCATCGTGGAAATGGCACTTCTTCAGGTAGGGACGAGAGATTGAAATCTGCATCAACAACAACCACATCATCATCATCATCCACGTTCAAAAAGAGAGAAGGGTCAAGAGATGAGTCCAGTGACAAGTTGGAAATTTTGTCAGGAACAGGGTCAAGAGACGAATCAGAGTCTTCTGAAAAGCCTGTTCAAGATGATCAAGAACAGTCTGACAGCAACGTTGACTCATCTGGTCAAGCTAGCCAGGTTGCGCAAGATGAGAATGCTACTGAGGGTGAACCAGCTCAACAAAACGAGGAATCTCCTGTAAATGATCAACAATCACAACATTCGACTAACCAGAATCAACAATATACACAACAACAAAAGCCATTTAATAGACGCTTCAACCCTAATTACAACAACAATGGCTCGTCCAATGGGTATACAAAGAGATTCAATAACAACAACCACAACCACAACGGCAACAACTACAGCCAACAACCATACCAACCACGTCCCTACAAGTCTCATTACAGAAACAGCAACCGCAACTACAACAACAGCAACAACAACAATAGCAATAACAGCAACAATAACCACAACTCACCCAACCCAAATGCAAACGGTCCTTACAACCCATCGCATTTCAACAATTTTGCCCCAATGTACTATATGCCCATGCAACCACCAGCATTCATGCCTCAACACCCACTCACTATGCCTCCAAATGGCGTTGCACCAATTCCAGGTGCACCAGGATTTGCGCCACCAGGAGCAATCCCAGGAACGCCATCCGCATCTGCTTCTGCATCTGCTTCAGCCCCACCACCACCACCAATCTCACCTCAACAAAACCCATCTGAAGCATTACGATATCAATTGGAGTACTATTTCAGTGATGAAAACTTGTTTAAAGATTTCTTTTTAAGACAAAATATGGATTTCGAAGGATGGGTCCCACTCGATTTGATTTTAAGTTTCAAACGAGTTAAAATTATTACTCAACAAGGTGGCGTTGATGTGGGTCAAGTTTTGGGTCAGTGTGGTAATTTGGAAGTCAGTGAGGATGGACATAAGGTCAGAGCTAGAAGATGAGGGGTGAATTGAGAGGGAGAAGAGACGAGAGAGGAGCTAATGATGTTGAGAGTTGGTATGGGGGAGACAAAGACAATGAGAGAGAGAGCCTGAGAGATTGAGAGACTGAGATTGAGAGACTGAGAGACTGAGAGAGAGAGAGGAATGTGCATTTTAGCATTACATCAACAAATGATGATTATATTTCATTTTCAATAATTTATTGACGAGTTCTGGTATGAAAGTGCTTCGTCGATTGACACCACTTGAAACGTTCCAGTATTACTTATCACAGCTAATGAACAAGAAAGAACGATTCGAGGTATTTGATCCTGACCTCAATCACCATATTTCCAAACTGTACTATAGTTACGTTTTGTCAAAAGTTGACAAAGAATTGGAAAAAGGACAATAAATTCGTTTACATTTTTCAATTTCTGAACATATTTTCACCCGACGTTGTATCGAGAGAATAGACCAAAGCTTTATTACAATAACCAAAAAAAACACCCCCTTTTTTAAAAAAATAAGAGATAATTCAAACAGAGAATAAAAAGATAATTGCAATAGATATTATCATATTGAATCACATACCTTGAACACAGGAGATCCATTTTAATCTATTGGAAAACAGAAGAGAAACAAGATCTCACTTTTCTTACCCGTACATAGTTTTTTTTTTTTTTTTGCCTCTTTTCAAAACAAGGCACAAATCATTACCATTATATAGTGTTAGCCACATTGATGATGTATATGTTTTCAATCCTGATTTACTTTTTTTTTAACAAATTCGACATCGGTATGTCATGTAGAATAGCCTGCGCTTGTACAAATACAAATTTTCAACAGAACAAAGGCCATACATTGTAGATCATTATCATGACATGCCGTGAGTAAACTAAAGTAAACAAAAAACATAGAACTATAAAGAAATCAAAAAAAAAAAAGAAACATGTTTCTCCGTTCCTCCCCATCGCCCCCTATCATTTCCTCCCTCGCTCAAACGAAATCAAAACTACCAATACTCCGTCTCGTAACCGCATTAACATCCCACATCAAAACCCCAGCATCTTGACACCCAACAACAATCTTTAAATCTCCAGTCACATCATCATTGACAAATTCAATACCCAGCAACTCCATTTCTCCATGTTGATGATTAGTATGTTGTTGATACAGATCATCGCAATAGGTCAGGTACATATAAGAAGAACTTGTAGAAAGTGGTGTAGCTGAAGATGTAAATGATGGCGGAGAAGAACCAGAAGAAGCATTGGCTAGTGTTGTGGTTGTTGTTGTGTTTCTTCTTGCGGTTGTGTGGTTGTAATTGAGGTAAATCTCATTCAATTGTGAATCGATATCAACGTCATAGGATACTGACGGACGAGAAGTTGAGGTGGTGGTGGTAGTTGGTGGTGGCGGTGGATTAGATGAAAACCGACGATAGTTGGGAGATTGTGGGTTAGCTTGCACTTGATTTGGATGATGGATACTGGTTCTTGGAGATGCTGTTGATGTTGGACAATAATCTTGTTGTTCTGGGTGTAAAACAAGACTATTATTCCTTGAAGAAGACCAGTCTGGAGTATTCAACTTTAATGCTTCGCCATGTAAATCAGGTGGATTCATGGGTGGGACATAACTAACATCATTAAACAATCTTGAGTTAATATTCGTCAAGTAATCATAATCATAAACCAATGGTGCTGTAAATGACAAGTTCTCCGAATAGATATTCAAGGGAGATTTAGCTTCAAATTCCTCTTCTTCATCATATTCATCCTCCATCATGTGTCTTGATCCATCCTCACCTTCGCTTCTCTTCATCAATGACTCCTTGTAATTGGCAAATTGATCCAATGCAGCTGGCACAACAATAACTTGTCGATCAAATGTCTTTAGGTCGATTAAATGGACTCGACCAACATGTTCAGCTATAATCAACAAGTCATTAAAATCGTTTTGTTGTGATATCTTACAAACTCTAAAAGCACCCAGTTGATGCTTCTTTCTGGTTGAGTTGAATTGTTTCAATGGAGCATTCAAGTTTCTCAAATCATACAATTGACACACACCATCTTGGAAAACAGTGGAAAACAAGTATCCATTAGGATGATATGATATGCCAAACCCACCATCGTATTGCGAATCAATAGTCTTAACAATGGGTGATGATCCTGAGTTGGGGTCAATAATGAAAATCAGTGATGAGTCACCAACAGCAGTGATTAAACTGTTTCTTGGATTCTTGACACTTGAATTGAGACAAGTGTAATTTTCACAATTAATCTTGTTCGTCATTGTTAAACTTGAATTGTTGTTAATATCAACACAATACAAATTAGCATCATTGTTACATAAAAGTGCTTGATATTGGTGATTGGCCACCTTGTTCAAAGACACATCATTATTAATCATTTCACCCAATTTTACTGTGTGCAAAATTGATGATTCAGGATTATAGAATGAAAATAACCCCTTGGCAACTGCTCTTGTTGTTGAAGAAGAAGAGCCACTCAAATCTTTTGAAGTTAAATTATCCAAATCCAAGGAAAACAATTTTGATGAACTAGTTAATAAACCACCAGTGGCTATTAAACCCTCGTGGTTATCAAAACAGCGAGGGAAGTAGTTTAATTTTAATACTTTTTTGGTAAATGCTTGTGATAAATCATACAAATGAACAGAATCTTCCTTTGTGTAGTACAATACATTGTCATGTCTATTGTACTTTGTTAAATTACGAAGTTGCCAGTGGTTTACTGATGTGTTGATGTTAGGGATGTAAATGGGGTTTGGTTTCAAAAAGTTGCTTGAATGGTAATAATTTTGAAAGCACTTGTTGTAGTGATGCGAAACTCGGTTAAAATGCTGGGAGCTACTAGCGCTATCCCTCTTTCTTCGTTTCATAACGGAGTTTCTTCTTGATGATGCAGCTGTGGGTGATGATGCAGACATATGAGTATTAGTTCCTGTAGTCGATGTGGGAGAACTGGACAAAGTTCCTTCATCACACGGCGTCTTTTGCAAGTCTGGTATGTCTTCGTTACCTCCTGATAACACTGTTGCTGTTGCGGTGCTAGTCGTAGTAGTTGTGTCTATAGTCATATTGGTGAAAACTATGACAGTAAATGACGTAATCCTCGAGGGTTGCTAATGGAGCTAGTTGTGGAGATAAACCCTCGACGATTTTTGATGAGCTTACTCGAATACAATATATGTTGTATACGTATGATAGTCTTCTCTTAGCTTGTATCAGTGTGCTAAAGCTATAAAGTATCCTAAGTAACTGTGTTGTTTATCCTTGAATATGAAAGAAGGGGAGTTAGTTTGAGTTTTCAGTTTGAATAAAGAGCTCTCCAACTGATTGAACAGTCATTAATGTACTGCATATAAACATCACACCATTGATATACCAAGAATAGTGAGAGTAGTGTACCATTGGATAAAAAACTATAAAAGGGGGGCGCGGGCTGATGAGGCTCAGGAGGCGGGGTGTGGAGGCAGTTGGGGGGAGGGGGGGATATCTCTCACACGATAAAATTGACTTTACTGACCATCCCACCTGACATTCAATACTACTTTCAATGATGCATAGCGTAGCATAGCATGGACTAGCAAAGCATGGACTAACATAGCACAATCAAAACTTACACTCTAGGGGCTTATTTTGTCACTCAAACTAGAACGCAAAATAAGAAGCATATAGTGTTTACCTTAAACTTGCATATACGTTGTAGAACTGGTTAAATACTAGTTCAACTTGAAAGTATGAGTGAGACATTTGATCGAGCAGTGGGGAGTGTTGGTTATGGTGAATTGCAGGCTATACAGAGGGTCAATTCATCGTGAATTACATACTTACAAGATAGTCGCAACCTTTGCGGTTCAAAAGCAGCAAGGTATTTCCAAGGAGCCTAGCCATTTGGAAACCGTCACAACTTGATTGAGCTCTCTCTTAGTAGCATTTTTCTTCCATCCTTCCAGAGTTCTATTATTATTTTGTGGCTGCATCGAAATATTTTTGATTTTGTGTCAACCCGAGGGGGGCGAAACGCTTGGTCCTTATCTATAGGGAAATGATAGAACCAGAACACAACAAAAGCATCAACTCAGCACCTCCTAAATTTCGTCCAGCACCTGTCAACGCTGCTCACTACAAACCGTTCCAATATAATATTTAGCAAAACGTGTATTTGTATATAAGAAAATCCCTGTAAAGTTAACTCCCAAATGAATGACAAACCCAAAGCAGAACCAAAACCAAAACCAAAACCAAAAACTAAAACTAAAACTAAAAGCCAAGAGTGAAGTTAGAGTTAATCAATGAAACACTTGAAACTTCCATTTGATTTTCCTCCTTCAAGCAACAACTCCGGGTGAGTTTGTACCATTACTGTACGTCACATCATCACCTCCAACATTCATTGTCACATCACTGTTTCCACTTCTAGCAACACTTTGAATACCACAACTAAGATAATTTGCCATGATACGATTAAATGATACATCATCATTAGCCAACAACTTGTGCCTGTAATCAATAATCAATGGCATTGAACGAGTAGAAGTAGTTGTATTGGAGACGGATGATCCACTATTCACAATGGCAACAAGTTTATCATAATCTTGCAATTGCTCAACAAGTTTAAGCTTCTCCTGTTTAGACAACTTCTTGAAATCTATATTTGATACTGATTGAATAATGACTCTAGTATTATCAGGATGGATATTCAAACATTGATCAATGATAAATTGGTGATCTTGTTTAGTTAATCCAGTGTTTTCCTTGACATTGACATAAAATTTAGGACTTTTACCACTTGATTCACTCTTGGATGATGCAACTCCTTTAAACTTGTTAGTGTTGTTGTTCATATGTGTAGTTTCTTGATAGATTTTATCTTGAGTACAGGGGAGTAAACTGTAGGAAGTCAATTGTTTGAGCAAGTTGTGTGACACGATGGAGTTATTATTGTGGTACATGGTTAATGATGGACTGACTCTACCAGCAGTAGATGTCATAGTTGTAGTAGTACTTGGTTTCAAGTATGGCTTGATTGAGTTAGCGAACCTGGTAATCATTGGGGGAACAAGAATGGTTGTGTGTGGGTGTGTGTGTGTGTGTGTGTGTGTGTGTGTGTGTGTGTGTGTATTAGAATAGCAAAACAAGAAGGAAAAGAAGAGGAAGTAGAAGAAGATGGTAAATGTGGTGAAAACAGGCTCTACTTATATATATATTTATGATTCCCATCGTACAATAAAGAAGTCAAAAGAGATTCAACGTATCAAAAACAAAATGATTAGCAGAAACGGAGTTTTCTCTCTCTTACCCCTCCTCCCTTGTGATGGCAAAAAAACTCAAAGAGCAACACAAAAAGCAATAGACGCTGAATTTTTAAACAAAGATAAAAAGAGAAAACACTAAGAAACACTTAAGAAACACTATTAATAAAAAAATGTGTAGAAGTGAAAACAATACAAAATAAATCACAATATCATACAACCTATAGCCACCATGTGGGTCTACAAAAGTTCGTCCCCTCCTTTTTTTTTTTTTTTTTTTTATTTTTATCTAAAAACATTATTGAGTAGAATCGCATCTTTTTATCAAAAATTAGATTCACAATTATAAGCCTACTTCTCCTTTAAACAATACCCAATACCCTTTTCATCTCCCCCCTTCTTTCCCACTCCTTGTTCCCATACAATGTTATAATCGCTGAGCATAGTTATCAGGTATAGGCTTTCCTCCCCCCCCCCCCCCCCCAAAAAAAAAAAAACTCCCCCTTTTTTGGTTTTTTAGCCCAACGTGGGACCCAAATTCAAAGCAAGAGAGTAAGGAAAACGATAAGATAAGTGGGAGGGGAAATCAAAAGTATTATTGCAATTTGACACAAAATAACAGTCACAGACTTTTTACGTTGCAGATGTTGACATGGAAAAGGATCGTTTTGAAACTTTTCTATTTTGTTTTTTTTGACTCAGCCCGTGTAAACTGTAATGTTGCCCCCTCTGTCTCTCTTTAGTCTAAAGATGTAAATTTCATTCGGACATTGCCGAAGGAAGGTGGAGAGACGTTGATTTCCGAAAATTTTAAAAGCATTTGAAGACATCATGTGTATTGAGATTTCCAACTTTGACTCCTTGTATGTTGTGGAACTTTATGGCTATTCCTACTCCGATGCCATTCATCTCCTATTTTCTTCCTTTTATTGTGTTTGTTGGTTTCTCCTAATCTGTGCTTTTCTTTCTCTTTTTTTTTTTTGTTGAGTTTTTCTTTTCGGAAAAACTATTTTGTTTCCAACTTTGTGTTGCATTTATCCATCAGTACTAACAAAAAGATAATGATAACTTTCAATAACGAATCTACAGCACAAAAAAAAGTACTCATTTCGAAGTGCTCGTGAGTTAATGATAGAGTGTAATTGCTAGCCACTTTGCAGAATCCCTTGCGTTTTAGTTTGATTAGCCGAACCTTGTACATTAATTTTTGACGGAGTCAGTTCCTCTTGGTCATGCAAATGAATCAGCTTGGTACTACTTTTTAGCACAGCAAGAGTCAAATGGGGGTACACCGCAATCTTGGTTGACTCTCGTCAACTAATTTCTCCGCGTACCGTCTACAACTGCGGTCAACTCCGAAGGGGGAGGGGAGGGTAGCAATCGCAATTGAATCTATCTACTAGATGCAGCTTTCATAGAAGAACTTTCTAGAGCTGCCATTGCAAAGAGGACTATGTTGAGTAGAAAACTGTAGAAAAGATTCATAACCAACCAACTGGATGTATTTTTTGTTCCAATTCATTCCACGTTCGATACAATTTTGTTTCTTTCTGTATTTTCGCACCCATTCTTCTACAACTTTCCATCGCACAGTATTTCGTTTTCCACCCCGTACCGAAACAAACACTTTATATATATGAAGGAAGCTCCAATACCTCCATCATCTCTAGCCAATCGACTCTCTTTTCCGCACTCTCTTGCTCAACAACCGCAATGTTTAGACAAATCCTCAGATCTAAAATCGCCAAAGCCATCCCAACACAGTCAACAGCTTTAGTCACCCCAACTAGAGCATACTTGACATTCCCCAAATCACTCCCCACTTTCCCCCAGGATTTCTTTGATCACGATTGGTTTAATGATTCATCAATCACCAATTACTTCAAGACCAAGCAAACACCAGAACTGTATCAATTCACAATCACCGATCCAAATATTAAGAATAAAGATGTCAAGATTGATTTTTGTAAACCTGATAATGCATTGTTGGTGTCAGTTAATCAAAATTTGAATGAACAAGGTAAACATAGTCAATCTAAGTTTGCTAGTGTTTTCACCAACAAGTATGTGTTTGATAAACCAGTTGATTATAACGATATTAAAGCTGATCACGATGCCAAGACTGGAGAAGTGATTATTACTGTTCCCAAGTTGGAAAAAGATGATGAAAATTTGGTGAATATTAAGTTGAACCATTCGTCAACTAAGGCATAGCTAGGATTTTCATTACCTTTACTCGTATAGCTTACAGTGCAATACATTCTAGCTCATTCGTTCCAGCTCCTAAGTTGCAACTTAGTGACAATGTTCTCCATTGTGCGACACTGTGTTTTCCGCGACACCCACCCTTTCTCTCTCTCTCTTTCCTTCCAAAAAAAAATAAAAATAAATAACACAACGTAACAAAAGGCAATTGTACAACTAGCAAAGAGCACCTCCTCATTGCAACACCTCACAATGTCAGAAACAGACGATGTATTCGATTTGATAAATTCATTACCTGAAACAACACCACAACAGGACTCCAAAACCAATGTTAAACCAACTGATGATAAAGAAGTGTTTGATTTTCTTGACGAAATAGCTCAGCATGAACAAAAAAAGCCCAAAAAGAAAATGGAACCAAAGAAGAAGGTGGAGAATATAGTTAGCTCTAATGACGAAGAAGGAGAAGAGACAAATGATCCAACTACGGGGACTTCCTCATCAGATACCACTGATGACCATCATGCTCAACAAAAGGAGCCAAAGGAGTCACCACCAGATCACCTCGAAGTAAACCCAATTGCATCATTATCATCGTGGTGGAATCTGGAAGGAAACCAAAAAGTTTCAAATTTGTGGGGCACCATCACTTCCAATGCCGAAAAATTGAGTGAACAAACTTATCAATTGGCATCATCAACAACTAATCAATTGAATGAACAATCAAGAAAACACTTGGATACCGAACAAATTGGATCTCGATTAAACAATTTATTCATAAACATTTCACAACAAATCAAACAAGGGTTAATTGAAGACGCTGATGAAGTGCTTAATATCTTGTTGGTTTCCGATTTGTATAACTTCACATATTTGCGTAAATTAGTATCCAATAATTTTAACTTGGCCATGAATCAAGTTGAAGGTGATATCAATGTCACTGTGCACGAGTTTAATCATCATGAGGAGAAAAGTGGCGGTAATGGTAACAATGGTGATCATGTCAAGTTGAATTTATTTTATGGTAAATTGATTGATGGTGAAAAATTGGCCAATGCAAATTTGGAAAATGCCATTAAGGAGTATAAAAAGGCTGAAATTGCAAAGGAAAAGAATGATCAGGAGAAGGCAGAGCAGAAGGAAAATATCGATAAGGAACAAAAGATAGAAGAAGACAATGACTATGCCGATACTCGCGAGATTATCAAATCCAACATCTTTATCACAATACAACCAATTACCACTAAAATCGACTCCAAACCACAAGATGCAGCTGAAAATGACTCACCATCAACAACATCCATAATCGACTCCCACAATGCCACATCGTTTTCATTTACATTGATCCTCAATGACATTACAAACAACATCACCATAACTACACGTACACAACCATTCCCATTACGCTGGGCACAATGGCTTGATGGTGAACAGTTGAAGTTGAATGATGCGGGTGATGTGGAATTGGGATTGGATAATGTTGATCCTAAAGAATGGGTTAAAGATTGGATTCGACAAGGGTTGAATTTGGGCGTTGGTGTATTGGCACAAGAGTATGTGATAAAGAGAATGGGTATATAGGCATAGGTGCGAATTAAATATGGTTATTACTGTCGAGAGAAGAGGAGAAGCGGAGGTGTAGTTGGCGGTGGTTGAATGCTTGCCCATCCCTGTGTCAGAATTAGGGTACCAAAAAGTTCGTGACACGACAGTAAATCTAGAATTCATGATTAGCCCTTGAGCGCAAACAACTCGCTGAGTCTAACACTATGTAGCGAACATCATAAAGAAGCCAAATGAAGAGATTTACCATAGTCATACTGGTATCTTTCTTCAACGTGTAGGAAATGCATGCACGAATTGTTTACACGCAATCAGCCCACTCCACGACCATCTATGAAAGAGATAACCCGAGTTCTACTTCTTCGTAAATACGTTAAAGTATCGTCATTGAAGTAGTCGTATTCTCTTACCATACAGTGTCGAAATTTGAGGGTATTTTAAACGCTTATTCAATCACACATGTTGATTTTCGCAGTAATCACCACCAAATTGATTGGAGCAAAAGAAAAAAAAAACACATCATTAATCATCATCAGATTTACAAAATCACTTTCCTTCCCTGCCTCCCGCCATCAAGCTTCTTCTTTCCACGATGCACCCACAACTAGATAAGAACAGATTCGACACATGTGAAAAACTAATGGATGCATTAGAAGAATGCCACCGACAAGAATTTCTTAAACAATGTCTTGGTTTATGCAATTTTGAAAAGGAACAGTTGAGTCAATGTTTACATTACACTAGAGTCAATGATGCGAAGGATCGTATTAGAAAAAGCAGAGAAAAACAAGCCCAGATGAAGTTGAAGCAGAAGCAGAGAGAGGAGGAGGAGTATGGTAAAAATGGATATTTAAAGAAAGTTATCGAGTTGGAGATGCAAAAGAAGTAAAAAAAGAGAAAGAGAGAGAGAGAGAGAAACAGAGAGAGACAGAGAGACAGGTCTCTCCCGCGAGGTTGGTCTCAAAATCAAGAGAAATGTGTTTATAGTTTCTTGTATATATTTATCGTTGGGTTAAAGGATACTATTTTGAATTGGCAGAACTAAGCATCGTCGTAAACCATCAAGTACATTCTTTCATCTCGCTTACCAAACATTTCATATCCCTCTCTGCACCAATAATAATACTAATACTCTTATTCCCCTCGCCTAATCTTGACGAGTTTTCAAAACTCGTTTGACAACTTTATCCTTGGTAATAATATACACCACAGCACCCCAACCACTCAACGCATCTCTATCGACAGCATTCAACAAAGCTTGACTAATAGTCTCAAACAAATCCTCGGGCTCCAAATTAGGTTCATATAACCCTTCACACATTCCATACAATTGATCAGTTGCCGTCCCACTCACAATAAAATCATGACTAAAATCAATACATCCAATAGAATCAAATCCACATATAAATGGCTTATTATCTTTTGAACTTAACCCAGCAACAATCGGACCAACAAACCATGGACCAAATCTTCGTTCGTATAATGATGATGACACGAGGTTGGCCAATGTGGATGGTTCAATTGATCGTTCTTCACGTAACTTGTACAAATTGGTTTTAAATTTGAACAATTCATGTAATGTTATCACATCAGTGGCAAGACCTGTCAATGCCATGTAGGTTTTATCGCCAAATTCAAAAATCTTTTCAAAATTGTTTGATACTCCAAGCGATTGCGAGCCTAATCGTAAGTCACTGGCTATAGCAACACAATCTTTGCCTATCATTGCAACGGCAGCACCACCGTTTATTGAAAATGGATCAGACATGGGGGAAGAGTAGTTGTTGTTGTAGTAGTAGTTGTAAAAAAGTACAGTAGTTGGTGCCTAGCTTGGTGGCAATATGAAAATAGGCGACAAAAAAAATTAAAAATAAAGGATCGCTACCAACTACACTGTCATATCGCTATACCCTTACAAACTTTATACTAACCTCAAAATACATTAACAAAGACAATCTATTATAACCTAAATAACCAATGCAGAAACTTCATTAGTGGCAATCTCCAAATTTGGCTTCTTTATACTTGAAACGGGCGAGCCACCAGTAGCATCGCCATTGTAATCGCCATCATGTTGTTGTTGTTGTTGTTGTTGTTGTTGTTCCTCACCTGACACATTACTTTGTTGTTCGACTTTAGTGTTTTCGGAGTCTCTTCTACTCAATTGAGCTTTGATTTCATTGGCCGTGTCCTCTTCTTCATCATCGATAACGTCACTTGGTACTTTTCCATTGCTGGCAATTTCTGTTACTGCTACATCATTACTCGCAATTGCAGCTTCCTTTCCACCCACTTGCTGTTCTTGCATTTGCTCCACTCCCGTCTTCTTCCCCTCCTCTTCATCTTCCTCTTCATCCTCCTCGGTGATTGTGGTCTCCATCACCGACTCCTTTCTTGGTGGACTCGAGCTTTGATTCGAAGTAGCAATCAATTGAGCAATAGGCGACTCATTATCCTTCAAATTAGACAATGTAAAAGTTTTTGGTGATTTCACTAATTTATTCTGTTCCAATTGATGTTGTTCTTGTAGCTTGGCAATGTTTTTTATCGATTTTGATGATTTAAAAGTGGGGATGATATTTCCAATATCCTTCATGTTGAAAAATAATTTCTTTATCTCACTCTTGACCAATTTTGTCAATTCATCATCTTCTTGTTCAACCTTGTCGATTAAACTATGATGAGATGAATCATCTTCTAAGCTCGCATCTAGTTTATCTCTAGCTTGTAGTTTCTTTTCTTCGTGTAAATCAAATCGCAATTGTAATGCAAACCCCAAGATGATTATATAGCTTCGATACACCATCAATTGATGCTTGTAATGTTCAATCTTGGCATCAAAATTGTTTATGACTCGAGTGTAATTGGATCCATTATATTGTGCTTTGGGGAAATTTTCAATAAATTTCTGTTTCAAATGAGTAAAGTCACGATACAGTTTTTTCAAATGGTTGTAGTAGCTTGACGTTTTAACAAATTGATTCATCATACCCCAATGGTTTGCTTCTTCGTTGACGGACAAGTTCGATATATACACTCCTTGCAATACAGGCTCCCATTTTTGAATATTTTTCAACTTTTTAAATGACTTCTTAGTCTTTATCAAATGGTTTAAATTGACCCATCCATATTCTTCGGAAGATACACTTTCTTCCAACGTCGGAATGGCTGATATTTTGGCCGCCCAAAAGTTACAAGTATTGACAAATTCCAAGGCAATTTCTTTGGTTCCAGCCTCAAAGATGAATTTCTTGGCAGGTTTCTTGGTGACTTGCGGGAATGTTAATGTCCAGTACACTTTACCTGCTTGCAGTTTGTCTAAACAGGCAAAAGTGGAGCAAAGATTGTACGTGCCTAGCTTCACTGCATTGCGTAGCCAGTTACCATCCCCAATATCGTCTTCCACTTCAGTTTCACGTTTGTGCTTCTTGATAACTTTGGGGTCAAATGAATAAAGCGACAATTCGCCTTTAGATACAACAACAAAATGATCAACAAATTTACTCAATGCATTGATATTTTTTGAGTGATGGAAAAATGAAAAGAACCGATTTCCCTGGGGTTGTTGAGTGATGGAGCCATCATCAACAGAATCATTGTTTAAAATCTTCAACTTTAATAAACCTTCTTTAAGATAGGGACTTCCGTTCAATTCCAATTCCAAATCATATTCATCTTGATAATCGTCAACATCAAATTGTTCCATGTCTTTTTGATCTTCTTCCCAATTTGGTCCAGCAATGTCCAAAGACAATACCGACATTGTATCGTCAACTTTTCTTGAAATGACGGAAGTTCTCTTGTTAGTTTGATCAAAAGAAGTCCTATGACGTAAAGCTGGTGAAGACCTTTGTGACATTAAGGAGTGATTAGAGTGTTTATACATGGACTGTTCATGAAGTACCACCAGTCCTGCCAATGCTCTTGCAAGTCCAACCCTTGCAGGTGCCGCTGTAGATGTCGTTTGTGTTGTCTGTGCAGTTACTGTTGACGTCGCAGTTGTAATCCTTTTCAATCCATTGGTAAATCGTTGATGCTGGTGTTGGCTATGATGCTGGTTATGCTGTTGGCTGGTATCAGTAGACCAAATGGATGAATTTGAACTTTTTCTGGTTAAGTTATGGTCCAAATCGGCATTACCATCAGTACTTGTCGTCAATGTGGTTGTCGTGATATTTGTCGAATTATCCTCGTCCTTACTAGCCCGAGAAAGACGATTCAAAGGTGTTGAAGTCTCGGTTTTCAAAATCAATTCATTCTTTACCAAATCGTCATAATAATCCGATAATGTTACTTCGATAGATAACTTCTGCTTTGTTGACAAACTCTTCATCAATTTTGCATCTTGCAGTAAAAAAGTCGACAATGTATTTCTAATAAAATCAGATTGACGAATACGTGACTTTTTATTCAATTCCAGATTGTGTAAAGCAGTATTCAACAAAATTAACGAGTAAACAATAACATAAATTTGTTCAAAATTTTGCGTACAAAAGACATTTTGCGGATGTTGTTGTAAATATGATTGAGCAAAAGATGATAAAATACGATCCAACTCTTGTGATTCAGCTTTAAGGTATAATTTGGAGCATAGTAAGCGCATAGAGCTAAGTAAATTAGCTGGCCATTGAAAATTATTAAAATAAATGGTTCTAATTTCAGTTGATTCAGGATCATCACCAGCTAAAAATTGAGTAATCTCTGATGGTTTGGCAGTGGATATCTCCTCTGCAAATAGTTTATTAGCAATCTTGGAAGCATCAACAGTGTCACCAGTATCCATGGTTTTCTTTGAAGTAGCAGTAGGTTGTGGATGTAAACAAGGCGTGATAAAAGAATTTCGGGAAATTTGTTTTGAGTTTATATATCTTGTGAGAATGTAAAAAGAGGATTTAATTTTTTTATTTTTTTCCCTGTTCGTCTAAAATTGCAATAAGGAATTCTAAAAATGTATTTAAACGCCAAAAAAACGAAAAGCATAAAAAAAAGACAGAAAAAAAACACCATAGAAACACACTGAATTGGAGTCAACTAGACTTTGCAGTGAAGAATTAAGTACCAGAAACAGAGAGAATATGAGAAGGAAGACAATCAAGTAGGTTGACCTAAGCGCAGCCGATAATGAGAGGTTACTCTCCCCTATTGTAACCCTTGTAAATATCTGAATCTTTTTCAACTGTTGGCTCAATTGTAAGAGCCGTAGATCATTTGAGGAACAAAATTGTATCACAGAGTCAAGGCGTGTATATATAGTGGAAAAAAGAAAAAAATTTACATTCTGTGTTCTGGTATGTGTAAAGAAAAAGGGTCTCGCTTTCTAAAGTTTTTGTGACACAAACAATTGCGGAAACACTACTTGCCAACAGGGAAGCGAAACGAATTGATATTGGTGAGGTGCACAAAGTAGCGCAAACCTTTATACGTTACCAGATCTCAATGAGTAATTGTGTTTTCTAAAGCGAATAGCCCACTTCGAAGCTAAATTGTTCATCACATCTCCATTGCAGGTGCAATTGATTTGAGGCGGTCTTAATTTTTCAAATTATCGTACAAGTTTATTTCACCTTTAGCGCTTACATTCTTGCAACATGGGAAGACATATGAAATGCATGTAATTGAAGGGATATTAAACATTACTGTTGATGCACAATGTTAATTTTAACTCGCACACAACTTCATGAAGCTACACTCGTAGAGGTAGAGGATTAATGAAAGCAAACAATCAAGAACCCACATGAAATTGGAAAGTTGAAGGCAGCTGTGAAGAAATTCGGCGATACTTGTACAGAGATCCAAACCAAAACACTAAATGCGGCCATCGGAGCCACCGTCAATCTGTAAATCTCACCACGTCCCCTCTTTCTGTCTTCAATTATTAGAAGATTCCGCGAACAGCATGGGGTGGTTTTTGAATATGAAAAACCTTATTTCGATAAGGTTTTGGCAACTTGTGTCAATCAGTCATCTTAAGCTCAGATACCGCTCCATACACCGGCGGCATAAAATTCTCGTAATGGCTATGCCAGCTTTGCCAAACTTAGAATTGGGTGATATTGCAACGTAATATAAGCAATTAATCTTGCAGTATGAGTGTTATGCATGAACTAAATGGTTTTGCATCTAAGTTGGAAAGTGGTGCCATTTATCGTTACTTACACTTTTTTTCCACTTTAAAGTTTAGTTAGTTGAAGTCTGAAAAAAGGGTCTCCATATCCATCACCCTACTTTTGGAAAAAATATACGTATTAAGTTTATGAACCAGCAATTACATGGTTACAAAGACAAGGTTTGATGTCTTCGTGATGTCTGTATAGAGTAATTCGGATGAGTTTGAATTTACGCTGACTTCCCAAAGGAAGTAATAGAACAACTCTAAACCAGTGGCACTTACCTTTTCAAGTGCCATTTGCATGCTCTTGGCAAGTAGTTACCTCTAAGATCTCCGCTCGGGTGGAGCCGCAAGCTGGAGCAAACGACAGAAGTGCTTAGATTTAAGGGTTGATATTACAATCCTTTTTCTTCCTTCTTTTGCAACCAGAGTTGAAGCTCTGAGATATAGTGGGGTTACTGCGAATAGGGAATAGTAGCCTTAGACCCTACTCTCTTCATTGCATGGCTAAACAGAGTGACTAGAAGTTGAATTGCAATTTTACACGCAATCGCTACTGTGATATCAAAGAAGAAGTGCTGAATACCTCAGCTGACTCTCACAAATTAATTTTGATTCTATTCTTCTGACGGGTCTTTCGTTAAACAATCTCAAGATGTAGAAGACATTAATTGAATGTAATTGGTTAGTTCGAGTTCTGTGTCGCGAAATATTTTATCACGACATAATCCGATTTTCCCGTTAAGTGCGCGTGGTGTTGTTGTTCAGTCGCGTCCCAGATGAGAGTGAGTTGGAAACATCTAAAGGGAGAGAGAGAGAGAAATGCACAACAGTATACTTTAGTTGTATAGTTGGTAAAGATCCGTGTAGTTCAGTAAATACAAGGGGGGGCGCAATTGTATTGATACTCCTCGAGGGTCAGCTAATTATAATATGTCACTCTAAACATCTCTGTTCTTACTTTTCTAAAAGTAGTGTGTGTATTGTATTTGTTGATGTGTTGTTCAAATTGAATTTTGTATTTCGAAATTTTTCATCACAAGGAGAAAAGACTGAAGAACAACAAATCAAGAAGATACAACAGAGTTTACTTATCGTTGCTATACTCATTCAATCAACTACTGAAAGTTTAGGTTTACCCATTGCATCATTACTGAGCTAAAGAGAACCATATTTCCTCCTCTCTCCCTATGGCTAAACCAAACAACAACATACCCCCAGCCAAGTTGAAAGCTGCTGCTGCAGCAGCGGCTGCTTCCAAACACAAACAAGACGGTGACAATATATGGAATGTTGATCCATTAGTTGATCCTGTATTTGGTAAAGGTCAAATTCGTGAATATCTAATCACCAATCCTTCACCAATTATTTTACAAAAACGTCAATTTGTCAAACAGGAATATTGGTTTTTGATTGCCTTGGTTGTTATTGGATTAGTTGTCAGATTACGGGGCCTATCTTACCCTGACTCTGTTGTATTTGATGAGGTTCATTTTGGTGGATTTGCTAGAAAATACATTTTGGGTAAATTTTTTATGGATGTTCATCCACCATTAGCCAAAATGCTATTCGCTGCTGTTGGATCCATTGGTGGGTTTAATGGAGACTTCGAATTCAAGAAAATTGGTGACAAGTTTCCTGAAACTGTTCCATATGTGTTTATGAGACAATTTCCAGCATTGTTGGGTGTTGCTACAATTGTATTGTGCTACTTGACATTGAGACAATCAGGTGTCCGTCCAATTATTTCATTTGTTACCGCTTTGCTCTTGTTGATTGAAAATTCTAATGTCACTATATCTAGATATATCTTGTTGGATTCACCATTGGTGTTTTTCATTGCCGCAGCCATTTATTCGTGGAAGAAATTTGAAATTCAAATTCCATTTACATTTGGTTGGTATAGAAGTTTGTTTGCCACTAGTGTTGCCTTGGGATTAGCTTTAAGTTCAAAATGGGTTGGTTTATTTACTGTGGCTTGGGTTGGTTTACTTTGCATTTACCAATTGTGGTTTCTTATTGGTGATTTAAATGTTTCCACAAGAAAAATTTTGGCTCATTTTTTCATTAGAGGATTCACGTTGTTGGGAGTACCCTTGGTGTTGTATCTTGCATTTTTCGCAGTTCATTTCCAAATGTTACCCAATGAAGGTGATGGTGGTGCCTTTATGAGTAGTGCATTCAGAGCTGGCTTAAATGGAAACAAAATCCCCACCAACATCACTGCTGAAGTTGGCTTGGGTTCAATTGTCACCATACGTCATCTCGAAACTCAAGGTGGATACTTACATTCACATCAACATTTTTACCCTACTGGTTCCAAGCAACAACAAATTACCTTGTACCCACACTTGGACTCAAATAACAAGTGGTTAATTGAACCATACAACGGAACAATTTACAATGATACATTTATCCCTTTGATCAATGGTATGAAGATTAGATTGAAACATGTCAATACTGGAAGAAGATTACATTCGCACGATGAAAAACCACCAGCTAGTGAACGTGATTGGCAAAAAGAATGTTCAGCTTATGGTTATGATGGTTTCAATGGAGATGCCAATGATGATTGGGTAGTTGAAATTGTTCAACACAAAACTAAAGACGATGATGCTAAAGCATTTGTCAAGGCGTTAAAAACTGTTTTCCGTTTACGTCATGCCATGACTGGAAACTACTTATTCTCCAGTGAAGTCAAGTTACCTGAATGGGGATTTGGTCAACAAGAAGTTACCTCTGCATCTCAAGGTAAACGTGCATTGACACATTGGTATATCGAACAAAACGACAACAAGTATTTACCTAAAGAGCGTCAAACAATTATTAATTACCCTAAGTTATCCCTTTGGGAGAAATTTGTTGAACTGCACAAGAGAATGTGGAAAATCAATTCTGGTTTAACTGATCATCATCATTGGCAAAGTGATCCATCTGAATGGCCATTTTTGTTGAGAGGTATCAATTATTGGACAAGAGAACATAAACAAGTGTATCTCTTGGGTAATGCCGTTACCTGGTGGGCAGCAACAACTGTCGTTTTTACATTTTTCATTTATGCTGTTGTCACTGTATTCAAATACCATTTAGGTAAACCCATGGCGACAAATAAGGAAGTTTTCAACTTTAATGTGCAAACATTTAGTTATGTCTTGGGATGGGCATTACATTACTTGCCCTTTTTCATCATGGGTAGACAATTGTTTTTACATCATTACTTGCCAGCTTTGTATTTTGCCATTTTATCATTGGGCCATTTCTTGGAAATTTTCACAAACTATTTCACTTCATCTTCAAGGATATTGCGTCAATTGGCCATGGTTTTGGTGGCATTATTTGTCGTTTTCAGTACCGTGTTTTACCTCAATTATTCATCATTAATTTACGCTACGCCATGGACTAAAACTGCATGTGAAGTTTCAAAGCCTTTCAAATCTTGGGACTATGATTGCAACAATTTCTATACAAACATTGCTCAATACGATTTTGCTCAAGAGTCTCCTGATCTACTTGAACCGGCCAATTGGCATGTACGTGACGAAGCCAAGCAAACTCCAAAAGCAGTGCCCAATATTGCTAAAGAGGAGAAACATATTGAGAAACCACCAGCTGATGCACAAGAAGCTCCAGCTAAGGCGCCTGAACAATTGGCACCACCGGGCATTGACATTGATACAAAATCGAATAACAAGCAAGGCGAAGAAGCACCTGTTGCAGCAGCACCTGTTGCTGAAGTTGATTCCAAGGCTGACCCAGCTGCGCAAGATGATTCCAAAGTTGAACAAGCTCCCGCCAATGAGGAGGTAATCGAGGAGAAACTCGAACAAGTTGCTGATGCACCAGTTGTGGAAAATATTGAAAAACCAGTGCTTGATGATATCCCACAATATGATCAAGTTGACGATATCAATCAAAGAATTGTTGAGGAAGAGTCAATTGATCCTCCAGTGCAGCCAATAGTTGAAGAAAAACCAGTTGATTCTCCAGTGCAACCTATATCGGAAGGACAGCAACAACCTGAACAACCCGTCTAGATAAGGTTAGATAGTAATACACATTACCATTAAAAGCAAAAAAACAAAACCATTATACCTGTATACGTTATACCTATACACGTTATTCCTATACACACCTCTCTATAATCTCTCTTCTTCGCTAACATCTTCATCATCATTGACAATTGCTCTTCCCCTCACATACTTTTCCGTTTTAATCTGTTGTCCAATATAATCATAAAATTTGATGACATTGTTCAAGGATCGATAAATGGCAAACACAATAAATGAAAATACCCACGCAATGGGGAAATAACCAGGTCCAGCAACATCGACATCTCGCAAGGTCAAAGCTTCGGTAGTGACAATCTTCCATGCTGTATAACTCAACGAGGGAATATAAATCATTGCATAGTTCATCAACAAGTAGCCCAATCCCATTGACTTGATACTTTCTTGAAGATCTAAATCTCTAGCTTGAATTTTGCCCAAGTACATGATGGCTGGTAATAAAGTCCACCACAGGGCAACAAAATGAACAAATGTGGGCATGAATTCCATTTTGGCCATTGAGGTCTTGAGCCAAACTTGTAATGGGAAATCAATACACAAGATGTGGACAGAAGCAACCCAATAGAACCAAAGTGTAACAATCAACGACAAGATGAAAACTTTAACTATAGCAACGCGATTTTGTTGATTGGCACCACCAGCGCCAGCAATACCAAACAAGTTGTCAAATATCCTTGCTCTTGGAGCATCCTCTGGATCAACTTCATTCGCACCACCTTGTTGATGCTTTTGTTCAATATACTTGTCCACGAATTTAAGAATGTTGAATTCCATCAATAATCCATAAATAAGACTAACCAGATCTGCCAACTTCCAATTAATCTCGCCTGGTGAAAACAATGGCAAAGTATTGTCAAATATACTCAGTTGAGCAACCGCTACTGGACGCCCAATCACTAATGCAACCAATATAACAGATAATATGAGGAGCACTGCAAATACCCAAAGCATCAAAATCAATGCAAAACAACGAATTTTGAAGTTAGGTGGACGATAAACAATACAGTACGCATCATCTGTATTCATTTCCTCTTCTTCACTAGATGGAGTTTCGTATCCAGATTGTTTTAAATCATTTACATCAACGTCACGCAACAACTTGTCGTCCTTTGTCACTGGAACAAACAATTTCTTGAGAAATTTCCGAGAAACAGTATCATTATCAGGTGCACGCACATAATATCCATCAGGAACAAAACATGCATTGCATTCAGGATTGGTTGCAAAATTCTCTTGTGCTTGTCTATAAGTTACCGGTTGTGCGTAATCCGGTATAGCTGTGGCCAATAATCTTTCCTTCAAATCACGATAAACAACATGCCCACGTTCATGTGCAACCGGTTTGCCCAAAATGAAATGAGACAATCGCAATTTATGCACACTGATTTCAAATGCTTTTGACCAATACATTCTTACGTATTTTGTAATCAATGGCAACATCTGCCTAATAAATGCCGAACTCAATCCTAAAGGAACCATAAATATTAAACCACTTGGTGTAAGCAGAAATTCCATGGGCAACATTACATTGTACTTTCCATGGTTAGGGGCAACCATGTACCTCAATCCCCAAGTGACACCACCAATTCCAAACAAGATAAACCCAGTATAAACTTTTGCACTAAGGTAGATCCTCGACAATTGTAGACCCAATGGTTTAACTAATGCATCATGAATCAATCTAGCATTTGGGTCATCAGGACTGCGAATGAAATACAACACACCGGGGCGTAATATAGTATTTCTCACCATTCCCACAAACAACGCAAAAAATAACATGTACAAGGTACCTGATGCCCAGTAAAGCAGGGTACGGATATATGGCACTTGAGTCCAGCTGTCAATTGATGTAAGGAAAAGAATAAACGTCGTGCCTGTTTTTGTCACTTGAGTAAACTTATCGAGAAACAATGGAGCAGCACAAAAATCTAATAACCAACCACAGTACACGGGGAAAAAGAAAATCTCAATAGCAAAGATGACAAACACTTTTGCTGTTGAGCTCAATTCAAACAAAATTTTGTAAACCCGCCTCGATGATCCAACAATCGGTTTAGGCCCCGATGTTAAGCTCTTCATGATATTGTGTATGGTGATGCCAATGATTGCATATCCTAGTGTGAGTACCAAAATCCGATCAGCTAAGGTGTATTGTGCATCATCAGGGTAAACCAAGTCCTTGAATGTGTTTACACAAGGCTCCACGATGTACTCTTGAATGGTGAGGATCGAAAAATCAGCAAATTCGTAGCCGGTTTTGATAGTGGTGTCCCACTTGGGTTCTGGAATATTTTGAAATACATACTTGATTGCAACACCAAATACAAACACAAGCAAATCCCCCAAGATGTAAGGTACCACATATATGCAGAACAAATACGCCGTGATGATGGAGTCACACACAACCATAAGGAAAAGGGGTGTTTTAATATTCAAGATAATACCAAATACTTCCATGATTTCACCAATAGCTCCACCATTGTTGTTGCCTTCTTCTTGTGCCATTTGTTCAAAATCATCATCCAATGCTTGACGTACCATCTCTTCCTCGTCAGACTCCTGTTCGTCATTGATGACCACTCTATGGGCATCTGCAGGTGGTTCATCATGGTTGAGGGCATCATCGATGACAATATCCTCGTCTTCGTGGATGACTTCGACATCATCACGAGTGTCACCCCCATGGACATCTCCATCCTGATTTACGTCTCCATTGAAAATCTCGCCTCTATTGATAGCACGCCTCAACTCCTCTTCATATCGAACATTCATTTGTTCTCCACGATGTTGTAAAGTGTCGATGGCACGATTCAAATTTGCCTCTTGTACAACATTCAATCTTTCATTACGATCCTCCTGTCTTCTCAAAACATCCAATGCATTCTGCAACACATCAACCAACTGTGTCTTTGGCTCTTTGCCAATTTTACGATGCAATAGTTTCAAGTATCCTTCATCCCGAACAACCCATTCTCTTTCAACAAACAATGCAATGTGAATAATAATCCCCACCAAGATGTATCTGACCCCACTAAAGTACGTATGACTGAGAAATTTTCGCAACTTTAGCAATGCGAGCTGCGATGCAGTGGTGTTCTGAGCAAGTTCCAGTATGTCAAAATTGCCAAAATATAATGCGTCAAGGAAAGTGGGATTATTTACAGGTAACCTTCCATCCATTGCCCAAGTGTACACACGCCCACAAAACTTCCAGAATATCGGCACTTGTATGATGATGCATAGCACGTACAAGAATATACATATGCTCTTGACAACTGTGTTTGACGCCACTTGTACGAATTTGCTCCAAACTAGTGGGAAGGGTATAATTTTGGGCATGTTTGGGTCATAAATCACTTTGAACTTGTAGGGCGTATTACAAATGTCACATTTCTCACTTGATTGGTTGGAATGTTTTAGCCACTCCATTAAGCAATCTTGATGGATGTATTTGATGGAACCTCGACATTTACACGGGTGATATAGAGGCTCCAGTGGAGTCCCTTCCATTCGACAAATCCGACATGTATGTTCTATATCCACCATTCTGGGAGATGTTTGGAGTAGTGAATGTATGCGACGTAGATAATCTGTGGTAAACTTTTTGATCTATGAGACTGTAGGATTCGTTTGTCAAAGTTGGTTTGATGGAAGTGAGCACAAGAGGTTTAAAATTTGAAATAAAATATCACTTTTGGTCAGTACACTACTCTTGGATCTCAACTGATGATCTTCAATTAAAGGTACGACATTCGAGGATCTACTGATGCACCTTTGTACTTGTACATACCAGAGCTGCTTTGGAAAAGACTGATACTTTAGTTGGAAACCCCCACCATCAATGACTCTTCTGATTGGATATGCTACAAAGTGCAAGAAATCGGCGTCCATATTTTGATTTAGTACCTACGCACTGAAAGTCGCTTCGACTTATCATTTACTGTATTGTGACTAGTCTAAGATGCAAAGTCGTTGTTTAACAAAATCTACTAAATCGTCTGGCACCTTTCGATTGGCCTTTGCTCACTTGATTGCCTTTTGTACGTCTTCCTGAGTGTATCCACTCGCTCCCAAATACTCAATTGCAATCGCACTCAAGCTTTCTCAATGGCCCAGGGTTTTGACGTCGATCCTGTACCGAAACACGATTTTAATCATTCAACAATAGGTCAAGGCAAGCCGTGCCTTCATCTTCATAGTCGCACGTGTGCAGAATCATCAGCTGGAAATCCTTTTGGTCCTGTTCGTCATCAAAGTGATACAGTCCGGAGTTATTGGCAAGCGCGAGGACGATAGTTGACAATAGTACAATGGAGAATTTTATATTGATGATGATTATTTCAAGGAGCCGTTCAACATAGTTTGAGATTATTTTGTTTATACAATGGAGATGAATTGAAATCAAACAGTAGTCTTGGAGACACATTGGATGCACGAATTATTGTTCTGCAATTTGAAAGAGGACAAAGTTACTATATTTTTGTGTCTCTTGACTATCAAATATCAGAACCTGGGATCTTCAATCGAAGAAAGGTCAACCAAACAGAATCCAATAAGTTCTCGTCTTCAAATAGGAATGAACACTGTATATAAATAAGTTATTTATTCATGAACGGGGGGTCTACATTATTGATGTAATCTTAACACTACAAGCTACGTGTTGAATGACCTTCAAGTCTTATCATCTTCCAAACATTTAGCACCAATGGTACTATCCGAGTGGTACACAATTTTGACAATCATTTCGCTTGCAGTAGAATTAGCAGCGTAACCATTGAAGTCCAAATTATCTCCTTTGACGTACTCAGTATTGCTAACGTTTGACATTAAACATATTCCTTTTTGGATCCGGTGGATGCAGGATGCGATAGTTTTAGGCTTCTAGGTAGGAAATGAGTGGTCAACATATCGGCGGGTTTTGATCATTACTAAATCGCTGGCAATGGCATCTCTCATTGGCTTTGCCCACATCATGCAAAACACTGGATGCTTATCGTATTTGTCACAAAGTGATTCAGGTTTGATGAATTTGGTGATGCTGAATGGGATGTCGTTGGTGTCATTGTCACTCAAATTGTATTTTGTTGTCGCAATGGATTCATCGATGTGATCGCGAAGGAAGATTGACTTCACCATGTTAGAGCCTAATGCGATAAAGGTGATGATTATAATGAGTTACATTGTGGAGATAGTGTGATTGTTATGCAAAAAGTGTGAATGTTTCTCAAAAAGATGAAGCTTCATAAACAAAAAAAAAGAATAGCAGCACAAACACTGAAAACCACACAATCGCTTTTTTGATTGCAAAGTTCTACATCCACATCATTGTTGACATCCCGGTAGGTAAAGCAAACGACTGGATTCTCTGAATCAACCAACATCAATATTGTGTACTATATTCCAACAAGCCTCATTTACCACCACGAAGATCCGTTAAATACATCAGGTGTATGTTGATTGCCGAATGGCCACTTTTTATTGACGATTCTCATCTTTAAGATCTATTGCAAGTTCTCCTTCATCACCAGACATCGTCGATCTCCACTATGAACCACATCAGGGCCCTCCGCTCTAGAACCTTGCCATTAAGACATCCTCTTGCTATCATGATTCACCAGCCCCCTTTGTCCCATCTGCGACACCTTTTCTCTTTGTATACTTTCTCTTCTTGGGTTTCCCATTCTCATCCAATTCAACCTTTCTCTTCTTCTTTCCAACTGCGTCCCCACTACCGCTTTCCCCTTGTTTGCTGACTGCTTCGCCCTCTTTACCATCACCCTCGCCATCCTCCTCGTCCTCATCATCATCTCCAAGTTTCCCAAACAAGTCACCTTTTTTATCCAGCGTTCCTTGCTCCTCATCAAATAACTTCTTTGCACGTTCGATCTTGTGACTTTGCTCCAATATGTACATCATTCGACCTAATTTCAATGGGTCATTGCGCAATGCAAATGCCAAGTCATTCAATTTGATTCGATTACGGCCTTGTGATGCGGCATAGTGGACCATTGTGTGAGACAACCGGGAAATAAAGTCGACCAAGATATCTTCCAATGCTGAAACGGTGGAGTTTAAAGAATATGGTCGGTCCCCCATTGCATATAGTAGATTTTCAATATCCTTTGTGAAAAGTTGACGCTTTTTGCGTTTGGAATAGAGAATAGGTGGTAGATTTGACTCTGTGTTGGATGAATCGGAGGCATTGTTTGAGTTTGTGGCTGCCGCCCCGCTATCTGTGGGCAAGTTCTGTTCGGACATGGTTGTTAGGCAGAGCAAAGGATGTTGCTTATGTTTTGTTGAACTTTTTCGCATTCCTTTACAATTGAACTTTTCATCTTTAAATAACTTTCAATTAAATAAATCCCCCTACACTTACACCTACACCTACACCTACAAAATAAGTCTATTACACAAAGCTCTTCTTCTTACACTCTCCTCTTGAATTCCAAGATCAAATCGTCTTTAGGAAAGATCGTAGCAAACACCTTGATCTCTTCACTCAAGTCTGTTTTGTGGTGCACCAAATCGGCTCCCACAAGGAATTTACCAAGCATACCGGTGAACAACATTAAAACGTACTTTTGACCAAGACAGACATGAGGTCCGACACCAAATGGTAACCAGTTACGTTTATCCATGTCTCCTGTAGGGTTTTCCCAACGTTCTGGAATAAAACTTTCAGCATCTTCAAATACTTCAGGATCGTGTAATGCTGGGTATAAAGTAGGGATAACCATGGAGCCCTTAGGTGCAGTATAAGATTCAGTTATTGGAAAATTTTGCTTAACAACGTATGGCACCATCAAAACTGGTGGTCTGTATCTGAGAGTTTCTCTGACAGTGTTGTTTGTGTACTTCATCTTTTGAATCAATTCCAAGTCTAATCTGACATTCATGTCACCATTTCTGACCCTCAATTGTTCCTCCCTGATCTTTTCAACAACGTCTGGTCTGTCAGCGACAATTTGGAAAAGCCAACATGCGAGGGAACTTGAAGCATCTTGACTAGCAAATAAAAAGGTGAAAATGGTTTCACTAATTTCTCTATTGGAAAACTCTCTGATCAACAATTTTGATTCAGGATCATCCAAATGTTTATCTTTAGCTTCCTTCATAAGGTAGATCCACTCATCCATGACACAAGTTGGTTTCCCACCTTGTCCAATGTGTACTTTTGCCTTGGCAGCACAATTTTCAAAAATTTTCATGGTATCATCAGCAATCTTTTTACCATACCAAGTCTTGGTGTATGGGATAATGATGGGGAAGTTGACCAATTCTAAAGCAGCAGTGATTCTGAAATAATTATCAGCAATCAATGAAATTTGATCTTCAGTAATGTAATCACCGCAAAAAGTTCTCAAGGACAATGCACAAAGTAATTCTCTAAATTCTGGAAAAAATTTCCTTGGTCCATTGTAGTTTAAATACCTCTCGAGATAGATGTCCATGTATTTCTCCTGAACTGGGATATAAACCTCCAATGCCTTTTGTGAGAAAAGACCATTCAAAGACCTACGATAATCAGTGTGTTCCTTTCCATCAAGGAAAACCCAATTGGTTGGTCTTAATATCTTGATAGCGACATCAACAACACAAGGTTTGACATATTTTGGTGACGACAAAATCTTTCTTGCCAAGTCTCTTGTCGATGCAATAACAACAAACTTGTGGAAAATGGAAACACAACTCAAAGCACCACTATCCCATTTAGCCTTGTACTCTTCAAACTTTGGATCCAATGATTCCAAAAATGGACCGATAATCGGCCAAATCTTGAATTTGGGTCCAGCAATTGACCCCTTGTTTAGTTGATATTTGACTTGGTCATACGACAAAATCAACACAACCGATGCAATGACAATCTGAATCCAAGATGCTGATAAATACAATTGGTAAAAGTAGTTGATTTGTTTATTTGATGTTAGGAAGTTGAAAATTTGGTTGGTATGGCTCGACCCAGCCAACTCCACTGTTTGGTTAAAGCTATCCATCGTGGGGACTATATCACTGTAAGAACAAAAAACAAAAAGCGAAAGAATGTGGCAGAATAAAGGTGATTTCGTCTGGTGATGTTTATTTCTCGGGATAAGAAAATTTTTTGACGGAAAGAAGAAACACGCGAGAGAAATTAATGCTAAACGACGGAACAAGAAAACACAAAAGAGAATCGGGAACGACAACGGTAGACCTCCAAGGTAGAACCGTAGTAATCAAATGCTTCCTATTATGATATGGAGATCTGGCATATTAACTACAAGTAACTTGGCCATGTCGATGGATGATGTGGTTGCTCTTAATGTTCTTTCTCTTTTCGGTCCTAAGGGCACTCATTTAAACGCCGATATACGAGTATCTATACGAGCATCCACAATTCACCACATTCTGTTTACAGCACAATCCACCCCCTTTGTCTATAGTTTACTTTGCATCCGTGATCACACGATATTTTTCTATAATTAGTTTCTCAGTTTCTTCCCTCCCCCCTTGAGGAAAGACTAAGATAATCTGATTATTATTATACAACGCCACAACTAGTTTTGTGAATGGATTAATTATTTTGCGCGGTAAAGAAACAAATCATCAGCTATTTTGTATTATGCTACTCCTCTATATATAACTCCTTTTACTCTATACTGTCTATCTCCTCTGCTTCTTCAACTCTTTTACAGTGGGGCAATAATGATTATCCAACAACACATCTTCCCATGATTCATCCTCTCTTTTATCACCATAACGATTAACAAACTCATAAATCAATCGCAAGGTTGCAATTTCCGGCGTGTGCAACTTCATTGATTGCAACAACTGCAGAATCTCCTTGGGTTCCAGCACAGTTTGTTGTCTTCGGTTCCCCGTATTTAGTAAAGCATGTATGCAATCGCCTAACATCTTGGTGTTGAATTCCTCAATTATATCCATCATGATGCCTCTGACTGTTAAGAAAACATCGGCAACTAAATCCACATTGATTAAATGGGCAATCTTGCATAATCCCTTCAAAGCACTTCCAATTAACGGCAATGCATTTTGCCCTTCTTGTGTTTCATCATCTTGACTTGCTTTTAAAATTTCCAAATAACACATGAGAATCATTTTCAACACTTGTGCTTGAAATTTCTCACGCTGCTCAACTGTGATTGCTTGTTGTGCCTGACGCATTTCCTCTTCGATCTCCTTGTGTTCTTTTCTATTCTTTCTCTCCTTTTTCGACAAATGTACGCGGTCCTTCTTTTTCAATTTAGTCCTTGGTTTGTCTTGGTCATCGTTGGGAGAGTAGTCTGCCAATAATGATGCTGATAAAAGAATATTGACAACAGACTCATCCACGCGGTATTTTTTGTCTCTGATTGTTTTTGTCAAAATGGTTACAATATCCACCGTGATGTCTCCATGCTCTTCATCATCCCTAAGTAAAGTTTCCAAAGCATGCACCGATTTAATAAACACAGGCACATCTTGTTCAAAAGTTGGCTTTCTATTGAGCCTTTTGATCATTATAGTAAACAACTCTTTTCGGTAGTTAAAATGTCTCAAAGATGACGTGCATAATTCAGTGGCTGCTTTCAACGCTAGATTACCCCTCTTCAATTGATCAGAGGTAATCTTATCGTTATTTGCTGAGTTGGAGTAGGAGATTTTTGAATACGTAGAAAGCAAATCGAGGTATGCTTTGTAATTGACAACCAAAGTTTGCTCATATTGACGTAATCTGGCCACATCTCGACTCACTTTTTCTCTCTTTTCAGCATCAGTTAAAGCTCGTATTCTATAAGATGGTGCTAGTGACTTGAAAATGGGCAAAAGAGCCATTATTGCCAATTGCGAAGTCATGAAATTCTTTGATTCACTCATTTTGCGTAATCGAGTCAAACATGCGATGTTCTCTTCTGGGTTTTCAATAAGTTTAGAGCCAAGCTCGGCGATTTCTTCTTTTGTTTTGATCAATCTCTCCCTAGGAGAAAGGTGTGCATCTTCGTCCTCCTGCGGCTCTTGTTCTAGTTGTAGTTCCTCTTGTTGCGTGTCCCCTTGAGCTTGCTTTCGTTCTCGGTCTTCCTCTTCTTCTTCTTCTTCTTCTTCTTCCTCCTCTGCTTCTTCCGCCTCCCGCAATACTCTCTCTATCCTACCGTCTTCCCTCTTGATGGGCAATGACGCTTCAATAAGATGGTTCTCCTTAATTTTTCTCGGCCTCAATTCATAATCTTGTTCTTCATTCTCCCAATCATGCTTGAACAAATTTGTTGTAAGTTGAGCATCTTGGGCTTGTTTCAATTTCTTCCGTTTTTCGAGCTCTTGTGTTTTAGCTTTTCTTTTACCCATTTGGTTAGCGGAGAGGGTGTAGTCCGTAGGAGATGGGGAAAACCAATTCGAATTCATTTTTTTTTTTTTTTCGCGATGAGGAACGACCAAAGTTGATGCCGCGATATGGACAATGAGCGCCACGTTTAGGCTAGTTTATACCGACTTTAGGTCCACAAATGCCATGTCTTAGACTGTTAAAGCAGAGCCTCTCAACCTTGAGCCCGTGCTTGTAGAGAATAATCAGGTCCAAACTTGAAAACCATAGGGCTAGGATTTCAATATTTCAATGTAATCAGTGGAAGAATATATAGAAAACTATAAACCTAGTAAAGCCCTCTACCCATTTGCAAACAAGATCTTGATATGATTGCCTTTGTTGTACAATAACTCATTGAACCCTTTTTCAATTCCTTCCTCCAAAGGAATTTTATCGGTGATCATCAATCTCAATTCTTCAATTGAGATATCACCAGCTTCAATACTGTTTACAACTTCAACAAAATCCTTCTTGACAAAACAAATGGAACCTGTAACAACTTTTTCCAGCATTGTTGTATGCATTGGCGAGTATGGGATCTCTTTGTGGGCCCAAACCGCAACATTGGTGGCAATACCTCTAATTCTTAGACATTTAATACTTGTTTCAAAAGTAGCTGGAACACCACTGCAATCAAACGTGTGATGGAACCCTCTCTTGTCCGGAGATATATCTTTCAATGCGGCAATGCACTCCTCGACCGATTTACCAGTGGGGTCGAACGTTTCAACATTTAATTTCTCAGCCAATAACCTTCTTGCAGTTGCTGGTTCACTCACTACGATTTTGCCGGCCTTGTTACCCTTTAAAGCAAAAATAGTAGTGAGTCCAATTGGTCCACCACCTAAAATCAACGCCGATTGTCCTTCTTGGAAATGGGCAACACTGCCAACGGCATGCCAAGATACAGCCAATGGTTGAACTAATGCAGCAACATCTGGAGGAATTTTGTTAGCATCATACTTGACGAGTTTATCTTTACTAGTGACGAGATATTCGGCACAACCACCATCGCTGAAACCAAGACCAGTTAATGCCAAGTAATCACATGCGTTGTAGTAGTCATCACAACAAGCAGCACAAAATGGTTTATCTTTGGAAGGTGAGTTTTCAAAACGAGTTTTGTCCTTGCATGTTCCAGTTACTTCGACCACCACTTTATCACCAACACTCAATTTGCCAACATTTGAACCAACACCAACAACTTGTCCACTGATTTCATGGCCCATCACCATAGGGAATTTCATATTGGAAATTGGGTTTGTTGATCCTGGTTTGTTGAAGAAAAACGGGCCCAGGGTAATCTCTTTTAAGTCGGAACCACAGATACCACAGTAATCAATCTTGACTTTTACTTCATCCGGATGGTTGATTTGCGGCTCTGGGTAGTCGTGATGGAACTTGATATCCTGTGGACCGTGATAGACAATGGCTTTCATTGTGGGTGCGCTTACGTTGTGTGGTGCTAGATAATTGTAGTGAGATATAATTTTGCGAGAGATTTTACGAGGCAAGATGAGGGCGCCGTTTGATACTTTCATTTCGTTTTTGTGTCAATGTTGCAAGATCTCCAGAGTGGGGAAAAAAATTCCCAACTTACTATAAAAATTGGTGCTGACGGTAACAAAGATAAGCGATAGAATAAAGGTGTGATAGTATTATGGGAAAGCATGCACGGGCAGTTGATCAATAGGAATATGTGAATGGTCGTGATCGATCTCACTTTTTTTTTTTTTTAACTCAACTTTGCAACAAATTAAGGAAAAAAAAATATTCTTGTCCAGATTTTTGTTTTAAATACAGCAATATATTTGTCATTAAATTAAACTGTGGAAAATATAGAAAGTAGAGGTCTAAGAAAACGGTGATAGAGCGTCACTTTCTCTGGCCAGATAAGCTTCCTTTCAAATACAATTAAAATAGAGATGCTTTCCTTCGATTTCTTGAAAACACAAAATGCACACAGAAAGGGAGTTATTGATGGGATCTAAGATAGGTTGAAATATTGAGGAACATTGACAAGCTGAAAAAAGAAAAGAAACTAACATGGGTACAAACTATCAAGGGCACAAACTATCAATTAAATAGTATAACAAACTACTAACCGGCTTGCTCTATTGCATGTCATTGGTTTTACTCATTATATACTGGAACCACAATCTCTTTTCTTTCTTATCTATTCACAACAGGAGCTACCAATTTCTTTCTTTTTTCTGTGCTTTTGCACTCGGGACACGACCCGTGCGCTACCCAACGTTGACTTCCCAAGTGAGACAAGTTACACTTTATCATTTTGTTTTCCCCTTTCTGCCTTTTCCGTTCACGCACACTGTGGCTTACTAGTTCACTCCACTAAAGTCGTGTACATTGGCTTATCAGGCAATCGCAAACAGATTTCGACGAGATAAAATATAAGTTGCCTCCCACAACCAGCCAGCAAAAAAAAAACCGATAACTGTTACCCACTTTTCTTTTCTTTATCTTTTACCCATCTACGATGAGAACAAACGTATTAACTATTTTAAGTGCATTGGCACTCACTTCAAACGCCCTTTTCATTCCAAACTACAACGACATAATCAATGTCTTTAGAGTTGAAGTTAATGAAAAGGGTCATACTCAACAAATGGAAGAGTATAAGCATGAAGAATTTGTTCCATTGGTTTTGCATGATCAAAATGTGGAAGGTAATTACATTGTTGTTTTCAAGACGGGTGTGAACATCGACGGATTCAAGATTGATTGGGTTACGGATGATGTTTTAAATCGTTTTGATATCCATGGCATGGCTGGTTTCAGCGCAAAATTATCTACAGTTGCACTTGAATTGTTGAGAAGAAATCCATTGGTTGACTTTATTGAACAAGACTCCATTGTCCACACGAAAGAGTCATCCGTTGAGAAAGGTGCACCATGGGGTTTGGCAAGAGTCTCTCACAGAGACGCTTTGTCACTTTCGTCATACGACAAGTATCTCTACGACGACGAAGCTGGTGAAGGAGTAACGAGTTACGTCATTGATACCGGTATCAATGTGAAGCATGAGGAATTTGGTGGTCGCGCTATTTGGGGCGCAACCATTCCTACCGGTGACGACGATGTTGACGGCAATGGTCATGGTACTCATTGCGCTGGAACAATCGCCTCAAAAGATTACGGTGTTGCTAAACGTGCAAATGTTGTTGCTGTGAAGGTTCTCAGAAGTAATGGATCGGGTTCAATGTCTGATGTCATCAAAGGAATTGAATATGCAACCAGGGCACATCAAGACGCGGTCAAAAAGGGCAAAAAGGGTTTCAAAGGTTCAACTGCTAACATGTCACTTGGTGGCGGTAAATCTCAAGCTTTGGATTTGGCTGTTAATGCTGCTGTTAAAGCTGGTTTGCATTTTGCCGTTGCTGCTGGTAACGAAAACCAAGATGCATGCAATACATCACCTGCATCTGCTGAAGGTGCAATTACAGTTGGTGCTTCCACGATTTCCGACGAAAGAGCTTATTTTTCAAACTATGGTAAATGTGTTGACATTTTCGCTCCTGGTTTGAACATTTTGTCAACTTACATTGGATCTGATTCTGCTACTGCTTACTTGTCTGGTACTTCAATGGCATCGCCACATGTTGCTGGTTTATTATCTTACTACCTTTCATTGCAACCAGGATCTGATTCTGAATTCTTTGTTGCTTCTGATGGTGTTTCTCCAGCACAATTGAAGAAGAATTTGATTGCATTTGGTACTGAAGGTGTTTTGGCTGATATTCCTGAAGATACACCAAACATTTTGGCATTCAATGGTGCTGGTCACAACTTGACCGAGTTCTGGAACCACAAGTAGAGTAACTCTTTTATAACAAGAGAAAGATAAAATTTTTAAACGCTATACTCTGTAGATGGTTTTCTCTTTTGGTGGCAAAATGAAAAAAAAAGTCGCGATATTAAAAACAAATTCAAAAGATTCGGAAAAAAAAAACCTAACCAAAACCAATTCCAACTCAATCAGAAGCCATGTCGACCCCAGCTAAGAGAAGACTCATGCGAGATTTCAAGGTATGTAGAACCACAAGCATCTATGGATCTAATACTAACTCCTTTTTTAGAGGATGCAACAAGATCCACCTAGTGGAGTTTCTGCTTCACCTTTACCCGACAATGTCATGAAATGGAATGCAGTGATTATTGGACCTTCAGAGACTCCCTTTGAAGATGGCACATTCCGACTCGTGCTACAATTTGACGAACAGTACCCTAATAAACCGCCAGTTGTTAAATTCATACTGGAAATGTTTCATCCCAATGTTTATGCTTCTGGTGAATTATGTTTGGACATATTGCAAAATCGATGGTCACCCACTTATGATGTGAGTAGTATATTAACAAGTATACAAAGTTTACTAAATGATCCGAACATCTCATCACCAGCAAATGTGGAGGCGGCAAATTTGTACAAAGATCATAGGAGTCAATATGTAAAGAGGGTAAAAGAAACAGTGGAGAAATCATGGAACGATGAGAGCAGTGATGAAGAGGAGGAAGACGATGATGATGAAGAAGAAAATGATGAAGAGGACATAGATTGAATATATACAAAGAGGGGTGTGCTTACCAAAACTTGTACCATTTTCGAGTTTCCTTCACCGGTTCAACTTCTTTTATGGCTTGTCTCTCAATTTCGTATCGATCTTGAATCTTGACCTCTACTGGTTTCCCATCTTCTCCAATATTCTTGTCTCGGTAGATAGCAATCATGGCAATAAGCACAATCAAATAGATGCAAAATTTACTAGCTGGGTCCATCTTTTTGTAATTAAATTGAGCAACTCTCACTGGCGTCTCACTTAACTTAACTGGTTTCAATAGTTTAACCACATCAGATCCCTTAGGAGACCTGGGATGACTTGGTACCCTAAATGGTAGATCCAATGGGGCAGATGCGGTATTCCAATTGGAAAACTTTTCTCGCACACCCCAATCACCATATGAGATAAAATACCCCAACAACTTATCTTTTTTCAGCAACTTGTTCCAATTCTTATCATACTTCAGTTGTAATTCATTGACAACTTGCCCTTGATGCAAGAGAGACAAGTCTGGGAATAGTCTTGGGTTTTCATAAATTGGTTTTGTATCTATTGGTTGTGTAGCATCATCCGATGACGGCGACAATAGTGAGCCAAAATCTTTCAATGATTGCACGGCAAGTTGAGCGGCTTGTGCTTTCTTGTCTGCAGGGGTTTGCGTGGAGGCTAATCGTTTGAATATGAGTGACATGGGTGATGGCTTAGAAGGATGCTGTGAAGGACACTTTTCTTTTTTTTTCTTCATTCTCGCAGAAAAGAAATGCGTACCGAAAGTTTTGCACCCACCAGTCCTTGTTACGATAGAAATCAATCACTTGTGCATCCATACTTACCAAACCATTTTTAGTTGTGTCAATCACAGCAAATTAAATAATCTATACTAGTGGACCTTTTTTTGAATTCACTATGACTAAGATTTTGTTGCCTGTATTGAATGAATGGGGCAATTTCAAGTATCAGTGGAGCAGATATCAACTCTTCCCGCAAAGATTTTGTTTCGTTTTTATATTCTTAGGATGATGACTCGACTTTAGTGAATACCGCTGATGTGATTTTTGGTGACCCAGATTGATGATGAGTCCCGTGACTACACGAGGTATATTGTTTTCACTTGCGTTGATAAGGTTTGAGTAGTTGAAAACTAGCTAAGTAGAGAGACCTAGAAATGCACGTGTCGGTGTGCTTAGAAAATTGGATATAAAGATGCTAAGTCGATGCTTCCTACTATCACTCGCACGGTTGTGGTTACTCTTGGGTTGAGTTTCCGAGACAACAAATACTTCATGTATACGCCCAAAAACTACTGGATTGCATTTGGGTGCGAAATTTGGTGTCAAAAGCCGAAGTGTGGTAAATCTCGAGGTCAAGGGTCACCACGTTTCCAAAAGTTGGCCATCATGTCTATTTCATCGTGAGCTCGCTTATTTCTGCTTTTGTTTTCAACACCCTTTGTTGTTACTGCAGTAATTGAATCATACGGGCTCAAGATGTCTTTCAACGTCTCCTCATCTATTTGCGCAAATTGTCCAAATTGAATCGTATCCTTCCCCCTTTTTGTTGGCATAACTTAAAATATCACGATCACCCCTTTCTCTTACCAAAGAGCTACCGTGGTCGATAAAGATACGACACTATAAAGGGCCCGTTGTTCTCATTGACGATACAGTTATAAGTGTGGTACCATTACCCACTACCCCATGAAGTTATTCCTTATTATGACACTCATGGGCTCTATTCTTTGGAGGTATTGTTCAAAATCGTGGACCGTATCATTTTGACCCTGTAGAACAGGAAAATGTTTTTGATTAGATGGTTAAGTGTATTTGCGGACCTTCCTCAAGAAAGACCATTTGTCATGACCCTATGGTTGACGAAGATTTTAGGTTTGTTTCATGGGGAGATAGGCCGTACTTGTATAATATTACTATTGGGCTATTAGAGGCTAGAGAGTATACTCAAGAGGAAGTTGACGAAGCCATCAAAAAAGCAAGAGCTAATCGAATACGCCCAGTTAAATTTATTATCCAACTTTAAGGTGAAGCAAGAACATTGTATAGATAATATAGTTTAGTTAGAGAGCCCACAAAGTATATAGTGTTGCCTCTACTCCATAGAATAACAAATATTATACAATTAGGCAAGTACAAGTTGAAGTCGTTTAGATTTCCGCGTGCCACGATACACATCATAGTAACACCAATGCAAGATACATTATCCCCATCCATGATTTTTGTCTTTGCCAGCTCTTAATGAGGGTCCATATTACCAACGGAAATGATTGAGATTTTGACTATGTTACAAAGCATCTATATTGAAAAGTTGTGTTGATTTTAGTGGGTATGTGATTTGAAAGTGACCAAGAACACCAGAGAAGGCTGGAAAACGAAAAGGTCAAAGACAACTTTGTACTTACATCCCATCACCGTTGTGTCTACTTTCTCTTTTTCTTTTTGTTGCCCTTTTTACCAGATTTCTTCTTCTTTTTATTCTTTGATTGTTGAGAGGAGCCTTCAGGTGTTGCATCGCGGCTCGCTGGTTCGGTTACTTTAGGGGCTCCTTCTGATTCAATTTGTTGAGGAGCTCCTTCTGGTTCAATTTGTCGAGGAGCTCCTTCTGGTTCAGTTTGTTGAGGCTCTGTTTCGGGTGATTGTTCACTCAGTTGGGTTTCTTCATTTTCGATAGCTGCTTTCTGCATTTCACCAGCTTCTTCTTCTACCGCATTTGGCTCTTTAGTGGTTTCTGTTTCCCCATTAGAACCATATTCACTTTCCGACGCAAGCAATGGAACCGACTCTGATTGACTATCGTCCAGCACATCATTGCGAATGTTTTGCTCATATATTCTCTCTCTGAAATCCATAATTTCTTCTGGTTCATTGGTCACATGCGTCCTATCAATACTCTTTACTTCATCTTCATCTTCATCAATGTCACCACCTTTTGGTGTCGCCTTTTCATTCATTCTCATGTGTTGAGCACTTGACCCTACTCTCACGGTTGAGCTTCTTCCAAAAAAATCTAGCTCTTCCTCCAGGTTGTACCTTGGTGGTAATTCTTCGCCTTTGTCAAGCAACTTGTCACTATTATCCTTGAGAACCTTGTTGTATTGAGGTAAATTCGCCAATCCTCGTTCACCTCCCAACTTTTTGTAATCACTTGTCGAAACAAATCCATACTTTCTCACGTTTGCTTCGATCCAAACAAACCCACTTTGGCCCAAATTGACCTGAAATTTGGCATTTGTTGAAAAACAACCAACGGCTGGGTACAAATCAACAAAGCATCCCTTCATCACATCCAAAAGTTTTTTCCCATTACGGGTGATGAATAATGTACCTGAAGGAATGACATAACCGAATCCAACCACGTCTGCTTCTTGTAATGGAGGCAACACCAATGCATTATATTGACTTTGTTCACAAAGATGTTGTTGCAATGGAGTAGGAAATGGTTTATTAATTTTCAAGTTACCGGTACTCTCATATGCAATGGAGAATTTATTGTATCCGGGTAATCTAAATGATGTAGGGTATGGCTTTGTAATTAACCCAATTGAAAAGTGTTGCGTAGATGAATTTGGGTCCTGAACAAACTCAAATACTTTGGTTTCAAAGTATACTGTATCAGAATATACCCTATTCTTTACTGGCAATGGATAATTCAAACTTGCCGTTGTGGTGCAATACGGCAAATCATTATTATTGAAATTCAATTCAGTCCTATCAGCAACGATATAATGTGGATTCAACAAATCCTCCTCCATTTCAAATGAAAACACATTAATCCCATATTCTTTGATCATGCGTTCATCTTCGGCGGAAAATGTTCTTCCCCTAGTTTTTGTGAAATCAGGCGGGTTATTCACAGTAAACTCTTGTCCTTTAAGGTACAGCTGTTGCTCCTCTGGTGATAATCCTGTAAAATCAAACGTCTCTGCCAAGTGCGTCAAACTCTCTTCATCGTTGAGAAACTCTCTGGGGACATCATTCAGGTGTGATCCTAACAAATTATCGGTGATAGATGATGATAAGCTCTGGTACTCGCCATTGTGATCTCTAGAAAGGAAAATCTTGTAGATGCAAAATACAATCGCAAGGACGATTGTGATGGAAAAGGAAACAATTATTGACAACACCAATGTTGCATCATCATACTCGGGCTCAGTCATGATGGAATTGAAAGGTACAATGAGAAACCGAATCAGGGAAGGAAAACAAAAACAGAAAGAAAAAAAAAAAAAAAAATTTGAAAAAAGCGTAAAGTATTTGGTAGCATCTACAAGAAAGTGGTATGAAGGTTTAAATTGGATGATTTAACCTACATTAGTTTAATGGAAAGTGACTTTTCTTTCTGCCGTCAGCCAGTTAATTGGCATTGTAAAGGGGATGAGTTCTTCCACACACGTCTCCGGGAGGGTTTTTTTTTTTGTAAAGAAAAATACTATGGGGATACATGTGAAATTGAAACAGGTATTTGATATCCAATGGGGGTGGGTGTTGTTTCTTCAACAGTAATTCATAGAGACAATCATGCCTGGATTTCCCTTCATGACCAGTGTTTTACATCCTAATGCCCCTCAACATGTTTTTATCCAAAACAAGGTTCTCAAGAGTCGCATTTTTTCAATTAAAGCTCGTGTACTCTCCAATGTAGGAAAGGTCCAACATTTCCAACAAGTTGTGGAAAAAGGTAACCTTTGTTGTTTGGATCTTGTTTCGATCGAGATGTGGTATCCTCGAGATCCTCAATGTCATTGATTGCCTAGCTCTTTCAAAAACTGGCTAATCTGAAACTTTTAATGTTAGACTTGCAGGCTAATGTACAAGCAAGTTTGCATTTACAAGCTCTCAAGCTGAAAGTGGGATTCCACATGTGTGCCTTTTTAAAAAGTTAACAGCTTCAATCACCTCCATCTTGAGAATCTTGAATGTCGGAGGAATTACTTCACCTTAATAAACTCCAAATTGACGTGGTTACTTTTAGCTAATTTTGGAGCAAAAAGTGAAACTCTCCATTGACTCGATACTGTTGTTTGTGTAAAAGTAGGTTTTGACCACTTTTTGTCAAACATGTCCCTTTCTTAACTGACCTGAATCCATATGTTTTTATTAGCAACTCTTTTGAGTGATTCTGATCATAACATTTCCTTAAACGCCTCGCATACGTCAAAATGTTTAATGTAAAGAAATTCCAAGTTGACAAATCTTTTGAAATCAACATCGGCATCGCAAATATAAACGGTGCCGTTCAAGTATAACTGTCTCAATGAAATTGAATCAATTTTGGACAACTGAGACAATTTTAAATTTACTTTTAAATGCAACACTTTCAGAGTGGGAAGGAATTCTGGTAACAATGGCAAAATAAATGAGTTTCTTCTCAACCTAAGCGATATAGAAGGACATATCGTTAATCTGTCCCTAAACTCACCATCCAACGATAGCTGCTTCAAATTTGATCGCTTTTTCGAAACAATATCGGCCAATATCTCCAAGAACCAATCATCATCTCCCCACTCACTGCCAGACTCAAAGTCAATGTGCGTCGTCTCGGAAGTAATCAAAAGCTCGTAAAGGGCTTCCATTCGGCTGGCCCCAGTCATTGATTTCGTTGCCATCCGATAAACCGTCACAGCGATAGAGAGTCAAATGTTCAAAAACGGGTAGATTGACATTTTTGGCATTCAGTTTGTAACGCAAATGGAGTATCTTCAATGATTGAGAAAGTCGCGAGATATCAAAAGTTTTGTCATACAAAGCCAACTTGACCAAATTGGAAAGCAATTAGTTAGGGAGTTGGCCAATTTGCAACCAACTAGCTTCAAAGTTATCCCCCTTGGAAAACCTTTGCATTTATGTCGACATTGAATTTGATATAATACTACCCAGTCATGGACAATTCAGTCACAAGATGTCCAACACGGTTTAGTTTGTCAACAATCCATGAGCCATCAATACAGCCCATTCCACTGAAAATTCAGATCCAAGTTCAATTTCATGACACTTTCAGGTTCAATGTTTGATAATATTAGCTGTTCAAACTTGATGTAATTGACAATTTCCCGCATAATATAATTGATTTTGCAATTGATTCGTAATTTTTTTTTCGTACACAGTAATTGACAAACAATGAGAATGGTTCGACTTTGGCAAAAACTAAAGATTGATTTTCCTTGTAGTGATTTTATTTCTCTTTCGACTTGCTTGAAACTCATTACACTTTGATAACTTGTGCCCTCAGATCTAAGTCAATTGTAAAATTTGTAAATTGATTTCTTTTGTATAGCTTTATTGAATCACATGCTTCAAGTTCTCATTCAGTTGCATAAATGGTTCATCTGAAAGCAGTCGGATAAGGTTTCTTACATCAGCTAAGAAGGCTATACGTTGTAAAACTTCATTGGATAAAAAATCTAGCACGATTCTTTTGATAATCAATGTTTCACACCTGTTATATGAGAGTTGGTTCGATATGACTAGGTGCTGTTGCGAGACAGCAAGTTAAGAAATAAGGTTAAATAAATGTAATCACCCCAGGAGCTGTTGTGGTTTGACTAGACAATAATGTGCTATGACTCATATCAGTCATGGGCTGGGAAAACAAAAATATGAAGGGCTACCCGTGTGCTTGTATTTTTGTCATTACTTATCATGCTATTGTTGGTTTTGTGCAAAGTAAGTCGGGAACCAGTCACACCAATTCAGAGAGATAAGTCTTCTGGTAATTGGGTTGACAAGTGCCCCCCCTGTTGGATATGTGTATTTACGAAAGTTTGTTTGATTGAGATTGGTGTCTTTTTTTGGTTTTGAAGATCGAGAAATGGGTTTTTATATATTTTGCAACCAAAAAAAAAAAAAAAAAAAAAGGAAAAGGAAAATAAAAACGATGATTTCTTTCGCACGAGTTTCCTTCTTTTTAAAAAGTTATTTAATCACCATATCAAAAGAAGATGACACAATACACAAAAAGAAGAGAATGAGAACTATACTTCTGATCTTGTTGCCATCAACTTTGATTCCAGCTTAATTTCAAATCCATCCTCAAAATACACTGAAACCGACCTTTACGCATACAAGCACTTCTTAAAAACAAAAATCTACTCGTGTACAAGAAAAGATACAATGTCAAAGTTTGTACCTACATCAATATTGTTAACAGCACCCAGCAACTTTGCAACTGAGGTTTCAAATCGATCAACCATTGCGGTTGTAGTTGCCACATTCCACAATCAAGCATTTTATGAATGTCTTATTTTATTGTTGATTTATTGTATGTTTACGTTTACATGTATCAATATTACTCAAAACCTTTGTCCCTTTAGTGATTGGAATTGGGTTTGGAAGTGCTTGTACGCCATCAAGAAGGTATTTGGCAAGTGGTGGAACAAACTCACAAGAAAAGGTTATGCTGCTGTTTCGAGTGGTGGTGGCGTTTATGATTTGGAAAAGTGTATTGATGATGGCAAGTGGGACAATGCATTTGTGAACCAAATGGAGGCTACAAAACCAGATAATGTACAACTTTGTGGATTAGAAAAGGAAAAGTCATTGACTGGTTTCTTTGGTGGTGAGTCTGCTACTGTCGATGATTACACTATTACTATTGCTATAACTATGAGCAAATCACAATCATCATCATTTTCATCATCATCAATGTATGTTGTAAGGTTGGTTATCAAGTGGATAGTGTTTTTGGCATGGTTGTGTGTGTTTTTTATTTGTCTGACGTACTTGTCAATTTGGGGTTGTATCATAGTATGTGAATGCTTTGATCAGCAACAAAAGGTTGTGGTTGTGGTTGTCATGTATATCCTGTTTGTTGTTTTGCATTTGGGTGCATTTTTTTATGAGATATTTATTGAGTCGTATTAGAAAGAGGAGATTGTGGAAACAGAATTAAGATGAAAAGAATCAAAAAGGAGAAAGATGTGAAAATGATGCAAAATTGAATAATTAAAGAAGGTTATGAAGCCCATATGTTTGAGAGTATATTCACAGTTTTGTTTTTTTTCTTTTTCTTTTTGTTTTTGCAGCCAACTGATGCAAAGAGAGCTGCAATTTGAGTTTTTTTTTTGTTGGAATATGTCGGTCGTTGTGAAGAAAAAGCTTGTGGTTGATTAACAATTTTGTCATACTGCTGCATTCGGAGAGGTTGGTAGTGGTGTCTATTTTGTACTGTCTTTGGTTTTTTTCTATTTTTTTACGTTTGTATCGTTGATGATGGTATTTTAATGGCATATTAGTTTATAATTTTGTTATTTTTGTTTTAACTGAGTACAAATTAAAATCCCATTTATTTACATACTGTTCTATGGAGATGTTTAGCTAAATACTACAATAGAAACTAATCACCCATAGGTGTGTGTTAGTGTGTGTGTGTGTAAACACTCTATTGACTCTTTCTATAGTACTTGAGTTGGTGATACTTGTCTATTTCTTCATCTTTATTAATAGATTGGGTGGGGTGGAAAAGAATAAACAAATAAACAAATAAACAAATGTTGTTATATGCAGTATAGCTAATATTAATACTTGTTTAATATCCGTGTCTGGGACTCATATGACGTGTTTGTGTTTTACTTATTATCACTACTACTGCTACTACTATGTAACTGATTTTGTTTTTGTATCTATAAATATATATATAAAAAAAAAACAACAACAACAATAAACAGTCTAACAGCAACACCACACAAAAACAGCAAGAAGGATGGGTTTATGGGTTTGTGGGTTTATGTATTGGATGACTTTGTGCCAATACGGCTGTGCGGCTTAGATCCTTTTTTTTTTCTTTCTGTCTCGTCGATGCTGCAGACACACAACAAACAGACACAGACAAAAATATGAGATGCATACAACCCACCCTCTATACACACCTTTGAGAATGCCCTTTTCATTAGGTGTTGTCAGGAGCATACTCCGATATTGTTAACCAGTGCATACTACGATAAAGCAGAAGATATATATATATATAGTCTAGAACTTATCGATATGACACTTGTGTTATTCAACCTATTTGCTTGTCTATCATTCAGCCAAGGTCGTGTATAATGACCCAATCAGACACAAGGAATATTTTTCAAGCAAATTACAAACACACGATGGTGCATAGAGTTGTTGTACACACACTCAGACACAAGAACAGAAAAAAAAAAAAATAAGAAACAAAGAACAAACAACAAACAATCAAGGAGAAACAACAATCAAACAAAAAAAAAAGAATTTGTTGTCTGTGTCTTGTTGTCCTCGTTCAACACAACACGCGCGAAACATTTAAAAAAAGTTTGAGAAAAAGCAAAAAGCAAAAAGAAGCAAAAGGCAGAAGAAGCAGAAGCGAAAAAAAAAAAATAATCAACAGGGGACGAAGATCAACGAGATCTTTTCATCAACGTTGTCGTCACGTTTTTTTTTTTTTAGGATAAACCATAAGATACCACCACAACAGAGTAGAATTACTTCAACCACTCGTTACAACATAGGGGCTACTACAAACCAGTACAACCACACTACACTAACACACTACATCAACACACCTTATACACACCTTATACACACCTTATACACACAATAGCACCATTTTTTTTTTTTTGGCATGTTTTTCCGAAGATTATCCCTACTGTACATTTTATTAGGAGCATTGGTGGTTGCTATAATCATATTCAATGTGCTGATACTATCTTCCAGTGGTGACTCATCATCATCATCTTTGATAAACACCCCTCTTTCTAACAAGGGTGGTGGTGCCAAATACTATACTGGTGGCAAATCTTCATTACAAGCCCATGTTGATAAAGTGGATAGTCAAGAATATATCGATGAAGTAATGAAGGAGTTGGAGGCAACTAAAAAGGAAGAAATCTTGTCGGATTTGAAACAATCAGTAGCCAAGAATGAAAAACCCAAAATTGTTCAAGAACTCAAAAATGAACTTCGAAGAAAATATATCGATGTTATTCAACAAACTTTAAAAGATGAAGTTCGAGAAGAACAAACTAGTGAATTCTTTAAACAAAATTCCATGTCTTATGCCTTGTTTGAACAATTGGTCAATACATATGCCAAGGAACATAAAGCTGATTTCAAACCAGCTGCATTTCTTGACATCCTCAAGAATGAAGTTCATGATTTCCCCCGGGATTTCGAAGTTAAAGTGGCAAAAGCTTGTGAACGGTTTTTTGACAAATCGAGCTATTATCAACATTTGATCAAAGATGTACTTGTTGCTAATAAACCCAATTGTGAACCATTTACTGATGATGAACGTGGTAAAAAGCTAAATCCAACCTATCAAAGAGATCAACGGATAATATCGGAAAAATATCTACGAGAATCCAATTTAAACATCCCCATTTCTAAATTCAAATGTCTACAAGAATCTCATGATAATCTAGTCAAGACATTGAAATCGTTGCCCGAACCACCAAGACAGTTTGTTTCAGGGTATGGTATAGTCATTAATGGTGGTGGTGGTATGATTGTTAGTGCTTTAACGGCAATTGCCAATTTACGTGATCGTGGCTCATCACTCCCAGTTGAATTAATCTTGGACACACCTGAAGAATACGATAAACAGATTTGTGAAGACTTGTTGCCAAATAAATTGAATGGTAAATGTGTTGTGATTCAAAATATTCTTGGCAAGGAAGTATTTGACATGGTTAGTGCTAAATTTGCTCGCAAGATTCTTGGGTTGATTGTATCATCATTTGATCACACCATTGCCCTAGATGCCGACAATTTCCCCATTAGAGATGTGGACAATTTGCTTTATACTGAGCCATACCTTTCAACAAAGATGATTTTGTGGCCTGATTTATGGGTGAAATTAACCAGTCCATTGTACTACAAGATTGCCAGAATTGAAAAGGGAGAACCCATACATCGATTTGGATTACCCAATGATGCAAAATTTGCCGATTATATCGTCAAGGATAAACAATCGGAAATCCATTTCCATGATTTTGCCAATTTACCAAGCACAATTTCAGTGGAAACTGGTCAAATGGTGTTCTCCAAACGTGAACATTTTCGCGCATTACTCTTGTCATTATACTACAATATCAATCTAAAACCATGGTATGAAACTTTGTTGTATCAAGGCGCTTATGGTGAAGGAGATCGCGAAACCATTGTTCCGGCATTACATGTCATGAATGAACGTTATCATTTACAAAATCAAAAATTACATCTTTGGGGCTATACTGCTGAAACTGGCAAATTTTCAGAAACAACATTGGGACAAACAGATCCTCGCGATAACCCGGAATTTTACTACGATTGGCAAAAATTCCTTTCAACAAAGCAACTAGACACGAGATTAAATCCATTCCAATCTGGTGGATACACTGACAGATTGATTGAACAATTTAAAGAATACAAGAAAAAAATTATTGCCGATAAAAAGATTGAAGATGAAGATACTGCTCATCGATTAATTGAATACAAGTTGCCAAAACTCCTATTTCTTCATTGTAATCACCCCAAGATTGACCCCGTCAAGAATGCTCAAGAGGGCGAATTTGGCACCTATTCAAGAAGAAACATTGGTCCCTTGGATCAAATCAAGCCCATCTTCAACAAGAGAGATTGGGAATTACGATTCCATTCCATTGCTAGATGGGTTGCCTGTGATGCCATCAAGAGCGCCGAGTTTTGGAAATCTTCCGCCAAGATTGATCAACAAACTGTATGTTTTAAAATCAACAAGTATATTGAGTTTTTGAAGAAGGATTCTTTTGATGCGACGTTTGAGTTTAAGAGTGAAGACGCGGAAAAGTTTTATGTTGGTGGTAAAGGTGCCGGTATTGGAGGCGACGCTGCTGCTGCTGCTGCCGGTGGTGGTGGTGGTAGTGGTGATGGAGCTCAAGAAGATGATGTCAAAGCTGTCGCTCAACAACAAGCACAACAACAGGCGGAGGCTGAAGCTAATGCAAAAGCTAAAGGTGAAGTGGATGATCCATTAAAGGAAGATGTCAAGGAGGATGATAAACCAATTGAGGATGGCGAAATTCATCAACCGCAGTAGTAGAGGCAATGCTGTAACATTAGCCAGGGGGGTAAAGTATATATATTTACAGAATATTAAATGTACATTCTATTAACCTATTCACTCATTGTCACTTTCAACATCAACATCATCATCATCATCATCATTATCGCTGCTGCTCTCTTGCGAGGTGTACTCTCCCTCCTCATCTTCCCCATCATGATTAACTTCTTCTACATTGATATTATACCCCCGACTTTGGAAAAAATTACCCATTTCTTCAACCTTCTCCATTGGCAAACTCGTAAACACAACCGAATGCGCCGCATCAAACAAGTTGATAAAGTATTTTTGCAACACATACTTGACATCATTGGCATCCAATTGTTCCAATTGAGTCAAGTACAGTTCAAGATAATTGGGTCCTCTTGCTTTGAACAAATTGTCAACAATTTTAGCACTAGCCGAATCATAACTTGATTCTTGAGCATTGGCCAATTCATTAACGATGCTAGCTACCGCATTCTCCAAACTCAATGCATCAATCGCCAACTCGCCACTAGCATACTTCTTCACTAGCTCCCTTGCTTCTATCCATGCTTGTTTGGCATCAGAAGCACGATAAAGTTGGAAACTTAAAAACCCAGTCTCGGTATTTTGCTTCATCGATACACCATAAGCTAAACCTGACCCTCTAATTGATCGCCAAAATGGACCTTCAATAGCACATAGGAACTCAATAGCCAACGCAATGCGGGCAACATCTTCATGCAAGTAGTCTGTTGGGATAGGTGTAACTGAGACCAAGTGAGTGGATTCAGTGGCTCTCATATCAATGAGAAACGCTTCATGATGGCATTTGGAGCCCAAGTCCGATTTGAATTGAAATGATCTTGGTAATTGACTAAATGGCACAATCGAAGATACAACTTTATCGATTGGGTTTTCTTGGGTTTCCTCCTTTAGTGAAATGAGCTTCTCCCATGAACTAACAGGTGCATCCAAACCCGATACATCACCAAGCACAATGATTTTGATATTATCCAACTGGAACAAATTCAGTTTAATCTCCTCCAAATCGCGTTTGATGGTATCAAATTCCCCATCATTGATCAATTGCAACAACTCCTTGAAAAAAATTTCGGTATTTATCGAATCCTGTTGTTTTCTCAATGACGAATCATTAAATAAATTTCTAAATTGTGATGAATACATCATTAATTCTCCATTCCGTTTCTTATCCGGTAATGACCCCAATATCTTTTCCAAAATCACTTTAATTCTCGCTTCTTCAAATTCAACAAAATTGATCAAATTGTAAATCCAATTGATGGCAGTGGCATATTTCTTCGACTCACATTTAACCAGCATTGAAATCAAATCCAAAAACTGATAATTGAACCCATTATCTAGTTGAAACTCAATTAAATCACGATTCAAATCAGCAACAACTTGCTCATAGGGCATATATTCGCCATGGGGCAATTTGATCGACATGGTGAAAATTTCCTCCATTATCGACATATATTTAAGCAAATGCGGTTGGATTTTTGTTGACGACATTACCAATTGAATGGTGATGAATTGGGATTTGAACGTTTCAAAATGCATGAAAAGAGGGAAATTTGATGGCGTATCTTGTATTAGCTTTTGATGGAATTCACCCGATTCAATGTACTGATTGGTGTGTACATTAACGATGCCTTTACTGTATCCTGCTTTGTATGACCTTGTCTTGATGAATGCAATTTTCGATGGATCGGGCTTTGCAAACACAACAAGCAATTCTTCAGGGATTGGTCTATCATTGAACTTGTGAGCTGCGGTTAATTTCTCTTTAGCTTGTTTCAATCCTTCAACACCCAATTTCGCCTTGATGTTCTTGTTAAACTCACGTTGTTGCTTCTTTACTTCATCATTCAATTTCCTTGATGGAGTTCCCAATACCGCTGCACATTTATTATCAACAAAATACTTCCTGATCAAATCACACCATTGATCAGATGTCCAAGTCAATAATTCATCATATTCATCAAGATTTTTCGCCCATTTGGCCAAATCATTGCCATCGGGTTTACCATAGATAAAATCAAGTATTGCTATATTTGAAAATGCAATGGGAGATTTCTCAGTTTGCGATATAAACTTCAATCGTTGTTGGTTGATAATTTGTCTCATGTATAGTAGATCAAACTCCTCCGGGTTAGTTTGCGATTTGATCAATTGTTTCAACTTGTTGACCAATTCATTCAATTTCCCCGTTGGTACACCATTGCACGTAAAATTCAATGCTGTTCGATAATAATCATCAGTATGATACTCTATTTCCGTAGCATATGGGTTATCAATCTCAACAAGATGCTTATTGAATAACGAGATGGCACTGTCGGTGAATGCAGCACCAACCATATCAACAGCAGTATTTGTGACAGGATCATCACCCAAAGGACCAATCCAAGACATCAATACCTCACCAGTAGACTCATCAGTCTCAGGAAACTCAACAACCTTGACAATATCTTCCGTCAAAGGTTCGTCGTGTTTTGAATCCACAAATGGTCTCTTGTGCTGCTGCCCCACTGGTGGCAACTCCTGCAACTCAGCATCAAAATCAGTCATAATCTGCAAAAGTTCATCTTGATCAATCGACCCAGTTATTATAACACACAAGTTATCCAGTCTATACATGGACTTGTGAAACTCCTTGATCTTGTCGTTGGTTAAATGACGCAATTCAGCCATCAATCCACCAGTTTCTGAAGAGTACCCCAGTTCAGGCGCGTACAAAATTTTCTGTAATTGGTTCGACGTTTCAAACCATGATTGACCTTGAATACCTTGCATTTCACTGAAAACGACACCTTTTTCCTTCCCATTGCCATCAACATGGTATACTTCAGTTAAACATGCTTCATCAGTCAATGTCGGGTTAAACAAATGATCCAAGTAGATTGGCAACAAGGTCTTGAACCCATCCCATCCTGCAGTTGTCAAAGTGTACACTGTTTGGTCAGTTGATGTCCATGCATTAGTTTGCGAGTAAAGTCGATTTCCCAAAGTGTCCAATAACCCTTTATACGGGTACTTCTTTGACCCCATAAAAATCAAATGCTCCAATGTATGCGGTGACCCAGAGTCATCACTTATTTCGGTGGCAACTGCAAAATATCCATTCACTACTGGTGACGGTTGGTTGATGTACGTCAATTGTAGTCCTGTTCGCTGTGATCTCCATTTGGTTATGTATGCGGGAGCATATTCCACTTCAAACGAAGTTTGTTTGACAAAGGGAGAGCTTATTCTTGTCATTGCAGATGTGACAAGCCTAGTGTATTGTGAAATGATGGCGGCCAGCTATGTATTTGCTATTCGAGTCCAAATGTTGAAAAATCCTGAAAAAAATTTACCCGAAAAAAAAATAAGAAACGGAAAAAAAAAAAGTTCCTTTTTTTGAAAAATTGCGCATTTAATACACTAACAACACTATACTCTATTTCATTTCCAGTTCAGCTTCTTTAAACATTTTGAACATATCACCCACATCCCTCTTCATTGTTCTTGTAAGCTCCACTAAATCCTCATCCAGTCGGTTGTACATAATACAATTGGCAAACATCAACATCACGTCTCTCTCTAGTTCTTTAATCAGCAGATACACAGGTGGTTCTTTTTTCGACTTAAGTGCTTTCATAATACCCTTCAAATCTTTTGGTTCGTAAATCATTTCATAATAGTTTGGCGCATCTTTTGGATTGACAGCTTGCAAAAACGGTGATGAGAAGCGATGCTCTTGAATGGAATTTAATAGATTGACGGCAATGTTTTGGAACCTCTTATGATGTTGAGCAGGTGCAGGTGAGCGAGATCTCGGTCTCTTGCGTGAAGATGAATCTGGTTTGGATCCAGGTGGAACAACTTCGACGGACTTTTCTTTGGGCTCTTGATTTTTAGGTGACTCCAGCGTGGGGGAGGAAACTTCGACGGTAGCTTCGTCGAGAAGCGGGGATGACTGTTCAATATTCTGCTCAGATATCTCATGTGCCGTGGTTGGCTCCTCATTTTGAGTGTCTGAAATTTCCTTAGTCTCCGAATCCCTTTTGTCCACGTCTGAAAGCACCACTTCCTGAAACGGCGAAGGACTCTTTGGTACAACTTGTTCTGCTTTGGATTTCACACCCTCTTGTAAAGGTTCAGTAGGCTCCTCTTTTGCTGCTTCCTCTTGCTCCACAATCTCTTGCTGCTCAGTGTCATCCTCCTTTGGAACCAGTTCCTGAATTTCCTTCTCAACAACATCTTCACTCTTCTCTTCATTCTGCATACTTGGTTCATGCGGCACATCAGACTCTTTGTCAACATCATCTGCGACAACTTCCTCGACGCTTTCTTTCTGTTCGATCTCTGCCGTCTGAGAAGTATCACCCTCTACTTGTGACAATTCCTCAATTTCGGGGCTTGCCAACTCCACACCTTCTTGAGCGGGAGTATCAACTTTGTCTTCCTCATTATCGCCAACTGACTGGTTAGGATCAGCAACTTCGTCCTCTTTCTTTTTCAGCGGCTCTGCCTCCTCTTTCTTTTTTAGCGGCTCTGCCTTCTCTTTATCTTCCTCCTCAGGTGCAGTTGCAATGGCGGGCTCAGCCGGCTCCTCATCCCTCACCTCTTCTGTAGTCTCTATAACCTCTTCACTTGCCTTTGCACTTTCTTGCTCCGATTTGTACAACAGCTTTGCGCCATTAAGTAAAAATTTTGAGTAACGAAATGTCGATGTAGCAACAATGTTCTTTAGATAATTTTCATACTTGTCCCCAACTTCAACCATCACCTGATCATTAACGACGCTCACAAATTTAAAGTACAAAGTCCTATTTATGATAAATGATAGTAGTTTGATATCAATGTAGGGAAAGTTTATCTCGTCATTTGGGAAATCCTGTGTATACTTGCGTGTGGTGTTGTTCAATTGAGTGATAAAGTCTTCAACTGGTATCGACGCCCTGTTGTCAGGTAGATCACCTTCATATTCGCTTATAAACTTGTTGATAACGGATCCCACTAGGATGATCAGTAGGTCTGGGTTGATCTTGACTTGCTCCGACATTCCTATTGGTATGTTGTTGTTGTTGTTGTCATTGTCAGTGATTGTTTTTTCTTGCTTTAGTTTTGGTATAAAAAGACCTCAACTTTTTGAATGAGGCATTCGATACAACTTCCGTTCAATGCCAGCTGGTGTCGAGTGAATAGAGTTGTATATCAGAGCCCATTCTACAGATGTTGTCTCTAGTAAAAGTCGTGTTATTATATATACAGATGTCGAGTCAAGCTGCACCAACGTCAATTAACCCGTACTAATAAGCCAGGATTCGTATTGAAGACTGACAGCTTTAGTCTCACTCAAAATGACTCTATTTCTGTCCTTGTTGCATTAATAAAGCACTAAAGATAAGTTAGTATTACATCATCAAACATCATCATCACAGTTTCAAATACATACTTTTGTTCTTGAAATCTTTGACCAACACGTTCACTATGCTTCAAAAACTTTTCCGAACATTTGGCAATACAGCTTGTCTCTTTTGAAGTCAAGTTATTGGATGTAAAGTCGTTAACGCAATCTTCGAAACATCTTGAGACCAAGTTTGAGTATAAGTTCATGAAATCCTTCATTTGCTTTTGTTCAACAATTTGTTGAAACTCTTGTTGTTCCTTGACATTTAACTGATCCATTATGTATCTTTGATTTAGCGTATGTGTATGTGGTGAGTATAAAGTTGTATGTTGTTGCAATGGCAAAAAAGGATTGGTCTTTAGCAATGATTGAAAAATTTTTTTTTTTCGTTTGGTCGTCGTGGAGTAGTACAGTATGTACAAAGATTAGCCATTGTGTGTAATGTATATACAAGTTCGACTTCTCTACGCTTTACAAAGACCTGGGGCTCTTGGAAATGGAACTGTGTCTCTAATATTGTCGTGTCCCGATAAGTAGGTCACAAACCTTTCCCAACCCATACCAAATCCACCGTGAGGAATGGTTCCACATTTCCGCAAAATGGTGTACCACTCCATATCATCTAGGTTCATTGTGTTGCTCTCCATAGACTCCAAAAGTGTGTCGTGGCCGTGTTCTCTCAAAGATCCACCAACAAGTTCACCAAACTGAGGCAACAACAAATCAAAGCATGCTACAGTTGGTTTATCTTCATTGAAAGTTAGCGACTTCCTCATGTAGAACGGCTTCATTGAAGTTGGATAGTCAGTAACAAAAACAGGACCATTCTCAGCCAATACCCTCTCGTGGTCCAAATTTAACGAGTCGCCAAAAGTTAGATTTATGCCTTTGCGCCTCAACTCATCAAGTGCTTCGACGTATGTCAAACGTCGCCAATCACCAAGAATGTGCCTCCACCTGGACTCTATAGTCTCTCTATCCAAGTACGTTCCCTCAAGATATTCTTCTTTCCTCTCTACTAGTCTACTTGTTGCATATTTGACCATTTCTTCTGTAAAGTTCAACAATGGCTCCAAATCATCCAAATACGAAATTTCTGCCTCCAACATCCAAAATTCACTCAAATGTCGGGAAGTTTTAGACTCTTCCGCACGAAAGCAAGGAGTCAATGTCCAAGCTCTATTAAGAGCCAATGCAATAGCCTCTAAATGCAACTGAGTGGACACTGTCAAACACGCTTTCTTTTCAAAAAATTCCTCAGACTGTTTGATCTCAAATGTCTCACCCGCTCCCTCGCAATCTGAGCTTGTAATAATTGGAGGACTCACTTTGGTAAAGCTATGGCTATTGAAAAAATCCATCATTTGAGATTCAAGAAATGATCGAAGTCTGTAAAATGACGCAATCGTTGAGGCTCTGTGCTTCAATGAAGGTAAAGTCCTTAAAAAAGACATCGATGTTGCCTTCTTTTGCAAAGGATAATCATCTGGCACCGTGCCTATGATTTCGTAGGCATGATTAGGGTCAGTTGGATCATACTTGAGCTCCGTCTCTTGACCTTTTCCCTTACTTATATTCCATTCGCCCTTGATGCAAACACTCTCACCAACTTGGAGTTTTGGTTGATTTTTGCCAAGTAAAACAACATTGATTATCTTTGAAGTTGTACCGTCCGATATATCTACAAACCCAACATTTTTCGAATTTCGTATACTCTTGACAAACCCACGCACTTCAAAAATTGATCCAATTTGTGGGGGATCCAATAACTGCTCTTTGACTGTGGGTGATAGAGCCCCTTTACTGTATAAACGTCGCCTTATCACATACGGCTTCAATCCAGCGGATATTGCTCTAATCATTGAGTAATTTATTCCTTTTTCCGTTTCGTTTGAAACGAATGCAGTAAACTTTTCCGCGAATGAAAAATGTACTTCCTGCTAAAAATAGTCTTGACACAATGAGGTACATATATATATATATATATATGGAAGGGGCCCACCACCACGTTCCCCCCCGTCAACTCGCTTCGAAAACCAGCTTTTTTTTTGCCTGGCTGTTAACTGCTGCTCTTATCCGTAATGCACTCACACCATTCACATAGTGGTGATTACATTTCGCATGCTCATGATCCTTTAGAACATATGGTCCAAAGCTACATTGATCGTGGTTTTGAGGTTCTTTGTCTCACAGAGCACATGCCAAGATTAGACCAGGCTTACCTATATCCAGAGGAAAAAGAAAAGGGCTACGGAATTAAAGAATTAGTGGATGATTTCAGCAAGTACTTGGTACACGCAAAGAAGGTGCAGTCAAAGTACCAAGATAAGATTAAAATCATTATCGGATTCGAGGTCGAGGGAATTGATGAGGCCCACGTGGGCTACTCCGCTGATATACTCCAGAACCCACTGATACAAATGAGCGTTGGGTCGGTGCATTACGTACATGGGATACCTATAGATTTTTCCAAAGAGTTATGGGTAAAGGCAAAAGCAGCAAGTAAAGGCGGTTTGACGAGATCTTTATACAAAGACTATTTCGAATTGGTGTCTAAGGTGATTGACTTAAAGCCACAAGTGATTGGTCATTTCGATTTAATTCGTCTCTGTCAACCTGAGGATGATTTCGATGAGTCAACAAACAAACTTACCAAAGATATAAGGATTCAAACTGACTGGCCCGAGGTTTGGGAAGTGATAATCTCCACTATTGAAAAAGCCGGTAGTTACGGCGCAATGTTTGAGCTCAATTCGGCAGCCATTAGAAAAGGCTGGGATTGTCCTTATCCAAAGAGTGACCTCGTGCAAGCTGTTATCGAGTATGGTGGTGGTCGATTTTGCCTATCTGATGATGCCCACTCAATAAACCAAATTGGTCTCAATTACAAAAAAACGCTACAATACCTCAAAGACCATGACGTTTCAAAATTATACCACCTTGATGTGAAAGATGGAGAGGTCGTTACAGTTGCCGATGATATAGAGGATATAGAGACATCTAAATTTTGGAGTGTGTAATAATAATCATAAATTGTAATCTAGTAAGATCTACCAAACATACAGTACGTAACAGCCTTTCTATCACACTTGACACATTTTTGATCAGGTTTCAAATTTGGTTGTTCGAATGGGATACATAATGATTTGGCTCCCATCGATGGAGCCTTTTCATCCACATCACCATCCTCACCATCATCATTCTTTGCCGATGAATCTTTAATGTCATCTTCACAATCAGCATCACCACACCATGGAGCTAAAATAACATTCTTTTTGTTCAAAGTTGGGACAAAATCCTTCCAATTTTCAACCAATACTCTATGTTCATCAAAATCTTTCCTGGCTTTACCCAACAAAGCGTCATGCATCTCGTCCAACAATTCTGGAATACGTTTTTCCAACTCGTCCAATTTGACAGTGTATTTTTGACCATCGTTTCTTCTAACGACAGTGACTTGCTTGGACTCCAAATCCTTAGGTCCAAATTCCAATCGAAGTGGAACACCCTTCAATTCCCAATCAGCAAACTTCCAACCTGGATTATAAGAGTCTCTGTAATCACCGGTGGCTTTAATACCAGCTTTCTTTAATCTATGTTCAATTTCTTCAGCACCATCATTGATTTGTTTTCTTTGGTCTTCACCTGTTTTGGCGGTGATTCCTACAGGGATAACAACAGCTTGAGTTTGGGCTACTCTTGGAGGTAAAACCAACCCTTTATTATCCGAGTGAGTCATAACCATAACACCGATTACTCTAGTGGACAATCCCCATGAGTTTTGATAAGCAAACAACCGTTCTTTATCAGCTCCGTCTGGATTTTCGACAGAAATGTTGAACATTTTCGAGAAATTCTGACCTAAATGATGCGAAGTACCACCTTGTATACCTCTACCAGTAGCTGCGATAAAACCTTCGACAGTGGTTGTATAATCACCACCCGCAAACTTTTCATTCTCAGTTTTTCTACCTTTGACAACTGGAACAGCCAACAACTCCTCATAAATAGCAGCATAGTAGTCCAATATTTGCAAAACTTCTTCAGCTGCTGACTCTTTTGTCAAATGGGCAGTGTGGCCCTCTTGCCATAAAAACTCTCTGGTTCTCAAGAATGGTTGAGGGTGCTTAAATTCCCAACGAACAACAGAATTCCATTGGTTCAACTTTAATGGCAAATCACGGTGTGACCTGATCCATTTTGCATAGTATGGGTACATTACTGTCTCAGATGTTGGTCTGATAGCAATGTGTTCGTCCAATTCAGAATTTCCGGCCTTGGTGACCCATGCCACTTCAGGAGCAAATCCTTCAATATGATCCTTTTCCTTCTCCAAAACTCTTTGCGAAACAAACATTGGAAAGTAAGCATTCTGAACTCCCAATGATCTAATCTTCTGGTTGAACCAATCTTGAATAGTTTCCCAAACGGCGTAGGAGTTTGGTCTGAGTATATAACAACCGGAAACATCGTAATAGTCCAACATTTCACTCTTTACCACTACTTGTGTATACCAGTTGGAAAAATCCTTTTCCTTGTCAATGGTAATACCGATCAATTTGGCATCTTCAATTTTTGCATCATCTTTCTTTGCTGGTGCTGGTTTCTTATCTTTCGAAGGGACTGTAGCGACTGGCTCTGCAGCAAAATCAGTCTCAACAAGTTCAATCCCTGTGGACTTCAAAAACTCTAAAACTATTTTTGCAGATAAACAAACAGCTTCGGTTTCAGTCGTCAACTTCAAGGTCTCATCTTTCTCTGCGGCACTGAGAATATTATTATCAAGAATGATTTTGATCTTCCCCGCCAAATTTTGAGACAAGTTGGCGATGGACACTTCTTTAGCGGAAGTCTTGAAAAATTCTTGCACAAGATCGTCCTTTGCTAATCTTGGTTCTTTGACATTAGCAGATTTGGCAATGGTTGGGGTGGGAGTGACTGTAGATTGAAGTGCAAAGACCAATACAGGAACTGGTGTCGCTGTTTTAGCGGTCTTTGGTTTGAATACCAATGTTTTGGTAGTTAATGCATTAGCACTCTCACCTGATACGGCTAATGATAAAGAAGCTAAGGACTGAGCTAAAGCCATGGTGTGCGCGTGTGTGTGTATGCTTTGTACAAAATGGGGTTGACTTCGAAGCCAGATTGATTCTTCGTAAGATTTTTCAAAATTTTTACTCTCTTTTTTTTTTTTTTTTTTCAACCCATTCTCGAGTATATTGAATTGACATAGAGAGAAGGAAAAAAAAAAAAAAGTTGAGTCAGAATTTTTCACCCAGCTACTTACACTTTTCATTATTTCGAACATCTACAATGTCAACTACTTACGTCAACGAAAAGAGCGGAGTAGATTCTGCTGATCACTCCGGATCAGAGTCACAGCCATATGCAACATCAGCATACGCTTTGTTTATCAACCCAGAAGCAAAAATTTTTGTTTACAAGGAAACTGATGAAGACAAGACTAAATTTGCGTACACAGAGATATCACCCTCAGCATTGAAAAAGGCTAAAAAGGGTGCTGAGGGTTTAAAAAAGAAAGCTGAAAAACAATCCAAACTTCAGACTGAGAAGGAGTCAATGCCAAAGGTTGCTGATTTAGACTTGACCTCAATTGAAGAGGACAAGTCCTTGCCAGCTGCAAAAAAGATCAAATTGAGATCAATTCAAGACAGTATTGGAACAAGGGTACAAGTCAATGGATGGGTACACCGTTTGAGAGTACAAAAGGGCTTAGCTTTTATAACGTTGAGAGATGGTACGGGATTCTTGCAATGTGTTTTGACAGGAGAATTGGCCAAGGCAAGACAAACTCAGGAATTGACTATTGAATCAACGGTTCTGATCAAAGGTGTCGTTTCCAAGTTACCAGAGGGGAAAACTGCACCAGGGGGTGTTGAATTGAAGGCTGATTACTACGAAATTGTTGGTTTGGCCCCAAGTGGTGAAGACGCATTCACAAACAAAATCCAAGAAGGTGCTGATCCTTCATTGTTGTTGGATCAACGTCATTTGACTTTAAGAGGAGAAAGCATTTCGGCAGTGATGAGGGTTAGAGCCGCATTCTTGCACGCAATTAGAGAGTTTTATAGAGAAGAAGGGTTGTTAGAGGTTACCCCACCTTGTATGGTTCAAACACAAGTGGAAGGTGGGTCGACTTTGTTCAAAATGAACTATTACGGAGAAGAGGCTTACTTGACGCAATCGTCGCAATTGTATTTGGAAACTTGTTTGCCAGCGTTGGGTGATGTATATTGTGTCCAAGAATCATTTAGGGCTGAAAAGTCGCACACCAGAAGACACTTGAGTGAGTATACACACATCGAGGCAGAATTGGCGTTTCTTACTTTCGATGACTTGTTGAACCACTTAGAAAAATTGATCTCAAAAACAGTGCAAAGCGTATTGGAGGATCCAGTAGCTGGTGAATTGGTCAAGCAATTGAACCCCAAGTTTGAAGCTCCAAAATTGCCCTTCAAAAGAATGGAGTACGTTGAAGCTTTGGACTGGTTAAATGAAAGAGGTGTCTTGAACGACGAAGGAAAGCCTTACTCGTTTGGTGATGATATTGCCGAAGCTCAAGAAAGAAAAATGGTTGATACAATCAACCAACCTATATTGTTAACCAGGTTCCCAGTAGAGATTAAATCTTTTTACATGCAAAAATGTCAAGATGACCCAAGGGTGACTGAATCTGTTGACGTTTTGATGCCAAATGTTGGTGAAATTACAGGAGGTAGTATGAGAACTGTGGATTATGACGAGTTATTGGCTGGGTTTAAGAGAGAAAACATTGATCCTTCCGCTTATTATTGGTTCTTGGATCAACGTCGTTATGGTACATGTGAGCACGGTGGTTATGGTCTCGGTACTGAAAGAATCTTGGCTTGGCTTTGTGATAGATTTACAGTTAGGGATTGCTCTTTGTATCCAAGATTTACTGGTAGATGCAAGCCATAGAAGAGTTACATAGTTGGACTGGAGCATAGCGTAAGATATCATCAATTAATAAACAAAATGAAAGCACGTTAACATTGCGAATCGCTTATTCGGCATGGACAATTTCAGCCTTTTCTTCAAACGTTGGACTGATAGCTGCCGACTTGTATAATGGAGGTAAAGGTTCAATGTCTTTACGTAAAACATGAACTTGAACATTTCTCCATAATTTCTTTGTCTGGTATGCGGCGTGTTTTGTTGCCGACACTGAAAACACATGATCCAACTCCTCCAACGTCAAACCTTTTGTTTCAGGTAGGAACCAAAGCACCATGAAGAAGCCGATAATGTTCCAGGCGGCATAGAACCCAAATGCCCCTGTAGGCGTAAACTCATTTTGCAACCGTGGCCATGTGAATGCCAACAAGAAATTAAAGAACCAACATGTTGCAGTGGCCCAAGCCATACCCAAGTCTCTGATATACAATGGGAAAGCCTCGGCGGAATAGGTAAATGGAACTGGCCCTTCTGATGAGGAATAAACACACGCAAATAAATAAATACCTGTGGTAACCATACCTAGCTTGCCATTAGTGTCATCAATCAAAAACCCAAACCCTGCAATCAACAAGAAAGCCGACATTATGGGAAATGCAAAAAGCAACAAGTTTCTCCTTCCGAATCTGTCAATGGTTAAGAAAGCTGGAATTGCAAAAATGAAATTAATCATACCAAAACCCCATGATGCCAACATGGCTTTGACCTCACTCAAGTCGGCTTCAATAAAAATGGACGATGAATAGTAGGCAATAACATTAATCCCACAAAATTGTTGCATGAACATGACGATCCAAGATGCAATGGCACCGTTTCTATTTCTTCTAATGGTGAACATTTCAATAACTCTTTTCCAGGTGGGGATCCTGTACGTACCCTCTTCCTTCAACAACACATATTGATAGAAGCAGTCCCTTGCTGCTGAAATCTCGTCAAAACGCAACACCCTCAACGATTCAAACGCTTCCTTGTGTCTTCCTTTTCCCATTAACCAACGAGGTGATTCAGGAACATAAGGCACTTGAAACAAGACAATAAATGCAGGAATACAAGCACTTCCCAACATCAACCGCCAGTTTAACCCAGTACTAAAACCTCTATTTGGTACATAATAGAAAGCCAAAGCAGCAACATATCCAAACATGATACCCACGGCAGTGAAAAATTGCCACAACATGACCAAGGCACCCCTGATATGTTTTGGAGCACACTCTGCGGCATACGGAGGAACTGTAGCAGACTTGATACCCACTCCGAACCCCAAAAAGAAACGTGAAATAAATAAATGCCACCAATTATTGACAAACCCTTGCCACACGCATGTAATAGCAGAAATAAAACACGTCCAGAAAATAACCCATTTTCTTCCCAAATGTCTGTTCCAAAAATCTGACATCCAACAAGCAATACAGGATGCGCACAAATAAGGTGCACCATTGACCAAACCTTCAATCAAATCTGCATCTTTCATTTCAGTAATTCCAAAAGCACGGGGATAGAATAATGTTGCACCATTGATGACGGTTTGGTCCATGCCTTGTACAGCAGCAGCCATCGAACCAAGTGCAATAACGGCAACCAATTTTTTAGGTATGTGCCACTTTTTTGTTGCTTCTACTTGTAGAGCATCTTTTTCCTTCTCAGAGAGAAACGACATGTCTGCAAATCCAGCCGGAGATCTTGCCACAGCAGCTGCGTTGGCAAACAATTCTGGATCTAAATCGTGTTCCTTTGCGTAATTTCTACCCATCTCCATAACTTGTTGTTCAGTGTATCGTGAGAGAACATTTCCGTGTTCGGCTTCGTGTGACTCCTTCGAAGTCAAGTCTTCGGAACTCTTGTTGTCATTGTTGAGCGAGTCTGCCGAATTTTTTGAAATTGAGTCAAGTTCTTTAATGGGCATTATTAATTCTGGTGAGTATCGCGCACTGGAATCACACACGGTAGGGTTCCATTGCAGGTATTTATATTTCAGTGGAAACAACACAGAATTGCCTTTTTTGTTGCTTTTACTGATATCTTCCCCACACCAATAAGCTTTAACTAAGAAAAGTGAGCGAATTCGTCACATTAGTGGCTTACAATAGAGTTTACGCAATAACTTACACGTTTCGCATCTAGAATTCGCTCATGCCTAAAACAACAATAGAATGGCTACTCGAAACAAACCCCACGCGGAATTGAAAAATATACCAAGATTTTGTGTGAATGACCTTTCTTAACAACAAATGCAAAGTTGCAAAAAAACAAAAACAAAGTTTAAATGCACGACTGAGTTTTCATTGCAGCCAAAAGAAGAAGTAGAAAAAGTGAAAAGGATATTGCTACCAAGAAATATTTTCCCTTCGCATCCAAGAAAAGTTTGACGTGTACTTGCTTGGCTTACGGGAAATGAAAATTGCCGTACGGAGTGGATTGTGGCTTTCCGAGAAGTGGCCAATAAACCCCCTTTATTAATGAAAAGGTAGTCAGTGGTTGTGGCATGGAAACAAGTGGCATTATGCCTCATGTGTTGATTCCAAAGAGAGTGAGCCTAATTTTTTCAAAGCCTTCAACGATGTTAAAAAGCTTTCGGATTAAGGTTTTTCCTACAAATTTCTCGGAAGAATAGTACTTATAAATGGACAAGAAAACTACTGCTTAAAGCGGACGTAGGAATGACGTAGTTGTGTAAGCTAGAAATTTACTTGTTAACTAAACCAATTCTTTAAATGGCCATAAGCTTTTGTTCAAGTTTGGGCAAACAATGTTCGCCAAGAAATTTTATCACGTGTAAAGAGGCAAATTCAACCAAACTCGGAGGAACAGAAGGTTGGGAGTGCGGGGAGGATAGTGGGTGAGTAGGAACTCTTATCTGATGCCCCCCTACGGGGCTGTGCTAAATTACGAACAAGAGATGTACGATTTCATCAAATGCACCATAGAGGCCACTCATAAAGTTGAAATTCCAATCATTCTATTGCAAATTGTAAGTGAAATTCTGTTGTGGCACAAATGTGTGCCTCAAAGAGATTACCCTCTTTAGTAAAGGAATAGCAAAAGCCCTTTTACCAGGGAAACCTCACACAAGAATCAAAAACAAATATCTTGACTCTTAGCTGACACATTGGGTTGCGTTTTCTTAGGTGGTCGTGTAAAATGACTCACATCCCAATTGGGTAACACTACCAGTGCTTAGCCGCGATGAAAAATTTTTTTATATCTTTTTGGAAAAGCTTCATTCTGGAAGAGTCACTTCTCAATCAACAAGAAACAAATGACAGACCAAGCACAACCAAGCGAAAATAAACTTTGGGGTGGAAGATTCACCGGCGCAACTGATCCATTGATGGATTTGTACAATGCTAGTTTGCCTTATGATAAAATTATGTACGATGCTGATCTCACTGGAACGAAGGTGTACACTCTGGGATTAAACAAGTTGGGGTTGATTACGGAGGACGAGTTGGTAAAGATCCACGAAGGGTTGGAAGTGATCCGGAGGGAATGGAAAGAAGACAAGTTTGTCGAAAAACCAGGAGATGAAGATATCCATACTGCAAACGAAAGAAGATTGGGTGAGATTATTGGCAAACATATTGCCGGTAAGGTGCACACTGGGAGGTCTAGGAATGATCAAGTCGCCACTGATATGAGAATTTTTGTTCGCGAAGCTTTGAAAGATTTGAGTTTGAAAGTGAAGGTATTTATCGAAACTATTTTGACAAGATCTGAGAATGAAATCGATGTTTTAATGCCTGGATATACCCATTTACAAAGGGCCCAGCCGATTAGGTGGGCACACTGGTTGAGCTCGTATGCCACTTACTTTACTGAGGATTACAAAAGATTGCAACAAATTATCGAACGTGTCAATCAATCGCCATTAGGTTCGGGTGCATTGGCTGGTCACCCTTACGGCATTGATCGTTCTTTTTTGGCCAAAGGGTTGGGATTCGAAAGTGTCATTGGAAACTCATTGACAGCTGTTAGTGATCGAGATTTTGTTGTTGAGACATTGTTTTGGGGGACATTATTCATGAACCATATTTCACGTTTTGCTGAGGATTTGATTATTTACTCGAGTGCTGAATTTGGTTTCATAAAATTGGCTGATGCCTACTCTACTGGGTCTTCATTGATGCCACAGAAAAAGAACCCAGATTCATTGGAGTTGTTACGTGGTAAAAGTGGGAGAGTCTTTGGTGAGTTGTCGGGATTCTTGATGTCAATTAAATCGATCCCTTCCACGTACAACAAGGATATGCAAGAGGACAAGGAGCCTTTGTTTGACGCCTTGACTACAGTTGAGCATTCAATATTGATAGCCACTGGCGTCATCAGTACTTTGCAAATAAACAAGTCCAATATGGAGGGAGCTTTGACCATGGACATGTTGGCAACTGACTTGGCGGATTACCTAGTGAGAAAAGGAGTTCCATTCAGGGAAACACACCATATATCTGGTGAGTGTGTCAGAAAGGCTGAAGAAGAGAACTTGTCTGGAATTGACAAATTATCCTTTAAGCAGCTAAAGGAAATCGATGAACGATTTGAAAAGGATGTCATGGACACTTTCGACTTTGAGGTTAGTGTCGAGAGAAGAGACGCTATTGGTGGTACAGCCAAGTCGGCTGTTTTGGCTCAGTTAAAGAACTTAAAATCCCAGTTAAACTAATCCGCTCCTTGTGTTATCCTCGGTTTATTGTGATAGCATTCGGAAAGTACGGTTTGGAACAACAAGTAAAATCTCATTGGAATCAGATAATAGATTGCGTATTGTTGTTTTAAGTGAGTATTCCAACCCCCACCCCCCCTCCGCCTTGTCTTAAAAGGGTCTTTCGAAAAGAACAGTCTAGAACATTTCTTTCTCTCATTTTCAACCGATTGTTCCATTGTTTCACAATAACGGTTTTACAATCAAATCTGGTATGCGTGGTGGCTTAAAAGAGAATTAAGAATTAACAAACCTGAGATTGTGTAAAAACACAACCGCCTCGACACATTAAATTAAACTATATACTTTTAAACACATTATCAATACCAGTTCAATGACTGCGTTCCTCTCTATTAGAAGCTGCTTTAACTTTTGCCAATGTTCTGCTAGAATTTTTGAAACGGCCCAAAGCTCTTCTTAGGGCTGTTTCCTTGACATTTGCTTCTTCACTCACAACATTGTAATCAGAATTGTACTTGTTCAATAACTTTTCCGAAGTTTCCGGTAGATTGACATTGGATTCATTGGATCTCCATGGGTTCTCAACAGGCATTTCCTTCAAAAAATGGCACCAGTTAATTTCTGCCTCGTTAAGCGGCCTTTGCTGCTTGTTATACTCTCGAGTAATTTTGTCTAAATCAATTGTTTGTGATTCAGGAACCAAATCTAAGGGGTTTTGTAAATGTTCTAATGATCTTCTCTGCTTTGCAAAGTGTTGTCTATACTGATTTTGGGGCGAGGTGGGTGGTGTGTTTGTATTACTTGCGATAGAATGCTGCAAAGATAAGGTTGATATGGCACTCCCACGTCTACCAAAGTCTATGGAATCTGACCTTCGATGATTGTTGCCATACTGATAATTTGGGCTAGAGTTGGCTTGGGTTTGACCTTTAATGAACCGGGTGGCATCTGATTGAGTCATTTTGTATATACTGATCGATACAATATACCTCTGAAGCTGAGAAGCGGAAATAGACCGTCTTTATACCCTTGCAAAACTTGCAAGTTTATCATTTCTTTATAGCACAAATTAACATTTCTTGCAGTAAAAACCTTCGTTTCTTTTGTCGACATTTTTCCGAATCGTTATTAGAAATAGGACTCTCAATAAGGGCATCTACCTGTAGCCATATGTAGGGAGCCTAGTAGCTTCCTCACTTTGGTTTGGACGCCTCAACCGTTATTAGTTCTAGACTGATCCATCATCATGCGGACTCATTTTTAAAATTGCATTTGGGTGCGTCCCCTTGCATATAAAGTCACTAAACGGAAGTATAATTGACCCTAAAAATGTTATATGATAGCGACATATAAGCATTTGCTGGTAGCCCGCAACAACCCGATAGCGAAAATCCACCATGAAGAAGGCATACGATAAGGTTCCACATTCACATGACACTCATCTGGGCTCAACCTTTGCCAGTGCACGAGATCATCAACACTTCCTTTCGGCTGTACGTGGCTCTCTCTAATACTCGTCTTACATACCTTTTATCCCCAAAGATAGTTATAATATCCCTGACGTATTATGAAAACAGTAATAATAATTGATCACATTTGCATGGAAGACTCATAGATACCAGGAAAAATGTTTAGAAAACACCATTTAGCTGTATACTCAGGCGAAAGGCATAGCCGAAGTTACTGCGGACGGTGACAAATCACAATCACGTTGTGCTTGAGCTATAGAGAAGTTTAGAATGATTCCTTATTTTTTTAATTTTATATTTCAACTTTCTTTTTTCACAGATTAGTCATTTAGCCTTGCAGTTGTACCCCACATCAACATGTCGTCAGCGTTCAAACAAGTGGACGTGTTCACTTCCAAACCATTCAAAGGCAACCCAGTGGCCGTAATTATGGATGCCAATGGGTTATCTACCGAGCAAATGCAAACAATAGCCAATTGGACAAATCTTTCAGAGACAACGTTCGTGTTCCCAGCAACCAGCGACAAAGCTGACTACTACGTGCGTATATTTACGCCTCAAAGTGAATTGCCATTTGCAGGACATCCGACTATTGGTACATGTCATGCTTTGCTTGAATCCGGATTGATATCTGCGAAAGATGGAGTGGTTGTTCAAGAATGTGGAGCAGGTTTGGTTAAGTTGACAATTGTGCCTGGGGTCTCTACCTCATTCGAGTTACCAGACCCAGTTATTACACCACTTAGTGATACCCAAATTAATTCGCTTGAGACCGATTTAGGATGTGCGATTGATAAGAATTTGAGACCTGCCCTTGTTGATGTAGGTGCTCGTTGGATAATTGCACGCGTCGCTGACGCTAAAACAGTCTTGTCTGCAGAACCAGCATTTCCTCAATTGGCAAAGCATAATAACGAACTAAAGGCTACAGGGGTATCCATTTACGGAAATTGGTCAGATGATCACATTGAAGTCCGGTCATTCGCACCAGCTTGTGGCGTTGACGAGGATCCGGTTTGTGGAAGCGGCAATGGTGCTGTTGCTGCATTTATCAGGTCACATACAAATGAAGACAAGATATTGAAGTCTTCACAGGGGAGCGTTGTCAATCGTGAAGGTGCGCTTAAATTGACAATATCAAATAAGAAGGTTTTAGTAGGGGGAGATGCCGTCACTTGTATTGAGGGGAAGATAAGAATAACTTAGGGAACAATTATCTAATGATTGGACGTTGGAAGCATCTGAAAATCATAGAACTCCGAACTGCATGGTGGTAAGAATTTTACATTAACCTGTATAATTAGAACTAGAAAATAAAGGAAAACTTAGAGCCTCTTTTCCTGTAGGTATATTCAAAAGGATTGGGGTGTTCAAAGCCATATTCATGAATGTCATTTCTGAGTTTTTTTCGACATGTCCATTCGCGACATTTTAGATTGTTGTGGTTCAATTTCTCCGAATTTTTGTTGCAAAAACTGAACCCACATGACTGACACGTATGAGGTTAACCACTTACTCCAACGTCAAACAAGTCTAAAAAGGGGGTACTGAAATGCAACAATAATCGGTAGCCATCTTCGTAACAGCAGCATTCAACTACATTTGAACTTTAAGGAACAACAACACAATTCAACAGACAAACATACTCGACATTTCACACAACAAATTTCAACACCAATGACCACACAAAGAGATACTAACGCAAGTAAAAGCTGGGTCGACATATTACGAGAAAAAGCGTCAGATGATACAAGACAACTGGATGCCCCACAGTATCACAAGCTAACTGTGACTGAGTCGTTGCAATTTATATTGCAAGTGTTGGATCAAGGAACAACTCTTTTCAATAGTCGGTCGATAACAAAGTTGCTTATCGCGTTGGAGGTTTTAAAATCGTCACCAGACTATCAAGTCTACTCAAGCTACAACGAGCTCAAAACAAACACATCACTAATCACTGTGCTTCTTTATTCAAATTATTTGCTTAGCCATAATGTCAGCTCTTTTTACATGGATTCATTACCAAGCCCTATACTGTCAAGGTTTAAAACGTTTGAGTTATCTCCATTGTCCAAACCGGAGGAGTTTGTTACCAATCCATCAGACTTGTTGAATGAAAGTCAGAAACCGGAAAAAATGTACTTGCTACAAATGCATGTATTGGAGCTTATAGATCACTATCTTGATTTGGAGTGCCAAAATCTCAATAATGAGATATCCCCCATGCAAACCAAGTTGTTCATTTCGTTCTTTAATTTGTTGCTCGCGAGTCTACTTTCCACACCTATCTGTTGCCGGGATTACAATCAGATCAAAAAGTCTTGCATTGAGCAACAAATAACAGCAATTTTCAATAAAGCTCTCAATTTGCAATGCGATGCGGTTGACACGTCCAGACTTTGGGTTTGTTTAGTCAACTATGCCAATGACATTTGCTATGGCGACCTCAGGTTCATAAACAATTTTGTTAAACTTTTTCAAGACTTGTTGTATAAAAATAGAAAAGTGTTGAAAAATGAGCTAGTTCACAGTGGATTACAATTTTTCGTGGACACGTTCAAGCCAGATCATGTTTGGTTCGAAGTGGTTGCCGATGCTGTTGCTGATTGTACCATAGAGTCCTCCGAATACAAGTATTTGTATAGTGTTTGAAGCCAATGTGCCATGTCGTGATGATATATTTGTATTGCAATTTTTTTTTAATTTTCCCAATGCTCATCTCAAAATACACACTCTACTCAACCATAAATACACTCCCGTGATGCTCAAATCTACATCTGCTGGAAACGTCTCCATATACCAAGTCTCCGGATCCAATGTATCTCGTTCGTTACCCGACTGGATTGCCAAGAAGCGGAAGAAGGCTTTGAAACAAGATTTGGACTACTCCAACCGTATTGAATTAATTCAAGATTTCGAGTTCAGTGAAGCTTCAAACAAGATTAAAGTTTCCCCTGATGGTCAGTATTGTATGGCAACGGGTACATACAAGCCACAAATCCACGTTTATGATTTCGCCAACTTGTCTCTCAAGTTTGAACGTCACACAGATTGTGAAAATGTTGACTTTGTCATACTAAGTCAAGATTGGACTAAATCTGTCCATTTACAAGTCGACAGGAGTATCGAATTCCAAACCAAAGGTGGTATCTACTACAAGACAAGAATACCAAAATTTGGTAGAAGTTTATGCTACAATGAAGTAAATTGTGACCTTCTTGTGGGAGCCCTGGGTAATGAATTGTACAGGTTAAATTTGGAACAGGGAAGGTTTTTAAACCCTTTACAATTGGAGACCGAGAGAGGTGTCAATATGGTAACTATAAATAAAGTTCACGGTCTAATATCTGCTGGTCTCGAAGATGGTACGGTTGAGTTTTGGGATCCCAGATCAAAATCACGAGCAGGGAAGTTGTGGATTGATGAGCAATTGAATGAATCTGGAATACAAGTATCTTCAGTTAGTTTCCGTCAAGATGGATTGAATTTTGCATGTGGAACATCTAGTGGTAAGACCTTGCTTTACGATCTACGTACAAATCAACCATCAATAGTCAAAGATCAAGGTTATGGATTTGACATAAAGAGTATAGTGTGGTTGGAAAACACTTTGAAACCAGACACAATTTTAACCAGTGATAAGCGTATTACAAAAATTTGGGATAGAAATACAGCTAAGCCCTTTGCGTCTATGGAGCCCACAGTTGATATTAATGATGTTTGCCATGTTTCCAACTCGGGTATGTTTTTCATGGCCAATGAAGGTATGCCCATGCATACTTACTACATACCCAATTTGGGCCCTGCACCATCATGGTGTTCGTTCTTGGACAATGTGACAGAAGAATTGGAGGAGAAGCCATCGGATACTATTTACTCCAACTACCGATTCATTACCAAGGACGATGTACGTAAGTTAAATTTGGGTCATTTGATTGGGTCAAAGGTTTTGCGTTCGTATATGCATGGTTTTTTTATTGACACGGAGTTATATGAAAAAGTCAACCTTATTGCCAATCCCAATTCATTGCGTGATCAAAGAGAGCGTGATATCAGGAAGAAGATTGAAAAGGAAAGAGAATCGAGAATCAGATCAACTGGAGCCATTACGAATACAAAGATCAAAGTCAACAAAAACTTGGCAAACAGGTTGCAAGAAAAAGTTGGAGGTGATGCTGCAGAAAGTGTCATCAATGATGATAGATTTAAAGAAATGTTCGAGAACCCAGATTTCCAAGTTGATGAGGAATCCCATGAATATAAACAATTAAATCCAGTGAAAGCACCGGAGAAGGATATCACTAGGTCGAGAGGATTAACCGCAGCAGAAGAATCAGATGAGGAGAGATTCAATGACAATGGAGAAGTTGAAAGTGAACAGGATAGCGACGAGTCTGAAAGCGAGGAAAGTGAAGATGAGGAAGTAAAGAAAGCAAACAAGGCAAAACTCGATAAAGAATTGGCCAAGTTGAGGAAGAAGAAGGAAGAGGAAAAGAGATTCAAGAATGAAATGAAGATTCTCTCTAAAGAAGCGCCAAAGGAATCAAACAAACATAAAGAGACGTTTGGCTCTCAGGTCAAGAACTTACACAGAGTGAGCAAACCAAGAGATGATTCTAGACTTCAACGACATGCCAAGGGAGAAGCTGAACTTACTTTTGTCCCTAGAAGCAAGGAGAGAAAGAACAAGCCTAAGAGGGATGATGAAAATGGTACAGATAAGGGAAGAACCAAGCAAAGATTCGAAGGGCGTAGAATTGCCTCCAAAAATCAATTTAGAGGTATGTAGTGTGTAAGCGTAATATAAAATAGAATTAAAACACAAAGAAAATGAATTAACTTTTCATCACCAACAATGTCGCTAAACAACTTTCATCAGTACAAGAGTAAAGAATCAGGGGCACTAGATACCAATCCCCAGAACCGACCTAAATATGTGCAGAAAGTTCAATCAATCCCACAAGCGGAAGTCTGGCGAAATATCGTGTTAGGAGAAATTTCATCCAAATTAACTCAAATCAATGATGCACAAACCAGTGATGCTCGTCTTCGAGAGTTGAATGATGCTTTGAATCAGCTATTCAAGGAAAAGAGAAGTTGGGAGCATCATATAAAGAACCTCGGAGGTAATGATTATATCCACAATATCAAAGATATGATAAATTCCGGAATCAATGTTGCCGGGTGGAGATACTTTGGCAGGGCAAAGGAATTGCCTGATGTGAAGAAGATGATTGAGGAGAAGAAAAAGCAGACTGTGAAGCAGAATGGGAATGAATGGAGTAAAACTGTTGAAAATAGATTGGATGATCATTATTACGGCAAACAGAAGGATAGTAAACAGCTTCTTGAGTTCGAGTTGAGGCGAGGTTTAGAGTTAAGAAAAGAAGAAGGTGAAAGTACAAAGGTTTCACTCAGTGATTTACCTAGTCAAGAGCAGATTACAGAATGGTTGACCATGAAGAATATAGTTCAATAATTAGCTCGTTATATCCAATACATCGTTGACGACAATCACTCCTTCATTTCGGTAAATTTCCTCTGTTTTTTCGTCATTGTCAGGTGAAACACTCTTACTCAAACCCTTCGCCACGTATGTCTTGAACAGTTTTGCTGAGTCAATTGCGGAGTTTAGTACACAATAGTCAAAAGCAAGTCCAACAAATATAACTTCCTCAATGGCATGATCAAGGAGCGTTTGCTTCATTTCTGTGTGATGCAACCCCCACGTATCTTGGAAACACGAGTAGTACTCACGATCTTGCAAGTAACCCTTTTTGACGTTAGCTGTGGGTACACCTTCAATTGCATCAAATGCTTTTGCAAACCTCTGCTCTAACTCGGCACCAGGCGTTTCCTGAACACAATGATCTGGCCACACAAACTGCTTCTTGACTTGGTCAGTGGATGGATGCTTAAACTTCAACTCAGTAAATGGTTTTACACCATGTTGCGAAGCAAACGACGTATGATTCGATGGGTGCCAGTCCTGAGTTGCGATAACTAATGACCATTGTTTTAATTGTGGTTCAGTAATTAGCTCGACGATGGGATCAACAATTGATCGTCCATTTGCAATTGCTAGCGATCCAGTAGGAGGTAGAAAGTCCTCTTGCAAGTCAACGACAACTAAAGCTCTCTTGGTCATAGCGTTAAATTGACTTTTCGGGGAGAAAAAGTGACCGATTTTGTTACTCGGAAAGAGCCAACTATCTACGATTAAGATTCCAAGGGGTAAATAGTGAAATCATGCAATTTTGGAAACAATGAGGCCGCGTCATACTGCAACCTCAGTTTCTAGAAGCTTTCCATCAGTTGGTTGTTGCGGATTTGCTGCCAGTATGCGCTTTGACACTTGCCAAGTACAACCTGGGAGTCACTCAGTCTCCGATTTATGTGAATAGCCATTACGATCAACATGGACCTGACACAACGAAATTTTCAATGAGAAGTTCATCAATGTAACATTTATGTTGATTGGGCAACATACTGTTCTACCATCACTAACATCGACTTTGAAAGTCAAGATTGGTGAGCTCCAGTACACTAATGCCTTCTCTAAATCGTGAAAATTGCAGAGTTATTCGTTGCTGAAGTTTGTTCCACAACTTACAGAAAAATGCATGCCGTGTCTAGACAGATAAAGAATACTTTCAGCATGGCATTGTATGTTCCATCCTTCGGGATAATGTCGTTTAGTTTCTTCCACACATGTCCATTACTGAAAAGAACATTAGTGACTGCTAACGATCCCTCATTGTTCAAGTTCAATGATGACGAGTAAGAAATCTGAGATCCGTGATTGCATCCTAGAAAGCACATTCAATAACTTGAAATGTTGTACAAAACCAGAACAGTGCATGGAACATGGTAAAGTGGTTAGCCCGATGTTCAGCAGGTTGCTTTGCTTAGCCGCATTTTGGCCATGAAAGAGTAAACTTAAGCCCGTGGGGCCCGCACTCATTTTCCAGCTTTGAGGTTTTGTGTGGTGGCTGAATTTAGTATTTAAATAAGTGGAGGAATATTTCTTGGTTGTAAAGAATTAACGACCCAAGGATGACACTTTCAATTTGTTTCACTACAGAAGAGATAGAGCTTCTCCGACTATCTAAAGTGTAAAACATCAAACTAATCCGTATCATCTAGCAATCTATTTGTACTATCTCCTCCTCCAACTTTAGCTTTCCCTTATTTTCACCAGATGAAATGACAGCAGCAGTCAATTTCCCTCCTTTGTCACACCCGGAATCCAACCCCTTTGTGTACTTTTTCAACTTGAGTCCTCGTCCTGCATCATGTCCGTAATACACCACATAGTTTGCAGGTGCTTCCCCATGTTTAGAGTTGTAAACCTTTGACCAGCTCTTGGCAAATGGAGCATCAGGATCTGAAGTCGTTTCATTGAAATGGGGACCTATCAAAGAGCGCATCTCTAAATTGTCAATAGGGTTCTGTTGGCTCAACTTTAGATCGGGTCGAATACCAGCATGTACCGCAACACCGGGAGCAACGTCCTTTCCCACCGGTGCAATACCAAGCTCCTTAATTACAGAACACTGATTGATATACTTCACATGATGTGGTTGCAACTTCTTGGCAAAGAGATATTCCGGGTCATCATTAAACACTCCGTCGGTCCCAATGTGGCTGACATGTTGGCCGTCATTCAAAAGGAACCTTGGTTGATCAAGCGCGTGAAAGAGTGCATAGTATTGGAGAACGTAATACTCGTGGTTTCCAACGATACACTCGATCTTGTGCTCGATCAAATAATCCAACACCCTGAATGAATCAGGACCCTTGGTGACAAAGTCCCCTAGTACCAAGAGTTCATCTTCTCTCTTGTTGTACCTAACCTTCTTCAATAGCTGTTTAAATTCGTGGTAATGGCCATGGATATCGCCAATCATGATGATTCTCTTGATGTGTTTCTGCTCCTCACCAGCTACAAAGGTTGTATTCAACTGAGAAATGTGCTTTATCGGCTTTAGTGGCACTGCCTCGGGGATGTAGTAACTAGGTAGAACAATTGTAAACACCCAAAGTGTAGCCAACCCTAATAGACCAACAATGGTGTATAGAGTGACTTTTGTTCGTTTGTTAAGCGTGTTCGTATGTTTTGAAACGTATTCATCGCCTTCTTGGTGAAGTAGTGGGGCCGACTCACTCATAATGTCACACAGCTGGAATAAACCGTTTGTGGTCTAGCGACTTGTTGGATTTCGTTTTTGATGAGTCGGCTTTGGAATAACCTCATCGGTTGTTCCTGCATACAAGTTGACGTACCTGGCTGCGAAAATGCTCCTTTTCCTCTTTTTTGGCGTGGCGTCATATCAAATAACTTTCGGCGCCCCCTGCCTTGCCATGCTTCTTGAATGCACCCGAATTAAGGTCGACCTCCTCTAAATGAACTTTTTTGTAGACCCTTATATCCTCTATACTCTTCCGTGATTCAGGGGTAAACACCAAAATGATTTTTAATCAGATTAAGTTATCCGTATCTTCTGCTGTGCTGGCAAGAACCTCCAAATGTGGATACTGTGTAGTTGTAATTCAGAGTTTGTGAGTGTCGCCAACGCACACGATTTGGACTATGTAATATTCTTGCAACGTCAACAGTGCCAAATGACACTCCATGGGTAATAAACCCAGATGTCTATTTCGTGGAAGCTCTAGCCTGTGGTATCTAGTCGCATGATACCCGATTAGGACATCTTATAACCCAATCGGTGTTAATTACTTCCCTTTCGGGAATCCCAATTTACACAAAGTGTAGATAGAGCCAGCAGTAAAACGGCACCAAAACAACGTCGTCGTACTTATTGCTAAATATGTCTCCTCACGCGCGAAAAATATGTCGTAGAAATCAGTGTAACCCCCAAATACGCATACAAAATGTCGTCCGCTCTTTGTCTTATCATTGCCACCGACTTTTGCATACAAAAAAGGGGAAGTTCTCTACATTGCTTTATTCTTCTTCTTCCTCCTCCACAGGACAACTTTTTGCCATGAAGTTTTCAACCACTACAGCTGTTTCTACTTTGGCATTGCTTTCAGCTACTGCTGTCGACGCTTTAACGATTCAAAACCCATTCAATGGTCAACAACCTTTGAATTTGGATTTCAATTACGAAAAGTATGCCTCGCAATTGTCCCACTTGTTGTTTGATGAACAAAAGCAAAATGAGTTCTTTACCAAGGTGTCTGCTCTTTTTAATGAGCCTTTAGAATCATTGACTCATGAGACAAAAAAATTATGGTCAGATATGATTTTGAACTCGAAGCAATTTGGTGACTTGAGATTTACTATCCCCGGAAAAGCTGGTAAAATTGTTAAGCAACATTTTGATTTCCACGTTAAGGATCAAACTTTGCCAAACCACCAATTGCGGGTCAAGTCTACACCAGAAGATTTGGGTGTTGACACTGTTAAACAATACTCCGGATATTTAGATGTTGAAGATGAAGATAAACATTTCTTCTTTTGGGCATTTGAAAGTCGTAATGACCCAAAGAATGACCCAGTTATTTTGTGGTTGAATGGAGGTCCAGGATGCTCATCCACCACTGGATTATTTTTTGAATTGGGCCCTTCATCAATCAACAAGGATATACAACCAGTCCATAATCCATATGCTTGGAACAACAACGCTACTGTTATATTTTTGGACCAGCCAGTCAACGTCGGTTATTCGTACTCATCATCATCGGTTTCAAACACGGTTGCCGCTGGTAAGGATGTGTATGCCTTTTTGGAATTGTTTTTCAAGCAATTCCCTCAATATGCCAAGTTGGATTTCCACATTGCTGGTGAGTCATATGCTGGCCATTACATTCCTGTGTTTGCCAGTGAGATTTTGAGTCACCCTAAACGTTCTTTCAATTTGACTTCTGTTTTGATTGGTAATGGATTAACTGATCCATTGACTCAATACGAGTACTATGAACCAATGGCCTGTGGCGAAGGTGGTGAGCCAAGTGTTTTGGAACCGGAAGAGTGTCAATCAATGACTGATGCTATCCCCAGGTGTCAATCCTTGATTCAACAATGTTATGAGTCAGAGTCAGTCTGGAGCTGTGTTCCTGCAACTGTTTACTGTAACAATGCTCAATTGGGACCATATCAAAAGACAGGTAGAAATGTTTACGATATCAGAACAATGTGTGAAGGTTCAAACTTGTGCTACGAAGGTTTGGAGTATATCGACACATATATGAACAAACCAGAAGTTATGAAGGCTTTGGGTGCCGAAGTTTCCAGCTATGAGTCATGCAACTTTGATGTCAATAGAAACTTTGTTTTTGCCGGTGACTGGATGAAACCTTACTTTAAAAATGTGATTGACATTTTACAACAAAACTTGCCAGTCTTGATTTACGCTGGTGATAAAGATTTCATTTGTAACTGGTTGGGTAACCAAGCTTGGGCTGATAAATTGGAATGGAGTGGCTCCAAGGAATTCTCCAAAGCTCCTGTTAGAAAATGGAAGGTTGATGGTAAACATGCTGGTGATGTTAAAAACTATGAACATTTCACTTTCTTGAGAGTCTTTGGTGGTGGTCATATGGTTCCATACGACCAACCAGAAAATGCCCTTGATATGGTTAACAGATGGGTTTCTGGAGATTATAAATTTTAGGTAACTAGAGATAATAAAAAAAGGACTAGTTTAGTGGCGCTATATAGAGAGAGGTGTGCATCTTGTGAGACCTAGATGGCAGCGATAATTCCCAACACCGACTTGGTTTGGAACCTGTGCTGATCCTGGCTTCCTCAGTAGAGTAGGTATAAGCAAAGGCTTATTGTGATACGGTGATGCTCTTGAAAACGTCAGCTGAGACTATTTATGCGTAGTTTTTGAACCTTGATATTTTACTTTCTCTAAAATTGGTGCCAAATTTTATGTAAAAATATTTCATTGAGTACATTTTCAACGATTGAAATAACTACGATGACGACCCGAGGGATTTAACAGAATACAACCTTTTGCCTTTGTCGAACTGTTATTCCCCTTGGGTTAAATTGATAAGAAAAAAGAAAACTGTATCCAAGTCGAACTCGTTATTCTTGAAAGCATCACTTCCCCCTCCGCATCTACCCCCCCCCACACTCGACCAAAGCGTATTTCAATAACCGGTACTCCAGGGCCGTCATATACACCGCCATTGTGTCAAGAGAAAGTATATAGCGTCTGAATAGGATAGTTATACTTTTTTTTGTGTTGTGTAATTACGTTTTGCGCGTAAAGCATTATTATTGTTTACAAAAATGTCATCGACATAAAACTACCCGATTTGGAACTAATGTAAACACACAAACAGAAGCAATGGCGTAGCATCAAAAGTATTGACGTTGACAAGGCAATTTAAAATTTAAAAGCATAAGATGAGATGAGTGACAAAAAAGAGAGAGAGGGAAAAGTGAGTAGTTCTTATAGATTGTTTGTGTTTTGTTCCAGACTATCGCATTTAAGAGAAGCAGTCAGCACACAACGTCACTACTGCAAACCATAGCTGCCATACTCCCCATTGCCTGAATCTTTCACACCATATGCATAGGTTTGCTACCACAATACGCCACTTTATATTTTGATACCCACAACAATACCCTTGATGACTATACGGCATATACATTTCGCTTCAATACTACTATCGTTTGCATTGGCAATAGTACTGGGAGTTTTAACAATCCTTCGAAACCATAACAATGTTTACTATCTACTATACTCGGTGTCCAGTTTTGCCCTAGCGGCATATTACGTCGTACCCGTTGTTTATACCCACATTATCGCCATAACGTTTCAGTTCATCATATCATTACTCAACATAATATCTGGAATATTGTTGATTGTTCATTTCCAATACACTGTCGTTACAATCTTATTCACTGTCAATATCATTTTCATTTCGGTATCGTTGACTATGTTGCTATTCATTGTATATATAGAGAGCAACACAGTTAAAGATAATGTCACTGATACAGTTTCCAAAAAGGCATCCGATGCAACCTTATTTGATCACGATTATGCATTGGACAAGAACTGGATCGAAAAGAATGGTACTGATTGCCAGAATCGAATGCCATTGCCTTATTCTATGTCGACAAATACGATTCAGCAAGCATTGCAACGTGCCAAATCTCATGATGCATCATCCCTCATAAACGTTGACGATCATTATGACATGCTAACTCTACCAAAAAGAGTAACTGCACAAGATGTCAATGCAACTAACAAGCAGAAGATGCGAATGCAAAGATGGAGACTGATTAACTATGAGAAGCAATTTATGTCGCAGATCAATGAATCATTGCTTCCACCAGTTTTAAGAAACAGTAAACGGGTGTCAGAGGATAATGAGAAAGACATGCAGGGGTTGGAGCAGATTAGTGGATTTAAACCGAAAAAGATACGTTCAACCATGACTTTAGATGAATGGGATCTTAGCGAATACAACAAAATGAGAAAAATATCTGGTTACACTATTGTTCCTGGTATGCACCACTTTGTAAGTGACACAAATTTGTGCAAAAAGACACTTGACACCAATGTTGAGCACTTGTTACCACCAAAGGAGTCCCCAGTAGACAATATCGACCATTTGAGCGACATCGAAACCAACAATATTCCATCGTTGGATAGAGATTTCAGCTATCCATCAAACCAAAGTGAATGTGCACCATCCCTTCACACTTTTAGAAAAGAAAGTTCCAATTCACAAAATACCCAACTAAGTGACGATACCAATCAAGTACAAACTCAAACAATCTCACCACATCCTTTACCAGAACCCACAACACCGCCACCACCACCATCGAGTGAACTGATGACAAACTCCAAGAACAACTCACCAATTAAAAAGTTTCTCACTGATAGCCCGAGAAAGATTTTTCGATCAAACACAGCAGTATTTCATCAACGTCACAACCATTCAAATTCAATTGCATCCAATTCTTACTCTCTCATGTCGGGTGTATCTTCGAGATCGAGATCATCATCGCCAAAGAAATTGAAATCGTACTTGAAAATCCACAAACATAGTTTAAGCGTGCCGAATTTTGCAATCAACAAGTCATCATCACAACAACTGACTTCGCCACTCCCTTCACCACAACATTCGGAATACTTCTCTGTCAACTCAACCAAGCTTGTTGAGCCAATAGATTTGTGGGAGATACAGACGACAAACTTTGCTTTTGAGGATGCAGATGAGCAGCAGTCGTTAAGTGAGCCTAAGAATGAGGGGGAAACGAACGATGGTTCCAGAGTCAGCTCTTTACCAAGTCAGGCTATAGGGGAGTATGATCGGGAAAAATGGAGGGCCATCAAATTGTGTCAAGCCGGGGAGGATATAGGTAGACCATGTGTATAATGATATTAACGTGTTCAGGATTATTCCGATTTCTCAATTTTTTTTCTTTTTCTCCGATGAGATTCGAAATTTTTTTTGTCTCTCAACACAATACAACCATTGACCATGGATGATTTATTTGACGTGTTTGATGAGGCTCCCGGGGCTGTCCCTCCAAAGATAGAGGAGATTGAGGGGACTGAGTATACCAAAGAGACAAATGGGAATGACAAGAAAAGGTCGCATGGCGAGGAAGATACGAAGAAGTCAACTCCAACAAAAAAGGCAAAACAACAGCAAGATGTCAAGCCAGTTGTGTTTGACTCTGTTGAAATTGAAGCGTCGAGAGAGGTTGATGCTAGTGGTGGACTACAACAAACCACCGAAGATCCTAACTCGAAATTGAAATTGAGACATCAAGTGAGACATCAAGTAGCAGTGCCACCATCGTACCCTTATGTACCTATAAGTGAACACAAACGTGAGAAGGAAGCCAGGACGTATCCATTCACATTGGATCCATTTCAAGATACCGCAATTTCATGTATTGACCGTAATGAAAGTGTATTGGTATCAGCTCATACATCGGCAGGTAAAACCGTTGTGGCGGAGTACGCTATTGCCCAGTCATTGAGGGAAAAACAAAGAGTAATCTACACATCCCCAATCAAAGCCTTGTCGAATCAAAAGTATCGTGAATTGCAAGCTGAGTTTCAGGATGTGGGGTTGATGACAGGTGATGTTACAATAAACCCCGATGCTGGTTGTTTAGTTATGACAACAGAAATTTTGCGAAGCATGCTCTATAGAGGTTCCGAAGTGATGCGAGAAGTTGCTTGGGTCATTTTCGATGAAGTACACTATATGAGAGATAAAGCAAGAGGGGTCGTTTGGGAGGAAACGATTATCTTGCTTCCTGATAAAGTCCATTATGTGTTTTTATCCGCAACAATCCCCAACGCAATGGAGTTTGCCGAATGGATTGTTAAAATCCACAATCAACCTTGTCACGTTGTGTATACTGATTTCAGACCCACTCCATTACAACATTACTTGTTCCCTGCTGGAGGTGATGGTATTCACTTGGTTGTGGATGAAAAGGGAACATTTAGGGAGGAAAATTTTCAAAAAGCAATGACCACCATCGGTGACAACACCGGTGATGATCCAGCTTCTGCTGAAAAGGGGAAAGGAAGAAAAGGGCAAAGTTTCAAAGGGGGAAACAAAGACAGCAAGACTGATATTTACAAAATCGTGAAAATGATTTACATGAAAAAGTACAACCCAGTGATTGTTTTCTCCTTTTCTAAAAAAGATTGCGAAAAATTGGCATTGCAAATGTCGAAATTGGATTTCAATACTGACGAAGAGAGAACCGCATTAACGGAAATATACAATAATGCTATCGGTCTATTACCGGAAAGTGATAAAGAACTTCCACAAATCAAAAACATTTTACCATTGTTGAAAAGGGGAATAGGTATCCACCACTCTGGTTTATTACCTATTTTAAAGGAAATCATTGAGATCCTATTCCAAGAAGGGTTTTTGAAAGTGCTATTTGCCACAGAGACATTTTCAATTGGTCTTAATATGCCTGCTAAGACTGTTGTTTTCACATCCGTCCGTAAATGGGATGGTGTGGGATTCAGATGGGTTTCAGGTGGGGAGTATATTCAAATGTCTGGTCGTGCAGGAAGAAGAGGATTGGATGATAGAGGTATAGTCATAATGATGATTGACGAAAAAATGGAACCACAAGTTGCCAAGGGTATGGTTAAGGGTCAAGCTGACAGATTAGACTCGGCATTCCATTTGGGTTACAATATGATTTTGAACTTGATGAGAGTCGAAGGAATATCCCCTGAGTTTATGTTGGAGAGCTCATTTTACCAATTCCAAAATGCCGCTAGTGTACCAGCAATGGAGCAAAAAATGCAATCTTTACAACATGAAATTGAAGGTGTACATATCGACGATGAGGCAACGGTGAAGGAGTACTACGATTTACTGCAGCAACTCAACAAATACACAGCTGATGTGAGAAAAGTTGTTACACACCCCGGTCACATATTGCCATTTCTTCAAGATGGAAGAGTGATTAAAGTCAAGGTTAGCGATCACGACTACGGCTGGGGCATGGTGACATCATTTGTCAAGAGGAAAACTAGCCGGTATCAGACACAAGAGTTTAGTGCTCATGAATCGTATATTGTCAACGTGTTTGTATACACAATGTTTGTTGATTCGCCTGTAAACTTGATCAAACCATTCAATCCAGTATTACCAGAAGGTATCAGACCGGCAAGACCGGGGGAGAAATCGAGAGCAGAGTATATTTCCATCACCTTGGACTCGATAGAGAAGATCAGCAGTGTGAGGTTGAGAGTTCCCGATGATTACAAAAGTGCACAAGCAAAGCGAACATTGGTGAAAACAATGAAGGAACTTCCAAAAAGATTCAAAGATGGAATTCCATTGATGGATCCTGTTGAGAGCATGAAAATTGATGATGATGATTTCCGCACATTGTTGCGCAAGATTGATGTCATTGAGTCCAAATTGTATAGCAACCCGTTGCATGACACAGCTAGGTTGCAAGACTTGTATGCCAAATACTCACACAAGGCTGATACCGAGAAAAAGATCAAGGACTTGAAGGAAAAGATCTTGGAAGCAGAAGCCGTAATACAGTTGGACGATTTAAGGCACAGAAAGAGAGTTTTACGTCGGCTCGGATTTATTACTCAAAACGATATAATCGAACTCAAGGGTAGAGTTGCTTGTGAAATCAGTTCTGGTGATGAATTGCTACTTACCGAATTGATTTTCAATGGTAATTTCAATGATTTGTCTAGCGAACAATCAGCTGCATTGTTGTCTTGTTTTGTCTTCCAAGAGCGTGCAAAGGAAGCTCCACGTTTGAAACCAGAATTGGCCGAACCTTTGAAATTGATGCAGGAAATGGCGACTAAAGTTGCCAAAGTATCGAAGGAGTGCAAAATTGATATAACCGAGCAGGACTACTTGGAGCTGTTTAGACCAGAGTTGATGGAGGTTGTTTACGCCTGGTGCAAAGGAGCGTCATTTACTCAGATTTGTAAAATGACTGACGTATACGAAGGTTCGTTGATTAGAATGTTTAGAAGATTGGAGGAGCTAATAAGACAGTTGGTGGTTGCTGCGAAAGCTATAGGAAATGTTGAATTACAAGAAAAAATGGAAAAGTCATTGGAATTGGTTCATAGGGATATTGTTTCAGCTGGTTCTTTATACTTGTAGAGAGAGGTGTGTACATGGTGGCGCATTGCTACCCATTTACTATACAAATAAAAAAACTCCCGTGGTAATCACAAAAGTGGAATCCTCTTGCTCTTTCGATCAAACTAAAACATGACCAAGAGAATCTTACATCAAGGGGAGGTTGAACTCCTATTTGTCAAATCAAAGGTATATCTCCACCCAACACCATCAAAGAAAGACAACATTGCTGGATTTTTATCCCTTTCAAGACCACCAAACTCAACTAATTTGGATATCATTTTGGCGTTTACCCCTGAATCACAATTGAGTAAAGAAGAGATCAAGATCTATAATGAAGTTGACGTAGAGGAGGTCGACCTTAATTTGAGCGCATTCAAGAAGCATGGCAAGGCAAGGGGCGATAGGATTGTTTCGAAACCAAGTGCTAGCATACTCAGTTCGTATGCATTCACTACAACCCTTTCGTACATCTACAGCATCCAATTTAGAAACCCCAGCCACGGATACTATTATGGAAGTGTAGTTATAAACACTCAAGACGGAGAGAAGTTGCCAATTGTATTCTTTCATGACGATGAATCACCCTCAACAATCAAGAATCAAAAGCTTCAAAATAAGCAATTTGATCCATTTACAGATGGAGAGTTGTATTGGGGTGCACTCGATCTTTTAAGCGTGTTGAAAAGCTTGGTGAACATTGAAAAGTCAACAATAGAGCCAAGTGTATACCTCATCAATCCACAATCAGACGATTTACGTAATTTTGCCCCCTTTAAAAAGAAGCAAGTGAAAGAGGAGCCACCAAGCGCATTCCAACTTCCCGATGTAAACAAAATGTTTAACACCGCCAAGTGGAAAGTGTTGGAGACTGTTGCTACATTTACAGCAAAGACGAAGAATCAAGTGATTGATTTGATCGAGGAGAATGCGCCACCACAAGTAAAACAATTAATGGTGCAACCACAAGTGGCGAAACTTGGTGACGAATTTGATTCAGCCAGAATGTATCTTGCCAAATGGGCGCAACAGGTGAAGGAGGATGCAGAGTCGTCCAAGTATGTCACCGATGATGAGATTTATGAAAGAATTAGTCGCGAGTTGAACTCAAATAAGTTATTGACTCAAGAGGAAATAAGTCGTACATCTAGAATGAAGCCAGTGAGTGTTCAGGAATGGGAGGGATTTTTTGACCACACCGGGAGATTAAGTGTCACTGTTAAGGAAGTCAAAGATAGAATATTCCACGGTGGACTCGAAGATGAAGTGAGAAAAGAGGCCTGGTTGTTTTTGTTGAAAGTGTACCCTTGGGACTCATCAAGTGACGAGAGAGAGGTTTTGCAAAAGTCATACGCGTCAAGGTATGATGAGTTAAAACTTAAATGGGTTAATGATGCTGAGAGAAGAAACACCGAGTACTTCAAAGATCAGAAATTCAAGATAGAGAAAGACGTGAACCGTACAGATCGTGATTTGGAGATTTTCAAGAACGTCGGTGGCGAGGTTGAAGAGCCAGACGATGAGTATGATGTGGCAAACATAACCAATCCGCATTTATGCAAGTTGCGTGAGATTTTGCTAACCTACAATGAGTACAATACAGAACTTGGGTACGTGCAGGGAATGAATGATGTGCTTTCGCCATTATACGTCGAGTTACAAGACGAGGCATTGTCGTTTTGGGCATTCGTTAATTTGATGGATAGGATGAATGGAAATTTTGATCCTGAGTTGAGTGGTATCAAGCTGCAACTCACCAAGCTTATGAAAATGACACAGCTTACCTTGCCCAATTTGTACAAACACCTTATCAAGTGTCAGAGTGAAGGACTCTATTTCTTTTTCAGACACATTCTCCTCCAGTTCAAGAGAGAGTTGCGATGGGAGCAAGTTTTACAATTGTGGGAAGTCATTTGGACAGATTACTACACCACCGATTTTCAATTGTTTTTTGCTTTGGCGGTTTTATCAGATAACGAAAGAATTATTATTGAGAATATACTGCAACCGGAAGAAGTTTTAAAGTATTTCAATGACTTGCTGGGCCATTTGGATGTGAATAAGCTTTTGGTTCGAGCTGAAATATTGTACAAATTGTATGATCGTATGAGCTATATAGTTGATTGATTTTCAACGTGGATTGCCTTTTTCTCTGCTGTTGTAGCTTGATCAGCTCATTCTAATAGTTTTTATTTTTTATTGTCTTTCGCCCACGTGTGTAACATAGTGCGTCCATAGTAAACTTCAATATCAATCTTGAAAGTGCACCCTTACAAGCACACATCACTACTCTTTTCTTCCCGTCACGCATACCCAAGCTCCCATAGAGACTCAATCCTCGACCAATTTCACTAAAGTCACACCACGCCAAAAAAGAGGAAAAGGAGCATTTTCGCAGCCAGGTACGTCAACTTGTATGCAGGAACAACCGATGAGGTTATTCCAAAGCCGACTCATCAAAAACGAAATCCAACAAGTCGCTAGACCACAAACGGTTTATTCCAGCTGTGTGACATTATGAGTGAGTCGGCCCCACTACTTCACCAAGAAGGCGATGAATACGTTTCAAAACATACGAACACGCTTAACAAACGAACAAAAGTCACTCTATACACCATTGTTGGTCTATTAGGGTTGGCTACACTTTGGGTGTTTACAATTGTTCTACCTAGTTACTACATCCCCGAGGCAGTGCCACTAAAGCCGATAAAGCACATTTCTCAGTTGAATACAACCTTTGTAGCTGGTGAGGAGCAGAAACACATCAAGAGAATCATCATGATTGGCGATATCCATGGCCATTACCACGAATTTAAACAGCTATTGAAGAAGGTTAGGTACAACAAGAGAGAAGATGAACTCTTGGTACTAGGGGACTTTGTCACCAAGGGTCCTGATTCATTCAGGGTGTTGGATTATTTGATCGAGCACAAGATCGAGTGTATCGTTGGAAACCACGAGTATTACGTTCTCCAATACTATGCACTCTTTCACGCGCTTGATCAACCAAGGTTCCTTTTGAATGACGGCCAACATGTCAGCCACATTGGGACCGACGGAGTGTTTAATGATGACCCGGAATATCTCTTTGCCAAGAAGTTGCAACCACATCATGTGAAGTATATCAATCAGTGTTCGGTGATTAAGGAGCTTGGTATTGCACCAGTGGGAAAGGACGTTGCTCCCGGTGTTGCGGTACATGCTGGTATTCGACCCGATCTAAAGTTGAGCCAACAGAACCCTATTGACAATTTAGAGATGCGCTCTTTGATAGGTCCCCATTTCAATGAAACGACTTCAGATCCTGATGCTCCATTTGCCAAGAGCTGGTCAAAGGTTTACAACTCTAAACACGGGGAAGCACCTGCAAACTATGTGGTGTATTACGGACATGATGCAGGACGAGGACTCAAGTTGAAAAAGTACACAAAGGGGTTGGATTCCGGGTGTGACAAAGGAGGGAAATTGACTGCTGCTGTCATTTCATCTGGTGAAAATAAGGGAAAGCTAAAGTTGGAGGAGGAGATAGTGCAAATAGATTGCTAGATGATACGGATTAGTTTGATGTTTTACACTTTAGATAGTCGGAGAAGCCCTATCTCTTCTGTAGTGAAACAAATTGAAAGTGTCATCCTTGGGTCGTTAATTCTTTACAACCAAGAAATATTCCTCCACTTATTTAAATACTAAATTCAGCCACCACGTAAAACCTCAAAGCGAACATCGGGCTAACCACTTTACCATGTTCCATGCACTGTTCTGGTTTTGTACAACATTTCAAGTTATTGAATGTGCTTTCTAGGATGCAATCACGGATCTCAGATTTCTTACTCATCATCATTGAACTTGAACAATGAGGGATCGTTAGCAGTCACTAATGTTCTTTTCAGTAATGGACATGTGTGGAAGAAACTAAACGACATTATCCCGAAGGATGGAATATAGAGTGCCATATCAGCATTTGTTCACGCTGCGAAATGTGTGGTATGCTAAGATTTCTTTTGAGGCAGCCATGGTGCATGAAGAGTTGCGAGAAGGTAAGGCAATTTTTTTATTTCTTGGGTTATGTATATGGCACTAGGTTCAACACTGGTTTGCTACGAAGCTCTAGTCAATCAGGCTGATACCTGATCATGAAGTGGAAGCTGTACAACAAAATAGAACCAAAGACTTGTTCTTTGACTTGGCCAACAAGTTTCCGATACTTCTTGATAAATTCTAAAGTCACAGTCTTTGATGTTTTTAAGAGGAGAGACTTCAATGAAAAGTGTTTTTACATAGAATGGATACTCATGCGTTTGCTTGTTTAGACACTACATGTGATATAAGTCACGTTCTGAAAACAACAGTTTTACGCGTGTCCTCATGAAAAATTCAAAATCGGGCCGACAATATTCCGACAATATTCCTTTTTGCGCCCAAATGCAGCTCCTTATATACAGGAACTGAAAACTGTGGTTTGACTAATCTATCTAATTTTCAATCAAGCTGAACGACAAACTCTAAGCTCAATTGATTTCTTCCCCTGACCCTTCTCAATTAACAATGACTCAAAGTAACTTACTACCAAAAACATTTCGTACCAAATCTGGGAAGGAGATATCAATTGCACTTGGAACAGGGACCAAATGGAAACAAGCCCAAACAATTAACGATGTTAGTACTGAGTTGGTGGACAATATCCTTTTGGGGTTAAAGTTGGGTTTTAGACACATTGATACTGCTGAAGCTTACAACACGCAAAAGGAAGTTGGTGAAGCCCTCAAAAGAACCGATGTTCCAAGAGAGGATATTTGGGTTACCACAAAATATAGTCCAGGTTGGGGTTCAATCAAGGCATACAGTAAATCGCCAAGTGATTCAATTGATAAAGCTTTGGCACAGCTTGGTGTTGACTACGTTGATTTATTTTTGATTCACTCCCCATTCTTCACCACTGAGCAAACTCATGGATATACATTAGAGCAAGCTTGGGAAGCTTTGGTTGAAGCAAAGAAGGCGGGAAAGGTTAGAGAAATTGGTATCTCAAATGCTGCTATTCCACACTTGGAAAAACTCTTTGCTGCCTCCCCGAGTCCTGAGTACTACCCTGTTGTCAACCAAATTGAATTCCATCCATTCTTGCAAAACCAATCTAAAAACATTGTTAGATTTTGTCAAGAGCATGGGATCTTGGTCGAAGCTTTTTCGCCATTGGCGCCATTGGCAAGAGTTGAAACTAATGCTCTCGCTGAGACATTAAAGAGATTGGCGGAAAAGTACAAAAAGACCGAAGCTCAAGTTTTATTGAGGTATACTTTGCAAAGAGGTATTTTGCCAGTGACAACATCGTCAAAGGAAAGCAGATTAAAAGAGTCTTTGAATTTGTTTGACTTTGAATTGACTGACGAGGAGGTTAATGAAATCAACAAGATTGGCGATGCTAATCCCTATAGAGCTTTCTTCCATGAGCAATTTAAAGATTTGTAGAGACATTGTAGAAATCTCGTTTAGGTAATAAATGCGCGATTTTCAAATCTTTGCGAATGTAATTTATCTATATCGGAAAATGGTTGAGTCAACTACCACCGCAAATGCGCCCAGAATTTCCAAATTCGATAAAAGATTAAATGTATTGGGGAAGGGAATATCAGGAAGCGTTGAGTTGTACTTGTCTAAAGGCGGTGTCAGATACGCAGTGAAGATATATCACTCACGAGAAAAGTACGAGACAAAGAAGGAATACCAGGAAAGAATACTTCATGAGTATCGAATACTCCTGGATTTGAATCATTGCAATATCATTACCGTTTACAAGTATGACATTCTGCTTTTAAATTCTACTGTAAAGTTGTACATGATGGCAGGCACTTCTCATCTACTCAAACTACTTGACACAGTCAAATTAGATGAAACAGAGATCTTTTGTTATTGGAAACAGTTATGTCTGGCAATACTATACCTACATAATAAAGGTATCAGCCATCGTGACTTGAAGTTGGAGAATATTGTATTCGACGAGGAATATAAATTGTTGAAAATTATTGATTTTGCAACAGCCAATGCAACACCCGGCCCTTCTGTTGGTCTAGTCGGGTCGGAAAAGTACGCTGCACCAGAGACGTACTCAAGCATAAAGTATGATGGGAAAGCAGTGGACATTTGGTCAATGGGGATTATATTATACTACTTGATGCACAAAAGGTTTCCCTGGAAACAAGCTCATTGGGATGATTTGGAGTATGCCAATTACTCCAAATCAGCAACACCACAGAATCTATTGCATTTCAATGAGGGGTCAGCAATTACGAGTCAAATACTAGAGCCAAGCGTGGAGAAAAGAGTCATAATTTCTCAACTATGGAAAGATCCTTGGTTTGAAAAGCTACTGTTTTGCTCCGCGACTAACCATTGTAGAGCAGACCATAATATACAACCTTAAGAAGTGACTCTGCCAAGTACTTTTACTTTTGACTCTGATGGAATTGACTCTGCGATGTTGATAGTCACGTGAATGACTGTTGATTCTCGGAGATTCACTTGCGTGAACACTTTTCGTTCTTTCACTTCACTTCAGTATTTTTTTTTCTTCAGTGTTTAGTTAGTCATCAGATCAGAGGACACACACTCCAGAATGATATCCACATCAATTCGTGCATTGAAAACACAGAGATTGGCCATTAAGTCAGTGGCCAGGAGAAGCTATGCTGTTTCGTCAAAAGCACAAGCTTTGTTATCAAAGCCTGTACTGGAAGTTGATCCAGAAATGGCAGACATTTTGAATCAAGAGAAAGTCAGACAAAAGAACTCAATTACCTTGATTCCATCCGAAAATTTTACTTCTAAAGCCGTGATGGACTTGTTAGGATCTGAAATGCAGAACAAGTATTCAGAAGGTTACCCCGGGGAGAGATATTACGGAGGTAACGAAATCATTGACAAGGCTGAATCATTGTGCCAAAAAAGAGCATTAGAAGCATTCAATTTAAACCCAGAAGAATGGGGTGTCAATGTACAACCATTGTCTGGAGCTCCAGCTAACTTGTATGCTTACTCAGCAATCTTGGATGTGGGAGATAGGATTATGGGATTAGACTTGCCACATGGGGGACACTTATCTCATGGGTACCAAACAAACACTACCAAGATCTCATTTGTGTCAAAGTATTTTCAAACCATGCCATACAGATTAAATGAAGAAACTGGTGTGATTGACTACGACACGTTAGAGAAGAATGCTGAGCTTTTCAGACCAAAAGTTATCGTTGCTGGTGCTTCTGCTTACTCGAGAGTTATTGACTACAAGAGAATGAAGCAAATTGCTGACAAAGTTGGTGCTTACTTGTTGTCCGACATGGCTCACATTTCTGGTCTCGTTTCAGCTGGTGTCACTGCTTCACCATTCCCCTACTCTGATATTGTAACCACCACCACCCACAAGTCCTTGAGAGGACCAAGAGGATCAATGATCTTTTTCAGAAAAGGTATCAGAAAGGTCACCAAAAAGGGAAAGGAAATTCCATACGACTTGGAGAGAAAAATCAATTTCTCTGTCTTTCCAGGACACCAAGGCGGCCCACATAATCACACCATTTCAGCGTTAGCTGTGGCATTGAAGCAATGTACCGAACCAGAATACAAGCAATACCAACAAGAAGTTGTCGATAATGCAAAACACTTTGCCGATGCATTAGAGTCCAAAGGTTTCAAATTGGTTTCTGGAGGTACTGATACGCATTTAATTTTGCTCAATTTGAACTCAAAAAACATTGATGGTGCTAGACTTGAAGCGGTGTTGGAGAGAGCCAATATAGCAGCTAACAAAAACACTATCCCAGGGGACAAGAGTGCACTTTTCCCATCGGGATTAAGAGTTGGTACACCAGCAATGACCACCAGAGGATTCGGATTTGACGAGTTTTCAAAAGTTGCCGATTTCATTGAACAAGCAGTGACTATTGCCGTTGATTTGAAAGGCAAAGAACAAGGGAAAGTGCCCAAAGAATTGTTGGCAAGCTTTAAATCATTAGCCGATGAAAGTGAGGATGTCAAGAAATTGGGTGATGAGGTTGCCAAATGGGCTAGTCAATACCCAGTGCCAGGCGATTTGTAGATATTTGGGTAGTTTTTAGTGCAGAGAGAAACACAAAAGAGAAAAGACAACTTTTTTCAGAAAAATAAATGAAAATTAACGCGAACTCTCTAAATTGTGTAGTCAACCACCTTCCCAATCTCCTCTCCACGATGAACGAGGCAATAGTCAATGTCCATTTGGAAGATGTCCCAAAGACATCATCATTGATATCATGGTCAAAAAATGGGCTCATTGCTTATGTGTCACCATGCAAACAGTCAAAGCACAACCTTTTGTTGACTTATCTTGAGAGTGTGAACGGCCATTCATGGAGATTAGCACCACCACAACCAGTTGAAGTCAAACTAGAAAACAATTTTGTGCCCGAATTATCCTTGTTGTGCTGGAGTACCCTTAGCACCGACTTGGCAGTTTCCGACGTGTATGGTAACTTTTACATCTTTTTGGCTGGGGTGGGAATGGTGGATTCCAAAGATTCGTTACCAAGTTATGAATTGACTTCGTACAACCACATGGAGATGATTTATCGAGACGTTATAAATCAAAATATAAAGTCACCCATCAACCCAGGTGCTTTCATCATTGCATTTAAATGGCTCAACATTGAAAAGCCACAGATATTAAACAAACCTGCAAGCTTGATTAATTTGCAACAATCATACGTGTACACATATGGAGTCAATCAGTATGCACCTCATGGTGTCCTGCATCCTATTCCGACTAAACAAGCTTGTTTGGCTCTACGAAGAAATGGTACTTTAATGTTATACTACCAAGGTGAACACAAGGTAGAGTACCATAGAGTTTCCACCAACCTTCATGATAAGCCAATGATGATCAGCAATGCATCGATTGGGTTTACTAACGACAAGGAAATTTTGATCACTACTTATGATAACTTGTCAGGTGAAATTTCGACTTACTTGGCCACCATTGATTGGGGCTTTCTCGTCGAATCGGCAAAGAGACAAAAAACTGATCCCCACTATCACACACCCAAAGAAAACCAAAATCTTCCCACTATAAGCTTAACCAAAATCCACGAGATGAAACCGTTACCAGAGTACAAAGAGGGTAACATTTACCCATTGCGTTGTATCGACATTGTATCCGCTTCTGCGGAAAAGGAGTCAAAGGCAAGTATTTTGATTAGCTATGGAGCAGTAAAGATATACCGGTATGAGGTTGTCAATACTGTTGAGACTATATCTGATGCATTTTCTGAATTGGGTACCAAAATGAATGCTCTTGTGGAGAGTACACACCCTAAAACAATTGAGCTAAAGGATACGATTTCTAGAAATGGATCAATTCAATCCATAATTATTGGACCATCGGACTTGCATTGTATGATTTTATACGAAAGTGGTTACATTGATGTCTTGGACACAAAAACTTGGGAAGTCATCAACACGTCAAATAGGCAATTTCCACCACGCACAATCACAACTGCATTTGAAGTTGGATTTGCATTTCCTGAAATAAAACACAAAGACCAATTGGTTTTGGCAGTTTCACCGAATATGACGTCAGTGGTATACACAGAAGTTTACAATGAAACTGATGACTTGACGTTGAAACCAATTGAAAAAGTACGCAACACAGGCTTTCAACCAAGAGACTTATTTGCCACATCTGTTGCGTTGGCATATAGACATGCTTATGCTTGTTACACAAACACTTTTACTGATGATTTGATTATATTGATTCAATTCGAAGTGCAAAGACTTCGATCATTGTTGTTTAGGCAGATGCCCGATAAAAACGACAGTATCAAATTAATGCTTAAAAAGTTTCTCGAGTCGATAATAAGTGAAGCACACAAATCAATCAATTTCCAATTGGATGCATTTAGCAAAGAGTCTGTTGATAAATTGTTGTCCAATCCACCATTGCAAAAGTTACTTTCATTACAGTTGATTCTTGGAGAAGCCCAGGGTAACTCTGTTATGTCTGATATTGCATGGATTGTTTTGAACTTGAGAAGCACCAATTTTGGCATTATGTTTTCTCTATCCAGCATATACCGCCAAATTTCGAAAAAGAAACCAAGTGAAGACACCTTGCAGGATTCAATCGCTAGAGGCGAATGTATTATATCATTGATTGGGAACATAAAATGGCTTATGGATCTAATGGCTTACTTTAACCAAGAGTTGCTACAACTTTCGTATTTCAGAAATGATACCGAAAACAGCAAGCTAAACCTCAGTAACTCGGTGGTATTACCCATCATTTTGAGCAAAGTTCCGAGGTTGTTTTTGATGTATGCAATCTCATCCATGGGCAAAACTCATGAAATATTGAAAAAATTGCACAAGGATTTAGCGGAGAGTAATAAACTTTTTACACCCATGAAGGAAGCTTTAAATAGGTATTTTACTATCTGTTCTGGTGCACCATTGACTTTGAGCCTATTTGAACAGTATCTTCGTGAGTGTGATGCGTTGATTGCAAAAGAGCTCACCACAAGACTAGCTTCAAAGGAAAAAGGTTATTCGTTGAAAATTGAGCAAAAATTGGTTTGTCAAGGTGAACTTGCAGATGATGTAAAGGATATTGCTCGAATTTTAGTTGATCGGTATGCGCACAATATTACTCGTGAAATGAAAGTTTCCGAGTTGTACTTTTACAACACAGAGTGGTTAAACATTGGCTTCAATAAGCCCGCTCGATCGATTGAAGATTCGTCAATCATCGTGTATCCACAGGTGTCGAACAAAAAGGTAGTACCAAGGTTGAAGCTCGATCGTGATATCGATGCATTGAGGAAGATCTATATCTACGATGGGAAGATTCGAAGATGCACTAGATGCAGATCAGTTTCGTTGGTCTCAGACCCATTAGTATTTGAATCCCCTACCGCAATAGGCTTGTGGACCATGGTTTTCCAAAGAACTTGCATTTGTGGTAATACATGGGTAAATATTTGATACGTTTATAAAATAAAGGATCAGAAAACTATCCTGTTGCCTTCTCCGCATCCTCCTCCTTTTTCGCTTTCACCTCCACCTCTTTCTCCGTTTCCGCGTCCTTGGCCTTTTTCGCATCCGCCTCTTTCTTTTTCTTTGCAAGGTATCTCAACATGAACGGCATGACTGCATTACTCCCCACAATCCATGCCAACAAAACACCAATGTTTCTTCCCATATGTCCCTTGTAAGCATTAAAGTAGGCAACGTGTAGCAATTCATAAGCATTTCTTGAAGGTACTGCGTATCCATAGTAGTAAAAAGGTGGACTCAATACTGGATGACTTATAATTGGAGCCAAATTTATCACCGCTGCAAACAACAAGATGAACCCAATCAACTGAGGTTTCAACGCAAATATGATAATCACCAAGACTTCAATAATACTACCCAAGGATGCTATCAAAAGATAACAAAACATCCAAATCACTAAGAACCCAGAATAACCAAAGGTGGTATTGAATGGTAGTTGAAACGCAGTATTCAAAACAACTGCTCCCAATGATATAAACATGTAAGCCACTTGAGATGATATAATACGAAAAAACATGTAGTGCCAACCTTTGATTTTTGTCATCAAATACATGTGAATTTTGAGTGTAAAAATGAATTGGAAGAACCCAAATATGACAAGATAAATTAGACCGATTTGAAATGGTGCTTGAAATACAAGGTTGGTAACGGGGTGCAAATCATTGATTTTGAACGTTGGAATGGTCGATATCAAATGTGGAGCTTGTGACATGACATTTAACGCTTGTGTTTGATTGACAGTTTGGAGCATGTTGGCAACAATTTGGCTTTGTGTTGCAAAATTGGGATACGACCTTATAATCCGTTGAACAATGGTGGTTATGTAATTCAGTACGGCATTGTAGTCTCTTCCTGTTTCATACACCGCTTCCATTAGAGATTGTGTTGGATCAAAATCCGTTGAGGCTGAAGTTAGAGCTTGGTTCCACATTAAAGTTGCATTTTCATAAACATAAAAGGCTGCCCAAACTTTTGCATGGTGCACTTGCTGATATACTTCTTGGGTGATGTTGTGTCCATGTTTAGCAGCTAGCGAAGACACCTTGTCATAATCCCATATTTCAAACTTGCCCAACTGTTGCAAGGACGGAACGTTTGTAAAGTACGATTCAATCGTCTTTCCAACAACATTTGGCAATTCACCAACTTGACGATCAGCAATTACAATGGCCATTTTCAAATGTTTATATCGCGTTTCTCGCTTGTAGTAAGATGCCCAGTAAAATAACAATGCTCCAGCAAAGCCAACTAGTAAAAATGCATAGTTGGATAGAAGTTTGAGTCCAATTTGTACACGGTCAGCCCTGAACTCCTTATCCCATAGCTTGTACTTGACTCGTTTTGGTTGCTGTGAAGGCTCTGACTGAGTGGGTTGTGATTCGTGTAGCTGAGGTCTATACAGATGAACTGATTCCATCTCTTCTGACTTAGGCTCCACATTTTCTTCATCACGAGCGGGTTCTCCAGCTTGCTGAGGTTGGTCTGCCCCCAATACATAATTTGCATCGCTTGTGTTGAAATAGTCATCTGCAACATTTTGCATCAATGACCGGTCTTCTTTCTCATCCACATCATTGCTTGCATCATCTCCTTTGTTGAATGAAAGGATATTGGAAGCAGCACTGGATAATCTTCGTCTAAGTGGTTGCTTCTCTGGAGGGTTCGAAGTGGGGCCAATATATGTCTGTGGTTCATTTTCATATAACGAGCTATCGTTCGACTCTCGGGAGGGTAGAGATGGGTTAGATGCCATTTTGGGAAAAGCAAACGGCCAGGATGTTGATGGAAATTGAATGTTTCTGAGAATGTTTGGAAAATGCTGGGAATTGTTGGAATACTTGAAGCGTTATTGTTGTCTTGGTGGCACAAAAGAAAGACTGAAGTGAAATTGGTAAATGAGGCGGCCAACAACATCTACCCATCAAACTAGATGAAAGTTTTTAAATCGGTTTTTAGTAGGGTAGATGGAGGACGAAAGGGAGCTGCTACTGACTCATTTCACTTACTAATCTCTTGGAGTTGGTGGCTCTTTGCAAGTGAAAAATAACATGGTTTGGTCACAAGTTGTTCCGATAGTGCGACACAAAACTGGTTTTGTTTATACTTTGGGATGTATGCAAGAGAACAAAGGATGAAGAGAAGCGTTTAAAAACAATAAGGATGAATTGGGTCAATATAATTCTGAAATGTGTTAAAAACAACTTTTCAGTTCACAAAGGAATTAGAAATATCTTCAAGTCAGAGTATTATTGACAAACAGAACAGTATCGGCGTTATCGTTAACCCTCATTGCAGAACATGTCAACGTCAGACACAGACTCAATTGACCCACTCGAGGTACGAGAAAAGCACGACAACAATGTCACCAACCTAGACATACAACCACCTCAAAACAACAATGAGCATGCAGATGAATTGTCACTACATTCTGGCGGGTTTACGGGTGGTGCATTAGCCAAAGAGCAATCTGCCCGTAGAGATTCCGCCAAAGCACGTCAACGGCAACTGGTGGGGTCCATCAAACTTACGCATAAGGAGCGGATGACGGAGTATATAAAGGCTGCACCAAAGTTCATTTGGGCATACGTTCAAGTGTTTTGTATTTATGTCGGTATTCTCAGTCTTTACTGGGGTACGCTATACAAGCGACAAGATAGATTTCAAAACGTGGGGATGTTAGTGGTCAATGATGATACATCTTTTTCTAACAACGGAACCGAAATGCAAACATACATATCTGACGCGTTTCTTGACTTGCTACAGTTGCCAGAAACCCGCCGTTTGGGAAAATTTATGGTTGTAAACACCACAGAATTTCACGACTTGGCAAACTCTCACAATAACACCCCGTACGAAGAAGTTGTGAGACAGATACACCATCAGAAATACTGGGCTGGATTCTACATCAAGCCCAATGCGTCACAACTAATTTATGATAGCCTTGCATCCAACAATGCTACTTACATGACACTGGGAGCAGTTAACGATACTGTCACCGTGGTGTATGAGACAGGGCGTCATCTTTCCGCGTTGAACCAGTACCTCATCAGAAACTTGAATGCTGTAGCTTTCGATTGGAATACAAGGCTAAGTAATAGCGTTTATCCCGACATTATCAAATCATTGTCCTCAACTCAACAACAAAGTCTTCTTCAAAATACATCCATACCTATATTCACTACGTTTCCCATCCTCAATTTTGTTGACAATAGGCCGTCCTCAAACGCGGCTATATTAGGACCCTCTGAATTGGGACTTATTTACGCCCTTTTGTTTTCATTTAACCAATTTAATTTCTCACTTGAAATTTACCGAATTATGAGAGAAAGGTTGAAATATCACTCTTATATCTTTTACCGCTTTATTGTCTCACAATTGAATGCGTTGTTGTTGGCATTAGTATATGGGTTGATGACAATTGCTTTGAAAATTCCCACAGAAGCTGCTTTTGGTCATTCTGGGTTTGTTGTGCTCTGGATGTTTATATACCTTTACTTGAGTGCCGTCGGTGTGATCAATGAGATTGTGGTGCTGATTATCTTGGCTTTTGAGCAACAAATAATGATGGCACCGTGGATGATTTTCAATATCGTTTCCAACATTTCAGCCACTTTTGCTCCATTCGTTTTGATGCCCGGCTTTTATAGATTCGGGTATGCTATGCCAATGTATAACATCTATGAGGCATTGAAAGTGGTATTTTTTGACACATGGAAGGGAAATTTGGGAAGAAACTTGGGAGTGTTGATCATTTGGATTGTTGTAGGGAATGTGGTGTTGATTCTCGTGTCCAATTGGGCAGTGAAAAGAGCCCGGAGGAAACAAGCGCAGAAGTCTCAACAATAGATGTTTGAATGGGACTGCAAAAGTAGTAACTTTGGAGGTATGAATGAGACTGCATTATTATTATACTGAAAGAAGCGCGCATTAATGCTACGGACGTGTATTTGTAATAATCTATTTACATTGTGTCATCAATTACTTCGACTTTAGGCTGCACATGTTTATAGCTTTGACCAAATTTCATTAGATTGTAACATCCTTCAATCTTTGTCTCCCAAAAATGAGCCCCAGGAACATCATCACTGCGCTTCAAGTTTTCAAGTATCTGTAACTTGATTTTCCAAATGTCGTTGTTTCTAATGTCTGATCCAATGACTTCATTGCTCATTATATTGGGCAAGTTGTTGAAAAGGTACTCCTTCGAGTGGTTATACCGTGACATAGCCAAGAGTAGCTGGTACAATTTATCCTTTGACAAGGACTCGAGTCTTTCATTTGTCAATTTAGTTTGCAACGAGGTCCATATATTAGGAGATGCAATAAAGTTGAGTAGAATGGGAAGGTATGCGTGATCCAATAAGGGCAAGTGCTTTAGTACATCATCGTAAATGGACGCATTTAGTGTGTAAACAACTTCGGGATTAGACTTGGATAAAAGCTTCAACTCTACTTCATCTTTTTCATATATCTTGATAAAATTGTAACTCTTGAATACCTCAAAATTGGACAATATGGAGTCATAGCTGTGGTAACTCATTGCAGCTATGAGTTCAGCAACTTCAGAATCGACAATATCATCAAACTCCCCTTTCTTGAATAATATCAATACATTAGCAATAGACTCATCTATGTTGACATCTGACCCTGTCAAATTAACATAAAACTGAATCAAAAGAATTAGGAATAATGGGTCATCCATGAATTTAGCAATCTCTTCTCGTTCAAAATTGTACATCTTCATATCCAAATTAAATTTGTCAGTCAAAATCAAAAGAAGGTCTAACAAGCGTGCCAAAAGTATGGTATTGTTCAGCTTTCTAACCAGGGAGAGTATCTCTGTACACTCCTCTAGTAAATGCCCTTCTTTTGAGTTTATAGCAGACACCAATGATTCAATCAGGTTCAAAACCAGAATAGGCGTGGTTTCCTTAAAAAATACCGTTAATAACTTGGTAATGACGTGGTTAAACGACAAGAAGTCCTTTGTTTCTGACTCATGAATGTTCAAAGTCAAGATCTTTAAACATATGATGCTGCTAGCCGACGAGGAGAAGAGATTCTCCAAAATAAAGTCTGCAGGGTAGTACTCAAGCACCTGTTTGAAACTAAGGTAAGATAGGATCTTTCCTAGCAATTTTATTAGTATCCCCGTGGGATCAATTGTGGGGTAAGCGCTGTCAAGTAATGTTTGATTGACAAGGGGTATGATTGATTGGAAATATGACGGTTGTTGAATTGTTGCAAAATCCAAAGTGAGGATGTAGTTGTCGATCAATTTATCATTGATAGGTGCTTTAGATCCATAGCTGGAAGAGATTTCGGCTATGGCGTTGTTCGTGAGTTCGTCAAACATTATTGCTGTGGCTAAGGTAGAGATACGTCATGGTGGCGATAGTTGTATTTTCAGTTGGCGCGATATTATAATCTGAGATTGCCAACTAGTGAGAAGGTAAACCACATGTCTTACATTCATTATTATACAGATGAATGGGGGTCTTTTCGATATATTTCATGCCCCAGTTAAAGTCGTTAAATGTTGTACTTAAAACTCTCATCTTATCATGGGGTTGTTTAATTTTCATCCGGAAAATGTTTCCTAATACGTCCAGTGGGTGTTAAAAAATTTGTTGAATGTAAGTTAGGCTTGTAAATAGTCACAGATGATCGGCACAGAGCCAGAGACTAATAAAAAAGGGTGGTCCAATGACCCTACAATTGAATAGTATGTCTTCTGTGAGAATTGGTATATGGAATCAATTGTTCCATGGATTTTGCACCCAAATGTAGGCAAAATAGATATAAAAACGCTCCACAATTCCCGGATACCCGGTCACATCGTTTCCCTACTATCCTCTTTCTTTTATATTGACTCAATCCTTCATCTACATGGAACAACACGCTCTGAAAAATTCCAACAATTTCCACTGTATTTACTCTGAAGGAGCAGGAGTCACGAAACCATTCGTGTAGAATAAAGTCTAATTCCACCTCTTACCCCATAGCAGCCCCGCATTGGTCTACAGCCAGAGCACATACGGGGTTTGCCCCTATTCTGGCACCTACCGAACCCTAAACTAATCAATATGTTCTGGCGATTGAATCAGAAGTGAAATAGAGTTTAATGATAAATGACGCGGGCGGCTGATACCATCAACCGAGTCTTCTATAAACTCCGAAATACGAGTGGAGAATGGCAAATACTTTAAGTTCCTTGTCAATTTTGTGGGGATACCTACAGATTGTAATTGGATTCCTTTGCAAATCTTGGTAGCATCCTCGATTATAATTATTATCTTGAAAAGGGGGTTTTCTAGGCACATAAACCCACTTTTTTTTGTTGAAAATGGATATCTAAATAATCACAACCGTTCCCTCCCCCCTCGTTCCCCCACAAGAAACGGCCCATTATGGTCTGAATGGGTATTGACACAAAGCTTGCACCGCACCACCTTACATAGATAAATCATGATGCTTCATTTACGTCTCCACAAGATAAGATTATAATGACACAACAAGACGACACAAAGTGCAAACAAAAGATAATAAAGCATTGTTTGTAATACGCACAACAGTTTAACGTTCATCAGTTTATTACCCATATTCCGCTACTTTGATAAACCAATTGATATAAATACAGCGAAGCTTGTCTTTCTGGTCATGTCGTTTGCAATTGTTCTTTAACAACTTTTGTTAATTCCTCCCTCCACATACACACACGCACACACACACACACACAACAATGTCTCCAGTCATTTCATATGAATCATTTTTGGTTACCGAATCGTTTCAAGGGTTTGAAGATCCTGAAAAGTTTAAAAAGTATCTTCCCAAGTTAGAAAAATACAAGAATGATTTAAAGGAAAGCATTTTGGATGAATACAAAGTAGCTATGCCAAAACCAATTGACGAGTTGGTCAAGGATCAGCTTGATGCTGTTGACTATATGTACAAGGAAAAATTATTGACACCAGAAGAATTTGAAATCACTGACTCCACTGCTTCAAAGATTGTGAAGAATATTGGAGATGGAAAGTGGACCGCTGTTCAGGTACTCAAAGCTTTTGCACACCGTGGAACTATTGCCCATCAGTTCACCAATTGCGCCCATCAAATATTTGTTGATGAAGGTATCAAACGTGCTGAGGAATTGGACGAGTACCAAAAGAAAACCGGTAAGTTGGTAGGACCATTGCACGGAGTTCCAGTCTCATTGAAAGAACATTTCAACTATGCTGGTAAGGTGACTCATTCAGGCTATGTTTCATTGATTGACAATCTTACTGAGGAATTTGGTGTCACTCCACAAATCTTGCACGACTTGGGTGCTGTTTTTTACATTAGAACTACCCAACCACAAACACTCATGCACTTGTGCTCAGAGAGTAACTATTCTGACCTCACCAAATGTCCATTCAACATTTCCTTGTCTAGTGGTGGATCTTCCGCTGGTGAAGGTGCTGTTGTCACCTTTGGTGGCTCAGTTTTTGGTATTGGATCAGATATCGGTGGCTCAATTAGATCTCCAGCTGCATTCTCTGGTTGTTTCGGTCTTAGACCTACTACACATAGAGTATCGATGGAAGGTAGCACTTCCTCATTGGGCGGACAAGAAACCATTCAAGCTGTTTTTGGTCCCTTGGCAAGAACTGTGGAAGATATTGATACAATGATGAGAACATACCTCAACGAAGGTAAACCTTGGAACTTTGATGCATCTTTGATTTGTATGCCATGGAGAGAAGTGCCAAAACCAAGTGCCAAGGATTTGACCATTGCTGTGATTAGAGATGATGGGTTGGTTAGACCTTCTCCTCCGATTAGACGTGGTATCAACACCGTAGTTGAGAAATTGAAAGAAGCTGGAGTCAAGATTATCGAGTTTACACCTCCGAACACCAAGCTTGCTTACGAAACAATTAACAAGATGTATAATTGTGATGGTAATGAAACTAACCGTAAGATGTTGGGTGAAAGTGGTGAACCATTGGTTCCATTAACCAAGTGGTCTTTGAACTATGGTGATGGTTCGAGAATGTTTACTGTCCCTGAAGTTCGTCAATTGCATATGACTAGAGACGCCTTGAGAAATGAGTATAACAAATTCATGGTGGACAACAATGTCGATTTTATTTTGTCACCAGCATACAACAACGTTGCTCCTCATCCACGTGAAGTTTTCAATTGGTCATACACAGCATTGTTTAACATCTTGGATCTTCCAACTTTGGTGTTGCAAACTGGATTGAAACAAGATCCTGCAGTCGATGTGTGGACAGAAGAGGATAAAAAGCATCAGTACAGATCCCAGTTGGAGCAGTTGGAGAATGAAATGTACAAGCCAGAAGAGTTTAAGCATGCTCCAATTGCCTTGCAATTGAGTGGGAGAAGATACCACGATGAAGAGGTTGTTGCTGCCGGTAAAGTCATTGCTGATGACATTTTGAAGGTCAATTTACTCAAACATTAGAGAATGATTGCCGCAGAACTTCTATATGCTAAGTTATAGTCCTGATTGTATGAATAAACGAAACAAACTAAACAATTTCGCTTCTTTGATATTTCGGCTTGATGCCGTGTGGACGGTAGCGCTTGATCCGCCAAAAGCGGGGCACCCTTTGTTGGTGAGTATATCCATCGTAGTCGCCAATAGACGATCACTTCGACGAAGTGTAGCAATTTCCAAAAAACATTCTTTGACACACATCCACACACCTTCTCTCTCTACTAAATCTAAGGTAATGGTGTGTATTTGATCATATATGCAAGTAAAAGCATTCATTATCGCGTAATTTATCATAGATAAGACGTCGGCGACAAAAAAAAAGAGAAAAAGTATTTTCTGTGGCACTCTGCAACCCCCACCTTTCTCAAATAGGCAAAAATCAAATGCGCTAACGGTGTGGTGTCAAATGGAGGGGGGGGGGGGTAAGAGGATTGATCTACCTACTATATATATAACAATCAACACCTCCATACTATGCCTTATATTCAAAAGCAAAAGATTTCGTAAATTCTATACCGCAATTAATACAATGACAGACCACGTTCCCATCGAAGATGCTTTATTTGAATCACTTTTAACCAAGGAAACTTTTGACGGATATGAAGATCCCGAAAAATTCAAGGAATACATTCCCAAAATTGAAAAATACAAGAAAGCATTAGAGGATGGAATTTTGGATGAGTACAAGATTGATTTACCTAAACCTATTGACGAATTGATTGAAGAACAACTTGATGCCGTTGAATACTTATACCAAGCTAAGCTCCTCACACCAGAAGAGTTTGAGATAACCGATTCATCCGCCACCGATATTGTAAAAAATATCGGCGAGGGGAAGTGGACTGCGGCTCAAGTTTTCAAAGCTTTTGCACATAGAGGTACAATTGCTCATCAATTTACAAATTGCGCCCATCAATTATTTGTTGATGAAGGTTTGAAACATGCGGAAAAGTTGGACGAGTATCAAAAGAAGAATGGCAAACTCATCGGTCCATTACATGGTGTCCCAATTTCGTTGAAGGAGCAATCAGGATACAAGGGAAAAATCACCCATGCTGGTTACGTGGGGCTAATTGATAACATTACAACCAAACATTCCGTCACCACACAACTCCTTTCCGATTTAGGAGCTGTGTTCTACATCAGAACAACACAACCACAAACCCTTATGCATTTGTGTTCGGGAAACAATTTTTCAGAAAAGACCAAATGCCCTTTCAATATTGCGTTATCAAGTGGAGGCTCGTCCTCAGGAGAAGGTGCGGTTGTCTCGTTTGGTGGATCAGCCATTGGTATTGGATCTGATATTGGTGGATCGGTGAGATCGCCTGCAGCCTTCAGCGGATGTCATGGGTTGAGACCTACTACTCGAAGATTGTCGACATTAGGTGGTGTTTCCTCCGGTGCTGGACAAGAGTCAGTGCCTGCTGTATATGGCCCATTGACTAGGTCAATCTCTGACATTGAGTACTTGATGAAAGTTTACATCAATGAAGGGCGCCCATGGGACCACGATGCTTGGTCTTTGTATATGCCTTGGAGGGATGTACCAAAACCACAAGCTAGAGATTTGACCATTGCCGTGATTAGGGATGATGGTTTGGTAAGACCATCCCCACCAATTAGACGTGGTGTCAACACGGTTGTGGAAAAATTGAAAGAGGCTGGGGTAAAAGTTATAGAGTTTGATCCACCAAACACTGAATTGGCATATGAAACAGTCAACAAAATGTATTGCTGTGATGGTAATGAAAAACAACGTGAGTTGTTGGCGAAAAGTGGTGAACCATTACAAAAACTTACAAAGTGGAGTTTGAATTATGGCGAAGGTGCTAGACACTATACCATTCAAGAGAATCGTAAATTAAATGTGACCAGAGATGAATTGAGAAATGAATACAATGATTTTATGGTGCAAAACAAAGTCGATTTCATCTTATCACCTGTGTACAACAATGTTGCACCACGTCCTGGCCGTGTTTACAACTGGTCATACACCACATTGTTCAATATCTTGGACTTACCAACATTGGCATTCCAAACCGGATTGAACCAAGACCCTAAAATAGATGTGTGGACCGAAGAGGACAAAAAGTATAAATTTAGATCAAAATTAGAACAGTTAGAGAACAACAATTACAAGCCGGGAGATTTCAAACATGCACCAATTGCCTTACAGTTGAGTGGAAGGAGATATCGCGATGAGGAAGTTGTCGCTGCTGGAAAACTCATTGTTGATGATATCTTGAAGGTCAATTTATTACACTAATGTATAGTTGTATAGATGATAAACAATGCAAACGATATGATAATAAGTCGAATCTGTGTGTGGTTTCATGGCCAAAACGATATGATAATAACTCGAATCTGTGTGTGGTTTCATGGCCAACAGGAAGTAGTAATGTTTTTTTGATGAATTCGCAAATGTCTTAGGGTCAAATTTGATTCCATAAATGGAAGAGAATTCCGCGCCCAAAAGGGAAAAACATGATTGTTGACAGGCGCCCAGCACCCGAAACTTTATCGTAAGAGATTATGTTTTCAAAAGCTAAACACGTCACGACCTTGAAAATATATATCTAACCAAATGATTTGGTGAATATCAAAACATTGTTTTCCTTTCTGCCACAGATACCATCAGCAATGACAATTGATCCGGCGCTTGACCAGTTATTTTATTCGTTGCTAACAAAGGACGATTTATCTAGATATGAAGATCCAGAAAAATTCAAAGAATGGATTCCGAAGATTGAGGCTTATCGTCAAAAGATCGATGATTCCGTGCCATCGGAACTCAAGGTTGAGTTGCCAAAACCAATTGCAAAATTGAAACAAGAGCAGTTCAATGCTATGAAACACTTGTACGATGAAAAGTTATTGACACAGCATGAATTTGAGATTACAGATTGCCCAGGCACTTTGATTGTGCAAAAAATTGCCAATGGTCAATGGACTTCAGTTGAAGTGTTTCAGGCGTTCGCCAAACGTGCAGTTTTAGCCCATCAATTTACCAACTGTGCTGTTGAATTTTTCATTGAAGAAGGTCTTGCAAGGGCTAAGGAATTGGATGAGTATTATGCTACTCATGGTAAAATAGTAGGTCCTTTGAATGGATTACCCATTTCATTAAAAGAACACATTTCACTTAAGGGTAGAATTGGCCATTCTGGAATTGTGTCGCTATTGGATAATGTTGCCGACAAGGATGCAGTGACTGTAACAGTTTTACACAACTTGGGTGCCGTATTCTATGTCAGAACTAATGAGCCACACGCATTGTTACCCTTGGACACTGGCAACAATATTACAGGATTCACCAAATGCCCATATAATTTGCTTTTGTCTAGTGGTGGCTCATCCTCAGGGGAAGGCGCAAACATTGCTTATGGTGGAAGTGTTTTAGGAGTTGGTTCAGACATCGGTGGCTCCATCAGATCTCCGGCAGCTTTCTCAGGGTGTCATGGGTTGAGACCGTCATCGAGAAGAATTTCGGCAAGGGGATTAGTTGGAGAGGGTGGTGGCCAGGAAAGTGTTGTCGGAGTACTTGGACCGTTATCGAGAACAATTGAGGACATTGAATTGTTTATGAAGCTGTACATCAATGATGGTAAACCATGGCTTCTTGACCCTTGGAGTTTACCAATCCCCTGGAGAGATGTACCGATCCCCGACTTAACCAAGTTGAAAATTGCTGTCGTTAGAGATGATGGTGTTTGCAGAGTGACGCCACCAATTCGCAGGGGATTGAATGAGGTTGTTGAAAAATTGAAACTGGCTGGAGTTGAGATTGTAGAGTTTATTCCAAAGAATGGCAGATTAGCTTACGATGTCGCTACTCAATTATCTAATTGCGATGGTAATAGGGCTTTGCGTGAAGCATTCTCCGCATCTGGCGAACCATTGCCAAGGTTGACCAAGTGGTACTTGAACTTGGGTGAAGGAGCGAGAGAATTCACTGTTACTGAAAATAGAAAATTAAACTCCATTAGAGACAGATTGAGAGAGGAGTACAGTGATTATCTCATTGAAAACAAGATTGATTTTTTCCTTGGCCCAGCTTACAATAATGTCGCCCCTAAGGAAGAAGAAGTGTATAATGAATCATACACTTTGATCTACAATTTGCTTGATTTCCCGAGCTTGGTGTTTCAAACTGGCTTATTTCAAGACCCCAAAATTGATATGTGGCAAAAGGAGGATTTGAATTACAAGTACAGAAGCGGCATGGAAGAGTTGGAAAATAGGGGGTATGATCCAACTCAGTTTGTTGGAGCACCAATTGCTTTACAGTTGAGCGGAAGAAGGTATTGTGATGAGGAAGTGGTGGCTACCGCAAAGGCTATTGTTGACTTCCTTAGCGTGGATTTGTTGAGACGACAAAATGAGTAACACAATGAGAGTTGTTTATTAACTAAATAGAGTGCAGGAAAGAATACATGTGAGACCATTAACCGGTGAAGTGATTTGGGTTTGTGCTGGCAACATCACTTGGATAACATTATTGGGTAGTTGTGATGATACAAACGTAGTTGGTGCGCCCTTTTGAAAATTAAATTTCTTTTTTTTTTTCCATTTACTTGTTGCATTAATTACGATAAAACGACTATAGCTTTTATGAGGATAGTTTCATATACGAACTGACATAATCGCTGTAACCTTACAAAGACGGATAAAGTAAAAATCTTGGTTTCAGCCCCAACTGAAATCAAATCACATTGGTGGCTGTAAATTGGTATACTTTTATGACGTTGACAAAAGGCGGCGAAAGTCATTATGTATCTCGGTATCCATCTACGTTACGAACTGCAACGGCCCCAAATGAGACGCAAGTCTTCCAAGAAACACATAGTTGTAGCTTGCCCATCCCAGAGTGTAAGGTTTCGTTCTAGACTCTCCTCTTTTCGTTATCGACTACCATATACGTCAAAAATATCACAAAGTCAGAATAAGGTTTTTCCTTGGCTGACATGGCGACAAACGTCATATAGCGAATTCGAATACGTTGGTTACAGCTAATATCAAGGATTTTCGTCATAGTTTGCAGGATAGGTTGTGACTTCAAAAAGTAGAAGAATACGTGGTACTACTTCTTGAAGAAATTTGCTCACGAGGGGGGTAGGGGGACAGCGCACCACAAAGCGTGTAGTAGTGTAGTATCTTTTACCTCAATTCAGATTCCAATTTGCCACAGGGCCCTGGGGAACAATTATGACACCAAGTGTCATGCAAACGTTTGTACCATATTGACATCAACAATATGTTTTTGACGCTACAAATAATAAGATTTCAGTAATTAACAATTTAACTTTTTAATGAATTATATATATCCGCAACGTCCGATAGTTTATAAGGGTTACAAGGTTAAAGTTTCGGCAGTATAATTGACGTAAGGTTGCTCAAGCAATATTTCTAACTTTTGAAAACCTCTTATTCTGGCGTTGGTACTAAGTCTCGTCACGAATAATCCTATTTTCAAGGTAAAAGTGACTGATTAAAGCAAATATATGAGCTAATACAAGTAGACATTCCCCGGAAGCTATATCCTCAACTTTTGTGGTATCAAACAAGTGCAAAGTAGCAGTCTGGGGAATAAGACAGATTGTTCAAAAGATAATATAAAACATCATCTAGAGTCGAAGAGGAAATTTTGTGTAATGAATAAGTTATTTTGTGTACAAAAAGCCTCTCAGTTTGCAATTTCTTTTTTCCTATGTAACCTTTGTTCATTATTATATACTTGAGGAGCTAAATAGTTAGAAGTCAACCTCGTTGATAAAAGTTAGTTGCAGGGTACACAAAAGAGGCAGGTTTATGGCTGCACAATGCTACATTAGGCTTTTCCACACAAGAAGAAATGGCAACTGAGCTCGATATAAATACTTGTAGCATTGATCTCCCTGATTTATGGAGAACAAGCACTGAGAAGTGTACGACCACATACGTTTCTACCACCGCGTTGACGAATCTTTAAGATGGACTTGAAGCAGTTTAGAGAGTACTTAATCGATGACAAGTACTTGAATGAGTCGTTATTAACCGAGAAAGAATTTAACATAACTGTGTTACCACCAGAAGTTTTAATAACGAAGTTATCGAATGGCAAATTGTCAGTGGTTGAAACTGTAGCAGCATTTATTAAAAAACACCTCATAGTGAACAATTGCATTGATATACCACCACTTCTCGAAAGAGAGTTTAGCGCCGCTTTAGCCATGGCTGGGTTTTTGGACTGTTATTTCAAAAGTACCGGCAAAGCTTTAGGTCCATTGCACGGCTTGCCAATAAGTGACAAACAATTGGAGACGATCAAAGTAGAATGCTTTGGTTCAGACGGTGACTTGGGTGCATTAGGTAATATCCCCTTAAATATAGTGTTTCACCCAACACTAATGCCACCAAACCACGTGATTCATCGGTCTAAAAACCACAATCCATTATTCCGAAATTCAGCAATACACTCAGGAATGTGATGATCTGTAGCATCTTTGCTGGTGTGTGGAGTTAGGAAGTAGTATGTATAGAATATTTACAAGTATTCAATATAAGTCAATGTTTGTGCATCTTCTCATGTCGCAATTTCCCGCCAGTGTCGTGAAAAAATTCTCAATCAAAAATTTGTGCCACTACTAATATCATTTAGGATCAGCCCCAGGATAGTTTACTCAACAAATATCCATATAGAAATGGACTACGATGAAGATGAATTAGATTACAACTCACAAGAAGAGCTTGATCAATTTGATGAAGACAAACTTACAAACGAAGAATACGATTTACTACATCAACTCTTGCCTCAGTTGAAAGCCAAGTTAAAGTCTTATAATGACGATGTACCGGAAATGGCTCTAAAAGAAACTCTTTACTTCAACTACTTCGAATTAGAGCCATCCATTGAAGAGATTAAAACCAATTTCAAAAGTACGTATCTTTGAATTTATTCTAACATTCGATCATCTTCTACAAATGCAAATTTGCAATGAAAGAGAACAGGAAAAAAAAGTAAAATACTGGAGCAATAGTATATGATTTACCAACAAAAGATCCATTAATATATCATGTCGAAGTTAGCACAATTAGCAAAGCTACGAGCTCAAAAAAGAGAGCAGCAACCATTTCAGAATCTGGAGGTGATTCCTTCTCCAACGGAGTCAACACCACAGTTGACATCAAAATTATCGCGATTAGCAAAGGCAAGATCGGGCCTTTCTTCAAGTTCCATACTAGATCAATTCACATCGAGCACATCCACATCGGGTGAAAACCCATCAAGGCTGCCGAGCATAGCAGCTTCAACAAGAAAACATGGAAGGACAGAAACGTCTATACGATACGACTCCACTTTCACTCCAACTCCAACCAAACATGATATCCCAGAACCAAAGTTTTCCTTTGACGTTGCATTGGATGAGTCAGTTCTTTCAAATACTCCGATGGATAATATCTCCATATTCTGGTTCAGAGAAAACACCAGCGAGGGGCAGGATCAACCCAAAAGAAGACGATTGAATGACGCCATTTTTCAACCAATTACTAACATTGATATTCCTGTAGAAAAGATTATTAAAGCAAAAGACAACTTCGGTAAGCCATCACCTGATGACGAAATCTTGAATGCACAGAAGCAAGCATTTGAAGGGGTTGGTAATTTGAAAATTGACGAGGCACCAAAGGAGAAAAGTACAACCAAAGTTAAAGAAACTAAACCATTCAAAAAAGTTGACATTGATAATGAACTAATTAGTAATCCACAATTTACCAAGCCTCATAAATCGTTTGTCGTTATTGGACATGTGGATGCAGGAAAGTCAACGCTCATGGGAAGACTATTATTCGACTATGGGATAGTTGATGCCAAAACAGTCAACAAGCTAGTCAAAGAGAGTGAGAAAATCGGTAAAGGCTCTTTTGCTTTGGCATGGATAATGGACCAGACAGAAGAGGAGAGGAGTCATGGTGTTACTGTGGACATATGTGCCACTGATTTTGAAGTTGATACTACTAAATTTACCGCCATTGATGCACCCGGCCATAGAGATTTTGTCCCACAATTGATCGGTGGTGTTTCCAATGCTGATTTTGCGTTGTTGGTGATTGATTCCATCACTGGCGAGTTTGAAGCAGGATTCGCATTGGACGGACAAACAAAAGAGCACACAATCTTGGCCAAGAATTTGGGTATTGAAAAGATTTGTGTTGTGGTAAATAAGATGGATAAAGAAGATTGGAATGAAAATCGATTTGAGACCATAAAGACACAGTTGTTCGAGTTTTTGACAAGCTCCGACGTGGATTTCCAACCAGACCAAATCGACTTTGTTCCAATCTCCGGATTGACGGGGAACAATGTGGTAAAGAGAGACCCATCCATTGAGTCATTCAAGTGGTACACCGGTCCGACATTAGCTCAGTATATTGAAAGCGTGCAAGTGCTGGGGACTGATGAGACAAATGTCACACAAGAGCCCTTTTATCTTTCAGTTCATGACGTTTACAAAGATAAAGGGGATTTGAAAGTGATTGGTAAGATAAACGGTGGGTATATACAACCCGGAGAAACTGTTGTATTTTACCCCAGCGAGCAGAAATTACAAGTCCTGTCTGTGCAAGTGTCTCAACAAACTGTTGATTTTGCTATTGAAGGGCAATTGACAACCTTGATATTCAAAAGTAGTCAAGTTTCAAATGAGTCGGTGGATGTTGTACGTATTGGGGATGTTGTAACCAAGGTTCAATCATCAATTAAAACAGTGAAAAAATTTACCGCATCTGTACATTTGTTCAATATGGACAAGCCGCTTCTAGTGGGGATGCCATTTGTGCTATTCAGAAATAGTAGTCAAGTCCCTGCTAGAATCAGCAACATCATAGAGATTACAAACTCAAATAAGAAAAAGAAAAAGAAAGTCTTACATTTGACTTCTAATCAAAATGCAGTTGTTGAGATTGAAGTTGACGGGGGCTCTTCTTTGCCGTTGACTACATATGAAGATAATGCCAAATTGGGAAGAATCGTTCTTCGCAGAGAGGGGCACACAATTGGAGCCGGAAAGGTGACTGAAGTTTGATTTGTAAAAACTGGATTGTATAGCGGTTAACATATCCTTGTAAAGTACATCTACCACGTTTATATAAACTTTAGAAAATCTATAATTACCAAAAGACAACCCAATACAATACAAATTGTAACCAAGTAATTAGCTCCCCTTTTGTTTTTCCTTGTTGCTTTATTCAATGTTCGGTTACCTTCTTTGACTTCCAACTCGACTTGGGAATGGGTATCCATTAGATTGTTTATTTGGTCTCCTTGTTCTTGTAATTTGAAGCTTAACTCATTTTGAATATTCACTATATCAAGAATCGATTGCTGGATATTGTCCACTTGCTTCAATTGTACTGTTTTCAAATTGAGTAACTCTTTGTTTTCAGATTCCAACTCTTGAATTTGTTCTTGACTCATTTCAAATTGTGGTGTTTCCTCCTCCTTCTCTTCCTCCTTTTCAACATCTTGCTGAATTTGATCCAAGCTGGTAAAAACCCTCGAGTTATCCAAATCCCTTTCTAGCTCCTCATTGATATTTTGAAAGTTTAATGAGTTGAGTTGCTTTTCACGTTGAATTCGTTTACGTTGCATCTTCTCATACGTTTTGGATAAATTAACCAACGATTCCATCAAGAATCGTAAGACTTGATGCCGGTGACTAGCTTCAGTTGTAAAATAAAGATCCTGTTCGTTATCGTCTTGGAAAAACCATCGTTTCAGTAATGTGGCTTTAACCATTTGTTGTCGTTTCTGCTCATATGACTCTAGAGCGCCAATCTTCTTAAAGCATTGCTGAACCCGAGTGTTAAACTCTTCATCTATTTTGTCTTTGGATGCAGAGCTGGATGCAGTGTCTGACACGGCAAGGTATTCTGCTTTTATTTCAGTAATCAATTGACTCAAGTTGCTCAAAATTTGATAAAATTCAATGCATTCTTTGTTGAAGGTATCTTTAATCAAATACAAAGGTTGCTCTTTCGAATGTAGAGGCCTTTTTGGTTTGATCTCAGATTGAACTATGTTTACACATTGGTTGAATATAGGTGTCAAGTCGGTCATCCCGAGGCGCTGTTTTGTTACTGAAGAGTAGTTTTGCGCTGTTTCTAATTTTTCTTCGAAGGGAGTTCACTTATTGGTTTCAAATTACCTCAAAGCTATACACTTTTAACCAGAGAGATAGTCAGTACACTTGGTAACCTCAACGGCATCTACGTGACCATTGGGATACTCGACCTTGACTGTATCAGTGTCGTACAAAATATTCCATCTACCCAAAAATTCATCGCCATTTGGATTTGGATTCTTTTCATTGTATGCCTTCTTTTCTTCAGGAGATAATCTAACGTATTTTGCATACTCGGGGGCACCTGGAGTCAAAATGTTGTCAGCCGTAATCACGGTACCTGGCGCAATAAAGTTGAGAGACTCCAACTCTCTCAAGTCGGGAACGTACAAGTCCTTCCAATGATCAATGAACACGAAATCCAAAGCTTTGAACAGACCATTCTTGTTGAGTCTCTCTTTGAAATCAACCAACGTGTAAGAGGCTTTTCCAACAATGATTTCAATCTTTTTCGATAATCCAGCTAAGCGGATAACATCGGTGGCAATTTTAGCAAACTCTGGATTCACTTCAAAACTGTAGTATTTGGCCTCGGGATCAGCAATCAACTCATTGGCAAACAAGACAGCTGAGTATCCCAAGTATCCGCCCAATTCAATCATGACGTTGGGTTTCTTTTCTCTGATCTCAGCAGTGATCAAATCTCCTTTTTGACGACCAATGTCCATGAAATGACCATTATAGTCATCAATTACTTTCAACACTTCCAACGGTTTACCTTTGATGGCATCGACTTTGTCTTGAGGCAAATTCAAAATATACTCATGGAACTTTTGTTCTTTTGTTTTCTCTGTTGAGTTGGATGAAGACATGGTGTAGATGGTGTAAGTTGCATATAATTGTGATTGAATTTGTGAACAAAAGATATTTATTGCAAAAGTAATTGATGAACAAAAATAGGGGTGGATGTGACTACCCCTTTATATAAGTATCGCTAACACAGTACGGCTCTGCAAATATTCACAAGGATCTAGCAAGTGACTTCCTTTACAGAACAATAATACAGTTAAAGCCCCGTGAATTTGGTCACAAGAAAAAAACCCCGAATTGTCGCAAGGCACAAATAATTGTCGATCCGTATAATCGTTCCGCGCTTTCGGCTTTAGGTGTTTTTGTTATCTTTTTAATCAGTAAAACGGGGTAAACTGCCACAGTTGCGGATCAGCTCAATTGTGGCAATTGCGAGAGCGGGAAAGCCTCATATAGTTGTTGAATAATAGGAACTAAACACTTTTCCGTCATTGGTTTCGAGGACAAGTAGTTGCGAACCATAGAAGTTTAGGTGACATTGTATCTTGATGTACACTAACAAATGTGCTGTTTTAATTATACTTTTTAACATGCCATCGGCATGAACTAGTTTTTAGAAACGAGCCTTTTCGGTGTAGAATAATACTTAGGTTCTTTTTCATGGGGGGACGAAGAGAAGTACGTATTGGTGAATCCCCCTCCTCAAAAAAAAAAAGAAAATTTCATCAACATATCCCACCTTGCTATTCGCTTACCCTGGATGTGAAATCAGGTAACGAATGGTGAGCACCACTCCCCTGGATTTGAAGTCTTCAGTTATCTATATTCGGTGTCTAAAGGACATACAGAAAGAAAGGGCGCCGCGCGTAGCTGAAAATTGAGAATTGAAATTTGTCTTCATTCTTTTCCCAACCACTATCCCATCTTAAGATGTCTAAAGCTGCCATGCCAACATCCACAGATACCCTACCTCAACTTCTAGATGAATTTGCTAAACTCAAATCTAAGCGACTAGATGCACTAAAACTTAACAAGGCAGATGTGGCTCAGGAAACAAGAAAGCAAAAGCTCGCATCAATACAATCAAAATCATCTCACAACTATGAGGCTGATCCGAGAAAAAGCTTGAGTGAAAGGAAAAGGGTCATGGAATATACAATAGCTGAGTGTGAGGCTTGGGAGGAGAGGCGGCAGAGAAGTTTGAACACCGGAATTCAAGATCAAGATAAGTTGGCAGAAGCCTCATATTATAAAGAGATTAATGGACTAAAAATAGACAAAGAGGCATACCTTAGGAGTAAGGAGAACGATGCAAGAATGGAAAAGGTGGATAATAAAGTGAAACAAGAGGTCAGTGCCATGATAAAGGATTCCAAAGATCGAAAGTTCAATAAAAAGCGAGGTCGTACAGATAATAATGATGATGCAGGTAACTACATCAGTGAAAAGAACAGGCAGTTTAACTTGAAACTCAATCGACAATATGATTGACAAATAGCATCATTGGAGAGGAGTATTTTTATGTTTAGTGGCTGGATCGACACGGAGAAAAGACATTGCCCATTGGTTCTTATCCTCTGTAAGTACTGACTTGTTTGAGGCATCAGTGTAACAGACTATAGTTAAATATATCCTGCTATGTGGTTTGTTAAGTGTGTTCCTCAAACTGTGTTTTTCTTTTTTTTCTAAATTCCTTGTACCTAATCTTTCAATTCCTTCTGTCAGGCGAAAAAAAAAAAAAAAATACTTCTTCGTGAAATATTTGAATTAACCCAAGCTCAGTGTCTAACTCAACGTTGACAAGTTAACAATCCATCTCAATTACCAACATCCACTGATTGTTGTCCTTGGTTCAATATAGAAATCAATAGTACCCAGATTCTATAGCTCGAAACGATTAGCCAGAGTATTCGCAGTATAGCAAGTATGTCGGACGAGGAAAGAGAAATCGTTAACCACGAAGAAGATCATTCGGGGTCGGAAGGAGAAGGAGAAGGAGAAGATGTCACTCGAGACTCGGTCACAGACTCTTCTGAAGAGGAGGACGATGATGACAACGAAGAAGAAATTCAAAAAGTTCGTGAAGGTTTCATAGTTGATGATGAAGATGAGGAAATAGAATCAACAAAGAAAAGAAGGCACAAGAAAAGAAAAAGAGAAAGAGAACGTCCAGAGCAAAACGATGCTTTAGATGAGGACGATCTCGAGTTGCTATTGGAGAACTCTGGAGTTAAACCGAGGGGTCAGGGGAATAAGCTCAAAAGGTTAAAGAGAAAAACCTCAGAAGAGGACCAAGATTCACAAGTTGATGTGCCAAAGGAACACGACCGTCAATCGAGGACATCGCCAGCGGTACCAGACATCTTTGCCGATGATGACGAAGAGGAGGAGGAATTGGGCGAAGGCTTGATTGACCATGACGAAGATAGAGGAGCCATACCTCGGGATAGATCAAACATGTTGGATGAATTCGAGGACTTCATTGAAGAAGATGAATTGTCAGACGAAGATGAGGAAATGAGAAAACAAAGACAACTTGAAAGACAGAGGGTGAAACAAAGAGGTCCAAAGCTTGATACCTCCAAATTGTCGAACGTTGACCGTAAGAGTTTGCAGGAGTTGTTTGAAGTGTTTGGTGATGGCCGTGAATACGAATGGGCATTGGAAGCGCAAGAGGATGAAGATTTGGGTGCCGCAGGTAATGAAGACCCTACATCTTTGGACGAAGTATTTGAGCACTCAGAGTTGAAAGAACGAATGTTGACGGAAGAGGATAACTTGATTCGTATCATTGATATTCCAGAACGTTTCCAAAAGTACAGGTCTTCTTTAACTTATATTGACTTGAATGACGAGGAGTTGGAACTTGAAAAAAAATGGGTTGCCGATGCCATGTTGCAAGAAAGAAAGGCATTTCAAGGTGGGGTTTTGGAGAAACCTTTCAAAAATGCAGTTGGTACAATCGTAGAGTATGTGTCCAAAAATTCCTATGAAGTGCCGTTCATATGGTCACACAAAAGAGACGACTTGTTGTACTCTGCCTCTGCCGATGGTACAGGTGTACACAAATTATTATTTGAGGATGATTTGTGGAGAATCGTCAAGTTGGATATTGAGTATCATTCTCTTTATGAGAAACGGTTAAACATGGAAAAATTGATTGAGGAATTGGGTATTGACGATGACTTGACCAGAGATATAAAGTCATTGAACACGATGGTGGCTGTCCAAGACACTCAAGATTACATCAATTTCAACTATGCTAAACAAATTCAAGCTTTGTCCAACAAAGAGAGCAACGAAGATGAAGACTCAGAGGAGAGAAGAGCCAAAACAACAAACAAGGGCAAGAAACATTCAAAGTATGCATTATTTGATAGAATCAAATCGAATATTTTGTACGATGGTGTGGAAGCGTATGGTATCACTGCCAAACAATTTGGAGAAAACGTGCAAGACCAAAGCTCTCAAGGCTTCAACATTACTTATAGAATTCATGCCACTGATGACTCCCATGAGCCACCAGATTTCTTGATCAACAAATTGGTTGATGATGAAGAGGCGTTGTTTAGAGATCAAAAGACAGCCAAGGATGCAATCAGACGTACATTTGCGGATGAGATTTTCCACAATCCGAAAATTAGACATGAAGTGAGATCTACGTTTGCGTCTTTTGCTTCAATCAGTGTTTCAATTACTGAAAAGGGGAGAAACACTATTGATAATTACAGCCCCTATGCTGACATAAAGTATGCAATCAATCGATTCCCATCAGAACTTGTTCAGACACCTGATGTATTTTTGAGAATGCTAGAGGCTGAACAATTAGGTTTAGCTGTGATTACCGTTGAGCCAAGAGATTTCGAAAATTGGTTCCAAAGTATTTTCAACTGTTTGAAATCGGATGGATCTTCAGAAGTTTCCGATCAATGGAACAAGGAGAGGGAGATTGTTTTGAGATTGGCATTTAAAAAATTGTGTGCAATGGTTGCATTGAATACCAAAGAAGACTTGAGACGAGAGTGTGAGAGGTTGATTGCTCTGGAGGTACGCACGAAATTTCTTGCTAAGCTCGATCAAGCTCCTTTTACGCCATATGGTTATGACAAGGGTACCAAGTCAAATGTTTTAGTTTTGACTTTTGGTAAAGGAGATTATGACAGTGCCGTTGTTGGTGTATTTGTTAAAGATTCAGGCAAAGTGCAGGACTTTTTTAAATCTGATACCAATCCAATTAGAGACTTGGAAAGTGAAGAGACCTTTAGTGGACAATTGAAGGAGTTTTTCGATAAAAATTTGAAAGTTGACAAACCAGATGTGTTGGTAATTTCAGGTTTCAATGCCAACAGTAAAAGATTATACGACATTGTGACGAAATTTGTTACGGAAAATGGCATAACTGTGAATGTTGACGAGATTGAGAAACCTGAGAAGATACCATTGATTAATGTCATTTGGGGTCCTGACGAAACTGCGAGATTGTATCAAAACTCAGAAAGAGCCAAGTTGGAATTTCCTGACAAACCTCAATTGGTTAGGTATGCGGTTGGGGTAGCCAAGTATATTCAGGACCCACTTTTGGAATATGTATCTTTGGGTGAAGACATTCTATCACTTTCTTTCCACGAACATCAAAAGCTTATCTCCAATGACTTGGTAAATGAGGCGTTAGAATCAGCATTCGTTGACATTGTTAACGTAACTGGTGTTGACATCAACGTTGCCGTTCGTGATTCGTATATTGCTCAGACATTGCAATACGTCGCTGGTCTCGGTCCACGTAAAGCTTCTGGGTTGGTTAGAAATATCATCAACAACTTGAACTCCACTTTGGTTTCGAGGAGTGATTTAATTCAAGAGGGATTGATGACTGCAAATGTTTTTGTTAATTGTGCTTCTTTCTTGTACATTCCTGTTGAGAATGTAGTCGACTCGCTCTCGGATTCAGTTGAATTGTTGGATGCCACAAGGATTCATCCACAGGAATATGATATGGCGAGAAAAATTGCTACAGATGCCATTGATATGGATTTGGAGGATTTTGATGGAGACGCAACCTCTGCCATTCAAAATTTGTATAATGACGATGTCACCAAGGTTAATGATTTGGATCTTGTTGGGTATGGTAAAGAATTGTATGAAAAGCTGGGCAGGAAGAGTTTTACAACTTTGTTGATGATCAAGGATGAATTGATCAATAACTACGAGGAATTGAGAAAGAGATTCAGGATTATGGATGATGTTGAAGTATTCACCATGTTGACAGGAGAGACGCGTAAATCATTTGGTCGTGGTCTGATTGTTCCCCTCACCATTGTCAAGGTTGGGAAAAACTATCGTGATCCAACCTCGAGAATTAGATTTGCTAAAGGTGTTACATCATCCATGGTTCAGGCCAACATTGAGGAGGATAAGATCCCCAGTGATTTGGATCTTGTTCAAGGGCAAGTGGTGCAAGCTGTTGTGTTTGAGGTTTTTTATGAGTCGTTCACATCAGTGATGAGTTTGTTGAGAGAGGATATAAAACGTGCATCAACGCCGCGTATAGTCAAGGAGGGAAACAAATGGAATTTCCGAGCTGAAGAAGATGATTGGAGAAGAGAGAAGGAAAAGGAAAAAGCTCAACTTGCCAAGACTAGAAATATCCAGCATCCATTATATCGAAGTTTTAATTATAAACAAGCGGAGGAGTTTTTGGCTCCTCAAAACTTGGGAGACTGTGTTATTCGTCCATCATCAAAGGGTCCTAAGTATCTCACCATCACTTGGAAGGTTGGAAACAATTTGTTCCAACATCTTTCAGTGGAAGAACGTACAAGAGGCAAATTTAAAGAATACGTTGTTGATGGTAAAACCTATTCCGATTTGGATCAATTGATTTTCCAACACATTCAAGCTATTTCAAGAAAGGTAAATGAGATGGTTCATCATCCTAAATTCAGAGCAGGGACAATGTCAGAAGTTACTGAATGGTTGGAATCGTATACCAAGGCAAATCCAAAAAACTCGGCATACATTTTCTGTTATGATCACAAGAATCCAGGTTACTTTTTATTATTGTTCAAGGTCAATGTTGACACCCCAATCAAGACTTGGCATGTTCGTACCGAAACTGATGGTTACGCATTGAAGAACTTTTTGTATACTTCAATGACTAAATTGTGCAATGGATTCAAACAAGTGTTTAAGACTTATTCCAACCCCCTGAACCAACCAGCTCCATCTACAGGATATGGTTACAATGGATATTAAAAAGACACAAAAAACTGTTTATTGTGTTTAGGTTAATAAAGATCACTATTATTTTGTATTAGTTAAACTTGCGATACCCTATACGTAATTTGGAACGTAAACTATCTCCATCCACGTAGGTACCCATCAACCAACGATCGCCTCCATTTGAGTCAGAAAACTCATTTCTTGAATGCAACACACGACGATTTTCGAAAAATACACAAGTACCTTCCTTCATTTTAACTTCGTAGTGGTTTGCTGGATCATTGATGAATTTTTCAAACAATTGAAATCCACGAATGAAATCATCAAACATATCATAGGCAGGGTCATTTTTAGTAATTCCAATTTCAAAAGGACCTTGGAACGGTGGTGAATAGTTTATAGCATGGATTTTGGGGAAATCACCAGTGATGTCTTTATCTTCAATAACAAGTGGTCTCTTGTAGTAGTAGTATTCATTGTTATTGTCGTAATGGAATGTGATTGGAATTTTTGTAAGAGCAGTGTAGGCAACTGGGTCAACTTTACGAACATGTTCAGCCGCCAAAAAGGAGTCGCAAAAGATATTTTCCCCACCTAAAGTGGAATTATCAATTGCATGCAACATTTGTACTCCAGGGGGTGATTCATAATACAACAAGTCCATGTGTAAGGGCAAAAATGTGTTTGTATAAGCCAAATTTTTGGCCTCGGATTTCAAGTTCTTGACATCAAATAAGGATCCATAGAAAGTTTTGCGAATATATCCAAACCGTTCAGCTAGTTTAGCCACTGGCCATTGGCTCACATTTGACTCATTCATTTTATCCAATGTTGGTCTTGGGATGTTGTCAATAAAGCATAATCCATACTTGTTCATGTTGAACACGGCATCGAAAAAGGTTTTCTCGTCATTCAAGTATGCTTCGTAGTCATGATGCAAGGAATCCAAATTGGAAATCAACTCATTATGATCCCACAATGTCCGATCGTTGTCAAAAAACAAATCCTTTCTAGGGCCAGCTGGAGTTGAATACTCTTTTAAAAAAGATGCCGAGTAAGTTGAGTTGAGTATTTTCCCATTGTTACTCCATTGAATTTTGAGCTTGTTGTCGACAACTGACGGCTCTTTGGTAATGGAAAGATCAGTAGCTGCTTCAGCTGTAGTAAATAACTTTTGACTGGTTGAAGCATCGACAGATTCCAGTGAAGTGCATGAATCGCGTAGGAATGTGTTTTTGAATGTCACAGACTTTCCATCCAAATTGACCGACACTTCCTTGTTATTGAAGCCTACCAACGACAACGTCGACTGAAATCTGAAATGACTCAATTGGGATCTTCCTAATCGTCTCAACATTGAAATACAGGTGATAAAGTAGTAGTGGTGGGAACTTTGGAAAACATTTTTGAAAAAATCTGGTGATTTTTTAGACGTCTAAAGTCTCTTTTTTTTTTTTTCAATATTGATGGTAGTACATAAATCCGGGGTCTAGTCTAAAGCCTAAAAGCACCCAACCAAAAGCGGCAGTAACCGAAAGTGAAAATTTTTTTCTTTTTTTGCTTGCCTTGAAGCGAGGAACAGAGGGTGTGTAGAGGGGAGAAGAACAAAAAAGAATGGCTGCAAATTGTAGCAAACGACGAAACGTGAGTTGATGCAAATACTCAGAAAATGAATGACAGTATGCTTTGAAATGCATTTGAGAGAGTATGAACTCTAAGTATCTTATAAATTAAAGTGCAATTCTTCTCAAACTGACAATTTTGTATAAAAATAGTAAGAAACAATCCTCCTCAACTGATGTACTGGCCCCTATTACTTGTGTTTTCATTTATCCCATCAGCCTATACACTTTCCCCAGATGAAGGTGTTTCCACCTTGAAAATGTTTCGTCGATCATCGAGTTGCAGTGATTGCTTAAGCGCAAGATCAATTCTTGAATCTCGCTGCCGTAAAATTCCGGATAATGCTGAGGAGGCAAAGACATACATGACTTGTGTTTGCAACTTGAGTAATCAATTTTTCGATCATTTTAGTGACTGTATTGAGGACTGCCCGTCTTTCAATTCTGGGGGATTGCCTCGTGATGAAGTTGAATTACGTCGGTTGTACTGTGACTTGGCTGACAATTTTTCCTCGATATTAAGTGCCAAAACTGATACTGAACATGTGTCCTGGCCAACGAATGGATTGTTTGGTATACTGGTTACAAGAGATCACGGTGAACATGCCAACGGCCGTCCGTTCACCTCAATTGGCTTTGTTGCTACAAACGCAGAAGGGTCAACGCTTTTCTCAAAGGGTATAGTAGCTGAAACAGCAAACTCGGGGAGGGCAGGAACTGACTCTGGTGGAGTAAGAGGAGCCAACAGTGATATAATGTTACCCAGCTTGTTTTATGTGCTAGTATTTGTCTTGTTTAGTTTTATCATTTGAGATGGGAGCGGTATTTGCAGTTGACCGATAATAATATCTATGAACAAGTATGCGTGTGTGTAGAGGAGTGTTTTAATGTCATATGTCGTAATGTTTCGTGTTTGAATGGTTTGTGTAATCCACCCAATTTTTTTTGGTGATGATGATTTTTCTGTTTTTAATTTTTTTCCGCGTAGCAAAACACAACACAGGTTTTCAATTTCAATCACATCACCTCACCAAATCAATTCACACCTCCAGACCAAATCAAATAAAGCAAAATTTTTCTTCTGAGAGCAAGGATGGATAGTACTGAACTCAATGATATTAAAGATTCTCGCACTAATCATGATGTTTTCAAAAAGAAATTCACATCGCTATCGCGACCCAGACAACCATTAAGAGAAACAAATGCCAATTTACCCACCATTGCATCCAAGTGGAAGCAAAAGCATCCACTGTCACACTCACCACCAAAGGGCAAAGATAGTAGGAAACTGTCACCAAACAAACTTAAGAGTACAACAACTACTGTCTCACCAATTGCTAAGGAAACGAAAGATGGATATAAATCACCCCGTGAAGGTGATGAACTATCCGACTCCGATATAGAAAAAGTCACTGATACTACTACTAAAGATTTTGGCCAAGATACTAATGCACGTGTTGTTTGTCGAAAAAGAGAGAACCATGCACCTGGATTATTTCCATTCGAGCCTATTCGAGAGCCTATACATGGTATGGCAATCCCAAAGAAAAGGAGAAGAACGTATATCTTGGGTATGGATAATTCTGAAGATGACAAGACAACCGCGGCCGTTCGAAGGAAGCTATCGAATACAGATAAGATCGAGCAAACTGCTTTTCAGCTAAAGGAAGACGCTAGCATAGAAAGTACTGTTGTTGAAGAACATCTGGATGGAAAGATATCTCGTGAGAGAGAAGAATCTCCTGCAAATAGGCATGATGACCCACCAAAGAGTTCTTCCGTTGAATCAAAGGTTACCAGCGCAAAGGAATATGCTCCTCAAGTACAAGCTAAGATCGAGCAACAAAAAAAAATCAGAAAAGATGTAAAACCAAGCCAGAAACAGCATACGGAACCATCAACGGAACTAGAGAAAACCCGCACTTTGACTGATAATCACGACACTACAAAGGTAAGCAATGTCCCGTCCAAAGAAACGAAAGCGCCTCTTCAAGAGTTGGACACAAACAAGCTAGATCGCAGACTGCTAGAGAAACCGGAAAAACGAAAAATCACTCAACAACAAACTCAAAACCAAAAGGGAACCGCAAGATTGTCTGGGGAGGAGTTGTACCAATGGCAACAATCTTGGAAGAAGATCATGAGAGAATCGGTGGTTTTCTTTGAAGGAACACACGATTTTCAACTGTCTGAATACAAAAGAGCTGTCAAGTACCTCAAGTACGTTGGTTCCGAGATTGCTCCATTTTACCGTACAAATGTCACAATAATCATATCAAAGCGTACTTACGACGACAAGATGGAATACCCATCAAATGATATATTTTCAAATGTTCCTAAATTCAAGACCAAAGTGTGGAGTTATGAAAAACTATTTAGGTTTATGAAAAACTTAGGGTTGAACAATATTTCTGATGACCAACTCTCAACTGGAGCAAGTGTAAATGCAAACACAACAGCAAATAACAACTTGTACAACTTACTCAAGGAAGAAAAATTGTATGGGGTAGCTGATCGGGACCCTAATGCAAGGCGTGATGACTTCCACTACTTTAGCAAAAATTACTTGTATGTTTATGATTTAAGCCAGACTGTGAGGCCGATTGCCATCCGGGAATGGGGTAACGATTACCCTGTTTTGCATTTAACCTTGGATGGTAAATGTCCGTTTATTGAGGATCCATCCGATCAAAACCTGGAGAGGAAAAGGTTAAAGAGATTTAAGAAATTTGAAGCTACGAAATCACACCGGCAAGCGTTGAGAGCTGCTACGGAGAGAGTCATCAATGGTGTATCGCTTTCTGCTGGTCGTTTCAATGGAACAAGTACTAGCACCGACAAGGTTGAGGAGTCATCGAATGGCGAAGTTGAGTTTAGACAACCATTGACGAGGAACTCTTCTTGTATGCAATCTAAAGCGGTAGATGCAATGGCATCGGGGTTCAATGGTGCATCCAATGCAGTGCAGTTTTCAATGGATTCGAATTTGAATAGCACGGCTGTTGCGGCTGGAAATGGATTGGGTCCATCGTTGTCCCAAGTTCAATCAAAGAATTTGAACAACCTCAAACGAAGAATTTTCTTGAAAAGGAAAACTTCTGAAAGAAGAGATAAGGAGTCAACTCCTGGTTATTGTGAAAATTGTCGTTGCAAATATGACAATTTTGAAGACCATATTTACAGCAATAGACATCGTAATTTTGCATGCGATGATCGCAACTTTACCGATATTGATGAGTTGATAGCTACTTTGAAAGAGAGCAATTCAATGGGAAACATCACTTCCAATGGTGATTACATATAGGCATTGTTTACTTGTATAAATCTAAATAATGTAATTGCATAGGTAAAAAAAAAAAAAAAAAAAAGTAGTGTCACGTTGATTAATGTGGCACAAAAACGTAACCGTGAAAAAGATAATCAGTTGAAAAATTTTAAAAAGCTTTGCACGTCATTGTTACAATCTGTTTTATCAGCCGAGCCATGTTTACCCGATTACTACATAGAGAGCTTGGAAACAAGCGACTACTAACGCGATCCTATGCTGACATAATCAACGAAATCCGAAAGAAATCAACTGAGACAAGGCCGAAAGTGAATCGATTTGCACAACAATATTCGCAACCAAAGACCGATCAAAAAGGCGGTCATCAAGGAGTTCGAAGTAGAAATCATGGCACTAAGGGAGCTGGGGATCCAGCAGTGGGTAACTCCGGTCCTAAAAAGCTGCATCACAAAGTACAGCGAACATCGTCTCATGGGAAGGTGCAACCACGTGGTGTTGGCAAAAACCACACGTCAAACTCAAACAAGATGAGAGACTTTGACAAGCAAATTGCTTCTTCTGCTCCGCATCTATCCAAGGAAGAAATTGAAAAGCAAAAGATGCTTAAATATGAAGAGCTCCGTAAAGATCTAGCCAGACAAGAACAGCAGGAGAAGCACCAACGTGATGACATGGTGCGTATTCAGCCATTGAGGAAGCGCAAAGTGAGGAAAATCAAAGAACAAAGAAAACCATTGGTTAAAATTCAGCTTCCACCATTCATAAGTGTATCAAATTTGGCAACAATCATGCAAGTGCCATTAAACGACGTGTTTAAAAAATTGGAAGGTTTAGGGTTTGAAGATATTCGACATTCGTACATCTTGGACAAGGAGAATGCCGCCATGATTGCCGATGAATACGATATAGAAGTGGAAACTGTAGCTGAATCGGACGACGATTTATTTTCTGAGCCAGTGAAGGAGGAATTGTTAAAAGAGAGACCCCCAGTAGTCACTATAATGGGTCACGTTGATCATGGGAAAACCACTATTCTTGATTACTTGAGAAAATCGTCAATTGTATCTGGCGAGTTTGGGGGAATCACTCAACATATTGGTGCATTTTCAGTGGTTACGCCAAAGTCCCGTAAAAAGATTACGTTTTTGGACACCCCAGGACACGCAGCATTTTTGAAAATGAGGGAAAGAGGAGCGATAATTACTGATATTGTGATTCTTGTTGTTGCTGCTGATGACTCAGTGATGCCACAAACCATCGAAGCCATAAAGCACGCAAAAAAGGCAGGCGTGCCAATGATTGTTGCATTGAATAAGTGTGATAAACCAGGTGTTAATGTCGATAAAGTACTTGGTGATTTAGCAGCGCAAGATATTGATATTGAAGACTATGGTGGAGAGACTCAAACGGTGCAAGTTTCTGGTAAAACTGGATTGAACATGGACAAGTTGGAAGAAGCTATAATCACGCTTAGTGAATTGAATGATTTCAAAGCAGAGGAAAAAGGTGTGGCTGCCGAAGGCTGGGTTATTGAGTCGGAATTGGTGAAAGGTATGGGAAACGTTGCAACTGTATTGGTTCGTCGTGGATCTTTGAAAAATGGTGATGTGATTGTAGCTGGTGAAACATTTTGCAAAATCAGAGGCATGAAGGATGAAAAGGGTAAAATTGTGAAATTAGCTGGTCCTTCAACCCCGGTGCAAGTATGGGGATGGAAGGAATTACCAGACAGCGGTGATCATATCATACAAGCCAAACTGGAGCAAATTGCCAAGAAAGTGATTGATTTTCGTATAGCTCGTGCCCAGCAGATTCAAGCATCAAGAGACATTGAGGATATCAATATCAAACGAGCCGAGGAAATCAAAGAAGCTGAACGGTTGGAAAAGATTGCCGAGTTGAAAAAAGCTGGTTTAGACTCTAGCGAACTAGAACGGGAAGCACAAGATACAAAAATAACCAAATGCAACTACATCATCAAGTCTGATGTATTCGGATCAGCAGAGGCTATCAAAGAGAGTATTCATGAGTTAGGTAATGACGAAGTCCAATCCTGTGTTATTTCCCACTCTGCTGGTGCTCCAACTGACAGTGATCTCGACATGGCCAAAACTTTTAATGCAACCATCTTTTGCTTCAATATCAAACCACCAAAACAAATTGTTCAAAGAGCTGAACGGGAAAAAATCAACATTGTAGAACACAATATCATTTACCGATTGATTGAACAAGTCACTGATGAGCTAAACTCGCACTTGAAGCCCCGAATTGAGACAAAGATTCTTGGTGAAGTTGACATCAAGGACATATTCACCATCACTCAAGGTAAATCCAAAATCAAAGTTGCTGGTTGTAAAGTTGCTACAGGAGTGATTAAACGTTCATCGGATGTGAAAGTTTTGCGAGGCGATAAAGAAGTGTTTAAAGGTACGTTATCTTCTTTGAAGCATGTTAAGGACGATATAAGTGAGGCCCGAAAGGGTAATGAATGTGGGCTAGGATTCCACAACTGGACTGGATTTGAAGCTGGCGATAAAATTTTAGTGTATGAGGAGATTGAACATAAGAGATACTTGTAAATAATTAATGCTTCAGATAATAGCATGGTTGAAAGGAGATGTAGCAAATATGTATTAAGTTCGATGGATTCCATGGCCTTGGCTGCATCACTGAATATAAGATTCATTTCGTCTCACCTCTAAGATGCAGTGCTTCGGATATTGATGTGATTGGTTGTGGTTTTGTGTTTGCACTAATTGCGCATGCTTTTGTTTACGGCCGCGGAAAAAAGAAACTTACATTTAAATTGATTTGTGTCCACTTTTTTCTTGAGCGGCATCAAAAATTTAAGCGAAAGAAAATAAATAGTTCCTTATCAACAACTTGCTCTCTTTTTGAATTCACCACAACTCGACAATCATGAGTAGCACGTACCAACCACTAGATGACTTGAATTTCAAGAAACCTCACACTTTAGATGAAGACCAAGGTCCTCAGTATGATGATTCACCACCCCCATTTACTCAAACAGAACCCTCCAACTCTGCGCAGGGAACATCATCGTTACAAGAAGATTTGGAGGATGGGACTAATCAAACACCATCCCACAATGATCGAGACTGTGATGCTAATCGGTTTACTTTTTGTTTAATGGTTGGGTTAAGTCTTTTTTTTGTTTCAATGATTTTGTTTTTCGCAGATGTGGGTCCAACAGCCCATATCTTTGGTATATTGTCATTAAATATCTCCATATACATGATTTTTGTTTCTGGAACGATCTCATTCGGTATTGAATCAATAGTGGGACAGACAAAATTCATCAAAGGAATTGCTTGTGGGCTCGTTTTTACTTTCGTATTCCTGGTAGTTTGTATGATTTGTGTTTTTTTGTTGAGCGAAAGAAAATAAATAGTTTCTTATCAACAACTTGCTCTCTTTTTAAATTCACCACAACTCGACAATCATGAGTAGCACGTACCAACCACTAGATGACTTGAATGATGAGACAGTCCACACTTTAGACTCCGCAGCTTCATTCACACAAACTGACTCCTCCACTTCAGGGTTAGAAACATCATCATCATTGCCGAACAATTTAGAAGAGGGAAATTGCGAGAGGACACAAAAAGAAGTCAAAGAATGCCCCGATAGTTTTCTCAAAATACTTTATTTTGGTTTTTTAGGAACAATTTTATTTGGCATGTCAATTGCTTTATTCTTTAATGATGCCACCTACCTTGGTATATTGTGCATTAATCTCGGGCTATACTGCATTTGTATTACCAGTGCGTATGTTCTTCAAATTGATAAATTAACAGGAGAACCAAAATTCATCGGCGGGGTTGTTTCAGCATTTGTGTATACCCTCATGTTCCTGGCATTTTGTATGATTATCAAATTTTTTTTTTCTTTTCCACTGAAGTAGACATAGTCATGGGTAGCTTGGGATAGATTGTTATGTTTTTTCAGACCTTCGCCAATGAAAAGTTCATTCTGGCAATTATCGTACCCCGTCGCGGCTAGAATAAAACCCAATCTCTATTTGATAGTCCTAGCTGAATATGAGTTTTTATTATACCTAGTTTATATAAAGTCTCTTTGAATCTTTTCTTAAGCTAGCCCCTTTATAATGTAAGAGTGTCCCTGCTGTAGAGTATGGACGGAACTAGACGGCAAAAGAAATATTAGTAACAAATTAGTGGAAATGAAAACATGTGGCACATCTACTGGAAGTGAAAATTTTATTATCTTTGAAAAGTTACCAATAAATAATGCTTTCCAGTAACATGTAGTGTAATCAGTAGTCTTGTTTTTAAAGAACAGGGTGGTTAAATTGTATGTTACAACAAAAGCAGCACTCAGATATCTGGTAGAGGGCATAGAAACAATGGGTCCAACCGACCTAGAATTATACCTTTGGTGGGTTCACAGAATAGGTACATGGAATGGAGAGGTGTGGCCGCTATGAAAGTTCTGTGTAACATACCAGCACCACAACACACTTCCTCATCAACGACGTTCACTTGTTCAGTGCCTCCAAAGACAATATGCAGTAAATACAAGTGTAGAGTTGCAATTGCTTCTACTATTCCAACCCACAATAATTTCTGTGATGAGAAAGGCAAAAGTCTTCGACCTCATTTTATACAACCACCTCCAACAGTTGAGAAAGTTTCCTTGAGTCTCAAGTATTCTACTTTTTACCCATAAGAGATATGGAACCATTTTATCAGCCTTTGAAGGATCCTGACCCAGAACCTCATACTACTGGTGCACGTGACTAAGACAAAAGCTTTTCCGAACCTACTCCTCATGTGTCTCGACCAAGTTATATCTTTCGTGAAAGCCGAGATTTGCATGAAGCGAGCCATTCTGATACATGGAAGGATAATACGTTTGAGACTATGATCATTTTTTGCGTCGTTTGTACATTTATCTTTGAGATAGCTGTGGGATTTATGCTGGGCTCGGATAATAAAAAGCAGAGACATTTAGAATCTTGGTATTTAATTTTGCAATATTTTGTGGCCTTGTTGCTGGGGCAATGATTTTTGAAGTTGGAAGTTTGTTTGGCAAGAGACTATTTTTAAAATATTTTTAGGCATCGGTGTATCTACTACTATCTTAATCTACCTTATTTGCATGCTCATCAAATGGACGTATACACGAGAGGGAACATTCAAGTTCAAATTCTTGGGAAGATGAGAACTAAATCAAAGTGTATTTAGCCTAGGCGTCAAGTAGTTTTTAATTATTATGTTAGTATAAGAGCAACTGTAGACCAAATTCACGGTTATCATTGTCACCTCTACTCGATGAATCAAGGAAAGCGAATCAAAATCCTACTTAAGGCCTGCACATCTGGCAACTCTTTACACGATGACAGTACCCAAATTTGTATTACTAAAGCAAGATATATTTCATTTTGCATCCAAAGAAGGTTGAAGAGAGTGCACCAAATTTATCAATTGTAAAGGTCGTCTTCTTCCCTCGAGGATAGTAAGTTTTGTCGGCCCTCGAGTCTGTTCCGATTTTAGTAGCTCAACTTATACCTCAGTGCCATACCGGACAAATGCTTTCAATGTTGCACCAACTGGAAAATCTTCAAAGATGCAACAAGCTGTATCAAAACCCACCTCCACAGATATTGAGATGCAAAATATTCCTCAAACCGAACCCAAGCGAAGAGATGTAACTACAAATCCTTTGCTCAATCATGAAACAAAGGTAGTATATTGCAGCTTTGTTGCGTTAGCTTTATTCATTGCACCACCTTTCATGCTCTTGCTTACTTGCAAGCTCAATTAACTGGAAAAGCATTGATGAGGCTCGCAATATGTCGTGCACTCGTGATGGGGACAGTTGCTTTTGAGATGATTGAGATTATTGGAAACATTTTGTTTAGTTGGTGCTTCGAAATAGGACTTCTGTCATCCATGTCGGTTCTAACAAGTTTGATGGCTCTTCGGTGGCATAGTACACAACATCCAAAACAAAATTGATTGCGAAGTTGGGGATCTTTTCTAGAGAGAAATGTATATTTGGAGCAAAAATCAAACCATAGAGATTGTTTCGAACATCGGGAATGACAGCACAATCAGCTAAAACGTGTAAAGTTAGTTAGATATATATGCACGTTTCCCTTCATTTAGTGGACTCCCCGGACCTCTTTGATTCATTTAAGAGAACATTCGAGAGAATGTATACCAAGGTGAACTTTTGAACGTCTCTCTCGGCGAGAATTTACTTCAATCAACCACGATTTCCTGTATCGTAAACTTGAACATTAGAATTACATAGAATTCAGATTTACCGTTTGTTGTCATTATTCTTTCAAAAAAGGCGTTATGCCATTGACTCATCATTGAATAACAAAAAATGAAGCCCTCATTGAAAACGTTTCTCTTACTGCCATTCAGTTTTAAAAAAGGCACAAATGCGATACAATTTTCACTTATAAAAAAGGGCTCTGCTCATTTATGCATGATGTCCTTTAAAAAGCTTCTCTATCTTCGTCTCTATGCTAAGTCTAAATCTTACACAATGGAGGGCCAAAGCCCACTTGTTGACAAAACATGCTACAATCTGTTGGAAAATACCATTGATAACAACAGAGAAAATCAAGACAAGAAAATGTCGAACTCGGTCTCACCCAGTCAGTTGATGACAATTGATTTAGAGTCACAATCCCCTCAGCTGCAACCCAGACATTAGCCTGAACGTGAGCCTTAACCAAAAGTATTAACCATTGTTGCTACTCGGAATCGAGTCGGAAAATGGTGTTTTGTTCCGATGCGTCATTAAACTTGTTCCGGTTGTTTTCATGTATCTTTATCAGCGCAACTCACCTCCAAACTCCTAGGGTAAAGAAGAGTTGGGTTGAAGTGGAAGGTCTGCAGGTTATTTTGCGTGGGCAGTAGCTGATCCTTAAAATCGAATAAATATGACTTGGTTGAATCGTTGGGGTTGATGTTGTAAGAGAGTTTGATGCAATTACTCATTTGTTACTCTTTAGTGTTAAATTTTTTACTTCTTTGCATTTGCTTGAAAATGTTGCGAATTTCGAACAAACAGATTTAATGCATAATCCAATCAAGAGATGCAAAATAACGAGTTAACTGTAAACCTTTGGGAATTTGAGGACCATAACTGGATCTCTGTTAACTTTAATGGTCGTAATTTTCTTCTGAGGCTACAAAAGATTGACGATTGCAAACATGTCTCGGTAGCGCTTCGCAACGCAGAAATGCAAAATGTATCAGGCATCTCGATGAGCTTCAAAATCTAAAGATCGTCACCACGATATCAACCATGTCATCATCGCAAGAAGAATACTCATCAGACGAGGAAAGTATTTACGATTCCAATGAAAACCAAAAATCAAGAGTGCTTTTAGGATTCGTGGACGGACCTGTGTCACCAGACGATGAGCCAACAATTGAAGATACGTTTATTGGTGGACAACCCGTGTGGCTTCGTCCCGAGTCCAAACCACAAGAAAGCTATTTGACATGCAATCATTGTGATAAGAAAATGGCATTACTTTTACAAGCGTTCTCACCGCTTGATGGCGCTTTGTACGATCGGGTATTGTACTTATTTGGTTGTAAAAATGGACATTGTTCGAAACAAAAGGGCAGTGTCAAGGCTATCAGAGGTATCAATAAGAATGAGGACGTAGTTCAAAGGATAAAGGAAGAGCTAGATGGTGTTAAGATGAAGGAAATGGAAGACAAGATGAAACTGGAACAACTGAAGAAATTGAATGATGAGTTAACCAAGAATTTATTCGCCAAGGACAAGTCTGGTGATAACCCATTTGGAGGATCAAATCCTTTCGCAAAAAGCGATAATCCATTCAACAGCAATCAGTCTCATCCATTTGCCAAAACTGAAGCAAAAACTACCGAAACTCCGTCCTCCATTGCTAAACCTCAACTGTATGCTGACGTGGCAAAAACAGCACCAAAACTGCCCCAAAAGGTAGAGAAAAAATTACAAGGTGACTTACCTCAATACAATGGCAGTTTTGTTTACGTTGACGTGGAGAAATTCCGCAAGGACAAAGACGAGGAAGCTCAATTGGCCAAGTACAAGCATTTGATTGAAGAGAACGATGCTCCAGAAGAAGGTTCATCAGTAAGCAAAAGACGTGGATCATCATCATCAGCGGTATTGGACCCGCAAACAACCAAAATTTCTAATATGTTAGATGACAAGTATTTTGAACACTTTTCATCGACAGTTAAACACAATCCAGGTCAAGTTTTGCGATATGATCTAAATGGTAAACCATTACTTTACAATGGCAAAGACGAAGTTGCCAAAATCTTTTTAAATGAAAATGCTCAACCAAACATTCCACGTCCAGTTTACAACCCCAGTAGTGAACGTCGATTCGAATTACAATTGATGCCAAAGGCAATCATGGATCTAGAAGGATTGAATGGAGATAATGTTGATATCAAGGATATATTGAATGGAATGTCCTGGGGTACGATTATCGTATGCACTGACGTTGAAGATTACATTCCAGAAGAGAATTTTGATGATCACAAGGTTGGATATATACAAGAGTGGTGTGGCGTACAATGGGAAGAAAGTGTATAAATAGGGCGGAGCTGCACACCATAGTGGTTGATTCGTTGTAAGCTATATCGATAATTGATAAGTGAAGTTTTCTTGAGATGAGCAACTAAAACTGTTGTAAAGCAATTGAAACTACATAAGCTCTGCAAAGTCTAATTTATACATATACATATTACTGACTAATAGTGCTTTGAAAGTAGTAAAATGACATAATGCTGCATTTTATCTTTTTTTTTTTTTTTTGCGCACTCTCCTTTCATAATCAAAGTCACAAAATTGGTTGCGAAAGAGGCACATAGAGAAGAGAAGAAGTGAGAAATTTATTTATTCTTCATTTGTCACAATAAGGATAAATCGGAGTTAAGCCATTTAACTCATATTCTTTATATAAAGGGGGGTAGGGCGTAGAAGTGTGTTGACAGAAAACCAAGATAAACGATGATACGGCCCATTTCAAATCCACCCATGGCTTTCGTGTACAATCAGAGTTAAAATCATTTATCTCAATCTTTACATGCTTGTCAAAGCCGTGTGGAGAAGGGAGTGGAGTAATTACGTCTTGATCCTGTTCTTTACTAGCTCTCCGTTCAAGAGAAAGGGTAAATACCATCAGCGAAAAGCATGGGTTTTGTGGTTGTATACACAGGGACATTGTTTTGAGAAAAGGTGAGTTTTATAATAGAATTTTCTCCAGTCCAAACCTTTCAATGGAGGAAGTTATCATCGATTTACGGAGTGAAGGTAGTGGTACGGTTCAGGTGGAGTGATTGATAAATGCCAAACGCAACTCTGATACCCTGGTACGCTGTAGGTAAAACCTCGCCTTGGACGTGTTCTCTTATAAAATTTTGTATTCTAGCAAATGATGTCATACGAACTCCTTTCAAAAAAATTCTCATGTTACACAAACCAGCACACGAATTAAAGAAGAACAAAACAGTTCTTTTTTCTTTTTTACTAAACGCTGAATAACGAACCAACAACCATATCAGTCGACGCAGACCACAAAAGTTACTTCTCAGAAGACGAGGATTTATATATATAGAAGAAGATTCCTACAAATTCAAAAAAGACCATATCAATAAGAAGCCACTTTCTTACTTATCCCAACAGGTTATTTCATTCGCTTTCAAACTACGAAAGGGCCATCTGAATTGAGCAACAGATTCCCGATACCAACACTGCAGTATTATACATCATCATATATCCAACACAACTGTTTCCCACTGCACCATGTCAAATGACTATTCTTCATCCAGTGATGATGAGTATAACCCAGGGTCTCAAAATAGATTCCATATCCAAATACCACAACAACAACTCAACCTAAATGAAGTTCGTAAACAGAATCAAAAGAAGGAGAAATCAAAGTTTACTAAACAAACATCTTCAAATTTCAATAAAGTTGCCAGTAAATTTCAAAACAAGAAGAGCGATACAAAAAAGTACCCTGATTCTTATACTCCTCGAGACCCAAGAGCTTCTTTAAATGCATCCAGACTGTCTTACGCTTCGTTTGAAGACGACGCGGGTGGCGACGGTGATTCTGATTCCAATGATGATGATGATGATGATGACGAGTTTAACCCTGGTGGGTCAAGTTCAGGTAAGCAAAACTTGCCGCATTTCAAATTTGATGCTGACGACATTAGAAAAAGCCAAGGTCCCATTGAAAGTGATGACGACTCTGACTCTGACGACGGAAGTTATCAAGACCAAACTCATACCGATTTCACTCATATCCAACAAGCTCCTCACGAACAGTTTTATCACACCGATTCATCGGATGAGGAACATGAGATCACCAAAAGAAACCACGGACGTCCAGAATCGTATCATCAAGATCCCCTTGAGAGGACAAAGTCAGGATCATCAGGAAAATCATCAGACGAACACTTTGCCGCAAACACAGCATCGTCATCTTCCGACTCTTCTAGACAACCTCGTAAACCATCGATTCATTCAATGCGTTCACATGAAACTAATCAAAGTGCTTCTAAAAAGAGCATGCAAAGTGGATCAAAAGAGTCCACAGGTGGTCTTCGAGGCATACTTCGTAAAATGTCATTAGCTGATCGCATCCCATCACAAGATCATGATATTAGTCATAGCGATACATTTTTAGGAAGAGTCTTGTCTGGTGGTCATCAAGGATTAAGTGGTGGTGGATTAGCACCTGGTGCCAGTCGTGCTTCAAGAGATAGAAATGGCAATGAAGATGAAGAGAAACGAGTTGGCTTTGCTGATCATGATGACCGTGGTGATTATCATCATGATAACATTGAATTACAACCTCTTTCCAAATACGACGATTTAAGTGATGAGGTTAAGGCATTGGTTGATCAACATATTCCTGATGCATTGCTCCATTCATCAAACACAAGTGCAAACACTAGTGCTGATGTGACACCTACTCGAAGTACTGATGATTTAATCAATGAAAAGACCAAAGATGAAAATGAAGAAGCCAAGAAATCAACTGATAAAGATTCAGATGAACATAAAGATAATCCGTTTTATGCACCAAACCCTGATTTGTTTCTCCGTGGTCATAATGATTCTGAACCAAATGAATTGGCTGATGTTGATGGTAATTATATTGAACCGCCCAAACACGTTCAAGCAGGAGTCTTGTCTTCATTATTACGATTATATCAACAACCAATGGAGAATAAATCAGCTAGTTCCTTGACAAATGTCGATACCAATGATTCAACAGTTGACAGTTTTGACGAGCACAAGAGACCTACGCTGCATTTAGATTTAACTAGATTTGGCACCGATGTTGGTGCTGGTGTCAAGCATGGTATGAAGTCAGCTCAACACGGTGCTAGTAGGGGGTACCTGAATATCAAGGCTTCAGGAAAAGCCCTCGGTAAAGCAGCTAACAAGATGAGGCATTTTGATGGAAAAGGAGGACGAAGTGGCGGTGGTGCCAATGATAGGCCATTACCAGATGCAAGTGATGACGATGATGACGATGATGATAATGGTGGATTTGGCGGTGGTGGTGGTGGTAATGGTGGTGTAGACGGTAAAGGCAAATATGACTCTGCTGGCTTACCATCATTCCAAAATGCCAAACCGAAAATGCCTAAAAAGAGACCTACTGATCCAACGAATAAACTTAAAAAGTTAAAACGTAACAAAAAGGCCGAACGATTGCGTATTACAGTTCACATTGCTGACGTGTTACAACGTCAACGATTCATCATCAATATGTGTCGTGCATTGATGTTGTATGGAGCACCAACACATAGATTAGAAGAGTATATGGTGATGACATCGCGGGTATTGGAAATTGATGGACAATTTATCTATTTCCCTGGATGCATGTTGGTTTCATTTGGTGATGCAGCAACGAGAACTTCTGAAGTTCATCTTGTTAGATGTGCTCAGGGGATCAATTTAGGTAAATTATCGGATGCCCACAAGTTGTATAAAGCAGTGACGCATGATTTGATTGGTGTTGAAGAAGCCACTAAGAAATTGGATGATTTGCTAAAAGAAAAGAACAAGTTCCCACCATGGCTTTGTGTTTTCTACTACGGGCTTGGTTCTTTAGCAGTGACGCCATTTGCATTTGATGGTGGATGGATTGATTTACCGATAAGTTTTGGTATTGGATTATGCGTTGGTTTCTTACAATTTTACGTTTCGACATTGTCGAATTTATATTCCAATGTGTTTGAAGTATCATCGGCAATTGTCGTTTCGTTTATTGCTCGTGGTATTGGATCTATTCGAGGTGGTGATTTGTTTTGCTTTAGTGCCATTGCTCAAGGTTCCTTGGCGATTATCTTGCCCGGGTATATCATCTTGTCAGGGTCATTGGAATTACAATCGAGAAATTTGGTGGCTGGTGCAGTGAGGATGTTTTATGCTATTATCTATTCCTTGTTTCTTGGATTTGGTATAACTTTAGGGTCAGCATTATTTGGATGGGTTTATCATGATGCAACTTCGCAGAATAGTTGTGCCAAGGGCCATACTATGGATGACAAGTGGAGAATTTTGTTTGTGCCGCTTTTTGCAACATGTCTTGGGCTAATCAATCAAGCAAAATGGCGGCAATTGCCGATTATGATTATAATTGCCGGTATAGGTTACATTGGTTCCTACTTTGCTGGGAAACATTTTTCCAATGTGACCGAATTCACAGCATGCATTGGTGCATTCATTGTGGGAATATGTGGAAACTTGTACTCACGTATTTGGAAAGGTGTCGCAGTATCAGCAATGTTGCCAGCAATTTTCGTCCAAGTTCCTTCGGGTATTGCTTCCAAGAGTTCGTTGATTTCCGGTTTGCAAACTGCTGATAAGATTACTAATCGAAATGGAACTGAGGAGACTACTACAACTACCGATTCTACTAGCTCGTTGAGTTTTGGTGCCACTATGGTAGAAGTTTCAATTGGTATTAGTGTGGGGTTGTTTGCGGCTGCATTGTTTGTTTATCCATTTGGTAAAAAGGGAACTGGATTGTTTACCTTGTAAGGGGGGGATCACATAGAAGAGGATACTTTATAACGTAGACATATTTATTACAGCATTGAGGGTATATATATAGAGTTTATTAGAACAAAAGGGATATTTAAGTATAGATTTTAGTTGTTTTTTTTTTTAGTGTCGTATTGAGATACAAACTGACTATTGCATCCAGAAAAAATCACGACACAAGATACCATCTAGGGTACAATCCACCCACTAACCAAACACTGTATTCACTGAGCACACTACATCCCAAATAATGTTGCAGCAGAATCAAATATCAAACTTGCTCAAATCAGCACTACTGTCACCGGGATCTACAACAACATCATCAACTCCCTCAGTACCCAATTTCCATCCAATTTCAATTTCATTATTATCCAACCATGGCAATCCATTAATCTCACTCACTACAAAGAGTCAATCCACGGAGCGTGTTGATCATCATCAACTGCAGCTGCAACTGCAGCCACAACTGCAATTGCACTCCTTGCATAGTTCCAAAGCTGGTACTCCAACAACAACAACAATGCCCACAGTAACAGGTGAAGAATACGACCACGCTAGAGCAACACCATCAGTTTATACAGGGGGTAACGCAGACTCGCAAGATGGAACGTCGTTCATCACCTTGGATCAATTAAAGATATATTCATTAATTGCATACAATACAATTACCGAAGCCACCGACTCTGACGAGTCAAGTAGTGACACCGATGATGCTAATGATTGGTCAATTGTTGATTTCGGTACTGTTAAATGTATAATCTCAAAAGTTAACCTTGATCAAAACCCATCACGACAAAAAGATAATAGAGGCGCTAAGCAATTGAAAGATAATGGACAAGATATCAAGCGTAGTGGGGAAAATAACACGAAATCTACAACTAATGATGATAAAGATGCTGAATTTGATAACGCTTATGAAGATTATGATGTAGATTTGTTTAATGGGTATTTTGTCGTACTATTCTACCAATCAGGAAATTTAAGTACGACAACAGCAACAGCAGCAACAGCAGCAACAGCAAGGGAAGAAAGAGATCTCTCTTCTTTTGATTTTGAAGTTGACGCTATTGCCAAGATCAAGACTGATTCGGTTGTAAATGCATTAGGCCAAGGATTAAAAGGGTATCATGAACCAATAACAAACTAAAATTGAACCAATTACGGATTATTTGTGGCAGCTGTTACCTATTTCTGAGAACTTTTTTGTTTACAATAACGATTAACGTCATTTCTAATCCTACCTGGATGAAGTTTGACGTGGTTGAGTTTAATGACAACTCATTCTTGGATATATGTACTTATCACCCGTAAAGGAATCTACACTTTTGCATTTTCTTTCAGAGTATGTAGATCACATCTATATCAGAACAAACTAAAACAGTAAAAATAAACCAAAATTAAACATGAGCTATACCAAATATAAATAGAATATATACTATGTATAACAATAAAAAGGGTATGATTGAAGAACAAAAAAAAAGATATACATGCCAATAGTAATTAGTAGTAGTAGTAGTAGTAGTAGTAGATGTAGTTGTACTAGCAGAAGTAATGAAGAAAAAACATCATGATGGGTGTGGTTAAGTGGAAAGTAGTTGTTGATGGTGCGAAACAAGGTCGAAACTCGGTTGAATGAAAGATTCGTAAAGCCCGCTTGTCTCCATTTCGTAAGTTGTGCTCATCTTTTCACTTTGCAATCACTTCTTCATCTTCCTCTTCTTCCTCTTCTTCATCATCATCTTGTTCAAACTCATCACCTTCATTTTCATCCATAACACTCTCTTCGTCAAAACTTTCTTCTTCTTCACTTTCATACCAAAAATCCTCATCTATTGGATCCTCAATCAATTCTCGATTTTTGATAGCTTGATTATTACTATAAGCAACAGATGAATCATCAGGCATGACAAAATCTTCAGGAATATCCTTTTTAGACCTTTCAACTTCCTTCAATACTCTTTTCTTGTATTCAGGGAAATTTTTTCTGAATTCAACTGATGCATCAATATTTGCTGGAGGATTGCCATTAGGGTCATCCAACAATGAAATGATCGAGATTAATACACTTTCAACCGTTTGTGCTGGTGACCAAGTCTCACTTTCTGGTTCATCACTAGTTGGATCACCACCTTGATGCAAGATACTTATACATAACCGACCATCACGATAAATGTTTGGATGATAAATGGCAGGTGTGAAACGGAATGATGGTGGACTGAATGGGAAATCCTGGGGGAATCGCATTTGACCTTTGAAATAACCACCATGGTATAATGAGTCGGGGTTGAGTACCATTACTCCAATGTTCCATAAAAAGATATTGTCATCGTCTAATTCAATGTGGAATGATGGGATTCTCTTTTTAGGATCGGTTAAATCTTTAAATTGTCGTTGCAAGATGGCAGCAGCAGATTTTGAACTCATGGTTAGGGTACGTATGTGCGTGTGTGTGTGTGTGTGTGTGGGTAAGATTCAGTGGTTTGTGAAAATAGTTGTGTGTAAAGATTACAAATTATGTGATTCTTGTGTGTGTGTGTGTGTGTGGTGTGTATGAGTGTTAAGTTGTGAGTGATGTGTAGTAATATGTAGTAAGTGTATGTGGATGGTTTAGGTGGTATTGTGTGTAAGTATATGGGTGTGGGTATGTATATGTGTACGTGGTATGTGATATGTGATATGTGATATGTGTGTGTTGTGTGATATGTATGTGATATGTGGTTTGTGCAGTGGTGGCCGGTTTGTAAAAAATTTGAGATTCTTGTGTGTTGTGTGAGTGTGCGTGTGTGTACGTGAGTTGTTGTTGTTTCTTTTTTTTCTTTTTTTGTTCTTTTGCTCAAACGCTACCATATTAAATTTTATTGCTTGTCACATGATTCACTGACACATTTGATCATCATCTTTATCATCATCATCTTTTTATATTGCAGTACTTATGATTTATACATATATATCCACGTGATATTGCTGAAGAGCTTCTTATAAGCAGTCGGGTTGAGATACTAGTTTAACACAAACCAATCGACTTAGCAAATAATTAATGATTTGCTAAAATACTACAGCTTATTGTCTCACTCAGCACACGTACCTGCCTATACCCTACTTCGATAGTTTATTCGTCTTTCAACACCTCAATACATCTTCACAAGAGAAAACACACAATGATGATTGCAACTATATTTTTTAAAGCAGTCACGTGAACAGTGTCAAAAAAAAAGAATTGTGACACTGATTTCTATCAAGATCCATATACACCACAACAAGATACAGAGATTTATATGATACAAGAGACATTGCATAACCGCCATTTGGTATTGTGTTCTGTGATGGTAATATAGTCTGGTAACAACTATATCACAAGTGTGTAATAGTGGCTTATTAAAATGTATAGAACCCCTTATCGTTACATCTTCCTATCAGATTTCAATCTGCGCTACATGTAGAATAGATAAATTCCGATAATCGCACACTACCATGAGGTACACTACAAACACTGTGCATTTCATCCCATCATTCTATACAAGATAACCCCTTGTCACGAACAGCTAGACTCATACGGCCAGCCCATCTCCCAGTATCACTTTATCACTTACTATATTTCACAATATTGCACTCACGATCTACAACATATTCTTCAATACAACGTCCTCACCCACACCCACTCAATGCTCTTCCGATCAATACGACTATTTGCCACTTCCCCTTCTTCTCCCTTTGCCAATCAGAACTACTACCAACTACTAGAACTTCCCACAAATGCCACTATCAAAGAAATCAAACTACAGTTTAAGAAATTATCCAAAAAATACCATCCTGATTTAAATCAACATTTAGATGACGAAGCTAAACAAAGTAACAATGCTAAATACGTGGCCATGGTGAATGCGTATGATACTTTAAAAGATGTCAAAAAGAAACGCGCATACGACCAATCTTCATCACCATCATCATTTGGAGGCGCAGGAACCTTCTCTGCATCAAACCGGCGATCAAATGAATACAATAAGTATTATGGTGAAGCTAAATACTATTCTCGTAGTGGCAAATCAACATACTCGGCATCTGGTTTAAATTCCAAACGCCACAAGGTCAAATACCACCATTCAGGATCAACAGATGCCAATCAACTGCAATTTTCCGGTGTGCATGTCAATCATGGGGATCGATACGATGTACCTCATTTTGATTATGATAAACATTTACACCGAAATTTACAATTTGAACAACGCATAATTGATAAATATATGGATCCGGTTACTAAGGAAAAAATATTGAGTCAGTTGCAAACAAGCTCAAGTGAGCACATTTCTGAAGAGTTGAAAACGAAACATTTGTTGCGTCATGTCAAGATGATTAAACCTGGATATAATGAACAAACTGGGGAAATCAATGGTGCAGCAACAGCAACTTCTGCTGGTTCCGGTGGTGGTGGTGGTGCTACTGCTGCTAGCTATGGATCCAACTACAATGCCCCAAAGTATACTCACAATGTCAAATATGGTCAAAGTACAAACTATCAAGGTGCGGCAACTTATCAAAACTTGTATCAGAAACCGAAAACTTCAAATTATGGATACGATAGTAGTGGTAACAACAACAATGATGATCAGATGGGAGCTGCTAAATTATTCACTGCTTTAGGTGCTGGTACTTCACTATATATTTTGTACAAAATCATCTTTTAGAAGAATACCACAAATACATATATATTCTACAATCATTACGTTGTAGAACAATCTCTAGACGTTTACAACACACTCTTTTATAGGGTTTATTACAAATACTATACAACCGGCGTAGCTTCTCCCCCTAACGATCGACTTCTCCAAACACTAAATCCATAGTACCAATAATAGCCACAGCATCAGCTAAAAGATTACCTCTAGCAATATGGTCAAATGCACCTAAATGAGCAAACCCTGGAGCTCTAATCTTACATCTATATGGTCTTTCACTTCCATCACTAACAACATAAACTGCCATTTCACCTTTTGGTGCTTCAATAGCGGTATAAGTTTCTCCCTGTGGTACAGCATACCCTTTAGTAAATAAAAGGAAATGATGAATTAAAGCCTCCATATCTTCCTTCATTAAACTTCTTGGTGGTGGAGATACATTATAATCTTCAACTTTAACTGGACCTTGAGGCATGTCATTTATACATTGGAATATAATTCTCAATGATTGACGGAACTCAGCCATACGAATCAAATAACGATCATAACAATCACCATTCAAACCAACAGCAATATCAAAATCAACTAAATCATAAGCATCATAAGGTTGTGATTTACGTACATCAAATGGTATTCCTGAACCACGTAACATTACTCCTGAACATGAATAATTTAATGCATCATCAGCAGTAACTGTACCCACATTTATAGTACGTTCTTTCCAAATACGATTATCAGTGCACAATTCTTCAATTTCATCAATTCTATCACCAAATTGAGTAGCCCACATGTAAATGTCATCCAATAAACCCGAAGGTAAATCTTGAGCAACACCACCGGGTCTAACATAAGCACTGTGCAATCTAGCACCAGAAACACGTTCATAAAACTCCATCAACTTTTCACGTTCTTCAAACCCCCATAAAAATGGAGTTAACCCACCAACATCCATAATGTGGGTCAATACCGACATACAATGATTCAACACTCTAGTAATTTCACCAAATAAAGTACGAATATATTTTGCTCTCAAAGGAACTTCAATATTCAACAATTTCTCCACTGCCAATGCAAATACTTGTTCGTTAGTCATCATTGACACATAGTCCAATCTATCAAAATAAGGCAATGCTTGCATATAAGTCTTTGTCTCAATCAATTTTTCAGTACCTCTGTGCAATAACCCAACATGAGGATCACTACGAATGATTTCTTCACCATGTAATTCCAAAATCAATCGCAAAACACCATGAGCAGCTGGATGTTGTGGACCGAAATTGATTGTAAAATGACGAATCTTGGTATTTTGTTTAGAAACTTGATCAGGATCATCGGATTTATCCCACATCATATTGGTCTCATCCATGACTTCGGTGAATGTAGTCTTGCCAAACATGCCTGGTGGGTCGGAGTACTTTTGGGGCTTTCTACCCAATGGTGTGATGGCATTTGCTGTGGTTGGTTGTTTGTTGGGGGTATTTGTTGGTAATGGTGTTGGAACAGCTGCGTAGGTCCTTATGCATGATGAGGAAAATAGCGATTGTCTAGCTTTTATGAAGGGGTGTGATGTTATTCTAGATGCCCTCAACATGGTGTAGCAGTGTTGGTTGCGGTGGTGGTGGTGGTGGTAATTGATGAATAAATATTAGGTTGATCTATAGAAGTCTCTTTGTATCTGTGGACTACCAATTGAATAGGTTTGAAAATTTGTTACTTTTACTAAATAAATTTTTCTAATTGGCTATAACTCACATTGGTAGCTGTTACACGACTTTGGTGACAATGTCGCAAAACTAATCATGACACTGTTTTTTTTTCTGCGACGTTGATGATGAAGATTGAAAGAAGTAAGAAAAAAGAAAACAGAAAAAAAGAAATTCAAAATTCATCATGTGACTTCGCTACCACTTTGGAAAAGGAAATTCTAGCCAGTACATACACTATATGCAGTACCACACATAGACTTTAGCCTTTCTCTCTTGGCCCTCTTTACTCTTTATGCTTTTCACTTTCTCTCGCTCTTCCTTCCTTCTCAATCTTCTTTTTTATTTTTTTTTCACAACCAAAGCTAGTTGGGTCCAAAGACATACTCAATTCAGCGCCGAAATGAGCTTCTCTGCCAACCCAGCAAATGAAATAACTCCACCACCAACACACCAACAGCAATACCAACAACAAAGCTCAAACACGCACCATAGTAAACGAAGAAACGATGATGATAACGAACTCAGTCAAGAACAACAACAGCGATACAAGAATATGACTCAAGAAGAAGCCATAAATTCAACAACAGAGTGGCCACAATTTATACATCCAGATGGAGGAACAGTCAAATTATCGCCATGGGGATCAATACGTGAGTTTATCGACCCAAAAACCAATGAAACGGTGACAAAGTTTGAAGATTGCAATTTTGAAGAATATTCATTCAAGTCAGAAACCGTGGAGAAACTATATCAAACACCAGATACACCACAATCCTTGTACCATCGACCCACTAATCAATCAGGAGACTATAACAATCACAACAGTACTGGTGCTGTTGCTACAAATTCATCTAATTCGAGATTCACATTGAGCCCAAGTAATGAAGTTGAAGGGTATGTGGTTGATGGATATGACCAATACCGGAATAACAATGATGATGACGTTTCATTTTCAAGTGTTCATGATGCTACTCATCATCAGTATCAAGTTGAACAAGAAAATTATTTCGGCATTGGTGGTGAACAAATGGAAGAATTTGATTGCAGTTACAATGAGGATGAAGATGAGCAGATGACATAAGGCTTTATGAGAAGGACGTTTTAACTTGTACTATTATACTATTCAGTTCTATTGCTTTCCTTTTTGTAGATTATATGTTCTGGGTTTGTCTTTTCACGTCACTCTTTCGAGGCAGGTCCAATGCTCGTGTAGCGATCGTATCCACTCATTTTCCATCCATGCTTATTGAAGAGTATGCTCAATCCAGTCACGTAAGTGGCACGGTAGTTTCAAGGCTCTTAGTTGAATCAGCTGTTATACTTTACGCGTTCGGAAAAAGACTAAAGACGCGACAGAAAATTAAACTTTGATGAAACTCAATTCGCATTCGTGATATATCGCACTTTCTCATAATTCAGTATTTCAATCTAAGACAGCCTGAATGATACAGTCGTGGCTCTCGGAACACTAGTTCAGCTTAATATTTCTTTCAATTACAACAAATACCCGCAGTGATCCAGCTTTTTATGCTTACGGAGTAAACTCATGGCATGTCGTCGTCAATTGCAATTTGATTACTCGTGTGTATTTTACCCTTTGTAATTCCAAAGGGATATTCTATCCTTTTTCCGGCGGCGGAAATTGTTTCCATAACATTGGAACTCCCTTTGCTATTGCCGTTCAATATACATGTGCTCTTTTCCTAATTATCCGCCCAGCAACTCTTCATTTCCTAGTTTGGTGTAAAAAGACACCCGTTTTATCAATATTTCAGGTGTTCGGTGCTGCGACTTCATACCCGATTCACAACGTTAATATAGAACTTGAAAAGACCCTAAATGGTAGACAAAGAAACTCTATAGGTTTTATTCTGCGCTGTTGATTGCCGAAAGCATCTCTATCCATGGATGTCTTCCGATCATTCTATATGGCTAATTACGTTCAACGTGTGGCTCTCTAGCAAACGCTTTCAAAATTTCCTCCCTAAATTTTTGGATCTCTTTCGCTAAGAAACTTTCGTGCTTGGCATCTACGGTTTGTACCTGTCTTAGAAAGATAATCTTTAGCTTTCTTGATAGTTATTGTTGGCTATCGTGATCCTGATTATATGGTAATTCTACTTCGAATCGGTACCCTAATCTTGATGCCTATTTTCCATGCTTATTTGCAATTTTCATGTGATTTGGATTAGCTCGAGATGTACCTTTGGTGTTGGCCTATTTCAGTCTCCTTTTTTGCCTCTGCTTGCCCCTCCTATTCCTTTTCTTCTCTGAAGGTAGTATATTTAGGGTATGAGAGTGATTTTAAAATAGAGCCAACGGTTTATACACGTGATTTGTTCATTATTTTCTAATAAACTTTTGGGATTTGCAAAATTTCTAGGAATGCACAATACTAGGAACGCACTATATTTCCAATGTTCCAGCATATGATGTTTAGAAGAAGGAATTGTCCCCTAATGCAATGTTTCGACGCAAGGAAGCCAAGTCATTTCAACCAGATTAGCTTTGACAGGTCTACTGCTGCATATATAGAGTTTATGCTGTGTGTAAACATTCCTACAATGCAAGGGGTTATAGTAATTAATCTCTCTATTAAAAAAACGTTCTATTTACTTTGGGTGCCTCTGATTCTTCTTCTTCACATATGACTCCTTTGCCAACGCAATCAAACTATTGAGCTCACCACTATTCTCACACATTGAATAAAATAACGAGTCTTGGTTAGAAATCAAGACGTATGGATTGTCGTATTCAACAACTTTACCGGCATCCATAACCAAGATTTTATCGTAATCAATGATTGTTCTCAACCGATGAGCAATGGTTAGGATCGTACTTGATCCAAATTCATCACGAATTGTCTTTTGGATTAATGCATCAGATTTATAATCAATCGAGCTCGTAGCTTCGTCAAGTAAAATGATTTTGGGGTTTTTGAGCAATGATCGAGCAAGACAAACTAATTGACGTTCTCCTTGCGATAAGTTCCCTCCACCTTCAGTAATTGGATTCTCCAAATCATGAAATTTGTTCTGATTCTCTTCAGCAACTGCCATGGTTGCTGCTGCTGCTGCTGCTGATGATGATGATGCTGTTTGCTCGTTGGAATTGATCAAATTGACTCGTTTCAAAGCAGCAAAGATATCGGCGTCCGTGTATTGTTCAAAGGGGTCCAAGTTGGATCTTATTGTTCCCGCGAATAAAGTGGGGTCTTGTGGAATAATCGTGATTGCTTGACGCAAATTTCTCAATCCTATTTTAGTGATATCAACACCATCAATCTTAATCGAACCACTTTCAGGGTCCAAGAATCGAAAAAATGCAGTAATAATGGTGGATTTACCAGCCCCAGTTCTTCCAACAATTCCAACCTTGTTACAGGGCTCAATATCAAACGTGACATTCTTGATCACACGAGGCAAATCAGGAGAATATCTCAATGAAACGTCATTGACCGAAATTTGTCCCTTTTCCGGCCAATTTGTTGGTGGTTCGGTTTCTTTCACTTCATAAGGAGGTTCTTGTTCAACTTCAAGGTACTCTTGCAATCTTTCGACAGAATTCATATTCATTTCAACGTTTGCATAAAGACGAACAACCCAAAGGGCACTTTCACTGAATGCAATTGCATACGATAACGATAACCCAGCTAAACCAGCATCAATTTTGCCAATTGACAACAACACAAAAATACCTGCAAAGAACATCACCAATGAACCAACGACATCGATTCTAAAGGAAAGCCATCTATTAGCAACCCACAAATAGAAAAACGGTCTATTGTTATTATCAATTGCTTGTAAGTTTTGCTTCATGAAACGCGATTCAACCCCATACGCTCTGATTGTTGCAACACCAGTCAAGGATTCGGAAAAATGCTGATGAATAGGGGACTTGGTAATGGATTCATATCTTTTCAACTCTCTGGATAAATTCAAATAGAAAAATCCCACCAAGTAGTACAAGAATGCAATAACAAATGCAAAAACAAGAAACCCTGGAGTAATGAATGTAATCAAAATTAAGATTGAAATACATTGAACAACACAAATGAAAGCACCTTCAGCATATGGTGTCATTTCTTGATCAACCAATTCAACATCCTTGGAAAACCTATTCATGATACGGCCTAACGGCGTCTTGTCAAAGAATCTCAATTTTGCATGAAGAATTGTCAACAACACTCTTTTGAAAATTCGATTCGATGCACGAATACCAGAAAAGTTTATTACCAAAATTCTCACACATGCGGTGAAACCATAGGCAAATCCAATAATCCCGTAAATTGTAATGTAATACAATGTTGAATGTTGTTCAGCGACTTGATCAACCATGTTGGCAGAGAATTGCACGTATTTAACAGCACCAATGAAATTGCGCACTCCCAGTAATTGAGCTAAATGAAAGCTCTCAATAACTTGTCCCATTGATGTAATTGCTGACTTCAATGCTGTGTCATTTTCACTATGAATCGACCAGGTTCGCAACCACCATGATTGATACATGTACACAATTTGAGATGCAATTGAAGTAACGAAAATTGCAGTCCACACTTTCCACTCACCCAACACTTTGGCATAATCGAGGTAAACCTTGGAGCTAACCACACCTTCAGCTTTATTCTCTTCGTCAACCAATTTACCATCGGTTTTAATCAATGGCCCTTCCTCATCTGCATCCTCGCTACTCTTTAGCTTTTTCAATTTTTGTTCAATCGTGGCAGCTTTGGCCTTCATTTCAGCATTCTTATCATCAAGCAATTGCAAGTTCTGAGAAGACTGCGTTCTAGAGTTCAAGACTGATGATTTTACCAATTCATCATCACCTAAATCACCCGATTCCAATAAAACTTCAGTCGTACCTTGATTCTTGACTCTACCATTCTCCATAACGACAATCCATTCAGCATGTTGAGCAGTCAATGCAACATTATGCGATACCAATATACACGTTCTCCCTTGCATCAAAGGTCCAGTGATACAATTTTCGTAAATCCATAGAGCAGTATGTGAATCAACTGCCGACAAACAATCATCAAGAAGCAAATGCCTAGAGTTAGAGTACAAAGCTCTTGCAAGAGAAACTCTTTGTTTTTGTCCACCAGACAAAGTGATTCCCTTTTCACCAACTTCAGTTTGGTCACCAGCACTCAAGATTTGCAAGTCCCGTGTCAATCCACAAGCTTCAATGACTTCATCATAACGTTTTTGGCTTAGCGGGGAACCGAATGTGATATTTCCTCTGATCGTGTCATTCAATAACCAAGCTGATTGCGAACAATAAGCTACTGATTCGGTCAATCCATTCTCATCAGGGATCACATCATCACGGGGAATAATACCAGGCAAAAATACTTTACCGCCAAGTAAATCCATTTCACCAAGAAGAGCCAAAAGTAACGAAGTTTTACCTGCACCCGTTGGGCCAATAATCACATTCAATTTGCCAGGCTTGAAAGTTATATTCAAATCCCGCAATTTGAAATCAGATTTTGACAGTGCGTTCCATGACAATGTGGCTTTTTCAAATCCAATTTCCGGAGAGTTGGGTCCCTTTTCTTGAGCCAACTGATCGTACTTTGATGTTTCAGCCTCATCCAAGAAATCAGCAACTCTATCCAACGACACTTTGGATTGGATAACAAACGATGTCATATCGGCCAATTGGTCCAATGGTGACCTTAACAAGGTAAACAATGACAACGCAGTAAATGCAACTGGTGCGGTTAACGTGTTACCCTCGATGATCGTGTAACAATAGAATGAAAGTAATGTAATCAAAGTGGGAGTGATAAACCATACAAATGATCCAGCACACCAAACGGCAGGTCTATATATTAAATACTTTAATTCCTCATTTCTCACATCCATTGCGCTTTGGAAGAATTTGTCCTCCCAAGCAAAAAACTTGATAATTCTGATGCTTTGAAACGTTTCATTCAATATTTCGATCCTCTTATCAGCAACACCCAACAATTGCTTCTGTATTTTTCCTAACCATTGAGCAAACTGGTAATTTACTGGTAACAACACCACGATTGCCATGGAACCAACAAGGGCACTCCAACCAAGCAAGTTGTACAACAAAGCCGTACAAAAGATGATCATCAAAATTGCACCAACAAGGGAATGCAAGTATCCACAAATCTCTGATACTTTAAATGCATCGATTGCCATAAGATTGATGATTGTGCCCAGCTCAGACGTAGTTTTTGACTCCTTTCCGTCGCCACTGTCTTCATTCGTTGACGTTTTCTTGACATCAACAGACGTATCTTCGGAAGTAGTTTCAGTAACAGTTATTTTTCTCCTTAAGGCTTTGGCATAAACTTCTCCAATTATAACTGCCTTCATTCTGACACTGACTCTTGTACCAAGAAACAATGAAAAATCAGAACAAATGGAATCCAAGATTTTAACAATGGGCATCATAAATACAAAAGTCCAAGCCAAGTTTGCTGAAATTGAGTCTGGGTCAGCAACATACTCCAACACTTTTTTCAACAATACTGATGGGCCAAAAACAAGCATGGATTCGACAATTGCCCAAAAGGCTTGAATCGCGAAAAGATATTTGAAATGGAAAAAAATCTTGTAAGTGAACCTCAAGGTAGTTTTCGACGCTTCAAATCCTTTTAATACATATAAAGCATAATCATCCTCTCGTAACCCCCAAATATCACGAAGTTTTAAAGGCTGTTTGTAAGCACTCCATACCATTTTGTCCAACCAACTATAGGAGATAAATGATGCAATACTTGAGATGTTTTCAGGATTTGGCTCGACACCAGGAACAATGTACAATTGAGAAGGTTTGTCACCGACGGTAGCAGTCAAGTTTAATGCCAATAATAAAGCAGCGATAACAAATTGGAAAATATAGTATTCACAACCGGTTTTGTTTAATGTTGTTGTAATCAAGGCTGATCTGAAGGTCAATAATGCTGGGAATATATTGAAAAAATAGAGTGCTGTAGTATGTATCCACAAATTTGGTAATCTAATGGCAACTCTTTTCATATTAATGACTCTAATTGTTACAATGATGAACAAGTACACCCAAAAAATGAGTTGGGCAAGCACAACATGAGTGTTTCTGAACTCTTTGCCCAATTTTCGGTTGACCAAGGGAGACAAGTGTAATCCCAATGATAGTATCACCAATACATACTCAACGGAAACCCTTAATCTTTCACTCGTATTTTTGAAAACCTCCTTAATGTAACCATGTGGACTTCCATCAATATTGGTATCTGGTAATCGAGCAAGGTCAAAATGCAAAGCTTTTAAATCCTCCTTAGTGAGTTTTTGATCATCAGTTGTGGATATGTTTGTAGCTCCATAGTTATCGGTAGTTGTCAAAAGTGGACGGGAATCATCGGGTAACTTGATTTGACCCCCTCGTCTTTTCTTATTATATGATATAAGGGATTTTACGAATAGTATAGCAAACGACACAATAGTCAATAGTAGTGGTGGGTAATAGTCCAATCTTAGTCTAGCACATTTGGTGATGTCGTCGTAATCCCAGAATTCACAACTGCTAGTGCCATTACGTGACAGCTGATGCAACATGATTAGTCGAAGACTGTCTTTGAAAATAGTTGTCTAGTTGAAACATAGTTCAGGCAAAAAGAAGAACAACATGCTTTGTGTATAAAAAGAAGAAGATGAAGACGAAAAAAATAATAATTCTTAAAAATGAATTTTTTTTACAAAAAAATAAAATAAAAATCCCGCTCAGAATGTCTTTTTTTGTGTAGTTGGAATGGTTTACTATAACAATAATGCGGCCATTGAATAAAGAAGTACTCCTTCACATGGCCATACTAGTTAACAGTGTTTAGAATGAGGGAGACTTTTTTGTCACGTAAATAGAAGAAACAACTCTATGTAGGTTGTACAGAAAATACTCCTTTGAATTGATATTTTCAAGCGCTTGAGAAAAATATGCTGGTTCAAATGGTCCATACCTATACAGCACGACTTGTGCAAAGACAAAGAAGCCCACCCTGAAAGTCGCACAGCCAGAGAAAAAAATCAAAAAATGGTCACTTCACCTAGTTAAAAGCAAGTGCATAGACACCTCTTGCACAACCATTATTGTACTTGATGGGAATACAATTATACCATCGTATAACTTCATTCTCTATTATTGATATATCAAAGTTTGATCTGTTTTGCAAAAATTTTGGTATTCAAAAACTGCAAAGTTGAAAAACAGACATTTTTCCATATTAAACTTGCAACTCCTAACTCTTGAAGTAGATAAGGTATAACATAAAGAGTGGAGCTAAAAAGGAAGAGATCTTATATAGGGTAAATATGGCGCTTCGAAGCCTTAAGATCAATTGTGAAATTTTTCAAAATTATCAAAAAGTTGGCCGCAAATATCTGTTAGCAAATTTTAAGTACAAAAATCAATTTATTTTCAATTCCAAAATTTCCCGAGCTCAACAGAAGTTCTTGACCCCCGCCAATTGCGCGAGCTTTGCTCTATCGATTCACACTATTGACTGTTTTTTAACATGTGTGTGGCCAGAGGTACGAAATGTGATTTTACGACAAGGGAAGCCGATTTTCAAACTCTGGAACTTTTGAGAGTCTTCCAATAAAGCAAGATAGACCCAAATCTGACTGAGGGCTGTTGCATATCTACGCTATCGGGCGATACAACTTTCTTAAGTTTGTCCAATCAAATGGTTGCTCTGGAGGCGACTATGCACTTACTCCTAACTGTGTAAAATTTACAACAAAAGTCTGCGCAACAAAAAAAAGGTTTCTAACTATGAAGAAAGAGAGCAAGAGAGATTGAGAGATGGAAAAAGATCACCGACTATTGATCCTACTTAACAGCTCTGTACGATAGAAACAACCAAAAGAGTATACACTCACACACCTTAGGGTGATTACTTTTATTGCAATGTACTCAATAAAACACCAATTCCAGTGCAGAAGGTAAATTAATGAGATTTTTAGTACATGGCTTCGTAATGCACGACGTGAAATCATGTCATGAAATAATAAGTTTTGACACGCAACAGAAAAAATCCAACATGACTTACCAAAACAAGCACAGGTGATTCAAGCTCGTCGGATAGGTCTAGAAAGCATTCATTAATTCTTTCTGAATAAGTCAGGAAGACCTCAGAGCTGAGTGGTTTCGGACATGTATAGCAAAAAATGATAACAAAATTGAGCCTCGCAACACCTGACACAAACCTTTCAAGAAATTCAAAAGATTGTTTTGTGCTCTAATTTGTGCAAAAAAGACGGCACCATACCTGATTTTTTTTCTTCACAGTCGTTTTGTACGACTTAAGAAATACACACAAAAATATGTTACCTTTCTTGTACAAGACACCAAATCAACCATAAGAAACTGCGTGCTGTGTGCTATGGCACTTGCTTGCAGGAAAAAGATCACTTATACTAGCATTATGTTTCAAGCTATTGTCAATCTTGAGGATCAGAACGTGGACCCTTTAGTTACATGAAAGAAAATAGAGGGGAAGAGCAAGTCGCACCTATATATTGTCACAATAACCTAATTTATTGCATTGATTATCTAAATTTAGCCAAATCAGCTCACAAGTATCGGCTTGGCGATAAAGGTGGAATTTTATCCTTTGTTTTCTCCAAATCAAACCTCGTCAAATTTTCATACAAAACGTTCCACATAATATCAAGACACCAGCATGTTCAAGAGACTCAATCAGAGACTTACTGTCCTGCCACTAGGGTTGGACGAGGCAATTGAAACAAGCGGCACCACGTCGTTGCTTTCCAAAATAAACATGACAATTGGATATAGCGGAAAATGTTTTGAAAGATCGTTTACCGCCGAACAACGGTACTCCTGGTTAGGTTGTACAAAGGGGGATCAATTGGATGGTGAGACTAGTTTGGCTGGTCTCGCTACCAAGTATGTTACCCCAAGCGGCAACATTAATATAAGCCAAGTCATGGTTGAATTACAATCTCGCGTTGCCCTTTCTCAAGAAGAGCTGATCAACCATGAGACACAATCCATGTTATGGGAATGGTATGACAACCATGTTGCCTTGTTGTTTAACTTGATTAGATTGTATGTTATGGCAGAATTGAAAGAAAGTGGTGGGTTGAAGACGACCGGTACCTTCCCCAAGTATGACGATGGCCATGTTCAAATTGATCCAAACTTTAGACTTTTAAAACCTGATGAGGAGATATCATGGTCATGGCCTGGAGGTAAAGAGAGCGAAAACTATCCTCGATGGACTAGCACCCAATCGAATTTGCCTGAGCATAATGTCCCTCACATAGATTTGAGAGCCTTGCTGAGAGCCGAAGCTATTGTTGTCTTGTTGGCCACAAGTAAATGGAGAAGGCAATCAAACTTTAGAATTGACTTTGACTATCCAAAGTTGGCTGACCAATTAGTGTACAGGTACACCAGGAACATTCAGGAATTGGATGATTGGATCCTGGGAAAAAGTGAAAGAGACTTTCCATTGAGTGACAAGCGTGTGATTTGGCTGGCTCTTCGCAAATATGTTGTTGCAAACAACCTCTACAATCAATTTTACTCAGCTGCAAGCGTTTTGTCGCAATTATTATTGACAGTGATTCCTGATAGTGCCGAAGGACAAGTGTGGCTTACGGAGATAGTTGAGGTTGGTCTTCCAAGATTTGGCTCTGTGCGTGGTTGGTACCCCTTTTTGACTAATGGAGAGGCTGCGCTCATTCAGGAAACGGCTTTAGAAGATTGGGCTTATTTGAAAGCAAACCCGGGGTTACTATACTCCACCGCAATATCGGTGGCAACATTATTACCCTATGGGATTGCAGCTCGTAATAACAACCCTCGGAATAGGCGGCAGAATATTGTTTTAGAAAGGGATCGTAATCTTATCAAACAACCTGAGACTTTCGTGGCAGCTTGCTTGTCACTCGCTTCCGGATTAAACATTCCATTGAATGGATCAGAAAACGCTTATGTTTTCTACCCGGGAATTACCAGTGAAAACAAAGTTTGGGCTTTACCTTGCAAGTTTAAGCAAGATGCTGGCTACTTAAGGGAAGGTGACAAACTTGTTGTGACCGGATTACCGTATATCGGATCGCCGTATGTGTGCTATCCGTTGGATTTGACAGTAACAGAGGCACCAACAAGTGGCCTGTTCAAAATTCCTAAGCCATTAAAGTGGAATCAGCGCGGGGCCTTGTATACCGCATTGGATGCATGGAAATTCGCATGGACCGCTCGAATTTGTGGTTATGATGTGAATATTCAAATCCCAAAGAGTGCAGCTAGCTACTACAAGTACTATGCTTCTAACGAAAACAGCTGGACTCACATTCTTACGAATGGGATACCCAATGACATTGATGCGGTTCAAATCATATCATTGTCGAAAAGGAAATACCATTTTATCACAATCCCAGACTACACATCCTCAAATGTACAGGCAGACGTTGACGTTGACGTTAACGTCTCTGTTTTGTGTAAATACTTTTTTATTAAAGGAAGACGTACGCCGCGGTTTTCAAACATTGTTATTCAAAAAGACGATCTCATTCGTCAAATTCACCCCGTCAGCAATGAGCTGAATGGAATGTGGAGTTCTGTTCAAAGAGCTGATTGTGGTTTAATGATTGGCTTGAGAGCTCCAGTCTTTATACCTGAAGAATTCAGGGTTTAAACAGTCATTATGAATGCAAGCTCAGGGAAAATTTGATGAACAATTGACACAAAGTTGCCATAGCTTGTTCGCCATGGTATTTTTCAGTTCAATATTACTGAATAATGGTAGCATTCACTTTTGACGGGGTTGCGTTGCTAAAGCCGTTACATGGAGACTTTGACGACTTGTTCGAGGGCAAAATCTTCTCGAATTCAACATTGCTGTGTATTTTGCCTTTCTGAGGGGAATTTATTGGGAGATGGAATAGTGTTTTTTCTATATATTGTAACAATAATATTTGATACCTGAGCTCTTTTGAGTAACACCCTTCGCTTTTTCAAGTTGTACCTCCATGTTCGTGTCAATCTCAATTCTAAAGTAAAAGCTCCCTCGATACAAGCATAAACATCTCTTTCGATCGTTTTGACTAGCCATCACTGTAGTTTTCTTAAAGATGATCTCACTAGTATTATGTTATTCATAGCTCTCTCTCAGATCAATAATACTAACAGGACCCAGGCAAGTACAATCACTGCTTGGTAGCTTGCACTCTGAAAGCTGCCATATCTTTCTCCTGGGAGACCCTTAGTCACAAGGCCCCCAAATGCAACTATTTACCTTTGCCAACAATTTTCTCAACTAATTCCTTTGCAGAATATTTGATCCCTCTCCTACCTTTTCCAAATAATGACAAACTGTTAACCGCTCTTTCGTTTCTTTTGAATGATTTTTGATGCTATTTTTGGAACAAACATCGCCAAATTGATCGATTACTAAGACCATCATGTAAATGTACTGATGTAGGCCTTTCCTCTCCTCGAAAGGACTGGGAGAGTAGACTACACACTCTCCACAAGGTTTAAAATTGTTTTCGGTGAAGTTTCTCGGAGGACTTTTCGATAGATACTTGCAAGAGCGCCAAAACTTGTATATAGCATGGCTGACACGAATGTGAGTTATGCAGATTCAATAGAATGGTTGTGATGTTCTAGTTGTCACTTGACCTATCATGTGATAAGGAATGTTTAGCTTCTATGCCGGTAACAGTATGAGGTTTCTATCGTTATACTTTTCAGTACGAAACTTTCCAGTGGATTATTCAAACCAGTCACAAGCTAAATTCATCGATGTGCGGCATTTATTGGTTACATTGATTTTCCTAATAGATAAGGGGAGGCAAATTGAAGGCACTGAGCACTTTGCACTTAACGAAATTTTAAGGAGGTCTTATACGACCACGCGTAGAAAGATACTCCATCACCGCACAAAATTGATAACTTCCATACATCAGAGACCTCGATTGGTTAGTTTCATGAATTCTGAACTCCGTGTTCACAATCGAGTCCTAGATTAAGCACGGGATCGCCCATGCTGTATATACGTGCACTTCTAACACCTAATTCATTCATTTTTGCCATGAACTTGCCGAATTATTCAAGCAAACGGAGACTGGCCTCAGTATCAACTCCTTCATCACTGACACCTTTCATTTGACACTTGTCAACAGCCTAGTGGTGGACAAGGCATAATCTTTCCCGTTCACTCTGTACGCGTTCTTTGGGTTCCCTACCATTAGGCTCCAAAAGAACTTTGGTGATCGTAGTAGCACTGGCATATGTGTGGAGAGATCTCTCATCGTTGTTCTTCTCCGAAAATTGGCAAATTATATTTCTCCGTATGTGAGAGTAATTGCATTTGAAATGAAGAATTTGAATTTACATTAACAAGATAATGAAGGGTGGTTGGCCCAAGATTTGCTGAAGAGCCCATTTAGAGATATTCATCTTAGAACCATGTTGTTCCGCTTTCTGTAGCCTTACAAAGAATTGTGGAGCTTATCCTACCTTCAGGCTTTATTTTGGTCAGTCCAGCATACTTCGACATAATTGTGGATTTAAAAGTAGTATTCTTTTCTTTGTGCACAGTCGTCGAGATTTAGTTGAAAAATTAAGTGGCAACGCTTCAAGCCGCGCTAACTTTCAAGTCTTTGTCACTCTTGGAAAACTCAAACACTGTTCTAAAATTCCCTTGCATATCCACAATCACTACCCCTTTCAATTTATTGGCTGAACATATTCAAAAAGCTCGACTCCCTCAATGCAGCTGTACCCTTATTGACTGACGGGATATATAGTGCCAACGGCAACACAAATCTACACACCACGGTTTTTGTTGATATCAAGTATGACAAAAATCTTGACTTTAGGAGTTTTACCGCTCAACAAAAATTTTCATAGTTAGAAAATACTGTAGGTCACCAATCGGATGGGAAATCTTCATTACTGGTATTGCAAGGAAGAATTTGCCCAAGGGCGGCTCTATTGTTATAAAGTCTTGAGCTACTTGGCCGCCTATGTGGGAATTCTCCCTAAAAAACTTGTCGACCACGAAATTGACTGAAGGATATGGGGTTGGTATGATGATCATGTTGCTTGTTTCTTAACTTTCTTAGATTGTATGTGATGGCCGATAGAAAGGATCATGGTGGGTGGAAGACGGCGGGAAGCTTTTCCAGATATGATGATGGCTGCATTGAAATTGGTCCCAACATCATATTACCGGAAGCTGATGAGCCCAATTTATGAATCACAACAATTGAAGGATATCAGAAATATATTCGTATTACTTGAATGACCTGCTTGTATGCTACGATGTTGCTATCATCTCCATCTTATGAAGTATATCCATGTTACATTTATAGCCAACCATAGTGCAAGTTTGTTACGAAAGTGAGTTTAAGAGGCATCATTCTGTTACAAGATTAGTCATATGTAACTCATTCAACGCTATACAGGGGAGAAGAGACGGGCATAATTTCATAAGATAATTGTACCAAATCCCATCACGCAAAGAACACGGCACGGTCTTTGAGGCTCACTTCGTTGATTGTAAACTTTTATCCAGCTCATCCAAGTGGTCCCAATTCATCGTTTTCAAATTTAAGTTCCCAACAATTGCTCTTATAGTTGAAATCACATCATCCTCTGACACTGTGATAAAATTTTCATCCTCTCCAGCTTCCGGAAATGTTTCTTGTCCGCAACATTTACTTTTTTCAAGTTCGGGTAAAATGGCTTTAACAAATTCCGGTGAAAATTTCAACTTGCGGCCACTTTTACAGTGGTAGTTAAACCATTCCCCCAGGACTTTGATTTTGATGCTTTCTTGTTCTTGTTGTACTAGATCTTTGAAACACCCCACAAAGTCGCCTGACGTGTACTTGACTTTGCCCTGGTGAGGTCCAAAAGGGACACGATAAGGAAAGAAGATCTCCATAGCAAGCAACTGTGAGACTATATTTTCATTCACCGTGAGATTGTAATCCTTGGTGTAGAGCATGGCCATAAAAACTTGGATCGCTTGCTTTTATGAGCAATGACGAGGGAGAAGAATTAGGCTTATACATATACAAATGAAGCATACGAACCGTATTGGATATATTTGTCACCTCCCAACAACAATGAAGCACGGAAAATTACAGGAGCAGGTTGATTGTTTCGATACGTTAATGTAGAAAGAATTATGTTTGAACAATTTACACAAAAAATAGTTACTAAAAAAACAAAACTATAACTATTCGAAATAGAAATTAAAATTCTGTCACCCAGTCATACCAAATTTTCTAAAAATAGCTACCATTATTGGATTGTGTGTAATTTGACAGAATGTGTAGCCAAAACAACTTTACGTTACTTCAACGGAATTTTCAAAGACATTGTAGAGAAGTGTCAGATTAGCCGAATCGTAGTTTTGGTTTTAACAAATTCTGTGGAATACTTCCAAACTACAAAGGTAGCAAAGAACCTTCAATCAATGAAATGTATAAGACTTGACAAACGCTCATAACCTTCAAAGTACGCATCATTATAGTTAGTTGAAGTGGGGACACAGTGGCCAAAAATGCGACCCCAACAATGTGCGCATTGTTATAAGAATCATTTTTTAATAGACACTACCATTAGGTTTATAAATTTACAATGCCAACAATAGAAGTATGCATTCCTATATCTTATTGTCCTAATGATTTGCTAACCGAAAACGGAAATTATGTCATAAAAAAGAATTACAGAACGAAATAAAGTTTCTGGTTATTTTGTAACTCGTTTAACTGAATACGACAACACTTGTGAACGATTAATTGTAATGCTGGCAACAAATCACCATTCTGGACAATATTTGAAATATACGAGATTGTGTTCATTGGCACAAACACGACTTGGTAGAAGGCTAGAAAACAAGATGGCGTGAAAGAAAATTTTCACTAGAAGTATATATGTTTAGAAATTACCCTCGAATATCTAGACAATGCCCTTCGAATAGAGCTTGAATCCTCGGGACTTGGTACATTTATTGTTAAGCTTATTATTCTATCATTGTAGATTCTATCTATTTTCACTAAATGTAATTGTTACCCACGGAGAATATAATCAAAATGTTTGTACACTTTCTAATTTTGTTTTTATCTACTCTGTTATTATTGTTGTGCGCATGAGTGCCATCCATTTTATTATTATCAACATTTTTTGAGAGTTATTACTTCAAACGCACATTTCGTGTATAGCAATTAACTTTATTATTTTATTTTGTACTTTATAACAGCGTCTTAGGATTTGTTAGTATCAACATGACATTTAGGTGTTTAAGACACGGTTTCGAATCCACTAAGTCATAAGACAAAACAACAATTTCATCTTCATCGGGTACAAATTACTGTGGGAGTCATGGACGGTGAGCAAATTACTGTATTGTTTAGTATAGCATATTCAATTTAGATGTCGCAGCTGAGGCATTAAAAAATTAGTACTTTATACTAATTTAAATATTCAATTGTCCTTATTTTAAATTCACATCCTCTCTACTTAATATTTGTAGACAGAAACTTTTTCACTAAAAGGCGAAAATATATCGTACGTGGAATCCTCTGTTATTAATAGTAAAATACATAAGATTGTGATATTTTACGAATCGTGGATGTGATTACATTTACAGAGCCATATGCGAATTTATTTTACACGCAGTTGTAAAATTTTTACTATAGGTTTTGGTGCGAACAATAAGCTACTTTTATTTAGAGCTACATGCGATTATTATAATTACACAAACGCGGCATCAATCATGAAAATAGTACAACCTAGTTGACATAAACAAAGTAAAACATTTCCTATACAGAAACCCATTGGTGAGAAGCTATTCATTTGTTGCTTCATATTGTTTTCGATCTGACATGCATTTAAGTAGAGAAAATGGCGTTGTTGTTCTTCTAGAACAAAATAGGAGAACAATACAAGACAATAGCGCTCCAAGTATTTTGTGATACTATTGCCGTCGTTCCAAAGTGAACTTTATAATTGTTTTGTGCTACCCGTCTTTGGTCTAAGTTATTCAATCCTCATATGCAATAATTTCGACACAAAAGAAACATCATCTCTTTATATTTAGGTCCTAACCTTATTGGGTAGTTTTTGAAGTGGCCAAAATAAATCCATCTACTGTCACCATTAAAGCCTTCAATTCACGATTGTCAGAAGCCACAACCATGAAAGCGCTGTTTTCGATTTTAATATAAAAGGAATTTGATGATTACAAAGATTAGTCACTTTTGTGTCGGCTAATATTATGAGTTATTTTTGGTTATAACTGCTTTCTATTATTTTTTTTGAAGACGAATTTAGAAACATTGCATAATATACATTACATATTGCATCTTCTCTCACACTTTTATTGATTGAGAGCCAATCGTTTAAGGAGTCAATTCACTCCCTGCTTCCCTTTCTTTACAACACCACCAGCCCAAATTTTGGCCTTTCCTAGTGCATTCCTCACCTCAAGTTGTTTCAGTTGTTTGTATGTTCAATATTGGCCAGTTCGTAAGAAAAGCGCAACTTTTTGGAACAACTTGCAAAAAACAGGCTTTTTGAATAATAATGTGTAAATCTCACCAGCTTAGAGCCTGTTGTAAAACAAAAGTCAAGGCGTCTTTGTGCGTTTGTTACATGTGATGAGGACTTTATAAGGTTACCTTTTTAAAATTTCTTAGTGTACTCTACGACGCCAAAGTTTTCATTTTTTCCATTACTTGTCAAATCGGGTGAACAATAGTACAAAGACTTAATCCTAGAGTGCACTGTTGTCTGTTCTAATTTTAACTCGTGACAGAGGGATTTTTTTGAAACTTGTTCATCAGCAAATGTGCATTTCAGTGTTTGAGGGATTCAAATCATCAAACACGTGTGGTTGTAAGAAAGATAATCAGGAAAACAACATGCAAAAGCCTCTCAATGCGAGTGTTTCCGCGCGAACACGCAAAACTGTACACACTGATTCTTGGTATCACGCAGTATCTCACCTATAACAATTGACACACTGTATGAGATCTCGCCATTTATCATCTCACAATCCTACATGGTGTCCTCATTGAATCACAAACAGTACGTTTCTTGAATGCCATCACGTATTATACTTCATGAATGAGGCTGCAGCATTATTACCTCACAACATTACTGACATCTCGTTCTTTGAGCATCTTGAATAATTTTCAAGATAGTGGTGAAAGGATCTGTAAGTAATATCTGGCTAAGTCAAATATTCAACCCGCACGAATGGACAAGTAGAAGGACGCTCGAAGTTGTTAGGGGTATGACCTCGTGTGTATCCACATGATTTTAAGTGTCTAAAGCATAAATGGCACGACATTACAATTGTTATAAAGTACATGAGCTTTGTTGCAAAAATCCTTTTGGCTCACTTTTCAAGTTGTCATAGGTGACACCACTCTTTTATGTCATATTTTTGTAATATACGTCATCTCTCTACTTATTTATTTCATACTAGCTTGCGTATGTGTCTTTATCACAGCACACTTACAGTTTATTATTGCCACTTTACGCCGAAAGTAGCTTTTATTAAACATTACAGACGATATTAAAGGTCCTAATTACCAAGGTTTAGTAGTGTATTTATTCCAATTAATACTCAGGAACTTCAAGATGTGTTTTTTTGATTGAGTTGCTGTTTTATGTAGTTGATTCGAGAATAAAGCCTAACGGATGTAGCACTTGCACTCCGCTTAGCTATTTATGCTTTACTCAGGCTTGTTGAAGAGTATGCTTAATTTCGTCACGTAGGTGGCACAGTAATTTCAAAACTCTTTTCATTGAATCAGCTGTTATACTTTACGGGTATGGAAAAAGACCAAAGACGCGACAGAAAATTAAACTTTGATGGAACTTAATTCGCATTCGTAATATATCGCACTTTCTCGTAATTCAGTACTTCAATCCACGACAGCCTGTATGATACAGTCGTTGCTCTCTAAGCACTAGATAAGTACAGTATATATTCAATCTAACCACGAATCTTTTCATTTCATTGTTCCTCAGAATATCCGCTCTATACTAAAAATTTCCAATGTGTTCCGTACAACTCAATAAAGGATATTTAACTCTTCCTGATCTTCTCTTAGCATTAACCAAGCACACTAGAGTGGGCCACTGATATGTTTTAACCAACAAATATCATGTGTTTCGTCATTACCTACTTTGCACCAGAATCAATTATTGGTTTTCCTGGCTGCCTCGTAGCTTTGAGTAAAGCTAACTGTATTAGTATTACGGTGAGAGACCATGATTTAACACAAAGACAAGGTGGTAATTAGTCCACGTTTGGTTTGAATCAAGTGAGATTGAAAATATATGGTGCTCTCCATCTTTGTGTAGTTTATTAATTGCTCGGAATTTTTGCATTTTCCTTCATTCCAAATCTCTACATGTTACAAATCACATTGTCCAACACTCAATTGATCATCTCCACGAGAGAAAACAATTGCATTTCAGGCTTTTGTCAGACTGACCGTTACTCGGAACCAAAACGTATCAACTATCACATGTATCTGTCCAACACAAGATTCGGCTCTCACATGTTTGGGAAGAGAGAGAACCTTCTTGATTTGCAAATTGAGTTGATTGCCAATGTCGCTCTCATTGAGGATTACAGTTTGCAGGTTTGATCGTTACTTGGAATTTGTTTAGTTGATGACCTACCTCCTCACAGAAGATTCAAATTTGTAATTGAACATTTGGCAGGATTTTCGTCAGAAAAAGGTAACTGTTTTTGCCAGAAAATAGGCACCAAATGTGTATGATTAACCCCGGATTGGAATTTATTGTTGAGGATCGCAAAAGATATATCATATTCAACAAGTAAGAGGTGAAAGACTATGAACGTTCCTAGAGTTCGTTTTCGTTTGGTGTATTAGATGGTGAAGTGGATGTCTTTGCCAGAGGTTTCAAGTATTTCAAGTTGTGGACTGAAAATTTCGAAAAACCTCAGTACTCGTGGTTACCCCAAGTTGTAATATTCAAAATCTGTTCTGTGCTTGAACTAACTGCCTGAATTGTGATGTCCAATGCTTTACGGTTAGGTGACCATCTTTTGGTGACTTTCAAATTCACAACCAGTGTGCGAGCTGAACAATCAATTCAGCAGAATTTTTTGAATATTGACAGATTTGGCCCTTCACTTAACTGTTTCCGAGTATCTTGATCTAATGGGCATTGCAAAAAAATATTTCGACTTGTTCAAAACTAGTTTCCAAGAAGTTGCATATTCGTTTTTCAGAGTTGGTCCCGAAGAACCAAGGCACATTACTATACCTTGATATTGAAGGTCATTTCCCGTTGGCTGGGTCACCAATCTTTGCAGTTTTGAAAGTCTATCGACTTTTTCTTTACACTACTATGTTCCAAGAACTACAATCGAATACACCAGGGATTAACTTGCCAAGCTAGCTCATGTCACGTCGATCAATATCTTCATATGGAAGTTTGATGTAACTTTGTTGCCAGTTGCACCTCGCACTGATACAAAGGGTTATCTTGTTCAGATCATTGTTGAAATAGAATCGTACAATGAAGTGATGAACACCTATCATCAAGCAGTGTGGGGCGTTTCTTCTGACAATGATAAAGCTGCCTTTACTGATGTCGGTAGGGCCAGATTGGTGTGGGTTTGGGACACTCTACAAAGAGAAGAGTCTGCCATCTCAAGGCGCTGTCTTTATTACGGGGATTGTTTGTAGTGCCACAATAAAGTTTTGTGTATTCCGTATTTGCCTTGCATGTTGCCCATGTTGGACAATATCCTCGTACCTGCAACATCTTGCATTTTGTGATTGCGGCGGCGAGCGAGACGCAAACGCTTATCCGCGTACTTTGTGTGACGTGTAATTGTGACTTGGATTATCTAAGAGCATGCAGTCCAACAAAGTTTACCTTGATAGGGCAATGAAGTATAGTTTGGCATTGAGCTTTAAGGTAATACGGTAACCTCTTGGTGGTATCGGTGGGGAACTGTTCCTCAATAAAGAAAAACTTGTGACCAAAATCGATTCATTCGAGGGGTACATTCAAAAAAGAACTTCACTTGGAATTTGAGCCTTCCCCTCATCAAGCAATGCCACTAACCCCGTTCAACCCAATCAGTTTACGTGTAAAAAATATTACTACAAAGTGCTAACAAATTATTGGCAACAAACGTTTTTTGCTAATTGATTTTGTTTGTTGTGAAATGTGGAGAAATGGTATAACAGAATGAGTTTTTAACTTTGCTATCTCTCCGCATCTCAAGGGGTGGCTTCACCCGTCCCGTCCCGTCATCCTTGGAGAAATGAAACTTATATACATTTCCAATGAGAATCCAGTTTTGAATAGCATGAGTTACGAGAAACCGTACCATATATCATGAAGGGCAGAGAGCTCCAACTACGAGACCTACCCCTAGAGCTCATCCTTCAAGTGCTCCCATTCGAAGAGTGTTTACTCAACCAGCAATCGGACGTGTCGATACCATGGCTCAATTACATGGATTACAAAAGATGCTATCGCCTATTAGGTGAAAGTGGGATTGGAAACGCACGATGTGGACATAAATTTGACTTGGAGATGAAATATGGCAAGTTGATCTATATAAATTTTGGCAAATTCATAGATGCAAAGTACTTGAAAAAATACATCATCTTTGACGCCAACGCGATTAACGACATCATATTCGACTACCCGGACTTGGTGAGATGTTTAAAAGTTTGGACGGGAAATTTGGATCATGATACATATTTGTGGCTAGATTTTGTCAATATCCAAAGTTGCAGTTCAAAGCAGTTACATGATGTTATGTTCACTGACAGCACACAAATAGAGCCTGACGCAGCCCTTGGTTTGGACTGCTTGGTGACTCGCTCATGCTGTGGTTCAGACATAAAATCGGTTCTGCTCATTTCTAATTTGAGATACGAATTTCTACGCAATTTGAAGCATGTGGAGATGGATATGGCATTAGAAAGCTTTACTGTCCTCAGGAAGAAGTTGAATGAGTCCATGACTGAGTGCCACAAAATTGCTCCAAAGTCGCTACATATATATTTAAAATTGGAAAAAGATCAAGCCCATCCCCAAATTTTTCCTATAGAGTGGATCACTAGTATATTCAACTTACAATCGGTAGAAGAGTTTTCACTCCATTATTACAAAAAGTGCACCTCCCTTGCGTACATGAGTGACTGGATTGAGAAGATGCCACATTTGAAATCACTAAACTTGGGATTTGGAAAGTTGAACTTTGCACAGATTCCTCGTCAGCTTGAAGATGCTCATCATAATAGCAAAACTAACATTCAGGTGAAGGTCGATAAAAAATACTTCAATTCCATACAACACAAATACAATCGGTGCTATTGGCAGGAAAGGAAGTTTAGAGATTGCGTTATTGTTTGTAGAACAGGTCACTAGATTATTTATAGCAAATTTTTATAGCAGTTTATCAACTGTGTAAACCTTGAGCAGTCTCACTGGACTTGAACCTATCTGTTCTTTGCATTTTTGTCGAGTTGGGTAGCTAAATTAGTTGTTATTTACATCCCTACTTACTAGGCGTAATCATTAAAAGAGTGCACTGTAATATAGCACGTGACGTGTTTCGTCTTACACGACTTTGGTCTCCCCCTTTTTTGTGTGTTGCAATCCTTTACGAATCATTAAATACCATGGCATACAGATCACTGTCTCGTCAACACTTACACCACCACTTCTGCTAATAAATCAACCTCCCAAACTACCCAACTTTTCTACAACCCAGTCCGTATCAATAAAAATGTACAGGCATGAGCTTAGCCAGTGAGTTACATCGAGTAAGATCAATCGATAGTGGCGATGAGGGTTCCAGCGCTTTAAATACATCCTCCGACTCCACACAAAGTCTACTACGGAGAATCTCATCACCAATAATATCTGACTTGCCAAATATATTCAGTCATTTAAGGTCTAATGACAGTGAAGCTGTGGTGAAGAATGTTGGTGGGAAAAGTATTATTAAGCGCGTTTTGAGTGGCAACAAGTCTAGCGATAGTGTGGGCTCATCTGGTACAGTGTCATCAATTTCAAGCTCTTTCTCAGGGAAACAATTAACCGGTGATTCCCTAGTTGAAACAAATGATGAGGAGGTGAAAACTCTAGTCCCTGACTCCAACATAACAAAATCAATTGATCAATTAAGGATCCCTAGTGTGTTCCAAACAGATGGCCTACCGTTACTTAAAGTGTCACACAAATCAAAGAAACGCATCCTATTATTTATTGATTTGGTAAACTTTTCCTTTCTTTGGAAGCTAGCTCCAAATCCAGCTTCTCAGGGTAATAAACGATTGTCGATGCATGGGTCAAGCCAAAGAGTGCACGAGTTCACCGTTGACGATATCAAGTTTGTGTACACCCACGAGAAAGGCTCCAACTACCGGGAAGAGCTACGAATATCAAAAGAGTTTGAAACTAGGTGGATTACATTGATTTATTTTAATAGAAGAAAAGGTAATTTGAAAATGCTTCATTTGATTGCTGATACTGAGCACGATTTTAAGCGATTAAATCTGGCTTACGTTACAATGAGGGATTTGCGACATCACCTTGCAACTGAGTTTCTTGTTGATTTGAATGAATTGGATGAGGCACACATGAAGATGATTTTGAATCGCGAGGTTCCCATTCAGCAAAAGCAACAAACCAAGGAGTTTCTCACATTTAGTGACATTTTAAAGTATGCGAGGCGTCTTGGTATTAGTATCAATAAACTGTATTTGGAAAGTATATTCAACAATGTATTTGAGGCGCATATCGAGTCAGTGGATTCTGATGAAAAGGGGCTCAATTTTGAACAATTTAAAGAGTTTATATCCATACTAAAGCGGAGAGAAGACATCATGACGCTCTGGGAAAACAGCTGCACTGATAGCTCCCTCGGAATGAATCGATTGGACTTTGAACATTTTTACTTAGGTGTACAGCATGAAAAACAAGACAAAACTGCAATGGATTCCATTTTTAGTCAGTTTTCAGCAACTGGCAAGTATTGGACTGCGGACGATTTAAACTCGTACCTATTGTCCAGCCATGCAAACCCAATTCGCGACATTGAGACAAACAGTTATTATACGTATCCTTTAACAGACTACTACATATCATCATCGCACAACACATACTTAACCGGTAGGCAAGTCGGGGGTGACTCGTCTATTGATGGATACGTTAGAGCGCTTCAACGTGGCTGTCGATGTATTGAAATAGATATATGGGATGGCTCAAATGAAGAAGACACTGATTGCACTGAACAAGAGCCAATAGTCAACCATGGAAGGACATTCACCAAACCCATCAAATTTTTCAATGTTGTTAAAACAATCCAAAAATTTGCATTTATAACATCGCCGTATCCTTTGATTCTCAGTTTGGAAATAAATTGCTCACCTGTTAGTCAAATAAAAGTTGTCAAGACTTTGAAGGAAACATTGGGGTCCAGTCTTGTTACATCCACCATCGATGATAGCTCGACTTTGCCCTCTCCTGAGCAGCTCAAATACAAGTTTTTGATCAAGGCGAAAAAGACCAGTCCGTTTAAAGATTTGATTGAAACTGACGAAGGAAGCTTTACCACATCCACCACTACCACTTCGTATTCGGAGGACAATTCAGCCACCAAACCCTCAGGGAAAACATTTAGCATACGAAGAAAGACTAAAGCTCCTAAAGTCATTGATCAAGTCAGTGAATTAGGTGTATATCTACAAGGTATCAAGTTTCGTAACTTTTCGTTACCAGAATCGAAAATCTACAATCACTGTTTCTCCCTCAGTGAAAAGACAATCAACAAGATGATGAAAGACGAGGTAAAGAAAACGTCACTAGACAAGCATAACCGAAAGTACTTTGTGCGGGTTTATCCATCAGGGTACAGAGTCACTTCAACCAACTTTAACCCAATAAAATATTGGGAACATGGGGTACAGATGGTGGCTACAAATTGGCAAACGTATGATCTCGGGCAGCAACTAAATGAAGCAATGTTTGAGGGAGTGAACAAGGAAGGTTATGTTTTGAAGCCGACACATTTGAGAAAACCTATTATCAAGAGTTCCAAGTTTTTCAAAATGTTTCAACCAGCTTCAAAAACAATACGATTTAATATAAGTATAATCGGTGCTCATCAATTGCTGAAGCCGAAGGATACCGATGATGTGATTAACCCATTTGTTTCATGTGAGATAATAGGCGCTGATAAACTCAATTGGAATTCATCGTCTATGGAACCTGGAAGGACCAGAGTAATCACTGATAATGGGTTCAATCCCATTTGGAATGAAGCGTTTAGTGGAACCATCACAGGATCTCTCGATTTAGTGTTTGTCAAATTTGTTGTGCATACAGTTTCCAACGTTGACAAAATGGAAGATGCGCATCCTTTGGGTCTACTAGTTGCCAAATTGGGCTACCTCAAACAAGGGTATAGGTATTTATACCTCAATGATTTATTCGGTGAACAATTGGTGTATTCTTCCTTGTTTGTCAAGATTTCGTATGATTGTGTATAACGCGATGAGATGACATTTTTTTTGATTTTTTTTTTTTTTTTGATAAACTTTTTCGAATCTTCATGTAGAACCCTGCTAGCACAACAAAATCACAGAGATGGGGAAAATATCAGCGAACGATAAGCTTAAGCAACGTCATAATCCTCTTTTGAAGGATATCTCTTCTCAGGGAGGTAACTTGAGAACCACGCCTAGATCAGCACACGCAAAGAATAAAAAATCCAGAACCAGTGAAGCAAATGAACCGAAGGGGGAAGGGTACTTGGATGCCGTCAGTTCGAGAAAGATCTTACAGTTGGCAAAAGAGCAACAAGACGAGTTAAGAGATGAAGAAGAAGCCCAAGCTCCAAGCTTTGCACAAGCATTTAAGCAACAAGATGTGAGTAGCGATGAAGAAGAAGATGATCAGCAATACTCCGACTTGGAAGAAGAAGAAGAAGAAGAGGAGGAGGAGGAGGAGGTTGTATACGACGAGGAAGAGATTGAGGTTGACGAGAAAGATGCAGAGCTATTCAATAAATACTTTCAAAGTAATGGTCCTACTGCCGATGGACAAAGTATAAACTTGGCCGACAAGATTCTTGCAAAAATCCAAGAAAAAGAGTCGCAACAACAAGAACAGGTTTCTGAAAGACCTGAAGATGCAGTTTTACTACCTCCAAAAGTCATTATGGCGTATGAAAAAATTGGTCAGATATTGTCTACTTACACCCATGGTAAATTACCAAAATTGTTTAAGATTTTACCGAGTTTGAAAAACTGGCAGGATGTATTGTACGTTACAAACCCAGAGAAATGGACTCCTCACGCTACATATGAAGCTACAAAGTTGTTTGTTTCCAATTTGACCGCCAGTGAAGCACAAAAGTTTGTGGAATCAGTACTTTTAGAGAAGTTTAGAACATCAATTGAAGATTCCGATGACCATTCATTGAATTACCACATTTATCGTGCTTTAAAGAAATCATTGTATAAACCAGGTGCATTTTTCAAGGGGTTTTTGTTACCATTGGTGGATGGATATTGTTCAGTTCGTGAGGCCACTATTGCTGCGTCAGTATTAACAAAAGTTTCAGTTCCAGTTTTGCACTCATCAGTTGCATTAACTCAATTACTACAAAGAGATTTCAGTCCAGCCACCACTGTGTTTATCAGAGTATTGATTGAAAAGAAATATGCGCTCCCTTATCAAACTTTGGATGAGTTGGTTTTCTATTTCATGAGATTCAGAAATGCAGCACAAGATCAAATGCAAATTGATGAAAACGACGATAAGAAAGCACCACAATTGCCAGTTGTATGGCATAAAGCGTTTTTGTCATTTGCCCAACGTTACAAGAATGACATCACTGATGATCAAAGAGATTTCTTACTTGAAACTGTAAGGCAAAGATTCCACCATGCTATAGGTCCAGAGATTAGAAGAGAATTGTTAGCGGGTAAGCCAAGACTAACCGCAGCTGATGTACCAAAGAAAGGTGGATTAATGGTTGATGCTTTCTAATGTGTGTTATATTTAAATATATTATACCTCTTGGGTCGATGTTCTTTTTCTTGCCTCCTCACATAAGTGATCAAAATTAGCAGCTAATGCGTAGTAACTCTGCACCACTCCGATAATTGTCAATGCAACTGTACTCCCCACCCACAAGCCATCTAATGATCCTTTCCATGGAGAATAAAAGGCAAGATAAATTGACAATGGAAGACCAACCACATAGTATGAAACCAAGTTGACAATACCTCCAATCTTTGTCTGTCCTTGTCCTCTTAAGCAACCTGCCGAGTTTGCATTCATGGCATCGGATATCTGCATCAATGCAATGAGCCACATGACTTCGAGAACAATGTTAATGACATCTTGATCCTTGGTGAACGCATTGGCAATTGGTCTTTGGAAACAGTATAATGCAAGAAAGTTTAACATGGAGATCACCAATCCAAAACAAAGAGACACTTTAGTGGTGACTTTTGCTGACTCGGCTAACCCAGCTCCTAAAAAGTTGGCAATTCTTGACGAAGATGCAATTCCAATAGCAAATGGGACTTGATAAGTTAATGATGCCATTGTTGTCCCAATTGATTGTGCAGCCAACGCTTTGGTGCCAAGGTATGATGCCAACAATGTCAATATTTCAAATGCTAGAAACTCTGCCTCCAACATAACAAGACCTGGAATAGCCAACGAGATTAATCTGCCCCATCCCTTGAAAGCTTGTTTGATGTTGAGTCCTCCCCAACATCTCAACGGATGAAATCCACTTGGGGTATCTTCTGCCTTGACGTAAAACACAGTCATAACAAACAATCCAATGGCCATAAGCCAGTAGTTTATTGCCACCGAAATTGGCGCACCAATGTATCCAATCTTTTTAACCAAGTACCAGTTCATGCACAAGTTTGATGGGGCGGCTATAAGCAACACATAAGCACCAATGTTGTAAATTCCCTGAGCTTGTAAGAATCTTTTCCCACATTCAAACGAAATGTAAGCTGGTATACCAATGGAAACATACTGTAAATACTGTGCAGCATATTTAGCAGTCTCTTTATCAGGAACAATAAGACATATCAAATCGTAGCCAAAAAACACCCATGCAATCAAGACTGGTAACATAACTACCGCAATCAAAGCAGTACATTTTTGAAAATACTCTCCAACCATGGTGTATTTCCTGGCACCAAATGCCTGGGGACACAATGTATCCAATGCAGTAGCGATACCCTGTATAGTGGCATAACCAGTTATGTTCGCCGTCATGGCACCCATTGAAACAGCTGCCAACTCAGTTGCACCAATGTGACCAACACTGAAAACAGACACCGTGGAAAGTGAACATTGCAAAAGAAATGTGACTACTGAAGGTATGGCTGAGCTAATCAATGTTTTCAACTCGATAAGTGGAGTAGTCACCTCAATTTGTTTATTCTGCACTGCTTCTTCAAATGCGTCCCTCACCTCGTCATCGCTTTTCAAGTCGTCTACTGCAATATGATTCTCTTGTAGTAACTCTCTTTCCTGCTCCAATAATTCTCGAGCGACAACGCTCAGTTTTCGTCTATTCTTGAAAGGATTTGGATTAGAATCCACGACTGCAGCTTGTGTCCCTTGTATATCAAGCAATGGGGAGTTTTCATCTGCTGTTATATCATCCTGGAACTGTTGACGATTAGACGACGAGCCAATAAAGTCTGAAGGTATATAAAGACCACCTTTACCAACTGAGCCATACACCACAGACGCCCTTCTTTTGGTATCTGAATGAGTGAATTGGTGACTTCTATCTGAATGTGTCATTGAAAAAAAGTGTATGTATCTCTGATGTTTGCAGAAGTGATGTGTAGGGGAAGATGAGTCTTAAAATAAAATACAGAGCAGAAGTTACAAAATTGCGAAAATTTAAAAAATTTTAAATCTAAATTTCTTTTTCTTTCTGGTTATTGCCCAATTTTGACGAAAGCGCATCTCTTCGTTGCACAAGCTACAACATGCATACAAGATAAGCCATGAATTGATGCTGTAGTATAGTGGTTTTTTGTAAGGTAGTTTAATGATTCTTTTCTTTATCGTAAGCTATTGATCTCCATCTACAATTATACCACACCTCTTATCTTAAGTGCATTGGAAATACGACGTCTATTATGTTTATGAGTACACAAAGTGTCTCTCTAGCAAAGCTTATGCAACTTCAAAAGATGATTTCCCAAAATCAGGAGTACCACCCAAAGTACCATAAATATCACCTTGATAATTCTCAGCTGCATACCTGTGTCCCTTTTCATACACCGTTTCCCAATTGTGGATAATATCATGCAAGATTGGAGTTCCAGCAATAACCAAGTTATCCAAACTAGCCTCGATTCCACCATCAGTTCTGTTGAAGAAATATTCATAAGCACTCATGGATGCTGGTGGTCTCGAAAAATCGGAAATCGTTCTCATCACCATAACCCTTTCAAAATCCAATAAGCCGTACTTGTCTAATCTGGTCAATACTTCCAATGTAGCATTATCTTCTTGAGCTGTTGAACAATAAGTAGCTGAACCATTGGTTAATAATTTAGTCAAGTTGCCAAAATAATCATTCAACACTTTTCCAGTGAAATAATTGTCACTGGTTAAGACATCACACTTGACAACTTTGGCATCACCACGAGCAGCAGTCTCATTGTATAATTTTCTAAACTTTTTATTCAATGTATTACCATTGTTTAAAGTAACATTTGATGCTAATGCAACGGCTCTATCTCTCAATTTCTCATTAATTTCAAACACTTCTGTTCCGTAAACGTTTCCCGGATACTCAAGTGGCGATGTGGCACCATATGGAACATACCCTGAAGTCCAATTGGAGTTTGTCTCATGATAATCTTCATAAGCAAGCTGATACTCCAAGCCAACTTGTACAGCATATTTAGCAAATGTAACCCCACCCAAAGTGGTATATTCTGGCTCACCACCGGCAATACCAGCAATCAAGAAATATGTCTTTGTTAAATCAAATAGCGGGTTTAAAGTTAAAGCAGTAACGGAACTAGCAGCATTGATTTCTCCTTCACCAGTAGTGACTTGACAAATGGTGTAGTTTGTGGTGCAGTGGATTGTTGGGTATACTGGAGACAAGCCCGGGATGGTAATATTGTGGACAAAGTCCATTGCTTTCAACCATGGATCTCTTTCAAGCTCAAACATGGACACGATAAATGCCTTTGGTTGGTATACTGCAAATGGTTTCCCATACGCTGTTTGGATGTTATTGTTGGAAGTGTCAAGGACATCTTCTTCTAAAGCTGTTGAGTTAATTTCACGCTTGAGAATGGGTGTAGATATAGCTGTTGCTATTATGGAAGCAAGTGAAATGCTAGCTGAAAACTTCATGGGATCTGTTGGTTGTTTGAAGAACGAAGAAAGTACACAGAAAGCGCAAACATGGTTGACTTTATATACAACGATTCAGCTCGTACCATTTGTTCGCACGGCAAATTCAAGTCTTCCATCACTGAGTCACATCCATTGTTTATTGCTTGAGATGAGGTCCATAGCTTTTGTCTGTATATATTCTGTGTAAAGATGAGCTGAAATTTTTCGCCTAAAGTAGCCAATTTGTAAATAAGAACACTGTCAAAAAGGTGCGTTTGTGTAACGTAATTAAGGTCCAATTATTAATCAAAGATAAGGAGTTAATTTTATGAAAAATTATCTTGCCTGGGTAATTTCTGGTATACGCTTTGCAGAGAGAAGGAACTCTTTTGGTTGCTAGATTCACTCAACATTTGTGCTCTGAAGTACTTTTCTGGTCTACTAGGGTGTCGATTTGATCACAATTATGCAACAATTTTGCCACAACTTTTACTCAATGTAGTGAAGATCTCAATTCGTGACTTTTGGTCTTTTTTGGTATCAGCACCATCGAAGTTGTAATACCACCCCCGCGGATGAGCCGACAGGCACCCGCTTTCTCATTGCAAGGCAATATACTCAAGCGGCTTTCACCTTAGAAAATTACTCATATCTTATCGGTACTGCTGCAAAGCGGCAAATACAAAACATGCAGGCAGGGGTCTATAAAATCGAAATCTACAATACCTTGCATTTTCAATATCTATCATGATGTTAGTAGAGCCCACAAGAAACAAAAAAGTATCTGAAGTACATAATTGATAGATATTTTGAGCTGTCGCAACATATACAAAGATAAAATACAAATCTACTCATTGGCTAGCTCAACCCACTAGTCAACTCATTCATAATTTCTAGCGTCAGCTTGTCTTTGCTTATTTGAAACTGGTTTTGTCCAGCTAGATAAAACCCAATATCTGGACCTCCATTGGAGCTAAGCTCCCCTTTTAGTTTCTTGTATGCATCATAAGCATACCCATATGGTGGCAACTCCAGTAACTCAAATCGATTTGACTTGACAATATCATCAATGAACGGGGTCCTTATGCATCGTGCTGGTTTACCGGAAATCAAAGCTGTCATCACCGTTGATTCTTGACCCAATAACTTGCTGTAAAATTTTGAAGTTGCTGATTCTGGAGTTGCTAAGAATGCAGTACCTATTTGAACTGCATCAGCGCCATGATCTAAGTAGTGTTTGACTGAGTTGGCAGTGGTGATTCCACCAGCAGGAACTATGTAAACGGCATCATTACCCAAATTCTGTTTCACTTTATGGAAAAGTGCTTGTGTTGATAAATCTTCATCTAAATGGGGTTGAAACGAGTCCAAGAATTGTCCTCGATGACCGCCAGCTTCGATTCCCTGAAGAATGATACCATCAAATCCATTCTTGCTTAAATGGAGAGCTTCCTTCAAGGACGTAGCGGTACCAAACACTAACGAAAACTTTCTCAATTCATCAATTGTGTTATTCGAAGGAATACCGAAATGAAAACTTATGATGGCCGGTTTGATTGATTTTAGTTTCTCAATCAATTTTTCAAGTTTCTTTTGATCCTCCTCCACTTCTTTGAATGATACGTTACCATTGGAAAACTTTATAGTATCAATAACATTTTTAAATTTTGTATCAATGACTCCATCATTATATAAGGTTTTCCAATTCTCCACTTGTAATTGACCCGGAGCCAGTTCAATCTCATGACAGAAAAAATTCAAATTGACGGCATTGGTACCGGCAGATGCAACCAATTTATCCAATTTATCAAATGATGTTGAATCATCACGAGTGAAGTCCAATGGCGCAAGTGGGAGAGCACCAAGTCCACCTCCTGCAGTCACTGCTTTTGCCATCTCTGGGGTTGATACACCCGCCATTGGCGATTGCAAAATCGGATATTTGACATTGAGCTTTTTCAAAAGGGAAGGTCTTGACATTGTAGGTGGAAAGAGTGACGGAATCAGGAAGAGTGATGAAATCACGAAAAGTGTCGTTGCGTTTGGTTGTTGAGATAATTTGCGGTTTTTGCGAGTGAGTAATTCTCCGACTTCGTTGTTTAAAGTCCCGCGAGGAGAAATAAAAACACCGACGCGGCAGAAACGACAATGTTGCGACAATTTCCATTTTCAGCTTTCAAATTTCAACTTCATGGTTGACTCTTGAGAGGCTCTCCTGGCTCTCATTTCTACACTTGGAAGCAAAAAGTGTTCTCTTTGGGTAGTTCAAACAATTGTAACAGTTCCAGAAGAGAAAGAGGACGAAGAAAGCGATAGGATATTGAGCTTCATAACGGTGTATTCACCACAAAGTGAATGTTTGTTGCCAGTCGTGTTTAAACTTCACCCACCCCAAGGGAGCTTGCTGATGTAACTCCTCTTCGACTGACATGTTCTCCAATCGAACAACATTTGACAACTTGAGTTTTCGACTTCCATGTGTGGCGCTTAATTGTAGAAAAATGTGGTACAATTTGACACAGTCATTGCCGTGCTTCCACATCGATATTCTGAATGCGGCTGAAAGATGCTTTTGAGCATGATCTAACCTCAGGTCATCAGCTCTCCTACAAGCCATAATCAAGCACTTAGGATTGTATAAACTCGCTTTTACCGGAGTTCATTGTTCTCATTTTATTTTTTTTTTTGTTGTGAGAGAGTAAGCACAATTTTGTTGAGTATTATTGGACGTTGATTTTTCACCCGAAGTTGACACCACAACCACACCCACTGACTACACCAGGTCTATTTAATGTCTACGTTCAGATGTGCTATTAATGAATGTGTGTATATTAAAAATAAATTAAAAAGGCAATTTCCCTTCAACAAGCATCAAAAGTTGTTCTTGTAGTAGTAAGCACCAGCAACGGCCAAAAACAATACAACAGCGACCAAAGGTACATTGATTCCCGAACTTTCTTGTGCATATGACTCTCTAGCTTTATGTTCAACAATCTTACCTCCTTTCAATATACCGACTTGTAAACGAGCCAATATTTCGTGAGCTTCATCTGAATGGCCGATATCTTCAAAAGCTTCGGTAGCATCAGTTCCAGCAACATCCAAAATAACTTCTTCTCCACCAGGGTGTTCATCTATGTAGCTTGATACGTTGTATACTTTACCATTGATGACTACCCAGACATCATCATGAGTAGTGTGTTTGGAAATTTCATCAAACTCGTAAACTTTAGTTGATACTGATTCTGTTTCTGACATGTTGTTTAAAAGTGAGTTGTGTAGCTTGTGGTTGATTGGATACTATTGTACAAAAAGACTCTAAGGGTATATCTCTATCCTGTTATATGTAGATCAGCACAGTGTTGATTGCAAGAGAAGAGGGTTCAAAAACGAATGGAATTGAAATACGATATTTTTTTTTTATATCTCCTCGTTTACAGCCACCCAAAAACAGGAAAAACAAAAATGAGAAATGTTGACAAAGAAAAGAAATAGGGTAAGTGGTAGCGTGTGTATGGACATCAAAGATGACAGTTTTATGGTTATTTAGTTGGAACGTTTCCAACAGTAGAAGGTAATCCATATTAGCTTCTATTTGAATTACACTCATAACCCTACCCCAGAATTGTGTTCTTAGTGGAATAGTGGCGTGATAACATTCTATAATGGATCGTTCTATATTATCACAAGCAGATCAAACTCAACAACCCTCACACTTCTCTTTCTCAACAGAAAATTAAAAAAAGACAAAAAAAAAATTTATCACAGGGGTGTTTCTTTTCTAAACAATGGAAAACTAAACATAAGTCCATACATATAAGCACACACTACACACTACACATTACGCACTACACACTACACCCTACACATTACACACTACACATTACACAGACACATTACACACTACACATTACACAGACACACTACAGACATACAGACGCACTACACTGTGTGGGAACTGCAACTTTTTTTTCTTTCTTTTTTTTATTTTCATTTTCATTGCCCCACTTTTGTCACATGTACAATCTCTTAAGTCCGTTCATTGAGATGGAACACCAATACACTGCACGTAATGTAAGTATAACGGAGTTAAGGTACTCTGGTCTAAATTTCACGCATTATTCACTTAAACAGGTAGAGGGTGGGGGGGGGGAAGATTTACTTAAAAGAGTCAAAAGAATCAAATCATTCTCTACGCACACTTTACTACACTTTTATTATCTCACGGTGCACATTTTCAATTATGGACATTTATTCCGCAAATATTCAATTTATCCGACAACTCTTTATGCTGCATTCAATAATGCACATAAATCATAATCTATGCCTTTATTCTTTAACTCTTCAACTTTATTCCTTTTTGATTCTTCAAATTTCTGTACTATAATCTCCCATTCTTCTTTGGTCTTGGGGTTATCATGTTTATCTTTAACAATTTTGTGAATTGGTACAACTTTAAACTTACGATTAGCATTTTTGAATACATCCTTGTGTGGGTTTTCAACATACTCGCATCTAAGCAAATGTCCAAATAACAAGTAATTATTCATTGTTTCTGCGGCTATTTTGGCAACTTCGACAGACTCAAATTCAATATAGGCAAAATGTTTTGATTTACCCGTTTTCTTGTTACGTGACAAAATCAATTGTTTGATTGGACCAAATTGTTGAAAATATGTCCTTAATTCCGATTCTTGAAATCCTTGTGGGAGCCTACCTATATATACGACACCAGTTTTGACAGATTTTGATTTGTGGCTGGCGTCTGAAGATGCTGTCTTTGATATCACCTTATTTACTCTGTGTCCTGATGCATTTGGTTGGATTGATTGTGTTATCGTTTCTTCTTCTGAAAGGTCCTCGTCATCATCACCATCATCTTCATCTTCATCGTCACTTGATAACCCATAAACTTGTTCTTCTTGCTCGTTTTCCTCCTCCTCCTCTTCAGACGATGACGAGGGTAATTGCAAATCTTCCTCTACCTGATTAGCTGGTGGTTGCTCCTTTTGCACTTTCGAATCATTTGATTGCTTCAAAGAAGCTTGTTTCACAGTTGATTGTTTCTTGGCCATAGCAGATATATCGATATAATTGATTGAAAATGATTTCGATGCTCCTTTCCAATCCACAAATAAGTTTTTCCTTTTTTTTTTTTTTTTTTATTTTTTATCGCGATGAGTTTTTGAAAAATGTGTCGCGTAAATACACAGCAATAACAAAACACGACACTTCTGCTTCTCTCAACCAACAGCTTCTAGCAATAGAGAATACGTGTTCGTAGGCAACCCAACAACATTGTAGTAGTCCCCGGATATCTTGTCAAACAATAAGCAGCCCAATTGTTGGTATTTAAACCCACCGGCAACTTCCAACCCTTCACCACTTTCTATATAAGCTCGAATAATGTCTTTGTTGTCTGCCTTGAATGATAGCTTGGTTACAGCGTGGTCTTGATACTCAGACACAATACCATTGTTCAATTTGAGCACGGTTATCGCCGAAATCACTTCAATATCTTTATGAGTGTCAAAGTATTCAAAAAATTTTGCTTGTTTGGACTGTGTCATTGGTTTTTCAAATATCTTGCCATTGCAAGTGACTATTGTATCACAAGTAAGAATTAGAGTTTCACTTTGAAAAGTGTCGCTGTGGGCTTGGTATATCGCCTCTGCTTTTTTACGACTGGTTAACTGAACATATTCCAATGGAGTTATTTGGGATTTATCTAAATCTTCTGGGAAATTGGAAGCCGAGATGGTGAAATTGGCGACCCCAAAGTTTTGCAAAAGTATTTGTTGCCGCCTTGGTGATGTTGATCCGAGGATTAAGTTGTACTTTTCAAGCTTTTCATTGAGCAAAGTGTTGAATATCATTTTGATGATAGTGGTGACAATGTTCTACTGTAGTAAACTGAGCGAGTTGAACCCCTTACGCGTATTCCGATGTAGTTTGCTACTCCTTCCCCTTTACTCGTCATTTTGATAGCAAAAATCAAAATTGTCACGAAAAATTTTGAGAGTTTCAACTTCAACAACTAATCTCACACGACAGAACCTCCATAGAAAAACAGTGGATGTTAGTTACTAACCTGATCTCATACCATTTATAGACTTGCCCAGCATTACAAATACATTTAAATGAAGCTCCTATACAAGTCAAAACCCAGAACGGTGGTATTGTATTCCGACACATACAGTCTTACATTTAGGACATCAACGAAACAAACAAATGCTCCAAAACCAACCGTCAATTTAGAGCTAGTACCCAACAGTAACATTACTCCAGAAGCTGGGTTTCGCACTTTACTCCGAAGAGAAGTTTATGGCTGTTTAGGTTTGATTTACGTCGACAATCAAATATTTCTTTCGGTGATTACGGGAGCTTTAACCAATGTTGCCCGCCCCATTAAAGATGAAACAGTGGATAAGATTTACTCAGTTGATTTTGTTTCTTTAAACAATAGTGAATGGGATTTTGTTGAATTGGATTCGCAAGGATACCCAGTGGTGACCAACGATGATGATGACGATGCAAGGTACAATCGTGTACAACATCCATGTTTTGAGTTTAAAAAATTGTTGTCCAACGGATCTTTTTACTACTCAAATGACTTTGATCTAACATCAACTTTACAGACCAGAGGCGTCAATGAAACGTTAGACGAGTTGAACCATTACAGTCCACTGTACATGTGGAATTCGTTTTTGGCGGATGAAATGATACAATTTAGGTCCAACTTGGATAGCAACAACCGGTCAGTGTTGGACGATAATCGATTCCTAACCACCGTTATTCGAGGGTTTGCCAAGACGGTACCAATGGGACGTCAAGATTCAATCACAATCATTTCCAAACAGTCGTGGCGTAGAGCAGGAACTAGATACAATACTAGAGGAATCGACGATGACGGGAATGTGGCCAATTTTGTTGAAACTGAATTCATCTATTACAACCCATCGAAGAAATCCATTTTTACTTACACGCAAATTAGAGGATCAGTACCGACATTTTGGGAGCAGGACTCCACCTTGATAAATCCGAAAATCACCCTTACTAGATCCCCAGAAGCAACACAGCCGATGTTTAACAAACATTTTGCCGAAATTGGAGAACATTATGGAGTTTGTCACATTGTGGACTTGTTATCAAAGACAAAATCCTCAGAAGTGCAATTATCCAACAGGTATAAACAATTGTATAAAAATTGTGATCGTAGAGAGGAGATTGAATACACTGCATTTGATTTTCATGCCGAAACTAAAAATGCAGGGGGGTTTGCTGGTGCAACAAGGATTCTTCCCAAGTTGTACGATTCAATGCGTGAATTTGGCTACTTCTCATACGATTTGGAACAAGATCTGGTCATAACCAGACAAGACGGGGTGTTTAGAGTAAACTGCTTGGACTGTCTAGATAGGACCAATTTGATTGAACAGGTTATTTCGAGAACTGTTTTTGAAAACATCCTCAAACAACAAACCGCATCTCATGGGAACCAAGGACGGGACCACGCAATGATTGAAAATTTTATATACAAGCATAACGAGCTATGGGCTGATCATGGTGATGCTATTTCACAAATTTATACTGGAACGAATGCATTAAAGTCGTCATTTACGAGATCGGGAAAGATGAACTTAGCGGGTGCGTTGTCAGATGTAACGAAATCGGTTTCGAGAATGTATCAAAACACATTTATTGATGGCAAGAAACAGTCAACAATCGATTTGTTACTAGGTGTTGGTGGCCCACAATCTAAGAAAGTTAAAATTTACGATCCAGCTAGCGATTATGTCACTGCTCAATTGGAACAACAATCACGTGTCTTCACAACTGATGCAAATATCAAAGTGTTTACCGGTACATACAATGTCAATGCTCTAGAACCGCTGGCAAATATCGACTTAACTTCATGGTTATTCCCACCGGAGAATGAATCAATGCCGGACATTTATGCCATTGGGTTTCAAGAATTGATTGAATTGAATGCAGGGTCATTCTTAGCTGGTGATGTCACCAAACCGCAAAAGTGGGCTGCTGTTTTGAATCAACAACTAAACTCTCAACGAGAACAATATGTGCTTTTGAGAACTGAGTCGATTGCATCAATGTCATTATTCTTGTTTGTCAAGAGCTCATCCATTCAACATGTGACTCGTGTTTCTGGATCATCGAAAAAGACTGGATTGGGGGGAATTGCTGCAAACAAGGGTGCATGTGCTGTTAGATTTGAATACGGCGCTACATCATTTGCATTGATTACATCACACTTAGCCGCGGGGACTACTGCTATAGCTGAACGATTCAATGATTACACCACTATTATGCAAGGTATGGTGTTTACTCGAAACTATTCGATTCATGACCATGATCATGTTATCTGGTTTGGTGATTTGAATTATCGTATTGATTTGCCCAATGGACAATGCCGAAACTTGATTGAAAATGGCGCATTCGATGAACTTGCCAAGAAGGATCAATTGAAGTTGGAAATGAGAGATAAGGGAGCATTTCTGGAGTTTAACGAGGGTGCAGTCAAGTTTTATCCTACTTATAAATTTGACAAGGGAACTTCCAATTATGACTCGTCGGAAAAGCAACGAGTTCCATCGTGGACAGATAGGGTGTTGTATCTCAGTTTGAAGAAGAAACGTAATGATTTAAAACAATTGAATTATAATTCAGTCATGGATGTATATCTAAGTGATCATAAACCAGTATATTCGACATTTGCAGTCAAAGTTGAATTTATTGACAAGACCAAGAAATCAGCCATGGCTAAAGATTTGTACGATGGGTACAGGAAAGAACATGGCAACTCATACGATTTAGTGTCGTTGAACACATTATCGCCAACTCCATCCACAAAATCCGTTTCTTCATCAAACAAGAATGACAATTTTGTCAATGATGCATTGGCCGATTTGAATTTATTGGATGATTTTGATCCTCATGCACCTAGTTTACCAGCAAGACCTAACTTCAATGCAACTGCACCTAGACGCGTGCCTCCCCCACCAGCAAGCAGAAAGACTACGTCAACATCAACATCAACATCAGTATCACCACCAACAAATCAGACAAATGCTTCTTCTACACAGGTGCCTCGTAAATTGCCACCATTACAAGCACCACTCCCATTGAATGGGCAATCAAAACAACAACCATCTACATCGCAATCTATTGCACAAGGATCACCAAAACCAATGAAAGTGCCAATTGGATTTTCATCGTCACCATTGATCCCTAGTCGCTCTAATCTGAACTCACCATCGGTGTCAAACTCACCGGTATCCACTCCAAAACAGTTGGACAACAATAAAGTGGCAAAGCCTCATCATCATAGTGAGTTGAAACCAATGGTGCCTAGCAAACCATCATCTTTATCTTCATCAAAATTGAAAACGGCAGAAAATCATGATAGTGATGAGGATGCAGGAGAAGCAGACGCAGTAAAAAGTAATGGAACAGGACAATCACCACCACCACCTCCTCCTCCTGTTAGTCGTGCCATGAGAACCATGTCTGATTGGCAACCTTTAGTACCAAAATAAATAGCATAGGTGAAGGAGAAGGTTATAGATTTACGTTGAAATGTAGTCGTAATGGAGAAGGGCCAGTATCGTCTTAAAAGGAGACGATGGGTGTAGAGCATTTTTATTGCTGATGGTCATTCTTGATTGTCCTTGGACCGAGAACTTGGACCGGCTTATGAATAGAGTCGATCAGTCTACACCCAAGCAAACCCTCACTCACTCTTTATAAACACGTTCACTACTCACTCGTATATTAAATTTTGCTCCTTCTCAATGAAAAAAGTTTATTTCCATCGAGAATGTCCATTGGTGCTACTAATTCAAAAGAAGATAAAGTCTCGAAAAGCGCAAGGATATATTCGTCAAATTAAATGAGGAGTAAAGTGAAGTTGGCTGTAAAGCAAACATAAGAATGGAAGGAGGGGGGAGGTTCTTGAAGTACTATCAATCGAAACAAACCCGGAAACCCCTATCTTCTTTGAATCGATTGATACAATTTTCAAATGCAAAATGCCTCCAATGATGCCACTCAGTGCTAACCGAATATCATCATGAATGGCACCACGGCAAAGACAAGTTATGAGAGCCAAAACCATGTACCCGCTAGACACAATAAGACCCTAGGGAATACCTAATGAATGTCTTATACTGTGAGATTATACGAAGAGACATGATAAATTAATTCAATCACTTGAAAAAAGGAAAAAGAAAACTGACTTGATAAACCTCTTTTTGCATTGGGTGGAAAGAAAGTGTTCTGTTTGTGCCCTCTTTCCCTAGTGTTGCAAAAAGTGTGGAAAAAAAGGGGGGAGGAAGTTACAAAATAGGGGTTGAAAGTGTTCGTACATGATTACGTAAACACATCCTACCCCAAAGAAGTTACCACCGTTTGTTACACATGACAAGCACGAGGAAAGTACTACTCGGCCAGATTGACCTTAGGATATATTACTTTGCTTATCAGACTAATAACAGATACCTAGTCACTCAGCATTGATGTAATTGTCAATGCTCAAGAATGACACACTCTTGAGGGAAACTCTGTAGCAGAAGAAAGGAACAAAGTGCATATACAGCCACACTGGATTGCAAACCCCAAAGAACAAATTATCAAAATACAAAAAATGACTGACAACTTACATATTCACAATAGTCGTACGCTATAAACACCATTTATTATAACATTTGATTCTATTCAAGTTGTAGCCAATTCATTAATTGCACAAACTAACTTGAATAATGCAATACAATTGAATGAATCCATATCGTAAAAAGTGTTCCAAAAATTATCTTTCATGCGTTTGATAACTAAGCAATTGTCATGTGAAGTGATAAAAGAATTAAAATATAAAATCTCATAACAAACTCCATTTGCAGCAAAATGGGCACAAAAATATTCCTTCAAGTAATAAATGATTCTAGCTTAACCTCTATCTCATATTACTGTGAGGTTGTTCTGCATCTTGAAACTCTCAATGATCTTGGGTCTTGTACCAGCATTGAGCAATGCAAATTGGTAAAGTACCATTTAAAGAGCTTCTGAAAAGGCCAGCCAAATCAAGCCACACCCCTGGATGAGCAAAAAATTACTATCGAGTGCATGGATGTAAATGCGATTGTGGTGCGAATTCTAAACTCTCAAGACCGAATCTAAGATATCAAGCTTCTTGTCAGTAGGCAATTCAACACTAAACCAGTGCATTAGCTTAGTAGAGTCCATACATTAAGATGGCCAATGGACTATGTCATGGTAGCCGGTAATTTCATAGCAGAAAGGAAAAGAAAAGCGGGGGGGGGGGTATGTTTGTACATGTTTGATTTTTTTGATGCCGGAGATTTTCGGTTGTGGCTATTTATACTATTTTGTGTTGCAAGAATACAATTTTCCCAATAATATTGTACAACACTATTGTATTTTTGTGACGTTCAAGACCTATTTCCCTTGGCCAACAAAGATCTACTTTCTCTTCTTTCCGAACTCTATCTCAGGCAATGGTAAATCAGCTGGAACAATATACGAGTTCAAACGTGTAGCAGTACCAGCAAACCCATTATACCATGCAAAAAATGCCGTTATAACTCCAATTACCCCACCCCCACGAGCAACTCCCACTTTGCCCGTCATTTCAGCACAAGCTAACAATATAAACGTCAAGTCCAAGAACAAAAACATTAAGAAAGTAGCCAATGTCGATTTCAACGTCAACACGACAATAATCAGGGTCCAAATCACCCATCCTAACAAAAACAACCCAGCGGCATTGCCAAATTGATCAGTTCCCTCATAAGCAGCAAGAATGCCAAACAGTTCAATGAAAAAACAAGCATAACCAAGCCAGAATCCACCATATGAAGTCAATGCAGTGAAAGCAAATGTGTTACCCGTGGGGAACTCAAGCAATCCAGCCAACATTTGGGCAACAGCACCGTAAAAGCACGCCAATGTGACCGCAACGTTGGGGATGGTTATACCCATGGCTTGAGCATTATATAAACCGAGAACAAAACAGCTTAAACCAAACCCACATAGTCCTAGTGGTGATGGGTTTATATTGAATTTGGGGTACGGTCTAGCTCCTGTGTCTAAGGACCCACCAAATGCTGACATCAACTCGTGACGGTGATAGCTTTGACCACCAATAGTGACTAACTCATCTTTATCGCCATGAATGTGAATTCTTGTTATAAAATGATGCTTTTTATGTGGGTGCTCTTCAACATGTGAAGTAGTTGGTTTATCAAATTCTTGTGATGATGATGTGGACATTTCTTGCGTGATTGTGTTATGTAAAAACAAGTTCTTCCTTTATCCACAATGGCTCCAGTGATTCATAGATGTTTCCTGCCTCTATTTGTACATTTTCAATTACAATTGAAGCTTAGTGGTGAACCTCCAACACCCCTCTCTCTAATCTTCTGAACTAACTTGATTAATCGACAAGTCCGACTTGAAGAGAGCGGGGGTTTACTCCACATCTCAGCAACGCAGTGGCTTTAAAATGCAATCAGTGGTGAGAACGAAAACACAAAACCATCAAACCAGCATTAAAGATAGCACCCAAAACATTGAACGAAAAAAAGAAAAATGAGCTGAGATTGCATATACTCGTTAGACCGAATTATTTCCCAAAGTCTATATTCAAATCAGTTGATATATCAGCTAAACTAAAAACTAACCTTTCTCTCGAGAACAATCGCAATGGCAAATAGATGAGATATAGCCACGTCAGTTTGTACAAGTAGAACACACTCCAAAGTCCTTTTGGACTTCTTGTGGGGAGCATATGCACATCATGCGCCTATCACCAATCATTCACTTCACACATAAATGCAGACACAAATGAACTTGCAAAAACATTTTTCACGAGATTTAACTTCAACCCTTTGCCAAGAATTTGGGACTCCAAGTGTCAAAATAGTGTATTTTTTATACCTTTTTCCAAAACTTTGTTTCTGAAATCATAAAGAAATGCATACTGCCCTTCTCCCCCACAGATCCATTCCATCGAAGGTGAAGAAATAATATCATTCAAGTATTGTTAAAGACAATTGTTTATTAGTTTCTTCGTCTCATCGTATATACAGGTAAATGAGCATTAATTTAATGTTTATCGTATTCTAATTGACATACGATAGCTCTATCATCCTTCTCCTATTTCCTGAGAAAGTGGCGTGCATATCGTGATGGGGGGATAACTAACTTTTTCTTTTTTTTTCTTAGACCAAATGCGCATTGAATGCACCCCCCAAAAAGGAAAGTCAATTTCGCTAGGGGGGAGGGGGGACTTCTAGCACAAGGCATTCTACTCTTGACTGATTCGAATGTAGATAAGCTTACAGGAGCATTCATATATGAGTGCTAATTTGGCGTATCTGGTACAAGTTTAATCAATGTTTCGTTATGAGAAATTTACGAAGACTCTTTTTGCGTGTAACAAAAGAACTCTCGGTCGGAGTGATATCGAGAAGGAAGTTGCCAATATCAGCCACTTAGACAGATTGATTATTTAAGCGGGTACTGTCAATTTCTTATATACTAGCTCTCTGAGCAAGCTTGTGCCAACTTTCTCGAGCTAGATTATGATGTGTAGAATACAAGTGTGATCAGGTAAATCCAGACTTCAACGCGTGTGAGACAAGCTACAAACCGCCTCCATCTCATGGAAGTTCTACTACGAGGTGATACACAAACTCACAGTTAGAAGCTTACTCCTGTAGACTGTAATATTTAAGAAATTGAGGTCCATACTCAGCAAAACTTGATCCGATGAACACAACAAAATAAAACATGTGGCCTCTTTTCTCCGACAATATCATGCAAAATATTGTTTTGCAAAATTTTTCACTAGTGTGTGTTTTGGACAATACCACTTGAGAAAAGCCAGATACCACCAGAAACCCAGTAGCCGCAAATGCTTCAGATGTGCCTTGTGCGTCCTAAGGAACTGTTATTATGTAGTATAGTTGGCATTTGCTGAACTTCAATAACTCGCTGATATCTTGGACTCTATAAAGCCATATTTTTCCGTAAATCGAGACCAATGAAACACAATAGTGCTGTTAGATATGCCATTAGCTATATACTTCCTCTTGGGTTTGGCAAGACATATGAAGTGGAAAACAAAAAAAAGAAAATATTTGGCTTTCTTTATATATTGTTTTTGTAAAATAAAAAAAAAAAAAAAAGGGGGGCAAGGAAGAAGGGTATGTGTTTGTGTAATTGTAATTTAGTTTTCTTTGCCCCTCCCCCCCCCAATGAAAATATACGTAACAAAGATTACACATCATCACCACCACCCACCAAGAAAGTCATCAAGTGTAGCAACATTGACATAACAAAAGCATATACACCACTCTATGCTCTCTTCTGAGTAGGACACTATACGATGGGTATGGTTGTCCCAAGTAAAGTATATATTTTCTCTCCAATGATGTCGTTCAAATTAGCCTTCACCGGCAAAAATGGTTGGTTGTTCTTGAACGATTTCTCTTTTAAAAAAAGACTCAATTGTAATTACAAGCGCCCCTTCAAAATATCATCATAATTTGGAAAAATAACAAATAGCACAACAATTAAAAGAATTTTCGAGGAGAATTCTATGAGGTATGAATTGAAAAGTGGAAAGTGGTGGAATTTGCAACTGTATTTGTACCATCCTCTTTTTATTGCTATTGTAGGGTATTGGCTACTACTCACCCCCATAGAGCTTGCACAAGTCCGTCCCCACCCCCCTTCCTTCCATGCACTCGTAGACACTGACACTGACACTGACACAAAATTGAAAATTACAAAAAATAACGAGAAAAATAATTGTCGGGTCGTTTTACATGTAATTTTATGGTAAGACACTAAAAAAGACAATATTGTAATCAGTAGCAAGAAGAAGATCATAACCTTTGGGGTCAGCTCAGAACGAAAGTGGTGCTCTTTTGGCGTAGATACGAACATAACTGATGGAAACCTATAGCTTAGAGGGCATTCTTATCTTACAAGAAGAAAGCGTACATATGAGTAAAAAGAGGCGGAAGTAGGTAAACTGTTGTGCGTGCTACACACACGTACCACTAATATAATATTCATCAATGATTAAGCTCCAACAACACAGAGTAATCATTTTCAACAATTTGCTACAAGACTGCACCACGTATTCATAAACTCATCAAATAATATTATAATATAAACAAAGTAGATATTTTCAAGAGTAGACCCAATAAACACACTATATACAATCAAAGAAATGTTTAAATCGAAAAATAAAAACCACTTATTAGCATGACCAACGCAACCTAGTTAAAAAGTCTTAAGAAAAGTTCTTCAACAATTCCAATCGGAGTTCTCTTCTTTCCAACTCACGTTCATTAACAAAGGATTCATCACCGTCCTCTTCTTCAGCTCCATAACCGTAATCATAATCAAAACTATAATCAAATTCGCCACCTTCATTATTATTTGCATTGTTGTTATTCACTTCACTCTCATACATGTAGTTGTAATTCAATGGAGTGATGTAAGTTACATCTTCGTCTTCCAATTCAATTTCATTCGAACCCAACATTGAATCAAAAGATATAATACTTCCCATTTCATCATCTTCGTCATAGTTATAGCCATTCATATCAAGACCAGCATCGAGGCTATAATTGTGCGCATGGTGTTCACTGTTTGTTGCAGTAAATGCATCATATGAAGTTCGGGCTATATTCGATAGTATTGACGATGGAGCTGATGATACAGTTGATGAGGTTTCGTCAATGTCAAATGTAGCTTCTGATTCAGCTGTTGGTTCTGTTTGTTCTGTTTGAGTAATTGAGCTAGTCTGCTGCTGAGGTGGTTGTTGTTGTTGTTGCTGTTGCTGATGTACAGAAAATGGCTGAGGATGTATGTTGATATTTTCTTCATTAGGTTTAGTTGTTTTACTGGTCTTGCACCATGATGAAGATGTAGTAGCTGTTGTTGTTGCACTATCATTTGATCTTATTCTCTTTGCAGTTGATTTTAATTTAGTCAAGAATGATGATGTACGAGTAGGCACTCTGGGTCTACTTTGTTTGTCATTGGTAGTTTTACTACTACCACTCCTTTGTAATTGACCATTCTTGATAAAGCAGTGTTGACTTAGCAGTGTGGATGAGTTACCAGTAGCTGTCATCTTGCTGTTGTTACTGCTACTGTTTGATGATGATGCATGCGACTTGTTGGAATGTACAATGACTGACGCAGATGAACCAGATGAAATAGTGGGATATAGTGATGTCAAGTCTGTTGTGGCAGTAGTAGTACCTGTAGTTGTTGTCACTGGTGTTGTTGTAGGTGTAGACGTAGGCCCAAAACTCCCTTTAGGTATAGTTGTCCCCACAGATGATAGGTTATTAGTTCTTGGTTTAAATAATGACCTCATATTCTGCAGCATAAGTCAATAGTGGTGTGTATGTATGTATGTAAGTGTGTGTGTGTGTGTGTGTGTATAGGTGTATAATCGTAGTAGTAAAGCCGTGCAATGATAAAGAATACAATGAGACACCCTGTTCCTTTCTGATAAAATCTGGGGTTTTTAGTTCAAGTGATGATTGTTGTGTTTATATATATATATATATATTTAAACTAAGTCATTGTGGTTATGATATATCTACGGAGTTAAATAGAAAACTTCGGATGTAAAAATGTTTAGTAATAATAAACACCGCAGCCGAAAAAAAAAAAAAAAAATTAGAAACTATTCGTAATTGATTACCCATTTTGTTCCTCACTACTCTGCTATACTGTCATCATTACTAATATATATACCTTCGCCATTATATTAATGACTCAGTCAAAGGGAGAGTGACTAATCATCATTCGTAGTAATCAACAGTACCACTACAGTACCACTACAGTAGTTACTACAGTAGTTACTACCTAGTTATCAATAGTGGCGATTTTTATGTATTGTACTTTTACATAATTTTTTGTCTTGTGATTTTAACTATCAATGATGATGGTCATAACACAATAGAAACAATAGATTAACTACCACATTAGTATTGAAACAATGTTTTGAAACAATGTTGCTCAAATTAGGCTTTTGAGTGAGACAATCCATAGAAGCTTTAGAGCCATTGTTCTGTATATATTCGGCTTTAAAATTACTAAACCACCCTTTCCTTAGACCGAATTATCAGTTTTTGATCGGCCAAGGGAAGGGGGGGGGGGGGGGGGGTCTCTATATACAATTGGCTTATTCGGAGAAAATACCTAAGCGCTTAAAAACACTTTACATTGCTTTTCATAATCCGAAATGTAGGAATGATAAAAACAAAGTTTGCATTTTATGTTTGGTAATAAGAGGTAATAAACTCCGCTTCCGTGTCTTATATTGCCTACTTTCGGTTCCGTTAAAGTTTAAAAAGGAGAAAAATGTTTCTCCGTATATTTCTTAGCATAGAAACAAGGGTAGTATTATTTATATGTTCTATTTTATTCTCTAATTTCATCATCATCATCATCATCATCCTCGGGTGTGCGAAACTTTTCTTTGAGAAATATTATTTTTTTTTTTTCTTCTCTTCGGTTTCGGTTTCGGAGTTTACGAAATATAATATACATAATATACATAATATACATAATATACATAATATATGTGTATATGTGTATATGTGTATATGTGTATATGTGTATATATTGTTAATTTGGTCTCGGATATTAACTACTTACAACCCTAATTCCGAATTAACCCGAAGAAAAAATGGACAAAAAAAAGGGATCCCCGTACTTTAGCCACCCATCCAATCATCAGCCACTCATGTGCCTACACTCGGCTGCAAATTACCGTATGCCTGTGTAAGGCTGAGTCAATGCAAGTCTACGAGAACCATCCCACCCCCTTGTTTCTTTGAGTTTGAGTGACCAATTTTGATCTAATAATAATAATCTCTGTCTAGGCCATGTCTTTTTTTTTTTTTTTCTATCTTTAGAATAACCAAAACATATACACACACACGTATTCATACACATAGCCGCATATACGTATACAAAGCTATATACACACCACAGCATCGACCAAAGTAGAACATACTTAAACTAGCAATGACTCATGGGGTGAAAAAACAAAATATTCAAATTAATTGCTGCTAACTGTCCCTTCTTAATACACCCTTCTCTTCAAATTCCTTTATAGTATCGGCAATTTGTGTCTCCAGTTTAAAATAATGTTGCCTATACCACTTCAACTGTTCAATACTCTCCAAAATATCAGCTTTAGCAGTATGAGCTCCTTTTTTACTGGGTCCAAACTCCATCAATTTGGGTGCATGACGTTGACCAAATTCCATAATTGTTGAAACATCAACTACTCGATAATGCAAATACTCAACGACTTTGGGAAACTGTTTCATCATGAAAAATTTGTCCATATGGATTGAATTGCCAGCTAGTACACCAATGCGTGGTTTAGTTACATACCTTTGTATATATTGCAACAATTGCAGTTCCACTTCATCAGTAGTAGCCTCTGGGTTGGCTAGTACTTTGTCAATTAAGCCTGATTTGGTATGTGTTGTAGTACACCATTCATCCATGGCATCTAATTTCTCCTTGGGGCAGTATACTGTGGTTTCAAATTCTCTATCACCAACTATGTTCAACTGTTCATCAGTTATTATACAACAGATTTCAATAATGACATCGTCTCCCAACACGTCAAGTCCCGTCATTTCACAATCTATCCAAACAAGTGGCCGTTTGGGTAATGATGGAGTTGATGAAAGAAAAGCTTGGAACGACGCGAGTTTGGATGAGGGAGGGGCACTTGAGGTGGAACTGCCAACTGCTGGTGGGGTTGGGTCCAGTGGCTGGAGTTTCGGACTTGTGGGTGATGAAGATGACATTTTGGAGATGTAGCGAAATTGTAAGTGGGCAACTAGTGGTTTGGGTCTGACTTGTCTAGCAGCAATACGTATCATGGAACAGTCTAAAGCTACTCTAGGGTAAACCAATGATTATTTTCCATCGCGTCACTAAAATTTTGGTGAGTTAGCGATCAAATGAAAATTATCACCAACCATCCAACCAGACCAACAAACTCCCCCTCCGATTACAGACTCCTCCTAGACAATGTTAAACACATTCTTATTCTACTACTACCTCATTCACATCCCCATCACAATTCTAATCGATGCATCAGTAATCATCCCCACAAAATACCACACTTTGTTGACAACAACACTACTCGAGTTCCACACATCACAAAACAACGATATCCTCCTCCTCCATCCACAAACATGGTTCAAAACCTTTATCGCCATTGAATGTTTTGTGCAGCTACCTTTGTTTTGCTATTTTGTTGCTCAACATTTACGTCATCAATTGGATGTGGGGTATTACTTGTGGTCAGTGATTTATGGATTCAATGCTAGTTTTACCACTTTCGTGTGTTTGGTGCATATAATTGTTGATGGAAATGGAGTCGAATTTGGATTGAGTCAATCGGAGACTATCAAATTATGTGGCATATATTTGCCATACTTGATTATACCGTTGATCATATTGATTAATGGGTTTAACCACATTATGAAGGGAGATTACAAGGTCAAGAAAGATTAAGTACAGCCCAATTGGGTTTACCAATCAAAGTTATGACCTCACATATACATAATAATACTTGTATTACAACTCCTTGTATAAACACGATTAAAACAATACATAAGCTCACTCATCATGCTTCTCGTCTCGTCTTTCAACACTTCTTCGAACTTTAATGATTCGGTCTTTTTCCTCGGCAACTGCTTCTCTTTTTCTGTCAGCCTCTTCGTCACTATCAACGGCACTAGGAGCAGAAGGAGGCACTGGAACAACCACATCGTGTCGTTCCACATCATCTCGTTCCACATCACCATCATCGCCCACTTCATCTTCATTAACCTTCTTTTCTTTACTTTCACCCTCACCACCGCTACCTCTCCTCTCAATACGATGTCTAGGCCGATTCTCAAAAATAAACTCATAATTAACAATCAACTTCTCCAACACCAAATTAATAAAGCCAAAATTATTAATCAACAACGCTAAATTGGAAGCTTCAGTCAATGCAGGTCCAATGACAGTAGCAATATTCGAACTTGTCATTCTATTGAACTCATTAAATTGGTTCACTTTGTTCAAATGACAAATCAATGATTTCAATGTCGAGAGATTTGTGGGTGGGAGATACTGATACAATGCTGTTTTGTATTGAATCAATTCTGCAACATCATCATCAATAGTAGCACCGGCATTACCACCAACATTGTTTTGCTCATTGGCTCCTTCATTGGCTATGGTTCCCTCTCGTCCATTTCCATTATCATTCCCATTTTGCTTCTCGCTGCCACTCCTTTTGTCCCTATTAATTTGGAAAAATTGTCTAATAACCTCATCAGTCAATAACGCATCCGGCAACTCTCTCAAATATGATTTAACCACCCCAGTCAATACATGCACATCATTCACTCCAGGAGAAATAGTTCCATATCGATCAATACTCAGTTTCAAACTGTTCAAATCAGAAATTGATGAACTAATTCGATAAACTCCAATATCCTTGATTCCAAAAGTTTCAATTTCATTGAAAATCAATTGCAAAAATCGTGGAACCATTGATTGTTCACGGGATGTAACAAAACTCAAGGGGATTCCAAACACCAAGTTTTGATTATTGCTTGTTTTAAGATTTAATATTCTTGAATAAAACCAATGACGATTGGCATAGTTTAATTTGATTAGCCAATCGTTTAAATCATCATCATTGGTGGTTTGTAAAAAGTACTCACCGCCATCATTTGAATCAGAATCGATTTTGAAACCAAAGGGGAGTAAATAGACGGGGAAAATTTTTTTGCTCTTTAATGCAATAACAATGGAGGGTTTTTGCTTTCCTTCGGCATGTATATCGGGGTTGGGCAACTCATTGGCACAAATTGTTTTTTCCATGGATGAAGAAGAGCTAGAGCCTGAACCACCATTGCCACTGCCGCCGCCACCGCCATTATTATTATTATTCCCACCCAGAAGTGAAAACGATTTCGTTTTGGAAAAAATTCCACTTAATTTAAACCTTGAACCAGGATTGGATTTATACGTCAATGATTGTCTTCTCAAGGAGGTGTTTGAAGGCTTGCGTGTAATTGTATGCATATTGCTCGTAGCACTGGCCAAACTTTGCTGATTCAATCCAGTTTTAGCATCACGTTGATTTTTCTTTTGATTGTCAATCATCAAAATACGATGTTGCTCGGCAATAACTTGCTTCAAAAATGGCACACGATCCCGATCATGAACCACCAAGTCATTAGCACGCTTGACAACCAATGATTCATCCAATTTTAACAAAAAATCAAATTCACGTGATTCATTGGTAGAGAAATCCGTCAGTTCACCATTACCACCTTCCATGTCCTCAACACCCAACTCTTTAATCAATTTGAAAATCAAGTATCTCTTGTTAAAATTGATTAAGCCCTTGTGGAATGAAGGGCATTTGTCAATATTTATCAAATTTTCAATAACCCATCCAAAACATGGCAACAACGGTTCAGTTGACTGCAAATCATCAATATCGATATTGGATGGTATCAAATCATCAAGGTTATTAAACTCACTAGGTTTTTGATCCAATGCAGTGGACGCTTTAATCCATAAATGGGCATAAACTCTACTCTCGGGTGAATAAATGACATTTACAATGGCAGTTTCAATGCATGATGGCACGTTACCCATTCCTTCAAATACAAACTGATTATCACTCATTTTTAATTTGGATACTTTTGCCATAATCAATAACGTCTTCATTCTATCGAGTCTCTCCTCACTCGAGATATTAACATCAGTCAACTGGACTAGCAAATATGTTTTGAATCGGAAATACAACTTGAACAATTTGCGGAAAACGATGGGAAATTTTTTCAAAATCAATTGTCGTTCAGTTGGAGAAACCAATGTTTCAAAAAAATTAAACACATTGGATATAATCATTTGATCCTCGGGGACATTGGTCTTTTGTAAATTGAAATCAAATAATGCATTTAATTCAAATGAATTTTCCAAAATTTTAAACACTTTGATCCAATCCTCGGCTCGAATCCCCTTGTAGAAAACCGTCAATAATTTATTGAACTTGTTAAGGAATTTCTCAATTTTGTGAATGTTTTTATGACTAGGGAGGTTTCGATTCACTGGTACTTCATGCAAAGAATTATTGAAACGAAATTCATTAATCAAATAGTTGTTAAATTTGGTAATCTCAATGGGACGATACGTCTTTTTCACAAATATCTTTTTCAATTTTTTGTAGTAAGTCACCAAACTCTCAAATGATTTTTCAAGTGAAGCATCAATTTTGTTTGAATTGTACCATTGTAAAATCTCATTACTAAACAACTTCAACAATTTAATCAAAATGTTCTTGTTGGCTAAATTTAATGAAAAGTTGGAGTAGAAACTGTTAATCAAAACAATCAACACTTTCAAGATATTGATCTGAATCTTTAGCAATAACTCATAATCAACCTCGCCCAACTCATTGAGATCAATCTCCGGATCCAAATCCCAATTGGGGAAATCAACGGGCAAGTTTGGATGTGTTGGATTTGATTCATGATCGACATCGGCGCGTTTCAAACTGCTTTTTTTCATCAAATAATTCTTCTTCATTACTGATAACACCGCATTCCCGGAATTGACAAAACGATGAGCAAGTTTATCCAACAACTCCTTTGTCGTCATGAATGAATTGTAATTCAACAAAAATACAAATCGGTACTCAGTTAAATCCAAGTGTATATCCTCATGGAAGTACTTTCCTTCCAATAATAACAAATCAATGAGCTTGTCCACTGTGGCATACTTGGGGATAAACTTGTACAATTTTCTCATATTTGTTCCCTCGGTCAACATTGAGCTTCTGTTGTCTAATCCACCCCCACTAGTAGATCGTCTATGTCTATGACTACTCATTTTTGGTGACATGGTGAGATTATTGAACTTGTCGGAGTTGAGAATATCATCAACATCGATGCCCAATCCAGGAATGTCATCATCATCATCAACTCCAGCAACGTAATCCTCAACCACTGAATTGAGCCCACCGGTACTCGTTTGATCAGCCATATCAGCAACAAAGTCATCAACCCTAAACGTCAACTCATCGTCAATAACAAAATTGTGTTTGTTGACACTAGGATCAAGTGGTAAATGTTTATCTTCCGCTGATGCGAGCTCGTCATACTTGAGTAGATTCAACCGGAAATACATATTGTTGAATGTGGGTATCCTTGCTGTTGGTGAAAAATCGGTGGAAAAGCCCCCCTCACTGGTCGTTGTAGTTGCCAGTGACTCCACTGAATTTATTGACACGCCAGAAAAATTACCAGTTTTCAAACGTAACAAATTGTGGGGATTTGGGGAGCTAATCGATGCTGAATTGTGTAAATATGCTTCTGGTAAATCTGGCTCCAATTGAAGCGACAATGACATGATATTTTCCAAATTCATTGAGTCACAATTCAATTCAATCAATCTCAACAACTTATTTTTCAAATCAACACGTTTGGCATTTTCAGCTGCAGTCAATTTACGTTCCGATACCATCAACTTGTCATTGTCACTGGCATTATTGTTATTAGCACCAAGGTATAACACTTGGTTCAAGCTTTCATTGGAGAATATGAATCCCATTGTATCATACCTCCGCAATACGTCTTCATTGTACTTGATGATTTCATTGAAATTGGAAAGGTTTGACAAGTAGTCGTTCCATCGATCAAATGAGTAATTGATCCTTTTCCATATCGACTCCATCTCATAAACATCAATGTCCGTACAGCATCCATTGTTGTTGATGACCAAGTCGCCAAAGTAAGGAATAACCTTCTCCTTGGGATAAATTTTGCCCAATCCTCTTGGTGCCATTATATGATACGAGTTTTTCGAATGAAACTCACGATCTTCACTTGCCAAATTAGGTGATTTGACGTTATCAATATTTGGCGGTCTAATCATTTTGGAGTCGTTGACAAGATACCTTCTATCCAATTCAAATAATACTGGTGACCAATCGTGTTTCAACAACTTGATATAGTCCGGTGACACAAGTGACCAAATTTTTGTCAATCGCAACACCGGTTGCGACAAAATTACTGAAGAAATGCCCAACCAAGACGACATGTTACCCGATTTGTCTAATAAACACCCCAAGTCAATCCATTTCTCAAGAATGCGCGCTTTAGTTTCCATAACGGCAAATGTCCTAGATGCAGTGCCGTTTTCAATGAATATATGATTGATCAACAATCGTGAAAGGTAATGAATATGGTAGTTGTTGTTGAATATTAACGGGTTCTTTTTGTAAAAAGAATCCTTCGTTGAATCTTTGCCATTGATTGCAGAATACAACAATAAAGACTTGTCTAAATTTGAGTTCCAATTGGAAAAGTATTTCAAGTCAATCTCGCTAATAACTTGAGCGAAATCAGTCAACTTGATATCTCTCATAAATGTTTGTGAGTCCAAATCCTTGAACGGTTGTATATTACCCGGTAAGTTGTCGTTACTCACCAATTGAATAAGCAACTGTTGTTTTCGTAACATTTCCAGTTTAAATTTGCCAATTTTATCCAAATGTGTATTTTGCAGTGACAAGTTTTCCAATATTTTCAAGATATAAGGTGCCGTGTCGGATTTTAAAAGAAACCCTTCAAAGTGCCGTTCAATACTGTATAAAAGTGCAAGAACTCTTTCAATTATTAAATTTTTCTCCATTTCTCCCTCGAATTTGTCGTGGAAAATCTCTCCCAAGTAAAATGTAATGTATTTGAGCAAGTAACCAAAGTCGGGCAATATTGGCAATGTGTGGATTATTGTATGCACAGCTGTATCATCACGAGAATCATTGACAAAACAAAAAAAATGAATAACCGATTCAACATTGTTATTAGTCTCGGTGAATAGAGGCGTTTGAAAGTGATGCTTTTGGAAGTCGTAGCAAAGGTTGGGATGAGGCACCGAGGTTTTGTAATAGGAAATTGGAGGTATGGTCGTGTTAATGGATGGTTCATCCAACGGTTTCGAGTCTTTCCCTGGTTCTGAATAAGGATTACTTCGTAGCGGTGCACCTACTGTATTTGCTGGATTGAACGAGTTATTTGTAGCCCCGGAAGGTGTCAGTATGATTGATTGATTATGCAACAGTGTAGTACCAAGTCGGTTTGTGTCAACCAGTTTGGCGTCAGCAATCAATGTTGAAACATCACTGGTGGCATCATTTGGCTGATTCAGATCTATCCGTTTGACTTTTTCGTTAGCCGGCTCTTCTATTAGTGGCTCATTCACCTTGAACCTCTTTATATTCAATGACGATGGTGGTTTGTACAAGTATAAATGTGATCCCTTCAATTCGGCTCGGTAAAGTTTCAAATTGGATTCCTTAACATCGTAATTACTGCCAATCACATTGACCCAGCTGTGCTTCACCAATGTAGCATCATGGTTTTGTCTTATCAAGTCCAGAAACTTTACAGCTTGTCTACTGTCGGAACTCGACACTTGCCCTCTTAGCTTGGTATTGCTATTTGAGTTTATAGAAGTTGTCGCATTTGGAAAGGTATACCTGGTGCCATCTCCAATTGATGTCGTTTTGCTACCTCCACTAGTGGGATATCTATCTGTGGTTGATGTATTAGTAGTCAATGATTCCTCCAAGATTGACGATATATCATTGTCATAGTGGTAAGTGGAATCTGGGTTATACTCAGACAGTGATAGTGTGGTATTGCTCCCATTCAAATCTGCTAGTGAGCCTTGTTGCACCAATGGTGAATTATTACCACCGATACTTGATTTCGTCGGGGTGGAAATACTTTTCCGTTTCTCCTTATCCTTTCTACTCCAAATCTTTCTCATACTTGTGAATACTCAAGAGTCTATGATTAAAGTGTGATAATGATACAAATGAAGTGAGTTAGCTCTCTAGATTGATGCAGTGGTACAAGAGAGTATTTGAAGATGTTGATGGGTATTCAAGTAGATATTCGGTTGTAAAGTTGGTTGTAAAATTGTAGTGCTTGTTTTTTTTCTTGTCTACTGGTTTTTCTCTGTGTGGTGCGTTGTTAAATTTTTATGGTTTTGTCGTGTAATTCATACATACATACATACATACATACCATACCATACCATACTATACTATACTGTAAATCTCCCTATTCCAATGAAAGTATAGTTAATTAATTGGTGACGTATTACTTTGCGTGCTACGCACTTTCTACAGCAGCCTGTTGAAGTGTGTTTGGTTGTCAGGTCGTGTGCGAGTTGAACTGGACCACACCAAGTCACAAAAGAGAATCGTATTAGTCGAGAGAAGCGACCTCCTTCCCTATTCACAAAACTGTTTCCACAAAGGAGAGGAATTTAAGATGAATAGTTGAGTCACTCGGCACCTTTAATCAGAAATGTATAACAGGCAGGTATTCCATATCTGTTACATCGCTTAGTAGATCTATTGTCTATGTAATCAATTTATATGTATATGTATACAATTGTTTCAGTACGAAGAATGTTGACGTGTTTCAAACCTACACCTGTTTAGATACAGAAGTCTTTACCCACAACAGCAGATGAATTTCCCAGCCAAGGCAAAAACAAAAGAATACTATAGCACGCACATGACGCAGTTGATGATAGTGCTTACTTACAACTAAACTAAAAAATGGGCAGCGTACTGTGAAACGCACTTCCTGACCAAAATAAATAGACGTATGGAAGACTTCTATTGCATAAAATGAGAAGGTTTTATTTTCTGTACAGAAGACTTAATCAAGGACTAATAGTTTACAGAAGCAACTAGTGTATAACGTTGGAAACGGCGTGAGATAGCACTATTACCAGTGACATTCAGTCCATTGCACGCTTGACGAAATAGTGCAGCCTCAAAGTCTGTACCAGGAATGTTGCACAAAAGAAATCACTTCGTCCAAAACAGGAAAGCTACGCGTCGTTTAAAAAATTATTCTGTTCATGGTTGTGTGTGGTAGATACACACAGTGTCTGAGGATGTTTTCTCACGACACATCACATATGAGAGCAGAATGTTATACCAACAAATGACATGGTTGATCAGAAGTGAAGTAACACATAAATCAATTTCGAAATATAAACACTAATATCTATCTAATATGTGCTGGTGGTGGTCCATTTGGTGCTATGTAGTCACCTCCGGCTTCAGCAGCTTTGCCCTGTGATTGTGGTTGTGGGGTGTACGTATATCCTTGCGACAGTGACAGTGGTGGAGGATATGGTGGAGGAACATGACTACTGTTATAAGTTGTTCCTTGTCCTTGCCCCTGCTCTTGGCCATGTTGTTGTGGTGGTGGTGGTGGCATATATTGAGGCATATAGTATGTTCCATTTGGTGGTAGGGGTCCAGGCATTGGTCCATTAGGACCACCAACTGTACCATTCGGACGGAAGTAGCTGCTGTTGTTGTTATATATGGGGACAACTTTTGACTGGTTTCTTCTTCTTCTTCTCCACAAGAAAAAGGCCAACAACACTAGAAGTATTGGAATCAATATTAGCCAGAATAACCATCTGCGTCTATCTCTCTCAGTATAGTAAACAACTCTCTTTTGAACTTGAATAAACATTGTAGTATGGTTGATTGCACAAGTTAATTACCTTTTGATTTAAAAGCAATGCTTTCTTACAATCTATATAATGGAAATATGATGATGGGGTCATCAGAATTGTATTATATAAAGATACAATCTGATCATTTGGGAAAATACAGTCATAGCCTCCAATAAAGGAAACGATTGTATTGGGGAAAGGAAGAAGAAAAAAATAATAAAGCACTTTCTTGTATTTTCTTGGACTTTAGTTAGTTGAGTAATAATGCGTCACTTAAAGTCGTAGATTCACAGCTCACTGTTTCTTGGAATCACGCCTCTTGTATGGAAATAGAGATGCTGTCCTATGTATGTGGAGTGTCCGGGCATATGGTGGCTACTGATAAGTTATAATGCAGGTTTTCTTCTTTAGTTTTTTGCAGCACTTTTGAACAAATTTTGAAGGACATTTTAACTATGTTACTCTAATCACACACCCGTAAAAATCTATGCATTTCCTTTAGCTTGTAAAGATAAATATATATGCTTTCAGACCAGAAACCAACGAATGGGCTGCTCGTCTACTCTATGGATTGTTGCTAATTCGTCAAAATCTCTTGTACCAAAAAAAAGATCCTAACCATCATCGGAATAACAACGTCTCTTGGTGCTACACGTGGTTGGTAGGTTTCATCATCGCCTCTAACCTCCTCGGCATCAACAATCTCAAACAGTATTCATTCTCCCACCACAACTTCATTGCGTTTTTATTTTTTCTTTTTGTTTTTTTTCTTCTATTTTGTACCCTACGCGGTGGAAGTAGTGAACGACTCATAACCACGACTCATTCCGATTCCGGACTTTACAAACCACAAAGTGATACAATTGACATTCATAACCTCCCCTGACAACCGTTGTGTAAATTATCGGAATGATTGTTTATATAATTACAGTCACAAAAAAAGGAGGTGCTATACTTCTTACCGACAAAGAGAAGGCTTTCGTTTAGCCGAATCGCCGAGGAGCAATAAGCATTTGAGGCGATTAATGCTCTTCCAGCACCACAGTAGCATAAACAACGACACTATTATGTAATCAATAGATGTGTTGACAAACTTTTGACGTGTTTTTTTGTGTCGTTGATTCGCTGATTCAAACTTCCTCGGGATTTTGAATCTTTCAAACGACTAAAAATAGCCACACTGTGGATTGGCCCAGGTACAACAATAACGGCAGAGAGTGTTGTAAACACAACACCAACATTGACCATAGTTGAAAGATCCAGCAATGGTCTATGCCAACACGCAAAGCAAGTTAAGGAAATGATATCCACGAGGCCATCATCATCATCATCATCATCATCATCGCTGATCGATGATCCTTCTCGGGGACATTCGGATATGTATTTTCTGCTGACTCTGCCCCACCATCACAAACATCAAGACTGTCCCATTGTTTCCAAAATTGCGTTCCTTTGCTTAAAAAATTAGTCAAGAAAAGATGTTGATTTTGTGCGTTGGAAAACAACGTGCAATTACAACTTCGAATAAAAGCGCGTTCGAAGAATTCACATTTCCATATAAGCACAATTGACAAAGCAAAAACGTTTTTCATTTTGGTTTTACGAATCATTTCACCTCATTTGTGTTCTCCTGGAAAAGAACAATGGCCAATGAGTAATTCGAGTCGACAATAGGCGGTTTTTGTTGAAGCTCTTAACGTGTTTTTGCAAGTTGATTTGCAAGTGTGTCGTGCTTTTCCTCCATTGTTCTATTTGCAATTGTGGGTTGAGATCGAATGACAATGATGTGCAATTGCAAATGCAATCGCAAGTGCAATCGCAGGTGAATTGAGGATTGGAAACGTTTGGGTCTGGCTTTTTCATTGGTTAGATTATCAAGTTGGTACAAATATGTGTTTTCCGAAATGGTGTAAACAAACCATCCATGGCGTGGTTTTGAGTCAGTTGCACCTTCAATAAGCTTGAAGCGCACCGTGGTTTGTTTACAAGTTGAATAACAGTGGTGGAAAGTGTGGGGTCTCTTCCTCGGTAAGGCAAACACGATGATGGACAACCACCTCATGGAAGAATATAAATATCCATAAGGATTCCCAAGTTACTCAGTCAATTTGTCATTTCTCAACAACAACGTCATCAACAGCAGCACTACTCACCACTATGCGTTACTTTGCTATTGCTTTCTTGCTCATCAATACCATTTCAGCTTTTGTCTTGGCTCCCAAAAAGCCATCTCAAGACGATTTCTACACTCCACCACAAGGTTATGAAGCTCAACCTCTTGGTTCTATTTTGAAAACAAGAAACGTCCCCAATCCATTGACTAATGTTTTCACTCCAGTTAAAGTTCAAAATGCATGGCAATTATTGGTTAGATCTGAAGATACATTTGGTAACCCAAACGCCATAGTCACTACCATTATTCAACCTTTCAATGCTAAAAAGGATAAGCTTGTTTCTTATCAAACATTTGAAGATTCTGGTAAATTGGATTGTGCTCCATCATATGCTATTCAATATGGATCGGACATTTCGACTTTGACCACTCAAGGTGAAATGTACTACATCTCTGCTTTATTAGATCAAGGTTACTATGTTGTCACTCCTGATTACGAGGGTCCAAAGAGTACATTCACTGTAGGGTTGCAATCAGGAAGAGCTACTTTGAATTCGCTTAGAGCTACTTTGAAATCAGGAAACTTGACTGGTGTTTCATCAGACGCTGAGACATTATTGTGGGGTTATTCAGGAGGAAGTCTTGCTTCAGGATGGGCTGCTGCTATACAAAAAGAATATGCTCCAGAGTTGAGTAAAAACTTGCTTGGTGCTGCACTTGGTGGATTCGTTACAAACATTACTGCCACTGCTGAAGCTGTTGATAGTGGTCCATTTGCAGGAATCATCTCCAATGCATTGGCTGGTATTGGAAATGAATACCCTGATTTCAAAAACTATCTTTTGAAAAAAGTGTCACCATTGCTTTCAATCACTTATCGTTTGGGAAACACTCACTGTTTGCTTGATGGTGGTATTGCTTATTTCGGTAAATCATTCTTTTCCAGAATTATTAGATATTTCCCTGATGGATGGGATCTTGTCAACCAAGAACCTATCAAAACCATCTTGCAAGATAATGGATTGGTTTACCAACCAAAGGACTTGACCCCACAAATTCCATTATTCATCTACCACGGTACCTTGGATGCAATTGTCCCCATTGTCAACTCAAGAAAGACATTCCAACAATGGTGTGATTGGGGACTCAAATCTGGTGAATATAATGAAGATTTGACCAATGGACACATTACTGAATCAATTGTGGGTGCACCAGCTGCTTTGACTTGGATTATCAATCGTTTCAATGGACAGCCTCCAGTTGATGGATGTCAACATAATGTGAGAGCTTCAAACTTGGAATATCCAGGAACTCCACAATCAATCAAGAATTACTTTGAAGCTGCATTGCACGCAATTTTGGGCTTTGATTTGGGTCCAGATGTTAAGAGAGATAAGGTTACTTTGGGCGGATTGCTCAAGTTGGAACGTTTTGCTTTTTAGATGATGTAAAACATTGCGTTTAGAAATTTGTATCATTATGTACAGAATGTATTATTAGTTTGATTTAGAAGAAACCTGTTTTGCAGACAGATGTGTTTCTTATCATGGCCATTAATTGCGCAATGGTCCGCTACCCAATAGCTTGGTGAATGGTCATAGGTGCGATAAAGTGCTATGCAGAAAAGCATGATTATCGTTTCTGCACGAGGGATGGCTCAATTGCTTATAAGCACTATGGGGGCTGAGTCGCTTGGTGTATTCAATTGTATTGATAAAGTTACTCATCGAATGCTCATCTCACGTATGCAACTATTGTTTTTTTCACTATACTTTGCAATTACACTTTTACATACTCTAAGTTGTTCAAATCTTGTATACTGTTAACCTCTCTCTTTGTCAATGGCCCCATATTTATACCAAGAACAACGTTTAACGCAGCCGTGAAATATTCGACATAGGATTGACTTATTCCCGGGTAATCAAAATTGGATGCTCTTGATGTATGATTACAACCTTGAACAGGCTCAACTCCATTAAACCTATTGATGATCCAAGTCAAAGCAGCCGGCGCCCCGACAAAGACTTCAGTTATGTGACCAGTAGCCTCATCCTCAGCAAACTCCCCGGATTCTAGTCCCCATTCACACCATTGTTTGAAAGTCGTCTTGGCACTTTTGATGGGAACAATATTATCCTGAGTTCCTTGATAAACGAATATAGGTATTTGGGGAAGATATTTTTTCGGTTGATAAACTAAACCATTATTTTTGACTATTGAATCAACTGGCTCTTCATCAAATATTTTCCAACCATCGGGAAACCATCTGTCCTCCCCAGAAAAGAATTGACTACCAATATTGCCAAGGATACTGTCGACTAAACAGTGGTCATCCCTTCTTTCAAATGCTGGTTGTTGCTCACTACTTACACTCTCTTGCATGAATGTGGTTAAATTTGAATATTCATTTCCTAATCCACCTAGCGCATTTGCAATCAAACCAGCAAATAGCCCACCATCGGTTGCTTCTGCAGTAGCCGTTATATTTGTGACAAACCCCCCAAGTGCAGCACCAATCAAATTGTCAGTCAATTCTGGGGCATATTCACTTTGAATTGCTGCTGCCCAACCTGATGCAATAGTGCCACCTGAATAACCCCACATCATAACTTCAGCGTTGGAATCGATACCAGTCAAGTTCCCTGAACCAAGTGCAGCTCTTATTGAATTCAATGTAGCTTTGCCTGATTGTAATCCAACGGTAAATGTGCTCTTTGGACCTTCGTAATCGGGAGTGACAACATAGTAACCTTGATCCAACAATGCTGACATAAAATACATCTCAAACAGGGAAATCAATGTGGTTAAATCTGCACCATATTGAATTCCATATGACGGTGAACAATCCAAGTTTGCTGCATCTTCCCATGTTTGGTAAGACACCACCTTGTCAGAAGTTGCGTTGAATGGTTGAATAACGGTTGTGACTATGGCATTGGGGTTACCAAATGTATCCTCAGATCTCACAAGTAGCTGCCAAGAGTTCTGAACATTGACAGTATTAATTATTCCAGATAATGGAAATGGGGTATTTCTAAATTTAAGTATTGTGCCCACTTTCAGATTCTCATAACCATCAGGTGGGGTATAAAAGTTATCTTGTGATGGTTTAACTGGGGCAATGACGGCTGCGAAAACTCCTTGAATGAGGAATATGGATAGGAACCAAAAATGCATGGTTTAGGGAGGGAAGTGACGGGAGATGCCTTGGATATTCTGTGAACCGACTTTGAGAAGGCTGCACCTTTATACTTATACTTATACCATTGCGGAAGTGAAAGCAGAAATAAATCCGCTTTTCATATGGTGGAGAACTCAGCTCATAAATCGAAGCCATTATGCGAGAGTGATTGCGAGGATTAACAAACATTTGAGGAATTCATGTTGTTTTGTGGACCACACTTGGTTCTTTAACAATGGAACATTCCAAACTGCAACCCCATAGAATTGACATATTAGGAAATAGATTTCATGCGTTTACACATAAACTAATGTGTACTTTCGAAAAATCTTACCACTGGAGATAAAAGAACTTTACCTAATTAGGAAAAACGAGCTTTTTTTTTTAAACCGATGCGCAGACCATGCAAGTCGGACACCCTTTGTGAAACGCGCTACTCCGCAAAATGGAAAATGGAAAATGGAAAACCCAAATAACATACTATGAAGAAACTCAATAAGCAGATATAAAGTTTTTAGTTCGGGTAGTTTCGGTGGATCTCTAAATTCCTGTCAAATGCAATTTAATAATTTGCCTAAGTTGGAGATTGGTCTTGTGCTTTGTAGAATTCGATGGAAACTATTTTTTATCACATGCTTAAAAACCTTATCTCCTTCCTCGGCCACATAACATCGCTCCCTATAAATTCCAGATCAAGTCCTCCTAGGATCGTATAAAGCCAACTTTGGCAAATAACAAGGATCCCTTTATTTGTTGAAATGACATCCAGTGCGCGTAGCCGTAGCTGCATTCTGTTCATATTGAACATCTCATGAGGTTCTCACTACGTTCTAGGATCCAAAACTGCTGACCCGCGCAACGGTAAAAGCCATAAACGTGATTCAAGCTTAGTAAAGAAAGGTTCAATACACTACTCAGCACGTCAAGTGACTTACAGTCTGTTCACGTGACCAAAAAGTTGGGTCGGTTTTCGCCCCTCCCACTTCGCCTTCATTAAAACACCGACCGCCTAAGTAACAGTAATATAGCCGGGGATAGCATCCATTCATATTGTAGTTGGTGACCTAATTACAGGCAATGTTCACCACGTACGTGAAACTTGAATGATGACTTTTTCCCTTTTGCTGTACATATGCGTGACCGAAAAAGTAATGAGATACGAACTTTTTCTCCATTTTATACTTTTTTTACGAGAAGAGGAGGAGACAAGAGAAAAAGAAAATAATTTGATTGAATTTGATGCCCCGGAATCGATCGGCGCCAAAACAAAGACAAAAGGAAAAGTGGAACACAGTAGGATCCCTTTTTCACGTGCCAATCATGTGCTGATACTTTAGTTCCATTGACTAAATTATTATTGCATACCCGATAGATCCATTGAGAATAAAAGCAAAAGAACAAACGAAGTGAGCACGGAGCAGGACCCTAACTTGAAGTACTGATCATCATTGATGCCTTCCTCTCCTCCCAGTAATTTGCTTTTCCCTCCCCTCTGTGGCGGGCTGCACCTGAAAGTACCCGCTAACCACAGAAACAAAAGAAAATCAACTATATACAGCTTAACGCTAAGGTAGTATATATATGTGTGTGATGATGCAAGTCGATGTGAGATATGAGTGGCCTAGAGGGGGAGGGGTAGAACCGATACAGAGGGTAAATATATATTTTTTTAACATAGTAGAGAACACATCTCATAGTAGCGCTCTTGTTATTCTTTTGTGTATGTAGATTTTAATTCAATTTAATTTAATTTAATTTAATTTTTATTTTTTTTTGCCAACAACAGAATAGGGATTTTTTTGTTCTCTTGATTTTTGGTCCTTATCCAATTTTTACTCCTTTCGAATTACCAAGTCCAACAACACCTTTATTCTTTTATTTTGGTGCTACGCCAATATAGTTGCCGACCCTGAGTATTACTACTTAGCACAACTCTTTAGATGATACAAATACAATAGAGCAATATATTCCATTCCAATTTTTGATCAAGTTGCATTCAAATTCACCACTCGATCGTTTACAAATCAAAGGAGCTAGAAGAGTTAGCAGCAGCACATATTTTTACCCCTTGAAAAGATGAGTTTCTTTGTGGTTCCCCTGGTGTCGTACCAGACACAGCAAAAATTGAAGTCACACAAGGAAAAGAAAAAGGCCAAGGAGAAGAAGAAGGAAGTGGAGAAAGAATTGAAGAGGCAAGACGAACAAAGACATGACAGTGACGTTAGTAGCATAATGTCGAAACGGAAAAAGAAACCAGGATGGGGAATACTCCATAGGACATCGACGAGCTCAAAAACATCTACAGATGTGAGAGATGATGCAGAATACGAGGACGATGCAAAATCGATAACGTCGGCGTACACAACCACAACAACAACAAATCCACCAGTAATGGCTCTGGATCCAGAAGTTGTTTCAGACGCGGAAGATTGGGAATCACTATATCTGGACCAAGTACTGAAGTCTAAGCTGTTTACTAATCTAGCCAAAGCAAGATCAGAGGAACCAGAACAGAGACGATTCAATTTGGATGAAGTTTTGAGCGAGGGCGAAGAACCTAAAATAAACTTGCAACTGGTGCGGGAACAAGCTCCAGACACGGACAGTTTAACAAGTTCGCTGACAAATTTGGGTCATTCGCAATCAATGTCTTCGATCCCACCTAGGCGTGGCTTGCCAGAGCAAGCAGAAAGAGAAGACGACATATCCGCGCTAATTGCAAACAATTATGGAAAAACTATGCGGCCAGACGCATTCAAACCACTCAATTTTCACGACCAGCAGCCCTTACACTCAATGAGTCCCAAATTGGCATCAACGCCAGCAATATCTCCGTTGACTCCAGTGGTTCCATCGTCAACATTTCAAGCGTCTAGTCCCCAGTCGATGCAAAACCCACGTCCGCGTGTAAACTCTGCTTTCACAGCAACGTCAGCACCGTCGAGCCATTCACAGCAAAGATATCCCCTGAATGCTGCGTTTCATAGAAACTCATCATTGGCATCAAATAGCACAACACAATCACAGCCTCCAATGGGGACCAAAGAATCTTCGAGCAAGTTTAAGAAATTACATTTTCTCAGTGGTAATACTAAGAAAAAGAGTCCATCAAAGTCACTCCCCTCTCTGCCAGGTACAAACTCACCCCGTCAGTCACCTGGGTCAACCCAGGCTACAGATTCTTACTTTCCAAATGTAACAAGTCAATCTCCAAAATCAACAATCCCTTCTTTCCACACGGTAATAGACCTATCTGTGCTCAATTCATATGATGGAATTAAACAAAATTTGCTCAACCCTCAATATCAAGTGTTTCGTTACAACAATTTTCTTTCATTGATGAGCGAGTATCACTCATGTGATGCTATACATTTTGCTAAAATCAGGAACCAGTCATTGTTGAAGTTTATCGTGAGGCATAAACGAGCCAAAGCTGTGGTTGATGAACGTGGATATTTTGATCAAGAGAATTATCGCGATTTGCACAGTACCGAGTGCATTTTGGCTTACTTTTTATATCATCAAATTAGAAGCGATTTGCGAAGATTTATCAAAATTGCGTCAAAAAATCACCAGTTGGCCAATCATGAAGAGTTGATCCATACCAGTTTCGTCAACTATGTTCGTTACTTGGTGCTATTGCCAGAGGTTGACAATATCGACGTCTTGAGTGAGGAATTCAAAATACATCTTCAGAATAAACGAGTTTTTGATACAATTGCAAATTCACTTTATGTTTTGAAGCATGATGTTTCCAGTGATGTATCAAATGAAAACAACAAGGCAACAAAAGCTAAGCTATTGGTTGAGTGCGTGACCAAAGTATCTTACGAGTACATTCTTCTTGAAAAATACAGATTTGACATGATTTCAAAGTATTTTGCAAATCATTTGATCACAAGACGTCCCTTGAAGGAGTTGTTCAATCTTTACAAGACTAATGTGACGCTCAACAATGAGGAAAGTCTCAAGGTTTTACTATACAATGCATCAAATTCAGCACAGTATGGATGGTACCTTGCATTGACGGTCCCGTTTGTCAGATTTGTTGAAACTAGTATATATGCTGAGGATATGGGTGTACTTCAAGATTACCACGTTTATCAGAAGCTTGAAGAGGCAACAATCAAAACCAATTTCACCAAATCGGATAGAGAATTGTATCAAGCTGCTAGGCTGAAGTTGAATTTGACTACATATCAAGAATATAATGCAATGAGTATGGATAGCCTTGTATCATTGAGCAAGAAAAATGATGGCAATATGCCAAGCAATGACAATGCCAATCGCGATGCAAGTCCTGATCCTAGCGGCGCAGCTAGTTACAAACCAAGAAACTTTGAATACTACAATAAAAGTCTAGCTACCATTCCATCCAATTCATTCAATCTTATTCAAACTACCGATTTACCATATCAAGTTAAACGAGAAAACTACAAAACCATTTTGCGTGAATTTCACCGAATTCTCAAACCTGGTGGTTCATTAATCACAAACTCGATACATTTTGGATCCAAATCGACTGGTGATTTTCTTCGCGAGCACACCAAGGGTAATTTCCCAAGAGCTTGGAATTATATCGACTTTTCAGTGTCGCAACATTTCGAAGTGATTCCTAATTTTGTTGAAACTATATTGATTGAATTGAGTTCTATTTTCGGTAAAGGTAATGTCAAGTTTGGTATAAGCTTATTATCATCACTGTCGGAAGTCAATTATTTCTTAGCCAAGTTTGGCGGAATGAAATTGTTTGAGATGATTGGTAAATTGGGTGAATATTGCAACTATTTCGAAGATGATGAGACTGTCAAGTCGCAAAATGAATCCAGTGTGCATTTTTGTGTACATATTGAGGCTATTAAAAGGGCCTGATCGATTATTAAAAGAAAAGGAAGGGGAAGTGTAAATATAGAAAAAGTTACATTAGAAATAAATATATAGTGCTGGACATTAAAACTATGGCGTGCGGAATTGGTGTGATCTTTGTGTAGGGTGGACTTGGAAAGCTTCATTGGTAATTAAGCAGGCGTGCATGCAAGGTTTACCGGAAAAAAAAAAATTGACTCACCAAAATTTTCAATTCTAGACTACATATTTTACTCATCATCATCATCAAGTATCATTCAATCAACTCCTCAAAAACCCCATGTCAAAGATAGTTCATATTATAGACGTAGAGAGTGGGAACCTACAATCCCTCTCTAACGCCATCAAACGTATCGATCCCAACTACATCATCAAGTTTATCCACAATGAATCCGATTTTAAAGCCTTGGATCATGAAATCACCAAATTGATATTCCCTGGAGTTGGTAATTATGGTCATTTTGTTCGTCAAATATACGAGAGGAACCTTGATAAACTTATAGAGAAATACATCAAGGATGATAGAGCACTAATGGGTATCTGTGTTGGATTACAAGCATTTGCCAAGGGTTCAGAAGAGAGTCCTCATGAGCAAGGATTGGGAATTTTAAATCTTGAATTGAAAAAGTTTAATGTCAATGATCCAGCTTATGCTAAACGTGGAGTCAAGAAAGCTGTTCCTCACATTGGATGGAATGGTCTTGTAGATGTTCCGACCGCTGATGCTGACATTCATTCCGACAAGTCATTGTTTAATTTGAATGTGGCCAACAAATACTATTTTGTCCACTCGTATGCTGCCATTATCGATCAAGAACCAAATGAGAAGTTGGACAAGTTGCGACAAGAAGGTTGGAATTTTGCCATTGCAAGGTATGGATCCGAGAGATTTTTGGCTGCTATTAATAAGGGAAATTTATTTGCCACTCAATTCCACCCTGAAAAATCAGGAATTGCTGGGCTAAAAATCATAAAGGCATTTCTTGATGGTGAAAAATACCCAATGGTTAACAAATCCGATGTCCATCAACAACCAGATGATGTTGAAAAGACAGTTAGTGGACTCACTAGAAGAATCATTGCTTGCTTGGATGTTAGAACCAATGACGATGGAGATTTGGTGGTGACCAAAGGTGATCAGTACAATGTGCGTGAAACGAAAAATGGTGATTCGGAGTCAGCCGGTGCTCCTGCTGTTAGAAACTTGGGTAAACCAGTTGAATTAGCTACTAGGTACTATAACCAAGGAGCTGATGAAGTAACCTTTTTGAATATTACCTCATTCAGAAACTCCCCTTTAAAAGATTTACCAATGTTGGAAGTTTTGAAACGCGCGGCTGAAACTATTTTCGTTCCATTGACTGTTGGTGGTGGTATCAAAGATATGCAAGATCCTGAAACCGGCGAAATAATCCCAGCTGTTCAAGTTGCTGATTTGTATTTCCGTTCTGGTGCTGATAAAGTTAGCATTGGGTCAGATGCGGTGGCTATTGCTGAACAATACTATGCCAATAACAAACAAAAAAGTGGCAAAACCTCAATAGAAACTATATCAAAGACGTTTGGAAATCAAGCAGTGGTTATATCAGTTGATCCAAAGAGACGTTACGTTGCTTCACCAAAAGATACTACAATGCAAACCATTCACATCACTGATCCAGCACGGTACGGGCCAAATGGTGAGCAATACTGTTATTATCAGGTCACTTCACAAGGTGGAAGAAAAACCCACGAATTGGGTGCATTGGAATTATGTCTTGCATGCGAGGACTTGGGCGCAGGTGAAATCTTGTTAAACTCCATTGACCATGATGGTTCAAACAAGGGGTTCAATTTGGAGTTGTTGAATCAAATAAAGTCACAAGTTTCGATACCTGTTATTGCTAGTTCAGGTGCTGGGAACCCACAACATTTCAAGGAAGTCTTTGAAATGGAATGTGGTATCGATGCTGCTTTAGGTGCAGGATTATTTCATCGTGGAGAGTACACTGTTAATGAAGTGAAACATTACCTTCAAGACCAAGGTAAGATGGATGTGAGGTTGGAAGATGATGTAAAGTTGTGAATAGAATGAATAGAAAGCGAGATCCTGCATGTAAACACCCTCTTTGAAGAAAGAAAAAAAGTTGCCTTTGCAACTTTAAATCAGCTTTACTCCGCAAGTTATCATCAGTTGAGTCATGAGTGCATCGGCAGAGCAGAAACGCAAAATAGTATGCATAACACCTATGCGTGATACTTTTGGCTGCAGTTACTAACTTGCTATCTTTTAGGAAGAGAATAGGGCACGAGTGTTGGAAAGGCTTCAAAAGAAGAGATTAGGTAATGCGACAAGCAACGATAAGACCGCGTCATCATCGTCATCCACTACCCATAGAGAATCACCAAAAAGGACACTAAATCAAATACTAGATCCACCAACCAAGACACTCAAGTCCAAGTTTATTGATTTTGAAAGTGATGGATCAGTCAAGAGATCAAAAACACAAGACCAAATTCAAAAAGTTGAGCAAAATAGACTTAGAGCAATAGAGATACAAAATAGATTACGAGATCAGAAAGAAAGTAAACAAGCTCCTCAGCAAGCGGGTGAAGTTACCTATGGACCAACTACTGATTTGGAAAAGATCCGATTGAACAAAAACAATCCTGATTCGGTATTTGATTCTCGCAGGGGTAAATTCCAGCCACCACCAATTAAAAAGAAGGACTATATTGAGTATGATTTTGCTACAATGCAAGATACCAAAGGTGGGTTTATACACGATGAAGATCGACCACGTCATGATGAAGAGACATTACAAGAATGGCAAGATAAACAAAAGGAATTGGAACAATTAAAGAAAGCCGCGCCACCGATTGATATCGACGCGGCACCGAAATGCTATGAGTGTGGATCACTTGATATTGATTTGAATTTGTACACCAATTTCCGCAAAGTTCGTGCTTGTCGACAGTGCATCAAAAAGATGCCGGAAAAATACTCACTTTTGGTGAAGACAGAATGCAAAGAAGATTATCTTTTAACAGAACCGGAGTTGCAAGATCTATCCTTACTTCCAAGGATTGAAAAACCCAATCCACATGGCTACAGTCGCATGCAATTATTTTTACGATTCCAAGTTGAAGAATTTGCATTTAAAAAATGGGGGTCATCGGAAGGGCTAGATTTGGAATGGGAAAGACGTGAACAAAATAAATTGAAGCGGAAAGAAAAGAAATATCAGGATGCATTACGTGAAATGAGGAAAAAGACTCGAGCAGAAGAGTTTACGAGGAAATTACGCCATGGTAAATCGTTGAATGAGAGGCATGTTCATGATTGGGCTGCTCCTGTGAAATTACTGGATAATATGATAAAGAGGCGATGTATTGAATGTGGGATAGAAATTGAAGAAGTTGTTATATGAGATAGGCAATTTATAACAAGCTTTTTTTGAAGCAATGACCAAGAGGTTTAGTGTATCAAGCAACCTAATGAGATGCTGATGTAAATGATAACTACTCAACGCCTTTGGTGCTACATTCCACTCATATCAATTCTTGTTGGTTAATACGGCACAATCATCAAACACTTTTGTATTCCAAAATGTCCTAACGTAGTTGTATTTTATGGCTTCATAGTATTGCTTGTCGACTCTAGTCTGTATGTGCAAGTCCTTTGATTTTGTATTAATGAATAATTCTTCTAGGGATGTTGAATCATTTCCAATATGCCAAAATTCAAATTCAAGACATTTGCATTATGCATGGATCGAAGTAAGCTAACCAAATAAAAGATTATTGATCGTGATGAAAAGTAACCAAGGGTCTACTTTTCAACCTGTCTTGTTGCAAAAACATCAGTGCTCCGTTCCTTTTGAAATTGCAAAAGCTCACCACCATCTGTGGATGATTCCAGGTGTGAACCAAATTGCGACTGAGGTGTAGGTGCTTCGGTAGTGAATGACAAAGAAATCAGCAAAAAAACCGGTTTGAGAAAGTTGTTTGAGCCAGAATCGATCAAAAGCACCTTAGTTTCCAGATACTGGTCAACAGTCATGGGCAGGCAATTCAAAAACTCTAATGTACTTAAAGTATGTTTAACGAAATTTGAGGATCATATAATGATCCAAGTAGGTTTTCCAAATGTTTAAAAGAGCCTTTGCGGTGTTTGTATCCACTACATTAAGCGGGTGTTGCGTTTTGACAACTTTTAATCTCACATCTCTAAGCTCTAATGCCCAAAAGAACATAAATGTGTACAAGTGTACATCACTCCCATGCATCCATATTAATATGCTACAGAGAATTATCAAATATTTGAAGACCAGATCCTTGACTATTTCGATATTGAATACCAATTTTTCTTCATTTACTTTAGTGTAACTTTGTTGCTCATAAGGAGAATCAACATAAATTTTACCATTTGATTTTGTACTCAAAGCATTGTTATAGAAGTATATACAGCTAAACTCGCCTATATCAACATAAGTTGTGAAATCAGGGATAGTGATGATATTTAGTTTCTTTTGATTTTCTGCAAATACAACAACACAACTGCCTCTAGGTTACCCTCAGCCAATCATTTGTGACATTATCAATGTGGGAGTAATTTGAGCCAGCGGAAAAGTCTAATATTGGGTAGATCTATTAGGTATTTCTCCAAGGGAAGTACCCTTGCGATTGTCTCAATTGGCAAGTACGAAAGCTTCATTTACAATGTGGTTATCCAATGAGAAAGATAGTCCCTTTATGGTTTTCTCCAATTTTCAAGCACTACTTCTGGCTGACAATCCGTCAAACAAGAATATAGAAATTAGTGGTGAGAGGTAGAGAAACTAAAAGGGGGTTTAATACACAAAACTGGAAAAAAAAATAAAAAAAAAAAATAATTGAAGTGGTGAAAACAAAAGACACAATTGATTTGGGTGGCGTTGATATATCATCCCCAGTTGTACATGGCTTCTGTAAGGAAAAACATCATTAGAGTCTCCTCCGCTCCACCTCACATGCCAAAGCAAATTACAAATGAACACTCTTTCGTGTACACCTACGGTTATCTTTGACACTAGAAGCATTGAGAGGGTGTGAAAAGACGAAGAAGCTTTACTGAAGAATCAGGCTCTCAATTCTCATAATCTTTAGTATAAATATTATTGTCTGGGGGCTTTAAAGGTTGATAGAGCTTACAGTACAGGCTCAACGCTGCCTTTCTTGTTAATCTTTACATTCATATACTGAATGAACAGTTCTAAAGCACAACTTAAACGAAAAAAAAAAAAAAAAAAAAAGAGCATAAAGAAAATGACAACCAATGGCTTCTTAATTAAAAGCTAGCAATTTGCCTGCTTTGGTGACTGTTGTTGTAATGATGTAGTTACTTTATAAACAACTACGCAATATTCAAAATGGTGCCAAAAAAAGAAGAGACCATTGCTCACGTGATATAATGCTACCAAATGATATGAAAGGTAAAAATGAAAAAAAAAAATTTTGAGAATGGGTAGAGGGTAGTGTATCTTGTTACAAATAGAATAGTGTAGAATATTCCAACAGTTGCTTACACAATTAATTATTTGCAACACACAGACTGTGAAGAGAAAGGGAAGGTATAAAAATCAATTGAAAATTCCCAACTCATTCGACATTTTTCCAATTCTTAGACCCACCACACATCAATACTACTACACCACTACATCAAACATGTCTGACGGTAAAGTTGAAACTCATGAGTTTACTGCTGAGATTTCTCAGTTGATGTCTTTGATCATCAATACTGTTTACTCAAATAAAGAAATCTTTTTAAGAGAATTGATTTCCAATGCTTCTGATGCTTTGGACAAGATTAGATACCAAGCTTTAAGTGACCCATCTCAATTGGAAACTGAACCTGAATTGTTTATTAGAATTATTCCTCACCCTACTCAAAAGGTTTTGGAGATTAGAGATTCAGGTATTGGTATGACCAAGGCTGATTTGGTTAACAATTTGGGTACTATTGCCAAGTCTGGTACCAAATCATTTATGGAAGCTTTAAGTGCTGGTGCTGATGTATCCATGATTGGTCAATTTGGTGTTGGTTTCTACTCTTTGTTTTTGGTTGCTGACCATGTTCAAGTTATTTCAAAACATAACGATGATGAACAATATGTATGGGAATCAAATGCCGGTGGTAAATTCACTGTCACTTTGGATGAAAAGAATGAACGTTTGGGACGTGGTACCATGTTGCGTTTGTTTTTGAAGGAAGATCAATTGGAGTATTTGGAAGAAAAGAGAATTAAGGAAGTTGTTAAGAAGCACTCTGAGTTTGTTGCTTACCCAATTCAATTGGTTGTTACCAAGGAAGTTGAAAAGGAAATTCCAGTTGATGAAAGTTTGACTGAAGATGAAGATAAACAAACTGAAGATGACAAGAAGCCAAAATTGGAAGAAGTTGACGAAGAAGAAGGCGAAGAAAAGAAGGAAAAGACCAAAAAGGTTAAGGAGGAAGTTACTGAAACTGAAGAATTGAACAAGACTAAACCTTTGTGGACAAGAAACCCCTCTGATATCACTCAAGAAGAATATAATGCATTCTACAAATCAATTTCAAACGATTGGGAAGACCCATTGGCTGTTAAGCACTTTTCAGTTGAAGGTCAATTGGAATTTAGAGCCATTTTGTTTGTTCCAAAGAGAGCTCCATTTGATGCTTTTGAATCCAAGAAGAAGAAGAATAACATCAAATTGTATGTTCGTCGTGTTTTCATTACTGATGATGCCGAAGAGTTGATTCCAGAATGGTTGAGTTTTATCAAGGGTGTTGTTGACTCTGAAGATTTGCCATTGAACTTGTCAAGAGAAATGTTGCAACAAAATAAGATTTTGAAGGTTATTAGAAAGAATATTGTCAAGAAGATGATTGAAACTTTCCAAGAAATTTCTGAAGATCAAGAACAATTTGACAAGTTTTACACTGCATTTTCCAAGAATATCAAATTGGGTATTCATGAAGATACTCAAAACAGACAAGCATTGGCCAAATTGTTGAGATACTACTCCACCAAGTCCACTGAAGAAATGACTTCATTGAGCGACTATGTCACCAGAATGCCAGAACACCAAAAGAACATCTACTACATTACTGGTGAATCTATCAAGGCTCTTGAAAAGTCACCATTTTTGGATGCTTTGAAGGCCAAGAATTTTGAAGTCTTGTTTATGGTTGATCCAATTGATGAGTATGCCATGACTCAATTGAAGGAGTTTGAAGATAAGAAGTTGGTTGATATCACCAAGGATTTCGAATTGGAAGAAAGCGATGATGAAAAGGCTCAAAGAGAAAAGGAAATTAAGGAATTTGAACCATTGACCAAGGCTTTGAAGGATATCTTGGGTGAACAAGTTGAAAAAGTTATCGTTTCATACAAGTTGGTTGATGCTCCAGCCGCTATCAGAACTGGTCAATTTGGTTGGTCAGCCAATATGGAGAGAATTATGAAGGCACAAGCTTTAAGAGATACTACCATGTCTTCGTACATGTCTTCGAAGAAGACTTTTGAAATTTCACCAAAGTCTCCAATCATTAAGGAGTTGAAGAAGAAGGTTGAAGAAGATGGACCTGAAGACAAGACTGTCAAGGACTTGACCACTTTGTTGTTTGACACCGCTTTGTTGACTTCAGGTTTCTCTTTGGATGAACCATCTAATTTCGCTCACAGAATTAATAGATTGATTGCATTGGGATTGAATATTGATGATGATACTGAAGAAACTGAAATCCAATCAGAACCAACTACAACTGCTACTACTGAAGAGCCAACTGGTGAATCTGCTATGGAAGAAGTTGATTAGGGGAGAGATGTGTATAAAGTTTGAGACAAACTGATATGGTGAGTGTATGAGAGATTGTGAATATATTTTTGATCTAGTATGTTTTGAGTATGTATTTACTTTGCTGAGGTCTTGATTATCACACCCTTGTATTTAGAAAATTTAAAATAAATGAATTATCGTTTGAAAGTAATGTGTGTTAGTAGAATGCATTACAAAACTGTTAGTACTTGGTACCACTTCTTCGTGTAATTTTACTGCTAAAAAGAGAGGGTAATAACACCACGACAATTTCAAAAAGCATTACTTAAGTTTAGGGAACCTGGGCGAAACCGTGAACCCTAGACAAGAGGAGTACCGTTACTCATTAGTGTAAATGACTTGAGTCCCGCAACGTTTCAATGATCTAGACGAGTACTTAAACTATCACATGGTTAACATGGAACTTGGTAGCTCGTATAAAGCAACTCCCCCCAACAAAACTGTCATTCCATCGCTACCATGCGCAATTGAAGAAATTAAATTTGCAAAATCAAAACAATTGTGCCAAGAGCACGTTTTCCCACATCTATGAAATTGAACCATCTAAAAGACATTACATTAACTACATCTTCGACTTCACCACTATAACCAATTGCGGCCAATCTACATACACACTCACACACACAGAGAGAGAGAGAGAGAGAGAACACCCCCTTTCTTTTGACATAACGAAATACATCCTAGCTACTCAATTGGAGCCTCAAAAAGCGAAAAAAAAAAGATGGGATTATTTATTCCAACTAATAAATTGCACAACCTAAAGTTGTACAAATATCAATCGGAAGACCACTCATTGATTTCGAAATATATCTTGAAAAAATGGTGGAACTACTTTGTTCAAATATTCCCCTTATCAATGGCACCTAATTTAATCACTTTGCTTGGATTATTCTTTGTTTTGGCCAATTTAATGGTTGTATTCTACTATGACCCTTACCTAAATTCAACACAACCCAACTGGTGCTACTTTTTTTATGCATTTGGATTGTTTATGTACCAAACATTTGATGGTTGTGATGGGTGTCATGCGAGAAGAACTGGGCAGAGTGGGCCCCTTGGTGAATTGTTTGATCATTCAATTGATGCCATAAACACCACATTGGCATCAATTGTATTTGCCAGTGTAATGAAGATGGGGTATGGTGGGTTATTAATGTTGTCGCAATTTGCATCGGTGTGTAATTTTTATACATCGACTTGGGAAGAGTATCACACTCATAAATTGTTTTTATCGAAGTTTTCCGGTCCTGTGGAAGGAATATTAATGATTTGTGGTGTATACGTAATCACTGGTATTTTGGGACCTGATATTTGGGATGTTGAATTGTTTACTTTGAATTTGACATCTTTAGGATATGGCAATTATCAGATAAACAGTTCAATAATTTACGTTGTACTTGGATTGGGGTCGTTATATTTCAACATTATTTCTGCTATGCAAAATGTGGCAAAACATTATGAAGCTAAAGATGGTGAAGATTCCAAAAAATCAAAGTCTGAAATTGATGAAGCTTATAAAGGATTGTATCCATTTTTCATTTATTACGGAGTTGTAATTTTATATTGTTGGTTTTATCCACCAGTCATTTCGGAATTTGGATTGCCATTGATTTTATCTATTGGATGCACCATTGCATTTTCAGTAGGGCGAATCATTTTGGCTCATTTGACTTTACAAGAGTTTCCATGTGTACAAATTCCAATGTTTGTGCCCATTGGACAATTGATCTTGAGTAAAATCTTGATTGATATATATGGATACAATGCTGGAAAAGTATTGGATGCTGTTAGTTGGTTAGGTTTTGGTGTTACTTTGGGTATACATGGAATCTTTGTTGCTGAAATCATTACCGAAATCACTCAATATTTGGACATTTACGCCTTGTCGATTAAGCATAAACGGGCATGAGATTAGTGAAAAGATGCTGCTCTATACTAAACTATTGTTAGATTATATACTTACAACTATACATCTATATACACACATATCGTCACTCAAAACATCCATTCCTTCTCATCTAAGCAAGTTCCTTCTTTTTACCAAAAGCCTCTTCACTTCCTGGAGCCAACACATCTTGTGCCGATTGTTGCAAACTGATGTTGCTTTCCATTTCTTGTAATTGGGTTTCTGACAAAATAGCCAACGCCAAAGGAACACCCAACAATAATGAACTTGAAGTCAAGGTCCACAACAATTTACCACCATTGTTTAATCCCAGTGAAACAAAACTGTTTAAAGTTGATGATATGTTACAAAGTTGATCCCTATGTTGTGGTGAAATTATATCTTTTAAAGCAACGATTCTATCGTAAATGGTTTCATTGGCAATATCAAAATCATCATCTTCGTCATCATATTCATCTTCAAATTCACTGTCTGAATCAGCAAATGTGTCCACTTCGACTTTTTCAACAGTGGTGGTTCCGTCCGAGTAGTTTGTTTGAAATTCGTCTTCGACTTGAGTTAACTTAACCATGGTTGTGTGTGGTTGTTGTGTCAGTGGAGTAGTGAATGTGCTTTTTACCCTTGGGTCGATAATTTTGCTGAAAGTAAAAGAACGAAAAAGAGCAAAAAAAAAAAAAAAAAAAAAAAAATTTCAAGGAAATTGGTAATCGCACTACACTATGGAAAACTATACCGAGATGGGGACTTATTCCTTTATTTCAAAATCTGGCTCATTCAATTTTAATGGTGGCACATCCACAATTTCATCTCGTTGTAGTTTATACCCTAGATGCTCCCCATTATACCTCTTGATATTATAAAACTGCAACAATGCCCTCAAGGCAACCTCTTGATCATAACTATTATTAAACTCACTTCCCAAATCTTTCCCACTTAACCAATTATCCTTCATTGATAATTTACAATTTAGATAGATCGTGCTGATTAGATCCATATTCATGCTTTTCCATTTGCGGCCCTGATAAGGAACCAATTTTTTCAAGATTTTGAGTATTGGGTGAGAAAATGCTTCATTATCATAATTGATAAGAATCATTTTGAATAATTCAGAAGGTTTGATATCATTGATGGAAAAAATACGTTGACTTTGGTTCTTGAGGAGTATCTTGTTGTTGATTTCTAATATATCGGCCAAGATTGATGCAAAGTTGTGATTGAAATTTTGAATATATACATGACTAATTTTTTTTGAATCGAGCTCCTTGGGAAGTTCCAGAATGAAAGTCTTGTTGATAAATGTATACTCAGTGGTTACTGAGTTCATGTGAAGACAATTGTGGAAAAAATCCAATTTTGAAAGCTTGATCTGCGGATTCATCAATTTGTTCTGATTGATCAACATCTCATACTCCAACAACTCATCCTTTTTTTCACCCAGTTGATGGGACAAACTCTGGTTATTTTGATTATTAAAACTGTTGCTGATGAAATCCAAACTCGTGGTGACAAATTGTTGATCAAAAAGAATCGAGGAAAGGTAATAATATTTCAAAACATGACTTATTTTAAACCACTCAAGTAATCTCGAGATTATTCCTACCGCGGTTTTTGTCATTATCTCTTTAACATTCATAACTTCCAACTGCAGCAACAAGAGTTGTTCAACTCTAGTTGTTGCTTCATCATTATCATGTGATGTTTTTGACTTCACCATGAATGAAGTACTTGGGTTTAATTCATACTCATACAAGCTCAAGTTTTTATCAGCACGATTGTTCTTAATGATTTCCAAAAACACTTCAATTAAAGAATGGAGTCGGAAAAATGTTGTCGAATAAAATTGTTCCACTCTTTCAAGACTATCAATCTCGGATAGCTTGTCAGGGTACTCATTTCTCAACTCATCAAAGGAATAATCAAATTCGTCCTTATCATCATATGCATTAACGTACCCACGTTCTTGCTTCATGAATTTTGCACGCTCACTCCACAATTGCTTTATTGAGTAGCTCTCGTATACAGAGTTCTTTAAAATCTCATCTGCTTCCAATAAGGCTACCGGTATATTTGGGCCACTACCATCCAATGACTCATTGGGGTAGATGAATGGCATTGATTGATTGACCTGATATGATTTTCTAATTTTTTCACCTCCAGACATAAAATCAGAAGACATTAGCTTTGGTGACGGTAGTGGAGTAGCGATATGCACTGGCTGTGCCGGTAGTTGGCTCAATACGGTATGTGATTTATTTGTTTTGGGAATCTCAATGCTATTTGATAGTGAGTTTGAGTATGCATTGACCGCCATAAATGTCTTGTACTTTTCTTCAATAGATGCATCTTTTGACTCATTTGATACTGTCTCTTTCAAATTCTTCACTCCATCTAGCTCATACAATGGGTATTTATCTAGCAAATCCTGCCTAAATGCAAAATAATCCAACGGGGAACAGGTCAATACCGGCTTTTCTTGAGCTGCATCATCAAATGTTTTAATATGGTGTAATTCTTTCAAAAATGCATCGCACGATACAAGTTGAGTTTTGTTACCAAATTCCAATAGCAATAGTTTGTCCAATAATAAAACCAAATATCGAACTCGATAGCTATTATTGTGATGCCACTTCCAGTGTTCAATAAATTGTACAATCAACTCCAAAACATTTGAAGCCTGCAAGAATTTTCGAAATGATTGCAGTTGCCGACGATTGTGTAGCGAAGTCAATACAAGCAAATACAATATGGTCAATATTCGAAAATAAGTATCCTCAACCTTTTTCGAAAGGGCACTACTCTTGTCACCTGATGTATCAATTTCCATCCTGTTTGTGAAAAAGCCAAGCAAGATATTTACCAATGGCTTGTAAATCTCCAACTGCAACAATTTACAATTATTGGTCTCTATTTGGCTGACTTGTTCTTCAATCGATGACTTTGTTGCGTATTCTCCAAACGAATAGTACAATATGCTTTTCAAATACGCCAAATTGTCATCTATGCTACACCCCAATAACTTTGTCGCCAACTCATCCATATCGGTATTTTGTTCAAAACTTTCCAATAGAGCGTCCAACCCACCAATGGATTTCAAATCATGGAAAGTAAACCATTCAGATATCTCTTGTTGTAAATCTCCATACTCCTGATGTTTGTAATTTAAGTGCAGTTTTGTTGTCAAGAATTGATAGCTCATTGAAACATCATGGCTACTGCTATCATCAGCATCGCCCAGCTCATCACCTAACGAAGAAGATTCAAACTCTTTGGCTTTGGCACTCAATTTCTTTTGAAATGTTTCATCCAATGAAGTATCATGTAGCTCTCTCCTGGTGCGTTCATCCGGATGATCGATAATCTGATCTTCCAACTGATCAATTTGAATCAACCCATCATTCATTATAGGATGATTTGAAATGTTTGCATTTGAAGAATGATGTGTGTGTTCTTCCTTGTTTTGGCTGTGTGTTTGTTTATGATCTTTCCAAAAGAAAGGTCGTGTCGCAATAATATGTTTTGTGACATTACCAATTGTTTTTAAATTTTTTTTTTTTTTCAATTTTGGGAATCAATAGAGAAAAGGCTGTTGATGTTGAAGTGTGTGTGGTTATACATCTTCAAACTCATTTTTACCTTCCAACACCAAGGCATCGGCTACTCAAGCTACCATTGCACTTGCTATTAGACCTTTTTGTCATTGATATTTGCATTTCTTTTCAGTCCCTATACAGCTCATATACACACTAATACTTTTTTATTTTATTTATTTTCATCACCTACTATGTCATTTGAATATCAAACCCTTGATCAAACACTTGCACTCAAACTTAAAGTCACCACTTTATTAGATCAAGAGATTGTTGGGTTTATTTATACATTTTCATCCTCCAATGAAGTACTAGTCTTAATAACTAGTGGCACAGATCAAGCAAAGCAAGACTCGAGAGCATCCTCATCATCAGCGTCCTCATCCTCATCATCAGCATCAACACCACCACCACCAACAAATCAAACAAATCGATACCGCATCATCAACACGTCGTTCATTAAAAGCATACAAGTTTTAAACAGAAAGATAATACCTAGACCCAACAAGAGTAACAGACTCGTGTTTGAGCCAATCAATATCGACGATTTGAATCAATTTCTACAAGAACAGATTCAAATTTACAAAGCCTCTTCAGTCGACATCACCACCAACTCGACAAAGGGAGCAGCATTGCATTCAAGTTCATCGCAACCGCATAAGAGCATACCATTGGCACAAGCAGCCCAGCAACAAGTGCATGCACAACAACAAACTCCACCAGCACAACAACACCAGCACCAGCATCGCCATCAGCATAACCAGAAATCGATTGCTTCTCAACTACATGACAAGTTGCTGACCTGGTTTGGTAGCGAAAATGTCATCTATGGAAATCAAAAACATACTGAATTGATCATTCACAACGACATTAAATTGATGAAACCATTCACGAATACGCAAAAGAATGTGCAAGTGTTGAATAAACAAACCAAGCATTTACCTGCTTTGACTCGAGCATTGAAACAATTCTGGGATGGTATAGATACTGAAAAGAAAGGTGGGTAATTCATTTACAGCAATTAATTTATCTATATAGAGAAATGAATCTCAATTCTATCAAATAATCTAAAACCTTGCTGTTTAGTGCCTTTGAACCCATCAATACCCTTCCATGGGAATGAACATGATGGCGTAGTGGTGGTTACATGTTCAAAAAAGGTATTGAACCATAAGTAGCTAAAACTGCCAATACCAATCATTACATCCTCTCCCACTTCAACGGGATCTTGAAAAATGTAGATTAAATCTTGCCCTTCTCTGCTAATATAGGCCAGTTCCGTGCTAATTTGCAGAAGAAGTGGCTCAACGATGGTGTTGATTCTATTAGTTTCTTGCACTAGTTTGTATTGAGATATACTGAATGGTAGTGACTCCCTTATGCAGTTGCGAAAGACGATTCTGTCAATAAAGAGATGGGCATGGTTCTTGAGCCAGTGCTGATACTGCTGCTTCAACCCATCAGTTTGCAAATATTCGTACCAATATTGCAAGTACCGCTTTTGACTCACTATGCTAACACCATCCCCGCCAAACTTGCGCATCCGTTTCTCAGTGTATTCTTCAATCACACTTTCAACGTCGGTTGCAAGCCCTTGTTTTGTACCCGAAAACATCAAGTAAGCACAGCACACTGTACCCAGTCTACCCTTACCAGCCTTACAATGCAACACTGCCACATTTTCGTCACTTTCACTCAAAAATTGATCAACCTCGGTAGTCGCATCAATAAGATACAGCATAGTCGGTGGATAGTGGTCAGGAAATGGGTAATGACTAACTTTGTATCTGACATCTTCATCTTTGTAGCCAGGATCTTCACCACGAAAATTAAACAAATGCCAGTGTTGTTTATGATTTGTCTCCAAATAAGTAATCAAATCAGTCAATGGATATCGATACCATGATTCAAGATATGTTGTTGTTGGTGCTGATGACACTATCAATTGTGGTGTAATATATGCCAAATCCAAGTACAAGTTTAAATTTGAATCATAATGGAGTTGTTTTGGTGATGCAATAATTGATCTGATTAATGATTTGACCAACTTCATGTACCTGTGGGGGATGTGATTCTTTGGTCACCCCGAGGACCTCTGATTAAAGTGAAAGTTAAAGGAAAAGAAGTGGCGGTGATGGTGTTTAGTTTTTGAATATTCAAGAAAAGAGCTGCAAGTTGAGATACAGACAATTTTTCTGTTTGATAAATCGACGCTAGTTATAGCAAAGCCGTATATATGGTGTGTAATAAGCCTATAAGCGTATTTAGAGGTACGTTTAGCAGCACGTTTAGTTGCAATCTGGACTCGTCGTAGTCCTGTTTTAATACCCAATAGCTTATCCAAAAAGTTGGCAATTAAAGTTAGCCATGAAAGCTATGGCAAAAACAACACTTGCAATCGTGATTACCAAAGGTATCACTCTTTTCAAAACATGAAGGCCGAACCAATACTAGCTAATATTCCAAAAGTATCCTGTTCCTTTCTTACCGGCAATAACATCTTTACTAATTTCTTGATGTTCTGTCATGATTATAGTATCATTCGTTGGTGGCAAGGCATCCCTACCTGGTGCGGTGGGAGTAGTAGAAGCAACGGGAGTTGCAGCAGCACCTAATTCCAACTCATTTTAGTCCGCAACCTCACGCTCTGGTTGATTCTCATTCTATCCGTTGATTCGCCCCTTGATAACTTTTGGGAAGTTTAAACTTGAGCAGATTGCGGTTTTTTGTTTTGAAACAAATGGCAACTTTGTCGACATTGATACAAACACTGTAACAAAAAGGTTTTTTTGATCAATTAAAACTCAACTGCAATATCATATATACGTAGTTGCTGTAGAGCAGAAATTTGAATATGCAAAACCGCTTGCAATGATGGCAAATATATTATTGGCCCAATCAAGTCAATTGTGGGGTGATCATACTGGAATGTAGCAATAAGTCAGCGGAGAATAAGGGATGAGCTTCTTCGATTTGAAAGTGAAAACCGAAGCTTTAAATCAGGTGCCTGTACATATTAGGGGGCATTCAAGCTGAGGTTCAAGCGAAAAGAATTCATGTATCAATATCGATTGTTTTAAAGACATTTTCGAGTAAGCGGCTCATGAATTCACCTATAAAAAGCACGAACTTTATTATATGATGACAAAACAGAAGCCAATAAGTTGTATTGAGTCAGATTTAGTTTTATCACCACAATTGAAACAACCACGAACATTCACTGGAACTATGTCAATCTTCCCTTCTAATTGTACCTCTGTTGGTTTTTGTGTTACATCACACCCCTTACTATGTTCCGCATTTCTAATTGAAATGCTTCCTGCCAACTTCAAATGAAGCTGTTTGTATTTGATAATTTAGCGAAGAGCATACGTTTATACTCAATGCCAATTTGCAACTTACCCATTGAGATAACTGCAAGGGTCTTTCCCATCTAGAAACGCCTACTTGATTTACCCAACAATATACTCTTTCCCTGGCACAATTATGTATCAGAATTCGCAATTCACTTTTCTCCAAGATATATTCTTTGGAGATCATCATGAGTACAGAACAGTATCTGGGGACTATAACCCATATAATTGAGTGTCTTCAGTCCGAAGTGTTACTGCTTTAATTGGATATGAGTATAATAAAGCAAAAGCAGCAAGTGTCAAATCATGTAGGACAAATCAATGACTTGCATTAGGATTTCGAAATTGAATGGATTACTGATGTTTTCTCACCTACCAAAGTCAAAAAGTTTACATTGGATTATTATGCGCCAAAATCGACCACTATTGACTTGAAGGGATTACTCAAATTTATGCCCAATCTTGTTATGTTTAGTCTCAGTTTTGGTAACTTAGGGTTTTTCCATATCCCCAGATTACTCAAACAGAAACCATTTAATATTCATATACAAGTCCGGATAGACAAGGACTACTATGATGCCGTGAAATACAAGTACGTGAAAACTATTTGGAATGGGGAGATGTTTGATGATTGTGTAATGTTGAGTTGTATTAAAGACAAGCTGACAACCTAGTGGAACCTCATAATCTCCTCTTGCTTTATCATTAATAATAATATTCTCTGAAAATTTTAATAAAATATATACAAATATTAGACACGAGTCTACCTACACACCAACGCCGTAGTAGTCACAACAAAAAAGCTTCGCAAAAAGCTTCTCAAAAATCTCCGCAAACACCTTACAAAACACCACTTTGTCCCATCAACTCAGCAATCTTTCTAGTCAAAACAGGATCATTCTTAATTCTCTTTTGCATTTTGGTAGCTTCAGCAAATGAGATAGCTTGAACCTTTTCTTCAATGGATCTGGCCAAATCACAACTTTCTTCAAAAAGGACAATCGCATCATCAACTTCATCTTTTTGTAACTTGATTTGTGCTAATGAAATTCTTGCCAATTCTGACTTAGGATCCAATGCACAAGCTTTTGTCAACAAGGTTTCAGCTTCACCAATTCTTTCCAAACTCTCTCTAGAAATAACAGTGGCTTTATTAATCAAGGGCAAGGCACCAACACTAAATCTATCCAACTTCTCTTGCAATCTAGCAGAAATATCAAATTGTCTCAAGGCGCCTTCAACGTCACCTTTGTCAGCCAAAATTTCTCCATAATAGTTGGGGATCTCTGGACTGGTTGGGAACTTTAATTTTGCTTCAGTGAATTTTTCATCAGCTAAATCACGATGACCATTCTTGTACGTGATACAAGCCAATTGGATGTAAGCATAAACGTTATCCGGGTGCAAGGACTTGGCCTTTTGGAAATTGATTTCGGCATTGGTTAAATCACCAGTAAGGTAATGCAATTGACCCAAATGGTAGAAGATATCAGGCGAGTTTGGATCCAAGTTTTGAGCCAATTTGAAATCATTCAAGGCTTCGTCATAAGAAGATTTGTCAGCGTTGATCAATGCTCTAAATACATAAGATCTTGCCCTTGGTTGGATGGATATTGATTTATTGATTACATCAGCAGCAGTGGATGGATCATTCTTCAAAAAGTGGAATGCTGAAGCATACTCCAATGCAACAGCGTACAACTCCTTCTTGGATTCATCACCTTCCAATGCAGACACGGCTTGATTGATCAATGTGTCTGCTTCGTCGTAGCCTTCCTTTGTGTTTCCCTTGATTTTAACTATAGCATCATACAAGAATTTACCACCACCTTGGCTATTTTCATCAGCACCGTCCAAGTGAGGTTCATCAGCAAATGCGCCAAAGAAGGAACCAATTGTAGCAGCAGAAGGCAATTGGTAGGTTTTCTCCTTTTGGTTGACAATTTTGATTGAATGTTTTCTCAACACTCTTTCCAAAATCTGCTCAACCGACTTGTTTGAAAACCCACCATAAATGGTCAATGCGGTCAAATCGAACATGGCATCTTCAAACCTCTCCAAAGTTTCATAAGAGGTTGCTCTTCTCAAGATACATTTGGTGTAATCAGGTTTCATTTTGATAGCTTCAGTGGTATCTTTGATGACATTTTCGTGGTCATATAGAGCAGCATAACACGCAGATCTGTTGGAGTAGTAAATTGGATCTTTCTTCAATTGTAAAGCAGCAGTATAATATGCAATGGCATTTTCATACTTTTTGTTTTTGAATTCAGTGTTTCCATCCTCCTTCAATTGAACTGCCCATTCTTCCTTTTCTTGTTCTGATAATTTCTTGACAACGTCCGATGTGATTTCAGGTAACCCTTTAGAGTTTACTGGGTATTTAGGAGATTTCTTGTGATTGTTGCCTGCTGAAGAAGCTTCTGGGTCGGGTGAAGATGAATTCTTGCTCTTCTTCTTTTTTTTATTCTTCTTACTTGATGATGAGCCTGTAGTGGTACTATCACCACCAAGATCTTTTGATGTAGATGATGTGGTAGTTGATTGCAGTTGGTTGTAAAACCAGTAAGCACCAACAGCTGAACTTACTGCCAACGCAGTGACTATGATTGCCGTCTTATTTTTGATGAAGAAACTGTCAGACATTGAGCTATTCTATTGATTTTTAATATGTATGTGTGGCACTCTGAAATGTGTTATTATTAGTCTGAATGGCAACCTAACCTCCAACTTTTTTCCATAGATTCTTTGGTTGTAAATTTTTTTTTTTTTTTTTTCGTCTTCTTCAGTGGTGACGTGAGGTGTGTGTGAAACGAAAAAAGGTAGTGTACTACAGTCCTAATGCCTCTTTATTATTTTATTGTTTTTTTTTTTTTTTGATCCAAGATTGATGGTGAATACACGACCGCTCTAAGGAGCTCTGCACACCCCAAGAACACTAGTTACCAGATAGATCTTACAGTATTCAAATCAACTGATTTATGGGATCTAAAAATTATTAAAACAGACAAAAACAGTACAGCTATACATATCTCTATACACACTTTGCTTTCTCGTTGCAAATTTACTCAGGATTGGAATAATACTGTTCATGTTGATGATACCTTCTTCTTGCTCGTTGATGCTCACTATCATCTTGGTATGAGCTTTCCAAAACCACGTCTTCATATGTGGGGAGCATAGCGGCAGTAGCGGCGGCAAGGGCTCCATTATCTTCAACATCACCGCCATTGTGGGAGCTGCCCGGTACTGGCTCCACGCTATAACCTGGATGGCCATTGCTTGTTGGAGTTATTGATGAATGTGAATACAGTCTTTCTGAGTTTTTTGGAGGTAATGTAGGTGGTGGTGGTGGATGTGGTGGATGTGGTGTAGGTGTAGAAATCTTCAGAGCAGAATGACTATGTGGCACACTATTGTTCAATGGGATTGACGACCTTGAAGCATTTGATTGCAAAGTACTAGTCATATTCAACCCACTAAGTACTTTGATATTATCACAAATCAAATCAACATATTTAATCTTTTTGGCACATTCTCGTTTATCTCTAAAGTCATTTATTTGCTCACATGAAAAGCCACCAATGACACTAAGAATGTATTTTCGAGTAATGTTGCATGTCTTGAAACTTGGTGATAAATGGTCAGGCAAGATACAATTATCAAAATACTTGCGTGGTATTTCAATTTCATAAACTGACCCGCCGGGCGCATGAATATTGGTTGACGATTGTGGTGATGTAGATGAGTTGGATGCATTGGGGTTGACTCTTCCGTGCATCAAATCAAACTTCAAGTTTTGATAAGTATTGTTGCAAACAGTCATGACTTCTTCGTGTTGACCTAAATGATATTCATTTGATGCCCCATCATTTTCAACAACCGAAACAAGAGTGATGGATGTAAGTTTTACTGTAAGTTTTTGCAAGTAAATGATACCTAGTCCATTCGATTCATCGGGTCTTCCATATTCTGCCAAAGTATATCTTGATGGATTGAGGTTTGATATTAAATAAAGCTTAAAAGACGGTGGTTTTGTAGGTATAAGAAATGCTGGGTACCTAAATCTAATTTCAAACGAGAATGGAACATCTTTTGCTTTGATTTCGGGGACATTGTTTCTCCTTCTTGGCTGTTGATGGTTTACTCGATTGGGGTAATTCGGCGCCACATTCGAGCTTGACGATGATGATGATAATGATGGAGAGTCAGAGCCACCAAACAATCTCAGCATGAATCCTTGCTTCTTTGGTGGTTGATGCAGTTGCGGGGGTGGTGGCACGACAGGTAACGCTTTCTTTTCCAACGACTTCTGGGGACTTTCTGCGACTTTAACAGCAACAATTTCTGGTATTCTGTTTCTAAATGTCAACTCTTTCCTCACAAACGCTTCTTTGTATTCTAGTTCAAATTGCTGATTGCCAAGCAATGGACGATTTTGCACATCCAAGTCCAAAGGTAGGAAAATAAAAGGATCATAGCCTCGTAAATTTGACTTAAGAAACGATGATCTTTTGCAAGTAACTTTAATAAAATATTTGACATTGGCAAACTCCCCTATACCAGAAAGTGATGGTGGTAGCTGTGAAGTAATGTGGTAACTTTGTTTTGGTGGCGGGGGTGTATGCGACCCCTTTCTCTTGCCCTGGGCTCCTCCCCCATTGGCGAACCCATGCTCATTGGCCATTTGTTGAGCTTTATTCTTGACAAATGTAGTATTAAAGTTACCATTGTTTATCATGACATCAAACGACTTTAAATTTAATGAAACTTTATTAGTGATACCACCCATTTTAACACAAGAATTGTTCAACGGGATCTTAAACTCAAAAGCATAGGAGTAGTTGCCGGGAGCTAGGGTGAAATCTTTAGCTTGTGATACCTGTCGTACATTATCTGGTGGAAATACAATTTGAGTATCATAAAGCACCTTGTGTTGATCTCGTATAATCTTATCTTTACGATCTTTATCTCGTTTACCATTGGCTTGTTGTCGTGGGATGTTCAACTGAGTTGATGAAATGCCTTCTAGTTTCACTTGAATCCAGTTCAACGTTATTGCTTTAGTCACAACTAGGGTTACTTTACCCCTAATGATGTCGTGGTTGGTAAATGTACCATCAGTAGAGGAACGATCAATTTCAACCTTTACATCTGACATACTTGGCGGTTCGACGGGCGGATGTGTGATGACAATATGTACTGTTAGACGGGTTCGTAACTCTTGTAGATTGTGTAAATAGTGGATATTAGTTGAAGTTTGATATATTTGGTAATCTCCTTATTTTGTAAGTCCGTTTTTTTGCATAGTTTTGTTTTGTTGCTTTTTTCTTTGGGAGATCGATCTTTCTCAAAGAGAACACAGCACACAACACAAAAAGTGGAGAAAGACACACGGATTCGAAGAAAAGTTGAGAAGGTATAGATGTCTGCTTGGTGGACTTGTTGCAGTATCAGTAACAAAGAGAGGGCGATTGATAGATTGTGGACGGTGAAGAGTGTAGTTCTTTGTCACAAATGTAGGTCAATACTACTCTGATTAATGTATAGTGTGATTTTGCAATTGGTGTAAAGATATTATTCTACGTGTGCTTATTATTTAAGAAGAAGAGAACCCTTTAAATTTATAGAGTGATGTCTGTTGACAAAGAGCTGATAAAGAGTTGATAAAGAGTTGATTCAAAAACTCTTCATCAAAAAAGAATGACTATTCTTTTATCATTGTGTGTTGTTTAGATCTAACATAGCCCTTTTGGTCACTAGAGTAGAACTGGTACTGACTGATAAAGCAGTTTGATATAGAGAAACAAAGTCGGCAAAGTGTGGCTTATTACTGTTCAAGCTCATTTGGTAGCATTGGTATTGGTAGCATTGGTAGTGTAGTATTGCTCAATATTACACAAAAACACATTCAAGGGCTGTTTCCAGCGCATAACAAAAATATCATGTCTTGAAACACAACTTCATCCATCAAACATTTGTTTTGCTCATTGTTGATCCTTTCTTTTAAAAGTTACATACCCCTCCCCTGCCACGCCACTCAATTGATTGATTCATCGATTTACATCAACACCATTGTCTATATACATCAATCATGTCAGAAACATTACCAGAAGTTGAAATCTTGCAAGAAGGAGACAACAAAACATTTGCTCAAAAGGGAGATTTGGTCACCATTCACTATGATGGTAAATTAACCAATGGCAAAGAATTTGACTCCTCTAGAAAGAGAGGCAAACCTTTCACTTGTACTGTTGGAGTTGGACAAGTTATCAAGGGTTGGGATATTGCATTGACTAATAATTTTGGTAAAGGTGGTATTCCCAAGATTTCAAAGGGGACAAAGGCATTGTTGACGATCCCACCAGAAATTGGATATGGATCTAGAGGTTTCCCTGGATTGATTCCTGCTAATTCGACTTTGGTTTTTGAAGTTGAATTGTTGAAGGTTAATGATCAGTAGAGATAAGTTTAGAGTAGTAAGATGTATATATGCATTGCTAATTTCTAGAGAATAATGGAAATGTATACAACCAATTACTTGTTTGATTACTTGCTCGATTGCCCTGAGGTGTAGGTAAATGTCTCATACAAGATACAAGTTTCCATCCTTCAACTTGACATTAGACTGAGTCGGAACCACATACAAATACACCTTGTAGTTTATATCAAATAATTTAAAAGTCGGCAACTTTACAGCAGTAGCGGCAGCAGCATCTCCACCATCTTCACCATCTTCACCATCATCTTTACCCAGTATATGTACTTTCTTTAGTTGAAACAGGATAATCTTGCGGGAATTGGGTTCAATCGTAAACGGCTTTGAGTTGATATACTTTTGCATTTCCTCCATACCAGCATTGTCTCCCCCCTTTGGTTTATCAAGCTGCCAAGTCCCACCCAAGCCAGTAAGCTCTGAAACAAAAGTTAAAGCATGCACACTAGGATTTTCAAGCACATAGTAAAATGTATAGAAAACACCACCATCGTCATCATCATTGCTTCTTGTGATGGATTGGTCTTGCTTTATATAAAGCAAAACTCGTGGATCAACTAACGGTACTTGTACTTTCCATTCCGATATACCAAACTCATTCACCACCTCATCCTCATCACCACCATCATTCTCACTATTACTATTATGCCCGTGTTTGCGCGTCCGCTTCCATTTCACAACCATTGATGTAATTATTTGCGCATTTCGATATATTTTACCCAGTGGTGGAAGTTGCGTCGTAAACAACTCATCATACTCATCATACTCACCTTCTTTAGCCATTATGTTCAAAATCAAATCAGGCAATCCCGATATAATGTCGAAATTTACATCAACAACTTCCAACCCGCGATCATTCTGTAACTGCTTGTCCTTTTTATCATCATTGGTTTCGTATCCAACTGCCAATGCATATTGATCAACAAGTCTCAATTTACCTCTCCATTGCCTCAACAGTAATGGAGGGAATTGATTCTTGGTAGTATCAATACCATCAACCTTCCCCTTTATACCCTCGTTTTCACCATCTTTGATATTGATAAGAAACTCTTTGTCCAAGTAGGGACTGATGGAATAATGATACTTGAAAGGTTCAGCAATAACCGGCAATTGCAAATCAAACACCGTATACACAACGGATGCATCATTTGCAGCGACAACAGCAGCATCTTCATCTCCCTCTCGCCCCTCGTTACTAGTACCGTTTTTGCCCCCTTTAACATCTTCGTAAACTACAGCTAAGGACACTTCGATATTCATAACTTCTCCTGACCAGTTTCTCGCATACACATGCAACACATGCACATACAGATGCTCAAGCTCGTCCCCTTCACTTTCCTCTCCCGCTTCCAATTCAAGTGGCTCATCATCTTTCAATTTGTCCCAAGTAACAACAACATCACCATGTTTGACATTGGCCATCAATTCAGCTTTGTGGAAAATACCTCTATTTTTGAAACTGCATTTCAACGGGATTGATAATTTTTCACCAACTATATAGCAATCAACGTCGTTGTTCAACTCGATCGTAAAGTCTGGCTTTGGTGGAGTGACAAGCAATTGATGTGCTGGAACCATTATATTTGTCCCATCATTCCCTAATCGGATTGGCTTTGATGTACCATTAGCCAACTTGATTTTGCATTGTTGTGAAAGCGAGTTTGCAAATGATTGATGTAGTTCAATCTTGTTCAAACGAATCACTTTACCATCGTGCTTCAATTCAATGGTGACTTGTAATTTGACAACATCAATTTGGAAATGACCTGCTGTTGTCGCTTTTTGCACTTGTTGAATAGTTAAAGGCGAACTATACGATTTGATGGCAAGATTGGCTGAATCGGCAAATGTGGTACTCAACTCTTGTCCATTGAGTATAATCAAATCGGTACTTGTTCGTGGTTTCGTTGCATCATTGGTAATGGAGATATTCTTCAACCCTATTGGTCCAGAGCCAGCTTTATCGTCAATTGTTGTGAATGACACATCAATTTGATTGAGTGAAATTTTGATTTCAGTCAGCTCAGGAAGTAGGAGCTTCATCATGTCTAAATTTAGTTTCGATTTCAAGTCAATTTGGATCAAAATGTCATCATTTACGGTTGTATCACCAACAAGCTTTTCATTAATCAACAACGCATCAACAAAAAACAACTCATGCAATTTGGAATCTAAAATATCCAATTCCATAGTATTAGACCCATCACCAAATTCAAAAACATTGGTACCTGAATGCACCAATGTATCCTGAATAAACCATTTAGAGATGGTACTCAATTTCAATATCGTATTTAATTCCAGTTTCTTAACTCCCAACTTTGAATAGCATTGCAACAACTTTCTCAAGAGGAAATGGCTGATATTCAACCACTTGGCCAGCCCTAATGAGCTATAAGCCATTTCGTAATAATCAGAAGCTTGTTTGAAATTCCCCTGGGCGAAAAACTCCTCACCTATAAGCCAAGTCAAGTATGATAGTAACGAATCGAGGTTATCTTGACCTGAAACCAGCGACTTGTGTAATGCATTCAGTTGGTTAGTTTCCAAAGTTTCAATGGCACTTTGCAACAACTCTATTCTCTTTGATGAATGGCTACTCATTTCGTAAGCTTTGACAAGCACAAGACCTGGGTTAGTAATTAGGTCAAATTCTGGAGTATGTATGCCACCAAAGTGGCTCATCATTGCTAGAGTATTGGCGTTTCTCAGTTTCGCCTTCATTTGTAGCACAGCCGTTGTATTTAAATTCGTTATAATTGAATACGGAATCATCTTCATCAATTGTGCCAACCATTCGTATTGTACAGAAATCCAATCATGGTCACGTTTCAACACATCCACAACATTGATTATATGCGTCTTGTGTTTGCGTAATGACTTGATTGGTTCCTCAATGGAGAAATAGCCTCGTACTATATGAAATGCAATTATATCCACCAATGTTAGAAGCTGATCTATAATAGTGTTATCATGATCCAGTAAATTTACCGCGTATACACCTTCAATTATCGAGATCAAGTCCTGATAGGCAATCTCCAAAATCTTAACTCCAGGTTCCAAGTTTGTTGGATTCATAAATTGCAAAATCATACCTTGTTTAATCATGTTACGAACTTCAAGAAATTTTGGTGTGAGTTCGATTGAGGTGTCCACCTCATCAGTTGGTGGTATATCATATGTCTTTTTGTATCGTTGCTTCAACTTGTACTCTAGATTAGCATAGTAGTCATGAGATGTCTTTGTCAAGCTCGACAAGATTTTGCTTACGAGAACTTCACAATTCAGCTGCAACGTCGACACCAGTGGTGATGACACTTTTGATAAGTTGAATAAAAATTGTGGTTTGGGGAAATTCAATTCAGCTCGAAACATACTCATTCGTTCTTCATCTATAGAGTGTGGTGTAATCAACAACAATATCAATTTACAATCAATTTCTTCCAATTTCAATTTTAATTTCTTCATACTGATGATTACTTCCACGTCGTTACCAGGTCCCTCCAACTCACATACGTAGATCAATCCAAATGGGAGTTTGGTGATGCATTTTTCAAACCATTGATGAGTCAATATTCCATTGGGGAAAATTGGTGAATCTTTGTTGAAAGGGGATATGGCTGAATGTTGATTGGGTAGCTTGTCCCTCTTTGGTAGATCAACCGTCTCTTCATGGTCAGTATTGATTATATATTTCGGAGTAGTTAATCTATTGCGTATAGCACTGTTATCCCATACTTTATCCTTGACATTGTATAATTCAAATTGAGTTAGTAAAGTCTTGACCTCATTGGTGTCAATGATACCAGGCTCAATGTGTATTCGTAGCAATGGGTTTAGCTGCTGGAGTAAGAACCGGTTGTAGTTTTCCATGCTTTTGCTAAAGATAAAGTGTATACTGCTGCTTAGTTTCGATGTTTGGTTTGTTGAATGTATGGAAAAGGTAGTGAGATCAATGCAGTAAATTTGAAACTGCGACACTTCTAAATTTTTTGACATTGATTTCCATTTTCCATTTTTAGTCATCCACCATCAGCATCGTCAACTATAGCACTCTTTTATATTCATCTTACACTGTTTGTCAACTAAACCATAAACTACCTCCCCTCAAACTTAGAAAATGAGTGACCCAATAAATGCAAACCCAACAATCATCGATGTAAACAATCTTCCTACCAGGTTGAACACACTGGATGAATCCTCCGTCGAGTTTAGGAATACAAAACTCATTTCAGAAATCACATCGCTTTCACTACCCAACTTACCTGATGCAGATGATATGTCATCACTCGAAGAATCACTTTCATCATCATCACTAAGCTTTAGCCCATCACCAGATGAAGAAATGGATGAAACTACCAAAGAAGAGCCGTCTTCCAGTGCCGATGACGAGGAGGATCCCATTGACGAGCAAGAAATATTCGACCTCATATCCACGATATCGGACCCGGAACACCCACTAACGCTAGCACAACTAGCAGTAGTCAACCTCCAAGATATATCAATCACACAAGCTCCACGTGATCAAATTTCAACGATTACAATCAAAATCACACCTACTATAACCCACTGTTCATTAGCTACATTGATTGGACTAGGTATACGGGTACGGTTGGAACGCAGTTTACCTGCCAGATTCAGAATCAAGATTGTCATAAAGGAAGGTACCCATCAACTGGAACTGCAAGTGAATAAACAATTGAATGATAAGGAACGTGTTGCTGCTGCTTGTGAAAATGATCAGTTACTAGGCGTCATTCTGCAAATGTTGAGTAGTTGTAAGTAAAAGGATACATATCGCAAACTTATTTCACAACACAAACTATACAAAGTGTATACCCTTAAATTCTTAAATTTCATCTCTAAACAACTTTGAAATTGCAACATTTTAAATCACAATAAGTTAAAATCATGGAAACAACATCAATCAATAGAAACTTGAATACTTTAGTTGTGACAAAATCAACTAGTTTACCAAGTTTGGCGTTTCCCTTGACACTTGAATCACTAGAATTGAATAAAATTGTTAAAATGCGCCTAGTTTCTTTCATTAATTGATCAATTTGAATATAATACTCATGCTTGTCTTTACTATTTTCAAGCTTCTCTTCCTTTGTTAAGACTATGTTTTCGGTTGATTGTGGATACGAGTCGGCTGGCATTAACGTTCTGGATGAATCAAATGAAGATACATCACCATTGGTACTGCTGTTCCCACTCCCACTATTGTTGTTGTTGCCACCACCACCACCAAAAAGGTGTTTGACATTAGTGACCAGGCTTCTCCTACGTGATCCACCTGATGATGAAACAACCCCACCCCCAGAAGCAGTAGTAGCTATACTGCTTCTATTACTGGGGTAGCTTTGATGTGATGTAGAAGTATTAACAGAAGAGGCCAGCTCTCGGTTTCTCTTCATTCGATTGTACAATTTCAGTTTGGATAAAATATTGTTCACCGACATTGAGTTGTGATTGTGTGATGACGGTGGTGTTCCGTTGGCGTTTTCATACAAGTGGCTCTTTGGAGTAGGACTTCCATCCTGCTGTTGTTGCTGTTGCTGCTGCTGATAATGACTTGAAGGCGGAGTCGTTGTTGATGTTGATGTTGATGTTGATGACGAAAACTGTTTAAAGTGTGGTTGGGGTGGTGTTGTTGGAGTCAGAAATTGTGACCGGCGATGATTCCCATCGCGTACATCAGGTGACGAAGTAGGTCCATTTTGTCCCTCTTTATGATGAGATCCACTTCCACCGGTTAAAAAGGATGAGAAACGTTTCTTTGACAGGACACTACTAGTACTGGTACGCTTATCGTGATGCGTAATTGGTGATGAATCGTTGGACTGATTGGAATGGCTTCGATAAAATGGCTTCTCCAAATACCCAAAATCAAAATCAGGTGAAGAAGTGCTCAACCTATCTCGATTAAACTCCAACTCTTCGTCGATTTGATCATGAAAGGATCCATTGATGATGTGATTGCTATTGCCGTTGCGATTAGCGCTGCCTGTCAACTGCTTGTACGCGGAACTCCTCAGGGGAATTTCATAGAAATTATAAGCCGTTAGCAACTTGCCATAGTAATTCAATGTCACCTCGAATGACGATTGATTTGCAACATCCTTTAATTCAGCATCGATCATACCATTAATTTCCTTCAACATAGTGACCTTGACTTTGATATCTTTGATGCAAATTTCGTCTCGTAACCACAAATCAAAAGGTATAGCCAAATGCGCTCCAAGTGAGGTGAACAATTCATCATAAACTTTACCACTTACTCCATTTTTAACACTTGCCTCCTGATCATGTTGTTGTTGCAAATTTTTATAAAATTGAAAATCTTTCGTCTTTTGTAAAATGGTCTCTGCATCTTTTAAATTAACAATGTGATCAAAAAACAGACATAACGATGACAACTTTGCGGAATTCGGTACAGTTCTAGGTCCAACTGATAAATTTTGAAATTGAGTTGTTACATACTCTGATGGTTCCAATGTTTTGGAAAATCTTGACGGTGCAGTTGCCATTGTATTGTCCAGTACATTACTACTGCTATTATTGGCGGTGAAAGTGTGAATCATATGGTTATTTTGCGGTGGCGATCTTAGTGGGAATGCACCGGTATTGATCTTTGGTGAGTATTGGTACTGATATGGCGATTGATGTTGTTGGTCTATCGAAGACATTTGAAAACCCTTGTTTATAATAGCCAAATACAGTTTACGAAATGCTTATGAATATGAATATTTTGATACTCTTGAGATGCTCTTGTAATTCAGTATGTACGATAGGTGTTCTGTGAATAATGTACGAGTGTGGATTTATATGATGTTTGACGTTAATAGCTAATGGTTACACCTTAGTCTTTGTTACTGTTTCGCTTATTTGTGGTTTCATTTTTTGAAGTTTTGTTTTTTTTTTTTTCGTGTCACATTATGACAGTGTCATAAAATATATCCTAACGACACGACAACAAAAACTCACGCGATTCTACAGTACTGTAGATTGTTTCACAATGGTATCCTTCTTTATATACAGAGCAAGGGGAGAAAACTCGTCATTATGTGTGTGCATCAACAACGCAATGTAGATCTTCTGTCAATCAAGCTTTGCCTATTTCGAGGGGGGATCCAAACAGATTAGAATTATCACATGCAATGTGTCAATCAATTATGCCGATCATTGCATGCATCTTTTCCTCTAAAAGATTTTTGCACCCATTTTGGGACAAATAAAAACACAACAACATCCTAACTTCATACTGTTACAAATTTCGCTAATCTAAATTGTTCTTCATTGTGATCATATACGTTTATCTAATGTACACAGCATTCAACTAGCTCTCTTTTACCCTGCTTTATGATACCTGGTCCTACCCACCAAATCATCAGCAATCTCCCTTGTCCTTGTCCAAAACACCTTTTTCGGCATTCTTCTACCCAACTCAGTTTCAAAATCATACAATCTTCTAATAGATGTGAATTTTAAGTGGGATCCCTTGACACCCAATACAGCAGCAGTTGCTTGCAACTCAGCATCATCCAATGGAAAATCTAATTCATACCTGATCTTTTGCATACATTCAACATGATCTTCAATGAACTGAACGGCTTTAATGGCAAATCTATCGGCCCTGGTACGATCAATTGGTGAAGGGATACCACCTTGTTGGACATGTCCAGGGATGGCAGTTTTTGTATCAAACTCTCCATGGCACTCAGCTCGTATGATGTCAGCCAATACTTGTGGTGTCAAAGTCTTTGATGCATTAGATGACTTGATGATTAACTTACCTGCTTTAGTCATGTTTTTTTCAACTGCAAATGATTCTCGAAGTGAATTGATATCCATTTCCAACTGCTCCAATTGTATACCTTCTTCGGGAACGTAGGAAGCTTGGGCACCACTGACTAATGAAGCAAATGTAGCGATATATCCGGAATTGCCTCCTTGTACTTCAATTACAAATGCTCTTCCTCTGGTGGCCGATGCTGATTGTTTGATGATGTCACAATAGTCCATAATGGAATTCAAACAAGTATCCGATCCCAACGAGTATTCGGTACCAGGAACATTGTTGGATATGGTTGCTGGAATCAAAACCATGGGGATTCTAAGTGCAGGGTACATGGGTCTTGCTTCCTCCAATTGATTTAAGGAAACAAATGCCTCGAATCCACCAACTATAATCAATCCATCAAATTGATATTTTTCAAAATAATGAGCAATCATTCCAATATCAGTTTCACTGGGGGTTTGTCTATTGGTACCAATTAATGATCCACCAATACTATTCCATCCTTCAATATCCAACCATTCAATCGACTTTACCGACTCGTGTCTAGATAAACCAGCAAATCCATTGTGAATAGCATATGGCGTATGTCCCTTTGACATACAATAAGTGGCCATGGCATAAACCGCCGAGTTCATACCACCTGCAGGAGCACCAATATTCATAATGGCAATCTTTTTTCTCTTTTCCACCGGCAATGAAGGCCCCATATGGTTGGCGGTATTCATGGCAATGAAATTGTACAAGTGTTCTTTGAATTCAGAATCCCTAAACGACATTGCTTTTTCAAAATCTTTATCTTCGATTGCAGCTGCCACTGATTTGGTAATTTTCACTGCTTCAACCAATGGTTTACGAACAATTTTATTCTCATCAATAGCAATCAATGGTGAAGGTGTTTGAGGATCCAACTCCAAGACTGCTTTCACTGCTTCAACTCCTTGTAAAGTTGCCAAAAGACGATCGTATGCCACTGCTCCACCACCTCTTTGCACATGCCCTAAAGTAGTAATCCTTGTATCTAAACCCAATCTTTCCACAAGAACATCCTTAACCTCCTTTGAACTAATTGGTTTCAAATCGGATGTGATGGCTCCCTCAGCAACAATAACAATGGTTTTCCTTTTACCCGCTTTTCTATGTTGAGAAACAATTTGGGTCATTTGGTCAGTCCAATCGCGACTAGATGCGGGCTTTTCTGGGATCAAGATATAATCAGCACTAGTGGCAATACCGGCCATTAGCGCTAACCAACCACAATGTCTACCCATAACCTCAACTACAAAAGCACGACTATGAGAATTGGCAGTGGCGTCGATATAATCAATAGCACGACAGATTCTTTCCAATGCTGAATATCCACCAATGGTTGAGTCTGTTGTAGCCATATCATTATCAATTGATCCAACCAATCCGCAAATGTATAAATGCTTATGTCTTTCATATTCATCTTCGGTGATGTCTCCATTTTCTTTCAATTCAGCAATCAATGAAGGCCATTCACTACGAAACAAATCAGCACCAGTTAAGGACCCATCTCCACCGCAAACAATCAACCCATCAATTCCAGCCTCAATCATGTGTTTACAAGCTGTTAACCTACCCCAACGTTCTTTAAACTCCATACATCTAGCAGTACCAATATTGGTACCACCTTCACTCAAGTATCCCCTAACATCCTGCCATTTCATTTCCTTGATATAACGAGGCCCACCTCTAACCAATCCTTCGTAGCCTTCCATTATGGCAAACGCTTTACATCCACGATATATAGCTGCCCTGACAACAGCACGAACACATGCATTCATTCCAGGTGCATCACCTCCAGAGGTCATTATAGCAATATTTCTTCTGCGTTTGAAGTCGCCTAAAAGATCTTGGTCTCCTTTAATTGAAGTGGCATTTGAAGGAACATTGGTTTGCATAGCAGTACTTTCAACAACAGGATTAGTCTTTTGTACAGGTGGTACAACAGTTAGCGGCTCATTACAAGCAGTGAATCCGATTATATACCCTAATGGGTCAACAATGTAAACTTCATTGGGATACAATTCATTGGGGGTAATTTGTAAAACAAATTTGGAGCTGGTCAAAACTTCAATTAAATCGACCAAATTGGCAACTTTAATAACTGATGTGTCGTCCAAAGATCTCCAATCAACAACATTCAATTTCGACTCAATGTCTGATCTTCTTGATTGAATCTCAGATTCAGACAACCCTTCCTTTGGATCTAATTTGATCTCAACGATTGCCTTGTTCCCGTCATTGGAAAGGAATGTAGTATCTTCACTCTTCGAGTGTTCTGTAAGGCCCAATGTGTTGGTGTAGAACGAAACTGCATTGTCTAGCAAATGTTGTGAAGCAGCCACCAAGTAAATCGTTGATGTTCCATTAACAATTGACGTCATTCTGTGAGTATAGTGGCGTGACTATCAGCGTTGGTAAATTGTTATGTAGTTAATGATAATTGAATAGTGACTGTATTCTTTTGAATGTTGATTGTCTCCAGCAATGAGAAAAGATATGACAAAGGGTTATATATATGTGATTGTTTTCGGAGCTTATGATGATTTTTCGGTTCATTGAATTGCGAAATGACATTTTTAGTGTAACAACCTACAATACCAGCGACACACACATATACACACAAAATAGATCTTACGGGAGATTCTGTTGCATTAACTCACATGACATTGCTTACAGGGTTTGCATAGCGTTCCATTTCCCTTGCGACTTACTTGGAAACTAACTAGTGTTGAACCACATTGTCACTTTAAAAATGCTGATTGAGATTAGATAAGCAATTATGTAATGGAGATCCTTTTATTTCTTGTCAATAAGTTGATACTGCATATAAATATTTATATCTTTTCGGTTTTATACAACCGAGCACGTGATAAACTTTAACACCAAAGATGACGTCAAAGTCTTGCAAAAACACAACGAAACGTCGTATATTCACACAAGTTAATGAAGAAAGCACTAAAGCATCAAACCTGATTCAGTTACGTAAGCTATAGTTGATTGGTTAAAGCACTTCTTCTTTGGGTCAACCTAAATCGTTTCAATTTGTAATAAACGATTTCTACTGTTATAAGGTCAACTTGTAAATCATTATAGATAAGCTACGCGCAATTCACATCAAAAGGTGTGATTCTGTCTTTGCGAAATTGGCGAGGTGACAACTATAACACTCTTATCCACGCTGGACATTACGTTCATCACGTTTATATTGATAGCTTACTAGGCGGATAATGATAAAATTCATTTGAAATTGTGCCTTTGCTCAGAATTAGAACACATCAATTCGGTAAATACCATCACAACTGTCCGTCTTTTTACTGATAGCATTAAGGGCCCAAAGAATTGTACATGTACTTCCAAAGGCTGCAAACCTATCCTCCTCCCAAGCAGTAAACCCACACAACGTAACAAAATACATAGCGCAGGTTCGGTGCTGCAACTTTGAAGTAACACCTACACCCCCTATTCCACTACATACAAGCAAAACCTAATCCTGTTGAACCAAGTTTTGCTCATTAAAACCACGACCAAAAGCTTGTGTATACCACTTCTGCTACCATCTTCTGTGGTCGTGTAGTCTCTACCAAATAAAGATTTCTTCCCGCAAATTAAAATTTTTCAACGCTCTGGAAAAAGAGATCATTATCGAATTGGAGAGCCATTAAAAGAAAAGGTGACAGAGCAGTACATCAGATCAACACACCAATACTACTACTACAATGTCGGCTCAACAACCACAACATACCCCAGTTCCAATCAATGACATTTCTAAATTGGCCATCCCAACTTTGCCAAATGTTACACCACCACCACCAAAACAAAATTCATTTTGGTCATCAAACCCAGTATTTTCATATTTAAACGATGTACATAACGCCATAAGTGAACATCGTGCCAATTTAGGATTAACCAATCCAGGAACAATTGAAAATTTGAACAAGGAAGTTAGTAGAGATGTATTTTTGAATCAATATTTCTTCACTGGATTAAGAGCTGATTTGAACAAGGCATTCTCTATATCGCCAGCTTTTCAAACTTCACACACTTTGAGTTTAGGATCACAAGTGTTGCCACCTTATGCTTTTAGTGCATTGTTTGCTGCTGATGATTATTTCTTGCAAGGAAATATCGATAATGAATATAATTTCAGTGGTAGAATTAATTATGGATGGGATAAAGCCAATATTTCCAAAATCACATTACAATTGGCTCAATCTCAACCATCAATGGTTCAATTGGAGCAAGATTACCAAGCCAATGATTTCTCCATTAATTTGAAAACATTGAATCCAAGTTTTTTGTACGATGGATTTTCCGGAGTTGCTGTTGCCTCATTGTTGCAAAGTATAACTCCTAAATTTGCCCTCGGTTTAGAAGCAATGTACTCCAAACAACCATTGGCTCCACCAGATACTGCTGTCTCCTACGTTGCTCGTTACAACAATGCTGGCAAATGGATTGCATCAGCTCAAGTTCAGGGTACTGGTGCGTTGGTTGCTTCATTTTGGAGAAAAGTGAGCGATAAAGTAGAAGCTGGTTTGGAAACCCAGATTGCTGCCTCAGTAAAACAAGTTGCTGATCCATTGATGGGTGTTGGATTCGAACCAGTTGTTGAAGGAACCACCACCATTGGTGCCAAATATGAATACAGAACTGCTGTTTTTAGAGGTCAGTTGGATTCAAAAGGAAAAGTTTCAGCATTTTTGGAAAAGAGAATCTTGCCTACTGTGAGTGTATTATTCAGTGGTGAAATTGATCAATTTAAAAACACTTCAAGATTAGGGTTGGGATTACAATTTGAAGCAGCTGGTAATGAACAATTGTTGTTGATGCAACAAGGATTGGTTGATGCTAATGGTAATCCAATCCCAGGTGCTCCTGCTCCAGCTTTGTAAAAAGGAACCGGGAAGCAAAAAAATTGGATATCTAGATATAGTAACGATAGGAGAGAGATGCAGGGTTGAATCAGGTTATGTTTGGTTAAAGCGGTTCCCATACAACATAGAGGGATACACAACAGAACCTACAACTAACGAAGAGCAACCATATATAAATCCTTTGTTTCTCTTTTTTCAAACCACAAACCATTCCATGTTTTCTTTTTTTGTAAATATACATATATAAAATAAATAATTGAATTTAAAATTTGAAAAAATGTAGCAAGGACGCTAGGCAGAGTCCCTTCTTTTAGAGAGGTGGTTTAGGGAAATTACCAGCCAAATAATCTTGACGTAAAACTTGTACTTCTCGGTATAGGTTTTGTGTTTGTGGAATTTGACCCTTTAGGCTCCTCTTTAGTACTCAACAACTGATAAATCTCACTTGAGTTTAACTTGACATTTGCATTTCGAATACCACCACCATCAGTGGTGGTTGCTGCGACAGTACTATTATTTCTAACGCTTCCGCTCACCGACCCGTTAATTGATTGATTGGCATTGGAACCGAAATAAGTACTTTGTCTGCGTCTACTGATATCCAGTTGTCTATGAACAGTAGCAGCAGCAGCAGCAGTAGTAGTGGGTAATCTTGACATTGATTTTGTCGTTGATCGCGAGTCCAAGTTTCCAGGGTCAAGATACCTGTTCCTAACCAGTCTCAGTTGCGTTTGCAGTTGCAGTTGCAGTTGCAGTTGCAGTTGCAGATGCAGCAGTAGCAGATGTTGCATATTTTGTGCGTGTGGTTGACAATTACTCTGGTACTGACTATAGTATGAGTCGCGACGCAGTTGGCCAATGACTGATCGATAAAAGTTGTTCAAATTGTATCCATTTGAAACTGAGCTGCTTATACTATAGTTGGATCGTGACTTCGGCAATCTTGAAGAAACATTGGTTGATCCAACACCTCCGCGTGAGGAGCTTTTTTGATAGGCACTTTGCTCAATATTGGGTTCCATCCATCCACTTTCATTTGCGTACAAATCACTACGGGATGATTTTCGGCTCCTAGCGGAATGAAGGCCACGATCATGCACACTACTGCTGCCACCACCACCATTAATAAACCCATACCCAGTACTAGTACCGGTACCGTCGTGGCGTGTTGTATTTCCATGATTGCTTCCATTAGGTGCAACACTCTTTCGGTCAGGATACCCACGTGCATCTTCATACACTTCACCCTCAACTCCATTGTCTCCATCATCTTCATCATCGCGATCGATATTCCCATGAAAATACTTACCTCTCGAGTAAACAGGCACTGGATTGTGATGTGATGTAACTGACTGAAGTCTAGATACTGGTCGGGAATATACCGAAGGGTTGCGTACAGACCTAGCTATATTTTGTTCAAATTCATCCAATAACGAGTCCATTGACCCTTCTGATTGTTCATCAACTGTTTTAATATGTGCTTGTGCTTGTACATGTGGACTACTCCTTTGTTGATATGGAGAGCTGCTGTGTCTAGCAGTTTGTTGAGTGTGTAAATTTTCCTCATTATTTATGCTTAATTGATATGGATTGGCATGAAATGAACGTCTTGTTCTAGGTTGTTGTTGGCTTGATTGCACGTTGGATTTCCAATCAAGACACGCAATATTTGTCGACAAGGATTGTTGTGAGGTTTTTTTCAAAAGAGAGCTGCCAGTGTGATGTACTGGAGCTTTAGGGGATAGTTCAAAATGATGTACTGGTGAATGCGAAGGTGAAATTGGTGCTGATGGCGGTGATTCGGGAATTTCCGTATCGATAATTGTTGGAAACACTACGCTACTATTCGTTTTGGGGCTCGTCACTAACAATTCGTGAGGTTTAGCATCCAACATATGGGCAGAAACAACTTCGCCATTTTGAGTTTGGGTTTCTCCTTCTCTGTTTTGCAGTATTTGGTCACTTGACTCCGTGGACGCTGGTTGACTTGAAGTCATTTTATCACTGACATGTATATAATTTACATTCCTTTCCAATGTTCCCTGAAGTATAGCCAACACGTTACTCTCTTCAGTATCAATAGTTATTTTCCAATACCTTTCTGGATTCAACATTGGTATCAAAAACTGATTGAAACTTATCCTAAAGATTTTAATCTTTGGCAACAAGGGATAAATAAACAGTTTACCACCACAAGATAAACAAGTTACACCACCATTGAGTAATTGGAAAATTTCAAATTCCCCATGTGCCAAAAGGGACCCTGTCTTATCGTCCTTGTGAGGTAGCTCAATAATATCCAGAGATTTATACTTGAATAAAGTGACTTTGTCTTCCATCATTAAAGTTACGGATGGACTTGTATCTTCATGCGTAGTAGTGCCTGTTGACGTAGTAGTGGAGTCTCCTTTTGGTTTCAAGTGTTCTCGAAGATCAATTCTGTTGTCGTCTCGTGTATGGTCATTTTGCTTTTGACGTGTCAATGCTTCTTTGCGTGGGGATCTGTATGCTTGTGTTGAGATGGGTGTTTCGGGTATGCCTTGGAAATGTAAATGGGAGGGTAGCACTGGTGTTGTTATTGGAGCTGCTTGCTTCGATGTCTGTTCTTTAAAACCCGTTTGCGTCATTGTACTTTTTATGTTTTCCGTAGTCTGTCCCTCCGTACTCCTTTCTCGTTGGGCACTATCTTGGTTCAGTGGCAGCTTCTGATCTTGCTTGCCACTTAAGTTGGATGATAAATTATGCAGACTTGTTGTTGCTTTCAACTGCGATGCCTTTCCTTGAGCACTGTTGTTACTATTGTGTTTGGAGAATAGTTGTGACTTGTTTTTGAATCTACCCTTCTTCTTTGTCCTTTTCTTTCCTCCTTGGTCAGAGTTGAGTTGTCGAGCGTTCAGTAGTCTCGTGGGCGGACTGGATGTACCATTGTTTGCAAAATTCACCTTGATATCGTTTTTGCTTTTGTTGTTGTTGTTGTTGTTGTTGTTGGTGTTGTTGTTATAACCATCATTGTTTGTTTCCCCATTTGAAAAAGTAGATAGCATAATTGGTGGGGTTTAATGCGTACCGAAAAACTTACTTTGGCGTTGTGTATAGTATGAATGTGTGAGTGTGAGTGGGAGTAAGTAGTTGTTGCAATGGGGTTGGTGATACCAAATGGACCTATCCTATGAGTGGTTTGATGGTAGTAAAAGTGGTATGATTGTAAGTAAGTAGGAGGTACTATCTTGTTGTATGGAGTTATTCTTGATTATTATTTTGGTTTTTTTTTTTTTTTTTTTCTGTCGGCTATTTGAGTAATGTACTCCACCTTATTAATATATGAATACAATCTTATATCATATATGACAGTCCAACTAAAAGAAAGATCTACATTTGATTTACTCCTGACTAAACCTATACAGCCAACTGCGTATGCTTCTTCACATATAACATCATTCTTACGCAGACTCTGAGATGTGAATGCAGTCACGGCAGTTAATCATAAGTATAACAAAACGTTTCATCGACGATATTGATTTGCGGAGAATTATCAATTGCTTTCTTTACTGCTACTGCTAATACTATTTTACCCCTACTGGGCTCCTCCCAAAACGTGTGTCTCTCTTATATATGATGTACTGCGTGTAGGTTGTGGTTGTGGCTGTGCAACAGAGGTGGATGCAGATAAAGATTCAGCATCTGTTTCAGCAAATAATGGCTCATACTGAACACCTCGAACATGAACCGCTTCTTCTTCTTTATGGTAAAACACAATTTGGCCAATTAATGCAATACCTGGTGCCACAAATTTCTCAATTTTCAATATGATACTCGATGGCGGATACAATTTGTTTATATAACCTTTAGCTAAAAGAAATCCGGTGGAAATACCAGCCAAATGACCAGGTAAAGAGCTAGCCGGAAACACAATTAAACAGAAAATAGCGGCAATGAAAGGAGTAGCCAAGGTATAAATCTTGATTTCACGCGATCCAATTTTAAAACTATCCAATACTGGCTTGTACTGATGTTCCTTGTAAGCCATATATGCAATAAATGAAAATCCGATTCCTGATAACCCAATTACCCCAGTATCAGGGTAAAGAAACAACCCAACAATACAATACTGTAAAGCAGCAATTACTGTCAAAAGATTCAAGGTGATCCCAGTATATACAGTACCATGACGTTTTTCAAACATGGCCAATGGGGTGAATATTGCACAAATATTTATAAACCAATGCAAATAACCAACATGAATTAATGGGTACAACGATATTGCATTTAAATTGAATTCTAATGGTGATCGAGGATAAAGTATTAAACTCGAGAATTCAAATCCCATAGAATTTTTGAAAAAACATAGTATGAGGGTAAATATGGGTAATCCTGCAGTTAATGCCGGTGTTTGTTTAAGGGCTACCAACAGTTGTGACGGGAAGGTATTACTCGGAGTCTGTTCCATTTGAGTTGGTATGTGTGTTTTGTTTGAATTTGGTGTCTTGGTGAAAGAATTTTTTTGCGAATTGTCGCCGACAGGAGAAAACAAGGCGCGTGATTTTGAGGCACAAGATATCGTATTACACGACATTGAGTATTTCGAAAGAGTAAGTATAGCAACTACAAAGCCTTCCTAGCATATCCTATACAAAATCATTCTTAATCTTGTTTCTAAACGAATTCAACAAAGTTTGCTTCTTCACATTATTCTCCTTTAAGCGATTAATTTCATTCATCATTATCTCGGGGGTAACGTCAATCCCATCAATTTCCAGGATATACAGCTTCAAATTATCCAATTTCGATCGTAGATTACCAATATGTTTATCAAAATCACGAGGATGGATTTTACCATTGGTGAAATCAAATAAAATGTTGTATAGTTCGGGGAGTAATTGAATTTGTTTTATTTTGGCAAGCGGATCATCTTGGTTGTCGGTATTTGTAGCTGTGCTAGCGATTGCCACATCATTAGTTGCAGCTTCTGGTGCTGCTTTGAATGGTGGTTCGAGTTCAGTTGCAGATTGAGAAGCATCTGGCATATCGATATCCATCTTCTCAAGTAATTCTGTATGGGGACTCTCTGGCTTGCTGTATCCACCTGACTGTTCTTGATGACCTAAATCGTTCGTTTGGCCCTCCTCCTTCTTGACTTGGTTTGAAGCAGGCTCTTCTTCTTTGTCCTCGGAAGGTACCAGCAGCAGAGCTGGGTCTGGTAATTGCACCGTTGTTGATCCTTGTTCTGAATCTCCCAAGGACTCCAACTGACTGAACTGTGTTAGATCATCGTGATTATCTAGCGAAAAATCTGATCCTATTGTCCCATCAAGTCCAATAGGTGTGTCCATGTCTTGTGCTATTTAGATAGGATCCATGAAATGAGCTTTTGCTTAGGTTCATTTGTCCGCCTTCGGACATAAGCAATGTGGTCGTGTACAACTACTTGAAGAAAAAAATGAAAGTTGCATTAACTCCGCCTCGTGCGTATAACAATAACGAGAGGTCCGTTATCCGTTATTCAAAATCTCTTCTTTCTCATGACTTATATAGTGGTATATTGGACTTCAAGTGGGTAGTAAACTGAATGAAGGACCACTAAGGATAACGCCAGCACCAAAGCAGTTCCTACGATAATAATAATCTCTTTTAATCTTCACAGGAATTGCTACAATACATTGCTTTATAGTAGTATATGCATATATGCAGTAAGTTAAATTTATTACCGTGGGATCTCACTCATTTAGCATGTGCTTTGTCAATTTTCTATTTTTGCTTATTTTACCCCACCAAAAAAGACCAAACGACAAAAGACAACAAAGTTACTTTTATATCTATAAGACCCATACTATTCCTACAATCTTTGATTCCAAGGTAGTATAAGCTTTATATCTTCCACCTATATTACCAACGCCCCAGATTTATATTTTTACAAATTGAAGAAGTTTACAAAGAAAATTACCCCACGGATAATGAGTAAATCAACAAAAAACTCAAAGGCAAATCCAGGTTCAAGTGCCAATGCCAATGCCAGCGCAAAACCAGCTGTTTCTCAAGTCATCGGCGATACTAAACCTTCTAAATCTGTTAAAACTGCAGGTACTAATGGTACAACTAAAGCAAACCCCATTCCTCCCCCACAATTGGATCACGTTGAAGGTTTAAGCTCCCCCGAACTGTCGGCTGCATCTCCCAAATCATCAAAGGGTGAAGAACCATCTTTGGAACACAGAATCTCAATCAAAAGGTCCAGTCAAGAATCAACTTTGAATGACATTGCCTCAGGAAAATCAAATGTTTCAGGTCAATCTTCATCAACTCAAGCAACAAAAGTTGGTAGTGCATCTGAAACCAAGTCTTCCACCGCCACCACCACCAATGATGGATTTGAATACAAGTACACAGAGTTGTCGGAAATTCCAATTGGTGTTAAAAAAGTGACTGATGGATTCTTTTCTGGTAAAACCCACTCACTTCAATTCCGTTTGAACCAATTGAGAAATCTTTATTTTGCGATTAAAGACCATCAACAGGAGATTTGTGATGCTTTGGAACTTGATTTTGCTAGAAACTCATCCGAGACTAAGAATTATGAAATTGCCACTGGATTGAATGAATTATTATTCACCATGACCCAATTACACAAATGGGCTAAACCGGAAAAGGTTACTGATTTGCCAGTAAACTTGTTGACAAATCCAGTTTATATTGAAAGAATCCCCTTGGGTGTTGTTTTGGTTATGTCTGCTTTCAACTATCCATTATTTGTTTCTATTTCGCCCATTGTTGGTGCTATAGCTGCAGGTAACACTGTTGTCTTCAAACCATCCGAATTGACTCCAAGGTTCTCCAAGTTGTTTGTTCAGTTGCTCACTGAAGCCTTGGATCCGGATATCTTTTATGCAGTCAATGGAGCTATCCCAGAAACAACTGAAGTTTTGAATCAAAAATTCGACAAAATTGTTTATACTGGTAACGGAATGGTTGGTAGAATTGTTGCCAAAAAGGCGGCCGAGAACTTGACACCAGTCGTTCTTGAATTGGGTGGTAAGTCACCAGCCATTATCTTGGACGATATCAAGGATAAAGATTTGGCAACTGCAGCCCGCAGGATTGCTTGGGGCCGTTTCGCCAATGCCGGTCAAACTTGTATTGGTGTTGATTATGTCTTGATTGCTGAATCTAAGCGTGCCAAGTTTGTTGCTGAGATCAAAAAGGTGATTGAAAAGGAACTTTACCCAGGTGTGAACAAAAATGATAAAAACTTCACTCACATGATTCATGATCGTGCCTTCAATAGAATGGTCAAGATTATAAAGGAAACAAAGGGATCAATTGTCACTGGTGGTGAATATGATGCACAGACCAAATATGTTGCTCCAACAATTATTGACGATGTTTCTTGGTCAGATGCATCAATGGAAGGGGAAATATTCGGACCTATTTTACCAATCCTCACTTATTCAAACATCAACGAAGCTTGTAAGGAAATCATCAGACACCACGACACCCCGTTAGCAGCATATATTTTTACCGGTGGATACACGTCCGCTGGAAAGAATCCACAAGTTGCTACCGTCAAAAAATCTATCCGTTCAGGTGGGTTAATAGTCAATGATGTGTTAATGCACATCGCTTTGCACAATGCACCATTTGGAGGTGTCGGTGAGTCAGGATATGGCTCGTACCATGGAAAATTCTCGTACAGAACATTCACTCACGAAAGGACGGTGATTGAACAACCATTGAACAATGATTGGATGTTGCAAGCAAGGTACCCACCATTTTCTGATGCTAAAGACCGGTTAATGTCTGCTGGTATGGCACCATATGGAGGTAGAGTTTGGTTTGGAGAGCAAGGAAATGTTAGAGTTGATGGCCCTTCTGCCTTTTTCAAGACTTGGACCACTGCTGTAGGATTAGTTGGTTTGGTTGGTGAGCTTATTAGCTCTAAATTGTAGGGTCTGTACCTATATGTGTTTATTGAATTGAAAATGATTTATTGTTGTTCAAATATTGGTAATTCAGTGTACGTGAGCAAAATTGTTTATTACGTCCGATTTAGTGTATCAACGGCTCATGCATTAGTAAAACTTTGTTTGGTTTCTCTTATGCCAATTCCCGCTCGGCTCATTCCGAAAGACATGCGTTGAGAGCTATATTGTTGTGCCGACGCATCATTTAAGTGACATAAAAATTGACGAATTTGCAGCCACATTTGACTCAATTTTTTGCCAAGAAAGTCAAACGCAAATTAACAATTGTTGTACAAATCATTTAGAAGACCTTTCACCTACTTTTGACACCACAATTTATTGGAAACAATAGACTTGATGAGGCCATGGAGGTGGAAATGGCTCCCAGTATGAGGCCATCATACCCAACCAACTAGTGAAGACTTTCTCCCTCGTCTTCGTTTTAAGTAAATCTACGGCTTCTCACTTTGTTGTCTCTGGATTGGAACAATGAAGGCCACAAAGATTGTTATAAAAAGGGGTTAATTCTTCCCACTTTGATTATTACTACGTAACATCCAATCGTAGCAGCTTCTACAATGACTCGACAAAATTCTACCGTATCACTTGCATCTAGTGAAAAATTGAAAGGCACCAAAGAGGTAATTGACACAATCGAGGTAGATTCCTCATACGAAACCAATCAACTAGCCAAGAACCCATTTTTAGATCCTAAAGTTGAAGAGTATTATCGTGATTTGTACACTAAATCAAGATATGAAAGTTACTCGGCATTTGATCCCACTTTTGAATGGACTGAAGAGGAAGAGAAGAAGGTTATTTGGAAATTGAATTGGAGAGTTGCCTTCACTGCGTGTCTTTTATTTGTGAGCTTGCAAGTTGACAGAGGTAACTTGGCTCAAGCTGTTTCAGATAACCTTTTGGCAGATTTGGGATTGAACACAAACGACTACAACACTGGTAATACTATCTTCCTTGTCAGTTTCTTGCTTGCCGAAGTTCCGTCACAAATGATTTCGAAAGCATTGGGTCCGGATATCTTTATCCCTTTTCAAATTTGTGCTTGGAGTATAGTTGCAATGTCGCAGGCGGCATTGACCAACAAAGCTGGGTTCTACATTACAAGATGTTTGATCGGGGTGTTGGAAGGTGGATTCATTGCCGACTTGGTATTATGGTTGAGTTACTTTTTTACCAGTAAGGAGTTGCCTATCAGGTTGTCATGGTTCTGGACCACGTTGTCATTGTGTCAAATTGCAACTTCATTAATGGCGTTTGGAATATTGAGACTCAGAACCTGGGGATGGCATGGATGGCAGTTTCTTTTCCTCATTGAGGGAGGTTTCACTTTAGCCATTGGAATTGCATCTTGGTTCTTAATGGCGCCTAGTGCTGTACAAACTAAACGTTGGTATAACCCCAAAGGTTGGTTCACAGAAAGAGAAGAAAAGATTGTTGTCAATAGAATATTGAGAGATGACCCCACTAAAGGATCAATGAATAATCGTCAGCCGATTGGTTTGAAAGGGTTGTATCACTGTCTCATTGACTATGATATGTGGCCACTTTACATCATTGGTATTGTTGCTTATATTGGACTGCACACATTTCAACAATACTTCACCTTGATGAATCGACACTTGGGGTTTTCAGTATTTGATACAAATTTGTTAACCATCCCATCAACAGTCATTCATATCATATTTTTGTTGCTCATTACTTGGTTATCGGAAAGAGTTAATGAACGAAGTTTTGTATGTACAATTATGCCTATTTATACCATCCCGATAATGGGCTTGATTAGATGGTGGCCAGGTGCAGGCAAAGAAGCTTGGCCAACGTGGGTGTTGAATACATTGTATTTGGGTCAACCTTATATCCATGCCATATGTGTAGCTTGGGTGTCAAGAAACTCCAATTCAGTCAGAAACAGATCAATTTGCTCTGCTTTATACAATATGTTTGTTCAATTGGGGAGTATAATTGGAAGTAATATCTATCGTGAAGATGATAAACCATTGTATCATCGAGGAAATATGCAATTGTTTGCCATTACCTTCATTTTGTTACCGATTTTATTATTGACTAAAGCATATTATGTATGGAGGAATAAAACTAAAGACGAAATTTGGAATTCAATGTCGGAGGAGGAGAGACATAAGTATAGGGAAACAACCACTGATCAAGCTAACAAGAGATTGGATTTCAGATTTGATCATTGATCTAGAACAAAGTGAGATGTGTTACTACTCCTATTTTGTACTTTTATGTACATTCATTTTATAGGTAATTGGGAAACTAATAAATGCATTTTGACACTTCAAGATTTTTGTCAATCAGGGGTGAAAAAATCAATAATGCCTAGACTACGATTGATTTCTATTACCCCTTTACAAAATGATTGCAGAGTTGTGCTCTTTGTTTGCCTCGCCACTTTGGTCTCTTCCGTAAGATAGGACTAGATACCATCTTATCACTTAATTGTGGCTCAACACTGATAACCCCTGCTGTTTAATTGCAAATTACGATTTGCAGCCACAATTTTGAGCACTTGCTACACAAAACTGACAATTCGAAAATTAAAAAATGCCACCACAGTTTTGAAGATTATTAAAACGAAATTAATAGAGACAGACTTACTTTGCACAAACTATCACCAACTATTTCCAACTGTAACACCAAATTGGGTTTACCTTGGCGCCAAGATCATGATAATGATACCATAGTTTACTAGTTGCAGCATTACTGTTTAAGAGGTTGGTGTGCAGTTGCCGCAGTTATTCTGAAAGAAGATCCCTAGTTCCTTATGATTTTGGGTTGTCTATAAATACTGAGTTACAACTGTTGAAAAGAACTCCAATAATGCTATATCTTCAAACCAGAATCTCCACTACCACCTGGCAATCATGGCTCGTCAAAACTCCATTGATTCAAAGTTATCAGCCGATAGCAGAGCCAATTTAAAGGGTGATAAGGATATCATCACCACAATCGAGTCAAATTCCTCGTTTGAGTCTGAAAAATATGATAAAAACCCATTTTTAGATCCCAAGGTGGAAGAATATTATCGCGACTTGTACACAAAGTCGAGGTATGAAAGTTACTCAGCATTTGATCCCACTTTTGAATGGAGCGAAGAGGAAGAAAAAGTTGTTGTCAGGAAGTTGAATTGGCGGGTCGCATTCACTTCTTGCCTTTTGTTTGTTAGTTTGCAAGTCGATAGAGGTAATATACATCAAGCGGTGTCAGACAATATGTTGGACGATTTGGGGTTGGACACTAACGACTATAATATGGGTAATACTATTTTCCTTGTCAGTTTCTTGCTTGCAGAAGTTCCGTCCCAATTGATCTCAAAGGCATTGGGTCCAGATATCTTCATTCCCTTCCAAATATGTGCTTGGAGCATCGTTGCTATGTGCCAAGCTGCATTGAAAGGAAAAGCCAGTTTTTTTGTGACAAGATTCTTGATTGGAGCCTTGGAAGGTGGATTCATTGCCGACTTGGTATTATGGTTGAGTTACTTTTTTACCAGTAAGGAGTTGCCTATCAGGTTGTCATGGTTCTGGACCACGTTGTCCTTAGTTCAAATAGCTACTTCATTAATGGCATTTGGAATCTTACGATTACACACATGGGGATGGCATGGATGGCAATTCCTTTTCTTGATTGAAGGTGGCTTCACTTTACTTATTGGTATAGCATCTTGGTTTTTAATGGTACCTAGTGCTGTTCAGACTAAAACCAAATGGAATCCCAAAGGTTGGTTCACAGACAAAGAGGAGAAAATCGTGGTTAACCGTATTCTTAGAGATGATCCTACCAAAGGATCAATGAATAACCGTCAAGCAATAGGTCCCAAGAATATGCTCAAGTGTCTAATTGATTATGATATGTGGCCGCTTTATGTTGTTGGGATTGTTGCCTACATCGGACAAAGTACTTTCCAGTCATACTTTACCTTGATGAATAGACAATTGGGATTTTCTGTTTTCAACACCAACTTGTTGACTATTCCTTCAACTGTTATTCACATCATTTTTCTCTTGATGATATCCTGGTTCTCGGAGAAAATTGGTGAAAGGTCTTTTGTATGCTGTCTTGCACCGCTTTATGCTACTCCTTTAATGGGTGTCATCAGGTGGTGGTCAGGCTCAGGAAAAGATATATGGGCAACGTGGGTGTTGAATACATTGTACTTAGGACAGCCTTACATTCATGCCATTGTTGTTGCTTGGGTGTCAAGAAACTCCAATTCAGTCAGAAACAGATCAATTTGTTCTGCTTTATACAATATGTTTGTTCAATTGGGAAACATCATTGGTAATAACATATATCGTGAGGATGATAAACCTATGTACAAAAGAGGAAATATGCAATTGTTTGTCATTACATTCATCCTTATACCCATCTTGGTGCTCACCAAATTCTACTACGTTTGGAGAAACAAGAGCAAGGAAAAGGTTTGGAATGCAATGAGTGAAGAAGAAAAATATGAGTATAGAACAACAACGAAACATGAAGCTAACAAGAGATTAGACTTTAGGTTCGATCATTAGTTGAATAGAGTATTTATAGAAACTAGAGTGGCAAATTTGATTTATTGAAATTGTCGTTTAGCTTGTTTATCACTAATTTTGTTTTAGAAATATGCGCTAGGCTAATGGACAAAAGAATGTATTTTTCTGGAGAAGTTTTTGATTCAAAGTGATGTTTAATCCTGGGTAGCTTTGTAGATAATATTCAACAATCCAGGCTGTAATAACGATCAAGTGATTGAGCAGTTAAACATAGTAAATGTGGCGGTCAAGGAACAAAAAAATTGAAGAAAAAAACGATCGAGAATGTTTTATGGCAATTGTGATGCCAATTATTGACATATCCTTCCTCTGTAACCGTATGATATATTTACCTACAGCAATAATCTAGACAGTCGTGAATACAAAAATGGCATCACTATGAACTAGAGACAAGTACATACTGTCGATTGGGAACACCCTAGCATCACCGACTTTCTAATACAAGCCCATCACTCGAAGGTTAATTTTTGCAGCCACACCATTGATGTCCCAAAAAAAGTGGGAAAAAAAATCCACTTTATCCAAAATCTGATGCAATTCAAACCACACTTTTCAAAAACACAATGGGATCATTGATATCAACAATGCAATTAACCTATTATCCTACTGTTTTTGGGTAAAGGCATTGTGTAAATTGGCTGTCACAATGGGTTGTAAACTATGGTTGTGAAAAATAGCACCACAGGTGTGGATTACTAATTCATTCGAAGTAGCTGGATAAGACAACTAAGCAGCACTATTTATAGAAGGTTGAATCCCCCTTCACTAGACTCAGTTCAAGAAAGATGCTTTTTGACTACACACAACTTCAAAGAAGCAACTTAGGGGTGCTGCATTTTGATAATGGGTCTCCGTCGCATAAGCAATGAATCAATTTCATCGAATAATTCGTATGCATCAATCAATGACGCAGATCCTTTAAAGAAGCACGATAAGCTCACAATCACCCGTGTTGCGTCAGATTCCTCAATAGAGAGCAACCAATTGAAAAAGAATCCTTTTTTAGACCCACAAGTAGAAGAATATTACCGAGAATTATACACCAGATCCGGGTATGAAAGTTATTCAGCTTTTGACCCGACTTTTGAATGGACTGAGGAAGAAGAGAAGAAGGTGATTAGGAAGTTAAATTGGAGAGTGGCATTCACTGCATGCCTTTTATTTGTGAGTTTGCAAGTTGATCGAGGCAATTTGAGTCAAGCAGTTTCAGACAACTTTTTGGACGACTTGGGATTAAACACCAATGATTTCAACACCGGAAACACGATTTTTACATGCAGTTTCTTGGCGGCTGAAGTACCATCACAGTTGATTTCGAAAGCATTGGGACCCGATATTTTTATCCCGATGCAGATTTGTGCTTGGAGTATAGTTGCAATGTCGCAGGCGGCATTGACCAACAAAGCTGGATTTTATGTCACTCGTTGTTTGATCGGTGCTTTGGAAGGTGGATTCATTGCCGACTTGGTATTATGGTTGAGTTACTTCTTTACCAGTAAGGAGTTACCTATTCGATTATCGTGGTTCTGGACAACATTATCTATAGTCGGGGTGGCTACGTCGTTGTTGGCGTTTGGAATCTTACGATTACACACATGGGGATGGCATGGATGGCAATTCCTCTTCTTGATTGAAGGTGGCTTCACTTTACTTATTGGTATAGCATCTTGGTTTTTAATGGTACCTAGTGCTGTTCAGACAAAACGATGGTGGAATCCCAAAGGTTGGTTCACAGACAGAGAGGAGAAAATCGTGGTTAACCGTATTCTTAGAGATGATCCTACCAAAGGATCGATGAACAACCGTCAAGCTATAGGTCCAAGAAATTTGTTTCACTGTCTTATTGACTACGATATGTGGCCGCTTTATGTTATCGGTATTGTTGCTTATATTGGCCTGGGCACATTGGGAACATACTTTACATTGACAAATAGACAGTTGGGGTTTTCTGTGTTTGATACAAATTTGTTGACGATCCCATCAACTGTTATTCACATCATTTTTCTTTTACTGATTTCGTGGTTTTCAGAGAGAGTGGGGGAAAGGTCATTGGTGTGTTTGATTGCACCGCTTTATGCTACTCCTTTAATGGGTGTCATCAGGTGGTGGTCAGGCTCAGGGAAGGACATATGGGCAACGTGGGTGTTGAATACATTGTACTTAGGACAGCCTTACATTCATGCCATTGTTGTTGCTTGGGTGTCAAGAAACTCCAATTCAGTCAGAAACAGGTCAATTTGTTCTGCTTTATACAATATGTTTGTTCAATTGGGTGGCATTATTTCCAACAACATCTATCGCGAAGACGATAGGCCAATGTACAAAAGAGGAAACATGCAATTATTTGTCATCAACTTGATACTTATTCCCATTTTGTTGTTAGTGAAGCTATACTACATCTGGAGAAACAAGAGCAAGGAAAAGGTTTGGAATGCAATGAGCGAAGATGAAAGAAGAGCTTATAGAGAGACAACAACCGATGAAGCCAACAAGAGGTTAGATTTCAGATTTGAGCATTAAATAGCTTAAAAGTTTGTATATTAGATCTAATATATATTCAAAGTTCATTACCTTGCACTATGGGAAATCAAATAATTTGGTTATATGATTGGGTCCTTGTGGTGTCGCATATCACTTTTAGTTGAACCTACCTTGCAAAACCAATCTGAAGTTAATAAACCTCATGTCAAGGCTTTTTTGTGGGGAAGTAACAAGCACTAAGTGGGTAGTTTAAACCTAAACGTTTAACTCCAGAGCACCACAGAATGCTCATTGTGTAATCTATATTTGCAATAATATTATCATTGTCTGTTTTGCAACTAATTTCGAAATGAAAACAAAGCTTGATTTAAGTCACTAGAATGAAAGATGATCATTGGAAAAGGGGTACATTTTTGAAGCCAAAGATAGTGAGTAGTTCTAGAGTTATCTCAGAACCTCTATCGTTGAAGTTATATCAGAGTTGTATCAGTCTATCTTGCATTTAACATTTACAATCTCCGTAGTTGAGCAGAGCAATTCCATATTGCAAAAGAATAGCTTACATCGAGTCAAATCTTCATCCCTTTATAATTAGGAGATATAAAATAATTTGTTGTATTAGCTTCAGTTTCATTTGTGGGTAAGCTTGTTGAATATAATTATTCTCAAAATGTTTCCACCAAACAAACCTTAAATTTTGGTTACCAATGGTCATTATCAACATCCCCCCAAAAAAAAAACAGGAACAAGTCCCCCCACCCCCAATCCCATTTCTTCTCCTCATTAAATACCATTGCTTTTGGAGCAAAAATAATACGAGCAAGCATTTGTTTTTTTCAATAATATAAAGTCCCTGATTCCCCACAAGTCGTGGTGAGTATTTATATACCTCCATCCGACAAAGCACAAACCAGAAAAACCCACTTGATCCTCGGTTGAACTTGGAGTACTTGGTCTGCTTAATTGTACGCCTCGAGGACTTCATCAAAATTCAAATGAATGCATTGAAATATAATATTATTTATTCGTTGACCGTATTTGGTAAGTCAATAACCTTCACATTTGATTATTCGACAAGAAAAATTATGAATAGCTATTGAATACCTCAAGGGACGATTGGAAAAATTATAGAATACGAGGATGTTCATGTTACATAAGATTTAAATGGCTCGTTATGAGATGATATAAATTTGGAGTGCATTTCCCCAAATCTACAATGTCAAAAGTATGATTGGCAATATTCCCCCATCCAATGTCCTCAGATAAGCCAAACTCCTTGATTTCAGAGGACAAGACACCAACACCAGATTTGTCACACGACGATGCTTTCATGGAAAAGGCCAAAATCAGCATTTCAGAAGTATCGCTAGTTTCCGAAAATGAAACCAACGCGAAATCCACTAATCCATTTTTTGACCACGACACAGCTCAATACTACAGAGACTTGTATGAAAAAACAAAATACGAATGTCGTTCCCATTTCGACCCTGAGTTTGTGTGGACTGAAAGGGAAGAGAAGAAAGTGGTTCGGATTTTGAATGTTAGAGTTGCCCTTGCTGCTTGTCTCATGTTTGTTGCTTTACAAATTGATAGAGTCAATTTACATCAAGCTGTCACAGATAACATGTTGGGTGATTTAGGGTTGACTACTGATGACTACAATACGGGAAATACAATTTTCTACTTGTCATTTATGCTTGCTGAAATCCCGTCACAAATGATTTCAAAAGCATTGGGACCCGATATTTTTATTCCGATACAGATTTGTGCTTGGAGTATTGTTGCAATGTGTCAAGTGGCATTGAAAGGGAAAGTTGGATTTTATATCACACGTTGTTTGATTGGAGCTATTGAAGGTGGGTTCATCCCTGATCTTGTGTTGTGGTTGAGCTACTTTTTCACAAGTAAAGAATTACCAATTAGATTGTCGTGGTTTTGGTCAACATTGACGCTTACGCAGGTGTGTATTGCTATAGCCGCATTTGGTATTTTACGGTTAAGAGGAGTGTTTGGATGGCCAGGATGGGCTCACTTGTTTCTCTGGGAAGGGTTGCTTACTTTATTGATTGGTGTTGCTTCTTTCTACATGATGGTTCCATCGGCTGTGCAAACTAGAAATTGGATGCATCCAAAAGGTTGGTTTACCGAACGTGAGGAAAAGATTGTTGTTAATCGTATCTTGCGTGATGACCCTACAAAGGGGACCATGCACAACCGGCAAGCTCTTTCGTTGAAAATGTTGTGGGAATGTTTGATTGATTATGATATGTGGCCATTATATGCAATTGGACTAATGGCATACATTGGTCAGCTTACTTTTGGATCGTATTTCACATTGATGACAAGATCGCTTGGATTTAGTACATTTGACACAAATCTTTTGACCATTCCAGTTTCTGCATTGTACATTTCAACACTTCTTGCAATAACGTGGCTTTCGGAAAAGTTAAATGATAGAGCTTATGTGTCATTGATTGCACCATTTTATGGAGCGATTTTACTTGGAGTTATTAGATTTTGGCCGGGAGCTGGTATCCAAATATGGCCGACTTATGTCTTGAACACAATTTATCTTGGACATCCATACATCCATGCAATTCTTGTGTCGTGGGTATCAAGAAACTCAAATTCAGTTAGAACCAGATCTATTTGCTCAGCATTGTACAATATGTTTGTCCAAATGGACTCAATAATTGCCCAAAATATATTTCGTGAGGATGATAGGCCATTATACAAGAGGGGGTTATTGCAATTGTGGTGTATTACATTATCAGTGATTCCAATGTTGATATTGACTAAGTTTTATTACATTTGGAGAAACAAGACCAAAGAAAGGAAATGGAACGCAATGACGGAGGAGCAGAAGGCAGATTACAGAAGAAACACCACTGATGATGGTAACAAGAGGTTGGATTTCAGGTTTGCCCATTAGTATGGAATCTGAGGTGTATCAATTAGATGTGTAGATAAATACAAGAGCCTTCACAATATTTTACAATGAATGTTGAAACATTATTTATTAGAACTAAACAGGGTATCCAATATTGAATTAAAACAAACAGAATTGAATGCTTTTCCACTATGCTTTGGTGTGGGCTGGCGGTGGTCCTTCAGGACGCGAGAATTCCTCACCTGCAACATCATACTCTTGTTCTCTTGAGTAATAACCTTGTTGCGCCGCACCACCACTGCTAGGTCCATAATTTCCATATCCTTCATTTCCATAATTGTTGTACCCACCAGTTTGATAAGTTTGAGGTTGTTCAGGTGGCACGTAACTCTGTTGTGGTTGCTGATTTTGGTAGTACTGTTGATTCAGTTGCTGTTGTGGGTAGTAAACACTACCTTTTGATCTTCTACGTCTCAAACAAAACATAAGCAAGACAAAGAAAATGGGAATTAACACCAAGAGCCATAACAACCATCTGTACCTGTGCCAACCGCTATTGTTATTGTAGTAATACGGATTGTAATAAGCTCTTTTGAGCATCTCAATGTGGGTGTCTTCCTTGGGAACAATCATGGCTGAATGAAGTGCTATAGGTGTACAATTAAGTGAAGGAAGAGAGGAAGAAGAATGGTGTGGCAAAGCAGGTTTTTTTTTTCACAGTGTTTATATATGAATATTTTGGGTTTTAGCATTTCATGTCAATTGGGGGTTTTGTGTTTGTGCAGCAAACAAATGTTCGAATTTATGGTTTTTGTTTTCTCTTGCTCCTACAACTTAATCTCCATGAAATTGCAAAATTTCAGTTGATTTCCACAAAAGAGCCGATAAGCGTTTATAATTGCTTTACACGAATAGCTAGCTAGCTTATTGTTTAGTCTATACTTTGAGTATGCGGCTAATTTATTGGTTTATTTTAGTGGACCTGAAATTTTCTCAAGTTGCTAGTGATGATGTCATTTGTGTCACACTTTTAAAATTTTCAATAGCGAGGCTGAAACAAGTAGCCACACATTAAGGCACCACTCGAGGGTCGCTACACAACTGTGCAAATCTTTAAAGCCCAGATGGCAGAGGCTTCACACGAGTTGTGAATTTCTTGTTCTATGGGCTAGATAAAAGTCCGTTCCAAAGTAGAATTATGTATGCACGTTTTTGCCAAGATTGGGCGCAAAAAATTGGACTCTCTAGTTCTTCACAAGCTAAACAAGTAACATCATAATAAACAGGGTGCCTCAATATGTAATCTAGATGCCAATAAAAGATCTACTCACTAGAAAGGTTTCCAAATCCATGACAACGAAAACTGGCTACAACGACAGAAAGGGTCCAAGTCCGATGATCTGAGTACAGTCTTTCCTTCTGGCATGGAATAGTACATGTCGACTTTGAAGCAACACAAGCCGGTCACTCCACTTTTCCCAAAAGTGGTGTTCTAGAGACCACACTTGGTGGTGAGGGGGAGATAACACACTTGCGAAATACCCCGTCCTTCAACTCGTTGGTCAAAGCTAAAATAATTTATGCGACAAACTCTGTGAAGCACAAATAAAGGAGGCCCTTCTCTTGCAACAATGTTCTATTTGAAGTAAGATAATGTAAGGAACGAAATAGGTTGCTCCATAAGGGAGGATGCATATTTAATTCTTCACAATAGTTTCTTGAGACTAACCTTCGTTTAAGTATCAAAAACTATTCAAAGTTCAGAGGTTCCCGCCTAGCAATGCTTCTTTCTCTGATAACTACAAAGATAAAGTACATACTTTCAACCCCTCTTGAACGTGGGGGTGGTGGCATATGTTGAAACACTGATGGGGCAAATGTATGTCTCAGGCGTAACAACTTGTTCTCTCGAATAGAATATTATTTTGCATCAAACACAAAAAAAAGCTTAAATCTCGTATTCTCCAGTAGGGTCAAGATTTTTATCACCCCAGATTTGTGCCCTACTTACCCCATCAATGTGGGGCACGTAAAACTACTGTTGACGTTAAGATAAAACACCACAAGTTCATCACACATGGTTCAGCCCCGCGGTTTGAGTTTTGTGATTGTTTACTAGTCCCTTACAGATTCATCCATGTTACTGTGATTGCGAAGTTATAATAAGAGGAGGATTGTTAACCGAAACAGATTGAGGACGGTAAGCCTTTTCTAATTAGAACTTGAAATCTTGAGGAGAGGGAGTTTGAGATTTTCTAGAATAGGTTGGAATGAAACCTCATCTTCCCGATAATATAAATACTTCACTATCCACTCAGATCTTACCTTACACGATGCTACTACCTAGCTACCAATGACTACAGAAAAGCTGGCCTCTCTTGTGTTTGAACACACTTCACCATCCTCGAACCTGCTAAACGAAAAGACAAACGTTGAAAAGTCAACAGTCAGCATCTGTGAGATCATTTCAGAGCCGGAAAATAAGAATAAAACCAGTAACCCATTTCTTGATCCAAATACCGCTGAGTATTACAGAGAATTATATAATACCACCAAGTACGAATGTCGTTCCCATTTCGATCCTGCATTTGAATGGACCGCAAAGGAGGAAAAGAAGGTGGTTCGTAAATTGAATTTCAGAGTTGCATTTGCTGCTTGTCTCATGTTTGTTGCTTTACAAATTGACAGAGTCAATTTACATCAAGCGGTGACTGATAATTTCTTGGGTGATTTAGGGTTGACTACAAACGACTACAATGTAGGAAACACCATTTTCCACTTGTGCTTCTTGTTTGCTGAAATCCCGTCACAAATGATTTCAAAGAGACTCGGACCAGATGTGTTTATCCCTTTTCAAATTTGTGCTTGGAGTATTGTTGCCATGTGTCAAGTGGCATTGAAAGGAAAAGCAGGGTTTTATATCACACGTGGTTTGATTGGAGCTATTGAAGGTGGGTTCATCCCTGATCTTGTGTTGTGGTTGAGCTACTTTTTCACAAGTAAAGAATTACCAATTAGATTGTCATGGTTTTGGTCAACGCTTATTGCCACTCAGGTTGCCGTGGCTCTTCTTGCATTTGGTATCTTGCGGTTAAGAGGAGTGTTTGGATGGCCAGGATGGGCCCATCTTTTCCTCTGGGAAGGGCTATTCACATTGTTGGTCGGTATCGCCTCGTTCTACATGATGGTTCCATCGGCTGTGCAAACTAGAAATTGGATGCATTCAAAAGGTTGGTTTACCGAACGTGAGGAAAAGATTGTTGTTAATCGTATCTTGCGTGACGACCCTACAAAGGGGACAATGCACAACCGGCAAGCTCTTTCGTTGAAAATGTTGTGGGAATGTTTGATTGATTATGATATGTGGCCATTATATGCAATTGGATTAATGGCATACATTGGTCAGCTTACTTTTGGATCGTATTTCACATTGATGACAAGGGCACTCGGATTCAATACTTTTGATACCAACTTGTTATCGATTCCGGGATATTTCTTATTCATCTGCAATCTTCTTGGAATAACATGGCTTTCGGAAAAGTTAAATGATAGAGCTTATGTGTCAATGATCCCACCAATATATGGACTCATTTTACTTGGTGTGATCAGATTCTGGCCAGGAGCTGGAATCAAAGTTTGGCCGAGCTACATCTTAAATACGATATACTTTGGACATCCATACATCCATGCAATTCTTGTGTCGTGGGTATCAAGAAACTCAAATTCAGTTAGAACCAGATCTATTTGCTCAGCAATGTACAATATGTTTGTCCAATTGGATTCGATGACCGCTCAGAATATATTTCGTGAAGATGACAGACCTTTGTACAAGAGAGGTTTATTACAATTGTGGTGTATTACGTGGGCAGTAGTTCCGTTGTTGTTAATGACTAAATTTTATTACATTTGGAGAAACAAGACCAAAGAAAGGAAATGGAGCGCAATGACGGAGGAGCAGAAGGCAGATTACAGAAGAAACACCACTGATGATGGTAACAAGAGGTTGGATTTCAGGTTTGCTCATTGACGTAAGCTAATCTATGTATTACTTTCCAAGTATAGTTCCATGCCCAATCTGACCAACTCTTCAATGATATCCAACACTTTCTGAGCCTGCTCTCGTACGAAAATATCGTTGTCAGTAGATGCAACATACTTCAAAATTGTAACCACTTTTTCTCTGTACTTTTCAGGAAACTGTATCTTATCAGTCTCAGAAGTACCAAGAATTAAATCTTGAATCAAGACCACAGCCGCCCTCCTCATTATTGCCTTGTCGCTAGTGGTTTCCAAATTGAGTATACCGATGGCACAATCTAACGCATCTTCCAATTTGCCAATCAAACCAAGTGGGTTAACTTTGCAACACATTCCTAATAGTGACATAGCGGACATTCTCATCCTATCATCGTCTGCATCATGTCTACGAATTACAGATAATGTCGACTCAACAATGAGATTAGCGGATTCGCCTTGAAAAGTTTCATTTGAAACTTGAATATAACGAAGTATCACTTCACCAATTCTCAATCGCTCATCTAGCTCAGTTTCCTTGTTCACGTAAATATCACACAAAGTCTTTAGCACAACTGGCTCATCCCATTCAATCAAGCTTTCTAATCCTTTGATGACATTCAAGTAAACAAATGGCTCCGGGTCTTTCAACTGTACCAAATGCAAATTTATCACAAAATCAAGTGAAAGCACGTCACTTCTAGCCTCGATCAACTGACGTAAAAGGTACAAACCATGTGCTCTTATAGGTGCCAATGGATCATTCAAGCTAGTGATTGCTCTGGTCAAAGTTAGCTTTTGATCATCAATGGCATTAGTGGCGGCAATATCCCCACTCAATATGTCACCAATCCTTGATTCCAAAGCGTGGGCCGACAGCTTGATGTTTTCATTTACATTTTGTTTAGCCAAATTGAATAGAGACGACTTGATTGCTGATAAATGTTCGGTGCACTGGTCATCTATTACAATGTCGTTTTCAGACAAGATCGCCGAAAGCAATTGCAACAAAATTGGCAAAATCTCCTCTTTCTCTTCATCTTCATCATCAGAATCATGCATTGCATCATCGTGATCTTCTTCTTCATCAAATTTTGAATTCAAAAAGCTTTGAACAATCACTAACATCTCAGACGGCGTTCGAGCTAGGCTTTCTTTAAATTTCTCACCTATACTTTCCAACAACTTCAAGTCAATTAATTTGATAAACGGACTTTCTTCGTCACCACCAATCAAATTGGATCCAGAAAGCCATTGTTTTAATACTTTTATGAAAAGGAACTGTACCATGTCGTCATGAACATTTTCTAACAATGTTATAAAGTTTGTGCATGCAAAATCCAAATCAACAATAAATTTATTCACCTTGTACTCTTTACTCTCTAAAGTAAACTCCTTTTTGTTGCTTTCTATTTGCACCATGTTATTTGGTCCCATTGCGAATCTCCAGCCGTCACCACTTTCGAAGCACAAATTTTTTGCAATAACATCAATTCCAGCTAGGTCTTTGGAATCAGAATCGTTCATTATTGTAAAGTATACTGTCAAAATAGTAGTTATGCTCTCGACTGACTTTGCATTTCTTTTTAGGAACAAGTAGTAGCCCCACAAAGGAAGCAAAATTGGTGTCATCACCGCCCTGTAAAAACTGGGCTCCAAACCCTTTTGAGTTAGTGATAACAACACATTCACTGCATTATTGAGTTGAGCTTCAGCAACCAAGACACCGGGCTTGTCAGGTTTGGGGTTGAACTTATCCCAGACCTGTTTCAAGAAAAAGTCTTTCACAACCAATTTATTTCTGCTCCAAAGCTTTTCTAGAATATAAGTTACGCACGATGCAACAGTTGGTCGATTTATATTAACTAGTAAGTCATAGCATTGCTTACCGATGGATGTGAAGTAGTCCTTGGTATTTATAGTTTTCGGTTTGAGCAAAACGACATTGGCAACATGATCAAACCTCGCGATATCAATTTCATCTTGGTCACGTAAACCTAAAACATACTCAATCAAAGCGAGTAAACCACTTCCTCGGGGAGCTTTATAATGGAGCCTTTGCAAGTGGCTCAGCACAAAATTTTTGAAATAGTCTGGTGACGTCGACGTGAGCAAAAGCGAATAAATTTGAAGCAATTCAAATGTATCTGGCACTTTTTCAACTATTGGGTACTCAGAAATATACTTGTCATGGTTGGTTTGTGAAATTGTACACAAAGCTATCGAAATGGTGATAAAGTCCGATACACCAGAACCCTTGCTGAGCAATTCAGTCACATCTGATGGTGTTTGGAAAAGGGTGAAGAATTTCTCATACAAAAGCTTCAAAAGGTCAATGGCTGGCTCAGGTCCCTCAAGTTTATCTATTCCAACTGGTTTCTTATTCTGTTTAGCATCCTTCAACATTCTCTTTGCAAATGGTATTCCAATGTGGAAAACGTTTAAAGCTGGGTAGATACCATGAATGATTATAGTATTTACAAGCTTGCTGAATGTTTTGACATCATGTAACGAGATTGCAATGATTGATTTATCTTTGAATTGAGGCTCCAATGAATACCTTTGGATCTCTAGTAGCCTATCAAGTAGGTACTCCACCACACGCAATCGAGATTCACGATTCGTAGTGGAGTTGAATATGCGCTGATTGAGAGTTTCCAAAGTCAAATTGTCCAGGGGTGTGTCTAGTAATGTCTCCAATTGTTCAAACAAAATGTCAATGGGTTTTTCTCTTTTGAATTGAGGTTTGTTGAGCCCCTTGTGTTGCGGATAGACGTCATCTGCAGATCTCCTAATGGTTTTCTTCTTAAGTTCATCAGCAAACGGATTCTTTTTGGGTGGTGCTTGTTTGGAAGCTGGTGATTCAAAATGGGTCTTGTTCCCATCGCTTAGTTCGTAATCATCTGGGAGCTCTTCAATTTTGGGTGCCATAATTAATAGTAAAGAGTGACTGGTGTTGCAATTGATCAATGGCTCTAATATGCAGAACATCATCGGTGATGTCAATAATTTTTTTTTTTTGCTACAGATGCACTCATTACCTATCACTTCAGAGTATACACACTAGACGCATTACCTTCACTACCACCTTGTCCTTATCAACATTGCGAGTCAAGTAGAAATAAACATGTCCTCGGAAGACCACAAATTATCCCAAGAGGAGATGGACATAATCATGTCCGAGGTAAGGGCAGGTGAACTAGACTCATTGAAGGAAATATTCGAAGAGATACCTAAACAGGCGTTACTAGATATCAAGGATGACATGACATTAGCCACGCCAATTCACATGGCTGCTGCAAACGGCCACCTCGACACACTTCAGTACCTTCTCTCAATAATACTGAAACAAGATGCAATTAGTCTAACAAAAGCAAAAAATGAAACAGGAAACACAGCATTACATTGGGCAGCATACAATGGACACTTGGAGGTGGTTATACTCTTGGTTGAAGAATATGAAGCTGATCCATTTGAAAAAAACGAGGCAGGCCATGATTCGATATATGAAGCTGAAAACAATGGAAAAGTTGAAGTGGAGAATTGGTTTTTGAAAAAGTATGCCCCTGAAGAAGATTTCAAAGTTGAAGAAGACGGTGAAAATACGAAGATTAGTTATCAACCTGGTAAGGAGAGTAAATTGGCTGACGAGAATGCTAGGGATGCTGTTTTTGCAGCTAAAGTCGAGACCAAGCAAGAAGAAAAGAAACAAGAAAGCGATAAGCAGCTTGAGGGTTCAACTGCTAATTTGTCCCTTGAATCTTGATGTGTAGTAGTGTACCAGCATGTATTAAATTCATTTTATTGCTTCATTTGCAGCTAAACCCTCTTTCCTAAGGGTAGTGTAGAAGTGTCTTAAAAATTTTTCAAAAAAAAAAAAAAAAAACACTCAAGGTGCAGCAGCAGCAGCAGTGATTCATAATCCACTTTTAGACATAGTTTTACGCCTTCAGGTATCACCACCAAAACACATACTACACTCTACAACAACATGTCTGATCTAGGTTTTGATCCATCATTAAAGAAGAAGAAAAAAGTCAAAAAGCCAGTCGATGGCGTTTCCCCAGCACCAGAGAGCAATGAGTCAACACCAGCTCCTGATTCAGTGGACGACCTATTCTCCGGTATGAAGAAGAAAAAGAAATCATCTAAAAAGACAGATAGCTCAGTAGAGGATTCCAAATCACCAAGTGCTGAGGCAGATGTTGCAGCCTCATTGGGTGACTTGACTTTGAAAAAGAAGAAAAAAAAGAGTACCAAGAACTTGGACTTGAATGAGTTTGAACAACAATTGGAAAAAGCAGGAATTGAAGATACGACCAATGATCAGATAGACGATTCAATTGCGGGAACCAAGTTGGCTCAAACCGAAGCTGGCTTATCGTATGAAGAATTATTGTCACGGTTTTTTGAGATTTTGAAAGAAAACAATCCTGAACTTGCAGGTGACAGATCCGGTCCAAAGTTTAGAATTCCCCCACCAGTATGTCAAAGAGAAGGTTCCAAGAAAACCATGTTTGCCAATGTACAAGAAATTGCCACTGTTTTACAAAGAAACCCTGAGCATTTAATACAATTCTTGTTTGCTGAATTGGGTACCTCTGGTTCTATTGATGGTGAAAAGAGATTGATATTGAAAGGTAAATTCCAACCCAAACAAATGGAGAGTGTGTTGAGAAGATACATTATTGAATATGTTACATGCAAAACATGCAAGAGTATGAACACTGAGTTGAAGAGGGAGAGTGCCAACAGATTGCATTTCTTGAGCTGTAAAGCATGTGGTTCAACCAGATCAGTATCGTCAATCAAGACCGGTTTCCAAGCGCAAATTGGAAGGAGAAAGAAGTTCTAAGCATTATAGGTTGGAGGCTTGTATATTATCGTGTACTGTGAACTTTAAATATCTTTTTCGTACATTAACTATTCTTGTAACTTGAAACAATCTTTTTCAAAGGTGAACACCACGAACTGACCCCGTCGTGATTCATCATGTAATCAACAACGTCTGATTTCAACTTTGACGAGTCAGCTTGTGCATTGAGTAAGTCATTGAAAATTGATTCGATGAATGGCAAATGCTGCTCGTTGACGACTTGAATTTGGTTCTGTAGTTTTATTCTATAATGAGCCATCTCTCTTTCTGGTAACGACAATGGAAGATCAAAAACATTACCGAGTAAAGCTAAGAGATCTTGACGTTTCTGTCGTACTTCGTCTCCAGATAATGAAACTTGTGAGCTATTCTTGGATAATGACATCGGCGAGGGGCAGTCATTCCAGCCTTCTATGGCATCGCCTCTTTGATATTTCGTTAACGTCATAGGGTGGTGATGCTTTGTGGTTTTTTGGGAAATTTCATTGACACGTATATCCGCGTTTTGAGTTTCGGTCGGCGCTACCCGAGAGGTACTATAAATTACAATGCTTTGTTGGAAGAGTGAATGTTGAACATTTTGGTGATTGAGTTGATAAGATACGTAATCATCTATTAAGGCAGGTAGCTGTGTGTACTTGATGGGAGGTGACTTCCTTTTCCTGCCTGGCTTCAGGACCAAGATTTCCCGGTGCAGATCAATCCAAACTCGATTAATCCGATGATAACTATGTCACCCTACCTCATTTGAGGCCCGGAACAGATGTTCCCCACTATGATTCCCAGTAACGACCCTCAAAGCATACGCTCGATAGATCCCGACCCAATGTAAGTCATTGGGATGAGTTAAATTAACACTTCGCTACCTTCATTCGAGATAGAATATGAGGAAGGAAGGAAAGCAAAAGCTTGGACCAAGAACACTCAAAAATATCCAATGTCTTCCAAGCCACAACCTTTATACCGATAGCTTACTAGTGATATCCAAACCTTCATCGAGAAGTTGATCTACTGTTGGCCTATCAGAGGCATCAACTTGCAAACACTTTTTAATCAACCCAATCACCTCATTACTATATCCATTGTTTCCCTTTGGTATTTGGTACCTCCCTTGACCTATAGCAACATGCAAGTTTGCACCTTGCTCCATTTCCAATTTCTCAAATGGCGAGTATCCAAAACAACAACTGTAGAGCAAGCAACCCAAAGACCAAACATCTGTCGCTTCAGTAATATGTGAACCAGTAGTAACGTCCAACAACTCAGGTGCTCTATAAGGTAACGTACAATGCTCTTGAGCAAAATTGGTCAAAGCCAAAGCTTGTTGTCGGGTACGTACATGGTACCTAGCTCTTGAGCACGAACCCAAGTCTACCAATACCGGTAATCCTTCCGCTGAAATCATTACATTTGCTGGCTTTATATCGTGATGAGCGTAGGGTACCAACTCCTCCATTTCAGTGGCACCGTCAGCTGGTGGTGCTGTTGACACTGTTGCTGCAGCTGCAGCTGCTACTTGTTCATCATCTTCTTCATCTTGTAAAAGAGCTTCCTCTTCGTCGCCATCATCATCATCGAGCCTTACAGCTGTGTTTCTTGATACTTGTTTGTGATTGTGCATTATTCTCAACCCACGACAGACACCTACGAAAATCTTGAGAATCTCCAGCTCATCCATCTTAGTTCCATTGAGGACATGTTCAGTCAATATATCCTGAACTGATTTTGTGAAATACGGTAACAATATATACACGTGTCTTACTCCATCTGGACTGGATACGATTGACTCATCAATTGACTGAACAATGTAAGGGGTCTTGGTATTGGCGAACCGATGGTAATTTTTAATCTCTCGTATAGCGTTCTTATAAGTTTCGTCTTGAGTTCCATAAGGGCAGTTGATTTGTTTCAAAGCGAAGGGAGATTGTGACGACAGATGGACTAGATAAACGTATGAGAATCCACCTTCACCAAGAAGTCTAACTATGTAGTAGCTTGCATTGTTGAACTTGATTGAAGGGGTAGATAGGGATGGGATACATGGAAGACATGATCCAAAGATTGACAATAATAAGTTCATGTTGTGGGTACTTTACTGTCACTTTGCAGAAAAGATTCAGTTGAACCAAAATTTTAGTAGTGCACAGAAACAGATTATGTTTAACGCTGTCTCAAAAAATAAATGACACGACACTAAATTCACCACAAAGTTACACGGATACATCGTCAATGGTACTACGCACCACTCTTTTATAATACACGTCAAATCTCTGCCTATCAATTTAGTTACTAGTTTACGTGTCTGTCTTTATCAAGGTTCACTTGCAAGTTTATTATTGCTACTCTAAAAGTAGCTTTTGTGGAAGATTACACAAGATATTAAGGGCCATAGAAGCCAAGGTTTAGTAGTACACTTATTTCAATTAGTACCTAGGAACTTCACTCTGGTGGAATCAAAATGTGCATTGGTTTATATTGTGCAACTCCATTGTCGGTATCCTTTGTTTAATTCTTAAAACCTCTTCGCTCGATAGGACATTGTAGTTGGGACTCTTGGTAGTCTTGCTAGGATGATTGAAATCGTCTACATCAACGTCATTTATCAATAACTGTGTGCAGTTCTCAATGATTATGGGATTCCCTTTATCTCTGTTTTCAACAATCACTGTGGAGTCTTTTATGTGATGAAGTCTTGCTTGATGACATGATATAACAAAGATACAGTTGATTGCATTTTGTATAAAGACTGGACCAGAAGATTGTATATTGCAAATGGAGTTATTGCCATTTTGCAAATGAATAGACATTGACTCTAGTGAAAGCCTACTATTCGAGAACTTTGATATGTAGATGTGGTTGGAAGTGAGCTTGTAGTCGTCATCAACAACAGTGATTGAGTCAGAACGAAGGTTCGAAAATGCATCAGTATCATGTTTGGACTTGTTGAGGTTGGCCGGCGGTTGTGGGTCCCCCACAAACTTGAAACTCACTTTGCTGAGCTGATTCTGTTTCGATTGAATGAGCTTCAATATGGACTTGACATATTCACTTTCTATCTTCTTTGAATAGCTCGTATCAAGTGCTTGTGAGTCAATAAACTTTTGAAACTGATGCTGAATTTGTTGTAATTGTTCAAGTGATGTACATGTGATGATGTCAACTCGGAACTCTTATGTTGTTAATATACAAACGTTAGATGTAAATCTCTTTAAGCTACATACTGTTGATTGTGGTTGAGCTTTGCATTGGAACTATTTGATGGATCTAAGTTATTGGCATTGTATAGATCTTGTCTCTGATATTGTGGAACATAGTGTTTAGTTATGTAATAGATTATGTAATACAATTCAACCAGCAATCAAAATCACTGCGCCAAACAAAATGAAAATGAGTTAAAAGACAAACACTCCCCTCCCCATCGATTCTACATCACACCCCACTTGAACCATGTTTTCATCTTCAAAGCCCAAGTTTGCTCTTGAACTATCTATAAATGAACTTACTAATGTACCACAGATTAATGGAGCTTGCTACATTGAAGTGTCGATTCGAGACTCAAAACATAAACACATGCATAAACACACCAATGGATCTCGAGCACCATCCAAAGATACTTCCTCATCTACCAACTCATCATCAAATGGTAGCACATCAGCATCCAATGCAGCAAAATCATTTCTAAACAGACTTGACTCAAAGGCTAGTAAAACTGTCAATAAAGAAGTTGCTCAAGCTAAAGGTTCCTCCGGCCATATTTCAACAACCACGTCATTGAAGAAGTTACATAATTTCAAGTGTAATTTCAATTATAAACTTACATGCAACTTGAAGTTCAATTTAAAGAGTAAGAAAAGTCGGTTAATTGGTAACAAGTATCTATCACTTAGAGTATATTATGTGCACGACGATAGACATGGAGGCGATGAACAAATCATTATCCCATTGGGTCGATTAGAAATCAACTTGGCAGAGTACTTGAACTTTGAAGAGCCAGTTAATTTGAAATACTTGCTTGATGACTCAAAAGTAAACTCTATATTGAATTTAACAATTGGTCTTTCAGAATTGCCCGAAAATTTTGATTTCCATACCCAGTTGCAAATTCAAGATAACAACAGTAGTGTTGTGTCTTCGACTGCCTTAAAAGAGGGTCTCCATCAAAACAAGAAACGAAACACAACTTTTAATGTGCCCCAATTTGAACGGAAAAATGTATTCAATGGAATCAGCAATATCTTTGGCGACTCCAACGCGGATGAAAATGGTTCACCCAATCGTGTATCAGCACCATCTACACCGCAATCTGAATCCGATGAACGGCCACAATCACCTACACCACGTAGTCATCGGTCAGTGTTTAATCAGGCAAGCTCACCTGAACTGTCAGCCTCGTCTAAGCTTTCCCTTGATGGTAAACCAATTGACGATATTACAAATTTGAACAATCAGGATTTGATTAAATTGGTTGCACAATCTTCAGATGTATCTCTGGCTATGTCAACCCATCTGCCGAATCTGAATGGTCAGAATGGTCAAAATGGCAATGGGGGAGGAAACCACAATGGTAATTCGGTGTCGGCAGGTAATCGACACATTGCCATGGACCCCATCATCAATTCCTTGTATACAAAGATTCTTGAAAGTAATTGGGACCCAGCATTGTATCCACTTTTGGACTACTCCCCCAATCAATGTATTGATGATATTTTCGATAACCCTGAAAACCCATATGGATGTAATTTGAAATTGAAGGATTTTTATGATTCACAAGTTGAGAAAGATGAAAAGAATAACGGGTACAGAAATTTGAATGGGTTGATTAATGAAGATAAGTATAGATCAAATTTACGAAGTTGGACGTTACCCGATTCTCAATAATGAAAGAAAGAGAGAGAGAGAGAGAGAGAGAGAGAGAGAGAGAGAGAGAGAGAGAGAGAAAGAAAGTACGCACAAAAACTCCGTTGATGGGGCTGATATTCAGTTTTGTTTTCTTGGCGTTCCTTTCCCCAGATTCTTGATATCATTAAATCTTTGCTTGATCTGCAAGTCAGAGCTTTTCAAAAGGCCAAGCATGCCATATCCTTTATGAGTCGTCTCGACCTTGTCATTGTTGTTGTTGTTGTTGCTGTCTTTGGCTTTGCAAATGGTGTTGAATATTTTACTGGGGTGTTGTTCGTGTGAAATGCATCGCTCATTTGCAATTGTCGTCCTTGGATTGCTTGAAACTGTTTTCAATGAATGTGATGGAAATTGTTGCTTGGATTTCCCCCGTGGCGCAATGAACAGCACTTCTTGAGGTACTCTGATTTTGTTAATATTTTGTTGTTGTTTCCACAACGAAAGATACTCATTGAATGCATCATAACCTTCATCATCAGATTCGTCAGATTCGCGGTATTGAATATTGTTGATGTTGTTGTTGTTGTTGTTGCTGTTGCTGCTGGACCACGTTTTATATTCCTTGTCACTGGCATAGTTGGTTGTTGAATGTTTGTTTGAATTGCACGCGACATCTTTTAGAGGGGAAGGTACGTATGGAATATGGCGGCAATATTGGCAACTTCGAAATGCATCAGAATTGAGACTGCATGCTTGTGAAATACAATTGAAACGACGCATGTCATTGTAACCTTTGAATAATCCACGAGGGATTGTTCTCGTTGGTAACGGTTTACTTTTAAAACTGGTTGGTGAGGATTGTGTGCAGTTCCGTTCACGTTGCTTTTGTCGCTTATGGTGGTGGTGGTGTTGATGATGCAGATGCAGATGCAGATGCAGATGTTGATGCAGCTGACGACGATGATAATGCTTCTCCTCTTGCCACTCGTCTGTGTTTTCACAAAAAATACTGAGAGCTCTAGTAGTGGACTCAAGAGGTGGTAGATCCATAACTTTGAATTTAGGTTCAAGTATTGACTCGATTGTGGAAATTTTGGTTGAATGGTTCACAAATGTATGAGACATTTTGCGGATGACGGTACTGGGGTATTGGTTAAGATGGGAGATTAGACGTTGTGGGCGAATACGGATGTATATTTGGGACTCTTTTTTATTTTGATATTTTCAGGTTTGTATTACTCTTTTTTTTTTTTTTTTTTAATTCAAGTGGCTTTTTACACATGGAAGGAAGTGTAGGATGGTGACTGGTTTGATTTATAGTCAATAGAGGGCCAGTAAATGGCAGAGAATCGCTTACTATATCTGGTAAACATTGATGGGCGTGGGCTATTAATCATTAGCCAATTGCAAACTCTACATTGAATACTACAGCGGTTAGGTTCCGCTTTCATTCTACAAAGCCACAAGTCAGACATTCGTTTTTCCGTTTATTGTCATTACTGATTACCTCTGCGATTGTTATTGGGCCTATTACTGCCGCCTTGTCCCCCTCTACCGCCTCTTGCGCCATTATCTCTATTATTTCTACCACTACCGGCATTATTTCTTCCACCAGCAGCATCTCCTCGATTATCTCTACCATCTCCTCCTCTTCTTTTAACAAACCTATTTCTATTATCTTGTCCATAATGATGATGATGCTGATGGTGTTGCTGCTGCTGATGATACATTTGTTGTTGTTCTTTGACACGATCCATGATTTGATCGGGTATACGCAAATACTTGATGTGCATCCCCTTGATGTAGATTTCGGCAATCTTGGCAAATTCGTCACCATCGGCGTTGGTTTGGATAACATCATGTAGTGTTAGATTCATCCATGAATCACAATTGGTTAGGTTGCCATTGTATGTTTCACCGGTTTTTAATTCAACGAGAATAGGTTGGTTCTTGGCAGCAGTTAAGAGATACAATGGAAGCATTATTGGGAATCAGTGGAATGTGTGTAGGGTGCTTATAGGATTAAATCAGGGGGATGATGGTCCGTTGTTTTGATAGGTGGATGGATGGATGGATGGTGCAGATGCTGAAAGTTTTCGAGCTTTAGTGATGAATTTTCTTCATTTTTCTCTCTCTGTGTTCGTGCTTTCCTTGTTGAAACGCTCTTTTAAAAACAGATGGAGCGATAGTGATTGAGAAGACGAATATATCTCTTGGGATAGGAGAGTCTAAAAAGTCTTTTGAGATGAGCTCCAGCTTGTCATCAAGTTGGTATCTTTGTCACTCGGTTATAATCAGCATCAATTCATTCACCAGTTTAAGGCAATTTTTGATCAGTGTCGAAAAATTCATGCTGACGCGAAAAACACTCTTTCGACACTGTTCTTTGTCTGTGTCATACAAAGTTTACTGCACGCGATCTGGGGCCGAAATCGCTTTTACCAACACACCATAAATCATTTAGGAAACCCCCATTCAATGGATCAATTACTGAGACAACATCAACACCAACATCAGCAGCATTATTGTTATCACAGCTTGCAGCTACAAGATCTACCATGCGAAGTTCTTGAGCAAGTTTATGACTATTTACCATTATCTACAGTCAAACAATTACGTCTATATCCTGACCTTGCAACTACAATGCAGCAACAAATTTACAAACACGCAGAATATTCTATACTAATTGATGATAAGGACTACAAAGATGAGATTGATGATGATGGTGACGAAGATTACCATAAGGGTCATAGGATAAGTCAAATACAAAACAGTGAATACACAAGCAAAAATGTGGCACGGTTCAATCATTATAGAGTCAATATAACGCTAAGTGATTTCAAATCCCTGGTTGATAACTTGCTACAATATGAACCCCTTATAAATGCCATTTTCGATCGATCAAGACTGGTTACTGTGAAATTGGTGGTTATTTTACATTATTCATTGAATCGGTTTACCGATGTCAAGGATTGCTTGGCTAATATTGATATCATCAGTAAATTGTTTAATCCAAATGGATGCAATGTGTGCTCGGTTGATTTACGGTTAAATAAGAAGCTGTGAATGGCTAGGAAGTTGGAGTAAATAGTAGTATATAACTGAGTTTTTAAACCCAGCTAAGTCAATTGTGTATAATACACAAAAAGCAATATATATACAGGCAACGACTATTATGGCTCTTTGCACAATGTCTTTCAAGAAACAAACCTGTCATTGAGTGAGTCTCTTTCAATTGTAATAATTACCAGTGGAACTTGTTGTTGTTTTTATTACAAAAAGGAAAAGTATTTGAATACGTTATCAGCCAAATCGATTAAAAAAGTTGTGCAAACAATTTCAAAGCTCAGACAAAGTGCAGTAGTATACAGCTTTATTACCATTCGGCCATCTATGGTATCAATTAAAGCACCTAGAACATCCGCAGCAGCTCTATTGAGCAGTGTTTCGTGTTGTACTTACTTCTTTTACCCTATTCTATTCACCGCAATTAAAAGAAAGGTCTTCTTTTCAGATGTTTACTGTATACTGAGCACAAATACCATAGCAAAGGTTCCCGTTACAGCCATTGGAGTGCTCGTGTAGTGTTTGATCAACCTCATCATTGAAGAACGATCCCTCCTTCCAGGTATAAGTCATATGTCAATATTATGCTTACAGAAATTGAAATGACGTAATCCCAGAAAACGCGAAAATCAAAGTAGAATTAGTAACGATGTACTGCATATAACTTTGGTCTTTCCTTAGTAAATTTTACACGACATACATACATGCCATGCATACAATGTGAAATATCGCTTGTATACGACAGTAAGTTGTGTAAGTGTGGGTGTAGATATATATATATTTTACGAGAGAGAGAGAGAAAGAGAGCCATTGTTATCAGGAGAGATCTGTCAAATTTTTAAAACAGCTCCTCTTATCAAAAGCTACTATAATTAGTAAGTCCAATGGGAATATCTTGTAACTTCTAACATCCACCTCTTCTTCTTCTACCTACTCTCTTAGCTATCGCTAATCATGCCATCGAGTAGATTTTTAGATCTCTTTCAAAGCCAAGAAGCACTAAAACAACATATGAAAAAAAAAATAAAATTAATAAAATTAACAAAATATGAAAAAATATGAAAAAATGAGTTAACCTGGATTCAAGCATACTACTACTACTACTACTACTACTACTACCAATAATAATAATAATAATAATAATAATAATAGTAACAAAATAACAACAACAACACTTTAACAACACTTTAACAACACTTTTCCAGATCCACAGGACAAGCACTGTTTTCAAAAAGGACCCAAAAAAAAAAAAACAAATGAGCTAATACACTCGCTAGACACCTTTCGAAACTAATAATGTATAACCATACTCACTTCAGAATAGCCTTTATACTACTGCTTTTACCGCTTCTGGTACTGCTGCTACTACTGGTACTGCTGCCACTGCTGCCACTGCTGCTACTGTTATCCCCATCACTGACACATTCCAACTTCAATAGTCTTGGTCTGATTTCCAATTCACCAAATACAATTGTGCATAAACGTGATTCAAATGAAGAGGAGGATGTGGTACAATTTACAATTGCACGACCTACACCAACACAAGCTGCTGTACTGCAAAATCCCTCAAATCGAAACACCACCACCACCACCACCAGCATATCAATCGCATCTTCACAATCAACTGAAAACCAAAACGACGAAGATGTTTTCAAATTGGTTTTCACTGTTGGCGCCGACGATTCTTACTACAATGCACGGTTCCGATTTGGCAAAACTGGTTTAAAAAATGACACAAACGCCTCAAATTTACAAGACATTGGACTTCGATTAGACTTGATCCAACCAGAAGTATGGGTCATGAATGGACACAGCTATAAAGATTGTGCCGAAATTTATAGGTCTCGAAGTAGTGTATTGAATGAGTACCTGAGTGAGTCCACGATACCGTCATCGGTCACTGCTGCTCCATTATTCACAACAAATTGTGGTAAACGAGGGTTATACACAAGCTCTACCGGGGACACTATGCCCTCGCCACTGGGTGTTGGAGATGCCTCAATCAACAATGGTGATCCGTACATTATCCCCTACATGAATCCAATTCGAGCCAGTGGGGAATTTGTAACTGATGATTTCAATTTTAATCTAACTCTGGGCTACATGTTTGAAATGCCAAATTTCACATTTGTCAATGTTAATGAAACAAGTATGTATGTTGGCGGACTAGGATTGGCCAGTTACCCTAGGGGAAATGGGTTCCTATCACGATTAGTACAACTGGGCATCATCAAATCACAAAGTTATTCACTTTGGTTTAGTAATTCATCATCAACTACACAATCCTCAGCACCACCACCGGAAAACCATTCATTTGCTGAATTGATACCTGGCGTTGTTAACCAGAAATATTACATTGGTGACTTGTATTCCATTGATATGATTCCTCATTCTGGTTCACGATTCAATTACACTCAAGCGGCAACAAATGCCGAGTTGGCAAATTTGATTATACCTATTATAAATTTAGACAATGTTAAAATCGAAAGAGTAGATACTGGTCAAAGTTTGTCAATCAAATCCGATGAAGGTGAGGCCTTGCCGGTATTGCTAGATTCAAGAATATTGTATTCATACTTGCCATTGAATGTTATTATTAATTTGGCAATTCAAACTAATGCTTATTATAGTTCAGAAGCCAATCGATGGTTAGTTGAATGTGATACGTTAACTTCAAACGGTAATGCGACAATTGATTTTGTCATTGGCTCCGTAACGGTACAGATACCATTGCGTGAGTTTTTGGTGGATGCTGTTTATCAAGGATATAATTTGGAATTTGAAAGTGGCAACAAGGCGTGTTTCTTGACGTTTTTAAGAACTGATTCTGCTGGCTTTAATTCTTTGGGGTTGCCCTTTTTAAAACATATTTATCTTGTTGTTGATAACGATGGGAAACAAGTGGCATTGGCAAACAGCAACAAGTATCTCGATGTTGATGATACAGAATTGCTTCACTTGGATGAAAGTGACCCACTCCCAGCTTATAATTATTCATCAGTGGCACCAGCCGATAAAAACATTTCATCAATTGCATATATCGAATCGGGAACCATCCCCTTTGCAACACCAATGACATATGCCAATGTAGGCAATGTCACTTCACCAGCCATTACTTTATCGTATTCGGAAGTTACTCCCAATGCTGGTGAAACTGTTGCATTGGATATCCCAGCTAGGTTGAGCGGCGCTTTGATTAAATCGGGGTCTATATTCGTCACTGGAGTCACGGCAAGTTCATCAAGAAGTTCAACTCAAACGTCATCAACTTCTCTGGGTGATGCTCCAGTGTTGCAAGTAGTTGGAATTGGACATGTTTACGTGGGTGATGGTAAACTTTCTGTTTGGATTAGTTTGGTTAGTATCTTGTTTGGGTTGTGTTTGGTAATGGCATGAGTCATGGACAAAGTTAGGTAGATAGATAAAAGTAAGTTTGACTAAGATTGGTTTTGATCGTCTTCAGTAGCAATCTTGAATTGTCGTGTGAGGTGCGTACCTGCGTCACTACAGGGTTCAAACTGAATACGTTGACAGAATTTACCTACGAGGATTAATTGGACTGTAAAATTAGTTGTCCCTTGATGTATGTAGACAATGGCACCGACTTTTACGTGTCAGTTCATGATCCCTTCGATAAAATCGATATTTACAAAGATAAGGTTCAATTGGTACCTGAAAAGTAGAGTCGATGAAAAAGCTTAAAAGGCATCACGACAGTAGAAGGCAAGGGACTATTCAACACATCCTCGGCCCATGAGTGCTGTTTCACATACAGCACCATACTAGTTCCACCTCACTTGTTAAAGCTTCTCCATATATTATGTCCATTCCTCTCAATATTCTATTGTGTATAGTGAATGTCCCAATTAGGAAATATTTCCAAATTGACAGAACAAAATCGACAGTATAATTTTTCAACACCCCCATACACACGACAAGGAAAACATACCATACGCCAGTAACATCATAACCACTTAAAACTACCTCGTTTGAATAACTTGTACGAGCTCGCTAAACATCACCCACTTGGCCTAACTCCATTTTCTCAGCCGTTTTAGCGCACACATCAATCTAGCTCGACTTGCCTTCAACTGATTGCTGTTTTCAACCATGTCCAAAAACAAAGACCCCAACTCACTCATAAACATCCAACATGACTACATATACAACAAGATCAAAAGCATTCAACAACCGAAGGAGATTTACAACTTGGTGATTGATAAGAAAGTCGAAACCATACTATATAAAACCTTCACCAAGGAACAATTGTTGCGAATAGTGGCATCAGTTGAACTAATTGCTTCAGAACGAAGGAAAAACACCTACATGACAGCAATCTACATGGTTGAACAATCAATCTACAATTTGAAATGTATAATGGCTGATGTCACCACAAAGAGATACAAGCGAGGAATGACGCTATTTGCCTATCAAGATGAAGATGTTGACCCAAAGGGAACCAAGTTTTTCAACAATAAATTTCTTGCCAATCCTGCCGTTGTTGATTACTTGACTTATATTGGCCGCATCAACTTTGAATACAATGCCGTGGAAACGAGGGTGTTTTTAACTGATGACAAGACTGCCAACTCAATGCCGATTTATTACAACAAAAATGTACTAAACTTTGTCATGCCTCAAATTAAACAAGTGGCCAAATGTTTGTTAAATGTCATGATTTCAATGGAAGAATACCCGTTTATTAGATTTTATCGACCAGTGGATGCCAATTACGATGCTAAACGGTTACCCGAATTGATTGCCGATGAATTTCAAAAACAAATGGATGAGTATTGTCGTAGTAATCAAAACTACCCTACACCCGAAGTATCAGCCAAGACCAGATCGATTTTGTTGATTACTGATCGTACTATTGACTTGTTTGCTCCATTGTTGCATGAATTCACCTATCAAGCAATGGCGATGGATATAGTGCAAAGTTTGGAAAGAGAAGGGGTTTTCAAATACCAAAGTGAAAATGAAAAGGGTGAAGTCAATGATGTTGAAGCAACTTTGAATAATGAAAATGATGAAGATTGGGTCAATTTGCGACATTTGCATATTATTGAAAGTTCGGAATTGATTGTCAACAAGATTACTGAGTTGGTAAAGAACAATCCATTAATGATTGATCGATCGAAAGCTAGTACTTCATCCGATTTAATGTACATTGTTGCTCATTTAAAAGGATTTGATGAAGAGAGAAGACAATTGACATTACACAAGACTCTAATTGATAAATGTCTTGATATCAATGCTCTGAGGAAATTGGCTGAATTTGCTGCTGATTTTGAACAAACTTGCTGTGCTGATGGGGTCAGTTTTGAAGGTGAGCGTAACAAACACTTGCATGATGATTTAATTGTCCTTTTAGCAAGAGATGATTTACATATAAATGACAAGATGAGATTGATTTTGATTTATGCTTATTACCGAGGCGGATTAATTCGAGCCGATTTCGAGAAGTTGATTAAATTTATTGGTGTTGATGATCGACACATTACTGGATTGATGGAACGATGTTTTAATAATGTTGATAAATTGGGGTTCCAGTTGTTCAAAACTGATATTAAGGATAAACCATTTGGTAAACAGTATTTCCATACTATAAACAACGAAGGCACGTATAATACCAGTAGGTATACCCCCGGTGTCAAGACGATTATGCAAAATGTTGCCAAGTATTCCTTGGATAGGGAATGGTTTCCGTATTTCCGTGATATCCCATTAGACGATGAAGTAGTTGTGACTGAGCCAAAGGGGTCCAATGCCAAGAAGGATTTACAATCAAGTGGTACTTTAAGAAACCCAAGAATTAAAGCTAGTTGGGCATCACAAACGGGGACATCGTCAAGTAACCTTTCGCGATATGGCGGTGGTGGAGGTGTTGGTGGCCATAAACAAAAACAACGCATCTTTTGTTATGTTGCTGGTGGTATCACCTATAATGAAATTAGATCCATTTATGAATTATCGAGTTCGTTGAATAAGGAGTTTTACATTGGATCTGAGCTGATTCTTAGACCAAGGGATTTCCTCATTGGATTACAGAATCTAAGTGAAAACAAGACATTAGAAGCATTGGATTTGAATATCGTCAAGGAGTCAATGAAGAGTGAAGATATACCTGATTTTTTGTATAATGATGGAAGTAGCAGTATCCCAAGACCCATCCCTCGTCAACAAATGTCTGGTCAAGTTCCAATCAGAGGAGCTGGATATCCTCCACAACACCAACAACACCAACAACACCAGCAACAACCACACCCACAACTGCAACCACAATTTGGTCAAGTTTCCTCGTTTCAACAACAAGTTGAACAGCAACAGCAAATGTATGCAAAAGCTCATGGAATCAACCATGAGTCTGGGTCATCTTCCAATGGTGCAGGCTCTACTAGTGGCCATTACAAAAAGAGAAGCTCGAAATCAGGTGGTGGTGGTGGTGAGTCGAGTAGTGGTAGTAGCCCAGCTCCACCTGGGGGTGGTTCTGCTGACGGATCTGGTTCATCATCTTCAGGTAAACGATCAAGGTTGAAAAAATTCTTCAAGTAAGGGAGAGAGAGAGAGAGAGAGAGAGAAAGAACGAGGGGGCAAGAGGGAGGTCGTTTCCATTGAATACATGTAGTATGTAGTTGATGATATCATCTTTATCAAACTTATCTTTGTAATAGAGTTAACTTTGATCTTTTGTGTATTTATTTGTATGTAGCTTACTAAGACTAAGCATCGTGCAATCTTTACCAAAAAAAAAATTCTGGTTTTGCCTCTTCCACATTACGCCGTAAAACCTACAAAGATACTACTTAGTGTCATTGTTGCAACTTTTAGTTCTGACTTTCCAAAGACTAGACTAGACTAAAGCTTCGCTGTCACTAATGGAGCAACAAATTGACTATACATCCAGTTGGAACCCATTGTTTCTGAATTTGCTAACTCAAGTCAATGTACTAGCCATCAATCATGGGATGCACGACAACTCAACCCAAACCCCAGTGGGTGAGTTGCTCACGTCATCATCATCATCGTCATCAACGCCATCCCTGTGGAAAATGTTGAGCTGTTATACCAAACATGAATCATGGGGACCCTTATCTGACAAATACAATGATTTCACCCCGTGTTTCTTACAAGGAATACTATTTGGTGTATCTTCATTATTAATGATTGTTGTGGGATCTTACCAGTTGGTGTATTTACGAAACAAGAAAATAAAAGTGGCCAATCGAATCGATTGGAGTTTCTATATCAAATTATTACTTGTTGTGATCCAATTGGGATTTCAAGTTGCCTTGCTTGTCACTTACCCATTACATCAAGGCGGTGTTATTGAAACATCATTAGCGTTGAATATTGTTGCCACTATTGTTGCTTTGGGTATTCATTATTTGGAACAGTTTAAATCAACCGTGCCCAATGGAGTGTTGCTTTTTTATTGGTTATTCCAAATCATTTTGAATCTCGGTAGAATTGTTAATTTACAACTACGTCATCAATTTGATCTGCATTTTGCCATATTGGTAGTGTTGAGTACTGTGAATGCATTTGCCATCTTGTTGATTGAGACTATATTCCCCATGAGACCAATCAATTATGCCCAACGAGCCAAATATGTATCACCTTATGATCGAGCCAATGTATTTTCAAGAATCACTTTTGATTGGATTGGTGGATTAATGAAACGTGGGTATATACAATATCTCACGCAAAGGGATTTACCACCACTTCCTAAATCGTTGAAGGCAACCACCACCACGGATGATTTTGACTACTATTGGAATAAGCAACCTGCTGGAAAAAAGTCATTATTTTGGGCAATTTCGAAAGCTTTTGGCGGTCAATTTCTTTTAGGTGGTGTTTTCAAAGGAGCTCAAGATTGTTTGGCATTTATCCAACCTCAATTGTTACGGTTGTTGATCAAATTCGTCAATGATTATTCGAAATCGATGAAAAAGGGTGAGCCATTACCTTTAACTAGAGGTTTATTGATTGCCGTGGCTATGTTTGTTGTTTCAATTGTACAAACTGCATGCTTGCATCAGTATTTCCAAAGAGCATTTGATTTCGGAATGAAGATCAAGAGTTCCTTAACTTCAACCGTGTATGACAAGTCGCTTGTATTGTCGAATGAGTCCAAACAAGAATCTTCAACTGGTGATATTGTCAACTTGATGTCGGTTGATGTTCAAAGATTACAAGATTTGCTGCAGAACTTGCAAATCGTATGGTCGGGTCCATTTCAAATCATCATTTGTTTGTATTCGTTACATGGATTGATTGGTAATTCCATGTGGGCTGGTGTTGCCATTATGGTGATTATGATTCCCTTGAATGCGGTAATTGCTAGAAAGCAGAAGCAATTGCAAAAATCACAAATGAAGTACAAGGATAAAAGATCGAGATTGATCAATGAAATTTTAAACAATATCAAGAGTTTGAAGTTGTACGGATGGGAGGTGCCATACTTGGATAGGTTAAACTATGTGCGTAATGATTTGGAATTGAAAAATTTGAAACGAATGGGTATTTTTATGGCTACTGCCAACTTCACTTGGAACTTGGCACCGTTCTTGGTTAGCTGTTCAACATTTGGTGTGTTTGTATTGACTCAGAAAAAGAGTTTATCCACTGATTTGGTTTTTCCGGCTTTATCCTTGTTCAACCTCTTGTCATTCCCTTTGGCAGTGGTGCCCATGGTTATTACAAACATTGTTGAAGCACAAGTTGCCATTGGTAGATTGACCAAGTATTTAACAAGTTCTGAATTGCAAGAGAATGCAGTGGTGAAGTTGCCACCAGCTAAAGAACTTGGTGACGTTGCCGTTTCAATCAAAAATGGTACATTCTTGTGGTCAAAAGCCAAAGGTGAACAAAATTATAGAGTTGCGTTATCAAACATCAACTTGACTGCGAAAAAGGGACAATTGGACTGTATTGTTGGTAAAGTTGGATCTGGTAAATCATCAATCATACAATCCATCTTGGGTGACTTGTACAAATTAGACGGTGAAGTGACTTTGCATGGGAAAGTTGCCTATGTTCCACAAGTGCCTTGGATCATGAATGGTACTGTCAAAGACAATATCCTTTTTGGACACAAGTATGATGCTGAGTTTTATAACCAAGTGTTGAAGGCTTGTGCATTGACGGTGGATTTGGCCATTTTACCCAAAGGTGACAAGACTGAAGTGGGTGAAAAGGGTATTTCATTATCAGGAGGTCAAAAGGCAAGATTGTCTCTCGCTAGAGCTGTTTATGCTCGTGCTGATGTTTACTTGTTGGATGATCCATTGAGTGCGGTTGATGAACATGTTGGTAAGCATTTGGTTGATCATGTGTTGGGACCATTGGGTCTTTTGAGAAGTAAATGTAAAGTTCTTGCCACCAACAACATTAAAGTGTTGAGCATTGCGGATCATTTGCATATGGTGAGCGCTGGTAGATTAATTGAACAAGGAACTTATGATGACATCATGAAGCAGGAGAACTCTAAATTGAAGTTGTTGATTGATGAGTTTGGTAAAAAGAAGGAGGAATCACCAACACCAACACCCTCGACGAGAAAAAATATTGAAGGAGGCAAACTGAAACCCAATGAAGATGGAAAAGACTATGAAGTGGAGGATGATGTAAACTTGGAAGATTTGGACTCGGAGTATGACATGGATATAATCAGTTTGCGACGTGCTTCGGAACAACCCTTGATACCGGATGACGAAAGAGATGATGAAGAGTATCGTGATGAAGTTGAAGAGCTTCAAGAGGAGGAAGAAGAAGACGAAGACACCAAAGCCAGGAAAGAACACATTGAGCAAGGTAAAGTCAAGTGGGAAGTTTACACTGAATACGGTAAAGCTTGTGGTCCGGTTAATGTCCTCATCTTTTTGGGATGCATTATCTTATCATATGTGATTAATGTAAGCTCCACATTTTGGTTGGAACACTGGTCAGAAATCAACACCAAGTATGGTTACAACCCCAATGTCGTGAAATACCTTGGTATTTATTTTCTTTTGGGTATCGGCTACTCCCTCAGTTCATTAATTCAAAATATTTCACTTTGGATCTTGTGTACGATTCAAGGGTCCAAGAAGTTACACAATGCAATGGCAGTGAGTGTCATGCGGGCACCAATGACTTTTTTCGAAACCACGCCAATTGGAAGAGTATTGAATCGATTTTCCAATGATATTTACAAAATTGATGAAGTTATTGGCAGAGTTTTTAATATGTTTTTCAGCAATACTGTCAAGGTTTTCTTTACAATTGTGGTTATTTCATTTTCAACTTGGCAATTTGTGTTTTTAATTTTGCCCTTGGGAGTGTTGTATGTTTACTACCAGCAATATTATTTGAGAACCTCGAGAGAGTTGAGAAGGTTGGATTCAGTTTCGAGGTCTCCTATATATGCCAATTTCCAAGAATCATTGGTTGGTGTGTCTACCATCAGAGCATATGGTAAGGAAGAGAGGTTTAGATTTTTGAACCAGCATCGTGTTGATGAAAATATGAAGGCTTATAACCCAGCTATAAATGCCAATAGATGGTTGGCCGTTAGATTGGAATTTTTGGGATCTGTCATCATTCTTGGAGCTGCGGGACTATCTATCCTCACGTTGTCATCCGGTCGTCTTACTGCTGGTCTTGTTGGTTTATCGGTCTCTTATGCATTGCAAATTACTCAATCATTGAACTGGATAGTGAGAATGACTGTCGAAGTTGAAACAAACATTGTCGCGGTTGAGAGGTGTTTGGAATATTCGAGGTTGAAGAGTGAAGCACCCGAGATAATATCTGAACATAGACCGCCACAAGCTTGGCCACAAGATGGTGAAATCAAATTTGAACACTACTCAACCAAATACAGACCGGAATTGGACTTGGTATTGAAGGATATAAACATTGATATCAAGCCAAGAGAGAAAATTGGTATTGTTGGAAGAACTGGTGCTGGTAAATCATCAATCACATTGGCATTGTTTAGAATCATTGAGGCCTTTGAAGGTGATATCAACATTGATGGAATCAAGACAGATACTATTGGATTATATGACTTAAGACACAAGTTGTCCATCATCCCTCAGGATTCACAAGTGTTTGAAGGTACAATCAGATCCAATCTTGACCCTAATGACGAATACTCTGATGATCAAATATGGAAAGCTTTGGAATTGTCTCACTTGAAAGATCATGTTGAGAAGATGTATGCAGAACGAGACGTTGAAGAATCCAATGATGATAGCAATGGCAGCACTTCTCTGCAACAACAGCCACGTGATGTTGTACATGAAGCCGAAAAGGATCGTGTTGAGACTCCACTTGACGTCAAAATTACTGAAGTAGGTACCAATCTATCCATTGGACAACGTCAATTAATGTGTCTTGGTCGAGTATTGTTGAAATTAAACTATTCAAACATTTTGGTTCTTGATGAAGCTACAGCTGCAGTTGATGTTGAAACTGATCAAATTTTACAACAAACTATCCGTACTGAGTTTAAAGACAAGACGATCATCACTATTGCTCATCGTTTAAATACAATCTTGGACTCTGATCGTATTTTGGTTTTGGAGAAGGGACAAGTTGCTGAGTTTGATACCCCACAAGAGTTGTTGAAAAGGAAGGATTCGTTGTTTTATTCCTTGTGTAAACAAGGTGGATTCATTGAAGACGAATAGAATATGTAAGTACGAACATAGAAAAAAAAAAAATATGATTTCAGTATTCACTCCTTTTGCGTAGAGTTGTCACGGGGTAAAACTCGGCATAATCTGATTTGTTGGTGACTGCAATTGGAATCAGATTGATGTCAATTATTGAGGATTTAGGTGTTGCATCGGGGAAGTTCAAACAATGTAGTACCGATTCCGACTCTAATGAAGCGTATATAATCCCACCACCACCAACGGTAAATGTGATGCATGGCTCATCAAACTTGATAATATTGTACAAATTGAGCTGGTTATCTTTAAGCTCCAACACGAGCAAACACGAAGTATGTTCAACCAATACTACAAAGTATTTGACATTGCCCTTTTCAACATGCTCAATCTTGGCAACACTAATCTCCTTTGGTGATTCTTCAGATCTATACTTTTCAGGAGGTAAATGCGCATCAGTCAAGTACGGATCAACAACCTCTTTCAAGTCAAATTTGCTTAATAACGAACCGGAATACCAATTCCAAACAAAAATGTAATCATCACCTCCGCCTGACACAAGTAAATCATCAACTAAACAAAGCTGCGACACAAATTCCTCATGTCCGTGTAAAAACAGCTTGATCACGTACGATTTAGGATAGTTTGAAACTCTAATATGTTCATCTCGATCACTCGTAATCAAAAACGGTTTGTTGTTGTGAACACCCACAACGACATCAGTCAACATACTAACGTGACCCAAGATGGGCACTAAATCCTTTTCCATTACTGGTGGGTTCAGATCAATGGATACGGAATACGCATCACCAAACTTGTCAGCCACAATCACAGTACCATTGTATACAGTTATGGAGTATGGTCGTTTAGGCATTGGTTGTCGTTTACTCAAAGTCAAGATATTATCACTGGCATCATCAATGGTGAAGACAAGTACTGATTTATCGGAATCGGTAGATGCAACAAGATGCGAATCAGTTACAGCTAGACATTTGATATGGTTGTAGATTTGTATTTTCGATGAAATTTGTTTACCTGTTCGTCTTTCTAATTGATGGTTCTTGTGAGTTGATTGTTGGTCGTCAAACCAATGTCCACGGATTTCACCTGTGTATGTATCGTAAACCAAGATATGGTTTTGCACCGCGGCAAACAAAAGCGTCCCCTGTTTGTTCGCTAGGAGGAGCTGGAATGGATGCTTCATGTTAGAGCCGTTATAGGTGGACCGACGTGATGAGCATCGACATTTTTTTTCCTCTCTATTTTCAATAAAGAATGAATGAAAATCGTTTAATGCACTATGAAAAAACTACGTCTACATAAAATCATCTCTTTTTGAACCACCCACTTGTCCAGCTAGGCTTGGGCTTGGGGTCAGTAGCAGCATCACTATGGGAAACACCCACTTTTTCAAATCCAGCAACTAATTCATCGTCATTATTTTCTTTCTTTGCTGTATCCTCAACAATAAACTTGTGTGCTTTTGGTTCGTCTGTTGAAGCTGTCATTGAAGCTGCAGCTGGTGCTGGTGTAGCTGCGGTGGCCTTAAATGCAAAGGAATTGAAAAAATTAGCAATGTTTTTATTAATTGAGCCCGGTTGTTTCAAAGAATGGCCAACATGACTTGGGTCGATAAAATTAAAAATGAATTCGTCAGCCATTGCATGCCAAATGTTGAAATTTTCCGTCTTTTCCCATGTTTGTATGTAGCATTTATTGAAATCGTGAATATCGCCCTCGGTTGGATGATCGGAGGCGAATCCTGGTGGCGGTAGATGGAACCGTGTGGCGTATTGATGATACCTCATCACTGATAGTAACGAGTTTAAGTAATCTTCAAATTGATAGCGAATGTAATCGTCATTGCCAATGTAATCCTTAGAATCAGGGTGAATTGTACTGATTAAATGATGGATAAATTTTTTATCTTGGTGTGTCAATGTCAAAAACTCTGGCGTGGATAAGGTCTTCGGGTAAGTGACTTCATTGGTGTCCAAATTGATCAATAAATCAACTCCATATAGTGTAGCTTGATTGACAAATAATAAATTGGAGCACCCAATCATGAATGAATCCACTTTTAATTCGCTCAATTGTTGCAATGGTACATATGGATTCCAAAACGAGTTTTTTGTGTTGAATATTTGCAAGGGAAGTCCGAAAAATCTCAACATTGATGCTCGACTATTGGATATTAATGATTGTGGTTTCTGTAATGGTCCATTTGTTTCAATGTAATCAATGAGGGGACATCCTGAATCGTCTAAATTGTTTATAAGGTTGGGTATTAATGAAATTAAATTGTTTTGAAATTGAGCTAGACTCTCTAGATTGTCAGTGGAGTAGATAAGAATCTTTTTCTCAAGTAATAATGCTTTGAAAATGATCATGAAATTGGTTTTAAATTTCAATATTGACGATCGTAGATCCAAATTGACATAGTATTCTTCTTCCTGTTCGAGATCAACGTGGAGTTCATTATCGACAAGCTTAAACTGACTATTCAAATTGTCGAACAAATGGTCCAACACTTCTGTATTATTGAGACTTTCTTGCAAAAAATAGCTCTTTGTGATGATGGACAATTTCTCTTTAATTTTGGTAAAGATTGGTTGTTTCCGTACAATGACAACCACTGCTTTCTGTACGATAGATCGAGTAATATCTTTATTTCTTTCTCGTTCTTCAGCCGACAATTCACTAGTTCGCACCTGCCTCACACATGAACATCCAAACAAGGTTTTCAAATGTCGAGGATCACCTTGAAACTCATTCAATGCGTCAAAATCATCAATTGATCTGCCTTGATCAAAATCATAAACAAGATTGAAGTTCAGAAACGTTTCTTCAAATAAGTGAGACCCATCGGGTAGTGCTTGAAATGGTATATTGCGAAATAAATCTGGTGTGTATGTAGGATGATAATTTGATCTCCACCATTGTATTTCGGGACCTCGTTGATGATGGAAATCAACCACACACATTGCAAATACCATATCGTCATCCTTATCAGTATTGTGATCACTATTGTTGCCACTTTTCACCGAGACTAGCGAATGTGTACTTGATTCACTATTTCGCTTAATTGGTAAATTCCTAATCTGTATTGACTTTTTCCTTGCTACTGCAGTCGGTGGAGTGGTATCGGCTTCTGGTTTCCTTACTTCATCGGTAGATACGTTTTTATGAGACCCTAGTCTTATAGGGCGACATTGAAACCCATCTTCTGTAGTGGTGGTGCTGGTGGTTGCATTTGTGGCACTTGGTCGTCTATCAGGAGAAAAAGATGTTGTCGTTGTTGGAGTACCAGAGGGACTAGTTGACAAAATGGAAGTGGATGATAGTCTATCTCTATGTCTAGCCAATCTCAACGGACGTAGCTCCCCATTACCTGGAGCACTCGACTTTTTTATTGGTGTAGACGTGGTGGTGGTTGATGTAGATGAAGTGGAGGAGGAAGTACTTGATTTCTGTGGTGATTGGGTTGGTGTTACCTCGGATTCTTTCCAAGGATTACTTTCTACTGACATACAGGTGACATATAGGGGTTTTTGGGAAACAAAAGTATAATTTTGGGTATATGGGGGAGCGTGATGGACAATAATTATATGATATGCTTTGTTGTACTTGGTTTGTTTCAAAACATTTTTTTTTTTTGTCGAGGAGAATTGTCGTAAAAGGTCATGGTCGTGAGATACTTAACTGCGTCACTGAATCAAACAGAATGCTGTATGGTAGTTTAAACTAGAATGGGTTGATTGAATGATGGGTGACCGGTGTAATTTGTGGACTAGCTGAATCAATAGCATGGTATGTTCTGATGCATAATATTATGGGTAGGGAATAAGGTATAGAGACCATGGTTCAAAAGGGTTATCAAGAAAACAGCTTCAGAGAAGAGTTTATTACATTACAATGTGAAGAGTTTATTAGAAACAGTGTAGAGCCCAGTGTCTAATACTAAAGATGTTGGGGGAGCTTTAGTCAAAATAAGTGCTTACTTATCACATTTGTTGCATTTTTATTTCAAATTGATGCAAAAAAAAAAGTTACATTCAAAGATTATCTAGACTGTTCATCATTAAAGAAGAGAGTGAAGTACCTCGATGTACATATATATATGAGAGTACTACTTTTCATTGTAAGATATTTTCTTAGTATAGGTTTGAGTAACGAATGAAAAAGAAGTGGCTTTTTGTTGTTTTTTTTCGTATTTGATGATGACGCGGTCTCAGCCTCTTGAAGAATTACAAAGAATGACACAAATGATTTTATAGAATATAACCTTAATAATAAGGAGTAGCCCTCACTTAGACTCAGTAACTACAAATACATATATTGTCGAAGTAGCCCTTTTTCTCCTCCAGTAACATCTAGGTATCGCTCTTGTTGTAGTCTAATAATAAGATTATCTATTTAAAAATTGCTTATATGGCGTCAAATAAAATTCCAAAAATTGTAAAACTTGTTGCAACACAAAAAAAAAGAGGGACCTACTTCATTTTCTTGGCTATACAAATATATATATAACCACTGGCATCCTTCCATACCTTTCTTCTATTTTTCTTTCATTTCCTTTTTGCTTTCATTCATTCATTCAACCATGATTGTTCCGAAGAAAGATACCACTAACACCCTTGAACTCATCAAGAGAGTATATTACCCATACTACTACAATAACAACAGGGGTTGGCACAGGTACAGATGGTTTTTGTGGCTATTGCTCATAATTCCATTACTTTTGATATTGCTTATATTTTGTTTAAGAAGAAGAAGATCAAAGACCAGTGTTTACTACCCACAACAGCAACTGAATCAGCAGTACTACCAAAATCAACAACCACAACAGAGTTACGTGCCACCTGAACAACCTCAAACTTATCAAACTGGTGGGTACAACAATTATGGAAATGGAGGCTATGGCAATTATGGACCTAGCAGTGGTGGTGCGGCACAACAAGGTTATTACTCAAGAGAACAAGAGTATGATGTCGCAGGTGAGGAATTCTCGCGTCCTGAAGGACCACCGCCAGCACACACCAAAGCCTAAAGAAAGTAGTTAGTTCGCTATAGCTCCTTTGTGGAGCTTGTTTAGTTTTATAGTTAATGTTTTGATACCATGTCGTCATTGTTGTTTTACCTGTCCTCTATTTAGACCAACAGGAAAATGCGGATTTAGCCGAGCGGTCTTGCCCCAGAAAATCAAATAAAATTTTGGGATATCCATCAAAACCAATCTCTCTTTCCTACACTCCATCACACCCAAGAAATGACTTTCGCGCAAGGCTCACCTTTCCCGGAAGGTGTGAAGTTTGCCTATATCCCAATAAACACGGATGATACCAGACTCATTGACCCATTGGTCTGTCAACAACCACTTCAACTCAAGCTTGACGAGGTAATTTCGTTTCTTTCAACAACAAACCAGCCCAAGTTGCTTATCGTCTCTGTACCAGGTGCATGGACCCCAACATGTGGTGAAGTTCATGTTCCACCGTATTTGCAAAACTTGGCATCATTAGGATCAAAGGGAATTGGCGCAGTTATAATCTTGGCTTCCAACGATCCATTTGTTGTCAACAGTTGGGGTAAAGTCTTGGTCAAGCAATTTTACAATGTTGATGATAACTCGAAAGGAATTATGCCAAAGGTTGTCTTTGCCAATGATGTTGATGGTTTCAGTCGTAAGCATGACTTGGCTACTGATGTCAATGGGTTTTCAAGAAACAAGAGATATGCTACCGTTATTGATACAAAAACAAGAAATGTCGAGTATCTTGGAGTCGAAACTGAGAGAAAAGTGGACAAGTCTGGTTATGAAACAGTATTGGCTAAATTGTAGGAGAAATATATATAGGAAACATATGATGTTCCGAGGACTATATTTATACTCGAGTAGATATCAGCTCCTTACCCTCTAGTGTTGGAGTTTGACCTACTAACAAGGTGGACAGGAAACAATCAGTAACAGTAAAATCGTTGTTATTTGGAGTTTGCAGACATGGTTGATTGTACCAGTCAGTTATTGTCGTTAGAGATTCTACATCAAATACACACAACTTCAAAGAAATCTTCCCTATTCAAGCTCATGTTTTAAAGCGTGTTATCTATGGGAACACCGTTGGAACGTTCAACTAGCACGTCTTCAAAACACACTAAAACTCGTTATTACAAATGGCCCCTTCATTGGTCAATGATGACCAAGATCCATATAATCAGCCAATAGTACAGATCTCTCAAGCATATGGATGACTACAAGCACCATCTCATCAAATATGGAGTTGATTACTAATTAACTTTTGAAGTCTTGTAAATTACTCTAGATTGGTTGCAAATTCATATTTTGATCACATATCCACAAGATCATCTACTTTGACGATATAATTAAAGTGCCTTGTAATGCATACTTCAACAGTCAGCTCAGTTTTCCAAGCCCTTCAATCACGCCATGGGATCAGAAATCCGTAAAAACTGACCCTTTTTGTTGGTAGATGCCACGTTTCTTTACAAAAAGCCATGACTTTTAAGGGGGTGATAGACAAGAGAGGGACTTTTTTTTTGTGGGTGGAGAAAGCTAAAAATAAAAGTGTCTGTCGGAAATTGATTTTGATTCTATGGAGTTCTCATAATTACGTAAACTGGAGGCCGAGTCTGCATTTTGTGTTGGGGTTACAATAATAACCGCAACTATATGAAAGGAAAAATTAGACCGAAACACACGCACTCCGACCTGCACATAGTCCGACAGACAATTTTTTGAAATTGCGACTGCGTGGGTGCAACTATCATAAGCGATGGGATATAACGAGGCATTGACACGTTTCAAAACCAGGTGATATGAAACTACCAGTACTTGGCATGAGAGACATTCTATAAGCACCTCCTCCATCTTGTGTGGGATTGTCCCATTACGAGCTATAGGAATGTGTCACTTTGAACATATAATCCCTCATCTGAATTTGTGTCTGAAAAGTTTTAGGTATTCCGACACCAGTGTCTTTTATTGGCAAAGAAGACTTTGCCAACGCCGAATCTAAATTTCTTTATATACGCCATTGAATTTCCACTTTTTTCTTACATCCTTTCTTTTCCTGAAAACCCAATTCCAACTCAATTGATCAATTATAAACCATGTCTAACGTATTTTTTGATGTCTCGGCTGATGGCCAACCATTGGGTAGAATCACCTTCAAGTTGTATGACGATGTTGTCCCAAAAACCGCTGAAAATTTCAGAGCTTTAGCCACTGGTGAAAAGGGTTTTGGTTACAAAGGTTCTATTTTCCACCGTGTTATTCCAAACTTTATGTTGCAAGGTGGTGATTTCACCAACTTCAACGGAACTGGTGGTAAGTCCATTTATGGTACCAAGTTTGCTGATGAAAATTTCACCAAGAAGCACGACAGACCAGGTTTGTTGTCAATGGCCAATGCTGGTCCAAACACCAACGGATCTCAATTCTTTGTTACTACTGTCCCATGCCCATGGTTGGATGGTAAGCACGTTGTCTTTGGTGAAGTCACTGATGGTTTCGATATCGTCAAGAAGATTGAATCTTACGGTTCAGGAAGCGGTGCCACTTCAAAGAAGATTACCGTCGACAACTCTGGTCAATTGTAAAAGCTTGATTGTATAGTGATTGAATAAAGATTTGACTTTGACTCGAATGTAGGTGAATCTCTCGTTGTTGAAGTAGAGCGTAACTTCAATGTGAGTTCAACTAGATGTAAAAGTTATTGGACGAATTACGATAGGATTGGTGAATTGATGTCTATAAACATTGCATGAGAGAGTGGTGCTCACGTTAGACAATACTCTGCGCATACAAATTGGTTGCAAACAATTTTTTTCTTCCAATATATAATATTGAACTAAGGCTACGTTCGATAAAGATTCAGCGAAGGCGTTGATAACAATCACAAATTGTTTCTTAAACTTTTTGTACACAATTAGACTAGTTTATACCCAATTGTCGTTTAACTAAACAAGCACCAGAAACAGAAAGTCTTTTTTTTTCTAAACAAAATAACCGAAACGACGTTAGTCCACAACGACAGTTTAAACCAAACACAATGGGATGATCAACCCAGAGAGTACGAAAATCCACGACGATTTGTATACACTGTCTCCACCACTTTCCTGCTCATTTGGCGCAACGATACCAGAATCACCAGAATCAGTTCCATTTGAAGTTGAGTTTGTTCCGCTGGCTCCTCTAGTTGACTCTTTTCCCCCAACAACTCTAATATCTTCTTCATCGGTATAACGAGCTTGCGCAATTTGGACTTGCAAGTCTTCCAAGTCATAGACTATATAAGCGCTTCTCAAGATGTTGTCTCCAAATAATGCATATGTTTTTTGATTTTGTTCTTGTGGCTGTGGCAAAATTCCCAAATAGCACGATGTTTCATTTTGGGGCAAGATCAATTTCGAAACTGGAACGTTGATGATCTTGCTTCCGAATGTGAGGTCCAACGTTGAGTTTGAGTTTAGCAATTCACAGTCAACTTTATATTTCCCATCACTCAATTCGCCATCAAAAGCTTGACCCACTGCTTCCAACTGATGTGGCAACAAGTATGACACTGTTGATCCAGAATCAAGTATAACATTAGTTGAGTTTTGCAACAAGTCGTCTGAATTTCCATCACGGCTTAGTGAGATTTGTTTGAGCTCAACGCTGAAATCCAGCAACGTACCATCTCTACCCTCAACGATAGGTATTGTCTCTAAATTTTCTTTGTATTTAGCATGATCAATGGCACCAAATAAAACAGAGCCACTTTTAGCATCGGCTTCGTTCAAATATAACGAGTACAAGACTTTGTTAATCACCCCATCTGCCTTCATTTTGTAAGGTAAATTGTCGTACACGTATCCAAGTTGCGAAGTAGCTTCCAAACCACGTAATCCGATACCCAATACACCCATAACATTGGAGGTTCTGTTGGCAACAGCGAAAGTGACATCAGATATGGAAACGTTGCCAATTTTGATTGTATCTCTAACCCACACTCCAAGCGCATAGTCGCCATCACCATATAAAGTCATGAATGGATTTGTCCCGTTGTTTTCAAAAGTCTCAGAAGCTTCCGTGTTGAATGCACCAAGTGCTATACAAGTATTGGAAGCCACTGGTTGGGTATTATCACCAGCGGAGCTTGAATTGGACTCAACACCCGTATTTCCAACTTCTGGAACATTAGTGGGTAATGGCTCATCTGAAGAATTCAATGCGCTGTAGACTTGATCATCGGCGCGTTTGTTTCTTCTTGAGGTAGCTACTGACTTTGATGATTGTTCAGTGTTGTTGTTGTTATTGCCGGCTTGTCCTTGAAGAAGTGCAGCAAACGGATTTTCCTTTGTGCAATTTACATCGGTTGCAGGTACCCAAAGGTCAGCACTTCCAGTATCAACATGCACAACAACATCATCGTGATTTGATCCAAGTTGCAACTCAGCTACGTAAAGAATTTTCTGGTTGCTTAATTCCATCAACACGGTTCCCTCTACATCAGTACGTTTAACGAAACGTGGTTCACTTCTCTCAACATTGAAATCAATCTTGAAACTTCCTGTAGCCTGATTAGCTGTTACTGTGGATGTTGAAAATAAAGTAGCAAGCACAATGTTGGTGAATTTCATTTTGTTGGAATACTCGATGAATTTCTAACTAGATTTCTAATGATTGAGGAACCGGCATACTTACGTGGATATTTGTATGTCTGCAAAAATTGCAAAGCCCAAAGGTTGCTCTGCTGTCAACACATTTTTTAGCGGGTGTCTGAAATGAAGACCGCAAACAATAAATCCGGTTACAAAATGAACTCTAACAAGAGGTTGTTACAGGAGGAACCTGTACATTTGGTTGCTATTTGTACGAATTGTAATGGGATTGTTCCAAAAATAGATGCGGTTTTGCGATGAAATTTCACACATTTACGTCACATTCATTTGGAGGCGTTCTTCAAGTGCATTTGTTCGAAGGTTATACTTCTATGATGACAAAATATTCTCGCAATGTTAGCCCTAAAAAGTGGGCCTCCCCACAAATGTTTCAAGCAATGACAAATTTCTTTGTGTAACTGTAAAGAAACCATTCGATTGGATACGAAACGGCAACATTAAGATTTAAACCAATATAGAGAGGATTCCTTCTGATCCTTACAAAGTCGATAGTGATTGTCTCATTAAGCTGTATCTCACCCTAGAAGCTCTCCACTGTGAGCTGGTTATGCTTCAAAGGTTCTTCCAGTTCCCTTTGTTCAACATTCGTGTTTTTTTGCAAATTTGCATTTGTCAATTCATCTTGCCACGATAGTTTCAAAAATTGTGAGCTATTATCCCACACCGCACTCTGAGTGTATAACGGATTATTCTCCTTCTTTGATACTTGCTTTGGTATTTCCGCAGGGTATGATTGTTTTAATTTTAATTTGTAAATTGCACTTTTTTGGCTACCCAACCGGAGTTAACGTATTTTTTTCGTTAAAACGGATTATTTACAAGGTGTTGCACAAAGAAAGAGTGTCATGGGTGTCAAAGTTTTGTCCTCCAAGAATGGAAGTGCATATGTCTCCCAATCATTGTGTTTTTTTTTTTTTGGTACGGTAAACACTCATTCCCTTCTCTTTTCTTTTCACTTTGCCACAACCGTTGTTCGTAAAAGAACGATATCAAAGTTAACAACGACCTTAAAATAATATGCCACATTGTGCCACTAAAACTAAGGTTTTTCCAATTTACTTCCACTAAGTTTTATAGCTTTTGTGCTACCCCAACAGTCGCGCATCTCAAGTGTGAGAAGTGTGATGTTCGAATTTTATTGACAAATTTTCAGGGGGTTGCGATAAACTGGGCTTAGCTTCGTAATTAGTACTTTGATTTTCGCACTGGTAACTTTATTTGAGCAAAGATCTGACGTGCAATCTCTGGCTACAACAGAAGGTTCTCGTGGCTGGAGTTAGCACTGCAAGATCTCGTCAGCTGAATTCCACTTGTAGGAATCTTGCTTCATATATAGAGCCAGCGAACCAATTCTCGAATATCAAAGAAAGTAAAAGCGTGTTGACAAAAGTTTTCTATTTATACAATACAATGAGATAGCAACAGCATGTAAAACTGTTTATGTAGCAAAGCTCTTTCAGTTAGCTAGCAATCTAAACCAAGGCCAATGAAGTGGCCAATCCGGCAAGTACAGAAACCCAAGGCAAATTGTAAATCGAGAACCCACTATTGGCATGCTCAGTCGATGACGAAGAGCCAACTCCACCAGATGTAGTTCCATTCGAGGATGAGTTCGATCCGGTGCTTCCACTCGTTGACTCTTTTCCCCCAACAACTCTAATATCTTCTTCATCGGTATAACGAGCTTGCGCAATTTGGACTTGCAAGTCTTCCAAATCGTAAACGATATAGGCGCTTCTCAATATGTTGTCTCCAAACAATGCAGTTTCAGTCTCATTTCCTTCTTTTTGGGATGGTAAGATTCCTAAATAACATGATGTTTCATTCTCTGGCATGATCAATTCAGAAAGTGGGACATGGATGTCACTGTTTCCAAAAGTGAAATCCATTGTTGAGTTTGAGTTTTGTAATTCACAGTCAACTTTGAAGGCTCCTTGCAGTTCAATAAATTCACCATCGAGAGCCTCGCCCAAAGATTTCACTTGGTGCAGCGTCAAGTATGATATCGTTGATCCAGAGTCAAGTATGACAATGGTTGAGTTTTGTAAAATGAGTTCTTTATCTCCTTCGTGGTTGAGTGCGACATGCTTGAGTTCAACTGCCAAATCCGAAAATGTACCGTCTCTTCCTTTCACCACCGGCAATGTCTCCAAATGACCTTCATGTTTAGCATGGTCAATAGCACCAAACAACACAGAACCGGTACTAGCGTTGATATCGTTCAAGTACAACGAGTATAAAACTTTGTTAATCACCCCATTGGACTTCATTTTATATGGTAAACTATCGTAAAAGTAACCAAACAGTGAAGTAGATTCCAAACCACGTAACCCGATACCAAATACCCCAATGTCATTTGATGTTGCATTTGCAATTGCAAAACTAGCATTATGTACTGACGCGTTACCAATTTTGATGGTGTCTTGGCCCCAGTCACCAAACGCATAGGTTCCGTCACCGTAGGCAGCATAGAATGGTATCGTATTGTTCGTCTCAAAAGTATCGGATGCCTCCGTATTGAATGAACCATGTGCCGTGCAAGTAAGTGATTCACTTGATTGGGACTCTCCTGCTGCCGTATTGCTAGAATTAGAGATAAAGCCAGGGTTTCCAGCTCCTGGAAGATTGGTGGTTTGTGGGTGGCCTGAGGGGTATAACGAGCTGTAGATTTGGCCCTCGTCACGTTTATTGCCTCTTGAGGGACCACCTTGCGTCTCTGATGGCTGTTCTCCCTCGCCTGAATTCTCATCATCATCATCATCATCATCCCCTTCCCCAAGAGCAGCAAGTGGATTTTCCTTTGAACATGTAACATCACTTGCAGGCACCCAAAGATCTGAGCTTCCAGTATCAACGTGCACATGAACTTTATCTTCATTTGAACCAATATACAACTCAGCAATGTAGAGAGTTTTGTGATTCATTAATTTCATCACCACTGCTCCTTCCGGGTCATCACGTTTGACAATGTCTCCTTTCGGTACTTCTCTTTTCACATTGAAATCGATTTTCAAGCTTCCTGACGATGAGTCGGTTGCAACCGTTGAGCCTAATTGTAAAATAGCTGATAACAAAGCAGTAGCAGATACGTTATTGATGAACCTCATTTTTCGCAAGTATTGTAGATCTTACTCAGTTCGGATATTACAAAGTGACAGACTCCTCAGTGAATTCAGTGATTATTTATAAAGTAACTGTAGCTGCAAATGACAAAAAAATAATCATTCCAGGGCACTAGCAATAAGCAAAAAGTACTCTAAAAATAGAATACATGGTTTGCGGTCTCAAAAAAGAAGTGGAAAAGTTTTAACCATCCAAGGCTATGCTTTTACCTCGGGCAATGTTTAATTTGACAAATCCTGTTTCAGCTAGCCAATCGTTGTAATTTTCTAAAATTAGATTAACATACATCTCACTCCATTGTCTTCTGTTTCTCTTTTGGCGTTGTGCCAAACTTTGTGTTGAAAAGATCTAATGCATAGACGATAGCACGGCTACTCAGTGCAATTGTTAAAAAGCTTCTGTACTGTTGTTTGTGTATAATGGCATAGCCTCGGGATCATCTTCACCTTCTAAATCTCGGAATCTCCGCGGTTGCCAGTTATTTCCACACTTGCAGCAAGAATAGCAATATCAACCAAAACTTCTAATTGTTGGTTTGAGGCTAGATACATACAACAGATGAAGTTCCATCACTCTCTCCTCACTTAGGAGACCCCTCATTGTCGATGCTACACTTGATTGCTATCCTTTCAACGTCTTGACTGTGTAAACACTTCTGGCCAAATGTGATTCGTATCAGTATAGGTTTCCTTTTTCCGTGCTAGCGGCGCTAACGATTTTTCCGTTGTTCATATATGACGGAGTTCTCGTAATGACTTACACAAAATAACCAACATGTCAAAATTCAAATCTGACACAAAGCAAACTTTAGAGAGCAAAATGTCGAATTCTATGTAATGTGATCCATGTAGTCGGCAATGAACGGCATTCGAAAAGAAAATAATGTGACGTCAGTAGCTAGATTGAAACATTTGATGTGGTATCAATAACGATTTTCGGATTATTGATATGTATGATATGTGCTAAGGGATGTTGTTGCAAATGGTTGTGTTAAGCGAAGGTCCCGTGGGTGGAAGTAGTATCTCGGTTAACTCTACTAAAGCGAGTATATGTTTGAGCCGCCTGAATCATTATGCTTTTCGACAGTGAACGGGAACTACCGCTAGCTTGATCACCCTCTTGCTCATCGAAATCTTTCGATCAACAACTGACTTACGATTGCTGAAGTTCTTTCTATAGTAGTTTCTCCACCTTTGAAAATCTATGACCACCCTGGCACACAAAGAGCAAACATTTAGAGTAATTATGTCAATCAAGGTCAAAGATTGTGATTGAATTCAAATTACAAATACTTGGAAGAGAAGGTTGATCATCAAGCCTGCCTTTCAGTTGCTCTCTCGATGGCTCGAAGAGACCATGGCCACTACACGAACAGGTCATATCACGAAGGCTCAGATCAAGCTATTCATTCGTCGTTTTCCCTCGGCCAAATATGTTGGGCTCTGATTTGTAACGAAATCAACAAGAACTTATAGTGCCACACTTTTATAAAGCGGAAAGTAGTGAAGTCAAACTCAAGATTTGATGAGTTTTGACTCTTTTGAACCTGACAAGGGTTTTTAGTTGAGTAAAACGCTGGATAGAGCATATCGAGTAAGGCATCATGGACAACCATCAAATATCTCGATAGCTGTTCAACTTTCTTAGAGATTGTCGTTCTTCTTGTCAGAAAAAGAAGCCGGCATTACATCTTCAACCTATACATCCTTAGTATACCCTCAACGTTGAGATTAAACCAATAAACAAATGAGTACTAAATCCACCACCATAACTACACAACATGCAGCTATCAATAGCCTATTCTTGAATTCCAGATACGTAGAATGGTTATTGGTTCTTTCATTTGGCCTTCCTTTCTCTAAGTCACTCGTCTTTTCCACTTTCGCTTCATCTTTCGGATCTTCTTCTTCATAAATCGTAATCAACTCATAAACTACGTATTTATAAATAAGATAGAACTTTTGTGAGTAAGCAGCAATTAGATAAATCCAACCGACAAAATCAAATGAAGTATCAGGGGATGTGGTTGTAGATGTAAAGGTAGTATTTATGAACAAAAATGAGTTGGTAATGAAAAATGGGAGAATGTTGTTGTTGCATTCTCTCAATGATTTGTAAATGCTTTTATTTGATGTAATTGAAATTAATAATATGAGAAACGGCAAAACCAACTGTAAGGATGTAAAAATTTGTAATAACTTGTGGAAATGACTGAAATATGTTGATATAAAATAAGTTGCTGCCATAAGTTGCGTCACAAAGAAGCACAACTCTTGACAAGTTGACCTCGATCTGTGCGGGCAATCAGGTGTGCTTTTTTTTACAAAACGAAAAATGAATATTAAGTTGATGGAATTTGAGACCAAATCCATAAGTAGGTCTTCAAATGTAGTGGCAGCTGTTGTTGTTGTTGTGTCTTGAGTGTATGAGATAGGTTCACCGTCTATTGTACCATTTATTGCTTCTTCGACTAACGGCAGCAATGTGTTTTGAGATAGCATGGCTTTGAGTGGTGATGATGGGTTAATGACTTGTCCCAAAACAAACGCAATGATGATAGCGGATGATGCTATGGGATTGTGGAGCCCATTGCACATGTACTTTTCTAGTACATTAATGAATTTTCTGTGAGTGTTCGTCATAAGGTGTAGTGAAGTAAAATAGACAACAGTTTTGAAGAAATAGAAAAAGTTCGTTCAGGGGGAATATATTTACATCCTCATGGATTAGAGAACGAAGGGGGTATATATATTTATAAACACATACTCAATTTAAAGTAAATACGGGTTTCATGTGCTGTTTATGTATTTGTGTAATTGTTTAACCCTTGGTAATACTTTTAGTGCTGCATATAAAAGCCATCGTATATTACACAAACTATAATAGTTTACAACAACAATGCACACGATTTTGCAGGTAGAGGCCATATTTTCGCCCCACGTTGACGGAGGCTGAAAGACGAAGCAAACAAAAAAGCACCCAGTAAGCAACCACTATGTGAAGTTGACACTGTTAGTGAAAGGTCTGCTGTGATGGTCTAGACCGTCTGGGTCTGGTTCACCGTAGCATAACAAGAAAGAATGCGTGCAGTTTCCCTATTTTATTTAGCGAGAGGCAACGTGGGCGAGATACAATGTATATATAAATGGCCATCAACAATGGCCATCAAAAGCCATAAACAACAACAACAACAACAACAACAACGATTGAATACACATCTGCAAGATCTAAAATATAAACATTATTACCCACTAGGCTTTAATCTGTATTGTATTGTAATGCCTTGTGTTGAGTGAAAACGTGGGCACCAAAACAGAAAAAAAAAAAGAAAAAAATTTGAGAAATTTAATTGAAGATGACACACGTGGTCGCCCAAAATAACACAAATTGAAAAGGTATTGCCCAAAGTGGAAGACACGCCAATTGGTGTTTAAGCAATAATACATAATCGCAGCTCACACGATCGATGAAACTCACAAGACTAATGTCTCGTCAGACAAATTCTTTTCAAGGTAAAAGACGTTTGGTGCACCATAGTACTCTTTTGCAATATTGAAACCTTAATCCCTTTTTTTTTTTTTACCCAGGGAAGTTTTAAGAGAGGGAATGCGACGCAGTTGGAAAAGACAATGACGGGGGGGGGGGGAGGATGCTACATTGAACGTTTGATCACCATAGGTAGTTGTTCATCTCAACCAAATGTACGGCCAGAATGAGCTCATCTCTGGTCCTTTCACTCATAACCAGAGTGACGAAACCTAAACCTAAACGCATTTTTACTTTTAGGTCTCTCAGAGCGACTTCAATATAAATCTTCCACCAAAATATTATAAACAATGAAGCAAGATCCAGGAGACGACCACAAACGTTTTCGTTTCTCAAATCAAGCCCCGTCACCATTGTGGCCACAAGATCTCAATGCTCACACGATACATTTGAAACACCAAATTACTACACCGTTTACGTTTTTACTTTCTTTTTGAAGACAAAATTGTAAGCACATGTGCATTTACGAGATTAAGTTTTTAGTAGCGAAAAACGACACAAAAATACGTAATGCAAATCTTTTGACCTTACTAAGGCGGGTTCAACTTTAACCAAGTAGACATAGTTGGTCATGCCAGTATGTTCGATGAGGGGATGCTTTTTATAGGAGCGGCTCGCTCTACCTGAGAGCCAATCGTGGTTTCTGCAAGATCAGGCTATAAGCGTTTCTTTGCCGAAAGTTTAGATTGTTCGAGTGATCCCTGGACGATGGTAGTCCATTCTGCGCCCTGGAGGACAATTTCTTAATCATTTATTCCTGAAGAGACGAGCTTGTCCCTGTTTTGCTGATTCAAAACAGTACAACTTTCCTCCTGTAGACCACAAATCTATAAGTCGAAACTTTCTGTTTCACTCCATAGTGTTACAACATCAAGGTCCGACGCTCAAAGATAAAAGTCTACAATATAATTTATTCTCTCGGAGTCTTCGATTGTGACCGTGTTTTTTCGCTTTTCACCATCACTGAAATGTTTTCACGCAACAATGGATGTAATGCCGGGCGTGGACAAATGTATTTGAGTTGATAAATTAGCAGGGAAACATGAGAAACATGATAGAGACTGGCAAGACTGTACAGTAAGGGTGTTTGCTATTACGTGGGACTTGTGGGTGAGACCCCTTTGTAGGTTACTTGTGATGGCATGTGCCTTTAAAGGAAAGATTAGGTAGAGTTTCAATGAAAAGAAGAACCCAAATGAATGTTTGTTCTACAGGACACTAATTTGGAGCATCAATTAGGAAAGGTAGTCGGTGGTTTTGGATTCTTTTTGTCCATCGTTTTCTATCGCTGGGTCACTGGGAGTATTTAATCACAATCCAAGCGTGGGACTTTGTTGCCCGATTAATCGGGACACAGTTTGGTCCATCCATGATGAATCTTTCCTATTGCGATGGAAATTATCCCACTCAAATGCTGAGTACGTCAAATATCTTTCTCACAAAAAATCCTAATTTCATTGTTCTCGTTGTCAGGAAATAGAGCTCTACCATAGGGGGAAGCAAACCGGAAATTGATTAAATGCCTCAAACTTGCATCAATTGTATTTGTGATGTGATTGTTTTGCGTCGAAGAAAATTTCTATTTTGGGAATTGGGTCGTGTGATGTTTTCGTTGTACGCACAAAAACCCAATGTCATATACATACTAGTTTTACAAAGTGATACCACAGAAATGGAAAGAGACTCCTATTGGTGTTTTATTGTTTAAAAATAAGCTACAAAGAAGAGTAAAGACACGTCGAAGATCCAAGCCCCTCAAGCCTACGCAAGGTTTTTGTTCTTGGCAACAGTCGTGTGACCCAAAAAAAGACGTAGAATGCAACCGTTTTTCACATCTACCGCGACGTTGGGTTTTGAAGACTGACGTCTGGTTGCCAATGTGTTTATCATTTTTTAGGGTGGTCTTAATTGTTTGACAATATACATAGATTATCTACTAGCACGTTGTCTGAAAACGTGCAAACTCCTTCGAACTCCAATGAGAAATGTATGTACCCTTCATAGGTACAAACACGGATGTCTAATGATTTTACAGGTGCTGATTTGAAGCACGGCATCAGTCTTCATTGTAGAGATAGCCAGTATCTTCGTGTGATTACGAATTTGACACAAAAAGCTATTACAAATGTATCTGCAATTTTCCCACCGATCAATTTACAAGGTACTCTATGGTAGCCAATCAACAATTGCTCTGTTCTATATATAGCGTGGATAGGAGTCCATAACGCAGGTATTGTGTAGGATATTTTGTTCTAATTATAGCACATCACAAAAGTCACTTTAGCCCTCGCAGCGCACTATTGAGGAGGGGGCTTAGTGGATAACTCAATGATCAACGAGAGCCAATCCCATCACTCCTGCTTGTCAGTTTGCTGGATATGATAGCAAGTAGAGTGTGCAACTAGGTGTAACCAGTAGAGACCCCCCAACCATATAACCATTCTTGTAGTGAGAACAAAAGCATTTAACAATGTTGAATAGAAGATACGGCTCATGCATAAATTGTCTTTTTTTTCCTCGTATACTTTGAAGTAAATTTAGTAACAGCGTCAATGCTTTGTGTAATTTTCACACATTGTCTCTTCTATTTGATGTCCACGAGAAAGAATTTCCAAAAGCTCATCTGACGTGAGTGTTTTGGGTAAACAGCTCATAGTCAGCAAACTCATTCTTTTTATGTTGTAGATACAAGCTATTCGATAATACCGTAAGATTCTAAATCAGATCGACGTGATGGTAGAACCTAAATATATAAAGCAGTCCCCCCCTTGAAAGTAAGTGATGGTTGAGCTGCATCTGCCTTTTGCACTAGCATGGCGTCAAGTACAGTCTGTTACCTGTTTTAAATGTCTTAACTATCTCACATTAAATAAGGCTGTGCCAGTTATTTCCGCACTCTTCGTTACCCAAAATTCTATAATTAGACCGGTGACGGAAAGAGACCACAAAAGTTGGTACAAATTGTGAATGTTTCCCAACAATGGAGTCATCTCAGACCTACTACCACGCCAGAACACAGCCTCAGAAAAGGAAAACTCCATTGAGAAACCATACACCGCTTTCTCTTCTTTCCTGTTATACACATTAGTATGAGATTTGTCCTCTTGAATTGTGGTTTCATTATTGTTTCTAGTTGTATTCGTAATTACACAAAACTCAAAACGTAATTTTTTTATGATTGACACCACGTTTTCTCCCATCAAACTTTTTATGGAAATCTAACCATTTGCGAATTAATCAAATGTATTTGTTATAAATACATACAGATTTCCATTTTGTATTCTCTAATGAGGCGTTGTGTGGTCCTTCTTCTAGAAAGCTACCTTGTCCCTCAAATTTCAACAGCTACATTGCAACAAATCTTCCACAAGAGAACATTTACGGGTACGATCGAATGAGTATCGATTTTCTTACTAGTATTCATGAAATCGTCAGTGACACTTTGTCACCACATCCACCCTTCATCACACCTTCCTTGATAAAACTTTATCTTTCACAATGTGTGACACTACTTTTTCTTTTCAGATTCACTTCCTCAAGAAAGAACCAGGTGGGTGGTTTATTTACAAAACTATTTGAGGTGATTCTACTAATAGTCACCCACATTGGTACATTTTACATTGTATCTGTAAAAGATTCAGCTTACATTACAGACGACATAAAACTAGCCATGATTATTCAAGTCATCATCATTTACGGCTTAGGCATTGTTGATTTAGTTGTACAGGCTAATGGTACCGAGGAGTTTCAACAAGAAGGAAAAGCAGATCTCGAGGGGACTTTTTGTGATCCCGTGTGGCTCAAACATCTACGTCATTTCAATAATGATTTCCTCAAGATAATACTCAGTTACAATTTCATTATGATCAATGATCTTGATACCAGTATGATGCTAAAATTGAGTGAATTTGCAATCAAGTTGTATTGTTTATGGATTATGTTAAAATATGAATACAAAAGCGATGAAGAAGAGGTTGAACGAGTAGTTGATGTCTGTGAAAAAGTTTGAGTGGTTAGACATATAAAATAAAATGAGTAACGAAATGGAGAAACCAAATTAGGGTTATTTACGACGTAGAAAGTCAATCGCTTCTATATTTTCTATTCGTAATTTCTAATGAAAAATTCATCAAATGGCCCCGTGGAGTCAGCAGTATCGTCAATATAATCTTCCCCAGATTGTATGCCGTCATTGTCTATTTCCATTGAGAATCCCCTGTGATTACTACCGTCATTTGAAGAGTTGTCATTGTCTTCATCGTCTGATCCACTACAACTTACAGACAGGCCATCCTCGTCAACTTCTTCCATTGCTTTCCTTGTCATGGATTGTTGCTCGTTGGAATAGTTGTAATCTGGAAATTGTCGAGAATACGCCTTCAACGCATCTTTAATTTCATGATCGATATTTTCGCCATCACTAACATCATCCTTGTGGTTGTTTTCATCATTATCATCATTATCATCACCCTTCTCCCTATCATTTGCCTTACCGCCACTTTGTACTTTCCGGCTCGCCTTCACCTCCAAGTTCAATTCCCTATCCCATCGATTCAACCGTTTCACATCACCAGCACTTACGTCAGTCTTTCCATCAAGCATCATCATCAATAACGCATGTTCATACATTCGCAGTTCCAACAAATCACAATCATCAACCGCTTTAGTTTCCAATTGAAACAACTTAAACTGTTCCTCATCTTCTTCATCTAGATCCATTTCATTGGAGCTTTGGTGCAGTCTGTTTTGAAATTGATGTAGATTGTGAATTGTGGGGATCGTCTGCTTGCGAGGTACTGGCACTAAATTACCAAATGCAGGTGCTGATACAATATAATGAAGAGTGCCGAACCAACGACGCTGATCATTCTTCCTTGTGAAGGCTTTTTTGATCAATGGATTATCAACATTGAAGATCTTGTTGGGGTTAGAGTACCCCAAATTGCTCAAACTCCATTTGATGTTCCTCGGGTGTATCGTAACTGTAGAAGCATCTGTATCCCCGTTCTCCAGTTTCTTCTTTGTCTTGGTGTTGATGATGTTTATCAATATATTCTTGGTCACCTGCTTTACTAGATCTTCCATAACTCGACAAACTTCTTTGTCACAAATCATACCAAACAAATAAGACAAACGAGCAACATTGATGAATGAACTTGCATCTTCCGCAACAACATCATCATTATTGGTACCTTCATCAAATGCACTATCAGACGCCATCTCTGCATCAATCAATAAACTTTGCTCATCTTCAAGCTTGGTAAAGTACTTCAGCATCTCATACGCCGCAGGAATTTCCTCATACTTGACCAACCTGTAATCCTGATTTGTCAAAAATTCAGACCCTTGTTCAGGACTCCTTGTGCATCTTTTCAACTTTCGTAACTCCCCCTTCAATAGATTATAATATGTCAATATTTCCAATTCAGATTTTCCCATGTGTAAGCCAATCATGTCTAATTGATGGATTGAATATCGTGCAAGTAACGTAAAGAATAACTCTTTGTCCTTGCTTGACCATATCTGACCTGGGTATTTCACTTCATTGGGGTATGTTCCATCATAGTTGATCTTCAGTGATGAAAATGGCAAATCCGGGATACATATCCCAGGGTCTAGAGTCTCTTGAACTTGTCGATTGTAAAATTTGATATAGTTGATGTTTGGACGACGGAATGGTCGCTCTTTGGTGAGCACACGGTAGCTTTTTTCATCATTAGAAGGAGTTGGTCTTGGTGGCGGCTCTGGTGAAACAATAATTTCAGTAGCAGGTTGCGTCGAAACCGTAACTGAAGCACCAGTTGTATTAGGTAATACACTATGCACACGCTCATTTACAAGAGTGCTTTTCTCAAATTGGTTTCGATAGTGATATCCCACGGCTGCTTCATACTCACTCTGCAATCGTTTCACTCTTTGTTGCAATGCCGGGATATCGTACCTTGCTCTGGGGTTAGCTAGTCGTTGTTGTATATTTTCAATCTCCTTGCGCATTTTGTCAAGCTCTCGATTGTGCAATTCTTGATGTAGAGGGCTGTAAACTGGTAAGAGCAGCATCTGGGCGCCCCCGTCCTCATTTTTATTATATTCTTTGATGATTCTCTCTTGCTCTTGTTGTTTCAAATGATATAGCTCATCCCAAAGCTGCTGCATCTTGGGTCGATATTGTGATCGTAGGTTTGAAAACATCTTTTCAAGTACTTTGATTCTCCTCTGTCGACGCTCAACTTCTTTTGCATGGTTTCTCTGAAATTTTTTTTGAGCCTTCGAAATTGAGCTTGCTTCCCTCTTGGCTCGTTTTAGTTGACGCTGCTCTTCAAATTCTGCTAATTGTTTACGCTTTTTTTCAAATAAAAAGGTGTCTCCTATTGGCTCCTTGTTATTATCAAACAGATCAATTTCCGATGAAACAAGTCCATCCTTCTCCTGATTGTTGCTTCTTGAGTTGAGTTTCCGCTGCAGTTTTTGTTTAAACTCCTTCAAAGTTATGCGCTCTTCTTTTGGCTTAGCCAATTCCAGTTTCCACTCCTCCAATTCTAGAGTAATAGCATCAAGATCAATTCGTTTTGAAAAGTGTGCCTTTTCCAAGTACAGTTCGAGTTGAACAACTCTTTTTTTCAATCTAGTGTCCAATTGCTCTCGTCGACGTGTTTCAAGCTTTGCTCTTTTTAAATCTCTCTCCTTAGCTTTGGTTTTCTTCATCCTTCGTTTCGTCTGTTCCGCTCTCTGAGATTCCTTCAACTCTTTACGCGATAGTCGTTTCGTTTCACGTTGTTTGCGTTGTTCTCCATCTCCTTTACTTGGTTTTCCCATCTCACCTCTCTTCTTCCTTCGTTGTTCTCGTTCTTTTCGTATTTTATCCATTTTCTCTCGTTCTGCTTTGGTGAGATAGATATCGTCAATTGGTTCAAGAGACAGGTCTGATGTTTCCTCGAATAAGTGTTGATTTGCGGTAGATATCAGTTGCTTATCGGTACTTGTTTTTGAATTGGCTTCTTCTTGATGCCTGGGTGCTTCGCCCGATGTGAAAAGCAGGTCGGGACAGTTCTGTGGTTCATCACTAGCATCCCTATCTTTATTATCATCACTATCATCACTATCATCACTATCATCACTATCATCGAAATCTTGAAGATCAAGAATATCAATGTCAGATTTTTCGTCATACAGGAACTCTCCCTCCTGAGAATTCGGTTTCCGAAGACGTTTATTCCACAGACTCGCTGTATTTGCCTTTGCTTCTTTCCCTCGATAAACTGTATGCGACCACAATCGATCCTTTGTATAGGATTTGTCTAAACTATGAGAATGCTCGGTGGTGATATCATTACCAGTCTTTGTCGAGGATTCTATACGCAACTGTTTGTCACCAGCTATGGAGTAGGGCGAGTGGAAATTTATCATAAGAACATCTGTGGATGGTTGTTGCGTGCAAGATAACTGGTGATGATTCAGTAAAGAAAAAATTTGGTTGACTTTTGTGATGCGCATGGCAGTATCACACGCGACTTTGCAAGATTATAAAAGTATTCCTACAAACTTATACATCGCTACATTGCATCACTACTCCAACCCGATGTCATATCTTCATCTCATCAAGAGATTTATCTAAGTCGTTACTTCGATGAATGTTCTCAATTTCGTTTCTTTTTGTTTTGTCGCCAATGGTATCCATATTCAGATGTAAGGACTCCTCATCCGTGTCGACCCATTCGTCTTCTGATCCTTTTGTCGCTTCCCCTCTACCTGACTCATCATTTCGTAATATTTCCGGCAAGAACGGTTTCGCCACATCTTCATCCTCCCCATCATCTGCTCGATCTAGTAGTCCAATCAATTCAACATATTCTTCCGGTACAAGTCCATTCTCACCAGTTTCTGGATCCTCTGCAACCAACCAGCCTTGACCGTGTCTATAACTAATCCATATCACTTGCCCTTCAAGTAAACCAATCTCATTATCGTTTTCAGGCTGAAAATCAAATATGGCACGAGCTTCACAGTTTATCTCATCCTTCTCGTAATTGTCATCGTAATCATCATCATCATCTCCTGTCTCCATCTTATAATTGTAATACTCTTCGTGGCTTAAATTACCATGATGTCGCGATCGGCGGTCGGATGTGGAGGAAGATGCTGTGGATGTATCATCAGACAACGCTGCCTCATCATCGTCATCATCGTCATCGTCATCATCATTAGATAAATCATTGTCACTCGATAATCGGGCTTTCCGCGGATGCTTTATCGATGTTGTATAATGTAGTGGATGTGATTCAGGATAACCAAAATCTTTTATCTTGGTATTTGGTGGAAATCGAGGGCTCATGAAGTAATGACTGGAAAAGTTTGTATGCTAAGTCGCGGATAGGCAATGCCCGATTCGAGCTCTTTGTATTGATAGCTTTACCAACTTGTTCTCCCTTTGGAAATAGAAAGATGACGAATTCTAAAAATAGCCCAAACTCACCTAAAAGAAAAACGAGAAACGTTCTTTTCTGCTCTGTCACTTTTGTGGATTTGGTCTCGATATGTAGAAAGTGAGAATACTGTGGGAATTGCGATCGTGTTTAATGAAGTGCGTTTTATTGATTACAAGCTCTGCCGTAGTGTGTGTTTATCACCACCACCTTTTGCTTGTTATTCTTGACTTTTTGGTTTACTTCACCTGTTGTTTTTTTTTTCTTCGTAAAGTGAAACACAAAAGATTTTTTTTTTGTTCTTTGATTCAACTGTTGTTGTGGTTTCTTGTCGAGAAAGAATTCGTCTTTTAACTGATGGTGCTGGGGAGTATAAAAGAGGGAATAATGTTTTTAGTCTAGAAAGTGTATAAAGCTGATCAGTCTTTGGTAAAGTCTATCAATACATAGTTGTCATATTGGAATAGTTTGCAAAAGTCTAATCAGTATATTGTACCTCATTTTGAGAGTCGCACGACCAGTGTAGTTTTTTTTTTTTTTTTCACGCGTTGCACCGCACACACACACACACACACACACACACACACACACACACTACGTAGCATGTCGCATCAAACGTTCCTTTCACCATATGAATAATTGAAACAGTTTTTACATTTAGAAAAACAAAATTACGTCATACATCGTTCTAGAGTAATATAGGTTGGTTGTATGTTGCAGCTCCATTACATATAGGTGGTGTAGTCGTTTCCAACGAACGTCGCAAATCCGAAGGAAGGAAATACAACCCCACTTGACTGAGCCTTGTGCGGCTCATCATAAAAAAGCTATACAAATGCGGCGGTGTACTAAAGAGCGCCTCGACAAATTACAACAGGAGCAACAAAGAAACTGATGAGCTGGTGAATGTAGAGGAGCTACTAAGCAGCTTTTGGATGGAGCAAGACTGTTCTCTCCTTATCAAGTCTGCACATCTAATTCGATTTTATACCATTAGGCTTATTGATCGAAAAAAATTGGTAGCACTAAGTTCACCATCTTAGAAAAAAAAATCCCATTGACATCTTTAAGATCATCACTACATTGAGCCAGCCATTACCATCCACCATGGACTACCAAGAAGAGCAGTCGCAAGAGATTGAAATTCTACAATCGATATACCCTGATGAAATAGAGTTTCTTAATGACTTACAAACACATTTTCAAATACGAATCAATTTAGATACAGAAAGTGAACGCAAACATGCTTTAAAATTAGTTGTAAAGTATCCCAAAACGTATCCGGAAGTAATACCAGAACTACATATAGAAGTTGCTGAGTTAGAAGATGACGAAGGCGATGATTTCCAAGACGATGATGAAGATGATGACGAAGACGAAGAAGCCAAGCAAACAAGACTCGCATTGAATATGGCAGAGACAATTGAGTATGAACGAGATGATTTGTCCGAACTATTATCAAAGTTAAACGAAGAAGCTGAGATTGGGATCGGAATGCCATCTATATTTACACTAGTCACTGTTCTCAAAGATGAAGCTGAATCCTTATTCAATGAAAAATTGGCTCTCAAGACTAAAGAGTTTGAACGTAAACGACAAGAATTGGAAAAAATTGAACAACAAAAGTTTCAAGGCACCAAGGTAACACCAGCATCCTTTAATGAATGGAGACTTAAATTTAGACAAGAGATGAAGTTTGAAGAAAAAGATGAATTGAAAAGACAGCAAATGCATGGTGGAAGATTAACTGGGAAACAAATATTTGAACGTGGATTGGCTGGTACTGAGGAAGAAGAAGGTAATGGTGGTGTGGAAGGTGATGATCTAGCTGAAGGGGTCAAAAATATCGCTGTATAAGTCTACATTGTTGCGTTGTGAAGGAGGATGATGTTGTAGGGGGTGCAAAGGCATGTCAATGTAGGTTATGCGCTAAATGTGTCGTTTGTTTTCGAATTTTGATTTTTGATGTGGCTATACGTGGGTTGCAAATAGAATATCACGCTTGTATAAGTAAATACACAAATGACGCAATTATTTCATGATAGTGAAGAGCCTTCTTGGCAACAACTGTGTGCCAATGTGAGTGCCAAAAAAGATGAGCGTTCCTGGGAGGGAATATTTCAGTGGAATTTGCACTAGGGGTGGAAAAGTTACCATCTATTTTCTATCCGTATGTTTGGGCTATCTCTTCTAGTCCCAAGTTACAGTTAGACTACTATATAAAGTACATAGAAAGCTTCATATTATTGCATATCCTGAATTGACGCCCCTTCAGGTGAATGGAGATCACTCTTCAGAGTATTGTGTAAAACTTGAGAAATTTTGTGTGAAACTATGACCAATTTGCACACGATGAAGACAATGAATTGTAAAAGTCATATCTCAAAAGTAAGAATATGTTCTATTACGCTCTAGATTTCACCACAGTCAGTCCCAGTAACAACTTTTGTTTCTCCTTTCACCACAACTCTGATCCAATCCCTCCTCCTCGCCATGAATTGGGGTTGTTAGTTGTGCCCCTGAAAGGATTTTCCTGTCCTTTCGTTTTAGACAGTCTACTCTGAAGATCATGCATGTGTAAGCAGAGCGGATCAACCAAATAAACTATGATACCATTGGGTTATGAAACCGTTAGGTTATGAATCCATTAGGTTATGAATGCACTGGGTTGTGAATGCACTGGGTTATGAATCCATTAGGTGGTGATACCGTTATTGATATGTTGAAGCCATTACAATTGCACCAAGAACAAAATCCTAGACATCCATACATGTAACTACCCAGTAAAAGAATACCAAGTTTTTGAGAAACTAAACAGAGGGCATCACCTACTGACAATCAAGAAATTGCCAGATTCAAAGCAACACCAACAAGAGGAGAGGGAGAAAAAATTCATGTCGTTTAAAGTGTATTAAGTGAGCGGGGGGTTTCCACCCTCTTTTACAACCGAAATTAGCATTAAAATGCAGGAATTAAAATTCATGTAGCTATAATGGGGCGAACCCTTACATTTCCTTAATATTCAGTAGCTTCTAACTATTAACACTCTTTTCAAGTCTACACAAATAAATCGGCTATGAAAGTCAAATTGGAGTTGGTTCCACATTAGCAGCTTTGCTCCGAAATGTGTTCCTAAGCCGTTGCCAAGCTCCCAGCATAAAAGCATACCCATCTAGTACTTTTAAAAAAGACGGAATTTGGGATTTGTGTACGAAAGTATGTGATCTTGTTGTCAATCGGACGTTTGCTGATATAGCCGATCTTTTTTAATAAAACCTTCAACGTTATTAACGCATCAGGATACTTAGACGATAAAGGTAGGGAGTAATTTGGAATTCATTAAAGTAAATTGTTGAGCTTTGTATGTGCAGATATGTAAAAAATCGTGCAATCTGAATTCTGAAGCGGAAAAAGAAATTCATCAAGAACAGGAATAAATTATGCCGGAGTTAAGCGGTATCATCAACAACTGACTCTTATACCATTTGGCATCTAATGAGTAGTCATTACATTAGACACACCGCCTTTTTTAATAAAGAGGTGGGCTCGCAAGTTGGATGTGACCTCCCTTCCTTGAACAATTATATCTCTGCTGCTGTAGTATTTTTCTACTTTGAAAGGGTTCAACCTTTTTTCGCAACAAGTACAAAATCATTTTGTGCGTGCTTTTCACTTAAACCCACCTGTGAGCTAATCGAGATGTAGTTTAGATCACAACAAAATTCACGGATAAATATAGGGTCCAGACTTTGAAGAACAGACTTATTTTAGTGCAGTGCTCAATATTTTTCAGTAGGACAACGAACGCAATGATATAGGTCAAATCTTATTTTGCATTTAAACAACTCCAAAATTGACAACAACTAACAGAATCAAAATGAACTCCAAACTGTGGGGAGAAGTAAAAGAAATGGCTACAGTGTTTCCAGAGAAGGGAGGCGGTAGCTAGATGAAAGAAGGTGATTAAACCAGCATTTTTCCACAAGCTTTTTTACTTTGCATGAAACATTTACCAATTGGGTTGTTTCATAACCTCTTTTACCTACATGCGTGTAAACTATACATCCAGCGTGTGAGAGGATGTAGAAATGACAAAATTAACAAGATGACAAACTTTTTAGGCTATATTAAGTTGCTCGGGTATCTTCTTTTTCTGGTGCATTTACTTCTAGGCAGCACTGTGCACTCTGAGAACCTGCCGATATTTTTACTCCCGTTACTGGTTCTTATACAATAAATACTATAAAATACTTTGCAGCAAAATCTACCGGATTTGGTGCCTACAAAAAAAAATGGGCTGATCAAACCAAACGCATGTTGTGCATTTCCATCAGGGATTCAACGATTCAATGATGGCTATCTTTTCCATCAAAAGAGTATTACTAAGATATTGCAATGAGCTCAGAACCATGGCATCGTCATGTACCGATGACACCTCTACCCCTAATTGATAAGGTACCTCTAACTCAAACTTTCTTGGCAAAGTCATCATACTCCTCAAATTGTCATATTTGGCAAGAACTACCGTGTTGTTTAGATGAATTTAGATACTGGCTGGGTGAAGAAGTGCGTAAAATTCTGAGGCGTACGTCAACCCTTGAAAATCTAGTAAAGCTCTCCATTTAATGGAATTATTCATATTACAAACACAATTGCAACTTGTGCTATTATGGTAATATGACTGATGATAAATAGTCAGCTGGTATACTGGAAATGATTCTGGTACGTGTTTTGTGAGGATACTTTTGCGGAGCGTGCATCTGCCTACATTAATCCATAGTACACAAAAAAAAATTCCACTGCCTTGTTCTTGTTTACTTTTGGTACTATGTTTGCCAAAAGTCTTTACTTCAGGGTTCAATGCAAAATCTATATCCTTAAGCCTTGTATTCCGAATTCAAAGCTGACAACATTGACAATGGAATAGAAAATAAAGGGTCCTTGTAGTTGAACCAGCCTTTGGGAAATGTATAAATAGCCGATGAATATCCCCAAGGATTGCAAAATTCTAGAAAATAGAATCATACTAGAAGAAAAGCAATAGACCAAGCTAGCTTTAGCTCTGTAACACTTTCATTCAATTTTCAATAATCTAGTCAATCCCAAATTACTAAAATGTTATTAAAAGCTCAGGTCTTGTTGTGGTTATTGGTTGCTACCGCATGGGGTAGAGATTTCCAAGGTGGTAACACTATTGATTGGGGTACTCAAAATGTTGGTCAGGGTGATGTCCACATTCATTCTGGAGCACTTTGGTCTATCATCAACAATGCTGCTTCAGATTTCCATGGAAATATTCAAGTTGATTCAAATGCCGGTCTTTATGTTTCCAGTGTTAACCCAAACATTGCTTTGTCTGCTACTTTATATGATACCATTTATGAATTTGTCAACAATGGTGTTGTCTCATTCAATGCAATCAAGGGTGCTCCAGGTTACGCATTCAATATCATTGGTAACATGTTTGAAAACAACGGTGATTTGTTTTACTCTGCATCGGGTGAAGGGTCAGTTGTTAGTACTATCAAAACACCCGATTTCCACAACACTGGATCATTGAACTTTTACCAAAAGATGAAGAGTGATAGTTATGTTTTGTTAGGTGCTGATGCAAAAACATTCATCAACAATGGTCAAATATGCTTTACTAATCAAACTGGCATCAACTTGCTGGTGTCTTGGGAGCCGGTTGTTTCACCGCTCAAGGTCAATCATCGTTCTATTTGCAAAACACAGCTTTGCAAATCTCAGAAGACCAAATTTTTTACTTGTCCAATGGTGAAACTTCAATATTGGCTGTTGGATCAATCGACAATCCTCAAACTTTCCACGTCAGAAATTTTGGAACTGACAAGAATGGTGTTGCAAACAAGGTTGGATTGACTGCTACTTTGTATAACTCTGTTGGAGGAAAAAGTGCGTATGCCTACAATGCAAGAGATGGTATCTTGACCTTGTACGTTGGGTTGTATACCCAAAACTTTGAAATCGGTACTGGCTACGACCCAACCAAGTTCCAAATTGTTAGTGATACCAACAGAGAAATCCCCCAAATCTACTTGGGTGCAGTGCAATACAATGGTTCACCACCAAAACCAGGCATGCCATCGGAATGTAAGCCATGTAAGTCAATCCCAGGTATCCCAGGTATTGACCAGCCACCAGCAACTTCATATCCAATCAGTACTGCCCCAACTTCATCGACCAAACCAATGCCAACACCTACTGTTCCACCAATGAGCACCCCATCTAACTCCAAGCATGGACTCATCAAAACAGTAACCGTGTTTGAAACTGATGTTGTTGAAGTTACCTCTACATACACACTCACCAGCTTTGTCAAAAATTGAGTAAAAGGGAGATTCGTTTCTTCTGAGACTAGTAACATACAAGCTGTATAGTTTTAATTATGAATGCAGAGTTTAAACTTATTACTCTATACCATATTTTTATTATTGGCTGAAGATTGTAGATTATTGCTTAGGACGACGTATAGAATCAAATAAGTGAGTTTCAACCAACATTTACAACTTCTCTCTGGCTATCTTGGAGATCTTGTTATTCAGAAAAAGGTGTGTTTTGGAAGCAAATGGGGGCAAGATGTTCAAGTAAATACTATGTAAACAGAGTAGTCTTTTGGAAACGAGTAACAAAGTCAGAGTGGGGCAAAGTACATGATAATGACCACGTTGGCTACCGAGAACGAGTCTGGTTCAGTGAGTTTATCTCAAAATGTTGCGTTGTGTTTTAGTCACGACTAACATACATACACTTCGGGCCCTAAGTTTTTCGTATGCCTCACAAGCCTGCACAACTCCTCAAAATTGGTATTAATATATCTTACAGATATGCTCATTTTCTTGAACAAAAAGCAGCAAACATGGGTAAATCTTTCCCTAACTTTACAAAAGGACTATGCATATATATATGCGGAGTTTTCGAATTTTCGACGGTTTACATTATGAGACTCGAAAGGGGAATCAAACAAAATTCGGAATTGAGCCAAAGGATAGACAGGGATATTGCGATCGGGCTTGAAAATTTTGTCTTCAAAAAATATGCATGTTGTCGTTCGGAAGGTATAGTGAGCTCAGTAATCTTCACTACCGAATGCAGTGTAAAAGAATTGGGAATTAGCACACTGTCAATAAAATGTCGGCTTTAACGAGGTCTAGTTTGTATATGTTCCACAAAGGGTTCAATCAATTTCGCAAAGCAATTTTGTGTAGCACTAAGATTACTAAGTCATTTAAATCAAAAAAATTACTCGCAAGTTATCAATTGGCTCTTTGGGGTTTAGGTTCGCTGAGTTTACTATTTGGAATAGAAAGTATCCATTTTTGGAAATTGGCTGAATTTTTTTAGTTGATGAAATCCGCCCTAGCAATTTTTATAGCTGCACTGGCTATCCTAAAAGGGTATGATGCTGTAGACGACAGAGATTCAGTCGAGTATTCTCTATCAAATTGAGAGGACGAAGGATTCTATGATTAGCTCTGAGAAATCCATGTATTTAAAAACGTACCATCATGTTTCTGGACTGCCCCCACAAACTAGCGCACTCAAACATATATTGCGATTGTACAAATTTTGAAAGTAAACCCTTTCTTCACTGCTGTTTGCATACCCTATATAATAGCCCCAATGAGGTAAATTCATTGCCTATCTTGAGCACCATCCATGCACGAAATAGATGCCTCAATGATTTAAGACCAACAAAAAAAGACGTCGTCAAAGTATGACAATCTTTCATCTTTGAGGCTTCATCTTGCTTTTCGGGTATCGTGTGAGGACTTCAATACATAGGGAACATGCAGAGGTCAAAATATCTGCCCATGGTGTGTATTCGCATTGCGAAATTGTGATACAAAAACACGACACAATGACTTTTTCTCATCAAAGCCCTTTTTCCAGCACATGCAAAAATGAGCTCATAAAATATATCCACATGTCTTTTGGAACAAGGGTCTTCCATCGTCAATTTAGTCTATTACACATCTACTACCCATTGAAAAAAAAAAAAAAAGAAAAGAAATCATAGAGATGAGGAACAGATGAAGCGGTTGCAAAAGAAGGATGACTAGTTGTGACATGTACCTTTGACACCCCATGGCCATTAGTCTTTGATACGAGTTGATAATTTCTTGGCTCAAGCTTATCGGTTAGGTCAATGGATATTTTAGCGGCAACTATCTACGAATTTTATTAAGACGAAGAATTGGGGAAAGACGATGCATAAAAAGTTTGGGCGTACACTTGCAGTTGAAAATGGGTTCACGTTAGATGCGGAAAGCTTGTTCCTTTAAAGGTTTCCTTCAGTTGGATACTGGCCCCCAGAAACCACTACACTCCATTGACTGAGTGTATGTGCTACTATGTTCAGTTTAAATATTGACCAAACTGAAGGTATGACGAACGTGACTTTCTTCCATGGCAAGTAAATTTTTAAAGACCCTACAAGATACATCTGACATCCCAAATTAATCCATGCATTGCATAAGGTTGTTGGTTTTTCTTCCCTAGCAGTTTGCATAGAGAGTATAGCTTAGTGCACTTGTTCATCGGGCACTACAAAAACTTACGATAAAGTGGTGCAACAGCAGTGCCACGAGTGCCCAATATGGCCTCAACATGGTTCTGGAAAGTGTATAAATAGCCATACAATATTCCTAAGGGTTCCTAAAATTTGAAAAACAGGATTATACTGAGAACAACAACCAAGTCACATCTCAAACTTGCTATTCACTCGTTCACTCTCAGCAAGCTAGTCAATTCCAAATCACTAAAATGTTATTAAAAGCTCAGGTCTTGTTGTGGTTATTGGTTGCTACCGCATGGGGTAGAGATTTCCAAGGTGGTAACACTATTGATTGGGGTACTCAAAATGTTGGTCAGGGTGATGTCCACATTCATTCTGGAGCACTTTGGTCTATCATCAACAATGCTGCTTCAGATTTCCATGGAAATATTCAAGTTGATTCAAATGCTGGTCTTTATGTTTCCAGTGTTACATCAAATGTTGCTTTGTCTGCTACTTTGTATGACACCATTTATGAATTTGTCAACAATGGTGTTGTCTCATTCAATGCAATTAAGGGTGCTCCAGGTTACGCATTCAATATCATTGGTAACAAGTTTGAAAACAATGGTGACTTGTTTTACTCTGCATCGGGTGAAGGGTCTGTTGTTAGTACTATCAAAACACCCGATTTCCACAACACCGGCTCACTTAATTTCTATCAGCTGATGAAGAGTGACAGTTATGTTTTGTTAGGTGCTGATGCAAAAACATTCATAAACAATGGTCAAATATGTTTTACTAATCAAGACTGGCATCAACTTGCTGGTGTCTTGGGAGCCGGTTGTTTCACCGCTCAAGGTCAATCATCGTTCTATTTGCAAAACACAGCTTTGCAAATCTCAGAAGACCAAATTTTTTACTTGATTGGTGGTGAAACTTCAATCATGGCTGTTGGATCAATTGATAATCCTCAAACTTTCCACGTGAGAGGTTTCGGAACCACTGCTGGTGAAGCAAACAAGATTGGTTTAACTGCTACTTTGTCATCATCAGTTCCCGGAAGAGCTCCATTTGCCTACAATGCTAGAGATGGTATCTTGACCTTGTACGTGGGGTTGTACACGCAAAACTTTGAAATTGGTACAGGTTATGACCCAACCAAATTTCAAATTGTTAGTGACACCAGTAGAGAGATCCCCCAAATCTACTTGGGTGCAGTGCAATACAATGGCCCACCACCAAATTCTGGAATCCCACCAGAGTGTAAACCATGTAAATCAGTTCCAGGTATTCCAGGTATTGACAAGCCACCAGCGACGTCTTATTCAGTCAGTACTACTGCAACTTCATCAACGATTCCCATGCCATCAGCAACTGTTCCATCAATGAGCACGCCATCATCCGCTTCAAAGGCAACTGATGGTGCATCAACCCATGGACTCATCAAGACGGTTACCGTATTTGAAACTGATGTTGTTGAAGTTACCTCAACTTTCACCCTTACTAGCACTGTGACAGATTGAGTAAAGAAGAGTTTTAAACTTGCTTTAATTGTGTAATACCCAAAAGCTGTTTGCTTTTAATGTTAAATGGTAAAATTTTTATAACACAATGTAGAATCAATAGTTACTCTATGTCGTATTGTATGATTATAGAGCTACGTAATTGATTGAAAACTTTTACAATTTGATTTATTTTGTAGAACATTAAATGAAGTTTCAAGAAAACTAGTAGAGAATAGAGAGGGCAGCAAAAGCATGGTAGTGGAAATGAAACAGGCTGAATGTATACGAGTTGTAACGCAGGGAGGGAAGAAGTTGAAAAAGGGAGGAGATTAAGCTCCTGTGATTATGATCATAGTTTCGCAACCCGGGTCATCAGTGTACAAGATATTCCTCATCGAATTGAAATGGATCTGAAAGGAGCCCACTCTTCTTTGTCGAAATAAGAACACGTCAAAAACATCACATAAAAGCGCAAAAAATATTTTGGAAAATGGCACTTTCTAGGCCGAAACGGGCATCATCGGTTGTAAAAAAAAAAAGAAAGAGGATAAATTCATGTATCATTATTGACCCGATCTCAATCACTGTGTATTGTTCAAAAATAAAGAAGCAAAAAAGTCTAAAATTTGAAATCCGGGGTAAAGATGACAATAAGTGTACGCGCATTTCGGTATTTACTTCTTGACCTAGAACTAGCTATGATTCGTCGTTCTCCTTGTGATACTCGACCACCAGCGGTTTGTGTTAACCTCTTTATTGTGCACTCCTTTTCATTGTTTCTGCTGACCCCCTACTTGCCAGGAATCACGTAGGATGACCAGATTTCCATATTCTCTCTTTTCTTTCGTCTCCTTTATTGTGTCCGAAGATCTTGCGTTCATAACCATTATTTGGAAAAGAGAACTTGGTGTATACAGGTTTTCTATTATGTATTACTAACAGAAACTTGAGCACCAATGTACAGACTAAATACGCATAACATGGATAGTGGAAGGTAAAGCGTGGTCATTTATTTCTAGTAATAATAGTTGATGCAGTGATGGGGGAAGGTTAGGATATTTTCCAAAAAGTAAAGTAAAGCCGGGGTAATTTTGGTTAGAGAAAGGATTAGGTACATGCAAACTAGCGGGGTTTCTCACTTTAGTCTAAAGAGTAACGATAAAAACTAGGAAGTATGGTTTGGTTGCCGTCTTTCTGGAAAGTCTTTTCAACACTTTGATGATTTTATCTCCAATAGGAAATATCATTGAGTTCCACCAATATGCAGAAGTTGTCGTGGCCCATCAAGTATACAAACCATCGGCAATAAAAAAAAAAATAAAAAGAAAAAAAGAAAATCTCTCTTCGTACATTGTGAGCTACATGTTTATGGTTTAAGCCGTTGCCAAGATTTGTGAGAGAAAGGTCGACCTTCCTATTTTGACATCCAATACTTTACGAAAACGTTTGTAAAGGATATGTTTGGCTCGAGAATAAAAGGGGGGTGTGGGGGCAGTCCTTGTGGGGCAAGTAAAGTCTGTGAAAGTGGTGGGTACGTTTTTTTTTATTTTATAACCGATTTGATTAAGACTTGTAACTTCATGATACTGACACGTATCTATGAGTAAGACCCCCTTTTCTATCTTCCCTCTTCGGTTGTCAAAACAGACTTGTTGTTGTAAAATCCCGAGATTAAAAAAAAAAAAAAAACATTTCTTTTTGCTCTCCTATTCTCAAAGTTTTTGTTTTTTTTAATAAAAAAGAGAACACGGAGTTAGGAAATATGTTATGTTTTAGAAGACGACCGAGAAAAAATAAGGAAAAGGAGTTAACCGGATTTGTATTCGGATTTATAATGTCACGTGCATATGGAAAGCGTGAAAGAAAATTGGCAACCAAGATCGAAAGAAGTTTTACGGTTGCCCTTCTTTGGGTACGATGGAAATCCAGATCACTTGAAAGGCTTTGCTTGGATTTGTACACTCGTTCCATCCATTCGTAGAACTATGGAGCATAGTATCAAGAGTGTAATATAAATGTATAAAAATTTTACCTTATTTTTACTTTGACTTGAACGGAGTTCGGAATTGACTAAGTGAGTTCGATGGCCATACGTACTATCTTTCATGGTATTATATCATACGTAGAATGTATGATGTAGTAACCACAATGCTGAGTTATAATAAACGTGAACCTTAAATTACGTCACTTGTAAAGGTGAGACAATTACAAAATCATGATGTAATCAAATGACATAAGAACAAAAAGTGGCGGGACAGGGGTGGGGTTTGGTGACGTTTAAAACTCTCACCACTCTTGAGAAAGAGAATTTCAAACTACATTCCAGTCTGTATTCTACATGTATATATATATATATAGTATAAAATTGGGTATTTAATTCTATTAACAATTTATAAAGCAATCATCATCGTCGTAATCGTAAATCATCATCATCAATCGTCAAGGTTTAGCAAACTTGTTCCAAGGAAATGTTTTCGTGTTGGAATAAACTCATGGTGGTAGTAGTAGCAGTAGTTGGCAATTGTAGTGTTTTGCTGGGATATTTATAATGTGAATTGTGATTATGGTGGTGATTGTAATTGTGATTAGGCAGTATGTATTCATCATCGTCGTCGTACTCATCATCAGTTAATGAATTTGTATTGCACAACTCCGGCATGTCATGATGATGATGAGGCATGTGAGCATTGGCTTGCTCTTGTTGCTGTTGTTGTTGTTGAGCAGACTCGCAAATGATTGTACCTTCATCATCAGAATCTTCAATATCAGTAGCAGCATCTTCCTCTTCCTCTTCTTCATCTTCTTCGATGATTGTTGGTGTGGTTGATGATGACGAGTTTATGAATGGTAATGACTTGTAACTGGGTGTAGTTGGTAACGAAGTGGTAGTGTTCATGATGACAGTTCTTGGAATCTTTTTGGCTTGTGTAGCTACATCTTCTTCAATTTCCGAATCGGAATAGATGTAGTAATCATCTTCCTCCTCCTCTTCCTCTTCGGAGTCAGACTCAGTAACTTCCTCGGTGGTTATATGTGGACTCATTGTTGCATGTTCGTGAATAGCACCATTCAACTGTTTGATTTCATCACTAACATCTCCTTCGTATTCTTGTTCTTCATAATCGTCGTAGTAGTCTTCCTCTTCTTCGTAGTCTGAGTCTGAATCAGAGTCAGAGTCAGAATCAAGTTCATATTCAGTGATTGAAGTCTTGTATAATGATCCAGCAGTAGATGAAACTTCCTCATCAGAATGACTTGATTTGCCATGATTGGATTCAGCAGGAACATCAAACTGTACATGCCTATCCCCTTCACCGCGTTGGTTTTGTTGAGTACTGTTGTAGTTGTGGCTATGGCTGTCTCGGTTGTAGTTGCTATTGTTGTGGCTGTCTTGATTGTAGTTGTTTCTTCGTTCGGTTTCTTCAGTAATATAATCCATCAAATTATCTAACATATTGGCTTGAACCACCAAGTTACGCAATGAAGACTTGGGTGATGCTGCTTCTTTAGTCAATTTCAGTCTTACTTTACTGGCAAGAATATATGTCTGAGCAAAAGACATGTGTGGGGGTGACACTTTAGGAGTGGCGGTTGTCATTGTAACACTATATTTGGTATTGGGGTGGGCAAAATCGTTGATGTTGTTTGCCAATGGGCGAACGTGACAGAAGATGTTTTGAGATCAAGATATGGAGAGAAATGGAGGGGGGGTGGATTCTAATGTTGATTTATATATACATGTATCCACAAAGGTTACGTATATTATAGTACAAACTATATTGATGTCATTATATCCTCTGACTAATTGAGAATTAAATAACTCGGCGATAAAAAATAAATAATAAAAAGTAAAAAATAAAAAGTAAAGAAAAAAAAATTAAAAAAATAAAATCACTAAACTGTTTTGTGCAACTCAAGAAGAATAGGAGGTTTTAATCTTGCGGTTCTAGACTGCATTGGACAGAGTGTGTGCCAGTTCCAAGAGAAGAGCAATTAGTAGCCTTCCCTTTTGATCCGAATAGTCCTTAGACCTAATCACATCATCCTACTCCTGGTAGTATACACACCGTTCTACTACTCATACATATAATTGCTAGAACAGAAGAAGGAAACAAGAATAGACTAGAAAGAGCAAAGAAACACGAAGCACACTTTTTCCTTCTCTTTCTCATAAATTCTAAACAACAACAACAACAACACGGCCATTATCATCTTTCGGAACCCTGTCATTTTACAGTGTTGCGAATGTACGGCTCCCGGAACAGAATAGAATCGAGGATAGATCATCATATATATCCCACTCTTTATTGTCTCACATATGCATACCTCCTAAATATCTTACTCTCAAACCGAGTCCGAGTGCACCGATACAGGCTAGGCATGCACACACTCTCTAGCTCTCTCTCTCTCTCTCTCTCTTATATCATTGTCTATTCTTCTCCTCTATTTCCACCTCCCGGGTCCGAGTCTTATGATATTTTTTTACTGTTCGGGAACCCACATATTTTCCCATAATCAGTTTTCAATTATGTGCATAATAACACCCATAACCTCATCATTCTTCTTACTCTCTCTCTACTTTCTTATTCCCCTTATTATGGCTTAAAAGAAAGGATAAAACCACGCAGTCTCGTCATTGTTCTTTGAGTACATGCATATATATCTTTGTCTTCCTCCTATTATCATCGGTTCCTCTCTCTCCCCCCCCCCCCCATGGAAATCCGAGGTAAACCAATATTGTCTATACATGTATATAGCGCATATACATAGTTTGAAATTGGAATAAATCTCTCATAGATTAAGTGTTCCCCAATGCAGTATGTACCCACTACATACGCAAATCATTATACACGGTTACATTTACACATACTTTCTTTGCGATGTCGCAAGATACACAAATGCACAAATGACATTGCACAAAATTCTACCAAATCGGATGTAATTTCTCAAACTCGGTTATTGATGTTTACTACACACCGGCTACTTTTGACAATAGTAGTTACGATGAATGAAATTCACAATAGACATAGTCTTCACAACATACCCACGTTTCTATCTTTAAATGCAGCAGACACATCCTTAGCTCGGATGGTAACTTTTATTCTGAAGTCCGATAAACTGTCAAATAGTCAAAACATTGTCCATGACTAATGTGTAACGTCTAAATCTTCAACTGTCATTATATGTATATGTATAATGGATTAGTAAACCTATCCATTTCCGCAACTTTAAACCCCTAAAATCCGATTTTTACAAATATCCGAGAAAAAAAAATTTTTTTCGTAATTTTTTTTTTTTTTCTTTTTCGGATATTCGCTTTTAAGATTGTGCAATAACTCCGAAGAAACCCAAAAAAAAAAAAAAGGGTAACAAGTTAGTTTTAGCCCCATTAAAGCCGTATATCTGTATTGTGCTACTCATCATCTTGACTTGTTCTTTAGTGATCACAATAGGGAGAGGTGAGTAAAGAGAGGGAAGGAGAAAAAATGTATCACGCCATATTGAAGTAGCTAACATATCTTCATTGTGATGGGAGAGAAGGAGATTTCTTTGGAAAAATCTAGCTCTATTTTATAGCTTTTTGAACCAAGAACTTTATATCAGTACAATCTCCAAAAGATCAACAATCCAGCCAGTCTAACATATTAATGAGACACTTTGCGTTCCCCAGTTCAATCTCTACAAACAATCTACTTTCTTTAAGACTCTATATTAACAGAAAGCAATCACAAACTATTTTGTAACTCTAGTCTTTCTTCTTGTCATTGAAAACATTCTACTTACTTCTTTTGAAGCAGAGCAGCAGTTATCATCAATGACAAAAGTGTTGCTCCCCTCCCATTCTCTTCTATTAGCTGTAACGACGTCACCCTTCTTGACTTGTTTGCAACAATTACCGAGATGACTTTGAGACAATCCCGCTGACAAATTAAATATAAAAGCTCCATAAGACCCATAGCCACCATAATATGCACCATTACTTATCCCCTTATCCATCTATGTTCAACAGAAATTTGATTGTCAAGCAATATAGAGAAAGGAACCTGCCTTTGTGTCGATTGACAAATTTTCACCTTCTTCATTGTTCTTATCTTCAAGTTACATGCCAAAGCAATCAATCATGAACCCTATTTGTTAAAAACTGCCTTTCTTCTGATTGCTAATTTGATTCATCCGCAGCAAGCGTAGATTTAAAACAAGACCTGCTCGATCTGAAGATTTCCTTGGTTTATCAGTTGAAGAAAGAAAATTGCGGGGCAGAGCTTCGTACTCAAGCATAGCCTCTAAGTAATTGGAGGTTTTGCAGTAGCTTTTAGTTAAAGCGACAAGAACAAATTCAAATTCCAAGCAACTGAACAGCGTCATATTTTTGAAAACTATTGGTCGAACAGCGGCAAAGAAAAGACTATATCGCTCATTGAATACCAAATTTTGAAACTCCTGTTCTCAGCTTCCAAACTTTCTTCCACCGACCAAGAATTAGCTTCCTACTCCTTTTTTCTTATATCCTCTTGAATAAATGTGAGTTTCCGCACTTAGTTCCTCGTGCTAACTCTACAGTTGACAACTTCCAACATCACAATAATACGTCATTCGATGCTCCCAAAGAACTTAGCTATAACATCGCCATCACCAGCACTGCCTTGAATTCCAACCTCATAGCCTTGGCTGTTCAAATATCGCCTCGCCTCGTCTTAGCTTAAAAATCAAAGTACAACTTATAATGCAGAGAACAACCTGGGTTGAACTCAGCTTGGCACCGTGGACAAACTGAACCACTATTCAAGTACTCATTAGCTGTTAATTGACCCAAACAATCACCACAAATAACCACCTTGTATTGATCTCTAACATGAAACTTGTCTATCTGGTGATTGTTTAATTCATCATGGCATTTAAAACATGGGTAGAATGTATTTGGACAACACTTGAATCTAAGGGCAATAATGTCCAATTGTGAATGATAGTGAATGCATCGTGTGTATGTATCGACTAATTGACCTTTGATGATAAAGTCGGAGTCGTCAAGTGGTTGGGTTTGAGTGATTACAGTAGTCATTGTGGGAGTGTGTGAAGGCAGTGTTTCTCCGGGTGCTCTTTCCGGTTGATGTGACCGCTTGCTTCTACTCAAGGGCTATGTGCCAGAGGTTGTCTATCATTCATTATGTGTCATTAAACTTCTTTTCTCTGATACGACATTCCATACATGATTTCAAATCTGGTAGCACCAAGTCTACGCCTCGCCCCGGGTTTAATCAACCTGCATAGAAATTCACCCAATTCAAGTTCGTGGCGAGTTTTTTTCTACCAAAGGCGGATCCGATACCTACCTAAGTCGAGCTAAAGTCGAAAGAAAGCTTCTTAGCCAGTACATATTCACATTTCATCAACCTTCAGCTCAATCAAACTACTACAATTACTACCAGTATGTCACTTTCAAGATCATCTTCATTGTCCCGATCATCTCCTTCCCCCAAGACTTCCATCATTATATCCAATTTTGCCAAGGAGGACTTTGTTAAGCCAGAAGGCAACTCGACCAAGCCAAAACTCGTTTCCAAAACCATATCATTGGTGGATCAAATCAAATTATCAGTGTTGAACAAAGATGACAAAATCTTAAATCATATTACATATTGGTCCGTTTTACCATTCTTGAATCGCATCATAATCATTTTCAATGATGAACAGATTGCAAGTCAAACTTTGACTTATTTACGCGGAGTATTGAAACCATACGATTACCTTAAGTTATCATTGCAAGAAAATTTATTACAACGATCAAAGTCACAAGATCAAATACAAGAAATGAATTCGCCAAACTCAAACTTGAATGTGACAAAGAGTTTGGCGAATTTCAGAACTTTCCATAATGATCCAAACAATGAATCAAATGTATTGGAGTATGTTGAACCAGCACCAGCGCAATTCAATGTATTGTCGGATTTATCAAAATTGGGCATAGATTTGAGGGATTACAATAGTGACGAGCAATTAAATGAATTGAAGGAAGATGAGCTAGAGCAGCAGCAGCAACTGGATCAAGAAAGAAGGTCAAAGAGTCCAGGGTCATTATCACCAATGGCATCACCAAGACAAGATGATTTGGCCCCGCTGCTGTCGGCACAACTGCTGCCTGTATTAAGAAGAAGATCGACAAAGACATTGTTTAGACCCAGCTTGAAGGTGAAAACTGGTGATGATAATGACACTGGAAAGACTGAGAAGCATGGAGTGTTGCAATCACCGGCGCAAATCAAGCTGGATGAGTATCCTCAATCGCCAACGATAACTTTGGATGAAACTTTTTAGCATGGTGGCTATTTATTGAATTTGTAACTATTTATCGTCGATAACGAATGCATTGGCACCTCTTCCGTAGGCATTACTTCAATGCTGATGATAGCTTATTCATATGTATTATCCTGCATATAATTCATATCATTTTATGTGTCCAGCAAAGAAAAGGGAAAAAAAACTCACCAACCAAAAACACCGCCAAGTAGATCCACTCTGTACCCACAATCACCATGAAGTTTTCAAATGCGATTAGCTGGTCATTGGTAGCAAGCACAGCATTTGGAGGAAGTGACTCTTCTACTCCAACACCCGCTTCAAACTATCCAGTGATTCGCAATGTTGATGAACCAAAAACTGGCCTCTCCTACAAAGAAGAACAATTCTGCCTCGATAATTTTTTGAGAAAACTAGAAATCACAGGGGTGACTATCGATGACAAATTGGTACCATTGGTGAACCAGAACTTGGATTACATATGGTCACCAAGGCAGAAGTCAGGATTACCTGAAATACGATTCAAACCTGTATTGGTTGTCAATATCATTGGCGGGGAATTGAGTACTGAACCAAGTTTTGAAACAAAATCACTGCAATCATATGTTGACTATTGGTTCAAAGTGTATTCGGAATACAGAAAACCGTTAACTGATGGCTTGATTCATTTTGGCTTGGATAATGGACTTGTGGATCATTTCAAGTATTTTAATGAGCAAAGAGACAAGATCTGGCAACACCATCAAGCCTGTTTAAAGCAACAAATACTCAACTATAGCCCTACTAATGAAGAGAAATTCATGCACGAGTTATCCTCATTGGTTCATTTGCTTGACCATGTAAAGAGTGTGTCCAAATACAGTGGAGGAATATTCATCATTCAGATGACTTCCTTAGCGTCGATCAAAAACAAGATTGGAGCTGACTCTACTACGTACAAACATGCTGTTGACTCACTAGAAGAAACACTTGCATCACTAAATGTTTATTTCGATATCTTGGTGATAGAATCGCCAAACATCAAGCCGCAAAATCATTTGCAAAAGAAATCACAAATGATATCAGCTGCTTCTACATCTGCATTCAAATACGCCAGTAAGCAAGCATGTGAAGTTGCCACTGATAAATGTTCAGCACATGGCGAATGCAAACAGAATAAAGATCAATGGAGGTGTGTTTGTGAACCTAGCTTCAACAAAACAACATCAAAAACTACCACTTGGGTTGGTTATGATTGCGGTAAAAAGGATGTTTCTGTACCTGCTAATTTGTTTCTTTGGACTACTATTGCATTAGTATTGTCATTAATTGGGGGGATTAAATTGTTGGCAAGCGTTGGTTCAGATCCTTTGCCTGGAGTATTGGACGCTGCCACTCTACCAACCAAAAAGACCATTTAAGGAGATAGTAGTTGTGTGTAATAGATTAATCCGATTGTGAATGTATTTAGCAACTAGGTACGAGCTCTGTTGTAATTCTCCGCCGCATACAGATGGCTGAAAATTACCGGATTTAGTAAAGAAGCTTTTTCACAAAAAAAAAAAAAAAAAATCATATCATGACATTCCACTTTCATAACCAGATTCCGATCCCAAAACACGAAACCCTTAAATCAACAAATTCTTACCATGCTAAAGTATTCAAGAAGACCCATAGTTACGACAATTTCATTACTCTCATTGATATGTGTGATCTATTTCATGTCATCATCGTCACAAAATTTGGAATCTTCCCTAGGTAAAGTGAGATCGCCAATAAATTTAAATTCCGATACATTGCAATCAAACTTGGACACATTGTTGCAAAGACAGGTTCAACTGGGTAACCAAGTACAGGAACCATTGGAGGAACCACCATCGAGTGGAAATGAAGCAGGGGCTCTTCCAGCAGAACAAAAACAACAACCGCAAACTATCAACAACGATGACGAGGTCATTGTAGCACAAGCATTTATGCCCAAAATGGCCAACGAAACTTTAAAAGCTGAATTGGGCCGTGCTTCATGGCGTTTGTTCCATACCATTTTAGCTAGATACCCCGATGAACCATCAACTCATGAACGTACAACCTTGGGCAACTATATTCAATTATTTGCTCAGGTTTACCCCTGTGGTGACTGTGCACGTCATTTCCAACAATTATTGAACAAATATCCACCACAAACCAAGTCCCGTAAAACGGCTGCTTTGTGGGGGTGTGATATACATAATAAAGTCAATGATCGGTTAAAGAAACCACAATATGATTGTACAAAGATTCTTGAAAATTATGATTGTGGATGTGGTTCTGATGAGCAGGAAGCTGACTCTACTTTGAAGGGAGAGAGCTTGCTGCATTTAAAAGGGTTGAAAGTGGAGAAGGAAGAGTTGCAAAGAGGTGGATAGCCGAATAGCTGCAAAGAGTACAAAGGACAATCTACGAGTACATTTTTTAGCGCATTCATTTCTAGTACAGTTTCACGTTTACATAATTATACAACATCCAATACTTTGTTGAGCTTGACGTGTTTGTTTAAATGACTTGTATTTTGCAAATTTATTTTGATCGATGGGTAACTTCCAATTGTAGGGGATTAGATAATCAGGAGTCTCTTCAACGTAAGCAATAATCCTAGAAATGAAGTTAGAATATTGATGAAACTCTATGGCTTGCTGTTTACATACAAGGCACAAGCTTTCGACGCTGGTATTCTTTCTCTCTTCAATGTCTCCTTGAGTCGATTGTTTAACTCCTGAATTCTTTTCAATTTAATCAACTGTATTTGTTTCTCAGCTTGATCATTCATAATGGACAATGTGGTAAAGCTTCATGGTATCTCGTAGAGTCTCAGGGTTAGGTTTTTTATCGAATGAAGTCATTCTTTCTAAGAATTGTTGAAAAATTATATAAATGTAGTTTTTAACATGCCTTGAAATTAAAGTTTGTGTCATATCCATACCCAAATATGAAACACAAGAGTATACAAATATGTGTAATGTGAGCTATTTCTATACAAAGAATAAAAGCAATATACATACAGCAATGATAGTGGCCAAGATCAAAGTATCTCTTTTCCTCCTGGAGTTAATCTTCAGAATAAGCACATTTATACCAGGAACACTTTGAATCGTGCCCAATATCGTCAGTTGAGCATTTTGCAAGTACTGACGTTGGTTAGCCAACTCATCACGAGTATTGTATGCACTCTGTAACAACCTATCAGCTATTGAATTGACATTGTCTGCACGTTGGCTTTCTTCAAGAATGTACGAATCAGGGTCCGTATCCAATGCGTTCGCAGGACCGTTACGTCTCTTGTGATTGGAAATATCTGACTGCACAGTGAATAGCAAGTTGTTGCGATTTCGTTCTTCAGTTAGCGTAGAATCAATACGATTGAATGAATTTTTGTGATCATGTAAAATCTGTTCGTGACGAGTAATTTGTTGTAATTTCGAAGTACTCAATTCAGTAGTTGATGATTCACTAATTCGGTTGAGTTTGGCAATGATGGCATCTCGTTTGGATAATATATCGGTGATTTGTTGCTTAATTGATTCCTCCTCAGGAGTGCTCTCCAATGATTGTGATAACTGGGTTTGGAACTGCGAGTATTTGGCTAATAACGATTCTGTTTGTTTCTCCAAGTTGAGCGCTTGCGACCTAATTTGAGTGAAGGAAGAGGATGACATGATGAGTGAGGGAGTGAATCAACGTTGTCATAGATTGTGAGTAGTACGAGTTTGCCTGTGTTATTTTTTTTCTTGTGAGTGACGACATCGTTTTTTCTATAGGGTCGCATGAATGCTCAAACGATTGATGGTTCACCCCACAACAAATGGCATGTTATTCACCGATTAATACTGATGCTACCTTGTTTGGCTAACCACATGTGTCCTTAGTGCAATGAGCACTACGCAAGTCGCGATACCCGCTGATTTGCTTACAAAAGAGATGCGTTCTCATTGAAGAAGGATGCGTTCCGTAGTGAATTCTCAACCACAACTTTCGGTAATGAAGAATTCCAGTTGGATCCTATTGATGATGAAACAATTGAAAATAACCCGCTTTTCATCGAGACTCTTTTGTTTGACGCCTTGATCAACCATCGTGTTGCAAAAAAACGAAACTGGAATCTACCAATATATACTGCTGATCCTGACGGTGTGACTTTTTTACTCAGGATAAGTTTATTGCGAGAAAGATCATTGACGATCTTGTTGTGGTTGCTGTTGATCCAATTCTTGGTAAAATGAAAGCACTTGTTGAATCCATGTTCAAAGTAGAGTTGGATCACGGTTTGGTGTGCCGGTCAATGATGGATATCTTGCAAGTTTGGCAAACACTTGAGATGCAATTAGTGCAAGTTACATGTATTGATGAAATGATTGGGTAAAATTCGATCACTTGACACATTTGGCATGCAGTGTTGGAGAAGCACAAACAATTGATTTGTGAAAGAGACGTAAATCGTGAGAATTTGAAGCAATTGTTTGAAAGCAACCCTTGATACGGCGACGAAAAGAAAGGGTGCAAAAGGGACGGCTAGCACATTTTTTATCTTGTCAATTTGGGTAACACTAATCTATGGAGTGTATAATTTAGTGACATGCATGTGAGCAGCGTATCCGTTATCCCTACTCTGGCAGTGCCAAAATACAAATTTAGTATTTCCTCCCCATCCTTCAGTTCAATGCCTGACATTTCCGTAACGCAACTCCTGTTGCTTCTATGTCAACTCTTGCATCTTCCCATTACGATATCGTGGCAACGAAAATTACAGCCGCTTATCAGCTTACGTGATCTAGTAGATTTCAAAGATAATGGTGGACGAGGATGCACAGAAGGCGTACAGATAATCTGGACACAAGAGTACTTGTGGCTTCATTTTGCTTTACAGTGTCGCTCCTAAAATAATCAAAGCAGTGTCAACCCCCAAAGCGTTAAAGTATTAACTCGAATGCAATGGTTATGTGATGAAAATGGAGTTCCGTTAAAATGCAGATCTATCTGTTGTATGCACACAAAGAGATGGAGGGAAAACTGCATCATCGTCACTGTCAAAGTTAAAAGAAGAGGAGAAAAGAAACAATTGAAAGGGGTTTGTTAGAAACATAATGCGGATCTTTCTACGACATTTGACGGAGAAGCAATAAGCCCATTGTGTTTTTCAGCCAATGACAAATGTGTAGGCTGTCTTGTAAATCTCTCAACCAAGCGGCATTTATATATATTAAGGAATGGTTGGCCAAACATTATATGAGCTGCATTGTTGTGTTGACGAGAGAGAGAGAAAAGTGAGACAAGTTTTGAATTTAGATTGTGCAGATGGGAATCGCTTAAGTAATAATGTTTCCTAATCGGTAATAAATGGGAGTGAGTTAAACTTTATACATTGTACATTGTACATTGTGTATTGCACATATCTTTTACTGTCACTGTTTACTTTCATAGATCATCATTATTCTGGCCGAATGAAGAGAAGATCGGAATATAATACCTTATTGTTTAGTGTTCCCGAAAATAAGCCCACATCCCACAAGGGCTTAATGTATCTTAGTATTTGTATGGTTTCATATTTAGACGACAAAAAGCTGGACGAGAATGAATGAAACTCAATTTTCGATGGGTGAGTGTAGCTTAGTAGCTAAACGCTAATTTTCACATTTGGTTAAAATCACGGCATATGCAAACACCGTTCTGTGTGTATGTGTGTATGTGTGTATGTGTGTATGTGTGTATAAAGTAGTTTTTGAATCTGAATCTGAAGCCGGAATTGCGCTTTTTGTTTCGAAGGTTTGTGTAAGAGGAAAGACGTGTATATTTTTGTGAAAGCCAATAACTAAAACCAAAATTTAAAACCAAAGGCTATAAAACTATAAACAACAATTTGCATTCTTGCATGTTACAGCTAACGTGCATTGTTTCAGATACACGCAGCCTATGTAATTCTGCTAGTTCTTTTCCCAAGCGGAAATAAGGGCTAAACTAGTAAAGGGTATTCCTTCGCAAATGACTGTGATATTATAAACTAGCTCTCAATAATATGTTACATTGATATTGTTGTATATAGAATACAGATGATAAAAGTACAAGTTAACAACCAAACCAACTAAAAGCCAAAGAAATAAACAAAGGAAACCCAGGATAAAATAAGTAGATACCGAAAAAAAAAAGTAGTTGACCCCCAAACACACTGTATCATGTGTAGCCGAAACAAAACAAAGAAAGCACCAAACAAAACCCCAATTTGTGTGAATCAGCGCTCAGTGCTTAAAGTAGACCAACTGTCATTGATGCAATCTCGAGCAGAACTCAAATTGCAATGATATTTTGCTGCCAGCAGCAGTTGACAAAGTTGAGAGCTTCTTTGCTCTATATCATATAGCAAACGAAGGTATACAATAATCATCCAAATTTAGGTAATTTCCCAGCTGCTTTGAATCTGCTGCTGATTGATGATATAACGGAGGTGGCGTACTAAACTCTGAATCGTCTTTGCTCATAATTTGATTAATGGGAGTCATTGGATCATTTGACTCAAACATAAACTCATCAAACTTCCGCCTTGGTAATTGCAACTCCCTTTCATTCTGACTCAATTCGTCAATTGTTGATTGTAACAAGTCCAGTATCTCGTCTCTGGCTGAGCAATCTTCGAGATTATCAATCTTTAGTTGCATTATTTTCAACTTGGTTTCAATTGACGACGAGCGTTGATGACTGGTTGAGCTTGTGTTTCTATTGATGTATGGTTTTATTTTGGCTGCTGTTGGTGGTGGTGTGTGAACTTGCTGGTCTTGATATTGATGAGTTTCTATTGATGGAGTGGATGGTGCTGTATGGGTACCACTGTTTTCACGACCCTTGATATCATAGTTTAGTGGTGTGGGCGACAACGTTTGTGCTGGGTGTGAAACAGTAACTGTTGCACAAGCATCACCAACTTTTTGCTTTTTAGACCGGAGATGATGGTGTTTGTGAGTACTTGGTGGTGGTGTATGTAACAATAGCATCTTATTGCGTTCGGAATATTTGGGAGTGGCTGCGCTAGATATATCATCTGTATGTCTTTGCATTGTAACTGTAGGGCTCAGAGACCGTTTCCTCTTGTCTTTAGGAACAAAATTAAATGGTGATTGTAACATGGCGCTTAGTTTGGCTCAGTGAGGTAGTAAGAACAGTATGTAAATTTTTTGAGTAAGACGGACAGCAACTATAATAGAAATAAAAGTGTTGTAGTTGGCAATTTGGTATGTTGAGGTTGCGGGTGGATATAGTTTTCGAATTGAAAGCGCTTTGGCAAGAAAGCACGGATTCTGTCTTCTAAATATATATACTTCAAAAGAAAGCAAAAGAGATAGAGAGGGGGAGGGGGGGGGGGGGGGGAAGAGAGAATTCAAATGCAACTTTAAAAAACGAGGAAAACAATAAATGGACTCGGTTTTGTGTAGCTTTTTTTGAAAAAGGCGAAATGCATAATGTACATTTTGTGGCAACTATAGGAGAGAGAGAGAAAAAAAGAAAGAAAAGAGAGTGCCTTTGTGTAATTTTATGCTATTCATAGAGTACTGCATATAAACTAAGTTGATAAAACTGAATTCCGAAAAAAAGTTACAAGATGTACGAGACTACGACGCAGCATTATCATCAGTTTTGAGAGTCGTAGTACAAAACGCTATTGTTTTGTTGGAAACAGGAAATCTTACATTTACGAATTTGTTTCATTTCATGGCATATAGGGATACAAAGATGGGCAAAAGATGTACACACCCACTGTTTTTTCCATTGATTGAAACGCTATCAGCAAAAGTGAGCTCACCCAGATAAAGGAGAATTGGCTACATTCTTTGTAGTCACGCACAAAGCACCCATTCGAGTTGTGTACGATGATAACAATAATAATAATAATAATAATAATAATAATAATAATAATGGCATATAAAGATATCAACTCGGAATACTGAGTGTGATATCCCTACAGTTTCCCCAGATAATACCGTTTTTTTCTTTTCCTCTTCTTACTACGATATCACCAATCCACAATTGATTATCACAAGGCGCTTTAATAGCTGCTCTCTTTTCGTATCAATTGAGAGGCGCGTGTATCAATAAACTAGGTACGTAACTTCACAGTTTTCTTTCGTTCGTTATCGGTGATATAATAAGTACCGATGAAAATAATAATGACAGTCAAACTGAATTATAATTTTCAATCGCCTCATGATATTAAATCATTCCATAACATCACAAACGAGACGTGTAGAAACCATTGTTGAGACTTTGTTCATTACTAAGTCCTGTCCCCCTTTTGACGAATTAGGCCAGATATCACCCGTGACCAAAAGCGGAGTAAGAAACAAAAGCACGGGAATCATATTCGTCGCCTTCTCCTTCCCTGCTACTTGTTTTGTATTTTTTAAGGTTTGTGACATCATCATCATCATTTCTTGAGGACTTTGTTCACAAAGTTGTAAAGATTCCAAAACTTTAAAAAATTTGTTAGTTTTATGAAGAACGTTTTTTTTTTTCTAAGTCAACAGAAGAACGCATCAGAACTTTATGAAGTGGAAACGACTTGTGGGAAAGTATGCAACAAAAAGCAAGTGAGTTCTGAACCAAAATCAAATAAGATAAGAAGTCAAACCACGTATACCACCTAATTTTTTGATATGGAGATCTTGTCTAGTGTCGAATCAATGGCTAGTAAAATGGTCGGCATGACATGACTGTGCAAAAAGTTTGGACTCATCAGCTTTGAGGTGATGCAGTCCACTTTCCGTTTCAGTATTTGTCACAAAAGAAATGTCACATCTACATAATGAACGTGCATGATCTCAGTTTCAGATCTATCGTGTCATAATTCTGTCTCCTTTCTGTGAGTTTAGTGTGTTTTACATATACGATTTGGTATCTCAATAAGCAAAAGTGGAATATTTTCTTTCGCTACTTACATGCGATGCAAATTATTCGGTTTCAGGCAAGAATCGTCCACAAAAAGTCTTTGCAACCATCTTTTCTAATTCAATACTTGTTGATATGTTTTCAGTTAAACAAACCCTCGTATATGTTGCTCGTCCTGAAATTTACGCATCGCATCACGAGTCCATCATTCAGAGTACTGCAGTAATTTGAAATTTTCACAACATCCTTAAATGTGACACAAATTTTATAAATTTGGTTTTGAGTAACGAAACGCTTCATTTACGCAAGATTGGAAAGGCAGGTTCCAAGTTTTCAAAGTGGATTGAAAATTAAAAGTAAGAACGCTTTGCTGGGTTATACTACGTCTGTTCCAAATTGAGTAGGATACTGGCAATGGATACAATTCTTTGAATAAGTTGTTCTTGCAAGGTTCTCTTTTTGGACTCATATATCCCGTTCGACTGAAGAGCTCAGCCTTGTTACTAGAGTTGTTTACAACTACGTATGTTTTGAGTTAAATTGGTAGTAGCGTTCTCGTTTCTAGGTCGCATCAATAGTATCTCATCTGTTCATACACCCTTGGGACCAAATAAGTCAATAAAAAAGAAGAACTACAGTTTTGTAACTCGGGTATCAACACCAGGCAACAACTATAAAACGCCTAAAAAAAAATACAAATAGAGGGCCACAGTTTACGTCTTTATTGAGTGGATTGCTTATTCGTTCTATAAGCTTTCATGTATCGGGAAGATGCTGGCGTCTGATGAGGGAAATGAAAGGCATTACATATAAAATTAGGGTAAATAATTTGAATACACTTTCCCAGGACAGCCGTTCACACTGCAAAAAAAGACTTGAAGTGAACGATAGACTTGTACATTTATGAAAGGTTGGCCAGTCCTGCATCGCTATAATCATAATGTTGTCAATTGAGTTTCTTTTAAATTTGCAAGATAACAATAAAAAGCAAAATGTCTTCTATAAGTCGAACACCACGTAACTGAACTCAACAACTTGTTTAAAACATCTCTTCGACTAAGACGAAGCTTTCATGAACATTTGTTAAGCCTGCCATACTTCAAACCACTGCCTCGGTATGCTTCATCACTCCACAAGTTCTGGAAATACTTTTTGAATACCGCCTTCTATTGACAGAATCGTAGCATCCTTATCAAAAACCACAATACTTACCGAGCTTCCTTTTCTCTATCATCAGATGGAGTCTCTTGCTTCTACACTTTACAGTATTGCCAAAATTAGGGCTTCACGAACGCTACCATACATTTTTCAACTTTTCTCAAGGTCGTGCACAAACGACTGAAAAGTTGCATTGAGAAAAACTTTTTTTTTTTTTTTTTCTTCATTTGAAATTTTGAAAAATTTTTCAGTTCCTCTTTTCTTCATCCACAAGCCCTATACACCAAGATGCCTTTCCAAAAGACTCAAAAATCATCTGCTTACCACTCCAGATTCCAAACTCCTTTCCGTAGAAGACAAGAAGGTAAAACCGACTACTACCAAAGAAAGAGATTGGTTACTCAACACAAGGCCAAGTACAACACCCCAAAGTACAGATTGGTTGTTAGATTCACCAACAAGGATATCATTGCTCAAATTGTCAGTGCTCAAATCACCGGTGATGTTGTCTTCACTGCTGCTTATGCTCACGAATTGCCAAGATACGGTATCAAGCACGGTTTGACCAACTGGTCTGCCGCTTATGCTGTTGGTTTATTGGTTGCCAGAAGAGCTTTGCAAAAATTGGGTTTGGATGAAACTTACCAAGGTGTTGAAGAAGTTGAAGGTGAGTTTGAATTGACTGAAGCCGTTGAAGATGGACCAAGACCATTTAAGGTGTTTTTGGACATTGGTTTACAAAGAACCACTACTGGTGCTAGAGTCTTTGGTGTTTTGAAAGGTGCATCCGATGGTGGATTGTACGTTCCTCACTCTCCAAACAGATTCCCAGGTTGGGATATCGAAGCTGAAGAATTGGATGCTGAATTGTTGAGAAAATACATTTTCGGTGGTCACGTTTCTGAATACATGGAAGAATTGATGGATGATGATGAAGAAAAGTACAGAACTTTGTTCAAGAACTATATTGAAGATGAAATTGAAGCTGAAGATGTTGAAGAAATTTACACCAATGCTCATGAAAAAATCAGAGAAGATCCATCATTCAAGCCAACTGAAAAGAAATTCACCAAGGAACAATATGCTGCTGAATCCAAGAAATACAGACAAACTAAATTGTCCAAGGCTGAAAGAGATGCTAAGGTTGCTAAAAAGATTGCTGAATTCCAAGCTGAAAACTAGGATATTTAGGGGTTTTACTTTAAAGTGAAGCAATTTCTTAAAAAAATAATATTTATCTGTAAGCTTGTATCCTCTGTCTCTAATGTTGTACCTCATGCTTTTGTCTAACACGTTCGGCGTCGTTTAATAACCTGTCATATACTTTATCAACTACCGGATTCAATGATTCATCTTTGGACTCTTCCGAGCTTACATCTCCCATTGACGCAGTGGCTGGATCGTGTTGCTGTGGTTGTTGCTGTTGCTGCTGCTGCTGCTGCTGCTGCTGCTGCGGTTGCTGCTGCGGTTGCTGCTGCGGTTGCTGCTGCTCCAGTTGTTGCTGCTGCTGCGGTTTCTGTTGTTGCACTGGTTGTTCCAAACCCTTCACCTCATCTCTCTTATCCAATATCTCAAGACCGATTTTATTGTTATTAATCTTATCAATCAAATCATCGACATTTTCAATACCCTTGGCGGCAATTATTGCATCTCGCAATTCCGAGCCAGAGGGCAATGAATTCAACAATGGAAGTCCCCTTTTGTTACCACCAGCACCAGCACTGCCACCGCTAGGCTCAGTTGTTGGATTTTCTCTCAGTTGCATAAATATCCCAAGCTTGTGAAATTCTCCTTCTTCAATTTCTTGTTGTTTGGCATGAAGACTACTTTGACTGGCTGATCGCATGAGTACTGGACGCCCAGTAATCTTGTCAATTATAACGTCTCTACCTTCATCATTGGACTCAACGACAACTTGATGAGGAGTTAAATTGACATCATTGGAGGAGAAATATGATGTAACGGGTTGGAAATTTGATGCGCGTGGGGATAAGATTGGACCAGCACTAATCAACTCCGTTGAGCTTTGATGCAATGAATCTGGCTCCAGATGGACTTTGATTTCAGGTGTTTGATGCTTTCTTGGTGGTGAGTATTGTTGTTGTTGCTGCAGTTGTTGTTGTTGTTGTTGTTGTTGTTGTTGTTGTTGTTGTTGCTCGGATGTCGCATCTGTCGATGTCACTTTCCGTGCGTGTTCTTCAAACGTGTCCAATATCTTTTCCAATGACGAATCTAGTAAACAAAACCGAACAAGACTCTCTTTTCCTTCAAATGATAATTGTCCACTAGCTCTTTTGGCAAACAAATTGTCAATTGCCATGTGTATTTCTTTTCGTATTGCTTTTGTTCTCTCAAGCATAGCATTGGACACAATTTGCTGAATTTTATCATCTTGTTGTTGGTCAGAGTGGTCCTTCTCACTCAACAATTTTTCAGCAGTTTCCATCAACAACGATCCATCATACATAAGATCCTCTTCTTTGTTTAATGATGTCATGGGGTACTGGGTATTCAAAGACATGTCCATGTTTCTCATGAGATAAAATGCAATTCGTTGTGATAATTCATCACTGACTAAGTCATAATCCAAGTCCAATGCGAATAAAGTGGTTGATTGTTTAACTGCTGCGTATAACGTTGCCGCTGCTGAATGGTTTAAATTGCGATTGCCTAGTAGTGATAAATGAACCAAGTTGGGGACTTTGTGCAAAAACATGGCTATGGATCCAATTGCTTGCGCTGACAATTCATTCAAATCTAAATGTAATCTTCGCAAATTACCATATTGTGGTAGATACTCCGCCAATGATGCAATGATATCAGGAAATACTTGAGGGATTGAACTCATGTCAAAAAACCGCAACATCTTTACATTAATCAAACTCTTTAACAACTCAGCAGTTTCTTGAACATTGGTCAAATGTGTTGAATTGATCGAAAGAAACATCAATTTATCATTCCCACTGTTGAATGCATCGATAAATGGTCGAAGCTGTCCTTGACTTAGATCATTAAATGCAATATCAACTCCAACACAGTTTGCATTGGGGTCACTCACATAATTGGCGACGATCTGTGCCTTTGTCGAATTCATCTCCATTGAAGCAACACCCAATCTTCTGGTGGCAATCTTGACTGCTTTGTTGATCAACTCATTAAACACATTATCAGGCAATTTACACCCATTGATTACCAACTCTTCAATTCCACCTCGGTACACAATTGCATCAGTGAATATCCTCCAATTCAAGTTTCCTCGAACACAGTTGGGACTGGCATCTGATTTGATCCGTTGCTGTGAAATATCCAACTTCTTGACCGTCTTGTTCAAAGCTAGGAATGCACATAGCAATTTCCACCCATGACTGTCAATAGCCACATTTCGTAATGAAAGTTTCTCCAATGCCTTATTTTGTGACAAGCAACCAAGAATAATCTTCAACATTTCCGTCGTCATGGTGACATTGTCGAAAATCACTGCATTGATTGGCGTAATGGCAATAAAATCAGAAAATGACAAAACGTCAATCAATGTTGGTTTCGGATTGAGCATTTTCAAAACTTCCAATGGAGCTTCTTTGTTCTTTAATTGTTTCAACGTTGCAGGTATGGGTAAAATCTCTCTCAAATGGCAACACCTGGTGTAAATTGTCTCCAATGTCATTTCATTATTCAATTGTTCGCGCTCGTCATCAAAATGTTGTTCATGCATGTGCAATGGTTGGTCAATTTGCGCATCATTTGCCAATTTCCGTTGACTGACTTTGGCATCAATCTCCTCCTCTTCCTCTTCTTGATCCTCCATAGTTTCGCCAACATCACCATTTTTCAATTTTGATTTTGATGGCTTGAAATTGGCCACTTCTTGGGCAATCCTCTTGGCTTGTAAATGGGCCTCGTATGAATGTTTTTCCGCCTCAGCTAGCGCCCTCTTTTGCGCTTCAACAGCCATAGCCACATCTCTCTCACTATATTGTGGTGTCGACTGTCCTTGACCATCTTTATTGCCATCACTCGAAGCTATTCCCAAGCATAATCGCGGTGGAGGCGCATTGAGATCTTGTGGTATCAAGACATTCCCCTTTTTCGGTTTGCGGGATGGGATTTGTTGTTGTGGATCGTATTCCAACTTGTCAATAGCAAATGAAACACGACGAAGCTTAACATCTTTCAAATCTTTGAGGGGGATAGGCTTTCTATGCTTGTTTTTGTTTAGTACGATACGTTGCGGTCTAGTAGTTGGAGCAGATGCAGTTCTTGAAAGTGGCGCTGCTGAAGATCTTCTTCTGAAAAACCCTCCTCGACTTTCACTTGGTGAGGAACTTATTGGATTCTCATCCTGATAAGAATCTTTAAAAAGCAGACCTGTGCCAGATTTCGAATTGCTTGAACTTCTTCGACGTGATGGAATGCCCATACCTGCAGGCAATTTATCAGTCATTGATATCAAATCTTCGTGTCTCTTGGGACCAGCACCTGAGCCAATCAAACTTGGATTCAATTTAGGTGATACCGGAGCTTGTGCTGGAGATCGAGGGGCTTGTGGTTGGGATGCTGATGATTGTTGCTGTTGTTGTTGTTGTTGTTGTTGTTGTTGTTGTTGCTGCTGCTGTAATGTCGAAGACAGACTCTTGAATTTAGAAGATAAGGAACTAAATAAACCCTTTTTCCCACTATTGGATCGAGTTACGCCTGGAGATCCCGCAGGTGGTGTGGATGAAGACGAACCAGCCGATTTCTGTGAAATTAATGCTTCATCATGGTCATTGTACACCAAATCACTAGTTAGCGATGGCAGAACAAAGTTGAAACTACTGCTGCGTCTTTTGTTGCTGGAAATTGTTGACGATGGGGGTGTTGGTGGTGGATGCTGTGTTGTTGATTGTTGCACAGACGATGCCGAAGAAGAACGAGATCGTCCCATCAATCGGTCTAATTTCGACGTCTTTTCCGGTTGAGAAGTAGGGGGTGTAGTAACAGATGAGGCAGATGCTGCTGATGTGGCTGGTTTAGTGGTTGTTGTCGCAGCAGCCATCTCATTTGATTTAGTCTTGTGTGCTGATGTACTGGATGGAGGTACCTCTTGAGACCGTTCACTTGAACGTCTTCTTTGTTGTTGTTGCGTTGGCGATTGAGTAGTGGTGCCATTTCCTTGCTGAGCGGGTGCTTCTTCTTGTGATCTCTTCCTTTCCGATGAAGATCCCTTTTGTTGTATATCCTTTTGTTTATCATGATCTTGATGAGTTTTAGACTCCTTCTGTTGCTCATTATTGGAAGCCAACTTCTTGACAATCTTTTTCGATTTGCCACGAAATAGCCAATCAACATCGTCATTAGCAACACCTGTTTTCATCTCTTCACATGGTGGTTTTTGATGAGGGTTTGTAATTGTTATGTTGCTAGCATTGTGATGTTGTGTTGTGACCCCTGTTCTGTTATCGACGGGGGTTGAGCTCGGCTCCAGCATCGTTTTGAAAAAAGAATAGGAACGTGGTAAGTACCGATTAGTGGGATGCTATTCTTCTTTGCAATAAGTCGTACTTAATATTACCTGAAACCCTTTCTTTTAAGCAATTTGTAGGATTAAAGTTTGAAAAAGAAGTCAGTAGTGGGGGAGATAGAAATGAATGAAAGTTGGGGTATATTTGAGTAATTGGGAAATAGCCAACGATAAAAAAATAAAAATTAAATTTTTTTTTTTTTCTTTTTGGAGAGATAGTCCGACAAGCACGTGATCAAGAGAAGCCACCCAGCCCAATTACGATGTAAATAATCACACAAAGATACAAACGGAACAATAAAGTTTATGGGTTTGCTTTTCTTTGTGGTTTAGGAAAAAATACTGTGTTGTGGGAAGAGGCGGGGAATTGGTTAGTGGCTCACAAACATAACCCAAAGTCAGTTTAGCAAAGAGTGAATGTGATAAATAACACAATCAGTAATAGAAGTTGAGTAAGTATGTCTAGCAGTAGATAAAAACGTATTTTTAGAGTATTGGTTTTATGGTAAATGCGGGGAAGAAGAGCAAAGGTTTATTTAAGTGTCACCTATAATATATCTATGAGCAATCAAAAAGCTTTATCAATGAGCTTTACTGCCCCACAAAAGTATTAAAGCCTAATTGTCTGTCAGGAGAGGGGGGGGCATGAGGAGGGGGGGTGGTTGGAGTTAAAATGAAAGTATATCTTTTGCTGATTATTATTAATTGATTAAAATAGGAGATTTTACAAAAACAGGTCGTGTAAATTCTTCAGAAAGCATTACTTCCCAATTTGGTATCGTCGCTACCTTCCACGTTTTCTTCACAATATAGTGTTTTTATTTTTCATTCATACAATCTTTTTATTTTTTTTTCATACTAATGCGACATAATTTTGTTTCATGCGAATTTGTTCTAAGTAGAGAAATAAAATCGTAAGTATTAATGAGCATCAGGCTGGAATTACACACAGACAGATATGTGGATGGGCTTTGTAATTGCTTTACCTTGGACACAGGCCAGATGGCTCTGAAAAGTGAGATAGCCCCATTGGAATCGTGTTTTAGTTACAGTGACTACAATGAAGCGTTCCGTCTAAATGAGAGTGAAGTTAATAACCTGCAATCTGAAATGGAATGCGATAGTGTAGATGTAGATGTGAACATCAGTTCTGGACAAGAAGAAACTTGTAAACGTAAAAGGGGTCCATACAGATACTACTCTGAGGTACAGAAGCAAAGATTCTGGCAATTAGTTATGGTGCAAGGGGATTCCGCATACAAGGCCGCACAAGCAACAGACATCAGTTTGCAAACAGCTTACACTTGGAAAAGAAACTGAAATCGTCGAGTCATCTGTGAACTCAATGGTGCCTATGGCCAACTTAAAAAGCGTGGCGTGCTTAAAGAAATTGAAGCAAACAAGACACTTAAAGAGATCAAGTATTTGGTACTTGATAACGCAGCATCCATAAACGTCGCGATCTCGAATTATTGGTGGCACTGAGTAGAATGGAACTAGTATTTTTGCCAGCTTATTCACAGGGACTAAACGCAATTGAAGAGTTCTGGTTGGTGTGTAAGGATAGAGTTAAGCTGTCAAACTTATCTAGAAAAGAGCAATTAACACCAAGGGTAAGAGAAGCAACAGCGCAAATAATCTTAAAGAGCTATCAAGGATTTTGTAAACACGGCAATGACCATATACAGTACTGTTTGGAACTGAGATCTTTTTAGAGTATGAATCATTATTCCTCCATCAGAAGGGGACCACTTTCAACTAGAGAAAATAACAGCAAAACTTTTGTGAAATGAAAGTAGGAAAGGCTAAACCCAAAAATTAAAAATGGGAGCAGCAACTTGTTACTGTTTAGCGCCCTCTAGCTTGTTACCTTAGTCTAGTAGCAAATATCATCAGGCTTGTATAAATCAGGATAAATATGGTGAAATATGTTGGCCAATTGAACAATTATGTCGCGCTGGTATAAATATAAAATAAGACTGTATTCTCTGAACCATATATCTATCAAATGCTATGCACGTGTCAACCTTGAACATTTACTAGAGATTTTGAAGTATAAAGGTGCATTTTTTTCTTACATTTTATAACTTCTTTTTTTGTATGAATCAAAGATATACACTTTATAATCTGACACTTTAGCAATAACTTCACTCTGTAATCACAACTACAACAAGATTACTGAAATAACAAAATATGAGAGATTTGTTAAGAACTTGGACTACAATTTTTACGGTAGTATTTTTTCAAGCTTTTGTAAGAGCAGAACAATATTTGACTTATACATGGTTAGATGACGACAAAAACATGTTAATGATAGGCATCCCTGAGTATGTTCAGAAGAGAGACACTGGCAACGTGCCTTTCGATGCAAACTTGTCAATGACTATAAGTAATGAGATCATCATTAATTTGAATGGTGTAGAAAATCTATACTATGCAGTGAATCCTACAATCAAGAAAGAGGATGTACTGGAATCGGATTTGACAGATTTCTTTAAAAATGAAGTGGCGGTTTCATTAGGTATTAGTCATTTAGTGACTAACGATACTGAAGCGGTATTGAAGAAACAATGGTTCGGTGTGTGATGAGGGATTTCTGGGGACTAGCATGCCTAGAAACTATGATTATAAATAGGGATATAAATTCTCTTGAATTTGAGTATATTTTAGATGAGATAAGATTGATAAAAATATTATGAAGTACGTTACCAAATATGTCCACTAATTCTACTAACAACTCTGATATGTCATTACCTTCTAGATTATCGAAAGCTCAACTCCAATACTGGCAGTTTTGACTGGAATTTAAACTTCGATTTAATGGTCCTTTTATTGTAGATGCAGCGATAGTTTGCATAAGATCATACGATCATGAAAGTTCTCAATTGAGAAAATATAAGTGGTACTGAGGCGCGAGTGCTCTTGTTGAAAAAAAAATCACATTTTTTGTTTTCTAATTAATACACAGCTATACTATTATTATATAAACAAGCTTCGTACCCTGAGTCTAGTTCTGCATACCATTTGACAAAATATATTTCTTTTATTTTTTTTGTGCTATAAGGATTATGATGTTATTTATACATGTCTTCGGCTTTACTATCTATAAATACGAGTACATGTTCTATATTAAAGCCTTACTCACTCTAAAAATGAAAAGTTTTCCTCCACTCAAGTGAAGATTTTTCACCTGGTTATTTCTAGTAAGATTTTTTTCTTATACGTTGTTAGAGATACTTCTTATTCCTACTCTAAGGCAGTATAGTCTCTTTATTTTTATTTCATACTAGTGCGATATAATTGTTCATATTAGTGCGATAGGAATCTTGTTTTTATGTGATTTTGTTTTCCATTAATTGCGCACTTTGACAGCTTTGATTGTGCCATTGCACAAAACATTAACGATGGATATTTCACTAACCGACAACAATCTATTTATAGGGAATCATGTTATCTCAAATTAACTTTTAGAATAAATTTTTAGAGCCACTCACTATTCACAATCCAGGCAATTTTGTTTAAAATCAAGCTGGTCTACTAAGATGGTGTTTTGAATTTCTACTAGTCTCTGCACGATTAAATGTAATCTATGACAGACTTCCAATCTTACCCGTCACCGGTGCTCAACTCTACGAATGAGGATTAGTCTTACTTCTCTTCTACACTTGCCGTATTAACGATAGATAATCTAATTTCCCAATTTCGCATATGTTAGTTTTACTTGTAATCTTAAGAATATATAATATATTGAAAAGTACTTCTCCAAAATGACAATTAGGTATTCTAGCCCCCTCTACAGTGCGTTCACTTAACTTGAAATTGACACAAGTAAATATTGTCTATTGTTTTTGTTTGTGCCCACCATACATACGGCATAAAAGATAATCTAAAGGTAATTTGAAACTGCACACCCATTACCCACCCCTGAACTTGTAAAGAGCATTAGAAAAAGGTGCATTTGGTATATAGCTCTATTTCCCCATTTGATAGCACAAATTTAAATACACGGCCAGTCATAGGTGCTACAAAAAGCCAAAGATTGCATTTCAACTAAGCCTCGAAAACAAGGATAGGATTGTGTGAAGAAATGCTTTCTTTTTGTTTTTGATAGATAATACGGCACACCTAAGATTTAACTTCATATTGAATAATGAAACAATAGGAGGTTAATGGGTGTGTCCCTAATATACACAATACCGCGTGAATTATGAACAAGGTAGTTTAAGCTCAATATAAATATTAGTGGTATTCCCCTTTGGAAATGTGCGAGTGAGATTAAGAGTTTGGATCTATCGATCCAATATTCAGCACAAAGTGGAAAACCCACTCAATAACTTAAATTCAAATTATACAAAACAAGTTTTCACTTAATCAAGATATAAATCCGATCAATAGAAAGTAAATAAATGTGGATTTTAACAACATTTTTTGCATTAATTCAATCAATATCGGTGATGGCTACTCCAGTGTGGGATGGTGAATTTGCTGACTACCTCAATGCAATGGTAACTTATCCATACAAAATTCACACAGGAAGATTAGTTGGTGTAACTAAATATGACAGTGGCCCAGAAGGTATAAATACGGGAACATTGGTTAAATATGAGTTGGAATCTGCATTCTTGAAAGAAGGTGACAAGTGGGTGTTGCGCCACAGCGACGGTAATGATTCGAAGACATTTGTCGTTTCTGATGAATTTGCTGCAATTATGCTTGAACCAGCAGAAGAAAATTCAGAATACTTACAACAAAGTAAACGCGATGGTGATGACGATGGGGATGATGGTAATCCTTGTAATGGAAGAGACTTTGAGGAGCAAACTGAAAATCTGGGTAAAGTTGAGGTTACTCCAGACCAGGTCAAAGCGGTGTTTGCAGGAGCGATGTATTACGCTCACAATTACAGTAGTGATAAAAGTATTAGCACTAACAAGGAGAAAAGAGATGAGCAAAGATGATGTGTTTACCCAAGCAGCTCATGCTTTGGTACTCAGTCTTGTTCTTTTATCATTAACAGGGATGGAACAAATACTTGGGTACGCCAGTGTCAGAGGACTAAGTGTACTAATTGCGACTATGCAGCATTTGGTGATGGTGTATGCTTTTTTGTTCCCAATAAAGTTGGACAGCTTAGACCAAAGCTATTAGTAAATAGTTACATTTAAAACATGTGTAATATTTTACGTATTTTTTATTTTATATAGTTTGTTTTCAGCTTCATTTAGACTGGTGTTTATTGAACTCCTACCTTACGTCACCAAAGTAGAAACCAGTAAGACAAAACCCAGCAAGGAGTTGTCATTCTTTTCTGCATTTAGCTAGGAAAGCAAGACCGAATGGCCGTGTAATTGCAACCGTTTACGAATTTTCCTAAGCAGTGATAACCACCATCTGTCAGTAACCGAGTAGAGTCGTAAACTGGTAAAGCACACGAGTGCGGTTTCAAGAGTGATTGTAATTCTTAATGTTTCTGATTTGCAGTTAAGGCCAATCCGGTATTGAGTCTTTGGCAACCCTCGATTAGAGAAGTTTCTAAGTTACAGTGCGTAGTCTAAGCAAAGTGTAATTCAGAACAAATTAGTAATTGATACCAGAACAATGCGGGAAACCACCTTTTCAGTAGCTCACCTCTTGTTATCAAGAGTTTTGCAATCACAGACTTCCACTGTTATCACCGAAATATCAACGTTTATCACCGACGGGAGCAAAGTTTTGTACACTGCGCGAATGCACTTTTATTTTTGTGCTATACCATGCCCCCTAAATCCATCTTTAGAAAAGAATATACGAAATGAAAAAAAAAAAAAAAAAACCAAGCCATTCCTGATGGCCAGGTGAATTGACTCAAGCAGAACTCTTGTCAGGTTGTCATCGAACTAGCCTTTTCCAAAAATGCCGTCCTTGTTTTCAAAATCCTCCTTAGAACCATATTTAAGTCACTCTGTGACCTGGATTCAGTAGAAGACGTTCATGAATATCACCGTAAGCAATAAAATGTGGCATAAAAACAAAAGTTATGTCGCATTAGTATGAATAATTATGTCGTGTTGGTTTGAATAACAAATGTCGCATTGGTATGAATAATTACGTTGTTTCAGTGTGAGATAAAAATAAAAAGACTGTATCTCTGAACAACCGCATTAAACGCGTTAGGGCCGATCAGTGTGCATATTAACCGAGATTTAGTATTTTTGTCTTTTCTTTTCTTTATGATGTTTGACTCCGGTATTAAGGATGTGGATAGAAATACAACATTAAAATTTGATTGATGGTCACGCTTTAGAAGAGAGAATATAGAAACCTTTGTCCCTCTTCGGTGTCTGTGACTATTTTCACACTGCTGTTTTACTTCCCCTCAAAACAAACAAGCAACCGAAGGAAAAATGAATGAAAAAAATAAAAAAATGAAGAAAGTTTCCATTTTTCGGAGCCGGATCATGAGTTTTAGAACTTTAAACTATGATGGAATCGGTTAATCTATCCAATTAAATGTTCGCAATTATCGGGTAGTGTAATTAGTGCTAAATATTATAAACAAATATGAAATTAATAAGATGAAAATGATAAAGCATGAACAAAAAATGGTCGTGTACAATGACAAAAGGGATGACATAATAGTACATACAGTATACACAGTATACAGTATATATTCCTATATATAAAAGTAAGTCCCATAGTTTTATTTCATTTTTTGGGATGAATTTAACACGAGAGAAGGAGAATTTCATCTTTACATACAAACAACATACACACACACAGTAAAAAATTTTGCACTTTATATAAAAGAGGAGAAGTATATTTCCTAATCAGATTACATATCACACATTCATCTAGGCGACTTATATATCAAGGAGGAAACGTATCATACAATTCAAACAAGTTATTGAACAAACTATTCATTACATACACATACACATACACACAACATTACCATAAATAATGATTTCAAGGTCCGTTTTAAGAAACTCAAGAACTTTACTCAGATCTAATATTGCTAAACAATCTATACCGGCAATAACAACACACTTGTCACCATCAATAGCCATTAACACTGCATCATCAAATATACCCACTGCCAACACAACCTTATTCAAGAGATCATATCACGAAAAGGTTATTGATCACTATGAAAACCCAAGAAATGTTGGTACTTTAAACAAGAATGACACTGATGTAGGTACAGGATTAGTTGGTGCACCAGCTTGTGGTGATGTTATGAGATTACAGATCAAGGTTGATGAAAAGACTGGCAAAATTGAAGATGTCAAATTCAAGACTTTTGGTTGTGGATCGGCCATTGCTTCAAGTTCGTATGCTACCGAATTGGTTAAGGGTAAGACTTTGGATGAAGCATTGGCTATTAAAAACACTTTTATTGCTCAAGAATTGTCATTACCACCTGTGAAGTTGCACTGTTCAATGTTGGCAGAAGATGCCATCAAGTCAGCAGTTAAAGATTACAGATCAAAGAGATTGGTGAAGAAACCAACTTTGGGTCCAGAAGCAACCGCTAGTGAACCAACAACTGCTAATGTGACTGCTTAAAGACAGCACATTGAAGTGGGACTGTACCAGGAGACACTATTATTTTCAGGATACAATAGCTAATCACTAAATCACAACAATGTTGGTTAATCTCAGCAAAGTAAATTTACTTTTCTACGTGAGTGGGATGGGAAAGAAGATTTGTCCTCTGAAAGGACATCAACAAGACGAAGGAGGGAGAAGATATCATTTGTTTGCTTCAAGTTTTGTGTATATTTTCTATCTAGTTAGTGCAATATGAGGGCTTTATTTTTAGACGAATTAACATTCTCGATTATTGTAGTGTTTTTGCAAATTTGCCCTTATCAGATTCGTTACGTCTTGAAATGCATCGCGAACTCGGGAATCGAAAATTTTCCCTGAGCGCAATTGTGCAGCATCGTTTCTTCTCTCGTCCAATGAACAAGCCGTGATTATTCAGAAGAAAATTACACTGTCTTTTGCAACCATTGGATCAATAAATAAATAAATAAATAATTAATTAATTAATTATCTATATACAAGCAAACCACACTGCTACTGTAAATACACTCCTCTCCCTCTTACAACAAGAATGAATTGATGTACTTGGTAAACACTTTACCAAGGAAGTCTCCACTATCAATCTCTTCCTTTTTAAATAAATAAACTGCAACCATACCACAAACACCAACAACATTAACAATAGCCAACCCAATACGTTTGCATTTTTGACTAAACCATGAATTCAACTTCATCACCCCATTAGTCACATGGTACGACATGATCCACACAAGACTAGTCAAAGCCAAGCTTTGAAATTTAGGATGCTTTAAATTCAACACAAAAGAAATATAATCTAAATTGATCAATGATGAATCTCCTTCAATGGCCATGGGAACATACTTAAACTTGTAGAAATGGTATGCGATAACGGGTATCAATAAGTATCCTGAAAATTGTAATGGGGTGATTCCCAAAAATTTTGAAATGAAGGATTTCCTATACCCTAAACCGAAAATGTTTGATAGTCCACCAAAACCAATATCATCATCATCATCACGGATATTGAATGAATCATTATTATTGGCAATTGCAACCCCTCTACTTGAACCACCACCTCTTCCTCCTCCCACTCTTCCTTCCTTGTGCTTTTCCCTCTTTTGTTCTAATTTCTTATAAATTTGATGCTTCTTATACCCACGCACCAACCTCAACCCCAAACCAGCAATAACATGAACTAATGAAGCACCAAAAATGGCAATAGGTTCAAAAAATGGCACATCTTGATATACAGCTTTAGCTAATGAAAATATTTGTTGTTTCACTTCTTTATCGACAGGGATTATCGGCACGATAACCACAGATGTTATATGGATACCCAAGAATGAAACGAAGGTGTATGCACTATATTTTTGCATGCGGTATAGAATGGGGATTAACCATTGTGATATTGGTTTCTTTTGTGGGGAGTCATGGGGGTGGTGGTGATGGTGGGCATGGTGTTGGGGGTCGGTGTCGGATAGTATCTCTTCTTCATCTAATGCGAAGACGGGCTCAGGCGTAACCTGATGAAGTTCTTTGTCGTTGGGCATTGGTTGGAATATGTTGGTGGTGGTTTCACGAAAACTCTCTCCCTTTTTTTTTTTCCAGTCTCACTTGATAAACACGAATCATCAACGCAGACTATTTAAGATCTGTTACAACGTGGAATATGAGGCTGGCATTTATACAGCTGCTGTAATTAATGTGTGATTTGCAAAGCTGACAAGCCAAACGTGACGTTTAATCGAAACCCAATTTTGTCATGGACCCAAATAGACCCCCCCTACAAACACACCATCCAAATGACTTGAGACTAGCAAAGATACTGATATCAAGCTTCATGCTGCGTAAGAATTTGATTATACGCTCAATATCTCCATATGGAAGCAAGTGGCAAATAACTACATCATTGGAGAGGAAAATGAAGAATCACTGACTGCTAGATGGAAGTGGACATACTACCTATTAGATCTTCATTGTATAAAGACAGGGAACTGTGATTTTGAGGAGATTCGAGATGGCAGTTGGATGAGAGAATGACAACTTTCAGCAACAACCTCCGTTATACGTTTCGAGGTTGAGCAAACTTGGGACATATAGCCTACACCAAGCACAGAAAACCAATTCTAGGTGTGATGCATTAAGGATCTGGTGTTTGGTTTCGACTGAATGTATCCTGAAAGTTTGCACATGCTTTTTGAATGAAGCGAAAAAGGATAACAATACGCCGATACCACGATGAAGGGTGGCAAAGATAATGTATTACTCCTTGGATTTATTTCTTAAAGGTATTTGGTTGAATTGAAAGCATAACAAGAATGGTGGTAAAAAGGTGAATTTTTACACTGAGAAAAAAAAAGTGGTGCAATGAGTTGCAAAACTACTTTCCATCAATACATTGATAATACCAACAAAATGAGACAGACCAATGTACCCGAACTGCAAGCGTTGTATAGTTACAACCTACAGATGTCACTTGACGTATTCATAAAGACGAGCAGAGCTGCCATCTTCCTATTTGAAGCAGCTGCATTAATATCATATTAGTGTCTGCAAAAACCCAAATTTTCTTTTACAACCAATTTGGAAGCATATCAACAAATCTTCACTAACAAAATCAGTTAAGGCGGCTTTTTTTGATATTCTTAATGGACGGAGTATAAAACGAACCAAATGGATCCCAAACTTTGGTGAACTTTCTTCATCCTTTTTCCCACCACCATCATCCTCCCACCTAATTTTGATTTGAAAGCAGTTAATTTTTGAATCACAGATAAAGCATTTCGAATTAGAATTATCCCAGTCTTCATCCTTTGTACAGATCCGTATTTGTACACACTTAAGCTCCACAACAGTTTATTTCAACCAGTTTCAAACACACTTTTATCTACTGACCCACAATACACCACTGAATTTTATCAAATAACAACTAGAGAAAAATTCCAATCAACCCGTTTATCTTCACTTGAGTTAAAGGTTTTAGTTGTTGGTGTTTTACCTCCCCCATTCCCATCGGTTTCCTCCCCTTTTTGGTTGAAAGTTTTACTGTTCAGCATGAGTTCTGAGCACAGTTTTGTGTTTAGCGCACAGGCAGATTTTGAAAAGGTTTTCAAGATTACATTGAACAATCCAAATGAATTTGCATCCTTGTTGACTACTACTGGACGCACTACAGTCAAGTTTGTTTTGAATTGCCCCATTGTATTTCTGGTATCACGTGAACTGAATGAATTTGAACCCCCAGAGAAGAGAGAAGAAGGAGAGCTGCAAGCGGATGTGAATGTGACGAGAATCCCGCAATGTTGTCGGACAGCTCCGAGACCTTCATGGGCAAGAAATTGGAATGGTTTGAACCCGTATGCCAGAAAACCAGAAACTCCAGAGAATCCACAAGCGTCAAATGAAACAAACGGTCAATCTGAATCGAAACCAGTTGTAAATGTTGAAAGTAATGATGATACTGCAAATGAGAACGAGAATCCATGGCTCAAACCCACTGTTTTCAGCAGAAGAGAAGGTATTCATCAGCGTGACTCTTCAATTGGTGTTGGGAAAAGAGATAGAGAAGTAATTGGAAGAGGATCTGTTGTGCAAACTGTTTCAGGTTCAGAAAGTGTTAGAGCAACGATAAATGCTATGCAACATGTAATTGAAAAACGACCGAGAAATGAGTGTCAATGAGGATAATGAAGCTAAATTGGTATTGTTTGCTTTGTTCAATACTTTGTTGAATTTGTTTCCGATGGATGCAGGGTAATGGTGGATTTGCGGTTTTATAATCTGGCCAGTCTGATTTCGTAGTGAAGCTGTTTTTTTGTTGAAGTTGGGGACTGAGAATGGATAGAAAAGAGAAACACGGATACAATAGCACCGGACCACTTTGATGTTTGTACTACTACTGCAATTGCCGCTACTGGCATATCGCTGATACCTTCAAATGTCGAATCATTGCTACTGACACTACTACTGTACTACTTTCAGAAAATCATACAATCCCCCAATAAAATTAATTGATTGCAACTTTATCAAAAAAGAGGTATAGATTCAACAATATATTTCCGATGTTATGGATCCTCCTCTGTAGCTTTCTCTGGTTTGTGCGATCTGATAAAAAAAATGTATCGACGTTATTGCAACCCCATCCGTTAGAGTGTATTGGAGGGTAGTAAGAACTCTGAACCTTGTCATTATAAAAGCATTTGATTGGTAACACTCCGTTTCCATTACTTGTCCTTTCATTGTCGTCTCATGAGCGGTACTCGAAGCTCAATTTATCAACAATTTCTAAACACCAATCAAACGCATTTTCGGTGCTTATTGTAAGTAGCCTGTGCCTAAAGCAGCAATGTTCATTGTTCAAAATCATCATGAGCTAAGGATATTTTCAAACACTGACCAAATTCCCTTTGTACTATTATGGTTCTTGTATCAATTGAATTTATTGGCAATTCGCTTTGCTCAATATCTAGTACCTATCACCTTCATATTATTTGATGTCCTGACTTTTGTCCCTTGCCCAAAAACATTGGGTTCATGACTTTTGTCTTCAACTATCTCATTCCAAAAGAGTTTTTATGGAGTTCACATTAAATTGCTCTAGCAAACAAATTAGTTGAATCTAATGCAATATTGCTGCTACAAAAGATGGCCACAAAAACACAATTGGTTCATCTTTTTACTTTTTCACTAATTTGTATGGCTACAATTAAACCAGGCAACTCCAAATGGTGGAAAGCTATCCCAGTTACCTCTTTCTGAGACTTGAGGTCTCAATGGATATTCGAATGTCACCCAGATATGTAGATCTGGTAAGATATCGAGTTCACAATCGTTCGCGGACACTTTTTCTGGCTGGGGATTGTGGCTGTGGCATTTATTGTGGTGAATGGCTCTTCGTGCAGTGACTTGGTGTCAATATCATGTGAAAAATTGACCATTATACAGCATTACTTTGTCAATGTTTTGTTCCAGGACGCAGAAGCCATATTCTTCTTAGTTGACGAATGCCAGTAAATCTTTTTTATTCAATGGGGAAGCATTTGTAACCTAGGGTAACTTTTGGTATCTATCGCGCGCATCTAAAAAAGGAGAAATTGCGCCTGTCACCGCTAAGCACTTTCAACTTTGATGCCAAAAACGAAAGCGGAGTAAAGTTACAACAAGATACAAGAGAGCTGGCAGCTGCTCTCTTATTTACAAAGGTCACTCTTCTTCACACTATCCACTAACCATGATTCAGCTACTGCTAATTGAGTTGATGCTTCTAGTGATTGTATCTACAGCATATTTGGTTTTTAAAAGGATAGGGCCACGGCACCATCACCCACTTCTTGAGCATGTCACTTCAGTACATGCGGAATTCAAATGGCAAGAGCAACTACCTTTAACCATACGTCCTTTTGTTGGTAAACGAAATTTCAATCCAAATATCGGTGTTAGGAACATATCAAAGAATCCTAATGAATGGTTATTGATTGAAAACACTTACCTCAAAGTAACAACCTTAAAGGCAAAATCTCTCAAAGCTAATCCTAGGCAGACAACCCACATTTATAAAGACTCCAGATCAATTAGAGCACTTCAAGAGTTCTACAATATAATTTGCGATTTTTACCTTCAAAGGTTTCCACAATATTTCCAATTGGATTCAAAAACTAGAGTAATTGAAAATAAAATAAACGGACTCAAGTTTGAAAAAGATGCTCATAAGTTACGGCCACAACAATTATTGGTCAATATTGGATCCAACATGGAAGAAGATTTCGTATTGTTATTGAAGGATGATCCAAATGATAAAGAACAAGAGTACATTATGCGATCATCGATTGTGGGTTTCCCAGCCGGATTTGACCCTAGTGTATTGTTCAACAAACCGATCTCCTACATCCATACATTGGTCCCCCAATACGAGTCAAGATTACACAACCCGATGCATAAATTTTTCAACAATTTGAAACCAACCGATTTGTGGGTAAGGCATAACTGGTCAATACAGACACATGGAGACTACTTCACGTTGAACAACCATGCTAGAAAGGGAGAAGAAGTGACGAAATTGTTTGTTAATGATATTGATTTCGTCAATGGATGTTTCTTGAGATGTGAACGCCAAGTGTTGACGAGATTACCCCGAACGGGCGCAGTAGTGATGACGGTACGGACATATTTAACTAGCTTGGATAAACTCAAGAATGAGGAACAATTGGGCGAAGAGCTTATTCATGGCATTGATTCGTTGCCACAAGATATGGCGTTCTATAAGAAAAAGAACTCGTGGGGTGATGCAGTTAAGGAATATTTGTCAACATAAGAAGTGCAACACGGGAGTCTCATATTCGTGGCTGATGAATATACTTTTGCAATCCTACACATGACAAACCGCCCACGAAGGTGGAACGGGGATGCTGAGTCTTTATCCAACTAGCGTATTCATTGAATGTTTGGAGATTATAATGATTGTGGTGATGTTCAAATTTGCATTTCAGCATAGCAGGAGCAAGTGGCAGTACACACACAAATAACCTCTATTACTTCATTGCATAGTAACTGTTTGCCTTGTTTACTTGATGAAGGTGACAAAGATTTGCCCATAAATATGGTACTATAGTCAGCATACACAAATGACAATGGAGCACAGGAGAATGATGTTAGTAGATATACACCTGGACACGATTCACCAACACCACCGTTTCTAAAGAATGCATCATCACCAATTGCGTACGCGTATTTTTCTATTACTAGAGAGTTTCAACAATACGGATTGACAAACAAGTTTGAATTGTAACCTGAGCAGTGAACTCATTGCAAGTTCGCACTTTGATAAAGACTCAGTCCATTACTGCTGTGAAGCAGTCTCCTTGCGTACTCTACACCTCTTTACCACTTTATAATTGAACTCTAAATACTTTTTCTCACCTATACATCTATATACTTTTTCTCGCCTATATATCTATAAACTACTAATTGAGGTTACTTACACCTTGTGCTCAATGGTATCACACAACTGTTATCTAATGTCGACCCTTTTCTTCTTTTTTGGAAAACTCCTCCCATTTTGCATCGCTCGATCATATATCTAAGCTATTTCTCAACGTAGGACTAACGAATTTCAACACTTGATTCCACCCCTCTTGTCCCACCACTGACTTGTAATGATTGATCAAGTTCAAAAATTGTTGCTGTAATTCGCTGGTTGCGTCATCATAACTTGCCAAGACTTCTAAAAATTTAGCGAGGTTGACTTTACCTTGTTGAGTTTGCAATAAATCAATTGATCAAATCTAACTACGTATTAACGTCCCCATAATCGTACCTAAACCAGCAAACGCAAAGTAAGTTAGAACATTCCCTCTCGGTTCATCTTTAGGATCCAAAAGGAGTGCCACTATTAGCATAACAGCTGAAACTATCCCATAGCAGATCCAAAAAATCACATACTTCTCCTTTCTCTTTTTAGTAAGCTTCGTTTCGCAAAGTAAACCCCCAATTGCTAATCCACAATTCATATATAAAAGTCTCCTTGTGTTTCCACCATCCTCTACGAGAAATCCTATCAATAATGTAGTTAGTACTGCGCATCCACAAAGGCAATATGCAAAAACTTTCATTGAAAACTCTGACTGGACAATTTTAGGTGCTAGTAATATACCACACATTACAGCTACCCACTCCATAATTCTTTTCCAGCCCCCTTCGGAGCTGGGGTTAGTGTCGGTAATATACTGAGTCAACTTGTACCCAGTTATTACCGACACCCAATAAATTTGGTTGATAAGCCAATATAATTTTTGTTGTTTTGACTCATCTTGTATGGTTGACAATTTTCTCAACTTCAAAATAGCCAATATTGTTCCTGCTGTCACTGCTACTACGAAGACAGCCCAGACAAGGTATTTCTCTTCCATCACAAATGACATCTCAATGAGCATACATAGTTTGAAAAGCAATAGCCTAGCAACGATTACTGTGTACGTGGCTAAGAAATTTTGAGGTAGAGAAATGGTTGGACACTCTTCCACGACTAAGATGTCAAAAAACAACTTTGTGCTTTTGCTTTACATTATGCAGATATTAAGATCTTACCACAAGTTTATGACAAAAATTGTGGGAAATTTGACAAAAAGTGGTGGCGAGATGTAGATTCAGTCAGATGCGGTATACAAATGCGATTTTACCCAAATGACTTCATTAGTCTCACCGTCCCATCACAAAGTGGGACTTTTCGAGGTGCAGTTTGTAGTTTGGGCCACACAGAGTTATACACGTGACTTAAATCTGATTTTTCAAATAAAGCATGGAGTAAATTGAACCAGAATCTATACTATATGCTTTAAGTTTGTTGATAGTCAAGAAATGGACTACATCAATGTGCAACAATTAAACTTACTAAAAGTTTCTTTGAAGGCGGAAGGAGGGGGAAAAAGGAAGGGTAGTAATGCTTTTGAGGCTAAATTTAGAGTTTGTTTCGTATTCTATTTATTTTATCATCTTTAGTGGTTTGAAAGGTGCTGTGGAAGTAGTCTAGTAATAGCCAGCAGCTATGCTGCTACAGTTTCTTGTCGTAGGACTGTGAATGTACGGATGAGAGAGAGAAAGAGATTTCATTGGGAGTTGGTTCATTGGTTTGTTTACTTATAACTGTGAATGAATTGTTCGTGTCTTTGTGGTATTCTCGACATCTTTTCAAAATAAACACACACACACACACACACACACACATACATACACCCACATACACAAAACACCAAAAAGAGTAAACAAAACAAATGAACAAAAGTTGAAAGCTGTACGATCATACAAGCAGAAACACAATGAGACACAGAGTGAGTTGGAGGAGGAGGAGAAGCACACAAAACAGGCATACGTACACACACACACACACCTATGCACACACAGTAGGAATAATCTGCTAATAGTTCGTATAGTTTTCATATCCACTTCTTTTCCATCAGTCTCTCTTTTGATTTGTTCTCCTTATCCCTTCACAATTTCACAGATCTATTTGTCCTTACATTGCTAACACCTTCTTGATTCACTAGATCATTCTCTTTACAACCAAAGAGAAAGTGGTTAGAACAAATATCTACTATTGTCCAACTCATACGTCCTTCGCTTTTCAATTGTACTCACTAAACTTTACTACTACCAAGTAGCATCATCATCCAATTCACACAGAATACCATCACATATTACCCTCCACCTCAACCCACCTTTACATTCCTCTTTGACTTTGTATTATTTGTATTTGTCTTGTCTTGTCAACAACAAACTAGCATAAACAAAAGCACGAAAAAAAAAAAAAAAAACAAAAAAAATCACAACAATTCATCACAGAAACACCAAAACAATTCAAACTGTACACACAACACACATCAATTGTAAAAAGTTTCGCAACTCATTAACACCATTACCAGAACCACAACAGGTCCCGATTACCACCCTACACCCATTAGATTGATTGGAACTTGCGCTATCGACTGATTCTTTTTTTTCGGACTCTTTTGCATACCGTTATTGATTCCTCCTTCTATCATCACCACCACCTAATCATGAAGTCATATAAAACCATCAATGATGAGAATAAACTAAGTCGCCACCTCAAATCAAAGTCAGATATTCATAATCAAAACATGCATCACAATATTGGTGGTAGTTACAACAGTAATGCAAACACCAACAGCTCCACCAAAACCGCGTCAGGATCCAACTACAAGTCGACAAGATTGTCTGATTCACATTTGGGTTCACTACATAGGGAAGTGTTGAGCGATTTAACTGCACAAGAGAATTACAAATCCCGTGTCAAGTCTCAACAACAACAAGTATCACAACAAGCGCATCTGCATCTTCCATTACAACAGTCATATCCATACTCACACCACCAGCACAGTAGCAGCAATAGCAACAGCAGTATTGGCAGTGGGGTAGCTACATCAGGAGCTACTTTGAGTCAACCAAAAGTACAAATCTATAAACAAGCAACACAAGCTCTCCATCATTATAAAAAACCACGATTGGAGAGAGTATCGCATAGAGAATTTGGTGACGATTATACCGATGACGATTTGAGAAGTACGTCTGATGACTTGGCTGAATCTAGCGATGATAAAGAGAATAGGAATCCGACGCTGACACATTCTCAATTGCATTTACATGAACAACATAAACTCCAGCATCATCAACAGCATCAACAAGTCCAAGATCTTCACAATAGAATACATGATGAAGTTAGGTACCAACCGCTGCAGCATCAACAACAGCAACAGCCATTACGCTCACGCGACAAGTATGAAACGCACTTCAAGGAGGAGATTGAAGAGGACAGATTTACAAGTGAAGAGCTTGACGATACCAGCTATAGATTAAAAGAAGATGATGATGATCGCGAGTTACGAAATCAAATTGCCGTCAAACAAAGCATTACAAGAGACAGTATTGCAGAGCTATACACAAAGAATTTACGAAATGATGACGACTTACAAACAGAGAAGGAAGTTTCAATGGAGACTACAATTAGGCAAGACGACAGTCTGTCTATTCATGAACAAGAGGAAGTCCACCGCCAGCAGCAGCACCACCACCACCACCAACAGCAGCAACAGCAAGCTACCTCCAAATCGCACTCCCATTCCAACCGTCAGCATCGTACTGAAGCTGTCACACCCATGAAGCCGTTGTGGGATCTATCAATCAAGATGAAATTACAAAGAGTGGTTGATCAATTTTCAAGAACAACATTGGACGAAAATGATGAGGATACTTATGACGCCTCAATGGTTGCTGAATATGCGCCGGAAATATTCAACTACATGCGTAGTTTGGAAGAAAAGTATAAACCAGACCCGTATTACATGGATACAATGCAAGATGAGTTGAGATGGGGCATGAGGGCAGTATTGATTGATTGGGTGGTTCAGGTACATGGTAAATTCAACTTACTCCCGGAGACACTTTTCCTCACTGTCAACTACATTGATCGATTCCTTTCCAAACGTAAAGTTTCATTAAGCAGATTTCAATTGGTTGGCGCAGTTGCATTTTTCATTGCTGCTAAATACGAAGAAATTAATTGTCCCACAGTACAAGAAGTTGCGTTTATGGCCGATAACGCATACTCAATAGATGAGTTCCTCAAAGCTGAACGTTTCATGATTGATGTTTTGGAATTTGATATGGGGTGGCCAGGCCCAATGTCGTTCCTTCGACGCACATCTAAAGCTGATGATTACGATTATGAAACTCGAACTTTGGCTAAATACTTTTTGGAAATCACGGTGATGGATGCACGGTTTGTCGCATCGCCACCAAGCTGGTTGGCTGCGGGTGCACAATATCTTTCACGATTATTGTTGAATCGTGGTGAATGGACTGAAGCTCATGTCTTTTACAGCGGGTATACCGAACGACAATTGAGACCTTTGGCGGAACAATTGTTGGAAAACTGTCGATTTGCTGAAAAAAATCACAAGGCGATTTTTGAAAAGTATCTGGAAAAAAGATTCAAAAGGAGCTCATTGTTTGTTAAAGAGTATTTTGACAATTTTTGAACGACGTGACTGTGTACCGTGTTGGACACTTTGGCTAATATGTATTTGCCATCATTTGCATTACTAGAATTTGTATTATCAAACCATATCATGTAGAGTTGTGCGGCTGTTTTTTTTTCCTTTTTTGGGAAACTGACGCGTATGAATGTAAGCAGATAAGTTCTGAAGAAAATTTGAAATTGGAAAACATTCACTCTCCACTTCAACCAACTCAGTCATGACGATAGAACTTATATGGAACAAGCTTCCACTCAAGGAAGCAGAAGTGAGTTTAGCAAAAGTGTTGCGGTGTGGTCAAACTTTCCGATGGAAATGTATACATGATGTATGGTCATTTGCCATACTGGATCGAATCGTCTTGTTGAAACAAGATAAAGATCATATTTACTATTCCCAAGTGATGGCAGAACAGAAAAACAAATCAAGTGACGCACATATTGGTGGTGAAGCTACCCTTGACTTCATTCAGGATTATTTTGCCCTTGACGTGAAACTTATCGACTTGTATCAGCAATGGAAACAAAACCATAAACCATACATCACCACTGCCAAAGTGAAGCAACAATCGCCTTTTGATCTATTCAGTGGCATACGTACGCTCAGACAAGACCCGTGGGAATGTCTAATATCATTCATTTGCTCATCAAACAATAACGTTAAGCGAATCCTGAAGATGTGCGATAATCTATGTCTTCATTTTGGCAACTATATCAATGACTATGGTGGTATTTCATTCTACTCATTCCCAAGTCCACAACAGCTATCAACTGATGCTTCAGTCGAGACAAAATTACGCGACTTGGGATTTGGATATCGAGCCAAGTACATTTATCAAACAGCTTGTAAATTCACTGACAATGCAAAGTATCCTGATATAACACTCACAAAGTTGAACAACTTACGTCATGCATCCTATGAAGAAGCTCATGAGTTTTTGTTACAATTGACGGGTGTGGGGCCCAAAGTTGCCGATTGCATATGCTTGATGTCATTGGATAAATCAAATATCGTGCCCATCGATACTCATGTTTATCAGATAGCTGTACGTGATTTCAAATTCAAGGGAGGCAAATCAAAGACATTAAATAAGGCCATGCACGATAATATAAGACTGTTTTTTCAGGACATTTTTGGTGATTATGCTGGTTGGGCTCAGTCGGTGTTGTTTGCTGCAGATTTGAGTGATTTGAACAATGGTGTCAATGTTGTTGAAGTCAAGAAAGAAGAAGCGGATGGTGATGTGGTAGATGTTGGCGTGAGTGTGAAGCGGGAGATAGAAGACGAAGGAGATGGCACTCTACTCAATGAGAAGAAAGTCAGATTGACAAAGAGATCAGCTGTCACGGGGAACAGAAGTGCCAAGACATTGAAGACGGAAACATCAATCACTGTCAAGTCATAAATACCACACAGCGTTTACATCTCATTTGTATTAAATATCGTGTATATTATACTACATGAATTGGTAAGAAATGGTCAATAGTCATGAATCGTAAATACCCTGATCTTGAAACAACCACTTTCTTTCTATTCCTCACACTCCTCTACTTCTCAGTTGACACCCCGCTTAATCGAATAAACCGAATCCCATGTCATCATCAGATTCTTCAGCAGCTTCTTCTTCCTTAGCTTCTTCAGCTGGGGCAGCACCGGCATCACCACCAGCAGCGGCACCAGCACCACCGGCAGCAGCAGCACCACCAGCTGGAGCAGAAGCAGCAAAAGAGAACAACAATTCTTTCAAGTCTTTACCTTCCAAAGCCTTGGCGAAAACATCGGCCCAGATGGAGTCAACTTGAGCACCAGCAGCCTTGGTGATGGCTAATAATTTGTCGGAAGTAATTTCTTGCTCAGCATCAGCTAAGATCAACGCAGCGTATGAAATTGATGATTCTGATGACATTGTTGTATGTATGATGTGGTTGTATGGGCGGGTTGGACCAACTCTAGTTGTGTTTTTTTTTTTTTTCACTTTTGCCTAATTGGAAGTTGTGGTGCGAGTGAGTGTAGCCCTAATCACGTGACAGACGTCAGATTCATTTTTAGTGTACTCCTAGTTGAAGACGAGGAGCCATAAGATTTCTCGGACCATGCTCAGAGCAGCTGCGGTGTTAGCCTTAGACTTTTTATTGTCCTTGTGCCCTCAATGGTTGGACTTGTCCACAACTAATGTGTTATATGCCATATTCCATTGCACTTTGATCACAATTTTCAGCCCCTGCAATCTTTATAGACTCTCCATATGCCAATACACAGATCAGTATAGCGTCTGAGTATAAAGGCTGTCCTGGTTTACACTAAACCTATCTTGTGGCGCGTTCGTGTGGAAGGATCTCGATTAAAATCTCGCTTGCATCGACGTATCTTTGAGTTTAACGAAAAATGAAGAAGTTTACCGTAGCAAGTATAAGTAGAGGAATCGTCTGGTATATATAATCATCTTAAGGGACGCTTCTGCTTCTGCTGCGTAAATAGTCCATACTGAGTGTTGCTCTATCGAAATGAAATTTGTTGGGTAGAATCATCTTTTATCGGAGCTTGCAATAGTGATAACACAAAGCTGAGATCAATTCCCAAGTTCGTAAGACATCTTCTCTTCATCTGATCCGAGTGGCTATCTCTAGGAAGAAAGTAGAGTGTCAAGAGTCAGTCCCATATGACAACATTACAAAAAAAAACAGATCCACATCAACTTCATGATGCCGCCAAACCCTTGAATTTAACAAACCCGGTAAGGCTTGCGTTTCTTGGTGGGTCCAAATCAGGCAAAACGTCGATTATCTCCAAACTAATTTTGGGAAATTTTAATGACACTTACTATCCAACCACATACCTCAACCCAAACTTGTTCAACTACGAGCCATCATCTGAAAGGGCTAAGGATATATTACGAGGGAAACCATTGACATCAAATTCACATTTGACTTTACCACCAAGCATACGGAATAGTAATGTGCCAACTACAGGTAAGAACATCTTTTCGAAAAATCAATACTACAGCACATCACTATCTGTGATTACTCCGATACTAGTTGAACTTATAGACACTCCGGGATACAACCCTGACAAAACCGTTCCGTATCTTGAAGCATCGCTTTACACAAATTTGGATCGAGACGTATTGCACAACCTTGCCAATGAACCACGACGACCAGTGTCCACAAGTCCTCTTTTGGTGGCTAGCGGAGCTAGTGAATTGAATGGAGACGTTAATGGCTACTTTTTTGTCTACAGTGCAATACCAAGCTTTGCACCACCAAAATACAATGACGATCAAAGTGGTGGTGGTGAACTACCAAAAAATCATACATTCAACCTCTTGCCCTCAATCAAAGCAGCACTTAATGATGCGTGGGAAGAGTACATTTCATTCAAAGAAAATTGGAAAAAAGGTCAAGAAGATGATGTCTTTTCATTCAAGAGTGCCTTAAAAAGTTTTTGGAAAACAACCAATGATGCCACCACCAATGCATCTGCTGGGCAGCAAGCAACAACCACAACTGCAACTGCCAGATCTCCTCCAATTTGGATCATCTGTACTCATGTCAATAGTGACTTGGCTTCAGATCAATTGGTTTTAGAGGGTAGGAAATTAAGCCAAGAGTGGGATTGTGGATTCATTGCCCTTGATTGTTTGGATGACATTGACGAAGTCTTGTCATTGATGATAAGAGATATAATACAAGGGAAAAAACGGTAAAAGAAATGTGGGTGGAGGGTGTTTGTTGAATTATGAATAGAAAATGCTATGATTTTAAAGTTGGTGTGCTCTATCTCCTATAATTTTCATCTTCTTTCTCTATAGCTTTTGTTAATCTACATGTTTACCGTACTCATGGTATTACTAGTCTTTATTCCTATTATATACATGTTTCAGGTGAGTAGACATTAATTCAAAAATTTAGAAACAGCATTGAGCCAAGTTCTGTATTCGCTTTCTTCCTTGAAATCACTGAAAGCAACAATGAAATCTGCCAATTCATTATCAATTCCCTTTGCAACCAAATAGTTTTCAAATTCAGTTTGCAAGCTTTCATCCAACTCTGCAAATTTAGGGCCCTGGTATTTAAATTTGTCAATGAATTCATTCTCCTCCTTGATCGCCCTGATAAATGACTTTACATCATCCTGAACATTGACAAAGTCAATCATAAAAGAAGACTCTGTGTTTTGTAAAAACAAATTCAAAAACAAGCCTGTATTGTTCGATGGGTTTTCAACAAGGATCTTAACATTGCACAACAATTGATCTAATTGATTTGCCTCTTCTTCTAAATCGCCAGACTCTAAAGCTGCCAAATCTTCGGTAGGAATATCCGTGACTTCATCAATGTCAAAATAGACATGTAAAATATTACCTGTTTCAGCATCTTTTTTCACCAACTCAACACTAGCAGTTCCTGGAGTAGAGACAACTTCAAAACCACTAGTAGTCAAAAAATCTTGATACACTTGATCCAATTCGTTTGGTATAGCTTCGGAAATTTTACTCTCTGCTTTAACAACTTCGTTCAATGCCGACTCTGGTGTTTGATTGAAAGCAATTGCTGTTTGATGGAATGATCTAGCTAAAACAGGAACAACCACTCTAGGGCATGTTGACTTAAGCGCAATGCTTGATCTTAACCTCGATGATTGAGAGGCAATTCTCTTTACTGAAACAGAGCGTAATGTAGTTGGTAACGATTTCAACATTGGGAATTAGGGTTGCAAATGTGAGTTTCGGTGGAGTAGAACACCCTTCGATTAAAAAAGGGATGATTTTTCGAAAAGAGAAGGAGGAGGAGAGGGAATGAATGGGCGTGCGTGCGTGTGTGACCAAAAAGTTTGTCGCTACCGGGTTCATCAAGCATACACACTCCAATGCTAAAGAGCCCATGATGTTGTAACAATATATCAATGGAGCTTAGGTGAAGAGTATAAAGGAGAAGCAACTTTGGCCTTATTCTGGTACCGGATTGTTTAATTGGGGGAAAAGATGGTGCAATGTAACATCTCCTTCCCGAGATAGCACGTTGTATTAAGGATCATGTATTCCTTGACATGTCATCATCACAGGTTAAGCATTTCTCGACTCATTTTGGCCCATCCAGTTGGTGAATTTCAGTGTCTCGCAACCAGGTCCGTTGTCGATTGAACCAAAATCGATTCAATTTGTAAAATATACGCAAAATCACTCACCAGCTGAAAAATATTTCAAATGTGCTAATCAATTTATCCAGATGCAAGGAACCGAACCCACTTTCTTTGTGTCGTTAGTCGTATGTCTACAGTATTGAAGAAGAGCTCTGTGCTGCTCTCCCTTTGTTTTTCAAATCACTAACACTCGTATCTAGAGTGGTGCATGTGCTGGAACTGCTACTGATGTGGCATTTTTCCCCATTGACACAATCAAGACCAGATTACAAGCAAAAGGAGGATTCTTTCGTAATGGAGGCTATAAAGGAATATATCGAGGACTAGGATCATGTGTCATTGCATCAGCTCCATCAGCTTCGCTATTCTTTGTCACATACGATACGGTGAAACGAAAATTGCAGCCTTACGTCTCGTCACCCAATTATCGTCACATGATTGCTGCGTCCTTAGGAGAAGTTATGGCATGTATAGTTCGTGTTCCAGCCGAAGTGATCAAGCAAAGAACCCAAGCGAGTCATATGGGGTTGACTTCCAGTTGGTCAAATTTCAAACATATCATAATGAACAACAACCAACATGGCGGGATAATCAGAGGACTATACCGTGGTTGGAACAGTACAATCATGAGGGAGATACCGTTTACCATCATTCAGTTCCCTCTTTACGAGTGGTTAAAATTAAAGGCTTGGTCTTCAACTACTGACACTAGATTACAGCCCGTTTCAATGGGGTTAAAAGGGGCAATTTGTGGAATGGTGGCAGGAGGAGTTGCTGCAGCTCTCACCACTCCATTGGACGTTATCAAAACAAGAATCATGTTGAGTAACGAAAAAGTCGGATTTGTACATGTTATATCTCAATTGATTCGAGAGGAAGGTTGGTCCAGTTTTTGGAAAGGTGTTGTACCAAGAACGTGTTGGATCAGTTGTGGTGGAGCAATCTTTTTGGGATGTTATGAGCTAGTTCGTGATGAAATGATGAGATTATGAGACGAGATATAGAAGTGAAAGGAAGCTATTATAGAGATAGAAGTAAAGATAAACCGTAGCAAGTGTCGCAAAAAGACAATGTATTATTCCACTAGCATTGATACTCAATATACATTTATCTAATCCTCTAGTTGTTGTATTTGTTGATCAATTCCACTGCATATTCGATGTACTTCTTCTCAGCTTCCTCTTGTGGGGTTCCCTCCAAATCTTTCCAGCTTTGCCATTTGTACTTACCCTTGAAATCAAAAGTACCTGGCTTGTCTGTAGTATTGTCACCAACGGTAGCTTGCTTGTAGAGACCGTAGAGCTTCAACAATTCGTCATCGGATGGTCTTTTGGCCAAATTGGACACGGTATTTGCCTTTTGTATCTGTTAGTATTCCACAATTGAGTAGTTCCAGGGCAATTAATATTATCACTACCAATGCATCAATTGACATACTTTTTCTTCGAATTCTGCTGAAACCATTGTTATGTTTGGTGTGTGTAGAGTGGACACGTATACTGCTCAAGAATAGATGTATATCCAGTGCCGCTTTTTTTTCCTTTGCTGTCCCTTTCGTTTTATACGCTCCTCTACCCAACAAAATGTTGGCGAAGCTTCTAGCATTTTTCTCGGGGCAAATTGAGCCACAACACTCGAATCTTTTCAATTAAATGTTGTCTTCAATGTCGCCCGGAGATGATTAAATCTGATTGCAAATGAGAGAGATTTACAAAATAGATAACCCTTAGAGTAAATCTCATGCTAGTCTCTAGTCTCTCCGCAGCTTCGCATTGACAAAAGTTGTAAATATCACCCCTGAAGGGCCATCTTTCTCACACCCCTACTTCAAGTAATTATAGCTGTCAAGTTCTCACATATCTCAATGTTCGATTAAAGTGACACCTCTGTGGAAGACAAGTAATTGGTATCATATCTTCCACTCAGTTGGTAGCTCCTGGTTTGTTTGGCGAAAGAGCCTTTGAAAATTAAGGCCCAAACAATTTTGTAAAGTGGCGAAAAACCCACCATTCTAACCTCCCACCTGGTAACTTACGCAACCCACAATGTTTAGAAACAATTACGATAACGATTCTGTTACTTACTCGCCTACGGGTCGTTTGTTTCAGGTTGAGTATGCATTGGAAGCAATTAAGCAAGGAAGTGCTGCTGTAGGTTTAACATCCAAAGACTATGTCGTGCTTGTGGCTTTAAAGAGAAATGCCGAAGAATTGGGCTCGTACCAAAAAAAAATTATCAAGATTGATGATCACATGGGAGTAGCATTGGCCGGGTTGGCTCCAGATGCACGTGTTTTATCCAATTTCTTGAGAAAGCAAGCAATGCAGTGTAAAATGATTTTCAATCGCCCCATTCAGACTCAAAAAGCAGCTTTTACAATTGCCGATAAAGCTCAGGAAAATACCCAAAGCTACGGATCTAGGCCATACGGTGTGGGATTGTTGATTGCGGGGTATGACGAAACTGGAGCACATTTGTTGGAGTTTCAGCCATCGGGATCGGTTCTTGAATATTTTGGAGCTGCTATTGGAGCTAGATCACAAGCTGCCCGTACGTATTTGGAAAGAAATTTGGACGAGATCAGAAGTTCCGACTCAATTGAAAAGCTAATCGTACATGGATTGTACGCCTTGAGAGACACATTAAGTCAGGATGTTGAATTGACATTTAAAAACACGAGTGTTGCTGTGGTGGGTAAAGGTCAACCATATATTTCTTATGACGATGAAGATGTTCAGCAATGGCTCGACAAACTAGATTCAGTAACAAACGATAGAAATAGAGCTGACGGTGATGAGGAGAATAGAAATGAGGAAAGAGGTGAAACTGCTGGAAATGAAACCACCCAAGGTGGAGAAGAATCTGGACAAGGGGATAGGATGGATACAGATGAGTAATTAAAGTACTAAATTCGATTCTACTCTATATATCATTTACTGTCTTTGCTCTTGTTGCTTTATGGCAACTTTTTTGATTGCTTCCATGCATTCCTTCTGCATCTCGTTCAACTTGTCATTGAGCACCTTAGGATCATGGAGCTTCTTGTTGCTTCTTATATCATCAATGATTTCCTTAATTTTGTTGATATAACCCTGGATATTTTCTTTCTCCGACTTTTCCATCAATTCCCCGAATTGAATCAAAGCTACCTCGGTGTCTGTGCATAAAATCTCTGCTCTCGATGCATGTTCATAATACTTTCTCATCTCCTCGTCAGCTTCTTTGTTCCTGTTACTTTCCTCAATCATCTTCTGCACCTCTGCATCGGTCAATCCCACTTCGGTAACTTGTATTGACACGGTGTTTTGTTTTCCATAGTGTTGAGAGTCCTTTGGATAAGGAGTTTTATCAGATGCACTAACATTAATTATCCCATCCGCATCGATTTCAAATTGGACGGAAATTTGTGGGGTACCTTTAGGGCCCTGAGGTATATCGGATAATTTGAATTGACCAATCAACTTGTTATCCTTTACTAGCATCCTTTCACCTTGATATACTCGTAACTCAACACCTGTTTGGCCATCAACAGCAGTGGAAAACATCTGCTCCTTCTTGATAGGCACTGCCGAGTTCCGTGGTATCAAAGGACTGAATATTCCACCGTAAGTCTCGATTCCCAACGACAAAGGAGTAACGTCGAGTAATACCACATTTTTAACTTGACCCGATAAAACAGCTCCCTGAATAGCAGCACCAAGGGCCACGGCTTCATCAGGATTTACTGCTGTGCTTGGCTTTTTACCGAAAAGTTCCTCCACCACGTTTCGAATCTTGGGCATTCTGGTCATACCTCCTACTAAAAGGATCTCATCAATATCTTTGAACTTGAGTTCCGCGTCTCTAACACATTTCTTGACAGGTTCAATCACCTGCTCAATTACAGGCATTGACATTTCGTCAAGTTCCTCTTCGGTTAACCGGAACTTGATATGTTTGTCCTCATAAATGAATGGAATATTGATTTCAGTTTCTTTTACTTTGGATAGTTCAATTTTAGCATCCTCGGCAGCCTCTCTTATTCTCTGAACGGCTAGCTCGTTCTTTGACAAGTCAATGCCATATTTTTCCTTGAAACTGGCAAGGATGCGTTTCAACAAAATGATATCGACATCTTCACCTCCCAAGTGGGTGTTTCCATTTGTAGCTCGAACTTCAAAAACACCATCCTCGATGTCCAAGATTGAGATATCAAAGGTTCCACCACCAAAATCAAATACAGCAACGATTCCTTCCTTCCTTGATTTATCACATCCGTATGCAAGTGCAGCTGCTGTTGGCTCATTAATGACTCGAAGCACTTCCAACCCCACTGTTTTGCCAGAATTTTTAGTAGCTTGTCTTTGACTATCGTTAAAGTACGCCGGGACAGTAACAACTGCCTGGTTGATGTTCTTATCATCCAATTGCTTCCCAGCAATCTCTTGCATCTTTTGCAATATCAAACCTCCGATTTCTGAGGGAGTTATCTCACGTCCAGTTGAAGTTTTTAGTACCGCATCTCCTTGCTTGTTGGGGACTATCGAATAAGGAACATTTCGGATATCCCTTTGAACTTCATGGTCTTCGAATTTTCTTCCAATCAATCTCTTCGTTGCAAAGAAGGTGTTTTGTGGGTTGATCACGGCTTGCCTTTTTGCGGGTATTCCCACCAACGTCCTTTCGTCATCAAATGCCACTACGGATGGCGTTGCCCTTTTCCCTTCCTCATTTTCAATAATGTGAGGCTCTTTATCGGATCCTACATACGCCACTGCCGAGTTTGTTGTCCCCAAATCTATACCCAAGACATGTTTAAATCTTCTCAAAGTGTAACAAGGGTGAGCTCTTTTATATGTGTTCACCGTGGATCTCTTGACTGTATGTAGCATATCTCTATGTAGTGTAGTGGTGAAAAGAATTGCGAATGATGCGTATTATACTTCAATTGCTATAATTTGATGAATTACTTTCGATATGTTCTGTATGATAACGTCATAGTCTCAATCATCGCAGAGAAACTTTAAAATGCTACCAAATGAATTTTGATGTAAATCTATTTGCAACTATGTAGGCACTCCCTAAAAATCACCCAAAAACTATACGCCCTTTCTCCAAGTTGATATCAACATACTGGAAGTCCACATTAAATAACAAGTTCAATCCTATCATGCGAATAAACGCATTTACTTCCTGAATATTCGTAAACTGCCAAATGCGAACACGGTCGCTTTTAATAGTTTCGAATGTTCCGGATACAGTAAGAACATTGTAAAACAGCCCATCTGTGTTTAAAATCACTACAGGCTTGTTGTATCTCGTTTTTATAACGTGACCCCGTAGAGGCAGCAGTATATTGTTGTCTACTTCTTCGATATCAGTTACCCCAATAGCCTGTTCGAAAACAACTTTATGAACAAGAGCATCCTCTTTTTCGAGATGTTCGACAAATTGATCAAAGTCAAAATCGAAATCCAGTCCTTCATGCGGAAAATCCACCTTTGTCAAAAAGTTTAAATCTGTGCAGTAATCCTCGAATGATCGTATGTAAAGGATTTTAGCAAAATCTGTTTTTTTCCGTCCAGTCACCTTGCGATAGAAGTGAAATAATTGGAACAAATACGAAATCAGATGATGGTTGTTCAGCCAGTAGCCTAAGTCAGCTTCAAGCTTGCGACTCGTTAATGTCCCGTACTCATAACTAAAATAGACGTCTTGGTAAACTAAACACCATGGACTGCATACGGGACATTTCACCAAGCCAGGTACTTTAAGCCCAAAGTTGGACCATCCTGCGTAAACGACTTTGATTGCCGTTGCAAATAAAAGATAGGGATGAGCCTTGCATTTCCCACTGTATAATTTCAAAATGTCAAAATTTTCGACTATCATAGAATGCTCATCAACCACACGTGACTCCAAATTTTTAAGCAAAAACAGAAAGCCTTGTTTGATATAGTGCAGAAAGAAGCTAAGCTTAGTAGCATTATCATTCAAAGTGCTATACGTCTGAACAACGTATGCTTTCAAGTGCTTGTCGAGTAGTTTTAGCTTTCTCCTCAAGAATCGCCTTCGAAAATGGAAATCACGATAACTTTTGCTTTCAAGTAAGCTCAAACTGAATAGCATATTTTCTGCAGATGCTGGTGACACCTCTTGGGAGTTTATGCGTCGTATATTTTCGAGACCAATATTGTACAATTGGTTCGAAAGCAAATGTTCCACAACAGAAGCCCTGAGGAAATCCAAACGGGTTTGGGAATCTTCCATAGTTGGTTGAAGCTCGATACTCTCCAGTTTAATCATTTTTAGTAGGGTGGGTAAGTAGTTGGTGTCCAAACAATAACGTTGGTATTGCTCGCTAGTCCACGGTAAATTAGCCGGGCGTACCTTGTTGCTGCTCTCATGAGGCGAGGAAATGCTTGGTTCGTAAAGCTGTGCCATGGAATGTTTTAGTTCTAGCTCACATTTGTAAATGGTATGGCATGCTTTGGAATAGTCTATGGGTTTGTAGTCTACCTCTAATTCTGAATATATTGTTGCAAACATTCTTTTATATAGCACATTCCAGAAATACGGATGCAGTAGCTTCTGTTTTAACAACTTGTTGACATTGTACAAACTGAAAACATCCTTTATTTCTAGATTACCTACATCAACGATATGAAGTATGATATCTATGGGCAAGGTCAGCATCAATAATGGTAGGTATAGTAGTATGCATGTGAAGGACAAAAACGCGTCTGTATTTGTAATGAATTAATCAGTCGGAGAATGTCTTCGCTTTATCAAAGGGTATCATGAACACCGATAAGATGGTAGGTATTCGTTGTGCTCAATTTTGATTTCAGTACTCTATGTTTGTCTATTTGAAATTTTCATCAACACTGCACATTTTTGATTCTAGTTTTTTTTTTCGCAAAGATGGATGAAGTATTCAGGCATAATCTGTTGAACACGCAATGGGCAAGAGAAACAGAGAACATTATGCCAAGGGTAGCAACAAAAAGCCCAAGAGTGGAGCAAAGCTACTAGAGCCAAACACTGCTGGTATTTACGCTACGTGTCCTCGTGGAAAAGAAAAGCAATGTCGCCAGGAGCTCATGACTGTGCTATCTGAGAAAATCACTGAATATTTTGATCTCCCTGAGAACGACGATAACAAAAGTGAAGAAACAAATGCCTTATCTATAGAAGAAAAGATTCAACAAGAGCTTTCGGAAATGAAAGAGGCCGATAAAAATACTAAGGCAAACTATTTGCAACCAATTGATGTTGATATCGAATGTGTTGTGTTTATTAAAACGAGGAAACCAGTAGACCCAGTGATGCTTGTCGAGAAATATGCTCAGGAGTGTTATGATTCTGGTGTCAAGACTACAAGAAACACACAGAAACTCACTCCAATTAGCGATTCGTGTAGGGCAACTACGGATCCAGAGGATCATTTAAAAGATTTGGCTAGGCGAGTTTTGGCGCCACATTTCCACGCAAGGGATCGAAAACCAGTGAAGTTTGCCATTCAAGTTTCGAAAAAGAACTTTGATACACTCACATCAGAGGTAATCATCAAAGCAGTGGCTGAAACTGTGGGTCGTGATCATGGACATACGGTGGATTTAAAAAACTACGACAAATTAATCATTGTTGAATGCTACAAGAATAACATAGGTATGAGTGTTGTGGAAAATTACCTCAAGTATAGCAAGTTTAACTTGCAGCAGATTTACGATAAGGTATCAAGGTAGTTTCATATTATACATCACTCAATTATTTAATACATTCGCACTTGGTTCCACCTCCAACCATGCTAGCCAATCTGCCTCCAGGTGTGGTATAAGACCCATTGTATATAATTTGTAGACACCAATTGACATATTCATCAACTGAAAGAATATAAATCCCAACTTTGCCAAAAGGATGAGCAGTTGATTATCCTCTGTCTTTAATTTCAGAAACGTTGGATTGAGATCGTTAAAGATCGATTTGATGGGGTTCCAAAGCAACATCATTGTCATAGTAACTGGTATTATCTGTAGTGAGTTACCCGTCATGTAGCTCATGAACGCATTCATGGGAATAGACTTTGCTGGTCCAATTGCAAGCTCATATATCTTTTTTGACTTCAATTCATTCAAGCTTGCCTTTTGGTCTCTTGTTGTAGCTTGTCTAGTGTGTTCGAGTGGTTTGACATCAAATCCAGGTGGAGATGGTATGGTGTTTGCATTATCACGCCCTTTTATTTTAGATATCTTTATATCCTCACGCTTTGATTGTGCCATGTTCTCTTTACTTTTTGATTAATTCAGTGGTGTATTGTAGAATGAGGTCCAATTTTTGTTTCGACAAAAAAAGAAGTAACCAAAAAGGGCGGCGATTATTAAATTTGGCAATCATCTACTGTCTCAAGAAACAAACCAGCTTCGGCAATGGACTCAGCAGACTACAAAATAAACCCACTAAACCGAATAATTGGTCTTTCAGTTATATTATCCGTTGGATTCTTATTGGTCATATTAGCAGGGATATATGGGAACTGGTTTCCCATAGTAATTGGACTTATATTTTCAGTGGCATACCTTCCGGTGGCAATCACAAGGAGACTCAATAGCTTCGATCCATTTAGTGCACCCAGTACTAATGTATTGGCAGAACTGGGTCAATTCTTGACGGCATTTTTGCTAGTTAGTGGACTATATTTGCCGATTGTTTTACACCATTCCTACATTTTAACCACTACGGCCGCCGCATTGACCATAATCGGTGGGGTATTAATTTTCGGAACAGTATATACGTTTAGTCATTACTTTGATGAACCAGAAGACGACGATGGGTTGGGAAATTTATGATATCAATCATGTGAGATATTAAAGACAGGAAAAGCACGCTCAACGTTTGTCATGTAAACAACCTTTGCGGGAGATGGTGCCCTTATATGAAGAAGTAAAGTTTGTCTTGTATACAAATCTATAAAAGATTCAATCCCTTTAATATATCACAATTTGGCATAGGCATATTTTGTGCACGTTCTAGTTTGCGCATATCGGTGCTGAACCAACCAACTGCGTCCTCGATCAAGTTGTCCTTGTGCATTTGTTCTCGCGAACATTTGGCTCTTTTATCCTGAATGAATATGTTCTCAACTTTCGATCCAAAGTTTCTAAGCTCTCTTTTTGACTTGTTTTCATTCTTTTGGGCAAACTTGTCATTAACAAAATATGGAATGTGATATTTAGGAGTCCTTCGTTCGAGATGAAATTCTCTAGTAGGAGTGAAGGAGTATTCCGATGTTGGGTCGTTTGAAAAAAATCCCGATAGGATGGGAATTATCAATAAAAGTAAAAGTGGCAACAAATTCTTTATAACTTCTGAAAGCGATTGTGGTTCTTGTGGCCGTTCTCCATTTTGAGTTCTAGAATTAGATGCTGGTCTGTGTGTTCTCCTAGTAGTTCTTCTGTGCCTCATAAAAGGGTCCTGTCCACCGCCAAATGACTGGAAAGTGAAGCCGTTGCCTCCAAAAGTGAATGTAGGACCAGATGCAAAGGGACTTCCACCATTGCCGAAAAACATATTGAATAAATCATCCTCAAAGGGGTTGTGTGCTCCACTAGCAAAGCCTCGCGTTCCTGTAAACGAACCAAATCCTTGGCTAGCAGCAGCACTTGCGTTTGAAATTCTAGATGTGGGGTCTGTCCCCGTTTGATCATATATACGTCTCATTTGTGGATCACTTAAAACTTCCCATGACTTGTTTACAACTTTGAATGCTTCCGACGATCTTGGATGTGGATTTTTATCAGGATGGCATTTGATAGCGAGTTTCCTGTACGATTTTTTAATCTCTGATTCAGAAGATGTCTTGGTAACTTCCAATATTTCGTAATATTGGTGACCCTTGTACGAAAGAACTCGCAAAACAACAGCTTCCTGCTCCTTTGTGTAGGACATGGTAGATGATATCCAACTGCTGAGAAACTATAATGTAAATGGCAACGGGGAGTGGGGGTGGTACTTTTTGAAAAGATGCTGGCGTTGTAACTTTTTGTTTTTTTCATCATCAAAAGTACACACTGGCGCACACACGCATGCACCCAATACTTTTACGAAAAAAGAAATCCAACCTGAAGAACGCATACCTTTCAAAATGAAGAGATATATAAGAGAAAGAGGTCTTTCTGGAAGAGCAAGACTGCGTTGTGTCTCTTCAAAAGCGCCTACAACAATACCAATGTCAAATTGTGTGTTTACTGGTGCAACTGTGGAGGTTCAAGTAGAACATTGATGATGCGCTCATCGGCATAAAATTTACAGAAAACAGTAGTTTAGAAACCTCTTTGTTGTAAGTGCTTGTCTAATTGAATTGGACTACTTCGATGGCCAAGTGTACATAATATGTTTGAGCTGAGTGGTTCCTTATCTAAATCATAGAGATTGTTGACTTGAAAAAAAATAAAGAAAGGAAAAAATGATTCAAGTCAGACTCATTGAGTCTAACTACCACTCTTTGTCGCAGGAACAATTTAGGTGTTTGCCCACGCGTGAGTGCTTCAAATATGAGTGGAAATAGGAAGGATGAGTTTGCTATTACGTCATTGTTGGATACCGACCTTTATAAGCTATTCATGCATGCTGCAGTCCACCAGCACTTTCCACAGATACCGGTGGAATACAAATACACCAATCGTACACCTGACTTGAAGCTCAATTCTGCAGCTGTTGATTGGTTGAAGACTCAGATACAACATTTGGGCGATATCAGATTCACCGATGAAGAGTTAGCGTACTTGCAAAAGGCATTGCCTCAACTCCCAGGTCCTTACTTGGAATATCTAAAGACATTTCACCTTGATCCAGCATCTCAAATCAAGTATCTTGAAGCTGATGGAGATTTTGGTTTGGAGATAGTAGGAAGCTGGAGCGATACCATATTGTATGAGATCCCAATTTTGGCCCTTATTTCTGAAGCGTATTTCAAATTTGTCGATACTGATTGGAATTATGATAATCAAGTTGAGATTGCTACGCACAAAGTGGAGGAGCTTAATACGGCAAAATGCCATTTTAGTGAATTTGGAACAAGAAGAAGAAGATCTTTTCAAGCTCAAGAAATTGTCATCAAGGCTATCAAGGATACCGCTGAACGATTAAACTCGAAATATGTAAGTGGTACATCCAACGTGTATTTTGCTAAAAAGTATGATCTCCAACCAATTGGAACAGTTGCCCATGAGTGGTACATGGGTATTGCATCCATTACCCAGGATTATACACATGCAAATAAGTTGGCCATGGATTACTGGATTGCCACGTTTACACCCAAATATGCTGGGCTTGCGTTGACTGATACTTTTGGTACTGATAACTATCTTAGTGTCTTCACCAAACCTTATATTGATGATTACGCGGGTGTAAGACAAGACTCTGGTGATCCAGAGCTATACACTGATAAAATTGCTCAACACTATAAGAAAAACGGTATTGAACCACATACTAAAACCATCTGTTTTAGTGACTCATTGAACGTGGAGAAATGTGTAAAGTATAAAGATAGGGCGGATCAAGATGGATTATTGAGCACTTTCGGAATTGGTACTTTCTTCACAAATGATTTCTTGAATGCATCCACAGGTGAGAAGTCGCAACCTATGAACATTGTTATTAAGTTGAGTGAAGCGAATGGGTATCCAGCAATAAAAATCAGTGATAATATTGGAAAGAATATGGGAGATCCTGAGACAGTGGAGAGGGTAAAGAAGGAGTTGGGGTATAGTGAGAGGCAATGGGTAGAGGGAGATGAGGCCCACAGATGGTGAAAACATTGTTGAAGGAATTTTTATAGATCGACATTTGTATAATTGAGAAAAAAAAAAGCAACAGTGTGTGTGATATCCTTTCTTGTTGTGAATAAACGTGTGACTTCCTTCTCTATCTTCGTGGTAAGTTGCACTTTTTTTGCATCAAAATCTAGCAAAAGAATAATTTTTTCTCTTTTTTTTTTTGATTTTCGCCACCCTATTATTACAAAAAAGAGAAAAAAATTGCACCCAAATTGATATTTGTTATTCTCAACCACGCCTTTCATTTTAGAACACAGATTATGCTACATTCATCTGAACTCCTTTTCTTCCCAGTCGAGATGTTTCTTCATATATTTGGGGGTACACTGGTTATTTTCAGAGATGTCTCAGGCTAATTCAAAGCACACAAATACTTCACAGTATCTTACATATCGGAAATGTCTCATAAACTTTGCAATATACCAGGGGAGGAGAAAACCGATATACTGGTCTACATTCCTTCTGAGAGCTTACATCTCCTATTTCCTTGAAGCTCCTAAAGTAAAAATTGAATCTAAAGTACCGAGACGGTGAACTTGAAAAGTTTTTGAGGTAATAGAGTTAATTTTCCATCTAACAGTGACAAATCACGTGAAGCAGCTTCCTGGAGCCGCATTGAAGTTGAGTGATTCTCAGAATTTGCTTTCAACCCTAGGATAGCAGCAACCTCAGGTGCATGATCGCATGAGTGCTCCACTCTGACAGAATCATAGGCGCACCTGATTTCCTCCAGTGACCCTGTAGAGAAGGGCCAAACAACAGACGACTTTAGGAAGAATGGAAAGTGTGTCTACATCCATACTTTGCACTATGGTGCCAAATCAACTTTGTGATTTTGAAACACATTATGGGAATTTCAAACTCGTTGAGAATTGCTTTTGTGTGCACTTTATGGAGTGTTGCAAAAATATCTACCACACGAAGAAACTCACATCGACAAATATTTCAGCACGCACACATACACACAACTGATCACCTATCTCCCCCAATGAAAAGTGTTACAACTTTCATTGAGCTTTTTCAGGAGCTAAACTACAATCGATCGGAAAAAAGGTTGAGTTGGTCAGGGCCAATAAACTTGAGCAAACGGGAAATCTTTGAAATTAATGCATCCCTCAAGGAGTTGACTGCCAGTACGGCAGTGAGTCCAAAACAGACCTCAACCATTATCAAGTGTGTTGATGAATTATGTAACTCCATATTCCATGAGGATGAGTGTGAAGAAAAGATTAGTTACTTTTTGGTTCAATTGTACTTGAACAGCTTCATCAGGCATCATTTTTGTGACCTTACCAAATCATTGTGGCCCATACTTGTAAAGTCGAACATTGATGTATGTGATTCGGCACTATTTCATACCCTTGCTGAGGACTCATTGAGTAATTGTCCATGCTGGAACTGGTTGAGCACAACGATATTGACTAGAATCGCCACTAATGACACTACCAAAGGCTTATTAAAAGAGACTCTCAATTCAAGGGATAATTTGGCAAAATTTGAGAGGATGAAATATCTCAATAGAGATTTCACTTCCTTAATGAACTTAATCGGATTATTTGTGTCACTTGGACTTGACAAAACTTTTCTACCAGATTTGACAACACCTTACATAAAGTACATTGAATCCGCAAATCCCAATTTCAAGAACTTGATTCAATGCCAGACAAAGTCAAATGTGGAGGCTTTGGCTAGTTCCCGATGCTACATACAACCTATAGATCGGAACTTGCTTCATGTTTGGGTCGAATCAAAACAACAATTCCACTGTCATCACGTCAACCTCATGTGCTTTGAGTCATTCAAAACTTTCCCAAACTTGATCATAAAACTAAGTACATCTTGTGCTAAGGGGCCCAAGACAAGGTCCAAAAGTGACCTGCTGGAAGCTTTTATTAGATCATTGGCGGTGAGACTTGCCGATGGAACAATTGAAAAGAACTTGGAGATGCAATTGCAATTGACGGACGTGTTGCACTTTAATTGGTTGGTGCAATACTTGAGCTCGCTTCAGAAGAAAAGAAAATTGGCAGTTAACACATTGCCAGAACCACGAAACCCATCTAATAGTGCAATAAATACTACGGGTGAGAGAGCCAAACTCCAGAGTTTTGAGTCTAGAAGAAATAAAGGTGTCTATCAAACTGTTAATCCTAAGGGAAAAGCCTCAAGAAAAAGAAAGAAGCTTTCAGATGAATGGGACTTGACTCTGGATTTTGAATCGTCTTTTGAAAAAACCAGCATTGTTGATCTGAAACGTGGAACAAATGAGGTTCAAGTTTATGAAAAAGAGGTGATAATCGAAGACGAGACTGGTAAAACCCCACAGTGTAAGGTTGGAGCTGATTCTGAAAAAGAGGGCAGTGTTATATTGGATAACCTTGTTACTGAAAGTGGTAAAGAACGGAGCCCAAACGTAAAGTCAAAAGGAGCTGGTCACCAACATCACGATGGATGCCAAAATTTATCCTTACACAGGGCTAATAGCACAAACGTTTCATCGAGTTTGTTTGTTACAGATGACAGTTCAAAGCATGACCAAAGCGAGCTGATGTCGTTAGTTGTTGCCCCAAAGGAGCGTGTCAATAGAATGGCCAAAACGCAAACATCCATGAGTATTGATGCACAAGCACCTGTCCGAACTTCGACACCTATAAACGCAGAGTTTACTGAATTCCCCACCACGACCGACAAGACGACAGATACAGAAGGCGGTACGGTTGATGTAATGCAGGATGCATTGAGTCTCTTTTCCTCAAATTTGGTGAATAAGTTGAAACGAGTTGAGTTTCATGTGCTCCATAAAAGAAACGATTTGCAAGCTGAGGTTGATAAAGAATATAAAAAGATTGAACAGATGCAACGGGCAAAATTAAAAGAGATACAGGAATACTGCAAAAATGAGTTAGAAAAGATCATCTAAAAATCTATTTAAGATTGAGAAACTTGAAAATGACTCGAGCAAAATCAGGAGGATTGTCGAGGTAAAGATGATGGCCGGCGTTTTTGATGATTTTGAATGAGGCCAACTTCTTTGAATACTCATCGATTGACAAATCATTTATTTCGTTTGTCATTTCTAGTCCAGCTTCATCATTCATCCAGTCTTTATCTCCATAAATCCAAAGGGTAGGCAATTTCATATCAACAAACCTCTTGGGACATCGATCAATTAATGGAAGTTTGGCCAACGCACCAACTGCCAACACTCTTGTTATAGCATACTCCCCAGATCCTTTCCCATTGAATATTCTATAGATATAATCATGCATGTTTTGAAAACTTTGTTGGTCGTGATAGTACACATGAGCGAACCTATGGGTAGTCCATCTCGAAATGAGCTTGGACTTAACTGGACCAGAATTTCTGATTATTGAAAAAGGTGAATAGTTCTTTTCCCACATGTAGTCAAAAAGTTGCCTTGTGCGTGTTTTTGGCGGTTCTTCCAATGGTTTACCCTCTACTATATCCTCTTGATCTGCCAAAACTTCTTGTTCAAGTGAAATGCGTGGATTGGATTCCTTCTTCAAAAAGGAGTACTTGTTTCTCTCCACCCCAACGGGACTTATAAGAACAAGCTTATCAATTAAATTCGATTGCAACCCAGTCAATGGGGTCGTTATTGTCTTGTTGTACTTTAGAGCATAAGCGCAACTCAAATACCCTCCAAAGGAATGGCCCATTAGTACAAACTTGTTGATCCCACGCTTTTGTCTCCACGTCTCTAAAGGATCTATAAACCAATCCTCAACTTTGTATATATCTTGTTTAGAAGATGAGGCGAGATTAGGAAACTTTGGTCTTGAACTCAATCCGAATCCCAATATATCAATAGCATGGATCTTTGTCCCCGGTATGGAGCTCAACAGATCAAAATTGTCAATGAATAATCCAAGTGATGCCGCGTACCCATGTACCAAAACAATCTCTTTACAAATATCTGGTGTTTCATCTTTTTCAATATTCTCAATGTAAAACTCGTGAATAAACTGTCCATTTCCGATATCAGTATTGACAACGCTAGCTCTTCTTTTACCATCGCTTTCAGGATAAAATGGTAACTGCGACAATAATCTACTCTCAATGGTTGAATTGTCATAGTTTGAACTCCAGCTTTGTTTGATCCAGTCTTTCCAACTTTGGCCCCATGTGTAATGTGGTTTTTCCCGCCCATCGTTAAACTCATTCACCTTTTTAGGTCGAGATTCTGTCGTTTTTGTTGTTTTTGTCGTTGTCGATTGCGATAACTTGTTATCAGAAGCTAAAACTGATGACTGAGATGGCACCAGTGTGGCCGTGGCCGTGGCCGTGGCCAGAGATCCCTGTGCTGTAGACATCGCTTAGTTTGAAAGTTCTTGGAAGAAGCCAATAGATTGGAATAATAGAAATGAGACCACTTTAGATTATGCTATCAGAAGTTTCATTCCAGTCTGAAAGGCAAATGAGTAAGAGATACTTGTCCTTTTTTAGTATCGGAAATCTGCAGGCGGCGTTAAATTTAAGAACGAGTGTTTTAAATCCGAATTTTTTAGAGATCTCGGCCGCGAAATGATAAAATGATTGATATTCTTCTATTAAGCAGCTTGGCCTTCTTGAAGACAAAATGAGGACATATAAAGAATAAAAAGAGGATGCTGAATAGATGGGAAAAAGCTTTGATTCGACATGCGTGAGCTTTTGACTGTGGCACTCAACAATATTTTTGAAAGAAGTGGAGCCAATTTTAAGAGATAGCAGATTCGTCCATCACTTCATCTTCACGATACTCATGTGACCCATTTACAACGGATAGATGCAATGCTTCACTGGTGTATCTCTGAATGGACTGCGTCACATGATTAAAAGTGTATTGTTGATAAATCACTGCCCTTTTGGAAAGTCTGTCCCGCATTGAGCTTTTGAAGGGGTCGATCCTTTCAAAAGACACTATGTTATACGAGGGTGCATTGGTCTCACCCTTTACAAATCAGTCCTCCTGCTCCACTTGGTATATACACAGATCACACTTTACAAAGATTTCTCATTTATTTAAAGATGTTGCTGCGGCGCAGATATTTTTTTGATCTTGATGCACGTCCTTTTTTTTTTTTTTTTTTTTTTTTTCAAATCCACTCACTCACTCTCATCAAAATATTTTTCAATCGAAATTTTTTTTTCTTTTCTCACGATTCTACTTCCACTACCAGCTAAATCACACATCAATAGCAGATAAATCAAAATGGTATGTTTTATTAAAACAGCTCGAGACAAGTCCACGAGGAAGCATCTGTTTACTAACGCCCCATCATCAGGACACTAAAACTCCAGTTACATTGGCTAAAGTTATCAAAGTTTTGGGTAGAACCGGTTCAAGAGGTGGTGTCACCCAAGTTAGAGTTGAATTTTTGGAAGACTCTTCAAGAACCATTGTTAGAAACGTCAAAGGTCCAGTTAGAGAAAACGATATCTTGTGTTTGATGGAATCAGAAAGAGAAGCCAGAAGATTGCGTTAAATTTGCGTTTTACTCAGATGTACTTCTATTTGGAAGAATAACTGTGGATATGAACCAATCTTATCTTACAATGATTTACTGAATAGGAGAATAGTGTTAGGAAGAAGTTAAGATTCGAGAGAATGGTGAATTTTATGAAGAGTTGATTTTTTGTTGTTGCATAATGATGTGGTCAAATCATACGTATCCGTTATTAATACATGTCATTTATTACAGGCCAAACTAGCGGAATGGCTCGAGTATGAGTATCATCTGCTCATGCTTTTGCAGCTTGTCCCATAGCGTGTCAACTTCTCTTGATGTAGGATTATTCTGGTATCTCAAATGGGTGGCTTGCTCACGTGAAACTTATTTTTCGCGGGCTCAGCCCTAATTTTCGTGCGAACGAAACCAAAAAATGTAATGTGTGTCGTATAATAACAACCCGCGACAATGATCAGCTGTGATTTGCGACATGTATTTTCATAAGATTAGTGCGACAAAAATGAACGAAATGGGGGTTGTTTGTGTGAGAGACAAAGTGAACTTGCTCACTTTTATCAATTAATCACTCAACTGAATAGATACCATGTCTGATTTGGAAGATGACTTATTAGCCTTGGCAGGTGGCGATGATTATGAATCCGATGCTGCATCAAACGCCTCAAAGCGTAGCAATTTGGAGTATGAATCGGATGAGGATGATACTGTTTTAGCCAAGCGTCGTAAAGTGGGATCAGAAGCAGGAGACTACAAGGATGATGATGATGATGACGACGACAATGAAGCCGAAAGTGAAGAGGAACTCGAATTGGTGAATCCATACCCGTTGGAAGGTAAATACAGAGATGAACAAGATCGTGAGGAGTTGGAAGCAATGGATGAAATCAAAAGAGAGGAGATTCTTTTTGAAAGATCTCAAGAGATGGACAAGTTTAAAGAACGCCAGTATTTGCAACAAAGAATGAAGGCGCAAAGGGTGTCAAAGTCGGGTCGAAGTGAAGGTTTAAGAAGTTCTACTCGTCTGAAGACTGGAGGTACCAAATCGAAGAAGGAATCAAAGCTTAGTGAGTTGAAAAAGGAGAGAGAAAAGCATACCAGAAAAAAGAGTAGAAGACATGATGATTATGAACAAGAATCGGATGAGGAAGAAGAAGATGAGGAGGAAGTGGAAGAAGATCTTGGTGATGAAGATGAAGATGCATATAATGATGAAAGTGAAAGTGAAGTTATGTGGGGTGGAGTATCGAAAATTAAACGCAAGAGACTGACTGAATTGGCCAAATTGGACGATATCAATCGTATAAAAGTGGGGAGGAGTTTGTTATCACAGTATTGCTATCATCCAGGATTTGATGATGCTGTGTTGGATACTTATACCAAGGTCAATGTTGGTGCAGACAGAGCCACAAAAGCACCCATGTATAGAATGGTTAAGATCATTGATTTAAAAACAAGACCAGAAAAAGCATATAAAATGGGGAGCTCCAAATATGATTTATATTTTTTGGTTAGTCAAAACAAGAATCAAAAAAAACCATTTGCCATGAATCTATTTTCTGATTCACCAATTACTCAAGATGAATTTGATAGATATTTGAAAGAACTCGATAAAACTGGTGAATCAATGGATTTGCTTGATGATGTTAATGATAAGTTCAAACAATTGCAAACATTATTTACTACTGGTTTAACTGATAAAGATGTTAACGAAATGATTGCTAGAAAACAGCGCATGCAGCGACAAAGTGGTAATTATACTACTTATGATGCTGTAAAAACTAAAGCTAAGTTATTGGATGAGTACAAAATTTGTAAACAGCAGGGTAATTTACAAAAATCGATGGAAATTCTAGAAGAAGTGAAAAACATTGATGCTGTATTACAAGATCAGACCGGTGCAGCGAGTACAGCAGCTTCAACGACAGGGTCAGGATCTTTGTCATCATCAGCAGTAGCAGCATTGCAATCGAGTATGGCTAAAGTCAATGAGAGAAATCGGAAATTGAATCAAGAAAATATTAGAAAAGCTGAGATCAAACACAAAACCAGTATACAAAACCAATCTAGTCAAGACGGAGATCCATTTTCAAGATTAAAAACAAACACTCGAATGTTTTATCAAGAATTGATCAATGAAGAAAATGCCAAGGCTTTTAAAGATGTCAACGTACAAGAATTGATTAATGAAAAGACTAAACAAGAGGAAAAAATTGCTAAATCCACTTATAGAGATTTAGGGGAGATGGATAAGTTGATCAGGCTGATTGATGTGGATATTGAATTGTTTGTGTAATTGATATTGGGAGATAAAAGTAAGGTTGCTAGGTTCTATGTAAGCCACTCAAAACTTTCAGATAGAAATGAAGCTCTATATTTACGGTCAAGGGTATCTTGAAAGTAAAGGGTGATCTTTTCTAGCGATGTGTTGATCATGACAACAAAATCTCTTGGTCGCAAAGCCACGCGCTTGAAAGCATAAGATCATTTATGCCATCCATACGGCTCGCTCCCATCTATCTGTTTCCAGATCATCATCTCACCCAAAATTAGAAGTTTAAATCTAATTGTTTCTCTTCTAGACAGGAGTCGCGTTTATGTATCCACCCATATGGTAAGCTCACTTAAATCATATACACGAATGCTGAGTTATACTTGGTTGAATACTAATAAACCAGCGCAAAACAACTAGCAGTAAGTATTTACATCGAATACGTTGTAAGTAACACAACCAGTAAAGTCTGACCATCGCAATTAGGACACCAAGTGTACTCAACCGAAACTATGATTTTATCATTATCAATATGTTAGCAAAAATAGTTAGACAAATGGGCTTAAGCTCATATGTTGAACACATCTTTTTTACTTCTCTTTAGAGCCTGAAAATATTGTGTAATCTTAAAGGTCTTGAAGATTGGTACAATGGGAACATAATAGAGAGTAAGTTGCGTGACCCAAAGATAAAACTAGCCACTTTTCATTGGTGTTCTGCACTCAAAAAGTTAGAAACATGTAAGCTTTTAGAATCAAACTCTCCAAAACTGTGACAAAGTATAAAATTTGCCACACGACGTAAACTGGTATCAGGATAAAGCTGTCGATATACATTTTGATCTCTGAACATCATTGAACATTTATCTTGATAACTTGCAGTGACATTGAATCAACCAACTAGATTTCAAAAATTAGTATTATTATAGCAGCTTATGATAGGAACAGAACACTCCCTTTTATATCACACACGTCCTCTCTGAATTTTCACCATTGAAGCCTCTGAACAATGGTACCTGCTCTTCTCTACAAGACTTGTTTTATCTTGTAGTCAGTGACACATACACTCACTGGGTTATGATTGTGGTTGTCACATTTGGTGGTCGTCTTCCAATCTTGGTTGCCAAAAAAAAAAAAACGAAACAAAAAAAGGGGGAAATAATTTTCATAGTAGAGAACTCCAACGATTTTTGTTATGCACATACATTCTATAAGTAGCCAGACAGTAATTCAGTAATCAAGGTCCTTACCTTATTTGGAAGCAGTCTGAAATAAAGTTTGATCAACTAATTCAAAACTTTCAATCCTAGCTTCAACTTTGTGTGTAAATTCCTCTCTGATAATCGGTGATCTGAATCATTGTATCATTGATGGGATACATTGCAGCAAATAGGTCCCAGTAGACCCATGAGCTAAGCCTCAACATCCCTACATAACGAAATGGCAACAACATAGTCATTTAGCTGGTCAAAACATATCAAAAATATGGCCCTTTTTTTTGATATTCCCAAACTTCACTAAACTGTATGTACAAAACCACTAAAATATTTCCTACAGAAACCCCCTCAATTTCCTGTTTTCCCCTCATTTCCCCCTTCCCTTCTTTCTCTTTCCTCGCTAACATGCTTTCAAACTATACCGCCGCGAAGCTTAAACTGAAACCAACGCCTAATGTCACTGCCTTTTCACGATTTAAAAACTTGGCTAAAGCGAATCACTTTGATGCTTCAAGAATTGTCGAGAGGTCCAATCCCGGCCAGTGTTTAAACTTAACTACTCCTGTTCCCTTTCCACCGCATGTTAGTTTTTGTTCATACGAGAGCGATATAAATGTTCATACATGTACACGCTGCTAATATGTACTTTTGCATATATTTTGGTTTGTACTACAAAAAGGTGTCGAATTTTAAGGTACCAAAACTTGTAAACATAAATCCTATATGCAGTGCTGCTTTTTGTAAATTACTACACAAAACGACTACAACTGATTGTTTGATTGCAAATTCTTATACCGTGTTTTTCGTTTTTCTAAACCAAACTAATTAGTGCAGCCATTAACATACACACCAAAGCTATTACACTACTCGAAGTCAAATCAGCTAGATTGGAGTAACAAAGTATCAAGTGTATCTGGTTTTCTAGTTGCTCAAACAGAAATCGAAATTAATGTTGGAGACGACAATAGCATTGGTTTGACAGCTTGATTTACCCTCTGGGCAATGATTTAAGCACCAATTTTAGCCTTACCCTCCACAAATAGTCTGGATAAAATAACATCTGCAGATCATGATGCACAATATCTTCCAACACATACACTCCTGTGGTAACCGGAATTACACCCTGACAAATATGTGGGTGGGCTTGGTAATTGCTTTACTTAGGAACCAGGCCAGATGGCTTTGGAAAGTGAGAGAGCACCGTTGGAATCGTGTTTCAATTACAGTGACTACAATGAAGCGTTCCGTCCAAATGAGAGTGAAGCTGACAACTTGCACTCTGATATGGAATGTGATGACGTAGATGTAGATTTAGAGGCTGTCTCTGAACAAGAAGAAACTTACAAACGTAAGGGAGGCCCATACAGGTACTATTCTGAAGCACAGAAGCAAAGATTCTGGCAACCAGTTATTGAGCAAAGGTATTCTGTTTATAAGGCTGCACAAGCACTCAATATCAGTTTGCAAGCAGCTTATACTTGGAAAAGAAAGTGAAATCATCGATTCATCTGTGAACTCAATGGCATTTATTGGAAACCTAAAAAGCGTAGCAATAGCTTCAAATCTCTTCTCACCAAAGAGCACAAACTCCTTTCGAAAGAGTTGGTACTCTCCGACCCGACTGTTAACGTAGACTTCTTGTTGAATAAATTAAGGAGTGCATTTAAAGGTGTGAAGGCGAGTATTTCTACTACTTATAACTTTCTCACCTGACTTTGAAAAGAATTGTGTTTTCATCGACGAGGCTGAATTCAACATCAATTTGAGAAAAGAATGTGGATGGTCGAAAATAGGTGAAAAGGCTGTGCTTAAAGTTTTTGTAACCAGAGGTCTCAATGTGTCATTCTTAGGAGCCATCTCTTCCAAAGGATGTGTTGACTTCAAGGTGCGACTTCCAGCTGAAACTGCCCCCCAACAAGAAAAGAAAACTCGGTTCCAACACCACAGTTTCGGAAAAGAACACAAGAGTTGGTACCACGGCCAATCATCTCTTTGCATTTGTCAAGTCTGTGCTTAGAGAGAGATGAGGCAAACAACGCACTTAAAGGAATCAAGAATTTGATACTTGACAACGCAGCCATCCCTAAACGTTGCGATCTCCAGTTATTAGTAACACTGAATGGAATAGAGCTAGTGTTTTTACCTCCCTATTTGCCAGGACTAAACGCAATTGAAGAGTTCTGGTCAGTGTTTTAAGCGGTCAAATTTATCTAGAAAAGAACAGTTGACACCAAAGGTAAGAGAAGCAACAGCAAAGATAGCCTTAGAAAGCTATCAAGGATTCTGTAGACATGCCAATGACCATATGCAACACTGTTTAGAACTGACATCTTTCTAAAGTACAAGTCCCCAAATTAATGTATAGAAGGGTGACTATATCTAAGTGGAGAAATGACTGCAAATCCTTTGCGAAATGAAGGAAAAACAGATTAAAATCAAAAAACTTACAAGTAAAGTCATGGCTTGTTACTATTCAACATTCTCGTGTCTATATCCTTAATTTAACATCATTGGGTTTAAGTTAGGATCAATATGCTCTAATTGTTTTGGGAAATTACATGGCTTGAATAATCATGTCGCACTCGTATGAAATAAAAATAAGAACAATGTATTACTAATTGTTGTGTACTGCATACAGTGAAACCAACACTAAAAATTTTTACTTTATTCTCAATTTTTTTTTCAAGTGGAAGCAAACTCATACCCTTCGATTTTGCTTTTGCTTCTACTTTCAACGATTATCCAACTTACTACAAGTATTCACATCTGTTCATCTGATCATCTTTCTATTCCACAGCTCGTCTTTCTACTGAAAACGCAATTTATTGTAAACAACTGTCTTCCACAAATCTAAAGGCCATATCTCACCATTCACCAATAGCAAAAAAGATCCTCCTTTGTTCATCAGCTATCATCTTCCTCCTACCAACATCCACTACTTAAGAAATGTCTTTCCATCCCAACTACTATTTGAATGGGTTGAATTTGGAGTATGATGAAGATACCACCAACGCCCTAAGCAACAACAACAATCACATGTTTTCCCCTTCGTCCAGTGGTAACCATGATTTAATCACTGAAGAAGATATTCAACAACACCTTGACTTGTTCAGTGGAGCAGCTAATGAGTTTTATTCATTGGATGTTATTGGAGACAATACTGTTGTGCCAATGAAACCAGTACAACAGCATCCTCATCAACCCCAATACAAAGAGTCATTTGCTACACCTAATCATCCACAAACAGTCAATGTTAGTGTACCACCAGCCCAAGACATTGCGTTTACTGCCAACACAGCTACTATTCCATCCCCACATTCAGTAGCGTCTACTCCTTATACTCCATCCGTGTATACCAATGCACCAGCTGCGACTGTTGCATCTGGCGCAGCAGGAACTTTACTGTCGTCGTCTCATAGCTCACTCGAAGACAAGAAGAAGAGAAATACTGCAGCCAGTGCAAGATTCAGAATCAAGAAGAAGTTGAAGGAACAAGAGATGGAAAGAAAAGCCAGGGAATTGGAAGAAAAAGTGGCAGCATTGGAAAAAAAGTTGAAAACTATGGAAATGGAAAACAAGTGCTTAAAGAGTATAATATTTCAACAAAATGAACAAAAAAATATCGATTTGCTTGAGTCGATAAAGAGAAAGTCCATTCTCGATAGCAAATCAAATTTTGAATACACTGTTTAAAAAGGATGAGGGTTTTTTAACCATCTTGTGTTTTGAGATCTTCCAATGGAAAAGTTCCCCCCCATACAGTCACTCAACCAAGTATCCTTCATCCGCCCTCCCACTCAATACATTTCATGTATCCTCAAAACCAGTTATCCCCACTTGGCATATGTTTGTAATTCAACATACAAATATATTTAGACCAATCGCACACATCAACCATTGCCACGAAACCAATCTTTTTATTATGATCATAACGACTTCAAAATTACTTCATGAAAAATTTTTCAATTCGAGATCCAACTCTCATCACCCCCTCCCCCTATTTGTGTTGGTTTTGTTTTTTTTATTATTATTATTCTATTTTGTTTACCAAAGGCGGTATTTACTTACTGTGAAGATAAAACTCATCTCATCTTCATCTCAGTATTGTTTTCAACCGTCTTTTTGCGTTTTTTTGTTTTATGTTTTAATTGTTTCAATTGTCCCATTGTTTTCATGGTCAAAATATGTCTTTATCATTCAAAAAAGAACAAAAAGAAAAAAACAGTGTTTATAGATTCAACAGTTCAGTTCATGAGGTTTGACCATTACTTAGAAAAGATAAAAGGATCATGTTGATTTTTTTTCCACTTTCATTGCAAGTTGTGGTTCATACCCTTTGAAATACCTTTCGGGAGCAATTTCCAACAAATTGTTCTCACTTAGATTTCATCTTTATACTTATACATATATGTGTATATATTTGATTATTATGGGCATTACCACTAGCAGTATTGTAGTTGCGTTTACTCCATTTGGCCTAGTATTAGCTACAATCTCCCTTTACCGGTGAAACTGTGATTAGTTCAAACAAAGCCTTGTTCAAATTCTACTCAATCACTAAACGAGCAAACGTGTAATTTGGAACACGCCTCATAATTAGCTTTAAATTTAAGCTAGGTCCATAGTCCGCCTACCTCCAAGGGCATCTGTTGTGCGCTTGTAGTGATGATAAAGAGTAGTAAAGTCATATTCAAAGTATGTGTGTGCTTGCTTTTGTGTTGTAAGACAATTTTGTAATTTCTGTCTATTGCACAATCACTCACTCACTCACCCTCCATAAAAATTATATTGGAACGCAACACCAACTTTACCATACATAGAAATATTACAAACGTTACAAATATTACGAACATCACAAACAAACAAACAGCACCAAACTTCATACATCCTCGATCCTTACTTCCAAATACCATCAAAAGGGACCCCTTGCTCGTACCAACTTAAGATTTACATATATGTACAGGTGCAGTCTTGGACAAAGTTAGTCATTCACACAAGCAACTAAAAAGGGGTGCATAATTCTATCGATCCAACTTTGTTAAAAGATATGTCACACAATACACCATTGGATAATGTGGATGTATTCCGCAGTCCTAGTCGACCTCGTCATCACACAGAACAAGAACGATCTATTTCCCCTCAACATCAAGAACCCAAACTAGTGATTGATACAAATACTGAAAGTCAAAGTCAAAGCCAAAGTCAGCAACTGAGCCAACTCGGACATTCCAGTGATGCTGCTAACGCCGAACTGTTGTCAAATAACACACCCCGTATCAAAGTAAATACCAAAGATGAACACACTGACTTTGAGACCCCAAATATTGATCGCGGCTCAAAAGATGCTGAACAGTATAGATTTCCCTTACAAAAAACGGATAGTTCTGGACCTTACAAATCTTTAGAGGAAGAGATAGATCTAAGGTTAGCTTCGCTGAACAACCCAACGATAATCATGGAACTAGACCTTGACAGTGGGGTACGACACTTGTCCAAAAACTGGGAATACATTGTTGGAACTTCCATACTGAAAATTATCCATCGACCAATATCCAAAATCATATTGGGGAACAATGATGAGGATTACAGGGTGTTTAACCAAGCTATTGAGTCAATGACTCGTGATGATGCCAGTTACAAGGTAAAGTTTATAACTGCAACTAACCATACAAGACATGACGTTGAAGGTAATGAAATACGGGGCGATATAGAAGGGCTCATGCTCGATAGGACAAATGTTTACGATGATGAACAATTGACACCTCATAACTCAGTTGAAGATGTCAATGAAATTGATTTACCTGTCGAAGATTATGTATCCGATGAAGATGAAGGCACGGAAAAGATAGAGCATCATGATCAATTGTCTCAACACAGCTCAGTTTCCACCTCTATATCCAATGATGGAGGGTTCATTGAACTTGAGGCACAAGGGATATTGATTCATGATTCGCAAACCAAGCTTCCCACACACTCGATGTGGACGGTAAGACCATTTGTTCAAATTGATTTGGAATTATCAATACCAAATGCATTGATTGATTTGTTGGGTTTTGGCTCCGAAATTTTTGAAGGGTACTTGATGAACTTGAAGCTGTTGGGAGTTACCGAAGAAGAATATGTCCCTCAACCCAATACTGTCTTGTGCAGAATATGTGAAACCAATATTCCAGCTTGGTTTATAGAAAAACACAGCGATTTATGCTTGATTGAGCATCGTGCAGATGAAGACTTGCAACAATGTCAGGATGCCATACTTGAACAGCGAGAGTTGATTGTGAAAATTATTGAAAGTTTGGCCCTACAAACCCAGCAACCCAACTTGTATCTGCAACATACTCTGCCAGGAAGTTCAAAAAGCTCGGGACTGCAACAATTGAGCTCGTCACAGGGACTGTCGCAAGCACTGTTACTGCCAAACACTTCAACTCATCTGTCAATATCGCTGAGTTCATCAGAGGAAGATAGTCCATCTAGCTCGGTGCTGCCGGTTATACGTGAATACAAGGGCTTCACCTTGCCATTGGTTTCAAGTGAAAGCTCGTCTCCCAGACTTGCAAATAAGGTGATGACGAAAAGTTTCCATTCGAGAAATAAGAGCTTGATGTATTCGAAAAAGTTTCCCTTTGGCACATTACAAAGAATCAAAGAATTGTGTGATGAAGCTATAGCTATAAATCCTCCTTCCAGCAACAACAGGGGTGACGACTTGCAAAATCATATTTCGTTCTCTCCCGGATCTGAAAAGTCGCTAAATTCGGTGATGAATCCTGTGAGTATTGAAACATCTGACTTAGCTATAAGGCAAATGCTAGAGGACACAAGGGACTTGATAAATGACAAATTGGAAACATTGTCCCGACTTGTTTCTATCTTACAATACCTGAATAAAATCAAAAGTGAAGTTGACTTGTTGGTTTTGGAAACTGTGAGAGAAACAGTTGAAAAGATTCGAAGTCAAACAGCGGCGAAGTTATCGAGAAGCTGTACTCCATCAGAGAGTATTGAAAGGTCAAGGCTGCCTACTGTCCCGCAGCACGCGAGTATTACGGAAACAGAATCACCACTAGTACGAAGAGACGATCTGAATCCAAATTCACGACAAAATAGTTTGCAGAATTTAGGGCAACCGCCACCGATTGTTGCCCCTCAACCTTCTCGAAGCAAAAGCCCCATGGAGCTACTTCAGGAGTCTCATTTTGACAATGTCATTACTCCTAAGGATATTTTAATGAACGAATCAAAAAACTTTTCGCAAAATTCGTCCTCATCATCGTTGTCGGGACGAAGAAAGACCAGTTGGAATGATATACCACAGGGGAGGCATCTGTCAAACGAGGTCTCACGTACTTCGTCGGGTAACAACACGAATTACTCCTCGCCTATACGGCATTTGTCGCCGGCGCCTTATGCTGAAAAGAGCAGCTTGACTTCGATACAAAGAAGTAGCGCTGTTAAGTCATCACCAATGTCTTTGCAAGCAACTGATTCTGATAATGCTGGCCCCGGGATTGATAAAAAGATCACCAAATTATCCTTGGATACATCAGCTGCTACTCCATTACAACAAAACTCTCCGTCGTATTCCCTTACCCATGGCACTCCAAGTCAACTAAGTAGCTCCATCTCGAGACCACCATTGTCTCCCTTACTTGTTTCAACACAACAAGCGCCAACGAAACCAGCTGGTATCAAGGACTACGAGATTGTGAAGCCCATTAGTAAAGGTGCTTTTGGTTCCGTTTTCCTTGCCAAAAGGAAATTAACAGGCCAATACGTTGCTATTAAATGTCTTCGTAAACGAGATATGATTGCCAAGAACCAGGTCCTCAATGTTAAATCCGAGAGGGCAGTGATGATGCGTCAAAGTGACTCTCCATATGTGGCACAATTGTACTCCAGCTTCCAATCTAAAGATTTTCTATACTTGGTGATGGAATATTTGAATGGTGGAGATTGTGGGAACTTGATAAAAACTTTGGGTGTACTAGGACTCGAATGGTCGGCGCGATACATTGCCGAGATAATTATTGGCGTGAATGATCTCCATGAAAGGGGAATTATTCATCGTGATTTGAAACCGGATAATATCTTGATTGATAAGAATGGTCACTTGAAACTCACTGATTTTGGCTTGTCAAGGTTGGGTGTTGTTGGTCGTCAAACAAATCATAGGAAAAGCAGTGTCAACGAACAAAGCGTTGAGTTGTTTCGTAGTATCTTTGGTACTCATGGTGGCAGTAGGAGAGGAAGCGGAAGCGGGAGTGGTCCAAGCTCCGCAGGATTAGACGTTGACGAGCTGCGCGGAAAGAGAAACAGTTCTGCAAGCTCTATTGTCTTATCTCCTTCTTTGGAAAGGTCACGATTGGTTCATCAAAATCATACACCAACAAATTCGCTACAAGCAACGTCGTCTCCCACCATGCACTTTTTGGAAGCATTTGGTGGTGGGAATAGTAGGCATAGGACAGGAGTAAGATCTAATTCCGGTGGGTTAGAATCACCATTGTTGAAACCTATTATTCCACGAACTGCGTCAGAGTCATCTTTTGTCCTTATGGATGATGAATCCTCAAATTCTCCAATAACAAATTACGCATTGTATGAACCCAAAGTAGCTACAATGGCAACTCTAGGATCGGATGTGGGAAATAGTTCCGAGGGAGATAAGGGAGGTGTCAAAAAATTCGTGGGGACGCCAGACTACCTTGCGCCTGAAACCATTCGGGGTATTGGACAAAGCGAAGCATCAGATTGGTGGTCTATTGGATGTATCTTGTTTGAGTTTTTGTATGGGTATCCACCGTTTCATGCTGACACTCCAGAAAAAGTTTTTGACAATATATTGCAAGGTGAAATTGATTGGCCAGACTTGCCACTTGAAGAGGACGAAAAGTTTTGCTCTCCAGAGGCCAAGGACTTGATCAGAAGACTTTTGGAATTGAATCCTGAAAACAGATTGGGTTCACAAGGAGCGAATGAGATAATGACCCATCCATTCTTTAAAGACATCAATTGGGATACTGTTTTTGAGGAGCCCGCGCCATTTGTTCCCAATGTGGATGACCCAGAGCTGACAGATTACTTTGATTTAAGAGGTGCATCATTGGCACAGTTCCCGAACGACGAGTCCTCGTCTGATGAGGATAAAGAAGCCGAGAGCAATGTTCAGAGAAGAGAATCTATCAATTCACTTCATTTACCATCAGCAACCACAACAACCACTTCCTCCTCGCTGGGTAAAAAGGAACGTCGGTCAAGTAGATTAGGTGAAGCAGGGGAATTTGGACTGTTTCATTTTAGAAACTTGTCGGTATTGGAAAAGCAGAATAAGGATATCATCAATCGGCTAAAGTCGGAACATTTGGAACACCGCAACAGTTTCTCTTCATCTTCTCTGGAAGGTACACCCGTCATAAGGTCAAGAGGTTTATCCTTCGGCAATGCCCCAGGTAATGGGTCCGGATTGAATCTTTCAACTACAGTCAATACATCCAGTCCTTTCAAAAGACCCGTTTCACCACCAGGTGGTACTTTAGGCTCGCCAGCAAATGCGCATAACAGGTCCCAGTCGCCCCATCGGATGTTCGAAAGCCCAACCGTTTCCTTTGGAAGGCACGAAAGAATACCTTCTACATTCAGTAATTATTCACTGGGGGATGATGGCATAAACCAGGAGTCTTCGCCAAACACCACATCGTCATTTACTCATCAAAGAGCAGGAAGCTCGCCTTACATTCAGGGTTATGGTAAGCCAATCACTAGCCCTTCAACAAATTCAAACTTGGCTCCAGTTTCGAATTCGATGCTCTATTCTTATTCAAACCCAAACGTTCTCAATACGCAACACTCCTTTTTTAAAGAAACATCATCGCCAAACTCATCAGATTCAGAGGAAACAACTAGGTCAAATGCGTTGTTAAGAGTACAACGTCGACGTGAAAGTTCACGCATGTCGGAAGAGATTTCGCTAAATCATGATCTTGATGTATTATATTGTGAACCAATCTCTTCCGTGCGTCATCAAGTTGTCAAATTACTAGAGAAAGCTGGTTGTATAGTTGTATCGGTTTCCGATGGCGAAGATTTGATCAAGCGAGCAATGAGTCAGGTAAAGTTTGACATTATAATGACAGCATTGAAACTCACCAAAGTCGACTCCATCGATGCTGTCAAATTGATCAAGTATACAGCGGGAAAGAATTCGGCAACCCCTGTTGTTGCAGTTACTGGATTTGGTGATGAGGCCAGAAAAGCACAATGTTTTGATTTCGTTGTGGAAAAGCCGGTTACGTTTGACAAGGTAAAAGCGTGCTTGCGGCATGTCTTGAGTGATGAGGCTGTCATTGATTAGTTTAGTTTAGTTTGTTTGGATTGACTGTTGATATGTAAAGGAGTTCCACTATATAATGACCTAGGATGTGTGTATAGTATCATAGTAGTTCAGCTTTGTTGTTACCATGCATTCAAATTTCGATGTTTGTGCAGGACAACTTGCTCAATACTTTCTACTACACTCAATTTGCATTTTATGAATATAACCTTTGTTTTATTTATTTTCTTGTTTAAGTTTGTTTTTTGTGGACTCAAACGTGAGCTGTTAGCTTACGATGGTATGTAGTAGCAGTACTAGTAATAGCAATAAAGTATGCAGATATAATACATGGTATTGTTCTCTTTCTTTAGGTTGCAAAATAATGATTGTATTCCTCCACACGCGTCATTGCAATCAGTGAAGTTGAAATTTACTTAATTTTTTTTTGTCGTCACTCACAGCGCGTCATTCAAAAGTATTCCCATTGCCCTTCTTAACCCCATCTGATAACAAGCCAAAGACTACCCTTTGCACAACCTGGTATTTCTTGAAACCACTATGTCATCCAAAAGGCCGTTTGAAGATTTTCATCAAGACCAAGCCCACTCGCTTCCCGTGGCATCGCAAAGCGCTATAGCGACTCCTGTGGCTGAAATGAATAGATCGCAGGAGCAGATTTACAAGAAACTCAAGAGACCGAATGGAACGGAAGAACCATCCGAGTTTGAAAAGGAGTTGGTAGATATGACGCAAGCAGCACAAAGTACTGGTACTGACGAAGACCAAAGCTGGTCAAGACCTCAGCTTCCAACTGATTTTGACCCCAACAAGGAAGACGTGTCTTTTCAACAATTGGATGGCGAGGAATTTAACGAAAATGATTCAACATATGCTAGGTTCTTTGGGATCACCCAAGAAGGATACTCTGTGCTATGCAGCGTGACTGGCTTCATTCATTACTTTTACTCTCCAGTTCCCAAAGGTTTTGTTAAGGACCAGCATTTGATGCAATTTACGAGCTATTTGAAAGCAAACTATGATGGGGTGGTTAACGTGCAGATTCAAATGAAGGAATCGATATGGGGTTACAATAATAACATCAAGACACCTTTTTTCAAAATTTACGTCAACAACAATAGAAATATTACCAGATTGAGAGGTGCTTTTGAAAAGGCAGAAATACGGTTTGAGGATTTGTTCCCCATTCAGCAGAGTGTGACATACGACAACATCAATTACCTTTTGAGGTTGATGATCGATTGTAGTATTACGGGAATGTCATGGATCACCTTACCTAAGGGCAAATACAAGATAAAAAGCAACAAAATTTCCACCTGCCAAATTGAATGTTCGATTGATTACAAAGATTTGATAGCTCATCAGTCTGAAAAGGAATGGTTGAAAATGGCACCGTTGCGTATTTTGTCTTTTGACATTGAGTGTGCAGGGAGGAAAGGGATATTCCCAGAAGCAGAGCATGATCCAGTTATTCAGATTGCCAATGTAGTTCTGAAGTTGGGTGACTCGAAACCATTTGTCAGAAATGTCTTCACCGTGAACACATGTGCATCCATTATTGGGTCACAAATTTATGAACATGAAAAGGAAGAGGAAATGCTACTTCACTGGAAAGAATTTGTCAATGAAGTAGACCCTGATGTTATTATTGGATACAATACAGCCAATTTTGATATTCCGTATTTGTTGGATAGAGCAAGAGCTTTAAAGGTTCATCAATTCCCGTACTTTGGAAGGTTGAAAAGCGTTAAACAAGAGATCAAAGAAGCGATTTTCAGTTCAAGGGCTTATGGTACTAGAGAAAACAAAGTGGTAAACATTGATGGTCGTATGCAATTGGATCTACTTCAATTTATTCAAAGAGAATACAAATTGAGATCGTACACGCTCAACTCTGTATCGGCACACTTTTTGGGTGAACAGAAGGAAGATGTTCAGCACTCGATTATTACTGACTTGCAAAATGGAAATAAAGAGACGAGAAGACGTTTAGCCGTTTACTGTCTCAAGGATGCGTATTTACCTCTTCGATTGTTGGATAAGTTGATGTGTTTGGTCAACTATACAGAAATGGCAAGAGTAACTGGAGTCCCCTTTTCGTACTTGCTTTCAAGGGGACAACAAATCAAGGTGGTGTCGCAATTATTTCGAAAGTGTTTGCAAGAAGATATTGTTATCCCAAATATGAAAAGTGAGGGTTCGAGCGAAGAGTTTGAAGGGGCAACGGTTATCGAACCAGAAAGAGGCTATTACGACGTCCCTATTGCCACTTTAGATTTCAGTTCCTTGTACCCTTCAATCATGATGGCCCATAATTTATGTTACACGACCTTGCTTAACAGAAACTCGATCAAGGCATTTGATTTGAAAGAGGAGGATTATACCAAAACACCAAATGGGGACTATTTTGTGCATGCTGATAAAAAAAAGGGAATTTTGCCTACAATTTTGAATGAATTGTTGACAGCAAGAAAAAAGGCAAAAACTGATTTGAAAAATGAAAAGGATCCCTTCAAGAAGGATGTTCTTAATGGTAGACAACTTGCGTTGAAAATATCGGCAAATTCGGTTTATGGGTTTACAGGGGCTACTGTTGGTAAATTGCCCTGTCTTGCAATTTCATCTTCAGTGACAGCATTTGGTCGAGAAATGATTGAAAAGACAAAGAATGAGGTGCAAGAGCGCTATTCCAAAAAGAATGGATACCCATATGATGCTCATGTTATTTATGGTGATACTGATTCTGTGATGGTGAAGTTTGGGTATCAAGATTTAAAAACTTGCATGAAGCTAGGTGAGGAAGCTGCAAATTATGTTTCAACTAAATTTCAAAATCCCATAAAGTTGGAATTTGAAAAGGTCTACTTTCCATACTTATTGATCAACAAAAAGAGATACGCCGGATTGTATTGGACAAGACCCGACAAGTTTGATAAGATGGACACAAAGGGTATTGAAACGGTTCGAAGAGATAATTGTCGTTTAGTTCAAAATGTGATTACCAAAGTTTTGGAATTCATTTTGGAGGAAAGGAACGTGGATAAGGCGCAGAGATTTGTCAAACAAACAATTGCTGATTTGTTGCAGAATCGGGTAGATCTTTCGCAATTGGTCATAACGAAAGCTTATTCCAAACATGACTATTCAGCAAAACAAGCACACGTGGAATTAGCTGAAAGAATGAGAAAAAGAGATCCCGGGTCTGCTCCAACCTTGGGTGACAGAGTTGCTTATGTGATAATCAAGACTGGGGGTGACAAAAATTACGAGAAATCTGAGGATCCCTTGTATGTTTTGGAAAACTCGTTGCCTATTGATGTAAAGTATTATTTAGAGCAACAAATGACCAAGCCATTGGAAAGGATTTTTATTCCAATTTTGGGTGAGTCTAAAACGAAGGAATTATTAGCTGGTGCACATACAAGAACAATAAAGATGTCGGCTCCAAAGACTGGTGGTCTCATGAGATTTGCAAAAAAGTCTGAGGTGTGTGTTAATTGTAAAACACCTTTAAAGTCGGGAAACCATGGTGCATTATGTCACCATTGTATTGAGGAAGGAAAGGGTCCTGGTTTATACACAAATGCTCTTTCCCAAATGAACTACTTGGAAAATAAATTTTCACGATTGTGGACGGAGTGCCAGAGATGTCAAGGTTCGCTACACCAGGAAGTTCTATGTTCAAATAAAGATTGCCCTATATTCTATATGAGAAAGAAAGTTCAAAAAGATGTTCATCAACAAGCATTGGAGCTCGTCAAATGGAACGAAACAAACTGGTAAAGACCGTTTTGCGCAAGTCAAAACCTAGACGCGTGTTGAATGCTGTTGAGAAGAGTTGAAAATGGTGCGGATTCTTCACTATCCTGGTTACACATGGAGTAACGATGTGTCTTACTCTATATAAATACATATGTAAACTTTTTAGTTCCAACAAGTTGCTTTTAATTTATTTTACCCGTCAATATCTTCGTATTTTTCTAATCTTGCCTCTGCTACATCCTCGTCTTTAATTCTGACCCCCCCGCTGACGGAAAATTGACCACCAGCTCCAATCATAAAGATATCCTCGTACTTCGTAGCAGTGTTCACAATTCTGGTGGGTTTGTCCACATCATCGTCCAAGTTACCTAAGCCAGGTGCGTAGGTCTCAGAAAATCCCCAGGAGTAAACAAAGCCATCCTCAGTTACAGCAAAGGAATGATGAGAACCTGCACCAACCGTCTTGATTTTCACATCATCGTTTCCAAACCTGAGTCGCGTTGGTGATGGGACGGACCTTGGTTTGCCATGCTGGTCCTTATACGTTGACTTTGGAAGTTCATTTTCAGGAATTCCCACCTCTTTCATATCATATCTACCCCATGCTAAAACCCTTCCATCACCGGTGAGAGCAAGTGTATGGTGTTCCCCTCCTGCAATTTGTTTGATCTCCAAATCGCACAATTCTGGTATTAAAGTAGGCTTCATCAAAATCGAACCATCCTCTAATTCACCATTCGATCCCGTGAGTGCACATTGACCGAATTGGTTCAAGCCCCAAGCATAAACTTGATCGTTGTGATCGATCGCAAAACAATGGTAATCGCCACTAGCAACATACCTAATGTTATAAAGTCCGAATTGTTGCGGCTCCAAACTTCTTAAACGATGTCTTTCCATGATTCTGCGACCCAATTGAAATTGTTGACCATTTCCCCAAGCCGATACAATTCCTTTCGAATCAAGAGCTAAAATGTGGTCCTTCCCAGCAGCTAGCTGAACGATGTTCTTAAGCTCCGCGATCCTCATCGGAGTCCTTTGTAATTTTATTTCATCTCGCAAAAAGCCCAATAAGCCTTCATTGCAACGAAAACAGCCCCATGCATAAACATCACCATTAGACAATAAAACAGCACTCAAATTGTCGGTGGCAATTAATTGCACAATCTGATCTTTGACGTCCAAACCTTGAACCAAGGAAGGCGTGGATTCTGCTTCGTTTAAATCTCCATCTTCGTCGTCACTTTCAGGGGCGTCTAAGTCTTTCAAAACTTGCTTGGAGTGTGATGTATCCCTACCCAAAACTCCGCTGTCATTATTTCCCCAAGACCATACTCGATTTTTTCCATCAAGAGCTAGGGTGTGCATTCCACCCACAGCAAAATCAACAATTTTGGTACCGCCCAATCGTTCTTCGGTTAAATAAGGATTCAATCTTGGTCTTTTGACTTCTTTTGTATTTGCTGCAGGTCCTAGTCCCAATTCGCACATGGATCCTGTCCCCCAAACAAAAATATCAAGTCCGGTCTTTTGCGCTGATGGCATAGTATTGAGGTCTGGTAGTTTTGAATATGAGTGCAAAACAAATGATGAAGTCGTGAGCGACTTCAGTCTTTTGTGAGTTCCATTTGAAGAATGGTCTTCTATCTTTCTCTTTCTTTCTAATGCAACCATTGTTAGTAAGAGCGTGCACTTAGTTCACTTGTTCCTGTAACTGGGATGGAATGGATTGCAGGCAAATCGAGAAAAAAATAAAAGAAAATCAACTGTTAAGTGTCGACAATAAAAATGTCAGAAAATTATCTTTGGCGACTTTGCGAGACATCAGAGCCAACAAAATAGAAAATAAACAAGCGCCAAGGCGGCTACCCAATTTCTTGAACAACGCCAAACACGAATATGCTCTGAGGTAGGTTACGGGGACTCGTCCTTAAAGAGACACCAAAAATCGAAATCGAACTGCATAAGTTTTGACCTTATAGCACGTAACTACACTATATAAACTACAAATTAACTCCGTACCCTCTAAAAATTTTTGAACATGCTTCATCGTCTTGGGGCCACCTGAAAAAGTATTTTTTGGGGGGATTTAGAAGGTGCAGGAGCTGTAGGTCTCTAGGAGTTGTAACTCTACTGCACTAGCGTTGAACCTTTGTCGGTTTCCGCTTTTCCTGGTAAAATGCCGATTTTATAAGACTTCGGTAATGCGCACTAAAATGCGCTATAACTTTGTCTAGAACAGTCTGAGACAGTGCTGGAGACGCCCAGAATAACTCTGAACTTCGCTGATAGCAGCCACAAGAGAGAAAAGGGCCCTAGATGTCTGTGGCTTAAGCTGTAGCATAACCTGTGCTCTGAAGTGAAACGTATAGCTGCGAAAAAGATGTTTCGATAAGGTTTCGATTAGGTGCAAAATTTTTGGTGAGAGTGGTTTGTATAGTGCATCACTTTTATGGGGGAAGAAAGAATGTGTGTGCACTTTGTTTTTGTGCATTAACAAGTTCCCACACAAGATTGCAGTAATTGAACACAACCTCCTCTTCAAAGGATAGCTTGTGAACGTGCTATCTTCCAATACGGGACGTCACAATCATTATAGAAATTACTGTAATCATTAGAGGATGGTGAATACTTCGTCTGATGCCATTCAAGATTAAGTTTCGAGACACAGGTTCAGTAATACTGATGTGCCAGTTTTAGACACCAAGTTGTGATCCGTCATCCAATCAAGTGTACAGATAGCAATCAATCATTCAAGCTGAAGTATCATCAAATGAATGAAGAGGATGGAGGTTACAGTTGACAGAGATCAATGGCTACGGTAACTATGTCGGTCACAGTGGGGGTGTAACAGAGGTACACCAATTGATTGTGCAGTCAGTATTTAGTGTATTTGTCTGGGTCACAACTGTTTGATGAAGTTGAGGAAGTTGCAAGAGGTGGACATTTTAGACATGCTGGATACTGATAATGGTATCTTGTCCCACAACCAAAGTGCACGTTGCTGAATTATGAAATGAACCAAGCTCGTACTTGGACTTGAATTATCAGCTCCAATGAGGGAGAGTTTTACATCTGACACGTATTCATGGATAAACAGCCGACGATAGAGAAGGCTCTTTCTAATGTTCGTTCATCGATGCAATGACGAAGGACAAGATGAGCAACTACCACTACGCGTTAGGATGAGCGGTGTGTGAAATACATTCTCTCGGATGGTTGACGTTATTGACACAATAGAGATGATGGACTACATGCGAGCTCACTCAGGGAGCAGGTAGTTGCAAAGCCTTGATACTGGGTGAGTTGTACCACAACAAGCATAGTTTCTGGATTCCACGACAGTCAACTTGAAGGACCGATCTTGTCCTTAACTTGCTGCAAGGGTCGCTGGATATGATTGCAGCCAAACTTCTGTCAATGAAATGCAAGAACCTTACAGGAAGACAGCATATTCTAAAGTCAGATTGGTGGATGAGGGAAACCATACAAGATCCAATCATGAGCATTGTGGTGATCATCATCCAAGTGGACGGGTAACACTGTCTATTCATGGACCAGCCCAAAAGCATTAAAGAGTTCATGCAGTCATATTCAGTGAATGGCGTTATAAAGAAGAGAGGGAGACCAACTCATTGAAACGGAAGAAGACTCGTTGTGTAATGCTTTTCAATGGAAATACTGGCGAGCCCAATATGTTTAAAGATACCTTGCGATACACACCTACCACCTACTGATGGTTGTTACAGATTCACAGAAACCTGAGTGGAGCGAACGTGAGATGCTATTCGGGAATATCCTCAACGGGTAATGACTTTACAACTACAATATGGGACATATTATGTCATGTCATTTGGGCATTATTGATTATTGTACACAAATAATGCAGCGGATCTCAATTTCGAAAGAACCACCATAATACCGGCGCATCTCATGAGAAATTATGATGAGGTACTGGAACAGACACCAGGGAAGCAGACAACCATCTAATGAAGGAAATTAGTATAAGCAGAGTGCGTGCAAGTAGACACGAGGAAAGAATTAATTAACGAAGATAGCTTTGTTTGTGCACTCCCAGTCCAAAAGAAACAAAGGTAATAATGTCCATGCGAAATAAGCATAAACTTGGACTAGGGAGTCTACACTAAAATACGAAGCAGAAAGCTCGCTCCCATATTCAAAGGTAGTAGCTGTCGAATATTGCTACGTACACAAAAGATGATGATTTTCTTCTTGGTCAACGATATACAACTCAACGATTACAATTACTCTAAATATTTCGATTCGACACTATTTCGTCTCTGTAACATCTCTACGTTCTGTATATCAAATGAACGTTAATAATTAGCCTCACCTATGAGTGCACCGGCACACCAATATAAGTTACACCTGAACATCAATAGAAGGGTGGTTTCCATGCACCAGTATAAACTACTACACCGAAACCTAAATCTTCTCAAACGCGCACCGCACCCTTACCGCAAAGATCTTGCACCTGCACATCATCGAAATTGCACTCGCACACCAGATCTGCACCTTATCATCGATCGATATACATCCACGCACTGGGGACAATTGCATCCATACATCAAATTTTGCACTCTCAAGGCAAAAACAACGTCATTCATGTACCAACTGCATATGCAACCAAAAACCAATAAAAGAAACCTAGCTACATCGCTAGAGCCCCGAGAGCAATTATACAATTAAGAACCGAGTGCTATAAGAAGGTAAGATGCTAAAGATTGAAATACGCCCCAAATCGGCCCTGGATCAGCTCAGATTTTGCTATCTGAGACAGAAGACCTTGACCCGAAAACACAAAACAAAACTTATAGCATGACAAAAATGGCGAAAATACAAGCATTACAAATAAAAGTTCTTGAACATGCCGAATAATTTCAATGCAGCATTTCAATTTAAGCAAACAAAATAACGAAATTTATATAAAATGTTTCGCACAGCCCATTCCCGGTTGGTGGAACTAGCGAATGTTTTGCGGAACAGCTTATTGCCTAACGTACAAAATTGTTTGGAGATAGTTTACGAAAATTGATTTGTATTGCGTTTTATAATCAAGCTAAGGTGCATCTGGTTTTTTCCCCCGAAAATTCAGGAGCATTGCAAGCGTTAGTGTGATAACTTCGGAAAATAGAATACTCAATAATTCGTCTCGCACTACAGACATCAGAATAAAAATTCGTGAACGCTAAGATATAATCAATGTGCACGTATCCGCGAACTGAGTGCGAAAACAAATTCGTGATTGCTGACATGGATTAGGACACAACAAGAAACGGGGGGGACAAGCAACAGGCTCTCCAATGGATCTTGTTGCTCTACCCGAAATAATCGAAACATTACTTGTTTGTGGATTAATGTTCAAACGTATTATGAAGTACACTTAACAGTGCTTTTTGTATCACCATAGCAAATTTAAAAAGCTAAACTATTTGCCGTGAAGCGGAAATACACAGCTAATTTCTATAGAAGTAGCCACTGCCAATGTTGCAATCGTAGCCGCAATTTCCAGTTTTTACTCGATACACCTTCTTATAACTTCTTGAGCCGGTAATATTTTAATCATTGTTCGAAATTTTTCACCAAAACTTGTGTATTCTCACTTTGGACTTATGTAAATCAGTCAACTACGTAACAATAGTACTTCTCATTGTATCGGAATCTAGTCTTTATACGATGCTACACTCCAGATCCTAATCTCAGCCCCAATGCTCCTTTCTGGACATCGGACAATCTAGTTGTAATTTTCAATGCGACCAGATTGCATGTTATCAAAGCAGTGATGAGCCGCCTCCCAAAGACACACAACCAAGATCTTCCATATCGAAGAACATTTTGAAGTTTTTCAATGTACCCGCCTATACCATGCCTTAGGGTACTTGAGTGCATGTTTTGAAGTTTGAGCGTTTGTTCGGGGGCCGCGTTTCCGAAATATCCCACATTTATTTTCGTGCTCTCTGTTAACTTGCTATGCTACATAAAATCTTTTTGGTCTGTTAGAGAGAATCATGTCCGTAATACATAAAACTCCACCTCTTTTGTTATGCCAAAAGTTTTGTTTCGTGTTTCAGGAGCAAGATTTTGTGTGACACAGATAGCAAAATCTGAGTTGATCCAGCGCCGATTTGGGGCGTATTTCAATCTTTAGCACCTTACCTTCTTATGGCACTCGGTTCTTAATTGTATAACGGCTCTTGGGGCCCTAGCGATGTAGCTAGGTTTCTTTTATTGGTTTTTGGTTGCATATGCAGTGGGTACATGAATGACGTTGTTTTTGCCTTGAGAGTGCAAAATTTGATGTATGGATGCAATTGTCCCCAGTGCGTGGATGTATATCGATCGATGATAAGGTGCAGATCTGATGTGCGAGTGCAACGTCGTTGATGTGCAGGTGCAATGTCATTGATGTGTAGCTGCAAAATCGTTGGTGTGTGGGTGTAAAAACATTGGTATGTGGGTGGAGAAACATTGATGTACGATGCCAAAGGATTCCCAAGAGCTTGCGGTAAGGGTGCAAATACTTTGTAAGATTATTTCGATCGGGGTTTAATTTATGTTGGTGCGCAGTTGTAACTTTTACTATTGTATGGGTGCACTCTGAGCAAAATTGAGAATAAATATATATGTACCATAAAAGGTCGCAGAAGTGTTACGATGACGAAACAGAGTTGAATCTGAGTGAAGCAGCACGAAAGTATCATCAAATTGATGAACCGTTAAAGATGCAGACATTTTTCAATCATTGTGTTCTGACGAAAAGATTTTGTATAGTATAGTTCAATGGTGAAGAACTTTTGATTCTTATAATGACCAACAGTAGTGTCATCAAGCATTAAAGGGAGCTCTCTGCTCGGTATGTGTTCGACAAGCTTTTACAAATGATTGGAGGGGTTTCGATATTTACCCACCTTTTCTTCGAATTGGGTTCTTTGTTTTGGATAGGGAGCGGTGTTCCTCATTTTTAAATGTCTCATAGTGCTAATAAACTTTGGATTCAGCCTTCTCTGACAGTGCTAAGAAATTATTGGGTCAGCACTATCAATCGATCACACGCTCCGTATTGAATGCTTGTTATTGAGGTGCACACACCTCATTCAAGCTAATAGCGTTGTCCACTTTGAAGGAGTACTATGCGCTACAATTGTATTGGCAGGTCTTCAGCTTCACGGTCTGTGTTGCGTTTATCAAGCATCGACTACAAAGCACTAGCACACCAGCTTGCCCGAAAATGAATTTTCATACCAAGCAATTCGAGTCCACGGAGTCAATAACACCAGCAGTCCTTGACATAGCAGTTTTGACAGACCCTTTCAGCCAACGGTCGAGTCGAGCATTCATCTTTGCCTATGATACTTGTTCACTGAACGAAGACGATACAGCGGCTCCTCTATACTTAGGTTTTCGCCAATGAAGATGTAACAGCTGTATGATTCTCCCCTAATCAAATTCGTGTTTTGGGACTCAGCAAACCCTTGATCCACATCCATATGCAGCAACATGTATGTGGTAATGGATCTGTCCGGGCTGAATGTTTGCGCATTCTTTCTCCAGGAGGTTCGTAAAATAAATACGTCTTCTTTTATTGCAACATCCCTTTGATGTTGTTCAGGATTTAGTTTCAACTCGCAATTTTCATTGCGTTGACATTGGAAAGTTTTGATTTCATTTGCGGCGATCGGAGTAGAATAGACTGACGAAGAGCCGCCGAGACACACTTAATTGAAGGCTCCCCAGAAGGCATTCCGCTGTACCACCTTTGTTAGCGGTGTTGGACTTCTTCAACTCAAATCAAGATTTCAATGGTGCACCGTTGCAACCTATCCCTCCAAGTTTTTCCCAATCATTGTGCTAATCGCACTCCAATGTCCTTTGCATCACTCTCGGAAAGGTCTCGTATACCCGACATCTTTGTACACATTGTAACTGCACAATCAATTGGTGTACCTCTGTTACACCTCCCCTGTGACCGACATATTTACCGTAGCCACTGATCTTTGTCAACTGTAACCTCCATCCTCTTCATTCGTTTGATGATACTCCAGCTTGACTGATTGATTGTCATCTAGGGACTCGATTGGATGATAGATCACCATTTTGTGTCTAAAACTGATACAATATCATTACTGAACCTGTGTCTCGAAACTTAATCTTGAATGGCATCAGACGTAGTATTCACTTTCCTCTAATGATTGCAGTCATCTCTAATAGTGATTGTGATGTCCCGTACTGGAAGATAGCACATTCACAGTTATCCTTTGAAGAGGAAGTTGTGTTCAATTACTGCAATCTTGTGTGGGAACTTGTTATGCACAAAAACAAAGTGCACACACAATCTGTCTTCCCCTCAAGAAGTCGTACACTATACAAACCACTCTCACCAAAAATTTTGCACCTAATCGAAACATCTTTTTTGCAGCTATACATTTCATTTCAGAGCACAACTTATGCTACAGACATCTAGGGCTCTTTTCCTACTTGTGGCTGTTATCTGTGAGGTTCATAGTTACTATGGGCGTCTCTAGCGCCGATTCAGACTGTTCTAAGCAAAGTTATAGTGCATTACAGAAAAAGTCTCATAAAATGGGCATTTTGCTAGGAAAGCGGAAACTGACGAAGTTTCAACGCTAGTTCAGTAAAGCTACAGCTCCTCCATCCCCCCAACCCCAAAAGAGAATCTTTGGGTGCCCCAAGACGAAGAAGCACGGCCAAAATTTTCTAGGGGTACGGATTTGATTTATAATTTATATAGTGTAGATACGTGCGTTAGCATCGAAAACCCAGATTCAAGCTCGAGCTGACGTGGGGGAGCTTCCTAAACCAGGTAAGTATCAAAGCTGGCAGTTTTGGTACTATATGATGCGTTACTGGAGCCTCAGAGATTCTGGTGCAGCAGATATGTCGCTTCTGGGTTTGTGGTTTATACGTGTAGAGCGTGCTTTGTCACCTCTGTGCCTGCAACACTGCTGCAGCGGCTGGCTGTGTGAAATTCCAGTGTCTACATTGACGTTTTTCTTCTTTTGAAAGCTCCACCTTCTCTCCTGAATTCTACTATACTCCATAAACTCGATGTACATGCATTTTGATCGCCGCATTCTCTAGCTTTTCCACTGTGATTGAAGTTCCACGACGCAGATACTCCTCCCAATATAGCACCAGTCCTATGAGTCTTTGGGTGTTGCTTAGGTTGTTCTCCAGTGTCACTCGTTTTGTATTTCTTAGTTCTGAGCAATCAACACATCTCACAATGTACACTCCTATCGAGTACATGCTCGCAATTGTCTCCATTAGCAGTTTAGTGACTGCAACGGTGCCAGTGCACTCTATTCCATAAGCCTCGTTGGTTCAACCAAGGTCATGTGTTGTGTTCCTTGGAGTTGCTGCTCAGCGATTGTGACATCGTGACACTGTGGCTCTCCATTATGGTCTCCACAAACAAGCCACGTAGCAGTTTAGTGGTTACCAATGTATTTGCTGCTACGGAATGGCCCAAAATATGAGTGTGCTGCTGTTACTTGCTGTTGTTGCTGCTCTGGTTCAGTTGCCACCTCGCTCATAATCCGTACGATACAAAGGGGGACTGCAGCGTTGTCGATCTCATTCTCCTTTGTTACACCGCCTCACGTTTGTCACATTGTACATAGTCCCTCTCCTGGATAAGCTGTCTGACTATAGGCTCCATACGTCTTAGCTGTTCTGCATTGGTCGAAGACTGCGAATAAAGGTGGCTGCTACAGAGTTGTGTGGTTGTGGATTTTTGATCGTTCATAAGTTTTCCTTACAAAATTCCAACGAATTGTCAACCAGTTGTCGAGTGGGTCACCGTCCCATCTTGGTAATAACTCTTGATAAACAGCAATTGGTTGATAGATAAAGGCCATGGATTAATGATTTCTCATGTTATGACTGAGATGTAAAGTATATCATATGAGTCCAATTCACAGTATATATCCTATTTTCAAAGCACAAACAAATACTAGTACTAGCAACGAATCCAAACTTGTCCCCAAAGCGTACAATTATTGGTCTTCGCACATTTCAAAGGCGATTTTACATCACTTCATTTTGTCAATGAACTTTCGAAACAAGTCCGCTTCTCGTTGAAACTTCTGATCAATGAGTTTGAGAATCACATCTTTGTCCTCGGGGCAATCAAGCTTCTTTCTCAATTCGGGTAAGACATGAAGCATAACTTCGTCTTCGTAATCGTGAACCAATTGAAGCAATTCCTTATTTTTCTTAATTTTTGTTTCTCGAAGCTTGATCAAGTGATTAACCTGGTTACGCAAGTTTTGCAACCTACCTTCTCTCGAGTCGTCCACTGATCGCGGTAGGTTGTATTTTTGTTCAATGAGGTAAAACAAGGCGCCATCACCATCATCAAGATCCTCCTTTGAATTCGTCTTGTTCATAGTAGTCACATTTGTGGGAAAATGGAAATCATTGTCAAGCATACGGCATAATTCCACAAGGCCTGCTTCGTTGTTTTCCACCTCGGTATTCAATTGCTCGATGGTTCTGACTAGTGGCTCAATATTTTCAGTCCTGAGTAGTGACTGGTATTGGTTGTGAGGATGATACATAATGAATTGAAATCCACCAGGGCACAAAAGGGAGGTTTTGTTTTGTTTTCTCACCAATTTTGAACAAAACCTTTCTCAACAAACTAGTGCACCATTCCTCCTCCCCACACGAATTAATCAGCTTTGCAGTGTAGATCAGTGGTTAAACCATTCAAGAGTTTTCAGAAGAGACAAGCAACGGCTTACTTTAGTACAAAAATTGAACATCACATGAACTAAATAAAGTATGTATATATGTTTAACGGTATATAACTAGGCACATTCAAACCAGCTTACTCTACCTAGATTGAATACGTTGCAAGTTTTGTGCTGTTTTCCTCTCTTGTTTTCCCTTCTTCATCACTTGCTTCAATGCCACGCTATCCAAAGGATCTAACAACTCAAACGAACACAAAAGCTCCTCTGACACACTCATCACTGCACCCCAATTATCAAATTCCCCGCAATAATTGGGAGCTGAAAACACTGTTACCAATGTACGATCATTGAAAAATTCATAACCGTCCTCCACAACCATATGCGCTCTGCAAACCAAATCAAACCCAAATTTGCTCAAAAATTTGTTAATGGCCACCTTTGAAAACACATAAGAAACCCCTCTTTCGTTATCTTCCCATTCATTGATTGTATCTGCTGGATCCGACCACAAAAGATCATTGAGCAATCCAAAATCAGGTACATCTGTGGGACGGGCAATGTTTCTTATCTCGTCCATGGAGTTGAGCACTGGCGATAATCCTCCATGGACACAGAAAATCTTTCCTGCGACTATTGCTGCAATCGGTAGGGTATTGAATGTATCCATGAAAAGTTTCCATGTTTTGATATTGCACCTTCTTTTACACTCATCATAGAACCCGTAAACCCGCGTAACACTGGCACATTCATGATTTCCTCTCAACAAAAAGAAATTCTCTGGATACTTGATTTTGTAGCAAAGCAAAAGCAAAATAGTCTCCAAGCTCTGCTTGCCTCGATCGACATAATCACCAAGAAACAAATAGTTTGTTTGAGGTGGGAACCCACATTTGGTAAAAATACGTATCAAATCCCCGTATTGTCCGTGAACATCGCCAACAACCTTAACAGGTGGAGAAAGTTCAAGTAATGATGGTTGTGATAGAAAAATTTCTCTTGCTGTAGCACAAATCAATTGAATTTCTGTGTTTTTCAAGCAAACGTTTTTAGTTCTCTTTCCACTATATCCTGCATCCAAAAGCCGTTGTATCAAGTCCTCGATTTCAATAGTATTGCTACCGCCACCTATAGATGAAGAAGTTGTTGATTGCTTGTGCAAATGGTTGTTGACAAACGATTGTGTCTTTGCAAGGTCTGTCAAGTCCGAAGCCAGTGATTGTCTACTGCTTTGTATACTTCTGATATCATCATTACTAGCAGCGAGGGATGGCGATTTGGGTAGCTGGGAGCCTTGTTGTTGTTGTTGTTGTTGTTGTTGTTGTTGTTGTTGTTCGTCCCCTTGTAGATCATTGGATTGCTGATTAGGAACCATCAAGTGCGTATTTTGAGGTGAAATTGGTGCATTGTTCAGAGACGATGGAAGTGAATGATTCGTTGATGTTCGCGATATGTTGGTACTATTGTTGTTGACAAACGTCGATTGTGGTGAGTTCATCGAAGGAGACTCGAGTCCAGACACACTCATTGAGGTGTTTACAGTTTCATTGGTATTTCTTCGGATCAATATGGGTTCCTTTGGCTGAACTTGCATCATCGATGGTGGCAAGTTTGTATTGTCATTGAAAGAGGTAGAGTACAAGTTTGACGAACTATTGTTTCTCGAAAACGACGGTACTTCGGAGTTTGCCTCTGATGATGAATTTTTCCGGGACATCGACTTCGTAGGTGACTTTGGGCCATTAACCTGTTCATCTGGGTTCATGCCACTCCTTCCATTTTCATCAAACCGATTTTTCAATGGTGACGTGGCAATTGTATCCGCATTATGGTTTCCGTTTTTTCCAATAGAATGACTGCCCACCACATCATTTCCAGGACTAGTGTTGTTACTGCTATGATTATTATTACTGGCACTATTACTACTTCCCATAGACAATCTCAGTCTTACCGATCGTCCCGACTTTGCTGAATTGGATGTATCTGTACGTTGCAATGGTGCTCCTCCTCCACCTGATTTCGAGCTCTTTTGTTTGGATGAATTGTTACCCATGGTGAAAAGATATGTCGAAAGTGATTCCTCCAAATATAGGACTCGTGCTGTTAGTTGTGCCGTGAAGCTGGACCCCGTAAATATTACTTCGTAATAGTTTCAAGTATTCACAGGTTGTATTGAAACGATTGTAAGTTCTTTGACGTTGGATCTGTGATGCTCTCTACGTCTCTGTCTGTTTCGGATGATATAGGAGCAAAATATTCTTTATCAACACACCAAAAAGTTTTAATGTGAAATGTGATCCTCTCAAAAACTTATATTCCTATTCTAATGATGTGTCACCCAATGTGCAATTTGGTATTTCCGATGAGTATGGGGTATTATGAGTACAGGTGTGTGTGTATGTGTGTGTGTGTGCGTGTGCGGGGGGGAGGGGGGGGTATGTGTGTGTGGTGTTGAACTTAATTAAAAGAGAAACATCAAGTGGTTCGCTTTTCTTCGAACTTCATCTTGCTTTTCTTTCTTTGCCTCTTTCTCTTTTTTCTTTTTTTTTTTTGCGGTTTTTGCGGTGTATCGTGTGTGTAGTGTGTGCGTGTGTCTCGCTCTAAAATCCGGCACCGTGTCCCTTTCGGACAAAGATACAAAAAAAATAGTAGATTCTATGGAACACTATTAGGAGCCTACACTATCGTGTAGATGGTAAGCTGTGTATTTGTCACAAGATGATCATCTCATGACAAGGCAGTGCTGTAACACTTCTATATAGAGATCGCTTCGAATATAGTTGTTGATACAAAGGAAAGGGTTTGATTTCAAAGGGGGCGCGCAAGTGATAGCCTTGTATCTAATAGTACAGTTGTTATTATTATTCCTTTCTTATTTTTTTTGCATCATATTTGAGCCAAAATTGTTCACAAGGGTTGCATGTGTTGCAGAATTATGCCTCTACAGGAGAAGCTCCTTTGACCAGCACTAGTTAGTTACAAAAAATGCAGAATACAAATAGTCGAAGCTCCACCCACGTAGACTGATGATCTAGAGTGATAAGCTCACATCTAGAGTACTACATCAATCGGTATATGAGCCATAGGCTGAGCTCGTCCGACGTCGCGTGTTCAAAAAAGAAAAAAAAAAACAAGTTTCTATTTATACTAATCCATGAATGTGACGAAGTAATGTCTTTTCCAAAATTTTACTGAAAGAAAGCTCTAGGTACCCAATATCTCGTCTCTGAAATGTTTCTGGTAGTTTGCCTTTTTCGTTTTGAGCTTTCTAACTTCATCATTCTTTGCATTTTCTTCTGCCCTTTGTGACTGCTTCTCCTGCTTAGTCACTTGATGCCAAGTCAAACCAGGGGCTAGTCTTCTATCAACCATTGCTTGTGTTCGCCTACCTTCATCTCTCACTGTTAACGTGAGTGGGATATTTTGACGGTAGTATCTGTGCATTGATCTGTGTCCTATTCTTGACCCTACGGGTGTTGTCAATTCCACTCCTGATGAATCAATAGTTACCAATGTGTAATTGTCATTTATACCCGTTGTTTGTTCAGCTTCTCCTGATGGATGCAAATTCATCGACGTGTTTTCATCACTTTCGGAACCAGTGGAAGGTTCCAATTTATCAAAATCAACATGCTTCTCGGTGGTCTTGTGGTCTCGTGCGTTGTTTTCCGACTTATCCTCCTGATTCTCCATGAAATCGTAATAATGAGCCACTTGCTCTTTCTCCTCCTTGCTCTCGTACGGCAATTTACAATGTCCCTTGGAATGCAAATGTTGACGAATGCTTACCAAATTCTTTCCATGAAAGCCACAAACCAAACACTCGAACCGAGAAATAGCATCACCCAAGTACTCAAGTAGCCCCCGTATATCAACCAAGTACGACCTTTCGGGTATATACAATCCATGGTGTTTATACATGTGTTTGATGTTTGACTCAATGTCGTGGTTATTCACACCACAGTAAAGACAACTGATATCGGACGCTTCTTGAACAAGACTCGGTTTTAAAAAACTTGAATTCAGCTCTTCATCAGATATTGGGTCCTCCAGTTCGTGCCCAGAATCGGTGAATTCCGAAGACTCTGAAAAGTTCAATTCAGATCCCGTACTTACAGGTCCAATTTCAACAAAACTCTCTTGGTCATCACCAATGGAGAATTGAGAAAATTCGGAGGCAACAGACAAAGCCGGACTAGCACTTCTTTCCGCTGTCCCAAGGGTATGATGATAAGTTTGTGCTCTACCTCTTTGATCAGAGATGGCTCTCAAAGTAGTTTTACTTTGCTTCCTCGAGTTATTCTTTCTCTTTCGCGTAGCCACATAGAATCCATATTCATCCTCATGATCCTGGTCATTACTGTTGCGAAGCTTGGAACTGAGAATCTTTTCTGCAAAGGTTTCCGACGAAATCGATGGTAACTGAGCAACTTTTCTTTTCAAATTGTACCTATGCCACTCTGTCTTCATGTGCTGCCTTTGTAATTCAGCACTTATAAATTTTATCCCACATGTATTACATGTGAAAGAGCTTGTTGTTGGGTTTGACCCATTAGGTAGATAACTCATTCGTCAGGTTTATGTACGTGTGTGAAGTCAAGATGAAGAAGAAGAAGAAGAAGAAAAAGAATGAAAGAACAAATGAATGAATGAGTCAGTGAAACATCTTTTCATTGCTCGGTCACAGCAACTTGAATGTAAACAGAACAATGGCTACATTGAACGTGCTTCAGAATATACAACAAAACTTACCGGTGGAACCAACAAGATCATGTGTCTATTACACGAGTAACATAATATCACATCAAGGCTGTCATTTTTGATTGTAGAATCTACGTATCTTCATCTATCGATTTGATTCAATTATATGGTAGCCTCCATTCTCTCAAACTTTGAATCTTTTTTTTTTTTTTTTTTCTATTTTTTCCATTTCATTCAGAACCAACCAACTAACCTTAACCAACACAATTACCAAAGACAAAAGCACATATAATGGGGGTAGTTGTATTTGGAAAATCAATAAAGCACAATTTCCCTGTGCGTATAGGTCTCGCTAAAACCATATTTGGGATTGGTCCAACCACGGCAGCCAAATTGATGGCCAAGATTGGAATTTATCCAAATTGTAAAATGAATCAACTAACTGAACCACAAATCTTGGATCTAAATAAGGAGATTTCACTGTTGCTAGTGGAGGGTCATTTGAAACAAAAGATCAACAATGATATCAAGATGAAGAGAGATATTGGATCTTTTGCTGGTTTCAGACATGCTTGGGGATTCCCAGTAAGAGGACAAAGAACAAAGACAAATGCCAACACCGCAAAGAGGTTGAACAAATTGGAAAGATTCAGACTTTAATAGTATTGCTAGAATGGGTAGGGAACATTGTATGAAATAATTGTAAATAGCATTTTAATGAATTTAAAAGTGGGATGAGCAAAAACGAGTGAAAGAAAAAGAAAAGTAAGATATAAAGGTAGGTAGGTAGGTAGGCATTGATGGCTCGACAGGTAAAGTCAACAAGGCCCGTGCCAACTTTACACATCATTAAAGCCCGCAAGAAAGCAAAAGTGAATAATAATAATAAAAAAAATATTTGGTCCCTAGCAGGATCGAACTGCTGATCTTGGCGTTATTAGCACCACGCCTTAACCAACTGGGCCAAGGGACCTTCTTCGTGGTACGAGATTTTTTGGCTCCAAAAACCCACTCAAGTAATATTCATTCTTCAGATCTCTATCAATGAGGAAATCTGCTGCTATTAGTGAGTTCTACCACCATTTGACTACTTTATCGTTGGTGTCAATTTTCATTAAAATTACCACTCCTCCTAGCTTTTTATTCTCAAATATCTAAGGGATCAATACGTAAATCTCCTAAAAAAGGATTGAAAGTGACATACAACTATAAAATGTGGCAAAAGAATACATCCCAAAATTGGCCCGGTATTCCTCTATCTGTTTCTTTTATAAGTGTTGGATTTAGGGTATTCAAGCCCGGAAGTTTCATTTGAGAACAAGTATTCATACTAAGCATAAATGAAAACCACCTATGGAAATACAAACGAAAGTAATCATCATCCTGTTTTAATTGAAAACAGTATTCACAGTCGTTGCTATTTCAAAAAAGCATTTTCAACTTGAAGAAGCTTTATTTTCTTTTTCTTTTTTTCTAGTCATTTTTTGCAACACTTTTGAGAGCAAAACCCTAAGGATGATGCAATTCATATTAAGACTCCTCCAATCAAAATCATACCTTTACCCACCAGAAGTAAGCCACTTGAAAACATTAGATACTCATAAACAAAAAAATCTACTAATGCAATTTCCCTTTCTTTTCTTTTCTTTTAGGGACTATTCTACTTTCTCAGTCACCCCACAATCTGGCCATTTTACATGACAGTGTTTATCCCCCAACTAATCCTTACATTGATAACGTATCTCCTAATGAGTGCTTTTATCTATCCTATTGAATCAATTATTTACACATTGTTGGTAGGACCAATGGGTATGGTGCTTGCTTGGTACTCCATCTATCTGCAATCAAGCACAATTTCCCAAGTTGTGGTTAGTATTCTATTGCTCCCTTATATTCAGAAAGTGGCTTACGAAGCAGTACTCAGTCGTGAAAGCAATAATCTGTTTGTGCGGTTATTAAGAGCTAAAAATGACCCGACTTTGTGGCCATTGTGGATGAGAATCAAACTTTATTTATATGACATTTGGAGATTTTCAATTTTCCCCATGCTGTTGCCAAGAATGATGATATTGTTTTTGATTAATTTGATACCTATCATTGGTCCCATATTGGTGTTTTATTTCCGTGCAACTACAAAGGGTTACTTGGCACACAGAAGATATTTTATCTTAAAAGGATACAATAGGGCAGAGATGAAGCGCACCTTCAAAGTTAATAAACCAGCATACGTTGCATTTGGGCTTTCTGCACTTTTACTTGAAATGATCCCATGTTTTAATCTTTTACTTGTGTTTACAAACACTATCGGGGCAGCATTATGGGCGGTGGATTTAGAAAATAATGAAAGAGCAACGTCTCGTTTGATTGAGGATGAATATCTTGTCGATCCAAAACGTGAATTTAGATCCTTTCGTAGGCCATTTTCAAGCCCGTCTCCAACTTTAGTATAGGTATACATTATCAACACAGCCAAAGCCAGCAGCAACGCCACCTTCGTCGCTAGTTTCAAACTTGGATCTCAATAGCCACCCAGCATTCTTGTTTGACTTTATTGCTCCCGCCTGCTCATCAAAAACTATCGTTCCAAATACACCCAACTCTGATACTATATTTTCATGATAAGTTTGACCATTGCGAAGAATCTTGTTGCGATAGGTCTCGGGATTGATCAACTCCATAAGTATATATGCCCCCCAATCTTTTTTGCTAATCTTGTTCAAAAATGCAGGAATGTCCTGTTTGTAGATGTTGTTTCCACCACCTTCCCTTTGCGGTTTCAATACAAAATTTTCTGGCTTCTCAAACGCCAATTTGGCTGCTTCTTGTCCTTGTTCGGTATCGTCAAACGGGAGTATTCTGACAAAAGTCGAAAGAAGAGACAGTAACTCTTCATCGTCAATATTGGGAAGGGTTTGTTTTATTACACTCTCATTGGTCAAAAGTTGTTGAATCTTTTTCGATCCAGATAATTGCGTCAAAATTGATGGACATTTGATAGCTTGTGATTTCTCCAAAAACAACCTTGCGTTCCAAGTCTTTGTGGGATTAGAATCATAATCTCCTGGTCCATACCCCGAGCGATAATAAACTACTGAAATTTCGTCCATTGTTGATTTGACATACAACTTGTCATTGTTTTTAGTGATCATTTGATCGACATCCTCTAGTGTGACTCTAAATGACCTAATGCCATGCTCTTGAAACAAAGCATACTCAATGATCCTCTGGTCAAAGCAATTGCGCTCATTAGGCTGAACGACAAATAAAATAATTGTATCTTTATTAGCAACTTCTCCATTGTAAAAGTAGTTACCGTCTGCCAAACCTTGAGCTATATCACTGGCTGAACTTGATATAGGAAGCTCATCTTCATCGTAGTATCTAAAATTGTACTTTTTGTCATAAAACCCAGTCGAATTCAAAAATGATTGCAATTGACCAATCTTTGTAGACAATCCACCAAACGAAACACTAACAGTATTGAATTCGATTTGTTTGATTTGTTGTTCTGAGGAGTCCACCATATAATCGGATCTAAAAATTCCCAACGACAATGGTTGCAATACGCCATCAGTAATGGATTCTTGGTAAACGTCAAATAACTTCCCCGAAAAGTCTGGATCAAACTCAGCCAAGCTTTGCAAAATGTCAATCAACCAGTCCTTTCTTTTTGTTATCAAGTTTATATATAACTCGTTATACAATTTCTGCACTTTAATTGCCTGCTCAAAGCTAGTTTTGGGTATAGGTGTGGGAAATAGAGTAATGGGAGCCACATTTACTTGATGAAGATCAAAGTTTGGTGGATACATCACCAACCCATTGGTGAGTGCCCATTGCTCAGTGTTTAGCTTGAGGTCATTTTCTTGATCCGTGGATAATTGTGGGAATGGTTTAGGTGGCATTTGATGTGGTGAAGGTAACCTATATCTGATCACTTTAGTTGCAAAAGTCACCACACCGACGAATTTCTATCGAGTAAAACCAAAAATGACGACATTTGATTGAATATCGCTACCAATTGAATATGAAAATATGGAGAGAAGATAAGGCTCAACAAAAGATGTGAGGTGGGGAAATGGAGGCCGTTAGACCGTGTAAGAAGAGCTTGATTTTGGGGTACTCCCTTCATTGGGGTAGTGCATGCACATTCGCTTTGGGAATTAGATACTACCCGAATTGAGTACCAAGCAATACAAAATTCCCATTTTTCAAACACACCTTGACAAGATAAGAAAAGTTTTCCACTCCCGCAATCCCTCCTGTGTAATCGATTGCAATAGTGTTATACCCGTGTACCTTCTTTCCACAGGGTACAGCTTCTAAATCCGGCCAAGACACATTTTTATCCAGTTTTTAGACGAAAAAGTTTGAACACAAGTTGAAGTGAGGCTAGAGTTAGCACTTGTGCACCTAATGAGGGTGTAAGCACCTCTTACTAACACCATTAATTTCGAAGGGACCAACGCTTGTTCAACCCTTCCTCCTTAAGGCATGTTGTCTACTTAAAAAGGGTTCAGACAAATCACGTGACAAATTTGTGACTGTTTTTTTTTTTCTTTTCCTTTTGCTTTTTCAAACTGAAAAATTCATTAAAAAACGGCCCCCCAACTGATAATCAAAGACCAACGATAAACAGATATTAAATAGTATGTTTAATGCATAGGATGTGATAAGGGAAATGGGAATAGGGTGATGTTGCGGAGACTAGAGGATTAATTTTATTGTGGACAGGAAGAGCAACCTCATTTCACGAATGCTAATAAGCAAAATGCTCAGATTAACTTGTTACTATGTGATTGGAGCCACTGCTGAAAAGCATTGGCTATGCTTCAGTCTGGATTCAGAATTGCGAAATATTCCAACCCCATGGAATCACTCCCTTCCCTTCCCCCCCTGCTTTCACTTCAACATTTTTCATCCATCGATCCACAGTTTTACTAACGTATCCCCTTCCTTATAGATGAAATACTTAGCAGCATACTTGTTATTAGTCAACGCCGGTAAGACCTCTCCATCAGCCGAAGACATCAAATCCGTCTTGTCAGCAGCTGATGTTGAAATTGAAGATGACAAGATTGAAAAATTGATTTCTGAATTGGATGGTAAATCAGTTGAAGAATTGATTGCCGAAGGTAATGAGAAATTGTCTAGTGTACCAACTGGTGGTGCTGCTGCTGGTGGTGCTTCTGCTGGTGGTGCCGCTGCTGGTGGTGATGCTGAACCAGCTGCTGAAGCTGCTGCTGAAGAAGAAAAGGAGGAATCTGATGATGATATGGGATTCGGTTTATTCGATTAGAGAGAGAGAAAGAGTAAGACCGTTTTTGCATTTGATCCATGTTTAGAGATTTTGTAATACTAGCAGAATAAACGAAGAAGGGATTTATCAATTTGTATGTAGTTTATGATTGAGAGTTTTCGGAAAGATACAAACGTCCTTGCTACAACTCATCGGCGGTGGCTTTTCTCAATCCCATGGGATTGCCAAAAATCTCATGTCTAGCTTCCAACATAAACCTGTCAAAATCAAGATCTTGTTGTGATACATCATTTCTCTTTTTCCGATCTTTCCTCAACTCAACTTCTTTACTCAACCATTGCAAGAAATCCGAACTTGGTTTCAAACTTTTGTCACTCTTGTGCAACTCCGCCAAATGAGAAAAATAAGCATTGGCATCGTTCTCATTACCAAACTTGTTTCTAGCCAACAGTTGCTGAATGAATTGGGACAAGTTTGAATCAGGATCGGTTTCAGTTTCTTCCTCATCTTCATCAGATCTTTTCTCTTTGTTGTTTTGCCAGAGGTTAAGATCTTCCAAAAGATGAACCACTCTAATCTTGGCATCTAAACTTAATGTCGGATAAACTTTAATCAATTGATTCAACCCATTGGGATGCTCATACGAGAAATACTGCTGTGCCACAGATGGATCTTGAGCTAATGCTTGAATTATACCGATTTTCCGTTTCTGAATGGTATCTGGTGATTGACTGATATCGTCTAATAACGAATTGATGAAATTCGCCACATTGAAGCCAGAAACTTTACCATTGAGTAAATTTGTAATGGCACCTGGGTTGTTTCGAAGTGAAGCAGTAATGATGTTGTAAATCTTTTCTTCAATTAGCTCATCTTTGTTTGTGGAAGCAAGGTCAACCAACTTGTTAAAAAGCACTGTATTACTAGTCACTTGTTCTCCAAGTTCAATATCGTGGGATAAATCATTGATGGTATCTAAAGCTTTAATCAAACGTTCTTTTTCAGTAACATCATCCAATTTGGATTGGTCGTATTCTTCAACCTTTTCCACGGCAGATGTAAAATCAGTGAGATCTCCATGACTTACCCTCACTTTCTTATTCTTATTGATATGGAGGGCACTTGCTATCTGTTCATGTTTTAACTTATTAGCATGGTCATCATTACTCTTTGTTGCAAATACATCGTCTTTATTGTCGCTGTTGTCATTATTATCATCACCACCAACTACAACCACAGCCTCATCTTGATCATTACTCTCTGCGTCTTCTTTGCTCATCAACTTGGCTTCTCGTTCCCCAGTTTCCAAATTCAATCTCACGTGTAATCCAGCTGGGATATCTTGATCAGGTTTGATAATTTGCCAATCGTTTGTAGGAATGAAAACTTTGGGGTAGCAGATTGTTGGATTATTGGAATCAGGACAAATTAGTTCTTCTTCAACGTCCACAATAGTTGGTGATGTAGCTGCTAATTGAGCTAAGAGGAGTACTATACTTAATAAACTTTTAGATTTAAGGAACATTGGCCGTTTCCAAGTTGGTTGAAAGAACCCTTTGAACGGCAGTAATGAATTTCTAAAAACACAACTTTTAAATATGTGGGATGATTTGATTGCGTGGAATTTTATATTTGGAGCCGCACATGTTCACATGCAGGAATACAATTCCACCAGCTTCCATCTTGCACAATTACACTCTAACACACCTACATCGCATTTTTGCTACAAGCATCACAATCTGCCGCCATATGTGGATAGGTCTATTAGTTCCGTCATATTATAACCAAATCGTAATTATACAAAGTACAATGTGTGTGTGTGTGTGTGTGTGTCTATCCGTTTTTACAAATTCTTGACCTTGTGTAAAGCTTGTTCAATATCCTTGAGCAAATCATCAGTATCTTCAATCCCAACAGAAACTCTAACCAAATCATCATAGACTCCATTTGCTTCCCTTTCTGCTTTAGGAATACCGCCATGGGTCATTATTGCTGGAACTTCAATCAATGATTCAATACCACCGAGTGATTCAGCCAAGGTGAACAATTTAGTTGATGAAGTGAATACTGAAGCTCCTTTGGCTCCACCTTTGATTCTAAAAGAAATCATTCCTCCACCCAATCCATCTCTATGTTGACGTAAAACAACCCCATGTTGTTCATGCGTTTTTAATCCTGGATAATTGACATGAATTACTGAACCATCTTCGATTCTAGATTGTAAATATTCAGCAATCTTTTGTGCCGAGTTGGATGCTTGACGTAATCTCAAATGCAAAGTTTTTAAGCCTCTATGAGCCAACCAGGAATCAAATGGTGATGGAATTGAACCAATGGCATTTTGTAAAAATCTAAACTTTTCATGTAAATCAGTATCATTAGTGGCCAATACACCCATAACAACATCTGAATGACCATTAATGTACTTTGTAACGGAATGAACAACAACATCAGCGCCAAATTTTAAAGGATTAGAGATGTATGGTGACAAAAACGTGTTGTCAACAACCAATAATACCTTGTTTCCCGTTCTTGATTGGTGGTCTTGTAAAATTTGTTTTACTTTAGCAATATCAGTAACTTTTAAAGTTGGATTTGATGGTGTTTCCAACCATACCAATTTAGTTTCTGGTTTCAAAGAAGTGGCCAAATCAGATTCCAAATCACCAACAAAAGTGGCGTCAACACCGTGGTGATTAGCTACTTTAGTGAAATATCTATGAGTCCCACCATAGACATCACCACCAGAAATAATGTGAGATCCAATGGGTAAAGATTGGATAATTAAAGCAGTGGTGGCTGAACCTGATGACAAAGCAATAGCATATTTAGCTGATTCCAAAGAGGCAACAGCGGTTTCAAAGTTGTCTCTATTAGGGTTAGCTGAGCGTGAATACTCATATATACCAATTGGCTTTGATGGTTCTGATTGACCAAAAGTGGTGGATAATGAGATCGGTTCAATAACTGCACCAGTAGTAGCATCAATAGGAGCACCAACATGGATAGCTCTAGTTCCGAAAGCAAAAGTTGAAGATGAATCAATTGTCATGGCTGAAAAGTGAGTGTGTGGGTGTGTGTATGAAGTGTTGGTTTCTGCTTAGTAACAAAGTGACTCTTAGTAAGAAAAGCCAAAAAGTGGGTGGATGATTATATATATGTATATATATATATATATCGTGGTTATAAAAAACTTTTTCTCTCTTAAAAACTGTGGATGCGCCAAAAGTTACGATGATGCCCTTTCTTTTCTTTTATAAAGAAGAAAAATTTCTTTTTTTTTTTTATTTTTTTTTTCGTTTTTGACATACAAAAACAGTGGATTCACTCACCATCAAGTTTTGCACGTGATTAGTCGCAATTTTCTACATACACAGTAGCGGTTGTAATAGTGTATTAGTAATATCCCATGTCTATACTAAGAACAGTTAATGGGAAGAGAAAAAGTGGCAAAAGAGATAACGATGGGATATAGTACAAGGTGTATGATGATATTCATCAATATGAAACTAATCTGTGTTACTTATTTGTGTGTGTGTGTGTGTGTATGTGTGGCTTGTGTATTGTTGGTTATCTTTATTGTTGTTGATCTTGTGTTAAGTATCTTCTTTTCTTATTGTTTTATCATATGGTATAACCCTTCTTGTTTTAAAGCTTCTTATTGTTTAGTTTAAAGCATAGGACAATAGGTTGTTGTATCAAACAGTATTATAGTAAAACAGTAAACAACAATAATCAGATAATAAACTCACTTACACACCTAACTCAAGATACCACCACATTTCTGTCTTAGAAACAAGATTAAACTAACCGTGATCACCCAAAGAGTGGAGCCTGATCTCAACAAAGAAGTGCACATATATTGTATTTGAATATTAGCTGACGTGAGAAGTGGGCGTTTCTACACAGCGCGATAGTCCCAATCAGGAAAAACAAGCGCCATACTTACTTATTTGAGCTCTTATAAATAGCTCCCCCGCCTAGGAAGCTAACACGTGAAATATAACATCAAAAAACTATTCTTCGGCTACAGTCGGGTGTATAGATAGTTATTATGAAGTGCTAACGCAATAGCTTTGTGCATTTACGATTGTACCCCTCCACAATCACAAGGGATACATTATTATTAAAGGGCATCACGTGATTAGATAAGAAACTAATGTTTGTCCAGACACGATTTGATTGATACAATCTATTAAAATAGTGTATGTTTTACAGTAGCTTGTTACCAATTCACAGAGATCTAGCATTACACCAGATATGGCATCTCAGTAATACTTTGCATTGTTTTGCAACTCTTTTGCAGCATTTTATAGGGAAACTCTTAGTTGTAGGAAACTAATTTAATTTTTAGCATCTCTAAGACCATATGTTTCTGCTACAGTACTTACTGTTTTCTCTGACTCGGCTCTTCTCACAATTTATTTGTGAATCACTCCTCTTTTCATACGAGTTATTTGGGAATCACACTTCACAAGGTAATTTCTTATTGTATCAGAGAAAAAAAAAATATTGCAACCAAATCGAAACATTTTTTTCGCAGCTATGCGTTTCACTTCAAAGCACAGCTTATGCTACAGATATCTAGGGCCCTTTTCTTCCTTGTGACTGCTATCAGCGAAGTCCATAGTTACAATGAGCATCTCCACCACCGCCGTCTCTTAAACTGTTCTCAGCAAAGCTATACCGCATTTTAGTGCACATTGCATAAAGCTCATAAAATGGGCAATTTGCCAGGAAAAGCGGAAACCTACAACGGCTCAACGCTAATGCAGTAGAGCTACAGCCCGCACCCCCTAAATAACAAAAAGACACAAGGATTTTGAGTGTCCCAAGACGGCGAAGCATGGTCAAAATTTTCTATGGGCACGGAGTTAATTTGTAGTTTATATAGCGTAGACACGTGCGCCAACACCGAAAACCGAGTTTTAAGCCCGAGCTGAGGTGGAGGAGCTTCCCAATCCAGGTGTGTGCTGAATCTGGTAGTTTGGATACCATATGATGTGTTACTGGAGCCTCAAAAAAACTGGTGCAGCATTTTTGCCGCTTCTGGGTCTAACGCCTCAATGTTTGGTGCACATTGATTTTCAACGCTTCAAAGCTTTCTGCAAAGGATTTTGATCGTCACTGTAACTTTTTTATTTTGCTCTGTTTATATCATGCAGTCACAGCGAGCTCAATTTCGCAACCATCATATGTTTCAATCAATAGATGAACACGATCAAATGAATAGAGACTTTCTTTGAATGCAAAGTATAATATTACTACAGATTTGGAGAGACAAATTACACCATATTATTTTGTCTTTGGCACCATTGGCAGAAATGAATAAAAATCACAATCACTGATCTTCATCCATACAATTCTTAATCATTTTCAATTCGTCAACACTGTAAATGATTTTAAACAATGCATCCAACTTTCTCAAACCTTTCACCACTTCAGCAGTATAAGTCCCCGGTTTTATTGTCCATTTGTCTTCGCAATAGTAGTGGCCACAGAACTCTTTGATTTTTGACACCCAACTAAGTCCCATTACAGCAAACGGTAAGGATGGACTAAGCAGGCTTAAGCCATCCAAGAATATCCTTCCGATGCCTCAATCAACATGGTATGCCACCAATGAATTGTTGCCTTTGGAAAGTTATAAAATAGGGTAGCAATCTTGGATGGTGGATAATACCTTTGACCGTAGACTGTTGACAAGACAAGCATGTGCAAATTGCAACGAGAAAGCAAATTGAAATCGGTGAAAGCCTTATCATCTCAGGAGAAGAAACATGCTTCACTGGCACCTAGACGCAACTCACGTAATCTGGGGAAGGAAAAAGTGAGGTCCTTCTTGAGATGGCGGTCGAATTGAGCAAAGGATTCCAAAGATGGCTCCTCAATATAGTAGGGGTCAAACGCATCTTCGACACGGAAATTAAATGTGGTGCACAGTTTGACGCAATCATCGAGCTCGTTTCAAATGATATACAATTTTCGCAACTGCAAGGTAATTTCAATATCGACAGGTCGAAAAAAATTGCCATGGGTAATATGGAATGTCAAATACAATTCAGTCAAATTGGTCACTTAATTGATATTCTCTAGATCCCTATACCCATCAAATACCGTCAATTTCATACACTTGACATGGCCACTTCTCGGAATATTCAGTAGGAATGTTCTACTCTGACTATGATTTAGACTTTATACCGCTACTCTGAGCCAAACAATTAAACTTGTTACAAATTAATACATGGCCGTTACACTACTAGTTCACACTAAAGATACTGAGCCTAGAGGGTAGTGATTGCACTCGTTTTTTCATCTTGCACAAGGTTCACATTCGTTACAAATGTTGTGCGAGTTAAGGCGAGGAAAAAGAATTTAATTATTCGACGATACGACAAAAGTATGTTGAAAGAGGGCATTACACTGTTTTTGTTATCAAATCAAGTATTCCTTTTCACGACAATTGAGTTGTTGAGATTGACTATTACCGTCGAGAGCACCATATGGTTTTGGAAATTTTAATTCCTTTCAGCGTGTTTCAAATCACACAACATTCAATCAATACTCAAGTCAGCATTCAAATCTAAGTTTGAATTGGGAAGTTCATTCGAATTATTGCAAAATCTTGTGATAAAGTTGAAATGAGAATTTGAAGTATAGCGCAGCTCTTTACAAAGGAGTTCTACCATACACCCGTTAATGCTGGTTTCATTGTGTGCGCCAAGTCCATTGCCAATAGTTGCCTTTGAAAACTCATAATTTACAGTACCAAGGAGCTCGGCAGCACTACTATGAGAATTTTTGGTCGTGTAAACACTTGTCTTCCCGACAGAGGTGGCAAGTATTATTGGAGCAACAACAACAATTGAGTCACCGTCAGCAGTTTCGTTAGGATCGTCAGCATTGGTGTCGAAGGAGTTATCTGCTGCTGTAACAAACGAGCTTTCTCCCGTGAGATCAACAAGACTGTCTACAGAATTGTGGATCGATGTTACTAAGGTGGAAACTTCAACCGGTAGTGGCTCTTGGCCTTCAATGTCAGCCAATATTTTTTCAGAAACAACACCTGTGACAGCTGTTTTGAGTAAGGAATCAATACTACTCGCGGGTAATGTTCCATTAACAGTAGTACCTACATTCAAGGTGGATGTAGTAGTGGACTTTTTAACAACAACATTGATCGAATGCTCAACATCATTAAGTAAAGGCTCAATGGAATTAGCGACAGGGTTAACAACACCACCATCCAGAGGGATATCAGAATCGTCATTAACTGGGCCATCTTTATCATCGTCAAAGGGGCTCTCCACAACATCATCGACAGAGCTATCAACATCATCGTCAATTGGGCTACCAGCTGCGTCAAAGTTGTTCGTATCATCATCAATAGGGCTATCTGCATCACCATCAACTGATCTGTCGGCATCACCATCGACGGAACCTACAGCATTGCTGTCAATCAAAGTTCCCCTGGCATGACCCGTTCTATCCTTAACAACATATCTACCGACGGAATTAAAAACAAGTTTTTGAATCAGCTCTTTGATAGAGTCATCTGAGTAATCAGCAACCTTATCGATTGAATTGCTTGTTGCTTTAGTAATTGGATTATCAGTGACCTCATCAATTGGGCTGTCAGTAGTACCATCAACCAGTAGCTTTAAGGCCACATCAATTGGATTGCTATCATGACCTTGAGGTGGACCGTAAACAGCATCTTCATCAGCTTCAATTGGAATGCTTTCCCTCTTGTCAATCAAGGTTTCAATATCATTATCCACTTCAATGAGGTTTGTGCGACTATCGTGAACTGAATCATTGGTCGCTTCATTAATGGGCTCCTCAATAGCATCATTTTCAACTGAAGTTGCGAATGTGGCTGAATTAACGTTTGCCGTGTTCATTTCTTCGGTTCCTGTACTCGTGTTGCCACTTGAATTTATGTCTTTGACATATGGAGATGAGTAACTCGTGAGTAAATTCGAATCAGCTTCTGACATTTTGTCTCTATTCCTTGTAGTTTCAGAATGAGTAAAAAAAGTGGTTTTAATTCTTGAAAGTTGGTGGTATTGCAATTTTGGTTGTAAAAAGATTCTTTTCTTTTTTTTTGGGAGTGTGTGTGTGTGTGCTAATGTGTGTGGGAGACACCTGCAATAGAATAAGCAGAAGATGAAGAAAAGTGTCAATCAGGGCGTCCAGTATTTTGTGGATTTATGTATCTATACAAGCAAAACCGTTAGCATTGATTATCACTTTAATCTACATCCACATTTGCTTAACTCTCCTAACCCTTCACAGCCCAGCACTTTTCATAACCATAGCTCTTAATCACCCGAATGTTTTTAATGATATGATTCTATTTATCACTACATAATTATTTTGAGGTAGTAGAAGTGCTTAATAGACTAGTATGAGGGGATATTTGACAGTTTTCATGAGATAAAAGGTATGTTATAGTGATAAGGACCTAAAACTTAGTTGTCTTGTATTAAAATCACTTATATATTCTAAGTAAAGAAGAAAAATGAGAAGAATATCTACAAAATCTACTTAATCAATTTCTTCAATCCTGGATCTCATTTAAGAAGTTTGGATTGTTTTGCAACTTAGTTTTAAACTTGTCCCACCAATTGTCAAATGCTTTAATGGGTACTTTGCCCTGTGGATCAATAAAGCTAGCCAAGTAATTGTAGGCATGTCCTACTATTTTATTTGCCAATTTGGCTGTACTATCCGGAGTGTTCACAGCTGGTTGTTGTTGTTGATTGGAGGTTGCAACTAGGGCGTTATTGCTATTAATATTGTTATTCTGCTTTGACTGTAGAATTGTTTGTTCTGCCTGTGGTGTTGGTTCAATTGATATTCCAATGTTGATGCTTACTGAATCAGACAAGTCAATGGGCTCTCCTCCTCCCATATCCATGTCCATTCCGTCATCTGCTCGTTTAGTAGTGGGGTGAATGTTGCTGATTTTGTAGATTGCCGATGGTTTATTAGGATTGATTCCTCCAAGCAATTTGAATTCTGGTGCTTCATTTGCTGTAGTAGCACCAGGGCCCCCATCCCGAGGTAATTGGAAGTAGATCAACGCAGTGAAATTGCTATCCACGAAGGGGGAATTGGGAAGAATGAAGATGGTAATGTACGAAATGTTGGAGGCATTGGGAATATTGATGACAAACTTGGTTTGATCAACTTGCTCAGCAAGTATCATTGGTCGTCCCAGACAGATGGCTCCAAATATACTCATATTTCAAGGGTGTGGATGTGAAATGTACTTAAAGCCAGTGGAGTGCAGTTTTGACTTTGCCAGGATTTGCAGGATGTTAGTAGAAGATTCGAAGAACGAAAAGAGTGTACAAAATAGACAAATTTAGGTAAAGTCGCAAAATGTAAAAAAAAAAAACAGACAAAAATGCGACAATAACATTATAGGACACAACAAAATTAAAGTCACAACGAAATTTGAAAATTTTTTATAATGCTTCTATCCCTTCATCATTTTAAGCTTAGAGTGATCTACACCCCTCATTTTAATGTGATACTTGAATATATGGTTTAGAAGTGAAATGAGTTTACTTCTAATGATCATATATGGAGATACCGCATTAAACCATTTCAGGATCATACAGGATGATCAAGCAGGATAGTTTGGACTCGACATGGTTTTTCCATGTTTTTCTTCAGTGTCCTTGTATCTTGTGAATAGATGAACTAATAGTGGAGTGTTAATCACACATGCCACTACGCTTCTAACATCCCAGAATAAAACACGTTGAACATATTTTCCATCTTTCGTGCAAATTGTTTTATTGCTTTGCAAAAGATGAATATGGAAAAGATACTTCGTCACATTTTAATTATTGCTATCAATATATTGTTCTACGATCTCTTTACTTAACGTGTGTGATTACCCAACTGGTTGCACACCCGCCAGCTACCATTGTAACTTCATCTGATTCTTCATACAATACATTCAAGTAGTCGAAAGTGATGTGTCTATTGGAATTGCAATCATTGTGTTCGACACTTGTAGCAGAGTTATTATGTTTTGCATCACCACAATTGCCGTGCTCTCCCCACCCCCAAGCGTAGACTTTGTCTGCCACTTTCAATAGCCCATGTTCACTTCCGACAACAAATTCAAAGTCATCGCTGATTGGACCATAGTCATACAATTGACCATGAGTATTAGTGCCAAATGATTTAATGGTGGTGCCACTTTTGCAATGAATTGAAGACCACATTGCCTCAACCAGCTTGCTACTGTACATGATATCATTTAGGTCCAGCAGATTGATAGTTGCCTTTCCAAATAAGTGAATCACATTAGAAGACATTATAATTGTAAACTCTCGACCCAACTCAAATGATTCAATGTCAGTTATCCCAAAATCTAGTTCAATTGGTCTCCATACTGCACCTCTTTTTGTCAAGTTACTGTCAATTGTTCCTAATTGTCCCTTTCTACAATTTCCCCATCCGTACAATTTGTTATCCTCCGTCTGAACGATGGTATGATTAACAGCTGTTTTTATCTTCTTCACCTTAGAATCGAATTTGATCACCAACTGGGGTCTACTTGCTTGGGTGACATCTTCCCCTAAACCCAAATCACCTTTCAATCCATTCCCACACGCAAACAATTCGTTTTGGTCTGTAAGTAAGAAAGAGTAGTCCCATCCACAAGAAACATCAAGGTATTTGTGTGGTGACATTGGGGGAACTTTTGAAAACACCCGTACAGCCGTTGTGCTCTTTGGATGACCTGTTTGACCAAACTCATTATCCCCACAGCTGAATACGTCCCCATTCTCAAATAGGAGCAATGTATGATTACCCCCACAAGCAATCTTTGTTGGTTTTTGGTCAATAGTGGTGGTTGATTTATTTGCCTCAGTCTGAAAAATACACAGTCTAAGGGCTCTTTGGTCCTCATCATCGTCTTGTCCTAGTTGATAATTCCCATTTGAACCACATGCTAGAACTTGGTACATGAAATACGTTAATTAATTCAATTCTCAGCTTGTGTAGTGTTGTTGATGGTTCAGTGGATTGGCGCATTGGCAAAACTAACCTCAGCGCTACCATACGAATACAAGAGATGTAATCCGACATCACTAATCAAGGACGACTCCCATTATCGGAGATAGTTCGGGTTGGAAATCTTATCGTCTGATTTGATCTAAAGCAATAAAAGCGGATGCTCAAAGGGTGTTGGGATGTAGAAGCTTTTGCTGGAAGTCCGTCTGTACAAAACTGTGGCTTATTAATGCGCTATTTTTATATACTGTTCCGAGCCGAGACAAGCTACTCAAAAACTGGAACAAATATGTTGTAACCAATCGGAACAAAAAGATCTGTATGGGGAAAGTTCCATAGTTCGTCTCGGCCCTGTTTCTTCTCTGCATGTTGGCCTAAATAGATGAAAAGAACAATGGAGAAGAAGTAGAGTAGTGCTTGGTTGCTTGCTTATTCTTCGTTACTTTCTACCACTTTTGTTGTTGATGTTTTGTTTGTTTGTGTACAAAAAACTGTGGCGCCTTCTTTTGTTTTTTTTCTTACTAAGTAAGTGTCAGTGTGAGTATGTATGCACAAATGGTTTGTGATTGACCTTGTGAGATATCGTCATTTCCATATCATGCCACTACACATGGTGAACCACAGTTATCACAGAAGGCAACTGGCAGCAACAACCTGGGAATGTCACGTATATATATATATATATACACCCAAAACGTTCCTTTTCTGATAAGACATATAACTTTGCTTTTTTGATCAAACCAACCAACCACAACAATGGCACCAGTGGCAGTATCATCGATCGAGGACAAGTATGACGCTTCCCAATTTCAATCGGCCCACCAGGGTAAAACAAAGAAAGGGAGCTTCACAGTTAGTGAAGAAAACAAAAAGCAAGCATTGTATCCTGAATATTTGCCTACTTGGAACCCCAATCAAAAATTCCCCCCATATAAGTTTCAAGAATACCACGACAAGGGTTTACAGGGTGACAAGAACTACAAGAATTTGTTTTCTCAAGATAAAGACTATCAGGTGAAGAGAATGACTCCAAAGTTGGGCTCTGTTGTTGAAGGCATTCAGTTAAGTCAATTGGATGATGCAGCAAAGAATGATTTGGCTAGACTTATAAGTGATCGTGGTGTTGTTGTATTCAAAAAGCAAGATTTCAATAGTCTTGGTCCTGAGTTTGCCATTAATTTTATGAAGTATTTTGGCACTTTGCATACTCATCCAACGTCGGGAGCTCCAGAAAACTTTCCTCAAATGCACATCACTTTTCGTGGAGCATCACAACAAGAGATTGACTCTGTTTTCAAAACTAGAACAAACTCCATATTATGGCATAGTGACTGCTCCTATTCCCTCAATGCTTTACAATTGACGTTGTTTTCATGTTTACAACTTCCTGAAAGTGGTGGTGATACTTTGTTTGCAAACACAGTTGAGGCTTACGAAAGGTTAAGTCCAGCAATGCAGCAAAGATTGGAGGGTTTACACATTTTACATTCATCAGTTGAACAAGCTGAAGCTAACAAGAAGGCCGGTGGTATAACGCGCAGAGAGCCGGAAACTAACATTCATCCAATTGTTCGTGTCAATCCAACCACTGGTAAAAAACACCTTTATGTAAATAAAGAATTTGGTAGAAGAATTGTTGAGTTGAAGCAAGATGAATCCGACTACCTTTTAAATTTCCTTTACGATCACATTGAACGTGCACAAGATTTGCAAATACGAGTATCATGGGAACCAGACACAATTGTCTTTTGGAACAATGGAACTACAGTGCATACACCATGCGTTGATTTTGACGAACCAGTGATTAGACATGCATACAGGATTAGTGCTATGGGCGAAAGACCTGTTGCTGATGTAAAATACTTGAATGATCCGGATTATTTGAGTGAAAAGTACAAAGAGTTGAATATTTAGTTTTTTTTTGGGATAGGTTAAGGGATTTTTATATGTTTGTATTCGAAACAGAAAAAGTTTGGTTTAGTTTGGTATTGTCTCTTTGTAGCTTTCTTAGTAGCATGTGTAGCTTTTTGCTTACTTTTGATGGCGTAGATTGTGAAAAGTTGACATGAGAGAAGATATACCATCAATGGAGAAAAGACTCGAGTTCAAGACAACTGGAGGGAGTAAGAAAATGTGTGCAATCTGATATACTATGAGAACTCAAAAGTTCTTATTGATGCCCATGAAAATTACAATAAGGGCGGCGTGTCTTGAGAAGAGTCAGCAAAAGAAAAAGTATCCTTATAGGAGGTTTGTATTGTTGGATTGTTGGGAGAACTAATAGAAGTGATAAAGTGATAAAAATTGAATCGTGTGCTCAAACATGGAAGTTTTGCTTTTGTTGAAGGGTTTTTTTGGAAACAAGGACGCGAGGTCTAGCCAACCCCGTAATCTGGAATGCCGGAGGGACTCGGAGATGCAGTGAATGAAAGCGTTTGGGAATATATGGTGACTAAGTCAAAGGTGACGAGATATGGGATTCATGATGCTGGTGCTAAATCAAAAGGATTGGGTTTTATATTCCCCAACCGTCGTATACCGTCTTGTGCATATGATGTGGTTTTTGTTGTATCCTGCTACGACACTGTAGAATCATTGACTCTGTCGTAAATAAAGGCGCTCACTAAAGAGATAAGCTCTACTCATTTAGAATTATCGTTTAATTCTTTCCATTAAACTGTAGTATACATATCCAAAAAAACTATGACGCTGTGATTTCTTTCCTTTAACAACATGTAGAAGATGACTTCCTATTCTCAACACTAAGGTCAATTCTATTTTCACCAACTTCTCCATTATTAGTGGCAGTGTTACCACCACTTTGTTTGTTAGAGTCAGGTATTTTTTCTCCAATGCCAACAAATACTTCATTCACATTATATGATGTCTTTGCACTTGCTTCAAAAAATAGTAAACCTTCTTCATCAGCCAATGCTTGTCCTTCTTCTTTGCTAACTTTCCTCAACAGTTCCAGGGTTCCTCCTTCTCCTTCACCCACATTGCCGCCGTCTTCAGGTTCATCTTCAACCAAATCGTACTTGTTTCCAACTAGAGCAATGGTGATATCCTTACTTGCTTGTTCATGTAGTTCTTTGACCCAGTGTCTAGCTTTAACAAACGATGCAGGTTTAGTTATATCGTAAACTACAATAGCAGCTTGAGCATTTCGATAATACATGGGTGCTAGTGAAGCAAATCGTTCTTGTCCTGCTGTATCCCAAATCTCATACTTGATGGTACGATCACCAATGGTGCATTTTTGGGTCAAGAATGCTGCTCCAATTGTTGGTTCTTTATTCTCTTGGAAATCATTGGAAACAAATCGCAATACTAGTGATGATTTACCAACGGCTGCTTCACCGAGTAGTACTAGTTTGACCGATGTAGCTGGTTGTGGGTGGTTACTACTCATTTAGCGTGTAGGAAAAATTGTAAAAAAGGGTGATAATATGACGTAATATATAACAAAGGGATGGGGTGGAAAGCAATCTCGATGTGGTATGGTGTGTGATCAACCGGTTTGTTGTAAACAGTAAAGTGAAGTCTCCGAAACGATTTTGGTTCTATGGTATCAGCTAGTTGTAACTGAGTGGTAAATGTGTATAAGGTTGTGTATTGATAAGGGAATAGTAAAATTGAAGTGTGAGTGAGTGATTGATTGATTCTTTTTTTTTTGGATTGCCACACACCTTTCATTTTGAAATCACTCACTCTCTTACTCAAGTACCTTTTTTTTTAATTCCGATCTATTTTTATCCAAACTTACACTACCCTTTGGTACAGACAATATGAAAAGCTGTAAATACATCTTCGCATCACACTGTGTAGATCACAAGCCTGTTAGAAGTTACTAATATGAATAAAATTATGTGATAATATGCAGTTGACTCTATTTGTAGTAGTGGTTTTGATAATCTATGAAGATTGGAGGTGAATCTACCTCACCGAAATAAACCGATTTCAAAGAAGAGGAAGCACACAAGTTCACTTCACTCAACCTTGAGCTACTCTACAATTCCAGGATAGAACAATAGCCAGTCGGTATACAGAAGTATCACATTGCTACCTTAGTCGCATAAAGAAGAACCTAATCTCAATCAAATTACAAGAACAATGTTCTCTGACAAAAAACTCCCTCCGTTAAAACTCCTCCACTTCGAGGATAATCTTTCCGTCATTTTCCTTCAATGCTTTCACGTATTTCTTATAATCCTTCCTCCAATCAACAAACTTATCGATCTTAAACTTTAATTTATCATCGAGAACCAATTGAAGTGCTTGTTCAGCCCATTTTTGTTTAATCTTCAAATAAATCTCCTCGTAATAGTTGTACGACGTCCAGTTATTCAAGATATTGCTTGACCATTTACTGGTCCATGGATTCAACACACCCTGTTCACTGAAATCAATCAATTTATCAATGTTATAACTTGGCTCACGCAAGGTAAATTTACATCCACTAACCACAGCTGATCCCAACTTCTTGGGTTTCAAGATTCGAGTAAGGAATGGTTCTTTTGTTTTAGCATCGAATAAATTCTCAATTGATGTAGAAATATTTTGTTTAAATGGCATATTCAACGTTTCAATCTCATGTAATTTAGTTGATGTCAGTTGGAAATATTTTTTACATCCAATTAAATCAATAAACAAATCTAGTTTGTATTCATTGACATTTGATTTATCAATAAGTTCATTACCGTGGGGCACCAATAATGCATCAATCACTTCAGTTGCAAAAAAATCGGGTTTTTTGTAACTTATAGGTACTCGTTCACCAGGGAAATAAAGTCCATCATTAACAACATCAAATGAAATACATTTTAATCGTTTGGTGGTTGATGGGTCATAATATTTTTTCTCAAATCTTTCAAGCAAATTATCCATATACTCAAGTGATTTCTCACGTATTATAAGGATTAAACTTATAAATTCAAATTGATACTCTGCCAAAAGCACTTGAATAATTGTCAATCCAATATCAGTGTCTGCCCCATTGATTAAAATATTTACTTTCTTATTCTTGCTATTCAACAGTTGAAGCATTTGTTTTGCTCGATTGTAAAGTAAAGAAATGGCAGATAATTTGGCCAATGGAGGCAACGCCGTTTTCTTGGACTCTAATGTCAGTTTGCCAGCTCTGGAGACTAGATCATCCACATTGGAGTCGACATTAGTGTCTGTGTTTGCCTTGTTTTCCTCACGGGGTGATTTCGATGGGGTTGTTACACCCTCAGCCTCTTCGGCATCCCTTAATTCTTCTGACTTTGCGGTATTGACATCTTCTGACTCCACTGATGTGGATATCTCATTAGCTTGTGTTTGTTCAACTAAATTAGTTGCTTCCGTTTCCTCTTCTCCAACTTCAAATGCCTTATTATCATCATTTGCATCCAAATCAATGTCAATGTCATTCAATTGGTTCAATACGTTCTCATCAACCTTCACCAACACGTCTCTACCGGGATAAATGATCTGGCTAGATGACAAGGCACCCCTTCTTGAAGTAGGATCAATCAACCCAAACACATAATCGCCCACTGCAAACTTTTTTTGCATTGATGACCCCACATGAGTTATAACACCAGCAAATTCATACCCCAACACAACTTTCACATTACTCATATTCAACAAGTATTGATTAACTTTACTTAAGTCAAATGAGTTCAAAGATCCATAATTGACATCAACTAGAACACTTCCCGAGGATGGTGGTAAGTCAATTGTTGTGTAATGGAATTGTAATTCAGTTTCCTTATTCTGTACGGAAAGATCCTTGACATCAAAAAATTTCAATTTACTCAAATCAGGTAAATCAGTTAATCTCAATCTACTGTTTGGTTTTGCTGGTCTTGTGGGTTGATCAATTGGTTTTGGTGGTGCTTGTTTATTTCTCTTTTCTAAATAAGCAAGTTCAGGAGGGATTTTATGGAAAGGGGATGATTTCAATTCGGCTTCTTCTTTTTGTTTCAAGTACTTGTGGTATTCTCGTAAATCTTCTTCTGGCGGTGGAGCAAAACCAACTGATTTTTTTTTGGGTTTGGTAGGTGATGAGGGAAGTTCAGTGGTATCACTACTGGTTGAGTTTGAGTTTGTGGTTGCGGGTGCAACGGCTTCTTCATAAGATGGCGCTTCTTGAGAAAGGGCAACTTCAGATACAGCCGGTGGGACTTGTTCCAGTTCTGACATTGTGAACACTAGACGTTTGAGATTTGGATACCAGAGCCGTGTCGTTTGGAAAAAGGAAAAGAGATCCCTAAGGGATTATATTTTTATTTTCAAGGGGGAGAGAGTTTTATAGCCGACGCATCTCTGCGCGAAAAGAATACACAAATCGAAAACAATGCTGAGTGGGTTGCATTGGGCGAGAGCGCTATTGCGAGTCAAATACATGTCCAATCATTTGGATCTTGAAAATGAGCTATGGATTGTATAGAAGCTTTGCTAAATCGATTTTTACCTAGAATAACATACCAGGTAAAGCTGTACATGTAATGCCGTAGGTCTATCAAAGCTCCTCAATGTATAACCCGGTACGAATACGAACTCGTGGTGGATGGAACCAACTTTAGTTCTAAACCACGACACGTCATGTCTAGCGAGAATGTGTTGGTTGACGATATGACAAATAGATAGATATTCATACAACTTTACCCTCTACTCTAGTACGATTTTGTAAAATCTATGCCCCATATTTATAATTATCACCTCTAAATAACCCTTTAATTATTCGCTTATGTACAACCGTATCATCAACGACCATCTCTACATGGTCCGGAAAAACTCTACCGTACCAAATAAAGTCGAGGCTAGTAGTGCATTCTTTGGGGTAGTACAATACATTACCGGCAAATGCATGACCACCTATATGAGTAATTTCACCAACATATGCATCGTTCTCAATAGTCTTTGCAGTCAATGCTTCATTGAACTTATCCACTAAGATAGGTCCTAAGATCCCACATCTGATGTCCCTTTTGGCATGACCGCAAATCACAATCAAGTCCCTATCTATATGCCATTCTTGAAAATTTCGATCATCAACTTTTATTTTGGTTGATCGTTTACTTGAAATGTCCAGAGGTTTTAAAAAGGGATTAAACACTTCAGTCTCTTCTTCAACTCCACTCTTCAAATATTTGGTTATGAATTGGGCAGTATGGGCGATGTTGAACTTGACAATTTTCATTTCAGGATAGATAAATACCAATTGCTCACCATTGTGTTGCTTTACGTTAAACTGGCGTAGAATTTCGTCATTTTTATGGAGCACAATACTCGAAATCAATGTCCTTGACCCCAATGGCACCTTGAAACGTAACTTGTGAATTTCATGGGCCAATGTACCCAGCCAATTCTCAATACGTGACTCAAACTCTCCAATTCGATTGTGCTTGGTTGTGAGAGCCATGACATGTTTGCTTGGTATTGCCGCACTCTTATCGAGATCTTGCGCAAAGTTCACTTGTTTATCAGGCGGGAAATGCTGCTGACAAAAGTCACAATCATGTTGAATGAAGATTTTGGGGTTGATCAATTTCCAATTGATACGAGAGGAGTAGGTAGATGGCGTTGCAGTACTGTTGAATCTTTTGAGCATTAGTCGCATCATCATAGCTGGGGTAAAATGTGAAGTAAACAAGGGCTTATGATCATTTGCTTTGATAGTGTTGAAAAACTCAGTGGTCTGCACAATCTGCTTATGCGAAGTGCCATGAAAAATGTGGAAAATCTCGGAGAAATGACAAAACTACCGGATCGAACATCCGAATTATATTCCAGAACAAAATTAACCGACCCTATGGGTAGGAGAATATATAACACTCCATCACGGGAAGTAATGAAAGAGTTCTTACTGTAAACTAAGAAATATTGTCAAACATCAGCTGTCGATACTTTTATCAAGACGCACACAAGAAACAGATCCGAAATCAACATCTTAAACAGCTTCAGCTGCCTACTAATTACTTGTTTGCGTGCGCTCAAGAAAGGTATCGCTCCTATGATTTTGGGATAAGTTGATGGATTCAAATGAGCTTGCTGGATCGTCATTGTTTGTGTTTAAGCTTTCAGTGAGAATGTAATTATTTTTTATCACGTTGTTGGAATTTGCGGCAATTTGAGTGCAATTTTTACAAAGTGATCTATGAGGTTACGATACAACCAAGCCAAACGGATGTTGATTTTTAACAAATGCGTAAGCAAAGTGATTGACCTGTCTTCAATACGCCACGTCTCTTAGTTAATTGTGTAACATGTCAAGAGGAACAAAAAAATATTGCGCCTAATCGAAACCTCTTTTTCACAGCTATACGTTTCACTTCAGAGCACAACTATACTACAGACACTTAGGTTTTTTTTTTCCTCGTGGCTGTTATCAGCGAGGTTCAGAGTTACAATGGGCATCTCCACCACCGGCTTAGACTGTTTTAAGCAAAGTTATAGCGCATTACAGAAAAAAGTCTCATAAAATTGGCATTTTTCCAGGAAAAGCGGACACCGACAACGATTTAACGTCAGTGCAGTGGAGCTACAGCTCCTGCACCCAAAAAAAAAGGAAAGAAAATTTTTGGGTGCCCCAAGAAGGCGAATTACGGTCAGAATGTTTTGGGAGTACGGAGTTTATTGGTAATACCATCATGTGATTTGCTACGGGTCCATATCCATTTTCCCAAAAGCTTAGGAGGAGTGACCTGATATTCAACTTCCAAACTACATTCAGTGCTTTACGATGGATGAATAGAGGAGGAAGGATAATCTCATTGAGATTCTAACTTTGTCATCACTGTGTTCATAAGCAGCTTTCATTTACGTGTTTCTTACTAACCGGGAGTAGATTCTCCGTTTTAGGTAATTAACAAACCCGAAATGAGTTTTGGTGATAGAAAAAGCAATTTTAACAGCGAGCCGAGTTTTGATTACATAATACTTTAGCCACAATTTTTCACTTTTGTATACCCAGAACTCATCAAGTATTACAAATCAACTTTCCACCACCATCGACACACGAGTAATATATAAATTCAGCTCATAACAACCAACAGAAGCCAACAAAACAATTTTAACTACCTAATAAACTTAAACTACTTGATTTAGAATGACAAGAGCTGCAATTCAATCATCAAACCTATTCAAGCCAATCAAGGTTGGAAACACATTGATTGAACATAGGATTGCTCATTTACCAACCACTAGAAATAGAGCACATCCTGGTGACCATATTCCAACGGACTTAGAGAAAAAGTATTACACTGATAGAGCCAAAACTGGTGGTTTGTTGGTCACTGAAGCCACAATTGCAACTCCAAAATTGGGTTGGTACCCAAATGTTCCTGGTATTTGGAATGAAAAGCAAGCTTTAGGGTGGAAGGAAATTGTTGATTCAGTTCATGCCGCTGGTGGTAAAATTGCTGTTCAACTATGGGGATTGGGCAGAGTTGCAAGTGGCGCTTTGTTGAAGTCAAAAGGTTATGACTTTGTTGGTGTTAGTGACGTATACGAACATGAAAAGTCAGAAAAAGAAGCTGTCGAGGCTGGCAATCCACTTCGCCCATTAACTGTCGAAGAGATTGAAGAATTGGTTCAGAAGGATTACCCAAATGCTGTCAAATTGGCTCTTGATGTTGCTGGATTTGATTTCGTCGAGTTGCATTTCGCAAATGGATACATTGCCAGTCAATTTTTACACCCAAAGATCAACACCAGAACTGACAAGTACGGAGGTCCAATTGAAAACAGGGCCAGATTCATTTTGGAAGTGTTTGACAACCTCTTCAAAGTGGCAGATGCAAAAAGAATCGGTGTTAGATTTTCCCCAGCAAACGTTTTTCAAGAGCCTGGCATCAATCCATCAAGTAAAGAGGATTACACATACATCCTTAGGGAGTTGCAAAAGAGAGCTGATACCGGTAACGAATTAGCTTTTATTGATTTAGTTGATGGGGTGTACGATGTGGACGATGTGCAATCACCAGCAAATGTCAATTATTTTTACGACTTGTGGAAGGGAGTCATCCTCAAAGGGGGAAACTACACCGAAGATAAAAATGATGGATGGAAAAAAATACTCGAAGATGCAGATGCTAATGATCGTACTTTGGTTGGATTCGGTAGGCATTTCATCGCAAATCCTGACCTCCCAGAAAGAATCAAACATGGCCATGACTTGAATGATTATGACAGATCCACATTTTATACAACTTACAACTATGGATACAATACTTACCCAGAATATGGAGAGACTAGAGAATCCGATCCAGAAGCCAAGATTGTTCCTAAACCATTGGTGCACTAAAGAAGCACCGGTATTTACAGTTTTATAGAACTTTACAATTTCCTTTAAGACTCTTTGCTACCTGTTGGTTGTTTCTTTTTGCTTTTGCGCCCATAAAGCATGTAAATGCATGATGTTGCAGAATGCGAATGCTTTGCTACACAAGTGGGAGGCTTATATATCAATCGACTCTGCTATCGTCATCTTAATAACTCCTGTCAACCATATTACTTTCAAGTCTTTGAAAGATGGGTGCTGTTTGGTCTATACCAGTCGTTATATGGTTAGGGTTGTGTGGCTCAGGCAACGAGGAAGGTCAACACGGATCTGCGAACGAGACAGCTTCCACCTCCTACCTCGGAAGCGGATCAAGCTCAAGCTTAAACAACACTTTACATTTGATCAACTCACCTGCACCCTCTGATACACCAACAGAGGACAATAATTGGCCACTCATAGGAATATTGACGGGACTCGCGGGAGCATTTGCGATTGTTGGGTTGATAGGAGGTTATATTGAGTACAGAGATCGAAAGGAAAAACGAAGGAAGGTATCTCGTGCTCATACCCAATCTCAAAATATGCAAGGCAATTCTTCAAACGAGGATTCCGCCGCAGTTGATAGTTTGCGACCGCCAGAGAAGGCACATTTGAAATTGGAGGACACTGAAACTCTTGTTGGAGAAGAGGACTTTGAATATCATGCACTAAGTGGTGTAGAGTTTGCCGGGACAAAGTATTGAAAAGAGGGAACTGACTGAGGTGGGCTGCTCAAATGTCATGGTGGCTACATGTGGGTCAATGAAAAAATTGTTGAGATTTTAACAGTGTGAACTGGTCAAAATAAGATCGAATTCTGGTAAAACAATCGATTAATGGGACGAGGTATAAATATGAGAGGAAAAGAGATTAGTAAGGAAAATACTGTTGAGAGATCAAGGTAAGATTACTGGAAACTAGCACTAACATTGGTGCAATTACCAAACAAACACTATAACAAACAACTAACTACATACTCAGCAAACCGTTGCAGTTCAGAAGCTGTCCTCTTACCGTGCGAGTCTTATTACGCCCTTTCAAGGTTATGCACGATAAAATTTTCATGTTGCTTACCAATAGGAGTGCTTGTGGCGATGGCAGCCAAAATAGTAACCACTAAAATATTGCAACACTCTTATTTTTGTGTCACATACGTAGACATATGAAAGGGAGGAGAGAAGTTGGCCAAGCAGATTTTGTAGACCTTTCTTACCTTCTTCTTCTTTATCGAGAACATAATGAATCAAGATATAAAACGAGATTCAGGTCCTCATCTACAATCCAAACGATCAAACATTATTATACATTCACAAGAAATAATTGATCCTTGTCAACCCAACTTCCACATTATCATCTTTTATCAACTACAACCACTACAGTAAACAATCATTACTACACAAGATTACCACACACACCTACAAAACCAAAGTGGTCTTGAGTAAGAAAAACACCGTGGGCGTAGGCTTGGATGGTACTTGAAATAGCTGTTCAAGTCGAGGTTGAAGTACATCAGCTGCCCTATTCATAATGTTCCTCCAACCGTCGTACTCAACAAGAGGTACACCACGTGGTTATGGTTGTGGTTGTGGTTGTGACGGTGGTTGTGATGGTGACCACAAAGCGGATTAATTGCCAACGACAATATCATCGGCAATACACCCACTGCAATAAACATCACCTCTACCATATTTCTTTCATAATAATTGATGGGATCGTAGTTTCAACAACACCCACATTCTCTTTACAATATAATCCATCCTTTTTAAATTGGGTCAATTTCATCCACTTATCATCATCATAATCATATTTGCTCAAACACAGTCAGAATCGTTCAAATCGTCGTGTCAATGGCACGAAAACCATCAATCATTTCATCAAGTTCATGAATAATAATGGTGAAATATTGGGACTGCACAAAAAATTTTCATAACCGATTGAGGGAGCTTCGGGTGAAACACAATTCCTGATCCACATTGTAGTGTAATGACCTAGCAATGCTCAGCTTGGCCTCTATGGTTTGTATACTCTGCATTCACTCATTGGTGTGGTGGCCATGAAAATATGTGATTTCGGAATTATTCTTATTGCTTCGTGTGTCATTTAGTCTTTGTAACCGTAATGTCTCGTAACCACACCAAAATGATGAGAGGAGAACACTGCTAAGGTTGCTTGCTATACAAGGAGGGGCGACACAAATTGACTCATTTGGATTTGGAGGATAAATCCAATCCCGAGTTCGCAACTCGCTAAATGTAATGAGCGACTTGCGTTGTGTGGATATCAGATACAATGCTTTTTTATAACAACTACGCTCATTTCAGAAGATAAAATTCAAGAGCTCAATTTTTGATGATTGTTTATTCTACTTCTAAACTATAATCACTCCGCAAGTGATCTCACTAAAACCAAAAGTCAACGATGTTGCTCTCATCGGTGTGCTTCACCGGTGCAAAACCAAGTCTTTTTGTATCGAAATCTTGAGTAAGATAAATTTGTCTAACAAATGGAAGACCGAGGTACTGTTCATTACCAGTCTTGTCCGTGTTTTCAAGTTGACCATGGCACCAACCTGGATTATTGGAAATTTCTGTAAAGATAGCTGAATAAGGCACATCTATGGTAATCTCACCAAGATCCAAAGTCAAGTTCTTGTTTCCGGTCCATATGTTGACACATGGCACATTTCCATTCTTATCGGCACCAACTTCTTCGATAATAGCATCAACAATGTTTTGGTCAAACGCCAATCTTGGGTTACCGGAATCAATACCGATTTGTCTTGTCAATGGAATGACATTTCCATCTCCTGTAGTGACAGATTTACCTTGAAAGAAATAATCGGTGTCATAGAACGCCAACTCTCCTTCATACTTTGCTTTATCAACCCCACCAACAATAAAGGTTCCAGTCTGGCCATCTGGTCCCAAGTACAACGAGAACCCAGCATGGTCCACCAAGCCAGCTCTTTTAGCAGCAACAACGTAGCTAGCATCAGGTTCGGAAGAGTATCTAACACCCAACCAACCCATTTCAAAATCTGTTTTATTGGCAACCTCAAACTCAAATTGTGGAATCTCGTCACCATTGTCAAAGAAAAGATTGTCATGTACTGTGAATCCTGTCACTGATGTTTCCCCACTTCCATAAGTTGAAATGTACTGAATAGTCAGGTTATGGAAGGTGTTTGATTTGTCAGGGTGAAAAACACTACCTGCTGGGCACAGCGCATACCTAAGACATTTTGCTCCAGGTCCAGGAACATTCAACCTCCAGCTACCAGTATCAATCATAACCTTAACAGACTCCTTGCTTGATCCGATATTCAAATCAGTTGTGTATCTCACAGTGGTATCTTCGAAGTCAAGCAGGTCATCTCTCTTGCTAATCTCAGGAACTTGAGTAGCTTGAAGTTGATGAACGAGAAACTTTCCGCTTCTCTTTTCAATTGGAGTAGCAGTGGTGAGAGCAGCTAATAACGCAACCAAGGTTGTTTTGAGTAAGACCATTGTTGATTAATGAATTTAAAAATAATTGATGAGTATAAAAGCAACAAAAGGCTGCTTATTTATACCCCGAACTTCCGTGTTGATTCATAGGAGATATCTCAATGTTCAACAAAATAAACCTTCATGGTATACATTTTGTGGTACTAACATGTAACACTGCGATACCAAAAGCCTATAAAGTCCTACTAGCAATAACTTTGTCGACCGTGTTTACCAGAGTCAAATATCATAACCAGTTGATGATATCTAGAGAGCATTTCGTGGTGGAAAAGAAACAAAGCAATATCTGGATTTTAGTTGCAAAAAAAAAGTAAATAGTCGCAGATATCATAACCATGATGAAATTTTGATGCCGTAGTTACGCGCAAAGTTACACAACAACGCGTGTTTCCGGATCAACAATAGAAACCGAACAACTGGAACAAATTACAGAATTGACAACCAATCACGCTTGGATGCGTGTGGTTAAAAGACACGAGTCGGACAAATGCTTTCCAGTTGAGAACCCACGCCCACGAAAAGCCGGAAGAGGTGGTTATTTCTGATTTCGTTTTGAAAACGGGTGCGAGCAACATGACCGGCCCGTGTGATTTTTCTTGACTGCTTTAAAAAACAGTCTTATCTAATGGCTGACAATGAGACCCCTGAAGGGGAGCCAATCTTGAACTGAGCAATGATCTACATGCTCTTCTTGCAATCATTTCCAATAAGTATGAAATTCCTCTAGGAAGTCTGTTTGGACCAATATGGTTAGTTGTACATATGCATGAGTAGCTCCAAGTTCAATCTTCCCACGATGACCATTACTAATCGTTTTAGTCATCCAAGGTGCTCATAACCAGGAACAGATTTTCGTGTCGTGGTGACATAGAGGGGGCACATTTTGACAATGTAATTCCGAGTCTAATTGTATTGTTTAATCTCTTGTTGTTGAAAATGTTGTGGGTTTGTTATGTTTTGTGTCGTAATGCCAACAGTTGCTACACCACCACAATAACTCATTGCAACATTTTGTCTTTGAGTTTGAGACATAAAGAGTTAGTTAAATGTCAAAAGTCAATGACAACGTGGGTGGGAAGAGGAGAGCAAATAACCATCCCAAAGAAAAGCTACATGGACAAGCAGAGACAAGATGTCATTTGAATAGCTACACAACTTTTCTCTCTACTCTTCAGCTCTTCTTCTCAAACTATCCAAAATTGAGGAAGAATCGCCCTCTCCCACTTTCCTCTTTTTTGCTCCAAAAGTGCCTTTCAATTTACCAGCACTTCCAAACTTTCCAGTCCATGTGGGCGTACCAACTGGTTTCTTCCTCGCCAACTTCCTCGATCTTCGAAGAGCTTCAGTTGCTTGGCTCACATACTTTTCAGCTTCCCGCTCAGCAAATCTAGCTTCTTCATCGTTGTAATTGATAATCTCATCATGCTTCAAAGCACTGTGGACTCCACTTTGTGCAAAGATCCCAGCTATGATTCTACTTTCATCGTTACTACTTTCCGGCTTGTTGTCTTCGCCTTCTTCATATTGACCCAATCGACTAACACCTGTGATCTTTGCCACTTGATTGAAATCATCGTCATTTTCATGTCTTTTCTTTGTCAACGATGCCGATTTCCTCAGCTTCGAGCCTCGGTATTTTTGCTCGCTTCTAGCATGAAACATGTCCCCAGTTTCGGTTCCCTTTTCGTCTTGATCTCCCAAAGTGAATAAATCATGCAAGTCATTGGTTTTGAAAAACCGTCTTTGCTTTGGGTCTTTCAAAATCTTGTTTTGCAAAAAGGTTTTGAAAATTTGTCGATGGTAGATCTTCTCCTCAATAGACCCAGTCGTCATGAGTCTGTATATTGTGATATCCTTCTTCTGACCTAATCTCCAAGCACGTTCTCTGGCTTGTATATCTGTTGATGGGTTCCAATCTGGGTCATATATGATAACTCTATCAGCACCAGTCAAGTTAACCCCCAAACCACCAACTTTTGTGGTGAGCAAAAATACATGAACATTCGGGTCGTTATTGAACTCGTCAACCAAGCTTTGCCTTTGAGAAATTGCAGTGGATCCATCCATTCGTAAATATGTAAAGTATTGTGCTTGGTCATTGAGGCAGGGTAAATTAGAAACAAACTTTTCCAAGATATCAAGCATCTGTCTCGTTTGACAAAACAATAAAGTTTTGTGTCCCTCACTTTGCCATAGCTGCAAAAGATTCTTTAAAACTTGCATTTTTCCCGACTTTTTGGGATCGCCATAGTTTGACTTGTGCATTAATGCATCTCGGTATACCAAATCAGGATGATTGCAAATCTTTCGCAACACATCAACTCCCATTAACACATTACGTTTACCCTTGAGAATAGAGTTCAAGTCTTCACTTTCGAGAAACTTTTCATACAAATCTTGTTGTATTCGAGTGAGCTTGACGAAAAGCACCATTTCGCTTTTTTTGGGTAAATCTTTGGCCACATCATTCTTCAACCGTCTGAGCAAATAGGGTGAGATTAAATCTCGCAATACGACTGCACACTTGTAAGCCGTTTTCACTTGAAGATTATTTGAATTTGCGTACCCACCAACATTGATTGGAATAGAAAATTGTTGCTGAAACACGGGCAATGTCCCCAATCTACCGGGAAAGATAAAATCAAATAACGACCACAACTCGGTTAGGTTGTTCTGTATTGGGGTACCTGATAAAATGATTCGATTGACTGTCTTTATTTGCTTACATGTTAACGAAATATCCAGATCCGGGTTACGGATTTTGTGGCCCTCATCCAAAACACAATACCCCCATTCCTGCGGTAAAATGTACTTGGAATAAATTCGAAGACCCACATAGGTAGTTATTAAGACATGACCTTTCGCAACCACTCGGTCGACAATCTTCTGAGCATTTATTTGAGTTTTGATTCCTTTAAGCGATGATTTTGATGTTTGCGGATCCCAATTCTCCATATACTCTTCCATTTTGGCTTCACTTACTTTTGCATTTTCTCCCATTCCAGATCCAATGCTGTGAAGTATAACACATCTGAGTGGTGGCCACCATCGATGAAACTCGTTAACCCACTGATTCAACACGGTAGCCGGAACAACAATTAATACCGGTTTGCGCAAAAGTCCCGAATAGTGCAAGCCAGCTAAGAAAGATATGATTTGAATGGTTTTACCTAATCCCATTTCGTCTCCAATTATGCCTCCAGTTTTTTGTGAGTACAATTCCCAGAGCCATTGTACACAAGTTTTTTGGTAGTCAAACAATGATGGGTATATATCACCGGGGAGTTTGAACGCGTCATTAAGTTTTGAGTCTGGAATTGTGGGGTGTGGTTTGAACCATTCCTCTTGACAACGGTCAGTGTCCAGTTGTCGTAAGGCGGACCGCTTCTTGACCCAGCTTGCTAATCTCTTTTTATAGTATGTTTCGTTTCCATCATCAACGTTCCGCGCCTCTTCATCTTCCACTGATTCCTCGTCTATCTCTTCACTTTCGTCATCTTCTTCAGCTGCGATTTCCTCCTCCTCTGCGAGTTGAGAGTCGTAGACGTAGTCATCATCCGAGCCTGCATTGCCATCAAAGGTGGTCTCATTCTCATTATAGGTTGTCTCATTGTCATCCCTTAATGATTCAACATCGCCGTCTGATATCTCAATGATACTCCCACTCTCATCTTCCGCTTTCTCTAGTGTCTCAACATCTTGCTCGAATCCTGGCTTTCGCAAAAAGACGTGACTTTGACCCTCGTTACCAATGGCGCCAACCAGTTGAAACGCGTTTTCATTACCAAATGCAGTAATCTTACCTGTTCGAATCAAGTAGTCGCGCTCACTCTCATCGGGAAGCTTTCCCCCGCCACTCTGCTGTTCTTCTTTGCCATCTTTTGATTCTTCAAGAGCTCGCCTGTTTTGTTCTATTCTTGACTTGATATCTTGCATGTCTTGTTGTTTACCAGTAAGCTCATTCTCCTCAAGCCACTGGATCTCCTCCTTGATTTTCTTCTTTTCACTGATTTTTGTACGAGGATGGGATAGTTTTGAATTTAGTTGGTTAATATGCTTCACAGACACGTTAAGACTCTTGATGGCTTTCTCTAATCTCTTTTCATCTTGCTCAATATCTTTGATTAAAAGTAGCTTGTTGGCTTTGTTGGTGATTGTATTTTCCAAATCTGTTTGGTCAAACACTTGAACATCAGTCATGACATATTCTCGGTGTAATCCGTGTTCGTGGTGTGTAGAGAGATACAGATTTCCATAGATGCAATTTTTCTTTTGTAATGCGCCATACTTTTCGATACACAAAAGAAAGAGATATAGCAATGAACATTTGCCAACAGATTGTGAAAGGTGTCTCTACACAAGCAAACAAGGGTACAAAGAGTTACCCACTTATTATCTATACAACTTACATCTTTGCCTGTTCTTGCAAGTCCATCAATGCTTTCAGATAAATCTCTTCATCGTGGTCGGTGATAACATCACTCAACTTCAACTCAAATGGCTCAACCGCTTTATCACCACGCCCAATGTCCTTTGAAAAAGTATTGAACCACTTCTGTTCACCTTTTCCAAACACAAAATTGTACGCATTACCGGGATTTTCTGCTCTGGCAGTACGACCAACTCTATGCACATATTCACGAGACGAATTAGGCAAATCGTAGTTGACGACATCGGTAATTGTTGTCAAATCTATACCTCTAGCAATCAAGTCTGTAGCAATGAGTATGTTTACCTTTTGGTGGGAAAAGTCTTTCAATATGCGAGCTCGTATTGATGTTCGATTATTGGTTGAGTTGATGAAACCAACATTGATCAGAATGGAAAGTGCATCCATAATAAGTTGCAATAGTTTGGCTAATCGTATACATGATTCATTTGATTTGGTGAATATTAGCACGTTGAAAAGTTTATCTTGCGAAACTAGGAATTTGGCGAGTATCAAAGGTTTTAACGAATTTTTGGCCACTCCATACAGAATGATGAATTCCGACAACAATGACGGCACACTGAACATTTCATTAACCAACTGTTGCGTGTCATTAACGATGATGAGTCTTGGTTTGTAAAAGTTTAAAATGGCAAGCTTTCCAGCATCAGTAGTCAATGTTGCAGAAAACACCAATTTTTGTACCTTTAAACTCCATCTTTTTGTTATATCATGTTTCTGTTGTTCCTCAATCTTGCTGGTTAGCACCAGTGACCAGTTTTGAAAAGATTGGTTCAAAAGTCTATCGGCTTCATCAATAACAAGAAACCTCAAGCTCGCTAGGCTGATGGAGTTTAGATTCAAATGCTCAACCAATCTCCCCGGTGTGCTGATAATCACATCAGGAACCAATTTCTTCAACCTTTCACTTTCTTCTTTAATTGAGATATCGTTCTTTAAACCCACGATAGACAAGTTCGTACCTTGTGATAATTGCATCATGGTTGTTTTCACTTGATTAATTAATGGTTTGGTTGGCACAAGAACAATCGCTCTCACGCGCGGAACTACTCTGTTGTGTATTGCTTGAATTATGGGAATGCAATATGCCAACGTTTTACCCGAACCGGTAGACGCATTAACCAAGATGTCACCAAATGCATCGGGTTGCCTTTTGTTAGCCTTGATTTCTGGTATCATCATTTTGAGAACGCTTACTTGCACAGCAAAGGCTTCACTGAAACCAAGTGACGAAATGTTTCTCTGGATCACTTTGTCAAGTTCAAATTCCTGAAAGGGAAGTTTCTCATTGGGAGTCACGTATTGAGGTGTTGTTAGCCAATCTAAATTTTTGGAGTATTGCGATGTCGATGTAAGCTTCTTGTCTCGAGGCAATTGTGGTTGAGGAAGCGGTGCTAGGTCTTGTATATCTACAATCGTCTCCTTTTCGTCGGAATCAGATTCGTAGTGTTGCTCCGCACTAGTTATTGACTGCTTGAACTTATTTAAAACAGATTGATGCTTAGATGGGTACACGGGGTCAATGTTATCTTCCATTTCCACATCCGAATCTCCCTCCACACCATTACTGAATCCTACTTCCTCTGTAGTATCGATGCGGTTTGTGCTGTCTTCATGGTCGATATCATGGTTCTCTTTTCCTTTACTAAGTTCTTTCGTATCATTCTGTTCTCCTAAATTGTCACTTCCTATATCACTTGAGTCCAGATCCTCTTCTCTTTTCCTCTTTCCATTCCAAGCAATGGTGGAAATATCCTCTGCCTCCGGATCATATCGTACTCCAAACATTACCGACTAAACAATGAGCCAAACCAGTGAAGTCTTTTCTTCCTTTTTAGCTGCAAGAATCTCATCTAATCGCTTTCCGGAAAATGAAAAGAAAAAAAAAAATTGTTCATCTTTGTGCTTGACCAAACACCCAACCATTTGTATCCACTCGTCCTTATTACAACATGTACCCATCATTACACGTACTTAGCAGATCAGTTTGGAAAGGGCCTCACATTGTACCACTACCAATAGCGAAAGCTATACAAAACAAATCAAGCATAAGAACAAAAGCTCGTAATTGTACAATAATACCACAATTTGTCGGACTCAAATTTGAAGTACATAATGGGAAAGATTATGTTGAAGTGGAAGTAACAGATGACATGGTAGGTTCAAAGTTGGGTGAATTTGCACCAACAAGAAAGAGATTTATGTATAAATACTCCAAGAATTAGAGCATACGAGGCAGTCAACCGAGGTTTTTACCTTTGTTATTTGTATATAGGATTTTGTCCCCAATATATCTATCAAAATTAAAATCTACTCATTCAACCACTATTACGTCGTGGGTTGTAATCATCTAGTCTTTGTTGTCTCAACTCTCCCGTTCTGTCGATGTTGGGCCAGTTACCCCATCCATTTAACCGCATCACTAATATAGTAGCATTATCGTCACCTCCAACATACTCAACAAAATTAATCACTTCTTTTGCACAATGTTGTGGTGTAGCTTTGACATGACCCTGTCTTTTGTAATGTGTCATTATAATATCAGCAATCTCTTGATCGGTCAATACATTGGTCACACCATCGGTACACAAAATGAGAAAGCACTCGTCACCTCCAAGACCACCAACTGTATATTTTTTTATTTCATCAGTGGTCAACATTTGTGAAATTTCCTTCGAGTCTCCAACAATCAATTGAGTCACCTCCGGTTCAGCAGTTACGCCCATCTCCTTATAACTAACATCGCCAAATGCCCTGGTATTTGCTAGAGCGATAAATCGTTCTTCACCAAAAGAATCTGTCATAAAGAAATTGGCAGCATATCTTCGAAGTCTTTTGCTTTCTAGCGGATTCAGAGGGTGGTGATCCACCGTTAATGCATTAGCTAATCCATTCTTATCAACCAAAATAGCTCTGGTGTCACCCACGTGGGCAATAGTCAACAAAGAAATGGTGTTTCTATTGAAGTAGTAGTTTTCAACCACGGGCAATGACTTCACTGGGTTGTTGTAAATGGTTTGAAAGTATGCCGAGGTGCATGTTGATCCCAGTTCTTGCTCCTTTTGAAAGAATTCATAGTCGGTGTTTAGGAATGAGAGGGGTACCCTAAATGCTATGTCATTCTTTTCGATGTCCTTTTTGAAACTTTTGATAGATAATTTGCTAGCTTGCCACGCTTCAAATGCCTTTTCTCGATGTTTAAACCACCGTTTCCAATACCCACCAACATTTTTGGCATATTTCTTAACTAGATCCTCCCGTGCTTTCTTCTTTTTCACCAAATCATCACTGCATTCAACATTCAAAGCCAAGTTATCAGCAAGATACTTGCAACACTGGTCTCCCCCATGGCCATCGAATATGTTAAAGTTAAACACTTCCTTATCTTTGATTTTTAGCACATTGGCACTATAATTGTCTTCATTGTATGGCCTGTTGACCCTACTGGTATAATGACCCAAATGAGATGGACTTTTGAGTAGTTTCACACGTAGTTTCCCTTCAAGTTTAGGCTTTTCCGTATTTGATGGTATCGAGGAGGATCGGACAACAGGTGTGAAAACCACCGAATCAGATATGTGTCGGCACAATATTAGCGAGGGGTACCTTTTCAGTATACGGCATCCGTAAACAAACGCAATTGACATGTATGTAGATATAAAGAAGGTGTGGGACTGCTTTAGGAGCTCTATGTTGAACGATATGTGCTGAATTTCAGATCTCAATTCCAGATGTCGGCTCCCGGGAAACTTTTGATTTGTGATTTTTGGGTTTTGTGTGATGCTTCAAAAAAAAAATGCCGTTCCCCTCTAAGCGCATAAACAAAACTGCTCAAAAAGAGGAAGTGACAGTCATGAATTAGCTACACTATCTATTACAAGCATCTATGCCTATCCCTATAATACCAAGTTCTCATTAGCATCATGGTCGTAGTCGAAATCGTCTAAGGGTTCATCTCTATATGGTCTTTGAGGGGCACTATGCTCATTTCTTTGGAAAAACCCACCAAAGAATTGACCAATTCGTCCTCGTATACCACCTTGAGGAGCATTTAAGGTACCATCGTAGTACACAGGCTCCTCATCTGGTGAATTATCAATTCTATTGGCTAATGTGTTGTTGAACTCGCGTCTTCGTCTTTCATAATTGGCATCTGCTGGATTCAAGTTATTGATGTTATCTGCACTACTATTTGTTAAATGAAAGGGTCGCAAATGCATTTGTCGACGGGACATCTCCCTCGACACGATTCTCTTGGCTTCAACAATTATCAAATCTGATCGCTTATTCGAGTCATCATTGTTGTGTTCCTCATCTTCATCAAACAAGATCCACGAGTCGTAAAGATCACCGAATCCAAGTCTCTTCTTCACCTTGTCGTAAACGTGAAACATGGCCAACAACACTGGTACCAAAATCAACCTTGGAATCCAATTGTTTAACAAGTTGAATAACCCAGTGAGATGCACTGATTGACCATACCATTTTTCAAAGATGGAATCTCGACTGACAAACAAGGTGATGAAGTTGTAGCTCAACGGAATTGTCAATCTAGCAATGTACATGGCGTACCAACAGGCCAGCACTGGGTCAGAGTTACGTGGAACCAAATGATACATGTTGAAAATTTTCAACTGAGTCAACGAGTGCAATGCTGCAAACAACATGTATGAAAATACAATGCAAGATATGGCAAATTGTAAAAATGAATGATTGTGAATATCCGTTGAGTAGACAAACACATTCATTAAAGAGATTTTGGTCGAGTGGAAAAATTCCGACTGCAAAATGACAAGTGAGGCCACTCCCAATACAGCTGCCGCAATCTTGTTGGAGATAGGTCGAAGATAATACCAATAGATGAAATTGAATTTGGGACTCCATAAAACACGATGGTTGTCTACTCTGAAAATCAACTCTCTTGACGATACGGCAGTCAATACATCCTCCAACCTTAGGATTTTCGAAATCATTCTGTTGAACTCAGATTGATATCCAATGAGTCTGTTCAAGTTCAGACTAAACAGCGAATTCAAACTTGTCATGAACTGATCATTCAACTGATCACGATCTATGGTAGTAGTATCATGTAGATACTGCTTCTCCACTTGTTCTCTAATTTCACCAGGAATCGAGTCGTATAAATTCAAAATCCAATCGCGATACTTGAAATCTTCAATTGATTCACTAGTATAGTTTTGTTTTAAAACAATTACTTTTAAAACATCTTCTCTAAATGAAATCCTCACATCCTCTAGATCATCAACTAGCTTGGGAAGTTTGAGATAATGGTGATTCAAATCGTTGACAACTGAACCTTGAACCCACTTATTTCGAGGTATACTAATCAACCCATGCCCCATCAACCATGTGGCCAAGATTAAAGAATACACATGCGAAATGGCAATGATCATCAATTTCAAATGGTTTAAATTGAGTCCAACTTCTATCAACATGTAGATAAGTCCAACAAGTGAAACAGAGATCATTATAACTTGAAATTTCAAATTCTCTCTGATTGCATCCTTGAGTTTACTGTAGGCGTCATGGTGTCCTGATCGATAAAATTCCAACAAAACAGGTAGTATGATCCAAGTGAGAAGAAATGTAATCCAATAGTTTGATTTCCAAATGTATAAGATGACTGTATCAGGTAAACCAAACCAGGTTATTTCTTGAGTCAGTTGTGTATTGTGGGAGACATAGTCCAATGGGAGGGTAAACACAATCGATAATGGGATGTATATACCCAATGTCAATGGTAAAGTCAAATATACAGGGTATTTGAAGATGTTTATGTGATATCTTATCCCTAGTAGTGAAAGAAGCAATATCAAAACATAGCATATTGTTGGTGCGATCCACATCTCTCCCCTTCCTTTTCAACTAAGTTGGTTAAATATTGGCAAATGCTGCTGATATAACTAAGTTGTCGTATCGTTGTATTGACTGTTAGGGTTGTAGTAGTAGTTTACGTGTCAAAGATCGTAAGACTTTAGAATTAGCCCTTTCAGATTTTTGTCGGATCTTTATTGTGTGGCTTTTTTCCTGGAGTCTGCAAAGAAAAGGAATAACGAGGAATCAGGTTGATAACTAATGAAGCTTGACAAAGTGTAAGTGAGCCTTATGTATCACTCCATTTATTAAAGCTGGTTATATTGCAAGACTACTGGTGGTACGTTCTGATCCTTCACCAAAACTTTCCTCTGGGTCATGGTAGAGTACCACCCCTCGACGTAATGAAGCTAAATTGGCGTTGTTTGCTTTGTTCAATACTTTGTTGAATTTGTTTCCGATAGATGCAGGGGAATGGCAAATTTGGGATTTTATCATCTGGCCAGTCTGATTTGGTAGTGAAGCTGTTAGTCTGTCGAAGTTGGGGACTGTAGATGGATAGAAAAGAGGAACACGGTTACAATACCACTGGACTACTTTAATGTTTGTACTACTACTGCAATTGCCGCTGCTGGTATATCGCTGATACCTTCAAATGCTGAATCATTGCTACTGACATTACTTCTATACTATTTTCAGAAAATCATAAAACCCCAAAAAAATTATTGTATTGCAACTTTATCAAAAAAAAAGTGTTGATTCAACAATATATTTCCGATGTTATGGACCCTTCTCGGCAGCTTTTTCCGAGTCATATGATGCTGACTGATGTGATGCTATATGAACTCATCCTCCAGAACATAGCGTCATGCCATATCGTTACACTCCAACGAGGTGTATGAGTAGTATAAATGCCAACCGTCATCATAGTTGAAACTTTAAACTTGATCCACTCCTTGCTCGTCTCTCGTCCTTTCATTGCCTTCTTCAAATCGGTACTCCAACTCCGAATTATCAACAAATCTTGAACCAATAAGCAAATTTTCAAAAATACACCTTCCGAAGTCATGATTGGCCAAAGGCTACAAACACGGACGTAATGCACCTTTTTCCGTAGCGGCTCTTGATGCTCTTTTATACGTAGCAGTACCCCGACATACATGCCATCTTTCTAGTTTTTGAGACATCCCAACCCTTTTCCCTCACAGAAGAAAACAGCGCGTCAATGACATTTATTGTCGTGTCTCAACACAATAGAGCTCTCTTGTAGTTGGAAGTACACTTTTACACTACCTGTGTTCCTAACCCAATATGAGTTTGTTCACTCCAATCGAGTTATGACCAGAAAAAAGCCGCCCTGCCCATTTGTTGGTTCTCCTCAAAATGGCACGATGCAGGAGATGAAACGTCATGATCGAGATAGCATTCTTTTAGTCTTTAATACATTGATGTCAGTTTCGTGTTGATTTTATCATAGAAGCAGTACAGCAATTTCCCCCTTGACCAAATGGTACAACTCAAGCAAAGGTGAGCCCAGATTTCTGTACATTATAGTGCACTCTTAACACATCCCAAAGAGTCAATAGTGCCAAGCGCATTCATTGGTTACCCATTCAACAAGTTTTACTGCATAAGAGTAGGAAACTGCACAAGTTAACAAACTGGGCTTGGACGAAAAGTCATTCCGTAATCCATTCTTTTTCGACTGAGCCGGTTGATACAAAAATTTCAATTCTACCCATGATTATCAACTCTGCGTTAGTTTCAATAGTATTAGCCACTTGACATGCGTTTTCTTTAGGTAATGTACGTCCCCCCAATCGATTATCCAACTCGGTCAATGCGCCAATAGAGATGAATCAGATATATTTTGGCCCACAAGTGCATGCATACTCCACGTATAATGGCAGAAAATCAAATTGTAGCTTCACTTGTTATATAATTGAAGAAAGTAATTGCAGTAAATCTCGTTGTGAGAAACACAATGAGCTAGAGCAGCTCTTCAGCATCAATGCCCATTGTGTGTTATAGTTAAGGTTCTCTTAAACAACTGATGGGGGCAATCTTCATGACTGTCTTTCTCCATTTGAGTCTTGCACTGAATTGATCAACTGCGTAATAGTTTGAAACATTTCAACATTTGAAAAAGAAGTTGTCGTATTTATACTCAAATAAATTGGTACCTTGTATTTGGCAACTAACTGCTGGTTCAACAGCTTCAATTGGTCATTTTCATCAGCACTGTTTATGAATGTAGATGAATCTTGAATGGTGTAAATGTAGTCACCCATCAACTGATTTTGATGTTGGTTGATGTATATGGTAATGGGAGCTTTTTTGTGGTGGCTCTGGTTATAGGTTATTACTACCGTATATTCTGTATTGCCAATTGACGTTTCTTCCACAACGTGATGTGACATTAGTGGTATGCAATATTTGTCCTCTTCAGATGGTTATGTTTGAGCAATATTTTTTCAAATTTCGAGATGGAAACGCTTTTTTGAAAGATCACGTGAAAGTGGCCATTAGTTTAATAGCATAGAACAGCCCACCTTTCAAAAATGGAATATTTTATCAGAACAAGTTGAATGACGGTGCTGTTTGAATACTCATGGGTACGTAGTAATCCGTTTTCAGAAATAAAACTGTCAAATCTAGTGTATTAACAATGAAGCAATACATCATTGTCTCCCTACCCGATTAACTATCGCAACGTTTACGGGAAGAAGAGGCGGGTCGAATAATATGCTCCTAACGTCAAGTCATGCAAAGAGAAAGTTTTGAACATTTGGTTTTGCCTCACCACCACAAAGCACATCTTGAGGGCACAAAAACCTCAAAGTTTAAAAAAATGAAAAAATGGTACGAGATTGTGATGAATCAAGAAAGGTTCTCTATATTTCAGCATAAACCGACGGCACAGAATCAATACACTTCTTTTCCTTCTTCTTTTATACAACTTGGATTGTTATTTTTGTTTCTAGAACTTTGCATGATTGGGCCATGATGCAGTCTGCTTTTTTCCTGTTTTTGTGTGCTTCTTCAGCTTATGCTACTAAGGAAAGTCCAATGACAACGACTCTGGCGATGACTTTTCAAGTTTACTCAGGGAAACTATAGGTCGAAAAGAGAAATTGCGCTTGCCACCCTCAAAATCCAGATGTAGAATTGCTCTTGTGAATTCGGCACATTGCTGATTTAGTTCAAATATGACCGCCTAGACATCCTTTCACTTGGAAAAGTTGCTCCTTCATTAAACCCATATATAACAAGGAACGGGAATACACTTTTTCATTCAATCAAGCTCAAAGAAAGGCCAAAGCCAAGCAAAAAGGAACAAAACCTAGCTGAAAGAAAACTCAATCTCAATCAAAAAGAAACAGATCTTTCTTCAACACGAAAACAAAATTAATTATTTTCATCTCCACAAAGAAAAGCTGTATTGCATAAATTATTATCTAGGCAAAGTTAACATCACAAAATATCAACTTTTGGTCTCATCTCGGATCGAAAGAGACAAGAAAATAACAACTAATAGATCTCAGCAATTGAAAGAGCAAGCCCGCAGTGCGGCTGTTGTTGTTTCACTTTGCTTGACTTGTAAATTAAACAGTCTTTTAGTTGTCAATCTTGCACTAGGAGAGGGGTCAAGCCAATTTGGATTTCTGAAAATAATCCATTTTTGAGTAGTTTGCATCTCAACATCAAAATCACTCAAGCCAACCCTAAATATATTATCAATCAAAACCGTCTTGGTGTGCTTTACTTAAAAAAATACAAAAACAGCTGGAAGGACAAGATTTGAACAACAAGACTGGTTATAATCGAGTTCGCAGCACAAAAACAAAAGGTTTAGTTTGAGGAAAGTGATATCCACATTATTATCTATTCTCCAGAGAGAGTGGCCCCAGCCCAAGCTCCTTTTACTAAAAATCACAGTCCCCTCCAATCAGCTAAGGATAAGAGTTGATCAGGTCCTCAAACGGCTGTCTTAGTTCTTCCTTCTCCCCTTGATTGCATCAAAGTGGAAAGAAGAAAAAAAAAAGTCCCTTAGTGACTCCAAGTGCAGGCAACCTAAAGGAAGGACTCATTAATTCGCTAGCGGATTGTGACCCTGTGATTTTTCTTCTATTTTTCATAGAGACATCCAGAGCAAAATTCATGCATCTAGAAAGACAGTGAAGGCAAACATTCTGCACGAACTGCACTTTTCAATCTAAACGCTATCACTCAAATCCCTTTGAGACGAAGAAAAGATAAAGAAGAAAGCCTAATCCGGGTACCGGTTCCGCCTACAAAATAAAGTCAAAAAAGGCAAACACGTTCACTCCCCATTCGTCAAACGTATTGATTCGCTCCTCTTCACGGTAAAAGTCTGCGTAACGCTGGTAAGATAAACAATAAGGGAGGGGATATTTATAAAAAGAACCCATTGTGATTATTATTTTTTCATTGTTTGTCCTTGCATATATCTCACTTGGTTAGGTTTAGCATATTAAAAAGCAAGAAAAAGCTAGTACTATCCAGCCAATTATTTGATCGAATACTGCGCTTTTGAGTCTGTGTTTGATATTCATTCGCGCTTGTGTGTGAAGAGAGAAAGAGACAACTAGACAGTTCCCCCATATAAATCATCTGCAATTCTATTGGTGTCTTCTCTCTGGTGCTATATGCAAATTGGGAAAAGCGGTTTTGTGCCAAGATAATCAAATAAGCGAGGCAGGTAAAGGAAACAAAAAAAAAAAAAATTTAGTTTGTTGTTGGTCCACGCATCATCAATTATTCATCCCCCCCCAAAAAAAAGGACAAAAGAGACAAAAACCCCTCCTCGTAATTTTAGCCCTTGCTGCATTTTGATTTTTTTGGTTTTTTTTTTTATTTAATAAAACCCATCTGGTATAACCTCAAAATTTGAAAGATTGGTAATTTGGTTCTCAACACTATTGATTCTACTTTTCTCATATCACACTACTGGCTCATATTCATACCCATAATCCTGATAATCATCGTTGGAAGATCCACAAAATTTCTCATTGAAAAACTTCCAATCACCAAACAGAAAATCAATAACTCAAGCCCACCCATTTATATAACCGACCCCAAGTCCAAGTTTTTCAATACAAGACTAACAATGACAATGGCCACACATTCATACATCAAAAATTCCGATTTCAACGGACACACAGCACCAAATCATGCCGTATCTACACCTCATGCTACCCCACAAACCAACAGCGTAAACTCAAATCAGGAGCGCAATGGGTACTTTACTAAACACCCACAACAACACCAGCCTCAAAAGTTAGGGACGGCACCAAGAGTTTGCAAGTCAGAGTATTCATTTGACCCACTGGATGATGGTACTGGCAGCTTTGATTCTTTGGAGGGAGGGCAGCCACAGCAAGATTTGATTGATTGTGTCAATGAGCACATATTTGCTGAACCTGATTCTGATGGCTCTGGATTTTATAATTTTCCAGTAGGTTTGGAAGTTCAAGCAAAAAACTCACGAGCTAAAGTTAAAATCGAGCACATTGTATCACAGTTCTCAAAATTGTCGATCATTGAGGAGAAGTTTGAGCAGCAACAACAGCAGCAACAACAACAGCCACGTCTGTTGTTGAGGACTTTGTCAATTGGATTCAAATCAAAACAACAATTGGATGACTTGATATATCGTCTTTATGAAGCAAAAATTGAGTTTGAATTGGATTATTCCAAATTTGTTTCACATCCAGGAGTACTTTTCATCAAGAACTTATCCACCGATTTGGTGTTTGAGGATAACGACTCTCTGTCGGATGCATCATCAGATTATACCGCTAGTGAAAGGTTGAAGAAGCACCACAAGTTGTATCAGTTTTTGAATGAAAATTCACATTTTAAATCCTTGCAAGATATCAGATTGTTCACCAATGACTCACCAACACACGGCACTAGCAATTCAAGTGACAACTCAGCCAGCTCAAGCTCATCATCAGCTTTTGCCATTGTCAAGTTTTCAAATTATCTAGACGTGGATATTTTGATTGAAAAACTTAGCAGACATACACCAAATATTTTCAATGATAACCCGAGTATCCCACTATTCTTAAATCGTTACATTAACAAGCGAGAACGATTATCTTATGGGTCGTTGTCAGGTACATCCCATAATTATATCCCTCGCCGCGATAGTAGTGCATCAATGGGTGCAACCCCCATGTCAACCTCATCATCCACATCATCCACCTCCCAATCATTAAGGTGCTATTATCACTCTCACCCTCACCAGCACCAGCACCAGCACCAGCACCAGCAGCATCACACCCATCCCCATCCCCATCCTCATTCTGGTGCAAATTCAATTAGGAGCTCCAATGACAACTTTAGCTTAATCATTTTGGAGAACTTGATCAACTTTTTCCCTCCCAATCTCACCAAGGACAAGTTTGAACAATTTTTGTACAAGATTAAAACGTTTGGAAATCAGATTGAATCAATTTACTTTCCAATTGCAGACAAGGGGGAGGCTTTGACAGTATTACATTTTGTCGACTTTGGCTATATCAGATTCAAGCCCAGTGGCAACTTTATGGAAAACACATTTCGTATGTTGTATTATTTGAATGAATTGCTGTGGGATGAAGTTATGGGTTTGGATATGAAAAACTTGCCACCATTGATGGAAAAAAAAGAAGAAGATGGTGACTTTAACGATGACGAAGGTTCTAGCAATGAGGGTAGCGAAAGTGGGAATGATTTTGAAGAAGGTGGCTCTTCTAGTGATTCTAGTGGTGAAGGGTCGACTCCAGTGGTTATAAACCGTAAGTTGTCGGTTACTATCGCACAGCATAAGCACAACCACTACTTGTTTTCCCAAGCTAACCAGTATTTCCTAACATTCAATCCAGCATTATTGAATACCAAGCAGCTGCCAATCGGAATAAATTATCCCAACCCCATTTATACAATTAATTCGTTCATCAGAAATGTCAATTATCAAGAGACAAATTTGTATGTTAATAATTTTTCGGTGATTTTCAATAATGATGATGTAACTTGGGAATCATTTTGGAAGCAATTTGGATCTATCAAGTCGGCAAAAATAATCAAGCCCCATTTTTACCGTGACGACGATTCATTTGATGGTGAAGAGCAAAAAGCCGGCCGTATCGGCTTTATATTTTACGAGACTTTTAAGATGGCCATTAGAGCTATATTGATGACCAATAACAAGCTTGTGCAAGTGAACAATTTCAACCCTATGGTTATTCAATCATCTTTTGCTATCCAAAAATCGAACCCCAATCACAAGGCCTTTACCTTACCACCAGTACCTCCCATGGGAAATCCAGCCACTACTCCTTTACCGCCCCTTGATTTTCCCTTGACTTCGCCAAAGAGCATGGGACCGGCTCAGGCAAGCACAGGAGCTAGTGGCATGCAGTACTACACCTATCAGCCAGTTATACCCTACTACTATGGATACCACCCGAATCCATATATGTTTGGAGCTCAGAGCATGTTTAATGTAGCTGGTGCAACGCCAAATATTGAATGTCCAATGATGCCGGATGCAATTGCAGCATTGAATTTGGTAAATGGGTTGTCTAACGGGCAGGATTCATTGGCTCAACGTGAGGTTTCAAACTACGAGAAGAAGTAGAAAAAAAACTGATAATTCCTTGACCTGTAATTGACGAGTGTTTACTTTTATCAAATCTCATCTTATCTATACACACTTGTAGATTAGTACCACCTTTTCTTTTAGGAGACCCCTTCCTAAGCAGCACCTCTGCTACGAGGCGATATACTTGCTGGACCCGGCAGAGTCTCTGCCACCTCTTCTATAGGCTCCACTGCCTGAACTTCTTCAATGTAGTGTTTCAACATACTTTCAATCCCATTCTTTAGCGTAACCGAGCTCGAATCACAAGTCCTACAAGCGCCTTTCAACTTGAGGAATACGGTACCGTCCGATTCTCTGAAATCAATAAATTCAATATCCCCACCGTCATCTTGTATTGCTGGACGTATTCTTGTGAAGATCAACTCCTTGATCATGGACACTACCTCATCATCATCTTCGTTAAAAGCAACATCGCTGGCCAACTCCGCATCCTCACCATCAAGGTTGATCACTGGCAAACCGTTTGTCAAGTACTCAGTAAGGATTGAAAATATTTCCGGCTTTAACAATTGCCACTCGATGTGAGGACTTTTTTCAATGGTTATAAAGTTTGAACCAAACATAATTGACTTTATCCCATCAACACTGAATAGCTTGACTGCGAGAGGCGACGAATGAGCTTCCCTTCCACTAAGAAATTCACGGGTTTCATTCTCCCCCATTATCTGCATAGATGGTAGAAATTTCAAAGCATGATCATTGGGTGTGTCTGATGTTTGGATAAATAAGCTTCGTAGACTTTGAAAAGTGGGTGACACCACTGCCTTTGATATGAGTCTAGGGGCGTTGGATGGTAGTAGTGTTGGAATACGTAAGTTAGCCGTGTGATATGTATTTTTACTTAACAACCTGAGCATGTCTTGGCTATGGTAGTGAGTAGATTGAAGGGGTTCATGGAAACCAAAAGAATGCTTTGTATGATTTCGTTTTTTGATGTTTTTTTTTTTTTTTCGCCGTTTTACGACATCACCAACGCGACAATGAATACTAATAGGACTTACCACCTAGTTCGCGAGTGTCGTGATGTATGTATAATGCAGGGGTCGTGTGCAAGCGGCATGTATGCATACAGTCCTGTGATAGAAGGTTATGACTGTGCTTCCTTGCGTTAGTTGAGTCGTCACTTTGGTTACATGATGTGGGAGCAGTTAATACATTAAATAAGAAGAGCTTTAAATATACATGGATGATTTGTATATATCATCCAACGTTTTAGTTGCAAATAAACGTAGAAGACACCCTCCATCGTACGTTTACAACTCTTGAAAAACAGTAACAAGAAGCTGATAAACAGGACAATTTCAAAAGTGAAGTGTTTGAGCTCTTATCACACCATCACAAGTTTCGGATAGCGGTCCAACTCGCTTATTTCCCCTCAAACAATATCTTTTCAAAAATGGATGCTGCGTTTTCTTCAAACTTGCTAGTATCTGCAGCTTCATTTGATGAGATACTGTAGTCCAACTGCAACTTGTTTTCCGCAACCATTAAGATATTTGTTTCCACGGTTTTTTCAGTAATAAATTTGTACACCGTTACTTCTTTTGTTTGACCAACTCTATGTGCTCGATCCTCAGCTTGCTTATCATCATGAGGGTTAAACGACTGATCGAATATTATGACATTGTTTGCAGCCACTAAATTGATACCAAAACCACCCGCTTTTGTAGAAAGTAAAAAGATTGGGATGGTGTCATCCTCGTAATACATATCAATCGTATCTTGTCTTTCTTCAACCTTGGTGCCACCGTCAAGTCTAACAAACTTATATTTGAAAACGGAAAGCACTTTCTCCAAAATGTCCAATACCTGTGTGAAAAGGGAAAAGATCAATACTTTTTCGCCTCTGGTGTTGATAATGTAATCAAGAACTTTTTGCAATTCAACAACTTTCCCACTATCCAAGAATGAAGAGTCATCCAACTGCCATTTCCTTAAGGTGCGTGGAAATTTGACACACAAATTGTTCAATTCGAAATCGGACATTACTGTCATGTCCTCGTAAATGTAAGTTTCATTAGCTTCCACATACTCATGTTCATTCATTATTGCCTTAGCCATCAGCTTGAGTTTTTCGTCGTCATATATAACCCGAAATAACAATGGATGCAAAGCCGCTTTCCGCAATTGCATCAATACATTTGATGACGTGGGAATAGGGTCTGATTTGCTCAACTTGACAACCTCCGCCGCAGGTAAATTCTTTCTCCTTTCTCTCTCGCCACGTATTTTTCTGCCGTCATTGAGAAACTTGTTATACAATTCGGCCTGATTAGGAGTTAATTTACAATGCACGATTTCATGGCACTTAGCTGGCAAGTGTTGCAACACTTGATCTTTCCTTCTACGCAACACAAATGGTGTCATCATTGTCTTGGCATTCTTAATTGCCTGCATGGACAACAATGGGTTATACTCTTTGGATGTAGATTTTCCATTTTCAGAAACCCCGCTTGCCTTTTGTCTAAAAATACCCACAAGATCTTCTCTTTTTTCATTAAACACCTGGGGCAAAATGAACGACAATAATGACACTAATTCTTTCAAATTGTTTTGCAACGGGGTTCCGGTCAACAACAACCTAAATTGACCTTTGAGTTTCATCAATTTGGCATACCTTTCTGATTGAGAGTTTTTCAACAAGTGTCCTTCGTCATAAACCACAACATTGAAATCCTGATGCTTTAAAAACTTGGCATCATGAGGTGATCCACAAGCCATTGAGTACGTCGTAACCAAGACGTCATAATCAGCGTCTTGTAACTCATATCTCAATTCCTCTCTTTCCCTTTGCGATCCGTAATAAGCTTGAACTTTGATATCAGGACAGAATTTGTTGAACTCACGAATCCAGTTTTCGATAGTGGACGCAGGGACCACCACTAAATGGGGGCCCTTTTCACTAACTTCTTTTAAATGTGCCATAAATGCAATCACCTGACAAGTTTTTCCCAACCCCATCTCATCGGCGAGGATACAAGAGAGCTTATTATGGTATAGCAAGTTGATCCAATTGAGCCCCACTTGTTGGTAGTTGTTTAACGTAATGTCATCAGCTAGCATAGCCGGTTTGTGCTTGATATATTTCAATCCTTTCTTTTTAATCACAACTACATCATCATCGTCTTCATTTTCGTTCTTTTCAATTTCATCATCCTGTACAGGATCCAAATCGGCTAAATCTAGTTCCCCATTTTCACCCGTTTGTGATACGCCCCATTCCTTCATCTGGGATGATATAATGTCACCGTATTCCGCGCACTTTTTGATCAAAGAGTCAATTGCCTTGTAGCCCTTTAGACTTTGCTCTGTTTGCTCAACTATTCTCATTCCCATCTTCTTTTTTCGACTATTTTTCTTTGCCTCCTCTTTAGAGAAATCGTTTTCAGATATATCATAAATAGTTTTGAACGGACGTAAACTAATCACGAGTTCGGCAGTTGCGGGCTCGATACTTGATATATCAATCAAATCTTCAATGGGTGCATTGTTGATGAATTCGAGAATTTTGCCATCAATTGTAGTGAGCCCTTCTTCATTATTCATTTCGAGATCTTCATCCGACATAGAGTCGCTAACATCGTCATCTTCGCCCAAGATGTCCTCGTCATCGCTAATTTGTATCGCATTCTGTCTGTTGTTACCGCCATTATGAGCATGGTTCAGTAATTGCTGTTTCCGTAGTTTTGCTAATTTAAGATTTTCTGCAATTCTTCTCTCCAGCTCTTCTAATTCGTCAACTTGAGAAGATGATCCACTGCTAGTCAAGCTGGTGGTGCTGTTATTGTTATTATTGTCAAAGCTAAACTTTGCACTCAACGATGATGGAGCGGGCACGGGAGAAACCGAATCTGAGACCGGTGAATTATCCCTGTCGAATAATGTACCCCTGACCAACTTTCTTTTCTTTGCACCAGTGTTTGACAATGATCCTAACCTACCGAACCTTTCAAGTGTAGTTTGCTTTGGACCTGGGTTCTTGTACTTATCAATTAAAGATTGCTTCATCTTGACTTCAACTTTTGTAGACAGCTGATCCTCTTTACTGGGTGATGCATCATGAATTTTTACCCTAGCTTTACCTTTCATCTTAACAGGGGAATCATCCTCATCATCATAAGGAGCATGAGCACTTTCACCATCACCATTTTGTTCACTCTTTTTTCTCAAGCCTGCTTCGTACTCCCGTTTTAATCGATCTTCTCTCTGTTTTTGTTTCGTGAGTTCCTCCTGCCTTAATCTCTGTTCTCTTTCAGCCTTTTGCTTTTTTAAGTAGTCCCCATAGCTATGATTGTCCTCTAGCCATCTGGTGACATCTCGTAAAACTCCTTTACCCTTAACAAATCCCTTGAATATGTCACTTTCACTCAAGTAATAGAATCTTTTCCTTATAAGTGGGAAATCCTTGTGTTCACGAATCTTTTGTCGTTTCCTTTCAATTTCCATTTGTTTTTGCTCGTCTATCTTGCTATTGAAACTCGGCTGTGCCCTGTGATTATTATCGGCATGAGATGACTTTATGACTATAGGAGATGAGGAAGGCACTTGAACATAATTTTCTTTCTGGGGGGTAGACCCCTTGTGAGTTCCATTAACTCCATTGCTTGTATTCCAGCTCATATTATGCTACCTATCGATCAAGCAAAATGTGGCTACTCTCCTTCTGCAAGATAATCAAAGTGTAAAAATATTGTGATAGCAAAGTAGAAAAAAGTCGGTCGCAAATCGATAAAAAAAAAGTTATTGAAATTTTTCGTGTGATGATGATGTTTCGTGTACCACAATTTTCTACTTTAGACGCGTCAAGTGGTAAAGATCGGGTTGAAATGACCGCAACCTTCCACATCCAAATGGGCTACGTGGCTTTACATAATTGATGCAATACACAAGCTATGTAAAACATGCTACGGACTTCGATAGACACAGTGCAGACCAGGTGGAAAAACATGGTATGCCTCCCAGTCACACGTAGCTAGTCTTGATACAATCAACAAAGAATAGACCAAGCGTGAATGGTTTCGATCTATGCCCCTTTTGCATTCATAGAGTTGGTTGCTGCAGATTGCTATCGGTCCTATACTGAAGTAATGTCGTTTAAAACGTCGATGCCATCGATGGCTATTTAAGTTTCTGCGCATACCAGGGTCAATGATTCTGCAGCGCCGTAGCAGGATACAACAAAAACCACATCATATGCACAAGACGGTATACGACGGTCGGGGAATATAAAACCCAATCCTTTTGATTTAGCACCAGCATCATGAATCTCATATCTCGTCACTTTTGACTTGGTCACTATATATTTCCAAACGCTTTCATTCATTGCATCTCCGAGTCCCTCTGGCATTCCAGATTACGGGGTTGGCCAGACCTAAGAACTTTTGAGTTCTCATAGTATATCAGATTGCACACAGCTTCTTACTCCCTCCAGTTGTCTTGAGCTTGAATCTTTTCTCCATTGATGGTATATCTTCTCTCATGTCAACTTTTCACAACAAACTCCTGAGTTTGTGTTTCTCATTTTTTGTCAAGATAATGACGTTTTCAATACTGCTGGCTCTTGATAGGGCCCTGGAGGCAAAGTGTCTCTAAATTTGATTCCAACCCAAACAAGTGGTTGGATGTAATCATCTTCATAGTAATACATGGAATGACAAAGCTCTGCTTGCTTTTCCTGTTCGGAACGTAGACTTGATCTAGGCACCAACCCACGTTTGCGATACTTTGCTGATTTCAACTTTAAAATAACTTTTCGTACCGCTTGCAATGCTCCTTTGAGAATATATCTTTTACGTCGACACTGTTCTTGCTCATCATCGATTGATAACGGTCCAAACCCTTTGTAATTTTCTCCATATTTCTCTTTTACAAAGGCGGCAACCTCTTGCTTGTTTCTCAAATCTCTAACTTGAGCATGTGGGTGTTTGACTTGTGGTGTATTCAGTGCTCCGTGTCTGGCATTGTACTTTGTTAGTTCATTCAACTCAATGTTCTCGAAATGAGTTATATCAAAATTTGCAGCAGCTTTGTGAGTGTCTTTGTCTTCGATTGTCAGTTGTGTTTACTGAGATCAGCATGTTGAATAGAATTTTCTTTTCAGTATAATAAGCTAAAATCATGTTAGCTTTGCAATCGGAGGTAAATAATAATTATCAATAAACCCATCAGTCATATCCTGAACTCAGAGGGTGATGACCAAGTTGAAAGATTGAAGACCGAATCTCACTGAGATGTACATTTTCAGAATCGATAGGATCAGGTGTAAAAAATTGTAAGATTACAGTTCACAGTGATCGCATATTGTACCTCAAGTGGAAGAAAGACGCTTTGACTTGTTCGTACTCTGAATCTTATCCATCATCAGTACATAGTTAGCGATTCTCAATCAATCATTTGTATCGATCAACATTCTTTCTGTTATCCACGATTTTCCTTCTATTGAATGGTCAAGTCTCTATACTTGAACTGTTTAGCTAGACGTTGATTGTACTCAATTTGATAGTATTGTGTTTGTCCTTGTGTATGTCCTTGTGTATGTCCTTGTGGTGTGTTCTTCCGAGCCTTCAGATCAGAACTTACTCGTCGCACAAAGTTTTCCTCAAATGTTCAAAGTCAAATTACACGAGCTCCATCCTACCACCACAACAATGTCAACACTCAGAGTAGCTTATATTCCAGAACACTTCTCAACACCATTGTTCTTCGCCCAACAACAGGGCTATTACGCAAAACATAACTTGTCAATTGAGTTTGTCAAAGTTCCCGAAGGTAGTGGTCGATTGATCAATCTCCTAAACAACAACGACGTCGATATAGCTATTGGTTTAACTGAAGCATTCGTGGCTGATATAGCCAAGGGTAACGATAAGATCAGGCTACTTGACACGTATGTGCAATCACCACTTTTGTGGGCCGTTAGTACTGGGTCCAATCGCGATGAAATTACCAATGTACAAGATTTGGCCAAATTTGGTAAAATTGGTGTATCTCGTATCGGAAGTGGATCGTATATTATGAGTTTTGTATTGGCTCATCAATTAGGATTTGGCAAATTTAATGAGTTTGCCATTTGTTCTAATTTCAAGAATCTTCGTGACTCAGTGAATAAAGTGGAACCTGATGGCGACACTGCTGGTTATGAGGTGAGTGATGCGTTTATGTGGGAGTATTTCACAAGTAAGAAATATTACGATGCAAAAGAGATTAAACAAATTGGAGAAATTTATACACCTTGGCCATCGTGGGTCATTACTGCATCGTCAAAAGCTGCGGCTGATAAACAACAAGATATCCACAATTTCGTCTCATCGGTCAATCAAGGTATTGAGTACTTTAACCACCACATTGATGAAGCAGTTGATTACATTGCATCCAACTTGGACTATTCTGCTGAAGATGCTCGTCAATGGACAAAGACGGTACAGTTTAATGACAAAGTAGGTCAAACTCCATTAGATTGGGACAAGATTGTCGTCAAGACTACTAATGTATTGAAAGATGCAAACGTTTTACAAGATGGCGATGACGTTATAACCAAGAGATTGGATGAACATGTGTACAAAACCAACATTTGATATGGTAGATTGGCACAGCTTTATAGGTTATCTATCTTTGTACAAACCCAGAAATCACACTTGTATACTGTTGATTGCAACAACTTGATATCTCCACAGTAAGTACTTTCAATACCTGACTCTTTTACAGTAAATTCAAATCCCAATTTCGTAACCAACTCAAACAAGTCGTCTCGTGTCAAGTTCAATCCATCACTAGGTCCGTTTTGCAACAGTAAAGGGCCGAAATTAATCCATTTGCCACCCTGTTTCAACACGTTGTTAATTGTTCGTATGTAGTCGATAACGTTACCAGATGCCGCATCCAAGGAAAACTCCGTCACCACAACACCAAACTCACCCTGTGATTGTGACCTTAGTTTCTGTGATGCGAAGTTGACATCACTTGGTCCCACACCATATAACTCAATAAATGACCCCGCAGTGATTGACATCAATTCGTCATAGTGGATCCTCAAAGACGCCTCCTTTTCCTGTTCCCTTCCCATAGCACTTATAATGTGCGCAGTTGGTGACACATCAGGCACAGTAACCGGTCGAATCTGGTTTTGTCGCTTTGATGAACTTGTGGCTGACAGAGCCAAGAATGGGAAAATGGAATAATTATGAGGGAATTGACAATGATTAAGAATAAAGCCGGAGGCGAATAACGCGTGATAGCTGGAATCATTCCCTTGGGTCCAGAATCCGTGCATTACCAACTCAAATACCAACCGACCACTCCCACAACCTGGCACCAAGATCTTTGTTTTGGACCGCTCGAGCTCATTTTGATATAGTTTGCACAATTCAGCAATAATTAACCGCTGTCCAATTGGTCTCTCCTCTCCGCCTTGATCGCTCCAATCCCTCATCAATTTCACCATTGTTTGTTCAGTTTGTTGAAACTGTTTGTGTGAGGCCTCAACCCAATCTGATGGCAGTACTTTGATCCCCCAATCTTGTCCGATCTTTTCAGCCAAAGTCTGACAAAAGTCACGATTGATGTCAATGCATTGTTGTAGGAATTGTGTATGTTGTTCAAACCACGGTATCAATTGTTGATCTTGGATTGATAAAGTTGCAAATCGCTGAATTCGTGAATTTATCAATTGGTTTGTTTCAAAAGTGTGGAAATTGTAGAAAGACGATAGTACCGATGTGACTGCTTGATATTCATCAGCTTCAACTTCTTGATCACTCATTCTCGATGAATACTTTTCGCACTATGCGTTACTTCTAACCGATGTGCTGGACAATCCCAGCCTCACTCGATTTGAAAATGCGCCTTGAAAATCTCACACATCGTTTGAAAATTCCACACCAGAAACAGCATTCCAGAAACAAACATTTCAAAGCATGCCACCAAAGAAAGATGCATTTGCTGACCTATTTCAATCGGCGAGTACCACAAAGAACAGTGGCGTAAATTCCAGACTCAATAAACTATCACTCGTTGAGCGTCAAAAGTTGGAGCAACAACAAGGATCAACTCATTCATTGAATTCCAGCTGGTCCAATTTGGATATCTTGTCACCACAGCCTACTAGGGGTGGCAATAGCAACAGCAACAACAATGGATCTCAATTGGCGAGTGCTCGACTGTCGAATCTTGTAAGTGCTGTGGGATCTCAGTCCAATACACCACAAGCCACTGTTGATGATAGTGATCCATTTGCTATTTTCAACAAGACTAGCAATGAAGATGTGAACAGACACACGGCGCAACCGGTCAGTACCCAAGCCAGCGCTGCAACTCCCCAAGAAATGTCGTTGCTTGATGATGACTTTGTAGATTTGTTTCCTCAGCAGAAGAAGCTACAACAACAACAACAGCAGCAGCAACCACAGAAACCGCTGGAGCCAGCGGAGCCAGTGCCGCTAGTGAAAACACCAAGACCAGAAGGGATGCCAGCCAGATCAAATGCACCATCAACAAGAGCTAGCAGATCCAATGCCTCCACACCGAGGTCCTCCAATGGTAATTCTTCTTCTTCCAAAGATCACACACTTGCAGAGCTTGTGGATATAGGATTCATGATAGAGGACGCCAACGATGCAATTGCTCATTCAGGAACAGATTTACAGAAATGTGTCAACTACATTATGAACAAAAACACTCTGCAATCACAATCCAGAACCAATTCAAGAACCAGAGCCAATACCGAAAATGATGAAGAAACAGACGATCCAATTCTTGGTAAACGTCCTGACTCAATCAATTTAAATGAGCTAGGCAACAACTTGTTTCAAAAAGCAAACACATTTATCAACTTTTCCAAACGTAAAGTTATGGAAAATATCGAACAACTCAATAATGGTAGTGTCTCACCATTTGAGTTTGGACGTGGATCAAACAATGGTTCGGCGTCACCTAATTTACCCGAATGGATGAGAAACCAAGCCAAGTATAAATCACAAGCATATGAGAAAAAATATGGCGGAGAGGATTATGGCGAAGATGAAGATAACATCAATCAAGAAGAAATTGATAGGTTCATGCAAAAGCAAAGGGAGAAGGAGAGACATAGGTTGAGACAAAGATTTGATCAGAAAATAAGTGGTGGCAGTATTGGAGACGAAGAGGGTGTGGGAAGAATGGGACGCAATAGTGTCTCTTCATCATCGCGAAGCTCCATGTCGAAAGAGGCTTCACCAGCTCCTGCAAAACCGCCAAGACCTGCTGCAAAGAATAGCTTTGGTGGTGAAGGCAAGAGCCAAGTTTCACCGGAGGCAGTGGCGAAAGCACCCACAAATAAGAAAGAACAAGCACCACCACCAGCAGAAGAAGTTGATTTATTGGGTATTGGGGCACAGAAGAGTGGGGTTATCGCCACACCATCTGATTTACGTGATACTAGTCCCTTGAATCAATTTATTGAAACTGATTATACCACCCACAAGACCAGAGCTACTGAAGCATTCAAGACTGGTGATTATGCCACTGCGTTGGAATCATACACCACTTGTCTTTCCATCTTGCCACCAAAACATGAGTTACGAGTGGTAATGAATTCCAATTTAGCATTGACCAATAAATTACAAGGGCACTTAAAACAGAGTTTGGAAAATGTTGAACAAGCTTTACTGTTGATGCAATTGGAAGAGTGTGATGTTAAAAACAATAACAGTAGTAGTTCTAGGGGTGCAACTCCGCAGTTGGCTGGAAAATCAGTAAAGTATTGGTATTTGAAAGTTGTTATTGTTAAAGCTGAAGTATTGGAGTTACTAGAAAAATATGAGTTGGCCTTGAAGACGTATAATTTGTTGGTTCAGAAATTAGGGTGTGTTGATAAGAAAGTTATGGATGGTAAGAGAAGGGTAGATCGGATCGTTAATCCTGACAGCTACAAACCAACAAAGCCAACTCCAAAACCAAGCACAACCGCATCCACCACAACCAGCAAAAGCTCAACCCCAAAGCCTGCTACAACTAGTACTAAAGCAACCACTACCAAGCCCAATAGAACAACCTCCATTGCTACTGAAGTGGAGCTAGATCCATTAGCAGTTGATGAAATCAACAATTCTATAACCCAATGGGCGCAACTGAAGAACAATGATTTGCGACAAATGTTGATCAACTTGCAAGTGATTATCCCACCAAACTCAATAACCATAACTCCCAAGTTATTGACACTAACTTTGAATGACTTGGTGTTGCCCAAACAAGTGAAGTTAAACTACATGAAGGTGATTAGTTCTATCCATCCTGACAAACTAGCTAGTCAGTTGTCTAAACAACTGAAGGAGGACAAACGGGTGCAATTGATTTGTAATGGGGTGTTTATCATTTTGAATGAACGATGGGAAGTGTTTAGAAAAGAAGAGAATATATAGAGCATGAAGAACGGATGGATCATGACGTTGTTCTTTTTGCAGCTTGTAAGTATATATAACAAGATGATTGTAATCTACATTTTGAGTTTCTATGTTGTCTGAAATATTATGTGGTGGTGAAAAATAAGGGGGAAAGTGTACTTTTCCGGTCAGTATATATGAGTTATTATTTTGGAAGCGGCATTCGATACCCATTTTTCTCCTGGTATGATTCTCTTGGTACACACAGTCATACAAACGTGCAGACCTAGACATAACATAGTAAATAGGCTTAAAACTGTATGAGTGGCAAGATGAGGAGGTTGGCGATAGTCATTGTACAGGCAATGTGTCGTCGGTTATAAGAAAGTGTACCTGTAGTTTATACGGCGATTTCCTTAAAGGATGTTTCGGCGTTTGTAATACTTTTGTGTCCTGTCTCTCTCCTCTTTGGCACTTTGATGCCACACGAAACAGGAAACTTAACACAACTGCACCACCACGGCGCAGTAAAGAGGTGACAATGAAGTTCGGAAAGTAAGTGGCAGTGGTAGAAGGTAGTCTAATGCTAACGTGTGAATTGTAATTGGGAGTATTCTTCTCTTCTATGATTAGAGTGTATACTAAAGACACTTACTTTGATAACACCACATTATGTATTGATATAGGCACTAGGCTCAAAGCTCGTAGTCCGGTATACTACGACATACATGTATTCATTGTAGATAAAAGAGAGATGAAGTGTGGGTATATTTGTGAGTATATACGATTAGTACATTTCTAATATAAATATAGTGTAGAATAAGTGAAAAAGAGAAAATCATCACACAATTTTTTTTTATTGTTCTCATACACACAATACACAATACACATTTGAGGTTAGATGTTTAACAAACGACACAGACAACAACAACAACAGCAACAACAATCACCATCACACTACCACCATCAACAGAATCAGCAACTGGTATCTCCGTCTTCTTCATCATCCTCACTTTCAACTATAGTACAGCAACAACAACAGCAGCAGCAGTACCTCCCACACCTCCTGGATCATTTTAACCATCATCACAATTACCACAGTGACACTATCCACTTGAGTCCATCGTCACCTGACTTATACTACAACAGTTGCAATAACAAATACAGTACTAATAACAGAAGATTACATAACAACGCATTTGCTGAAGACGAGTCCAATTTCATACAATCAAATATAAGACGCAGTATCTCTGCCTTTTTACAAAGTATGGGACAACAAATATCAAGAAACACCAACAACAATGGCAACAACAGTAGCGGGGGTGCAGATCATAGTCAACAGCCTGGTGGCGTACCATTGTCATACCACCGGAACAGAGAGGCTACCAGTAGCAAATTGAAAGCACAATTTTCAGTATCAGATCGACAACAACAACAACAACAACAACAACACTCACAACAGCAGTACGCTGCATCTGAGTCCACTAGTATACGGCAGAACTTTTCATTGACTCCCACTACATCACCACCAGAAGACAAAGACAACCAATACCCATCAGCATTCTGTTTGAGTCCCATTACATCTAATGAGTCCTATAACTATTATTCTGATGATGCATCGATGACTGACGCATATCCGGAATTAGGACACCATCACCACCACCACGACATAAGCTACCATCATCATCTTCGTAGTCAGTCACAACAACAATTGTTGGGAGATTCAATTGGGCCTGAATTGACTGATGTATCACCTGCATCATCTTATGGTGAAGAGGAAGTGGCAGATGTTGAAGCAACCGATACCATCTGTAAAGAAGGTTCTAGCTCGATTGATGAGCCACGGCACAAACCTAAAGAGACTGCACCACTGGTTACTACTGCTAGACCCCTTCAACCATACACCCAAGAACAAGAAGAGTTTTCACCATTGTTATCCTTACCAATGGAGATCCTCATTAGGGTCCTTGAATATGTGTATGTGGACACTGACATCTCATCTATAAATTCCAATCTTGAGAATTTCGCCAATACTGTACCTTTGTTATCCAAGAAATTCCATCAATTGTCACTTTGCTTCTTGTATAAATACACCATTTTCAATCGTCCTCATTCATTTGAAAAATTTTTGCACAATTTACAAGCAAACCCAATTATTGGAAAATTTGTTGAGTTTATGGATTTCCAACAATTTACATCAATTGGATTAGGTAGAACTGGGAGGATGAACCAAGAGATTCAAATGGTAACTTCAAGAACCATTGCTCACGCGTTATCAATGACCCCTAATTTGATGGAGTTTTTAGCCTCAGAGAATATTCAAGATGATATGGATGTATCAGTGTTGAATATTTTGTTTAACAAATTACCGAAATTGAAGGCGTTGGACTTTTGTGGTGCTAGTAGTGAGGCTTTTGCTAGAGCATTTGATCAATTAACTATAAAAGTGGAGGATTTACCTATAACTAAATTGTCATTCCACGATTGTTCAAATATTTCTCAGGATGCATTGATCAAGATATTGAAGAAAGCTACTCATTTAACTCGATTAGATTTAAGTCATACGGCAATTACATCTTCTATTTTGTTGAATTTGCCGCAAAATATTCGTCTAACCCATTTATCGTTGGCTAGATGCTCAAAATTGACCACAAAGGATCTAATTCATTTCTTGTCTACTCATCAAGCCATATCTCATGGATCATTACAATGGCTAAATTTACAAATTGATTCAAATGTCGTTAGTCCATTATCTGATGTCTACTTACTATACACCTTAAAGCATCTCAATGCACCAAATTTACAATACTTGAACATTGGTGGTATGCCCGTTAACTCGAGAATCTTGTACACAATCAAGACCAAATTCCCTCAATTGGTTAGTTTAAACATTAGTCATGCATTAAACGTCACTCTTGATGAATTGAATGGGTTTATGCAAGACAACACCACCTTAAGGTATCTTGACTTGACAGGGATAAAATCTCTAAACAAGAATGTTGTTACTTTTTTGAAACAAAATTTTCAAAGTAATCTCGAAGCTATTGAATTTGATTACAAGTCGCTTTATGACTACACTTCAAGAGGCGATTGTTTCCGAGTGCAGCAACCTCCCCCACAACTGTCGCAACTCCACCTGCTGCTGCAAATTTTCACATCATTGTCATTCATTGAAGATACAGTTTATTCACCACCTCAAGTTTGGAAATTTTACGATAACGAGGGTAGAAGGGCATGGATTTACAAAATGTCGGAAGAAGAATACAAACGAGTCACTACACAATCAAATCTCGTGTATTATGATTTAGAAACTGGTCAAAAAATCGTTACTAAGATGAAGAAACCGCAGTTTTTGAAATATGCTGGACGTAAAGTCAATTGTTCCATTGGGTATTACAATTTAAACGGGTATAAGGATAAGAAGTTTGTTGAAGGTTGTTGGCCGGTTGAGTTTAGTCAACGAGGGATTTATAATTACTATTCATTGAATGTCAAGTAAGACAGCATAGACAGAAGATGGGGTTGCTTTATCTTTTATGACTTTGCATGGATATAGCTTTCTTGTACGATGTATATAATTTAACGAAGTTACGAATTCAAGGATGACCTTCGTAAGATTATTAAATTCTGAAAAGTGTGATTTCTCTTTTTTTGAGAAAATAGGACTCTGTGGAGGAAAACAAAGCGGTCTTTTCTGCAGAAATGGGCTACTTTACTTGGTATGCTCTGTTCAATGTGACCACTACGATTGAAACGATGGATCTATCTCGTGGTGATTTAGATCATTCATCGGTTGATAAATCATTTTCCTCAGCAGGGTAGCGTTTTGCACTGACTGAATTATCCGTTCCGAACTACTCCTCCTCCTCCGGCGAAGAAAACCCCCCACCAAACTTTTCGGTAATTTGAAATTTTTTTGCTCTTGTGTTTCTCGGGTTTTCCCCACTCAAATTGTGTATTATCTCCGATCTATATAAATAGCCAACTCAGCAAAGCAATATATACTTTTCTCTTTTTCATTCCACCTGCTTTTACCCACTATAAGATTCATCCCCCCCTCCAGTATGTCCGCTCCTGAATTGACCGATATTCGTTCGCCAATCAACTTGGATAACCTCCGTACCTACTTGTCCAAAGTCTCGTCATCATCACCACAAACCCATATTGGATCAGTGGCGGAAATCCCTCGTGATTTCACCACTGTTAAACAATTTACATTTGGTCAATCAAACCCAACTTACTACTTGGAAGATTCAGCAGGTCGTAAATTTGTCTTGAGAAGGAAACCCAGTCCCAATGCAAAATTGATCTCGAAACTGGCCCATGCAGTTGAGAGAGAGTTTTTCATCTTGAATGGAATAAACACAATAAACCAAACATCACAATTGAAAGTCCCCGTGCCTCGCGTTCACTTATTATGTGAGGATGAAGGAGTTATCGGGTACGTGTTTTATCTTATGGATTATGTTAATGGAATTCAAATTAAAAACCCCGAGATCCCCGGGGCGTCGACCCAAGAAAGAGATGAGTATTGGAAAAGCATAATCACGACTATTGCTGCTATCCACTCTTTGGACTGTGAGAAGTTGATTTCATTATTACCACCACAACATTTCCCTCAATTTCAAAATATCGAAAAATTAAAACTGTCGAGTTACTTTCAACGACAAATCAAGACATTAACTGGTATCCATAAGTTGCAATCTAAACATGTGGACCCCATCCCGGATTTCGATAAAATCACTCAATGGATCCTTCATCATGGACCCAAAGACCCTACTAAATTGACATTAATTCATGGTGATTTGAAAATTGATAATCTTTTGTTCAACCCAGCTACAAAGCAAGTTTGTGGAGTTTTGGATTGGGAATTATGTACCATTGGCCATCCGTTGTTTGATTTATCTAATTTTTTGCAACCTTTTGAATTCCCCAATGCCGTGAATAGAATGATGACACGTCCAAATACCACCAAGATGGGTAGAGAAAACCAAGAGCTGCAAGAATTTCTCTATAAGCAATTGAGCAACTATTCGAAATTGGTTACATGGGATCCACAAGACCCATCCAATGATCCAACAAAGTTGTGGATTTTGGGTCATGTGTTTGGGTTGTTGAGATTGAGTGTTATTTCACAAGGCATTGCTATGAGATTGAAGATGGGTAATGCTTCAAGTGCTAATGCCTCGGCTTTTGCTGGCATGTATCCTAGTCTTAGTGAAATGGCGATTGAGTACATTGACAAAGAGGATAGAAAGGCGAAAAAGTAGATAGGGAGTTGTGGTAGAGTATAACTGTATGTAGTAAAGTGTTGTTGATATATTCGATAGTAGACCTCCTACTGTAGTCTTGTGGAAATGATGCAGGCACTACAAATACAACAATTTACTTTTTACTATGCCTACGACTGAGTCAATCGATCCTGTGTGGGTTGAATAGGGTTAGCTAATAGGACTTGACACATCATAGCCAAATAAATGTTCAAACCCACCCAGTACTGGTCCTAGTTGACTCTATTACGTCATTTGCCTCCGTCGTCTACAGTGCCAGTATATAAATACACACATTCATGCGATCTCGTCCACTATGAAAAAACGAAAACACAATCTTAAGCCTCAAAGGTTATTGAACGCTTACTTCCAATGGTATTCACTCCCACTAGGAAGTATACCACACCTTGTGCCTCCCAAAACCCCAACCTCCTCGCGCGATGGTCTCACTCTTCTCAATTTGTGTAACAATGACGCGCGTACCTTTTTTTTTCAACAAGACACAAACCAAATACAAATCAAAACAACAACAATAAAGGACGACATTCTTGTACCGGTGATGGTTTCAATAACAATAAATATATTAACTGAATCTTTGTTAGTAAACAAACACAAGCGTCGAAAAAGGTAAACAAAAGAAAAACGGCATTACAGAGCAAATCACAAGAAGATGGGAGTGGGGAAATCTTCATCGTGCTTCACCACTAGGGTCCGTATTGATCCACAATACACTATATAAAAAGAAGCTTCGAATACAGAGAGAGTTCTCCATTGGCTCGATCAACTCAAACAACATTCGGTTTTTTATCCAACTATTGACACTCGTTTACAACAAAAAAAGCTGCCAACCAGAATGCACATCTCCACCGTTTTGTCAATCTTGACCTTGTCATTGTCAATCTTTGGTGCTCCAGTCGACAAAAGATCATTGTCGTCATCCTCAATCCCAAAATTCCACACTTTGGACTTTGATATCGTTGATGTGACTCCATCGTCACTGAAAAGAGAAAAAACGGAAACAATTTATCGTCGTACATTGTACTATTTCGCTAGAGTCACAATCGGATCAACAAAACAACAGATTGGTGTCACAGTTGACACTGGAAGTGCTGATTTATGGTTCCCTTCAAATGATGCTACTTGTACTGGTGGCAATGATTGCAAATCGTTGGGGACCTTCACTCCGGCCATATCCAATACTTTCCACAATTTATCCACTCCAGTAAACAACAATTATGGTGATGGCGATGGCGCTAGTGGATATTGGGGTAAAGATGACTACTGGTTTACTGATGGGACCAAAGTCGAGCAAATTCAATTTGGTTTGATGAATTCAGTAGGTAGAGAAACTGGCGTGTTAGGGTTGGGATTGCCCGACTTAGAAGCTACTAATGAAAAGTACCCCAATTTCCCCGCTGCTTTGAAAAACGCTGGTATCATTGACAAGACAGCTTATTCGTTATACTTAAATCTGGCCACTGCATCAAGTGGCAGTGTCGTATTTGGCGCCATTGATAAAGCTAAATATACTGGTGACCTAGCTGTACTAGATTTTGCCGATTATACATGGACGGCAATCAAACTTGATTCTGTAACTGCGCCCGATGGAACGAAAATTGATTTGAACATTCCCGTTGCATTGGATAGTGGCACCACTTATATCCAATTGGACACGGCTGTTGCTAAGCAAATTTATCAAACCCTTGGTTTAAGTGAATCTGGCAGTGCCTCGTGTGATCAACTTTCATTGGATAATAATCAATTGACCTTGAATTTTGCTGGCGTTTCCATAACTATCCCCTACAAATCATTATTCTACCAATTTGGAGGTGGATCTTTATGTCAAGCTAGGATTTATGGATCTAATGATGGGAACAATTTTTTTGGTGATTTGTTTTTACAAAATGCTTATGTTGCATTCAATCTTGATTCGAAGAAAGTTGGCTTGGCCAAAGCTAATTATAATGATGCAACCGATTTGGTTGATTTTTGGTTCTAGGTAATGGTTTAGGTGTCAATACAGGTTTACCTTTCATGAGGCTTTGATTGAAGTTTAGAGACAGAAATTAGACGGTGAATCTTATACTAATGGAAACGTATCTATTCTACGTAATATTAACTCTTTAAAACCAGAAGTCGACAATGTCACTCTCATCGGTGTGCTTCACTTTGCCCACACCAAGCTTTCCTGTTTCAAAGTTATTGGTAAGATAAAGATTCTTAATGAGTGGAATACCCACATTTTGAGTTACTCCATGACGCCTTGTTGATGCAATACGTGTATTGCAGCCAGTGTGCTTATCGTTCCAATAAAAAACATCTGAGTATGGCACGTCAATCAAGACTCCCTGTCCGAAATCGAATTGGAGTTTCTTATTTCCACTCAAGGCTTTATCACACGAAATCTTGCCATTCTCATCCTTAACCTCATTCAAAATTTCGTCATGGATTTCTGGATCTAATCCAATGCCTGGATTACCGGTATCTAAAGCTAAATTACTGGGGAACTTCAAAACAGTACCGTTGGCCGAAGTGACAGATATAGCAGGAACAGACAACGTGCTTTTATAAATTGCCAACTCTCCTTCAATCTTTGCTTTGTCCACCCCACCTAAAAGGAATGTTCCTTGACCTCCAGGACTTGCATAAAGCGAAAATCCAGCTTGGTTGATGTACCCCGCTTTCTTAGCGGCTTGGGCGTAGGAAACATTGGAGTTTTTATTTGGTCCGATTCCAAAAATGCCTGCAGTGTAAATAGTTTCATTGACCAAAGTAAACTCGAAATTTGGAAGCTTGTCTCCATTATCAAAATAGAAATCATCGGTCAGCTTGAACCCGGTGACGCGTCCAAGTGCGTTACCCTCACCGTACTCAATCTTGCTGAATTTGCTAAGGTTTTTGAAGGTGGTGGACTCAGTGGGGTCGAAAGATACATCAGCCGCACATTCCCGCTTAGCAGAATTGCATCCACCGCCAACTTGGGGGAAGTTCAATGCCCAGCTACCAGTATCGATGAAAACTTCGACTTCTTGTTTGGTGGATCCAACTTTTAATTTTGTGAGATATCTGGTGGTCCCTTCTTGATAACCATAAAAATCTTCCAGTTCATATCTTTTTGCAAGAGATGAATGTTCAACTTGCTCAAGTGGATAGGCAATGTACTTGACATGTCTCTTTTCGATGGGTGTAGCAGTGGTAACAGCAGCAAACAAAGTCACCAACAATGACCATTTGAAAAACAACATTTTGATGATGGGTCTATTGTTTGATGAAGGGTGCCAATTGGGTCAGAATGGGGGCAAGGACCTCCAAATTTATAGTATGGTGACCAGCAACTATTCTTCCCAATATTATGTGAAAAGCAAAGAGATAGGAGTGAATGGTGCCATGTGGGTGTACATCACAAAACTTCAGTGGGAGGAATAAGTCTATGGATGAATGTAATGATGTCGTTTGTTACACAAATTTCATTCATTTCAGCATTCAATGGTGGTGGTGCACACAATATTCCAAATAGTAATTCTCATAACCATTTGAGGGGTGATTCAAATCAAGCATCGTACATTTCCCACTACAATGACGTATTTATCCGCTCATTGTAATTGTGGTTTGCATATTCTTTGCTCTTTGATTGGTAAGTTATAAACCATTTATCGCTCACCAGAACATTGCAAATAGAAAAAGAAGAGCCTATCATTCTCAAAAAATCAGTTGGATGCAGTTCATTGCTATTCACATTGCTAGTTTAACAAAGGCAGATTGCGCATCAGTTAGGGCTTATTAGATATAGGATGATACCAAGGGTCACCTTAGTTAAATCACATATACGCTAAACGCTGTTTCATTAAAGTTTTGTATATTTTATTTATTAGTATCTAACTCTCTGAAACCAGAATTCAATAACGTCACTTTCATCACAATCATTAGTATGTGATATTAACTGAAACCAACGTAGAGGATGAACAAAAACTCGTCCAAGTTATAGAATAATCTTTTAGCGGTCTCATTGCACCTTAACCGTCTACGCATTGTTAGAAGGATTACCCAACAATTTCATTCCTATCGGAGTCAATTTTTTTCCAACTGTGGTTCCGTATGTCTCATAACCTTTTGAGGAGCCAATCTCTAGAAATGCAAGTGGTGCACATTTTCGTTGCCTTCCTGGTTTGTATATTCGTCGGTCTGTAATTGGAGAAGGAAAATGCAGATTTCGAACTATTGAAATCCTTTCATTGTTAAATTTTTATAACCATTCTGCGAAACACATCAAATTCGCGGATTAACGTTCTTCAGAGAAATGTTGTTGAGTAACACTTGACTACACTGCTAGCCTAGTTTGGTGGTAGGTTGCCGGAAAGATGCAGATTCAAATCAACCAAGGTCTTCCGTGGTAGTGACTCGCGCAAAACAATCTCACATATAAAGGGAAAAACAATTACACTATCGCACTTATAAACAGCTTGGCAGGGGTGATCATCTACATTCACGTCAAGTGTAGAATAATACAAACAATTGAAATCTTTTTTTTCTAATTTCTGTGTAATTATTGCTGCAAAATATTACACAATACAGATGCTGCACAAATGTCAGATCTATTTTTGGATGCCCACGTGAAAGACTAACAGAAGTAATATTGGTTATGAGCCATGCAAATATTCCCCAAATGAGTTTCTGTAGCAACATTGAAGTTATCGTTACAAGCTCAACATATCGCACCAGAATTCGGTTAGTTTCTTCTTTCGGTACGCTAAGGAAACGCATCGAAGCCGAGAGGGGGATGAAAAGACCAACGAACTTACGAAAATGAAGAATTATGGGGATGCGCGATTACACAAATCAGTCAAAGTTTATTCGCAATAGAACTTGAATCCATTGTGAGCTAAAAAAGAAAAATATTTCACGCAAATCAGTCTTGAAATTCCGGACCGGCTTTGTAACCGAAATCAAATTAAATCTATAGACCACATTGCATCTTCAATTACACATTGGGACGTTTTTTGTAACGACGCAGTTCACATTTTTCAAGAGTTACTCCTTAATGTTTGCTTTGCCCGAAACTACCCACTGTATTTTGTGACAGAATTTCACTTTCATGGTTATGAGTTTTTGGCTACACCTTTGTTCAAAACTTCTCTCACAACTTACATTGTTTAAGGCTTCCTTCAATAGACTCTGGTGGGGGAAAGGGGTAGAAATTGACTTCGATTGATCTATGAAGATGCACTCCTGAAACAGCAATCAAGACTTTTTGTACCGGTGTGTGTGTGTGTGTGTGGAAGGTTACGAGAATTGCAACCACTAGAATGAGTAATCATTCAACATCAGCTTACCAATTAGACGAACAATACGGATCAAAGTAGCAAGAGAAGGTATTACGTCATTGTAACATCAAAGAAAGGCCATTGGATTTTCTTCGCCTATTATGGTTATGAGTACTCAAATTGGGCCTCAAATTGCACCCATTTCGATCATTGGACGAGGAAATGTTGGGCCTAAAATGAATTGGGTTTAACCAATAGAAGTGATTGTATCTCGCACCCCCTTCAAGTTTTGTGATGTACACCCACATGGCACCATTCACTCCTATCTCTTTGCTTTTCACATAATATTGGGAAGAATAGTTGCTGGTCACCATACTATAAATTTGGAGGTCCTTGCCCCCATTCTGACCCAATTGGCACCCTTCATCAAACAATAGACCCATCATCAAAATGTTGTTTTTCAAATGGTCATTGTTGGTGACTTTGTTTGCTGCTGTTACTATTGCTACACCCACCGAAAAGAGACATGATAAGTACATTGCTTATCCGATCGAACATGTCGATCATTCATCTCTTGCAAAAAGATATGAACTGGACACGTTTGACGGTTTTGCAGGAAGTGGTGCCAGATATATTACAAAATTAAAAGTTGGATCCACCAAACAAGAAGTTGCAGTCATTATCGACACTGGAAGTTGGGCATTGAATTTCCCTAGTATTGATGCCAAATGCGGTGGCAAAGCGTGTCCTGCAGATGTGGCTTTCGATCCAAAGCAATCGACCACTTACAAAAACTACAGCACTGTCCTGAAAAGTTATTATGGCAGTGGTGGTACAACTCATGCTTTTGGGTTCAAGCTGGCTGATGATTTTTATTTTGACAATGGTGACAAGCTTCCAAATTTTGAATTCACTTTGGTTAATGAAACATCCTCCCCAAGAGGTATTTTTGGCATTGGATACAATACAAACTCCAACACTTCCTATATTTTGGCTACTAAGAAAGCTGGGTACATTAACCAAGCTGGATTTTCAATCTATTCAGGACCAGATGACAAAGGTGCTTTCCTTCTAGGTGGTGTCGATAAAGCCAAATATGAAGGAGAATTGGCACTTTATGAAAGTAAATTGGCTGTTCCTGCCAAATCCATCACAACAGCCAATGGCACAGTTTTAGAGTTCCCCAGTGTTTTGGCTTTTGATACAGGTAGTGCTGGCTTAATATTGGACCCTGAGATTGTTGACCAAATCTTTCGAGAAGTACGTGATGAGAAGGGCAAAATTTCATGCGATTTAGCCTTGAGCGGTAACAAGAAGTTCCAATTTGATCTTGGTCAAGGAATATTGATTGAAGTGCCTTACTCGGATGCTTTCTACTGGAATGCCGATAAAACCAATTGTCAAACCCGTCTTGGATCAACAGGACGTCACGGAGCAACTCAGAATGTGGGTGTTCCGCTTCTTAAGCATGTTTTCCTCACTCATAACTATGACACCGGAAAGCTCGGTGTAGCTCCAGTGAAGCACACCGATGAGAGTAACATTGTCGACTTTTGGTTTTAATTAAGTAGAGTGTATATTCTACTAACAAGTTGCGAGATCTACATTTGAACCTTGTCAAATTCGTTCTTGATTTTCACTCTTCTCTTCTGGTGTCATCTCTATACAACAGATTTCACCTCAAAGAATCTTCTCAAGTAATAAATTTGGAAAAGGGAATTAGCAGCAACAACAAAAATCTGGAAAACTGACCACCATTTAACTCTAGAGTTGGTAGATTCAGCAGTATTTCTATGGGTTCTTTCTCTAATCACCAAATACCCTTGTTCAGCTTTAACTTCATCCGTTAATGCACTCAATCTTTGAATAGCGTAATCCAAAGTATCAGCTTTAGGATCATTAGCATCAACATAAACAACCCCGTGGATATTAAAACTAACATCAATATCTGATCTGCCAGAATGCTCATTTGAAAAACAGTATTGGTATTTTCCCAGTTGCATAGCTTTAACTGATTCATCACCATGGTCGATGTTGGTACGTTTGACTAGGGTTTTTCCCTGGGGAGATGTGATGTAGAAATCAACCACATGTTGTTCGGGATTGGATGGGTTACGAGATCCAACTTGGAATGAAAGGGCCAATTCGTCATTTTGTTTCAAAGTTTCGAAAAAGCACTGCTTGCCATATGGTTGTAAAAGGACATTGTGAGCCAATATTGATGACATGAATAAGAAGATGGATAAGAGCAACTTCATGGTGAAGGAGATAGGGCTATTGAGTGGGAATAAGCTTTGCTTTCGGGATAGTTGTTTGTTGAATGAAAAAAAAAAAAAAAAAAAATCCAGTTCGTCGCTCAATACGTGTCGACTAGAATTTTGGCCAATACACGCGTGGAATAAAGAGAGTGTGATTACGGCGCAACACAACGTCCTATGATATTCTATTACAGTTCTTTTCAAATTATATACATCTCCAAATAGCCTTTTCTCTCCCCCTCTTCTTACTTCTTCAATAACCCAGCAGTGGCACTTCTTGCTTGTTGAATCATAAATTCATCACACAATACAAGAGCAGCCATCGCTTCAACAATAGGAACAGCTCTTGGAGTAACACTAGGATCATGTCTTCCCCTAGCTGCCAAAACACCATGCTTACCATCATAAGTTGCTGTCTCTTGCTCTTGACTGATTGTAGCTGCTGATTTGAATGCAACTGAGAAATAAATGTTTTCACCGTTGGAGATACCACCCTGAATACCACCGGAGTTGTTGGTCTTGGTTCTTAATCTATTGTTTTCCGCATCATGAATAAAAGGGTCATTATGTTTCGATCCAGGGATTTGTGTACCCAAGAATCCAGATCCAATTTCGAAACCTTTGGTGGCTGGTAAACTCAACATGGCATGGGCTAATTTAGCTTCCAATTTATCAAAACATGGTTCACCTAATCCAATTGGACAATTACGAATGACACAAGTGACAACACCACCAATGGAATCTTTGGCATCGCGGTATTTCTCAATAACTTTAACCATTTCATCTCGTACCCCATCATCAGGGCATCTTACTGGGCCAACATTATCAACTTGTTCCCTAGTGATTGTGTTTAAGATGTTCTGGAAAGTTGGATCTTGAGCATTTCTGTTCATGCTAACTTCACCAATAGATGAAACAAAAGCAACGATTTCAACATTGTTTACTTCGTATAAAATCTTTTCAGCAATGGCACCAGCGGCAACTCTTCCAATAGTCTCTCTAGCGGATGACCTACCTCCACCTGATCCTGATTTTAATCCATATTTCTGTATATATGTGTAATCAGCGTGACTTGGCCTTGGGTATAAATCAGTTTCACTATAATCACCAGGACGATGATCTTTGTTACGAACAATCATACCAATGGGACTACCCAAACTAACACCATTTTCAGTCCCACTCTGTATCTCAACTGCATCAGCCTCATTTCTTGGGGTTGATAATTTACTTTGTCCTGGTCTTCTTCTTGTCAATTGTGGTTGAATATCATCTTCAGTTAGTTTTAAACCTGGTGGGCAGCCATCAACTATACAGCCAACTGATTTACAGTGTGATTCCCCGTAAGTTGTAACTTTGAATAACGTTCCAAATGAAGACATGCTGAGGGAAAGTAACTAGCTTGAGATGAATTTTGATTGTACTTGGAACAGTTTTTCAAATTTTTTTTTTTCACATTTCTAAGTGGAGTCATTTTTAGTACAGAGAGAAAAATGAGTCAATCACTGGAGCAAGTTTATATTGACTTTCAATAGGATCCATATAAGCTGCTATATATACGTACTCCTCTTTACAGTAAGCTGATCAATGGTTTGGGACACATTTCTGCAGCACTTCGCAATTTATGTTACCCCACCCGACGCTACATCCAACGTGATATGAATCTTTGATTGGCACATTGGACCTATAATACTTGCTCCATGGTAATACTTGCATACACCCCGGACTGAATATTCTGTCCCGTTTCTGCATATCAGCCCAGTAGACTTGTTGTTGATACCATATTTGCGCCGGTCCTCTACCGCTAATCTCAGCAACAAATGATAATACCCGATCGTATCACGTTGTAGTCCGTTTCCGTCATCATCTGGCAAGTCTATACTCCTAATACCACCTTAAGTCACTTCACTGACAGCTTGTACCACCTCAAGCAACATAATTACCATCAATACTATCAACCCTTTGAAGTTGATTGCTTTATTTCTTCCATTGCTTGTTCCGTTCTTTTGTGACTGTCCATATCTTTCCTTATATCTACCACAAACATATATTGCTTTGATGATTGTTTCATTGTATACAGACGTAGTTAAATTTCCTTGTGGACCACAATCGAATTTGAGTTCTGGTATGTCTGTCATGATATCAAAAGTTGCTGGGGCCTTTTAGTTGAGGGACTTATTGTCTTGTCTCTGACGGTACAAGTTTCAGGGGAATACTTTACCCTTTTATAGTCTCATTAACACTGCACCATGGAACATCGCTTCCGCAGCACTGGTGTCGTTGGAAAAGGTCAATTTAGTGAAAACCAATTTGTGTATCATCGAATTACGATTATCGGATATCGATAAAGTATGAAAGGACGAATCATTCAATACGATGTCTGAATTTGTCAGTGTATAAAATCGCTGATTGGTTTTCAATATTGTAGCCACATGCATGAGCTAGAAATGGCTCTGAAAATGGACTAAAGAATATACAGGTGACCAAGAAAAAACAGGCGATGTTTGCAACGCCTCATGTGGTTCGTCGCCCAGGTTTTCTTCCATTGCTTCTCGTTGATATGGTCTTGCAGATATATTACTGCTGTAAAGTCACGTTCATTACAATGAAAACATCAAGATGGATACTTGGGCGATGCCGTTTCCAAAGCAGGTATCGCTGTCAGATAGCAATCTACATAGCAGTTTATCTCACCTATAATAACCAAGAACTGAGACGACATATGTCCTGTGGTGACGTAGATTCTTTGTTTCTTTTTTTTTTTTCTTTAATTTTAGGCAATACAGAGAACGGGGGACATGATTACTCTTTTTGGTTAGAAGTACGAAGTTGTTATTGCCTAAAGTTGGCCAATTCATCTCTATGTTATTATTAAATCTATGAACGTACTTAACCATAGTCGTGTAAACGTATAAAATATTCAAAATGTAGTTATGTACAAATTCGGTCTCATTTCCGCCGTATGAGCAACTTATACTTGCCAAACACATCAGTAATTGGTCTATAGCACAAAGGTTTGATTCTCGTAATTTTCGTATTTCTTTTGGCGAGGGCGAGGGGAATTCGCCAATTTGGTATAGTACTAAGCTGGTTATGCTGAGTATTGTAATTGTTCTTTCTATATCGTGCTACAAAGGCTACAGAATGTGTGGACGCCTTGCTCTAATACATGACAAAGTGTATTTATGTGTTTGAAAAGTTAAGGTGTTGGATCATTCCATGCATTCATTTGCCCTATAGTAGAACAATTGAGCTCTTTTGAGACTTTACACTACTTTAGTGAAATTAATGTTGATAATGGGCAGAATGAACCAATGAGTTAAACTCAATTCCATTGGAATCCCAATTTTCGGTCAAGCACGTAATGTTATTGTTATCTGATGGCTGCCATATATACGTACTCCTATTTACAGTAAGCTGATCAATGGTTTGGAACACATTTCTGCAGCACTTCGCAATTTATGTTACCCCACCCGACGCTACATCCAACGTGATATGAATCTTTGATTGGCACATTGGACCTATAATACTTGCTCCATGGTAATACTTGCATACATCCCGGACTGAATATTCTGTCCCGTTTCTGCATATCAGCCCAGTAGACTTGCTGTTGATACCATATTTGCGCTGGTCCACTTCCGCCATTCCAATTACATGTGAATGAAGAGTCCTTAGTGTATGACCTGGTCAATGTGAATGAGGTAGAAACTTGTAATTGCGCCAAAGTTACACCTCCTGTTACTGACCACCCATAAGTGAATGAGTATCCCAAATTGATGCTGCAACTACTGGGTCCTTTATCACAATAGTGGCAGCATGACACAGGGTACCAAGGAGACCACCAAGTACCTGATTGAGCTGTCTGCCACTCTCTCACTGTAGATACCTGTGGACCCATAATTTGGCACCTTTTTTCAATATTCGAACTATTACTATTGACTTCTTCAACTTGGGCCTGATCGGTATCTACTACTTCATAGTATCTCCCGGTATAGGTGTCGATTATTGCAGTAATGTTCTCTCCCGCTAATCTCAGTAAGAAATAATCATCAACAACGTCCGATTGTGTCACGTTGTAGACATTTCCGTCTACATCAGGCAAATCAATCAATTGAAGGCCAACATTATCCACGTCACTGATAGCTTGTACCACCTCAAGCAACATAATTACCATCAATACTATCAACCCTTTGAAGTTGATTGCTTTATTTCTTCCATTGCTTGTTCCGTTCTTTTGTGACTGTCCATATCTTTCCTTATATCTACCACAAACATATATTGCTTTGATGATTGTTTCATTGTATACAGACGTAGTTAAATTTCCTTGTGGACCACAATCGAATTTGAGTTCTGGTATATCTTCTGTCATGATATCAAAAGTTGCTGGGGCCTTTTAGTTGAGGGACTTATTGTCTTGTCTCTGACGGTACAGGTTTTAGGGGAATACTTTACCCTTTTATAGTCTCATTAACACTGCACCATGGAACATCGCTTCCGCAGCACTGGTGTCGTTAGAAAAGGTCAATTTAGTGAAAATCAATTTGTGCATCATCGGATATTGTAGAAAAATACGAGATGACGAATCCTTCACGAGAATTCGTGAACTTGTCAAAGATATATAAAAGCTAGTTGGCTTGTAAATAGTTATTGCGCTCTAGGCATGAACTATTTGGAGCAAAAAATGGCTGCGTTACACAGTGAAAAAAACGCCGTGTGAGGTACAGTACAAAAGATAATCGAGTAAAAAGTTTGCAAAACCTCATCGAGGATAGTCACAAATGTGACTATTGAGCTATGAACTGGTACGACTTGACTGAGTTAGAAGTGTGCTACATTGGGAGTTGTATGGGATCCCAAAAAGTATGATGACATGTGTTCCTACCTTTTCGTATTCAAAGTGGCCACAGTTTGGACTACTGATGGATTCAAAATTTTCGCTAGTATTGTTTCCAAAACAGATTTTGCAGTCGAGTGTTAAAGTAAAAACTAGTTCTGCATAACTTACAACACCATCATCATCAAAGTGTCGCTTGTGAGATTAACATTTTCTTTCTTTACTACAACGAATATAATTACTCAAATAAGTTTGTGATTTCTTTCGATGAATTTTTTGTTCCCGATTTAAAGCAAAAAATTTGTGAGGAGGTCGTAACGAGTGCCTTACTTAGGAGTAGAACTTACTCTTCTCAACCGCACCTGCCAAATTCCAACTTTTGAAAAAGTCCGATTTTTATTTTTTTAAACTCCGTAAGCCAAGAGTTCCTCCCTCAACATGGGACATTCGAAAGTAGATTTTCGAATCCTGTTCGCTCACACGGATCTAACTCTTCAATCCCAAGCCTTTTCTTCAATCCACATAAAACCATGCATCCACTCCTAATGATCATATGTTCTCACGCTTCAACAGGTGGGGTTAGTGATGATGGTTCATACATTGCCTCCATTGGTTCACCTTTATGATTTTATAAGCGCAGTAAAAGTTTTAACTGTTGTTTCTATCCCGAGATCAACCGCCTGTAACCATAAAAAAGTCACAAGAAGCGAAAAAGCCAAGCGCAGTATAATAAGCCGTCAGGCGACCATGTTTGACAGAAACATTCTACCGCCTGAACCATTCTGAGGAGTTACTATATATATTATCATCTCCTACTTGATCACGGTAATGCCATTCTTTTGGACCCTGAATCGTATATAAACTCATCATTAGGAGAAGTCACGTGTACACTCACTGTGTGTATTTTTTTATTTCATATTTTTACCCCTCATTTTGAGAGATTATTTTTGACACAAGGAATGCCTTTCGGATGGAAGGGAGAAAAGGATTATTTTAGCGCAAGCAGTTGACATCTGCACACGACTCTCCGCAAAATTCTTCCGAAAACAAAAATTCAACAAACTACTCACCCACAATTTCCCACTCAACAAAAGAGAATACAAAAAGAAGCTCTCTTTCCCCTCTACTCCTGTTCTTCTTTTCCATCAACTTTCAACACAACCAACTACTCTACCAGATATGTCTAAATTATTCACCAACGTTAAGGAATTACCACCAGATCCATTATTTGGATTAAAAGCAAGATACAATAAGGATTCACGTTCTGATAAAGTTGATTTAGGTATTGGTGCTTATCGTGACAACAATGGTAAACCATGGATCTTGCCCGCTGTCCGTCAAGCTGAACAAAAATTGATCAATTCACCCGAGTACAATCATGAATATTTATCGATTTCTGGGTTTGAGCCATTTTACACTGGTGCTGCTAAAGTATTATTGGGAGACAAATCCCCCGCTATTGAAGAAGGTAGAGTTGTTTCACAACAGAGTTTATCGGGAACTGGCGCTTTGCATTTAGCTGGGTTGTTTTTGAAGAAGTTTTATTCTGCAGGTCCCCATACGATTTACTTGTCACAACCAACTTGGGCTAATCATAAACAAGTGTTTGAGACATTGGGTTTAACGGTAAAGACGTATCCATATTGGGATAATGCCACCAAGTCATTGGATTTGAAGGGGTTTTTAAATACTATTAACCAAGCTGAACTGGGTTCAATTTTCCTTTTGCATGCATGTGCTCATAACCCAACTGGGTTAGACCCCAATTATGAACAATGGAATCAAATTTTAGCGGCATTGGAAGCCAAAAAACATTTGATTATTTTTGATTCAGCTTATCAAGGCTTTGCTTCTGGTGATTTGGAAAAAGATGCTTATCCAATTCGTAAAGCCATTAATGATTCAGTTGTTAAATCTACTCCCATCATCATTTGTCAATCATTTGCTAAAAATGTCGGTATGTATGGTGAAAGAGTTGGTGCTATTCACGTGGTATTACCCACTAAAGATGATGCTTTTGGCAGAGCCATTAAATCACAATTGAATTTAATTATCCGTTGTGAGATTTCCAATCCACCTGCTTATGGATCCAAGATTGTTTCCACTATACTTAATGACAAGGAATTGTATTCACAATGGAGAAAAGATTTGGTGACAATGTCATCAAGAATCATCAAGATGAGAAATGCCTTGCGGGCAAAATTGGAAAAATTGGGTACTCCAGGAACATGGAATCATATAACTGATCAAACTGGTATGTTTTCATTTACCGGATTAACTCCTGAACAAGTTGAACGGTTGGAAAAGAAGCATGGTGTGTATTTGGTTTCTAGTGGAAGAGCATCAGTTGCTGGTTTGAATGATGGAAATGTTGATAAAGTAGCCAATGCAATTGATGAAGTTGTGAGAAACTCCAAAAGTTCAAAGCTTTAGGATGCTGACTGTCTTCAAGTTTTTTTATATAGTTGATAATACAGTTTTTTATACAGGTGAGAGGTTAGTTTTTCAATTTTGCAAGCTTACTGAAAGCAGACACATTTAAAAGAGAAGTTTTGTAAAGATTACATTTTCCCATTTTTATTTTTTTAACCTTATTATGTTTGTTTTTTATTTCGTTTAGTATACACATCTAAAACACATATACTTTTGCAAAAATAATTATGATACATGTAAAAATGATAAAACCAACTTCCGTTTGATGAACCATGGTAAACTAGTCATTTCTTAGTTCCCAGCGCACTCTATCAACACCAAAATCACACCTTCACGCCTTCACGCCTTCACGCCTTCGTGCCTTCGCGCCTTCACACCTTCACGTCTTCACACCTAACTTCTTTACTTTCTTCTAAAGGAACAACCTTCGGTCAACTTGGCCTTACCACCAGTTGGAGTACACAACACAGTAGAACATGAATCACAAGTGACGGCAGTTTGAGCATGGCTGAAAACAGTAGTAATGTTTAAACATCCTTGGCATTTGACATCCATGAAAAAAGATCTTGGTTGTTGAACCAACAATTTCAACTTGTGTTGTTTGGCTTCGGTGGCTGGGGATGGGTGCAATAAATCTTGAACTAAAACCTAGAGAAATAAAGGAGTTAGTATATGTGGTTTGGTTATTGTGTGTCGTGAGCGAAGGAGATGTGGCAATGGGTAAGATGATTGAGGAGGGGGGGGCGAGGTGGGAGATTGAAGGAGTGAAGTGGAAGGCGATGAAAAAGACCTGATTAGATCTCAATTTGCGGTTTGGTGGTCTATGATTTCCAATTTCATTGTGATGCTCACTCGAGTCTCCCCAACTTGGTTTTTTTTCTCCTATTGAATGCTTTTGAAAAAGACGACTTGGGTATCCCTTCGTGTATCATAAACTGTTCCACTTAAGAAAAAGATCTCAATATATGCATAAGTAGTCAAGTTTCCCCCCCCCCCTCCTCCATTCCAAACAGGAGTGGCAATCATTCATTCATTCAAAGCCGTGTTCCCAACTAGTCTTTATGGAAATGATCCTCTTCATGTAAACGCTATCCCTTTCAAATTTTTCATAATTCCCCCGTTTGGTAACTTGCTCAATCTTTCCTTCTCTCAATCTCAGTTTCGACTCAATCAATGCATTATCCCTCGCTTAGACATATTTATCTCCTTCCTTGATTCGATGGGCTTATGAAACATACCATTATGTATCCTGTTGTTTATTCAAATAAGCTAATGTGTATAGGACTAACTCTGTTCTTTGAAAAAAAAAAATTTTGAAGGAAAAATTTCTCCTCAGTTTGAAGTTTTCACTTTCTGTCTCTATGCTTGTGGTTACACAAAAACGAATAGTAATCTTATGTATTGGACTGTAGTAGTTATAGCACTAGGGTTACAGCCCTGGTTGGTTTTGCAACCAAAAAATGAATATAGCCACAAGACGACTAGAGGGAGAGAAACCACATCATCGAACTACAAAACCTTACCCTACCATTGCTTGCGTACAACACATAATGTTATACAGATACCCATAGTACATTACTAAGCTGAGCATTAGTAAAGATTAATCCCAATCTCACGGTTCTACTTCTAGTTCTATGTTTATTTCTATTCGTCCCCTCCCCCCCCCCCTCGCAACTAAGCTTTACAAAACTGTCTTTTTCCAACTATGTCTACAAATCTCAGTAATTGTAAAAACAGCACAAATAAGTTCGTATATATTGATAAACAACTGAGTTGTCACTAAAGTCTCAAGAATCTGGTACCTTTAGCAAATACTGTACAAAATACTAAACTATGGAAAAACATAATAATAATGAATCGATATAATATAACATAAAACCACCAGTCAACAACAGTCAACAACAGTCAACAACAATCAATAACAATCAACAACTCCAGTCCTCTTCTTCTTCCATATTCTTCCTTTTCTCTTCTCGCACAAACACGCAATTTTCTAAATATACAAAAACTTACTACCCAAAATCACTAACTGGTAAATATACAAACCAACAACACCAACAAAATCATCACCAACACCAACACCAATCCTCAATTCCAAAAATAAAACTTATATACAAATCCTCTTTTCCTTATTTCACCAACTAAACGACAAACGCACGCATCACTCACATAATCACTCTCTAAAAAAGCTCTAAATACTCGAAAAATCAAGGAAAAAAAAAAAAACCTATATAAACAAACTCAATCTGAAAGAAAGGAGGGGAACAACGTTAACCTAACCCACTCCCTATTCATTCTAAAGTTTGTCTACGTCGTAACTTTATCTTTCATCTATAACATCTATCAAGTATCAGCCCTTCACCCATCGTCAACAACAGAATGAGAAAAAGTAAAAGCAACAATGTGTGTGTGTGTGTGTGTGTGTGTGTGAATAAGTGCGTGTGTGTATGTGTGTATGTGCATAAAAGGAAATTGGAAATTTGTTAATAATACAAGGCCATTTTTAGGAAAAATGAAACAAAAAAAGGAAAATCTGTTGGATAAAATTGGGACATCACATCATCAGAAGTAGTAGTGGTAGTAGTAGATAGTTGGTTGTAAACTTGATCAATAGAAACAGTATGTCATTCTCTAGAAAGCACCTGCTCTTTATAATGTCAATCAAAAGCAAATGGTAATTTTTAAGTTGTGCAATAACTCTTTGTTTGTATATATATATGTGTGTGTGCATGTGTGCATGTGTGCATGTGTGTGTGTGTGTGTGTGTGTGTGTGTGTGTGTGTGTATGCAACTAGTGTACATGATGCAATTGGTGCATTTCAAATCATTTTGAATGAATGGACGAACAATGAAAATAAGGGGGTATGTTCTGTATGCATACTTGTATATGTATTTGTGTGTGACGAGTTAATTCTCTTAGCAACTATTGTAATTGTTATGGTTGTTGCAGGTGTTGCTGTGTTGCTGTGTTGCTGTGTTGCTGTGTTGTGGGGTTGTTGCAGGTGTTGTGGTTGTTGGTGTGGTGGTTATGATACAAAAAAAAAAAAAAATTAAACAAAATTGGATAAAAAGAAAACAAAGGCGTTATTGATGGCACAATCGGGGGGTTATGCATTCAATTACCCTCTTATTTGGTTGGCTTCTTTGGTTTCTTGGTATTGGGGTTTGGTCTATTACCACCAGCACCACCAGCACCACCAGCGCCACCGCCAATTGAAGATCCAGCCGAGGAAGGATACCTTGGTTTTTTATCAGCTGGTTTTAAAATTTGAAATGAACACAATAATGATTCATCAACCGACATCATTGCACCAGCATTATCAAACTCACCACAATAATTGGGAGCTGAAAATAATGTAACCAATTGACGTTTACTGAAAAATTCATATCCATCTTCAACAACTTGATGAGCACGACAAATTAAATCCATATCATGTTTTTGTAAAAAACGCGAAACAACATCAGGGCCAAAAGTAAAAGAAACACCACGATCATTTTCTGACCAACCAGTAATGTCCTTATCAGGATCCGACCACAACAAGTCACACAATAATCCAACATCAGGAATATCAGTTGGACGCATAACTCTTCTAATTTGTTCCATTGAATTCAAATCGGGTGATAATCCACCATGCATGGTGAATATTTTTTCATCAATAATGGCAGCAATTGGTAAACAATTGAAGCAATCAGTAAAAGTTTTCCAAAGTTTTATATTATATCTTCGTTTACATTCATCGTAAAACCCATAAATACGATTAATTGATGCACATTCATGATTACCTCTCAAGATAAAGAAATTCTCAGGGTATTTAATCTTGTAAGCCAACAAAAGACAAATGGTTTCCAAACTTTGTTTACCTCTATCAACGTAATCACCAAGAAACAAATAGTTGGCTTCAGGTGGGAATCCACCATATTCAAACAATCTCAACAAGTCGTAATATTGTCCATGAATATCACCACAAATCTTGATGGGTGCTTCCAATTCCAACAAGATTGGTTGTTGAATGAAAATTTCTCTAGCTTTGGTACAAAGATAACGAATCTCGTGTTCCGCAAGAGTAACTTGTTTGCCTGGACGTGATCCTCTAACTTCTAGTAATCTATCAACTATGGAGTCGATATCGGCTTCTTGATGGTCTGCTGTTGACATTGTGGAGAAGGAGCTATATGTGTATGTGTGTTGTAAAAAGTTTTTTGGTTTTTTTTTTTCTTCTGATTTGATGTTGTTGTGGTTTTTTGATCAGTAAACTCTTCTTGAAAAGTAACAGTAGTGAGTAGTATTAGTAGTAGTAGTAGTAGTAGTAGTAGTAGTAGTAGTAGTAGTAGTAGTAAAGTACTAGACGTATGCTACGACAAAGTATATATAGGTGGTTGAGGTTGAGGTTGCGGTTGGTCTGCTATGTAAAGCTGAAGGTGTAATAAAATGTAGAAGAATAGGGGGGGGGGGGGTGTGTGAAATAGTGAAGGATTTTTCTTTTGCTTTTCTTCCTTTCATTTTTTTTTCTGTTGGTTTCTGTTGGTTTGCTGTCGTTTTTGTCGTTTTTGTCGTTTGTGGTGTAATGTCGTGATGTCGTGATGTCGTAATGTCGTGTAATATTGTTCTATTTTAATCCTAGTTCCACTTTTTGTCTTGATTAGGCAAAAAAAACAAATTGAAACTGTGCAAAAGTGTAAAAAGTGTGTACCAAAAAATGTCGTATACTACAAAACAAACAAGAACAACAGACAGCACACCACCTTATACCCTATACCCTATACCCTATATTCTATATTCTATACCCTATATAAAGTAGAAGGTGTGCATCTCTTATAGTTTTGAGTGAAGTTTGACAGGTGGTAGTATATGGTAGTATATGGTAGTATATGGTAGTATATGGTAGTATATGTGTCGTTGTTACATTTAAAACACAACAAAACACACTTTTGAAGTACAAATGATATTAGCAAAGCTTCTTCTTCTTCTTATTCTTCTTCTTATTCTTATTTTTAATCTTACTCTATTATACCAATGTGTGTTTTCTAAAACACATTTCATCAAACAGATGTTGTATAGCTTAGTGTTAAAGATGAGGGGAGAGTAATAATAATAGTAGTAGTAGTAGTAGTAGTAATAAGTAATAGACATAGAGACCTATTGGCTATTACGACATTTTATTTAGAAAGAAAAAGAAAAAATAAAAATCAACTGATGAAACAACGACATTGCCTTCCTTACACTCAACACAATTCACACAACTCACACACATTCACACATTCACACATACACACACGTGTTTTTTTTTTTTTTTTTCTTTTCTCTCAAGAGCATCTTATTTGGTACTTTGTCTACTAATTGGTCTTTCTGTCTTCCTGTCTTCCTGACTTCTCTTCTCATAGTGCAGTTTCTAATTATTCACTGACTCAATTTCATTCTCTAGGTCTTTCCACTACCTCCTCCTCCTTTTCCTCCTCCGAAGCACGGGTTTCGAGAGAAAAAAAAAAAAGTACCAAACTTGTTGTTTTTGTGTTAGTTATCTACGACATTTATTTTTTTATTTTTTTATTTTTTCTTTTTTTCTTTTATTTATTTTTTTCTTTTACAATATTTTGAATGACGCAATTTCATAAATGACTCACATTTACACGACACTGAACTGTAACCTATCATCATCATCATGTGACTCTTCTCTCTCTCTCTCTCTCTCTCTCTCTCTCTCTCTCTCTGTATTGAAAGAAATCAAAGCTTTTAACATTTAGCCAAGGTATTGAGAGGCGTACTCCTGGGAAAAAAGGTTTTAGTGTCGATGGGAGTTTTTTCCTCAAAAGTTGGCGCTTTTCTAGCAACATTCGACTTAAATGTGCTGGTTTTTACATGGAGGGCAAACACTTTCCGAGACAAAGACTCATCAACCACTTGCAATCAGCTAAAGCTTCTCATCAATTGTAATCACTACATTTTCTTCCATTGATAAAGACTGTTGGATATCAACAGTCACGTGCACCATTTCTCGCTTTCTCTCTCTCTCTCTCTCTCTGTCTCTCTCTTATCACCAAAAATAACAGATATTTTCAAATAGAATCACATTGCAATTTTAGATCTAGATCTAGATCACCCACCCTGTACACACACACACACACACACACACACACACACACACACACTTGCCATGAGCAAAACACGACAACCACAACAGCAGCCACCCCCTCCATTCCCCAACAAGTACAATGCTCGTTTAGTAGCCCAACACGATGCCAAACCATGCACCATATGTTTCAAACCAGCAACAACTGTACTTCTTGCTGAAAATCAAGCCGATTTCTTCTACACTTGTGTCCAACATCTCACGGATGAACAATTTGCATCACCTATTAAGTCTGAAGAATATGTCGGGCTCCAACAACAAGTTGATGACTTGCTGCGACAAGTTGATAAATTAAAAATCGATGCTGATGCTGCAAAACCATATTTATGGGGAATAAGCACCTATTGGTCCAAAGATACCACCACTTCTACTTCGAAAGAGAAGGAGAGGGAGAAAAATAAGGATAAAGATAAGCACGATACTAAGGAAAAAGACTCAAATTCAGATTCACAACGTAGTAATCAACAAACGACTAACAATTATGAATCATTACGCAAACAATTACAATCAACACAACAAGAATTGCAAACAAACCAAACGAAATTAACCAACTTCAAATTCAAGCAATATATTCTAAATCATCAAGTTTATGCCAATCGGTTAAAACGACATCAACAAAAGAAATACAATAAACAACGAACTGAACTTATTCACCAACCGGGGTTTTTCCCACAATTACCCAAATCATAACGTAAATTGAGTTTTATACAAAGTTAGTTACAATGTATATATACACAAGACACACACACACACTAACACACACTAACACACGCACAAAGTATATGCATAAACTCTCTCCCTTTCTTCGTTTCTCCGTTTTTCTGTTTCTCTTCATCCTCATTTCATGTGTTTACTACTTTTTCATCAAACCAACATTCCCATTTATCAATCTTGTTCTTCAACACACTACCACTCATGAAATCCATATTACCTTCCAACTTATCAAATGTGAAATGTCCTTGTTCAGATCCAATTATACTGAGCCAAAACTCACGTAAGTTTTCCCTGTACCCAGCATCTCCACCACTACCACTACCACCACCGCCACCACTACCACCACCATCATTTCGATTTCCACTACTCTCGGCACTTTCATCAACTTCGTCAACTAAATCAATGCCCGATGTCTTGTCAACATTGTTGATTTCATTATGAATCAATTTATCAATTTCCAGCTCCAAAATACTTTGAATCTTGTGTATTGGTAACGAATCAAATAAATCACCCTTGTTGATGGCAAATAAAAAATCAATCCCATTGTGTTTGCGTTCAGTAATGGCTAACAAATTGTACAAAAACTTGGTAATCTTCTCCACTTCACCAGAAACAGAGGCAGTGGAGGCAGTGGAGGCAGTGGAGGCAGTGGAGCTCTTAGAGCCACTTGAGCTATTTGATTTGGCCGCCCAATTGGTACTACTTGAATCAATGACAACGATAATACCCTTTATATTTGATAATGTGATATCATTCTTGATCAATTTAGTAAACAAGTTCCAATACTTCAAGTGTCCCGGATAATCAACCAATTGGAAACTTTTACCAATACTGGGGGTGGCTATAGGTAATTTGATTTCACCAAAATTGGGTTCAATCGAGGAAACTGTAGTTGTAATCTTCTTTTCACTCTTCTTCTCATCATCATCATCTTGTGTGGTATTACTGTTATTGATTAAACGGTAAAATAAGGCGGTTTTGCCACTATTGTTGGCTCCACATATGATAAAACTTGGCTTGTAGTAAGGCGATTTATTGCTAATTTTTATAGTCTTTAATCCACCTGATTGTAAGAAAAACTGTACAAGTAGAATAATGAATCCAATTAATATGGATAGTAATATTATAAGCACCTTATCCATGGTAATATCAATTAATCTTCTTGGTGAAACTGGATGAAACGCCTGATGATGTTAATTGATGATGATTGATGATGAAAAAAATGGAAAATCAAAATTGTTTGAAAAAGCCACACGCGGTAAATACTCACTTTCAAGAAAATGTAAACAACCACCACCATCATCACCACCACCACCAATACACACACATACACACATATACATCTATACCCAGTCACAATGGAGAATCCACATGAGCAAACACACAACATGCTTCTAGCAAGAATAATAACCAACATGGTACGTCATATCACCCATCTCACAAAACTCACAAAGAAGAAACATCCGACTCATTTTGTTATGAATACTAACACCACTTTTTTCCCCTTTAGGAGAATTTAAATGAATCAGTAGCTGAAATGAAAAGACTCCTAGGTGATGCAAACAAGAATAACTTGCCTACGGAAGTATTGGCCAAGATGTGGGAGAGTTATATCAGAAATGCCGAGTATCACTTACAAGCAACGGGACAAATGGAAACCACACTGGCAGAAAAAGATGATGAAGAAGAGCAGTGGGAGGAAAATGAGCAAGAACTTGAATAGTGAGTAAATATAAAGCGAGGGGGGGGGGGGGGGGTGTGGTTGTCAAAAGTTGATTGTACTGCCACCTGGTGTGGCTAGCATCAATTCACGATCAAGAGAATGCAATTCTCAGAGTAGCCATCAATAAGTGCAAGAGTGAGAAAACTGGTACAGAATGTGCTTTAGGAAACCCCAAAATATCGAAGGGTAAGATCGCGACTCACATATGCTTGGCTGCTACAGACTCAACCCTGAAAATATCTAATATACATTCAACAAAACATCCTATAAAAATCGAACCCCCAACTCTCCTAGTTTCTTCTCAAACAAGACCCTACTCTGTTTTCTGTGTCCGGGGTTTAGTTCTGCGTTGGCAACAACCCAAATCTCTTTTTCAATGTAACTCTTTGTCTTGAATATTTATCATCAGGACTAAATCTAGCGGGATGGGCTGAATCGGTGATTTGACCGGATTCGGTGATTTTCTTTAAAGTGTAGATTCTCTTGCCATCGGCATCTAAAGTGTACATCAAATGCATGTCTGTTATTAAGTTGTCTGGGAATTTGGTTTCTTGATGGTCTTGTGATGGGAATGATGGTGATGATGATGATGAGGAAGGATTATAAATTTTTCATTTAAACAAATTTGTTCAATGTCATAATCAAATGTCGTGCGATAGTATTCTACGACATTATCTGAAAATGAAAAAATAAAAAAAAAAAAAATTTCAAACTTTTATGGCCTTGGTTTCGATACCCATTGACCACAAGTCAAAGCTCTCCCGTTCCCCTTGTCCCCACCACCACGATGGTTACGATAAACCACTTCAACAAGGATGTTGCTACTCACAAAAAGATGATCTATAAGAACCTATGTGCCAATGTCATACGTAATGAAAACATAGTAACCACACAAGCAAAAGCCAGACAAGCACAACCTCATATTGAACGATTTTTGAGCAAAGCACTCGCTGAAAGTAAAGCCATCGCCAAAACCACAACCGCAACCACAACCGCCACCGACACCAACAACAATAACTCTTTAATATCTGCAGACAAGCTCAATAAGATCAAAGCATTTGATTATTTACAACCACCAGATAAGCAAGATGTAGGCTTGAAAATAATTCGTGAATTAACTAATCGGTACCAAGACAGGGACCATGGTTTTACCAGAATAATCAAATTAGAACCGAGATTGGGTGAAGATAAAGCACCAATGTGCGTATTGGAACTAGTTGACTCGAAATACGAAATTAAATTGTGGTTTACTGCCAAGGCGGTTGCTAAATTGGAATTGCAAAATATTCCCTTGGACGATATAACTGAATTGAATGTGAGGAAATTGACTAGTGGTAGACCGGATGGAGAACAAGTGTTTAGGAATGCTGTTGAAACTTGTAAACGGGAGTTTTTCAAACATGGAGTTGAAAAAGAGGCAGCAGCGGGAAAAGAGAAAGGTGCCACTGCGGGTACTACAGTTGATGAAAAATTGAAAAAACTGTTGGAGAGTTTGCCAAATATGGAAAGACACGTTGGGGAATTGAAAGGGAAATTGTTGGTTTCTAAAAAATACAAGACTAAACCAAGAAGGACAAATGCAACAACTCCCAAGGAATCAGTGGTGCCTCCATCGCCATTTTTAAAATCAGCATAGATTTTGTATACGAAATTGTACATAGTTAAAAACAGTCTCATTTAGTCTTTAGTTGAAATGAGGAGAGTGAAAAATTTTGACTAAAGTCACACGGTGTGTAAACATGCGCGTCAAAATTATCAAAACAAAAACAAGATCTTCTCGAGGATTATAATTTTCCTCCCCTTCCCCTTCCCCTTCCCCTTCCCCTCTATCTCTCCAAAACAATGTGGTTCTCCAAATCCAATTTCCCCGTTGATGGCAAAACGGCAATAATAGTAGGGGCATCCCAAGGCATTGGTGCTGACATCGCCACAAAACTTTACCATAAAAACTGCTCGGTGATTCTTGTTGCTCGAACACAATCAAAATTAGACCAACAAGTTAAACGGATCCTCGATATGCCTAAACAACTGTACCCAGGCAAGAACCACACCGCCAAGATTGCGTGTTATTCATGTGATGCTTCCAATTATGATGATTTTGTCAATTTATGGAAACAAATTACTGCCCATGGATATGACCCCACGATTATCTTTTGTTGTGCTGGATCTAGTGTGCCCAAATTGTTTAATGATTTGACTTCACGAGATCTTGATGCTGGGATTGATATCAATTATCGGACTGCATTGAATGTGATTCATAGTGGGTTTAAGCATTTACTCGCCATAAACAGTGGTGACTCGTCTTCATCAACATCTCCATCTTCATCTCCACCTTCATCTTCATCATCATCGTCTTCACCAATTCCACCCCATGAATGGCCTCAAAGACATATTATAATATTCAGTTCAGTAGTTTCATTCTTCCCATTCGTCGGCTACTCCCAATACGCACCAATGAAAGCGGCATTGGAATCATTATCAGTCATTTTACGACAAGAATTGAAGCCATACAATTATCGAGTCTCGTGTGTGTTTCCAGGCAATTTCCAAAGTGAAGGATTTGATGAAGAACAAAAGACTAAACCACAATTGACAAGAACAATTGAAGGTCCCAGTGTCCCCATCCCTAGTAGTGTTTGTGCCGATATGGTATTTGATCAGTTGTCCAAAGGGTATGATACTATAACTACTGATTTTATTGGATGGGTGCTTGGATGTAGTACATTGGGTATATTGCCTCGTCAATGGGGGGTTTTCCAAGTCATTGTTAGTTTTATTCTTCTGATTTTTGCTCCAGTGATTAATTGGAGTATAGCTAGAGAGATTAAAAAGCATTTCAGTGAAGAAGCAAGGAAAATAGATTAATGTGGGATCTACATACACAGTAAACACGATATATGCATGTATAAATTGTAACCCTTTTTATGAACATTGTGATTAATTGTATCTCCCTGTTTACTTCTTATTCACCAACAGTTCGGCAATCTTGTCTGTTAATTTATTAGCTTCACTATCCAATTTAACTCCCAACTTGTACCAATTTATACCATATATCCAATTAACCATCTTGATAATCTCGTCATTCCATATGTCTTTACAAGTTTCCCCAAAACTGACTCTTTGCTTCAAAGTAATGTGGTTATTGGGCAAAGCAGTGTTTCTATACTCAGAGTCAGTCAAGATTCGATTATTGATGATGTTGTTGGATTGTTGTAAATGTTGCGAGATAAATTGTTGGTTGTGGTGGAATGTTTGGGCTGTATAGTATGTCAATGCTGATGTTAATAATACCCCACCGAGGAACCCATGTATTCTACCTCCCATTGTGTTGTTGTTGTTGTTGTTGTTGTTGTAGGAAGAGCTGATTGACAGTTTATGCTAGAAATTTTCTTGTATTAACTCCAATTGGTGCGCAAACAAAATCAACGCCCAAAAGGCTACAACCAACAAAGCTCACTCAAGATGGAGGAAACAAGAACAATAGCAAATGAAGCTACATATCAGCCAACGCTCTTTCGAGTACGACTACCAGTCTATTTACAAGATGTCTTCTCTATACAGTTTCCACTTCCTCTTCGACTCCATTCCCAAGATGTTTACCGATGGCATTATTCAAAAATGGAATCACTTCAATCTTGTCCAATTTACGCGATTGTCCTGATTCTCTCAATTGCTTCACTTGGTCAATAGCCTCTTCAACATCATACAAAAAGAATGGCAACTCTTCCATTATTCCATTCAATGGTAAATCCAACTCAACTCCTTCTGGATGGTGTTGTTCCAAATACCTATTTAGTTTCACTTTACTGGTATAAGTTATCCCCTTGACGAAATTAGGGTCAATATCCTCATGCAATGTATCTAAACTCAATGTTGGTTCAATACCGAAAAATGCATACTGTAATCGTAATAATTTAGCATCCATATCGTCAATATCACGTTCATCACAACTAATATACCTCTCTTCAAACTCATCAAGATATTTTTGTTGTTCAGCATTGATTTCGGGACTAGCTTGAGCCCTTTCAAATGCAATGTGTCTCTCCAACAACACCTGTTTTATCCTCTTTTGTGTCTTGATAAGTTTATTATCAAGCATATTAAATTGTCTAAAATCACCCATTCCCAAACTTTCACCCAATCTTACTTCTCTAGCCAACACATTACGTTCTTTTAAAGTGAGATACCACAATGTATGTAAATCCTCAAATGACTTGCGACGTAATTCAGCACTAGTCCATTCTCTTGAATCCAAGTCTAATTCCTCGGATTCACGTATGGCACTTTTGGTTTTGTTTCCAAGCGGGAAAAATTGCCATAATGGATGGTCAGGCGATACTTCAAAGTTTTTCACAGTGGGTGGGATGGGGGCACGAAGTTTGATTGTTTTTAAATCAGTGAATTTTAGCGGTTTGGCTCTGGCTAGTATCGTTGCATTACTCAGAAATGCTCGTATGGGAGTAAAGGACATTGCTCCTGCGGTGGGAAGTCTCTAAACTAAAGTGAAGAATATTTTGAAGTGAATAATCAGCTTTCAGCTTTGAGAAAAGGATTTGAAATTTTTTTTTTATTTTTTTTTTTTTTTTTCTTTTTCAGCGTCTCTCTGGCCAAAGGATTCAAAGACTGAACAGACAAACGCCAGAAGCACAACCCATCACCTGTATTGAGTAAAGCACATACGCACACCCATCATCACCAACCCAATACATACCCATGTCATCAGTACAAACAGAACATAAACAACAACAAGAGCCCCTTGACTTGATACGATTTCAACTTGATGAATACGTTATTGTCAAATTAAGAGGCGCTCGTGAATTTAAAGGTAAATTACAAGGTTATGATAGTCATTGTAATTTGGTATTGAGTGATGCTACAGAAACGATATTCTCAGATAAGGATGGCGTTGAACCAATAATAAAAAGGACAGAGATGGTGTTTGTTAGAGGAGATTCTGTAATATTAATAAGTCCCGTTATAGAATAAGTTTTTAATGATACACATTTGTAAAACGAGTCCTACTCTTCAGCCATCTCAACATCCTCTTCTTCATTGCCGTCACCATTTACAATATGTTTGATTTTCATCATCTTTTCTGCATTCTTGCTCCAACTATGTTTAGTAGACTCACCTTCATCTTTCAATGTTTGAATTTGTTCCACTGTTTTGGCAATCATATCATCATATTCATCCAATGTCTTGGTATTTGATATATCAAACAATGTAGATCTCGAAAGTTTATAAAGCACATGCGACTCATCATACTCATCGAATATCCTATTATTTCTCAAAAATTCATCAATGTGTCCATTATGTTCACCAGCATCATTCAACACATGTCTGATTTGTAATCGTAAATCATCTTTACTAAACGCCAATGATTGGTAATCTATCTGCATGGAATCTTTCTCCTTTTGTTCCTCGCTTCGTTCGCCTTTTAGTGATTTGATTATTGACGAATGGATTAATCTAGCGGAAGATTTCTCGATATTGCTGTTGAAACTATTCACAAGCTTGGATATTTTGTCTAAAAGGGGTTTTTCAATTTTCTGAATTTTGGTTATCCTTTTTTGAAGTTCTTCATTCTGAGCTGTAATCTGTTCCAATTCGTGTTTAATTCCAGTGAGTATATCCGGCTTCCTGTTTTGCTCAATTCGAAGGAGGTTGATTAGTTCATCAATGTGTGTCTTGTATGTTAGTTCAACTTTATGCAACTCAACTTCTAATTGATGTAGTTTGAACCGAGCCATGTGTGGTTTACTCACCACGGCAGACGAATCCTCCTCTTCTTTAATTGGTTCCTCAACTTGTTTCGTTATTGATGTATACAACATGAGCAAATCTTGTCGAAGCTTCAAGTACGACGAAAATATGGGATCGTAATATTTGACATGGTTCGTAGCAACATCGTCTATAAACACCAACTGTCTCGGTGTGGTCATTATTTATAGGTAAATAGTGGATGAAATGTAGTTATTTTATCTCGTGGAGTTTTTCGATGATTGGTAAACTTTTTCTGTTTTGTTCAACATTGCATTGAGTGGGAGGATTGTACGTAACACGGAATGATTATGGCTTCATTGGACCCACAACAGGATGCTCAGCTATACATATCTACAGTGAAACTGTTTGTATCTTCCACTGGAACCCAATTGGCTGATCAAATAAAGCTAGTCAAAGTAGCAACTTCCAATAGCAAGCCATACTACAATACAGCACACAATCTTTTGAATGTGTTGCTAGTAAATACATATCCCGGGACTGTTCCTTATTCATCCATATACAACATTGCAGAGAAGATATTGGATGAGCCTGAAGCTGCTGACGATGTGTTTGTGGAGGGTACCTTGGATATACCGAATGAAACATCCCTTATAGCTACAGCAAATGATTTACTACATGATATCAATTCAACAGCTCAGTTTCTAAAATTTAGCCACACCAGCTCTTTATCGAAAACTGAAAACTTGCTTCGCTTTTTACAAGCAAAGACTTTACATCTAAGTCAGTTCCACCAATCGGTTGAGGAAATAGATAGTCTTTTTGAAAATGTCCATTTTGATGAGTTTCGTCAATGGTACAAGGGAGTGCTAAGACCCTACAGCTACTATTGGATCCACTATGGAATGGTTTATCAATCCAATTATTCATCACTTCGAGAATACCTTTTAGCAAGAGATTTGAAAACCAAGTTTGATATTTTTATTGCTCCACTTAGCTCCAATGAAATAAGAGGTATTGAATCTTGGATCAAGTCGACAATATTACCACTCTTGGATTACCATGGTTACAATTTAGCCATTTTGCTGAATTGGATGTTTCATGAAAATCACAAGGGTACAGTTTTTAGAAAGTATGAACTTTGGCATGGGGCTATAAAATTGATAGCTGATAAGGTGGATGCTTCCAAGTTGGATGATATTACCAAAGAGTACCTTGCATCGTGCTACTATTACGCACTCAATGATGAGTCGTCAACTGTTTCCTCCATCGAGTTGACGAAAATCTATGACATAATTATTGAAACGTTGTCGTATTTCCCAAAACAAGATTCCCCACCACCACCACCACCAACGCTTCACCTCGATGAGCTCCCCCATTTTGAAAGCTTTGACACGTTTCTACAGGATATCAATCCCCTCTCGCCATTGTTTGACCCAAATCAAACACAGTTTTTGATACAAGCATTGAAAATATGCCAGAGATTGTATCCTTTAAACAAACTTACTTTAAAAAAGTACCTTGAGTACAAGCTCAAGATTGGTACAGTAGACTTACAAAAGGAGGTTGCAATCATCACATCTAACATATCTAGTTCGAATTGGGAGCAATTGATTCAACTAGTGCGTGCGTTCGAGGATGAGTTTATAACCTCAGATCAGAAATCAGCGATTGATTCAGTCCTTTTGGAAAGATTATTGGCGACAAATTTGTATCAAGTTGTTGACGCTCTTTATGATGATGGATACTTTCAACTAACAAATCAAGACATTTACGATTTGGTTGTGGAGACATTGTGGGAGAGATTAAATCAAGCGACAAATTTTAATGAAAACATTGGATCGTTACATCATGCTAAACAAGTTTTCCAGTTTCTTGAAAGATTGTCACGTTCTGATGGATTGAATGAAAGAAGTCACAAGGATATTGTCCGTTACAAGCATCTATTTCGAGCTATGCTTTTGATCAAAAACTTTAAATTGGTTTACGATAGAAAAACCCCCTTCACTCCAAAGGATTTACTACAATTTTCAGCCGATGATAATCAAGGATATGAGCAAAAATGTATTCAGTTGGCAATGATGATTCTCGAACATAACCCCAAGTCATACCTTGCATTTGAAAAATTGTTTCGTATTCTCAACGACTTGATGTTATATTTTGATGAAGATGGTGAGCTGGAACAATCGGACACTAATGGATGTTTCGATAGATTGAAGAGCGCATGTATTGAGAGTGCTCTCATCGACAACAATTTCTCATATGCATACAAACAAAGTATGGAATTGATTGATCATTTCGCCAAGTCTTCTAGTATTGATGGTTTTTGGCTCACTTTTTACCAAGTAGGGAAATATGTCTCACCAAATTGGATAGATGAGGATTCTGAATCTAATCGCTTAGAAATAATGATCAAACAAAGGGAACTATTGTCACAGACTTTGCAAAAGATAGACTGTGATGGGCATGTGAAGGTGATTTTGGACCAGTGGAATAGACTTAATGAGAAGATTGAGCATGACTATCAAAGTATTGATCAACTTAAATTTGCAGGTTTTGAAACCAAGAGTGATGCAAAAGGACCCGAACTTAGTCAAGTTGAATTAAATATGGCTAGACTTCCGGACAAGGCTGGTGAAAAAATTTCCAACTTGTTTGTTTCGGGATTAGGTTGGGCAATAGGTGCAAATAAGTAAGCAATTAAAGGGGAAAGGAAATGATCGTTTCTGTATTGATTTGTATGAATGACATTTGGTAGGATAACTGCTCCCACAATCTCTTTGTAGTGTGCAACTTTAGCTTTAAGTATACGACTAATATCTCTTAACCCTATTTCACGTTTCACTAAACTATTTAATTGTTCATCTCTAAATTCTAAATATTCTTTGGTAGTTATAATTTTCTTTGTTGAATATGTCAAACTCCCTCTTGTCTCGTGTCCCTGCCTGAGGTAGCCAAAAGTAAATGCACGCGATCGGAGATTTTCAATCCCAATCGAAAAATACTCAATGAGTTTCAAAAGGATTTCATATTCATTTCAATAGTATTTCAACCACACCAGAGATTCACACTTAAATTAACTCCCTGCTTAAAAGCACAAGACCGCATGAGGCTATTGGATTGTGTTGGAAGCTAACAAGTAGATGAGAATATTACAAACAATTGTACGAATAAGCAGATCCAGAATCATACAACGACATATACACGCGTCAGCATCACAAATAAAGATTCGAAAAGCATTGTTTCATACATCAAAGGGACTTGTACTAAGTCAAACGCATCCTAAAGCCCCAATGGCTGAAGGAAATGCTTCTGGGAGCAGCAAGGTTTTGGACGGTATAGACTTTGACGACTCGTTTGGAGAAGAAGAAGAAAGCAGCAGGAATAGTGCTCCAGCGAAAAGTTCAAAACATGATCCTGAAGACCTTGATGATGTGGATCTAGATATATTTACATTGAGCTATGTTCCTGAACCTGTTGAGCATGAAAAGAACGATGCAAAAGACGCGATCGAGCATGATGATGATGTGAATGATTCGTTTGAGTTTTCCGATAGCCTACCGATGCTGCGAAAGACGCAACTGGAGGTTCCAAAGCAAGAAGATGCTGTGGTAGAGACGCAGACGCGCGAAGCGAAAGAAGCAGCTGAGGAGGTCCAACCATCGTTTGAATTTAGTGACACGACTCAACTCGAAAGTCTATTGCAATACCAGCCAAGCAACGAACACCAATTAGGAAAGTCAAACGTTACTTCCGGTGTGGTAAAAAAGGAAATTGAAGACCTTGATGCCGACAGTTTCACGGAAAGTCCATCCAATAGCGACGCGTTTGAATTTAGTGAGAACGATGACGAAGTTTTGGCAATGTTAGACGATGCTGAGTTGCATTCGCAATCGCCCAACAAGAATGACTCTCCACCGGTAGTCACTCGCGCATCATCTTTCAAACGGCTGGCTTCTTCATCACAGCTGCCACCAGAGTCCAAGAGGAGCACTATGCTGCAGTCGCAAACTCAAACAGTAAAAGCTCCTGCTAGAAGCGGAGTATCTAAGTTTATTGTCACTTCGTCACCGCCGAAAAGCTTGCATACGCAGACACTGCAGAGCAAAGCCTCGGAATCAAAGGGCTCACCCGTAACCAATCACCCAGTGGCAAACCCGCCTGCTGAAAGCAACTCTCCGCAAAAAGTGTTTGCACGGCCATCTGCCAAAATTTCTTCATTTACGTACAGAGGTGGTACGGCTACAGGACCTCTGACTCGCAATTACTCAACTGTTCCGCAACTAGAACGTCCGAGCAAGACTCCAATCAATCACCATACAATCCTCCTAGCGACACAGAGACCATCCGTTGAAAAAAGCGAAATACCTGAAGCTGAACAATCAAGAAAAGTCGTTCAGCCAATCATTTTATCAAAGGAGCAAGAAATTGTCCTTCAAAAAGTCCTTCAGGGGACGTCTCTATTCTATACTGGATCTGCAGGAACCGGGAAATCAGTTTTGCTTCGATCCATAATCAAGTCATTGAGGCGAAAGTACCCCACTGGAGTTGCAGTCACGGCTTCCACAGGGTTGGCAGCTTGTAACATTGGTGGAATCACGTTGCACAGTTTTGGTGCAATTGGTTTGGGGACTGGTACGGTGGACAATTTGATCAAAAAAATCAAGCGAAATAAAAAAGCGCATGGTAGGTGGAGAGATACAAAAGTATTGATTATTGACGAGGTATCAATGGTTGATGGCGAGCTATTGGACAAATTGAATGAAATAGCAAAGAGGCTAAGGAAAAACAATGCACCTTTTGGTGGCATTCAATTGGTGGCTTGTGGTGACTTCTATCAACTCCCTCCTGTAGTGAAGAAAATCAGTGCTGAAGGTGATACAAGAGATGATGTTGAAGCATTCTTTTCGTTTGAGAGTTTGGCTTGGAATGAAACTATAGAAGAGACAATTATTTTAAAGGAAATTTTTCGACAAAAGGGTGACCAAGTGTTTATCAACATGTTGAATGAAATGAGGGACGGGAGGATTTCTGAAAAGACTGTTCAAGAGTTTAGAAGGTTATCAAGACCATTGGAATGTCCTGCTGGTATTCTGCCGGCTGAGCTCTTTGCAACTAGAAACGAGGTGGAAAGAGCCAACAATCGACGCTTGAATGCCTTACCTGGTGAAACTGTCAGTTACCACGCGATAGATTCGGGGTCGCTACAAGAGCCACAAAAGTCGGCACTTCTCCTGAACTTTTTGGCTCCACAAGATCTTCTTTTGAAAAAGGATGCTCAGGTGATGTGTGTCAAAAATTTTGATGAGACTCTCGTTAATGGCTCTTTGGGTACCGTTGTTGACTTTGTTGATAAGGATACATATATGAAGGCATTCAAAGACGGTGATCATGTCGATGAAGAAGGAAACTTGAAAGACTTTATTTTCAATGATCCTGACACAAGTATAGGTTTGACAACAGCAACTTTGACTCAAAAAGTAATGACTCATGACGGCAAGCAAACAGATGATAGGAAGACGGAGTTGAACAATGATTTATTAGGGGATTTCAAGAATAGAAAGTTTCCCTTGGTTAAGTTTTTATCACCCGATGGGGTCAACAGCAGGACTGTGCTTGTTGAGCCAGAACAATGGACAGTGGAGGATGAGGATGGGCGCGTACTTGTGTCTCGTGTGCAATTCCCACTAATGTTGGCATGGTCGTTATCGATACATAAATCACAGGGTCAAACGTTATCCCGCGTCAAGGTTGACTTGAAAAGTGTTTTTGAAACGGGTCAATCATATGTCGCATTGTCTCGAGCAACTTCGCGGGATGGTCTCCAAGTACTAAATTTCAATGAGCACAAAGTACGATCTCATCCAAAAGTGGTTGAGTTTTATAAATCATTGGTTGATATAAGCAAAGCGCACTCGACTGGGCAACAAAGACTCAACTTTGCATCTAGAGAATAGAAAATACAACTAGATAGATGAGTTTCACAAAGCAGCTCTACATTCTTCTTTTTACACTCTATTCTAAATTGAGTTTCTTCTATACATGATCTTCCTCTCTCCAAAATCCTTCATGTTGTCTTTATTGACAAATCCAGCGATTTCCGGCAACTCATTTTTGTTTTCCCATTCGGTAAACATCTTATCAGCATACCCTAACCCGACTTGATAGATTTCATCAAATTTCCCAAAGTCCAAGGTGGCGTAGTTATCTATGGGTGGTCGCATGTAGTAAACACCGGGAGCACTTTTTGCTTCCTCTAAAGCATTGACACTAGCAACATAAGCAAGTCTCATTTGTATATCCATCATGTTGGGCACATTGGGATGTTTGGAAAAGGGGTTCCATTTATTGAAAAGCACCCAAAATCCACTCAAGGTGTCGCCATAGTTCATAGGAGTTCTGTCATCTGCTGATCCTACATCCACGGCAATTATATGCTTAGCTCCACGACGCTTCATTTCCATAACCGGCAAATTATCCAAATACCCACCATCCAAAAGCATACATCCTTTAAACGCTATTGGTGGAAGCAATCCGGCTAATGACATGGATGCTCGGATAAATCTCCAAGCGTACCCTGACTCATGTATGTCCATTGTAGAGTTCGTGATGTTTGTTGAATTGCAAAAATATTTCACCCAAAAGTCTTCGATTTCAACAAACCCAAATACTTTCCAAATACCTCTATTGAATTCATAGCCGGTGATGTATGATGTCACTGGGTACGTCAAATCAAACACCATTCTCCACAACGATGCAATTCTTTTGGAGAACTTCTTTGCTCGGCCATAGATGGAAACAATGTTGTAATCCCTTGCATATAGGCCCCCAACAAAAGATCCTATGGATGTTCCACCAATTAAGTCAACAGGAATACCGTGTCGTTCTAACGCGGTGACAACACCGACATGAGCAATACCCCTTGATCCTCCTCCCCCTAAAACTAAACCAACAGCTTCGTTTGATAATATTCTAGCTAGACGTAGAAAATCATTCTTGTGAGACGCCAAAGTGATGTCCTCATGTTGGGGTCGACGGATTCGTTTGAGAGCCTTGGTCGTAGCCTCTTCGACTTTGGAGATGATCAAGTTGTTTTGAGAAAACTTTGCAGCTAAGTCGCTAATGAAAGATTTTTTGCTGGGGCCAAGTGATTCATTGTGCTTCTCAATGCCCATTTGAACATGATGGTGTCCTTGTACCCAGTGTCTATTCTTCAACCATTGGCTGGTGGAACCCGACACAACATACTTATCAGGATGTATTAAACACAAGTCGGTTCGTGCTGTTGTCTTGAGCTTAATCAACAACTGTTCATATTCCCCAATCGACGTGGCTGTGGTATCGTCGTCTGCATCGGCTAATAGCAATATGCAATCCCCCTGGGATATACACGTTGATGTCCAGTGCGATTGAACCGGTGAGTCGCACACATAAACAACTGTTTCATACTCTTCTTCCAAGTACGCAAAGTACCCCGACAACTTCAAACGCGCTAAACTCTCATCAAATGCATGTCTTCCTAAATGGGTCAAAGTCAGAGCCTGGTCCAATGAAATAACGTTTCGACCAATTGCTTTCAACGCATGAACCAATTTGTCAGCAAAGTCGCGAACCGGTAACCCCGACACCGTAGGAAGAATGGTGATTGTTTTGTAGTTTGCGGAAACAAAATTTTCACTACTGGACGAAGTTATAAAATTGTGAGCAGATTGGACAACATTCTTTTCTGATGAAAGAACTTTTGCTGCCACCAAACGTGAAACCTTAACCATGATTGCTGGGTTTTGAAATGAAAGTAATTCAAACAAAGTTCTTGGAATTCTCGCTGTTTCTGAGTCTCTCACGGCAATAAGTGAATTGGTTCTTCTCGAAGCAGTCAACACTTCAACTTCACCAATGGATTCACCGTGTCCATATTCACCCAATACCTCTACGTCATCATCATTCGACCCTTTCTTTTCAATCTTTTTAACCACTCTGAATCTTCCACTGAGTACCACATGGAACCCATTTGCCAAATCGCCCTGTGAGCATAAAATGTTGCCTGCTGGTATATGACACCATTCGAGAGCATAATCTATAATAAGAATCTCTTTAGGTAACAGATTCTTCAACTTGATAGCAACAGGTAATTGTAAGAAGTAGTACTTGTCGAGCAATTTGTTATAATCATTCTTTGCAATAAATGCAACTACGGCACTGGATTTCTTGGGCGTCTTGATTGACACCAACGAACGGAATCCAACCACACATGACAAATATCCTGCAACGCCTCCAGGGCTGACAGAATACACATACTTAGAAGTTGTATGTTGGCTATACTTTTCAGAATCTTTGTAATGCACCTCCAATGATCCATCAATGACGTAATACAAACCACACGTGACTGAATCCTGTTGAACCACAGTTGTGTCTGGTTCAATGTACTTTAACTCCAACACCTTTGCAAATGCATCTTTGATATTCATTTCACTAGGCACCACTTTTTTCTTGAGTGCTTTTTGAAACGATGGACGGCTTGCTGGAGGTGATAAGCTTTTGTGAAGTTGTTTCAAGTTTATTGTATTCATTAGATTCTCATTTTGATCAAATTTAAAGACATTATGGTACATAGGGTTTGGTGTAGACCCATTTGAGAAATTGGTGAGCGCCAACAGCGAGCTACTAGCAGACGAATTCAAACTCAGAAATGGATTTTGCTCATGGACATTATTAGCTTCGCTGTCAATACCAACAAAATGGAATATGTTTTCAATAATTGCAATCCTTAATGAGTTCTCCTCTGTTTCCTCGATATTGTCAGTAAAGTTTACCCTTTTGTTATCATCCATCAACTGAGTAGATGATGTTTTGGACACTTTTTGGTTTGGATCATCACGAGAGATTGGCACTGAGGATAATAAATCACCTGGATTGTTGCTTTTGACTTTCGAATTAAGCAACACATACCGTGAGGACGTTCTTTCAAGAGGACTCCGTCTATACTGTTTGGAGCGCTTTTTAGAACTATTGCTACCTTGCTTCAATCTTTCCACAAGCCCGTCCACTAAATAACTCGGCAAACCCAAGTTCAATGACTTGTTTAAATCAATTTCAACCTTGAATATCTCACCGGTTAATCCCAAATAATTGTGAATTGTGTTCATGGTAACTTTGTACAATCTAGTCAATACCATCATTACAATATGCGAAGTAGCCTTGGGATGCTTCATTTGTACTCGCTCAAATGCAGAGTGTGGAATAATGGCAATTGTCATGGTATCTGTGTGTTTCTTTTTCTTGGGGCGAACAATAATATTGGGATACTCCTTGTCGTCATCTTCATCTTTAAACTTCATTGCGTCAACAGGTTTCCCTATGTAATCAAAGTTTAATGCAACGCCACCTCTTAAATCCTCGTTGGGTGTAAGTATTGGCCCACTTGAACTCATACTAGAGCCCCTCTTGCGTGGCTTAAAGAGTTCCAAAGTTGAAATCAACGAGCTTAAAGGAGCACCACTTTTGACTTCATTCAAAAGCTGGTAGCTTTGGTTTCCAAGTTTGAAGAAATCGTCATTTTCTTCGTAGTCGTCGAAATGCTGAAGATTTTCATTGTCCTCAGTTTCATTGTTGTTGTTGTCACCATGGCTCGACAATGAACTCTTTTTGGGTATCTTGGTATACACTTGCGCAGTACCTTCAACAACAATCAGAAATCCAATCTTTTCATCAAGACACAATACTTCTTCGCTCGATAACTTTTGCGTAGTCATGCTTTTAGTCAATTCATGAAACACTGCTTTGTCCAAGTAACCAAACACTTTGATTGCCGCAAGGAACTCGTCTAGATAGTTACTCGACTTTTCTTCTTTACGCTTCTCAACAAATAAGCTCGCCGATTTCTGGGCTTTATCCGGGCCCTGACTTCTAGATGATGAGCCTTTCATTTTCGTCAGCTTCTTCTTCTCTAAATCTTTGGAGTAGCCAGTGAGGTATTTATATCGTATTATTAGTAGTGATATCATGGTAATTACTAGCATTGTAATTAGAATGGACGATATATGTAAACTAATTTCAAAATTCATTGCAAGAAGGCGAACGATTAAATTGGGGATTTTCAATAGTCCAGTCATGTTGAGGAATTGCATAAACGGAGACACGTCACCATGCCCACTGTACATATCCATTGACTCTGTTGTCTCTCTGCTTGACAGTAGGCCCGCAATGTTTGTTGCCTCATTCATTGTTGCTCTGCCCGATGTTACCTTCTACGCGGAATTTGTGGGTTCATATAAAACAAAGCAGTTGTGAAAAAGAAGTATTACGCTACCCAATACAAATCAAAAAGTCACAAGATCTTACTAACCACTCTTTCTACTTAATTTCATATGGTAAACAACCGAATCTGTCCAAGATGCGCTCTATACCATCCATACCTTTTTCCAAATGGTGGAGCTCAGGTCCATAACTAATTCTCACATAATTATACCAAATAACCTCCTCTAAGTGGCTCAAATTTTGTGGATTTATCAAGAAGAAGAATCCAGGAACAACAATCACCTTTTCGTGTAAGCACTCATGAAAGAAACCCAAACAGTTGCTTAATTTCCCTGGTAAGTGGGACAAATTGAGCCAGAGATAGAAGGTAGAATTTGGGATGGTCTTTTCGGTGAATTTGAAGCCCATTTTGGATAATCTATCAAGAATGTAATCTCGCTTCATCTTAAAGTGCAATTGCAACGCTTTCATTTCACGCTTCACCTTAAGTGGCTGCAAAAAATCAATAGCAACATATTGGAAAGGCGCATTTGATCCACCATCCAAAAAGGACCCAGCAGACGACAATGCATTGATGTAATCCTCTGGACCCAAAACCCAGCAAATTCTCCACCCAGGTAATCTGAATGCTTTTGTTAATCCATTCAAGATTAAAACTGGATCACGATTTACATCTTCGACGAATTCAGCAGAACTGATTGATGATCCATCGCAACCACCATCGTAATAGTAGTGCGAATAAAATTCATCCATAATCAACAAACACTTTTCGCGACACATATTATGAAGCTGGTGCAACTGTTCTGGTTTCATGCAATGACCAGTTGGGTTTCTTGGATTTGACGTCAACAAAGCACTAACACCCCTAGTCAATTCCTCCTTGATCATTTTCAAATGAATTTCATAATTATCAGCCTCCTTTAACGGGACTGGAATTGGTGAAAAGTTTTTAAACAATGACAACATTTCAGCATACGCAGTGTAATCTGGTAAAAAGAAGGACAAGTAACAATCGCTAATAATTGATGCAATTCTTGTCAACCCTGCTCTTCCTCCTGGAACGATACAAACATTTTTGTACGTGTACTTGCTGCCCTTTTTAGTTCTGTATGTCTCATTGTAGAAATTTGCCACTGCTTCTCTCAACTCCTTAATACCTGCAGTAGGGGCGTACTCTCTTGAGCAATCTGGCACATTAATAGTCTTTGGTCTTGGAAACGATCCGGGAATCGTGTCCCCATGCTCAGGAGCACCTTGACCCAAATTAGCCCAATCTCCAACATGTTCAGAGTCGTATCCGTAATCTGCTGCTCTTTCAGTTGCCCAAAGCACACCTGTTGATGAGTTTTTGGAGTTCATAGCAGGTTTAAAGATGTTTTCATCAAACTTTGGCTTTGGTAAAGGAATTGGGGATGCTTCTCTCCCATTTTCCGACTTGGATAACCTGCTAATAAGCGTCTGTCTGTAATTTGCATTCTTTAAATTGGGTGTTGCAGTGGCATTTCTTCCTGGAACTGTTTGATACTGAGGTGTTCCAGACGGAGTAATCAATTCTCTTGGGTGTTGTGGTTGAGGAGATCTAATTGTGTGATCCTGCTGGATGTGAGCATTTACGTGGCTTCCTGGAGTTTGCAGTGGAGTCGGTGTTGACTGAATTGCTTCCAATAAAGAAGAGGCTGATCTCCTCAATGCAGGAGGTAAAGTAGACTCCAATCTTTCAAATTCAAGAATAGATTCTTGGTCATTGTCAGATGACTCGTCAATATTGTGGCCGTTTGACATCTTTGCCTCTATAGTTAGACTAAGTAGCCAAAGGAGTAGTTGATGGAATGGGGAAAAATCTGGAGTTACAATGACAATATCAAAAGCCACGCTGAATTGTGCTGAAGACACGACTAAAGAAAAGAATCATTATGACTCATCGACGTATAAGCTTATATGCTTCAACTTGTACAAATAGTCAACTCCTCTTAAAGAGTAGTGTGGCAGTATATAGACAAAGGATATCAGTTGCCACTTGATCGCATTCAACTCTATGCTTCCCAATTTTCTAGGAGAGATGTGGTTGGTACACAAAAGTGAAGGAGGATATGTAGAAGCGGCCCAGTTTCAACCATTGTTTTCACGGTTTTAATGTTTATGACAGAATATGACTTGTGATCAAGATCACCAGTTCAAGCGCAACCTTTCCAAATGGTGTGTAATTGAATAATGGTTTCAAGTATACCATTTTTTAGAGAGGCTGACATGGAATTCAAGTATCGATCACACTCTTCGAACAAACTACGACCTTGCTTGCTCTACCTGGCTGTAGATGAAGATTCTCTATTCACAAGATGTGGTTTATAGTCTGCTAATTTCTCTTCCGTGTGGCTGAATTCTATTCTTAGTTCCCCGCTTAATTTGGTTGCGAAATTGTGACTAACTACGTTGATCAAAATAGATGAAGCGTTATTATCTTCTTTGAGAAAAGAGATCCTGTAATACTTCCACTAGCTAGTTGAATGAACAAGCGACTGTTGACAGCGTACGAAGAGTCAGTTCCAAGTTAAATCCCTCAAACCATTGTTTTCCCATTAGGATATTTCCCACCAAGCCAAAAAATCAAACCCACACCCTAAAAACTACAACACGAATATAGCAGTGGAGACTACATCAAATCAACTAATGCTCCACGAGAAGATTGATGACGTAGATTCAGGGACGCTTCTCGACATGTCCTACGAGATGCTCAAATGATCTAAAAAAACGGAATCAAAAGCTACTAACTGTTGTGGGCTGGGTGAGCATGCATTGAGATACGACAACTATTTTTAGCTATTCAACTTACAGAGGACCATATACCTCCTATTCACTTCCCAGCTTGAGCTCTATTTTTGCTTCCAATTGCTTGGTGTATCCATTGACATTCCTCATCATCTTCCTACTACTTCATATATATCATTTGGAACTCCATTGCGGTGCCTCTTATTTCCGTAAGATACCCCTCTCTACTCTATTCTTGTTGTCAATGACTCCTGTTTTTATCTAAAGTGTTAGTGATTACTCTTTTCTGCTTATAGCTCCATTGAGTTCACATTTGGTTTTTGTGTTACTTCGGTAGGCACATCCGCTCCCTGAAATGTGATCAACGATACATATACATCGATTACCCCTCTAGACTATAATCCCCTTCAACTTGAAAAGTGGGGGTACAGTTGAAAGTTTGTGTTTGCAATTTACTTTTACCACTTTAAACCCCCCCCCTTTTTTTTTTCTAGCTCTTTTGTCGTATTGGTTCGTGCTTTCGAGTGATAATGAACTACATTGCGATCGGTTACAATTTCTAGATCTCCTTGAAAAAATAAACTCCGCTTTCGAGAAAGAGGGTTACTTTTTAAGTTTGTTACAACGTTGATCCACACTTGATGAATATATATATCTATATGCACCCATGTCCGCAACTACTTGAGGCGTAGAGTGTAAAAGGGCACTCTCTTGTCAATTACTAATTTCTAACGCCATAGAGCATTGTTCTGACACAGTTACCTGATATTACCACACTTTTCATCTCCATTCGAAACGATCCGACCCTCGAAATCATGGCACTCAGATTACCTTCAATAGTTGATACGGAAACCGATTCACTCTACGCACCGGACAATAGTCCTGTTGTGTTCCATAACCCCAATGAGTTGCCAATTGAAACTTTAGTGAACCAAATCTTACCTGTACCAGAGCATATTGGTGGAAGAGCTATCAAGGTCCCCGACACTGCAAAACCAGGATATTCAGAAATTTTTCGAAATGGTGCTTTCCCAAATGGAGTGAAGCTGCATTTGTTACCAGAGTTGGACACCTACCATGCTATATTCGAGTCGACTGTCAAAAGACACCCAAACAGGCCTTGTTTGGCTCACCATGAATACGATTATGAAAATGAGGAGCATAAAGAGAGATATGTTTATCTGACATACCAAAAGGTCAGTGAACGTAAACAAAACTTTGCCAGTGGATTATTATTTTTGCTTGAGAACAACCCATACAAGAACCTCGATTTAGAATCTCATCAAAAAATCATCAACCATGGTAAGGACTACAAGCTGTATGATAAGGATAACCTTTCTTTTATTGTGACATTTTATTCCGGAAACAGACCGGAGTGGATAATCTCAGATTTGGCATGCTCTTCCACTTCCATAACATCAACAGCATTGTATGATACTTTGGGTCCAGCATCGTCCAAGTATATATTACAGACTACTAAATCCCCGGCCGTCATTTGTTCTAAAAACAAAATTGAGGGGTTGATCAAATTGAAAGCCTCAAATCCGAAAGAGCTTGAATCATTGATTACGCTTGTATCAATGGATCCTTTGAAGCCTAGAGACAAGATATCAGATGCAGCTTTAATTGAACTAGCTGATCAGAACAACATCAAATTGTATGATTTCAATCAAGTGGTTAAGATTGGCGAAATCTTCCCTCGAGCTGAAACCACGCCAACTCCGGAAACTACATTCACCCTTACTTTTACATCTGGAACTACCGGAGCTAACCCAAAGGGTGTGGTTTTGCTGCAGAAAGCAGTCGCTGGTGCAATCCTGGGATTTTCAGTTTTGTTGCCTCATCACAAGGGCACGAGAGAGTTTGCCTTCTCACCATTGGTACATATACTTGAAAGGCAAATGTCATCGTCTCTGTTTCTATGTGGAGGCTGTGTTGGGTTCCCTAGATTAGGTGGTACTCCGCAGACATTGTTTGAAGACTTGAAGCTATTCAAACCTACTTTCTTTGCTTGCGTACCAAGAGTATTTTCCAAATTGGAAGCAATAGTCAAGGCGTCTACAGTTGATTCATCATTAAAGACCAAAAAAGGGTTAGATAATCAAGCTATTGACACAAAACGTTCCAAGACTGGAGGTAAAGCTGAGCATTCTATTTATGATCAAGAATTGATCAGGAACTTGCGTTCTAAATTTGGATTTGATAATATGGAGACGTGCTTTACAGGCGGTGCTCCTTGTGCCGTTGAAAGTATTGAATTTTTGAAAACAAGTTTAGGAATTGGTTTCAGTCAAGGATATGGTATGAGTGAATCTTTCGGTGGTGTCTTTATGTCATTGCCATTCCACACCGCTAGCATGGGAACATGCGGTGCAATAACTCCAATGTTTGAAGCTAGGTTAAAAGAATTACCAGAAATGGGTTACCGTTTGAATGATAAAGGTGGACCCAGGGGAGAATTGCAATTACGTGGGTCACAAATGTTTAGTCATTACTACAAGAACCCAGAAGAGACAAAGAAGAGTATCGATGAAGACGGATGGTTTTCGACTGGTGACGTGGCACATGTTACAGGTGAAGGATGGTTCGTCATAATCGACCGAGTAAAGAATTTCTTTAAATTGGCTCAAGGAGAGTATGTCACCCCAGAGAAAGTCGAAAACTTGTACCTTACCAATAATCCCATATTGACACAAGTATATGCACATGGGGACTTTACCCAATCCTATTTGGTAGGAATCATTGGCGTGGATCCAGTGAATATTGTTAACTTTTTAAGTGAAAAGTGTAATATCCCGGCAAATGAGTTGGATACCGAAGAAAAGATTCTTCAAGTTTGTAATCAGCGCCTGATAAGAACTCGAATTTTATTACTGTTGAACTCAAGCATTGGGTCGGTGCTTAGTGGATTTGAAAAGTTGGCCAATATTTATATTGAGTTTGAGCCATTGAGATTGGAGAGGGATGTTATTACTCCAACATCCAAATTAAGAAGACCAATTGCGTCAAAATTCTTTAGACCTCAGATTGATGCTATGTATAGAGAAGGTTCAATTTTGAAAGACTTGAAGTTGTGAAGGAAAGAGCATACTGTGGTCAAAAGGTTAAAATATATTGAATGGCATATAGACTAGTTTGTTTTGCATTATGCAATTAGAGATGACAAGATATCTCTGTAGATTCAATAAATCCCCCCGTCCTTTTCCTCTCATGTAAATTCATTTCGAAAGGCGTGCAGAAAGACTTGACGGCAAATTTAATTGCCCAAATTGCTGCGATTTGGTTCGCTATAAACAGCTAGCCATGTAATGGAAAGCATAGCAGATTATCTCAATATGTACGAGAAAAGCTACACACAAAAAGATCCAATCGTAAACATTTCCTCTATTCCGTTCTATTTCATTATATAACCTCTAACTTTATATAGGTCAATTAATGTACACCTTTTTTAAACTCTGTCTTGTCTCTCAAAAATATTTTCCACATTCTCAGTTTCCGGTTTGTTGGTGTCCGTTTTGAACAATCCATGTTCATGGTTTTCAAGGAAAATCTCTTGGTTTTCATTCTTTACACTGTTCAACACAATCTTGTGAGCTTTTCTAGCCGGAATGTTTCTGTTGAATAATTTGTCCATGTCTTCCAATGCAATACCTTTTGTCTCTGGCAAAAGAAAGTACACAAATGGAATTGATGCCAACGCTAATGCAGCAAAGAAGAAATAGATTCCATATGACATACTCTTGATCATCTGTTGTGTCCATCTAGACATAACAAAGATGGCTACCCATGAGGAAGCAGCATTGATTGCTTGAACAAACGATCTAATGTTTTGATCAAAAACTTCACTACCAACAACGAATGGGCCACCTGACCATGCAGAAATGAACGACGCAATCCAGATATACATCATTCCAATAGCAGCCTTACCCCCTGGACCAGCCAGGACTCCTGGTTTAGTAGGATCATTCACTTTCAAGTATGCACCAATGTACCAAAAACAAATCGAACATAGCCCTGAAGACACCATAAACGAAAGTCTTCTACCAACAGTATCCACAAGCACCAAGATGTAGAAAAATGTACAAAAGAACTTGACAACACCAAACATACCGGTTGAAAATAATGAAGAGTTGACACCTTTGACCCCCAATCCTCTAAACAATTTTGGTGAATAATAGTTGATAGCTTGAATTCCCATAAAATTGCAAAACTGGAACAACATGACAGTGATGAATAACCGGTGTAACAAGTTTCTGTTGTGAAAGAAGACTTCGTAAAATGGATCCAAGATACCCAAACCAACCTTATTTTTTTGTTCCTCAATGCTTTCCTTACATTGATTGATTTCATAGATGATGTACTCATCAGTCTCTGGCAATTTTCTAAACCATGTGAGATTCTTGATTGCTTCTTCGTATTTGCCAACTTGCATCAACCATCTTGGACTTTCTTTCATGAAAATACTTCCAATCAAGAACAACCCACTTGGAATCAATTGAATGGCAAAAGGAATCATCCATTGCTTCCTGCTCAGTGGGATGTTTGTATCCACGGCATAATTTATCCAGAACCCAACTAGATCCCCAACTCTCCATCCAATCTCATAACTTGCTGTCAATTGACCTCTGATTGCCGGTGGCGATATTTCTGAAATGTAAACAACTGTCAAGTTAGTAGAGCAACCAACAGATAACCCTGCCAAGACTCTACCCGCATATATGGGACCAAGACCGACAGAGTCCTTTGCAGCAAGCATAATACCAGAACCGAGAGTGATCAACAAAGCAGCAGCAATCAAGGGGATCCTTCTTCCAAAGTAATATGAACCAGGGTATGAAAACAAGGCACCAAAGAAACAACCAACATGAAACACTGAAATGACATTGGATACGATATAAGCCTCATTAGTTGCAACGTCCAAGCCAAACTCTTTTCTAAAAGATTCCAAAGCAACTGTACCTCCAATGAAACCACTGTCGTAACCAATAATAATAGCAGCGGCAGAAGCCATAATCGCCGTCAAGTAAACCCGGTAGTTATACACTTGCGGTGGAGTAGGTCTATCTTCAATTTTTTCAAAAATGTTCTTGACCTTAAACTTGTTTCTGAATCTGTGCTTGCTCTTTACTGTATCAACAGTGTGAATAGATTCCTTGTCTGATTTTTCATCAGACATTGCCGACTGTAAGCTCCTAGCGTCGTTACTCATTATATCGAGGAGTGATGTATACAATAAGTAATAACTAGAATGTCTCTCAAAATTTGAATACCTTTTGGGTTTATTTATATCATTTGCAAGCTATGGGAAAAATCACTTTCCTTACTAATTATAACTAAGCAGCAACCGTGATTTTGTGAGATCCATAACCTAACTGAGATATCCTTTGATGATGCAATACCCCTTCAATAATTAAAAATTTTTACTTTTTGTTGGTTGGATTTTTGGTTTTGCGATTTTAGGTAGTCCGGTCATTGTTAAAATTTCTTTTTCGACTCTTCTTGGCGTCTAGTTTACACAATACCAGCAACAGTGCTGCACTGTTATATCATAGCTGCTGCGCACAATAGCGATGCAGCTTTACAGAAGCCGATCGGCTGAAGATAAAGATCGACTGTCTGATGCATTACGTGAGAGCCATCTCTTAGTCGTGTGACTCCATCTACCTCTACTGCCATTTTTGATCACTTAACATCCACTCCTTGCAAATTTCGAAGAAATCAGATCGTAGACAAGATACCCGAGATTTGCCCCTTTGTGTTAGTTGCATTTTGTTGTGTTCCTATTGTCTTTTGCTCCTTTTCTTTCTCTTTTTATTTTTTTGGTTATTTGTCTTCCTTGAAATTTCGCGAAAAAAACCCCCAATCCCCCAAAACTAAGGTGGGGAAGAGTGGAGGTGGCGTGGGGGCGCTTGCGTACCTGCTGTGCATATACAGAGAACATCTAACCCCCCACAATCTGGGGTACTGTAAATCCCTGTGAAATGAATCCCATCCTCCTGGGGTCATTCTATTTACCCCCTCGCCACTTCAACCGGGTGTGGTGTATAGCTAGATAATGTTGTTGTTGTTGGTGGACTTCCCCAAAGAAAAAAATAATTATTCCGAAGCTTTGTAGTTTTTCCGAGATTTAAAAAAAACAATAAAGAGCAAACCTTTTTCCGCTGCATTAAAGCGCGGTTTTTTTTGCCTAAGTTTTATCTAGAACCACTCATCGGCTGTAAAATCTACACCGAGTAAACTCTCCGATTGGCTTACTCTTTTCGATGGTTAGATGGAGCGTGTGGGGTCAATCCGACTCAACCTTGATGCTTCTTTTGTGTGTGTTTGTGGGCGCTGATCTCTGCACCCCATGAAATAAGCAAAAGTTTATCAACTGCACTTGAGGAATCATTGAGAAACAAATTAACTTCCACCGTAAATGCTACAATACGTTTATTTTTTGATAACGATTTGCATTCGTCGAGAGATGCAAAGTTTGGGGGATACCATAGTTAATTACGATAATTTTTTGGGGGATCCGGTATCACGTGTTACCATTGGGGCTCTTAAGGCGATTCTATTTCTGTCGTGCACTAAATCCTAATACACAAGCAATACTCTATATGAGGCCACTTAATGTGAGCTTCTCCAAGAACGGCGCCAAATCATCCTTCCTAATTTCTATTATTGAACTATCAAAACTGTCAACACGCACTTTAGCTCCAGATGTGTTTGACAATTGTTGAAATGCAACACTGAATGTATTTAAATGCGTTGTCATTGATTCAGCAGTAATTTTATCATTGCTTTGTTCTTGCAACAACTTGGCCTTTTCTGAATTGCTCATTCCACGAGGGTACCTTGGTGCAAGGCCAATAACAAGATAAGTGTCACTGCTCACATCCAAACTCGCCACTACTAATGGTTTCAAAGAATGGTTTCCGTTGATAAAGTCCAATTCGGCCAAGTTTTCGATCAACCAAGAGCCCAATTTTGACAACATTAGTGGGTTAATAAATATTTCCAAATCGGGAACAGCACCATCATTCAACACGCATAATCGATAGAGCTTCAAGTTTTTGATCATCTTACGTTCAAGTAAAGACATTCCTGTTCGAAATGTGATTTGTTGTAACTGTTTTGCGTATTCCAAACCTCGGAAAAGTAACTCACTTCCTTTCAATTTCGCAAACGGGGATGATTGTGTGGCGCTTGTTTTCAACGATTTGGTAACATTTAAAGCATCCCACGATGACCAGAAATTATTCAACCAAGAACTCTCCTTCCTTTCCATTCTTTTCCTTATCTTGTCGTCTTCGTTGTCAAGAGTTTTGTCATCCTCTTCATTACGTTTCGCCGACTCTTGAATGAACTTCTCATCAAACTCAAGTAACGCGCTTAAAGCTTCAACACACTCCATCGCAGAAAGCAGCCCCGTGTATCCATATGTCTTTATGAACCCTTCCCTAACTATTCCCTCTAGTCCATAAATTGGCAAATAGCGACGAAATATAATAGGCAATTGTCGCTTCACTTTTGTATCCATGTATAACCACTTTTGTTGAGCAACAGCTAATGAAACCCCCATCTTTGCAAAAAGCTTATGAAGCCTCTTTTTACCTTCGTCTGTCCACAAGTTCAACTTAGAATTCACATGACTTGAATAGAAAAAAGAATCATACAAAGTCCAGTGCCGTAGTAGAAACAAATGGTAATCTCGTTCAACACGTAGAATGCTTTGGTCAGCCTTCTTTTTGGTATTTTCGTGCTCCGGGTTCAACCTCATCACTTCCTCTTTGAGAAGTGGTTGTAGTTTATCATAAATCTCAGGATAGTGGCTATCCAACGACGATGTTCCAATGATGGCGATCCACAAACTTTCCAAGTTTGTCTCTCCAATGGCTGTAAGAAGTGCATAAACGGTGATGGTGTTGGCGGTGCTAATGGTAGAACCTTGATTGTAGTACGTCTGTAATTTGTCTTCATTAAGTGACCTTTTTTGCTTCTTTAGTTTCTCGAGTTGTCGCGAATGTCTTTCTTGTAGCTTTCGTTTGCGTGAGATTGTATCTTCGGAATCCTGTGAGCTGATCGCAAGTTCACTTTCTGATGGTAGATCCACATCTGTCTCTTCTTCCACCTCTTCCGCGGAGTCCAATTCCGACTCAGAACCTGAATCTTCTTCATCGCCCTCCAAGATCAAAATCTCATACGCTTTCTTCTCCTCCAGCAAAGTTCCATCGACATATCCATCATCAAAACAAACCACAACCTCAGACCCAAAAAGATTATCCAAATTCCACGGTCTGTGTCCATCAATAACATATATTTTTCTCTTGAACTGATTTTGCTTCACGTCATTTAAGTCTTGATCATCCTCTTGTTGCTCAGCGTCATTATCCAACAACTCCTCCGGGTTAACCTCCAAAAAGCTTTCAATATCCAACATGGCTCCACAACCAATTAACATCACGTTACTCACGTCGTCGTCTAGTCTATCATAATGCAGTTTGAGATCCTTGTATCCCACCACTGGGAGTAGCTGATACTGTATCAACTCTTTCTTTAATAGTAAACTAAACATCTTGGCAGCGCATAGTGAATCAACATCTAAACAAGATACAAAAATGACCAATTTACATGTCGAGTGAGATAGTGACGTTCGTTTCAAGTCTCGATATGCTGCAAAGTATTGGTTAGGTGTGATATACATGTGGTATCATCAACGTAATGGCAAATGGGGAGTAAAGTCTTGTTTTGTTGTTTATTCAGTAAGAATTCCATTTTTTTTTCACGCGTCCATCAAATAACGTCAAAGTGGACACAAAACTATGATGATTTGAACGCGCTAGAAATGAAATTGTTATTCTCAAATGCTACCACCACCCTGTAATGTAGTTGCATACATTGAAGCGTCCATGGGACCATCAGAATCAAAAAAAAAAAAAAAAAAAGGAAGCATATACATTGAACATAAGGGGGCATTACATAACTTACACCTATTTCATGGCCATTGACTTGGTCTCAATCCAAAGTAACCTTCAGGGGCATCAGCAGCATTCAATCGACCTTGGCCGCCCATACCTTCAATACCCCTCCAAATCACATTGTTCCCCCACCAGTCCAAAGATTTGTCCTTGTATTGCACGGCAAAGAAGATGATGATTGCACTAAATGCAACACCGGCATCCATTGCACCAGACAAGACAAAGTTGTACTTCTGCCACCATGCTAAGTATCTACTCTTCAAGAACCACATGAACATGGTCGAAATGTACACTCCACCGGTGAAGAATGACAAGTTGTATGGAGCATAAAATACGAATCCACCCACCATCAATGTAGGTTGAAAGTATTTGGTGTACTTTTTAGGACCATACTTTTTGAATGCAATGCATGGGAATGCTAACAAAAATCCAATCAAGAAACACCATTGCAAGATAGGATATAACCCACCAAACACCTTTTTAGGGCCAATGACACCCCACAAAATTGAAGCATTGTAAAACACGGTTGCGCCCGGACATGTAAACTTTTGTGTGTTATTTGGAGCACAGTAGTTGGCAATATTGGCAATCTGGAAGTTGAGTACTGCCAAACCCAAAAATGATGCAATCAAGATGGAAAACATTTGCGTTCTGAAAACAGCTCTTGGTGGGATCTTGAGGTAGTGACCCATTTTTTGATCGGAAATATAGTTTTGTGCTTGACCGTTGATATTGTAACCAAATGCCTTGATAAACATCAAAGCCAAACCGTTACCTGGTAATGCAAAACCAACAATCAATTGCACCAACACATTCAATCCAAAAGAGAAACCCGTGGTGGAATAAATTGCCGTCAATGGGATAAGAAACACAAAATTGATACCAACAGCAAAGAAAATACCCCATACTGGTGTTTGTGCTGGGTAAATCTGAACACAAATGATTGCCAATGCAATTGAAACCACCAACACGATAGCAAATATCCAGTCAGGAACTTCCTTGTACTTCTTCATCATTATGGTGTGTGGATCATTAAAACCTTCATAAACTGATCCTCTAAAGTTTTTGAATCCTCGGGTCAACCCCTTCATTGCTGCCCACATTGGCTTTCTATTCATAAACACTTCGTACACAATCGAAAATGGATAGATGGCGATAAAAGCACCATAAACCACCAAATTGGCGGCGGAGTAGTATGGGGGTCCCACCTGATCGTACTTTGCTTGATCAAATAATGTATCTTCATTGACAATGTTTTCCACAGAGTAAATTGATCCAAAACGATCCCATAATGAGGCGGAGTTGATTGGAACATAGCCTGTCCATTTGTGATTGGTGAACCATAATGCTGCGATGACGATGAACCCAATGACCATGCCAATGTACTGACTAAGTTGTGCATAAAACGGGTAGATCAAACATCCATTGAAATTCAAGATATTCCAATCAAATGTTGGCCATGGGTTGAGGCCCAATCCGGAGGCAGATCCAGTAATAGCAACCAAGGTTGGGTTATTTGGAGCAATCCAGGTTGGCCAGTTGAAATAGGACAAGGCATTGAAAAGGTAGGTGGGGATCCAGTTGTAACAGAAGGAGAATGTAAATACCAAAAAGAACCACTTGTATCGTGATAAAGTCCATCCATGGATATTTTCCTTGGTTTCAGTCTGTACCAACGCTTTATTCAAGGCAATGATTGGCAAAATTGTTGGCCAGATAGCCTTGTGGGGATAGATTGCGAATCTTCTCAAAAGTCCCGCAAATCCAATACCAAGATAGTTGGTGGCCATGGTGAGCAATATTTGGTACCCAAAATCAACCCATTGGTTATTGTAAAACCTTTCAACTTTTTGTGCATGAAGATTGTAACTAACATAAGCAAACCCACTGGAAACACTGTAAAAGATTGTTGTCAACATTTGCTCCTTGTGATTCCATGGACCAGGATTTAAATCAACATGCCACTTGCCTAGCTTGACCACCTTTTTGGGCAAAATTTTTTCAACGACTTTTCCAGAAGGATACAAAAACAATTGAACAACGGTTGATGACAAGGTAATGGTGGGCTGTCTTTCTGCAAAGAATTGGTTAATGAACGTACCCAAACAAGTCCAGATTATACCAAGCAAGTACACACGGAAGGTTTCACATGGAATTGAAGAGTCATCATATGGCTCTGTAACTGCCCTGACTTCAGGATAAGGCGAATAATATGCAATCAATGCAGCCTCTAATCTGATTTGAAGGTTAAAGTCAACAATTTCAAAACAATCAAAGTCTTGATCCTCTTGGTCCAGGTTCAACTCATCAGCTTTGCCAACTTCCGAAACTTTTTGCTTTTCAGACCATTTCTCCTTGTGACTGACTTCCTTATCCAATGAAACAGTGGAACCAGACGAACCTTCTTCCCCCATTTGTGTGTTGGTATACGCAACTAGCTTTTCCCAAAAATCATATTCATTAGTGGGGATATTGACATCCTCGTCGTGATCAACAATTGCCTCCTTTACAATCTTGATTGATTCTTCAACTGTCAACCCTGCAATTTTTTCAATCATAAAGATAGCAACTGGAGACAAGTGGCCAAGATCTACAATCGTGTGCAAGTTCATTCTCTTCAAAATCAATCGCTTCTGGAACTCAGTGAGTGAAGTTCCCACATCTCCCACTGAGATGGCCTGGGATTGGATAGCATGTAAATCGATTTCGTGGTCAGCAACATCAAGAACGTGGTCGGTGGATTGAACTGACTTGGTAACAACTATGTGTCCCTTTTCTGTCATGTCAACTGGTTGCAGTAAAATTAGAAGGACTGATCTAGGGAGGAGGGAACATGTCTAAGACAGGGGGGGAAGTTTGACTCGATTTTATAGTGGAATGTTACTTCTTCTCCACCCCAGATCAATTTATTCCAAACTTGTGACAATTTGCAAAATTCCATACCCATATATTCTCCAAGAAAATAAACTGAAAAAACACCTTACTGATAACAAAATAATGATGATGCTTGTTTGTTGCCGCATGGAGGAAAAATTGTGGATAGTTTTCCACCAGGAAGTTGATGAATTCTCAGCTGGTATATTATCTTGGCGGTAAGGTATTGATGCCATTAGAGGTGAGTCAAGCTGGGAGGCAGAGCGGTTGTAGCTCTGTTTCAATGTAGCAATTGTCTATTGAACAATTGAGCTCTTCTGAATACAACGTTTACACTAATGTAACCTCCAACACTAGTATTATTTTCAGTAGACCATATTCTTTCTCTATAAAAATAAAGTTGGAGCGAATCTTTTACTACGGGCCATTCGTTGAAGTATTTTCCTTGGAGTGTTTCGACGTCTTGGCAAGAAAAAAATGGTTGATTGAAATTCCGATTTATCCCAGCTGGGTAAGCACCACACTGATAAGGATGTTTGTTATCGGACACTCAATTGGTTAGTAGCTCGACGATTTTCTTGTACTGTAGGGTACTTTCCCTACTAGAATCAATGTGGCACACTATGGTACAATTTTGACGTGCGATTCGCATTTTAGCTGACAGGATGTCAAAAGAATTGCGGGGAGCATAACGAGGAGAACAGGCTACATCATCAGCGCCTTTTAATGTATGGCTGAAGTTCAAACCCCTCAGCAATAGAGGAAGAGAGAGCTACCTATGCCTGTTTTGACATGTTTGGTATGTGCTCGGGGAATGCATAAGTTGGTGCCGTTTGAAAAGCCAAGGAAAAATATGGCGCAAAACTTTGAAAAATAAAAAAAAAAAAAAATTTGGTCTTGGTGAAACACGACGCTTAGTTTGAGCCTTAAGACGTGATTGAGCTATAACTATGGAAGATAAGAGATTCTTGGAAGGTTGAAATGTGGCTCCTTATCAAAAAGCCGTGCGAAAGAGGGTACATGAACAACCCAGCCAAGAAATAGAATACTGGGGTCGCTACCCCAATTTTCGGAGAGTACTGATCGTTATCTAAAATCATTCTTCGATTAGTTTTGGAAAAATTATATCTACATTTTCGCAGCCACTTGTTCCTAAGGCGCCAATGAAAAACTTGGTAGGGAAGCCCGACAATATTAAGGACAAGCATGGTGGAAATCGCCTCCAGTGTGTGCTCCCTTCGATTGCACTTTCCCTCTTGTTTACCACCAACACGTGCACAACGATATTGTTATTCTCAATATAACTCTAGACACTTACGTACCATATGGCATACTCGAATATTTACCGCCCTACATTGCATCAAACAATAAAACAACTTTATTTTTCCGCTCCTCCCCGACGCGATTCCATCAGCAGTGGCACTGACATCAACATCATCACATAAACGAAAGATCTAAACCTTCCTTCAAAGCAAAACCTTCTCTTGCATAAAGTTTCATGGCTTAATTGTTGAGTCATCATGTACGATGTCCTGTCTGACTTTTCAAAAAAGCATTTTTAGCGATTTGCTTTTTTAGTTTAGAGCTGTCAATGTAAAGCAAGTCAATACAAAAAAATTGCGAAAGCTTAAAATGTTTTTTGCTCTCTGCAACACAGCAGGTACACAAGGTAAACGGTTGCCCCTGCTTTCGAATTGCAGAATGTAAATGCAATGGCATTAACTACCTTTGCGGGTGTAATTTGTAGATTAAAAACTTGTTCATCAGGAGGCCCAAAAAGAGCAAGTGGGCCAATGTAACTATTTCAAAAAATACCCGCTGGAGCTAACCATTTACCAAGCACCAGAAATACCACGGACAATTTATAACGCCGCCACGAAACAATAAGACCCAGTTTTATATAAAGTCCACACTGTGCATTAAGTCCGTGCATGGTTCGATTGCGCAAATGCCCGAGCTAAAGTGAGTCAAAGGTTACTCTGCAAGGATTAATCGTACGATACATTCTGGTTAATCTCATAACCGTACAAGACGCCTTGAAAGGGGGGGTGATATATACGACCAATTCACTGCTGCTACGCGTGGTAACCCAATACCTTTTATGAGTATTACACGACGTAAATGAAATTTTCAGTGTTCTCAACCCCTCAAACCAACTATCCTTTTACGTTTCAAACGAGATTGTTGGTTGTCGTTGTCGCGTATACTTTCGCCTCAAAAGCAAGCTCTTTTAAAGGAAATAAGCGGTTGTGCTTTGTCATTCTTTTTCAACGAATTTTAGATTTTGCATATGCATTATGCAGAGCGAAAGAGCAAAGAAAAAAAAATAGACCAAAGTACCTCGGGTATTTCCGTAATGCGATTGTTGGTTGTATCCCATATCACAAAAACTGAACTTGCCAAAAATCATACGATTTTTCCAATCTTGTTTAAACTAAATCCTATTGTTTACTCTATTAACCTCAAAGCCTCATAATGGACAGCCCAATTTTTCAGTGCCCGATGAAACAGAACCTCCTTTATGAGATGTTTCTTTCGACGTGTGCATGCATATATGTATACGTATACATGCGTATGCACATGCACTAGAAACAATGCACGTACCCCAGACATGTACTGTCATGTCTGTTTGGCAGGTTTTGCGAATTTGACAGATTCCGTTAGGGTTTGTGCAAAAGCTTGCAGATGATTGGTCTGTTGTTACTAAGTGAGCCATTTACCAAACACACTTAGCGCTATCCTTCATTTATATGGTGAGTGCCACCAAACCACTATAAATATTTCACTGGTAATAATACAATTAAACTATATATGCTTCTCAAACTATACAGCCAAAACTGTCATAAATAATCAAGTTACCCTCAGCTATGTTCACGATGTGAGCCACTGCTACTCCCCTTCTGCTTCTTCTTTCGATGGCACCTCTTTACTTTCCAACTTTTGGCAGATGCTGCGTATGCTGATGTGGTGATACATGTACTCCTCCAACACTAGCTGATGGTTGCTGTGGCGTATGTTGTTGAGCACCAACAGCTCCAGTACTGCCGGGTTCTGAATTGGCAGCTGCACCTGCATTGCTTGTTGCTCCACTTGTACTTGTTTGTGCTGGATATCCCGATGTTGTTGCATAATTGTTGTAGGATCCTTGTGATTGTTGTGGTGGAGGTTGTTGGTATTGGTATGGATAAGACGATGACGAGGAACCGGCTCCTGTTGTATTCTGATTACCACCACCACTTGCATTTGAATAATACCCTCCTTGTTGGTAGCCGTACGGTTGTTGTTGTTGTGCTTGGTACTGGTCTTGTCCTTGTGGCGTTTGTTGTCCCTGTTGTGCTTGTTGTTGGTATGTGTATTGCTGTGGATAACCACTGGCTCCTCCATATCCTTGATAGTATGAACCGCCTGATCCGGACTGTGAGGCGTTTGTGGCACCACCTGAAGTACCAGCACTTGCCTTGGAAACAGAAGGGCTTGTATTTGAGCTTGTGCTTGTAGCAGCGCCTGTGTTTGCACCAGCGTTTCCAGCATTACCACCACTCGATGAAGGTGTCACGCCTGTCTGTATCACCCTTTTAATATCCCTCACAAACAAGGGGTACAACAAATCAACAATGTTTTCTCTCTGAGCCATGCTCAACGCACGTTCAAATGGAATCCAAACACCCTTTAAATGCATTGACCCAATCTTTACCACATGCCTAACTTTCTCCAGTTTCAAGATTCCGTCTCTTCTACCACGCGTCATTTGCGCCACATTTAACAACTTGGTCCCATTGATCATATTGTTATCAGCTCTACGAACCACACTAACATTATTAGCATCGACTTGGTAACATAGTGTCTTTTCGTCCTCCCACATCGTAGTTGTTACTCTTGGTCTAATTCCTGGTGGCTGGTATTGTCCCACGGTTGAAGTTGATGCGTGATTAAGGGTATCTTGCTGAGGCATAGGTCTTTGCATAGGGTGGTGAGATGGAGTTGCGTGTTGTGGTTGCGAGACGGATGATGCAGTCGATGTGGGTCCTTGTGGTGCACTAGTATAACTCCTGTTTCCTCCATAGGGTTGTTGTTGTTGTTGGACACTTTGTGCTGGTGGATAATACGACTGAGTATTTCCCGGGTACTGGTAACGACTATAGCTGTACTCCAGCTGTTGAGGATTCTGTTGTTGGTTGTACATGTAGTATGAAGCATAAGGTTGTTGGGATTGTTGCAGCGTTGGTTGTTGCTGTTGTTGCTGGTGTTGTTGCGGTGTACCCGATGCTGCTTCTGCTCCTGTTGTTTGTTGTGCATATTGTGGGGTGTTAGGAGCCGGTGGAACTGCTGCTCCGCTCTGTGGAGCACTTGCACTGTTGTAGTTTCCGTTCATTTGAGATCTAAGTGGCAATGAATAAGTAGACATGAATTTAAATACAGGTAGTTGAAATTGGAGTCAATATCTTGTCTAGCTTTTGATTGCAATGACTTGTGTGTGATTTCAAATATGTTCAATCTGACAATGTTGTGAACTTAAACGCGTGAAATCCGTTCGTGATCTATGTGTATCTATCGCAATCTCCTTGATCTTTGCGCTTTTACGACCTGTTATTTTCTTCTCCTAACTCTTTATTATTTCAGCTTTTCCTTTTGGATATGTGTAACTGAAATGTAGAAAAAAACGAAAAAAACGAAAAAAATCTCTGACGTCTTTATAAATGATCCTTTAGTAATGCAACCCCGTGATGAAATTTTTCTCTCCAAAAGTTTACTGCTTTGGTTGATTAAGTGACCTCTTTTTATGAAGTTTAATTCAAATGGGGTTTACCTTTAGAACTGGTTTGTAATGAAAAGGAAAAAAATAATGAGCTGATTATAATATTTCCAGTCGGCGTTTAATTTTTTAAACTTCTTTTCAACTTTTTTTCTTTCAAAATCGCTCCCCTTATTGATTTAGTGGAGTAGCAGTATAATAAAGTATTATAATTGGAATAAAAAAATTGAGTTATGTTTCACCTAGAATTAGTGAAAAGTGTATTTCAGGATTAATAATACCTGATCAATGGTAAACCGATGATTGGACTTCAATCGTCTTCAAATTGACAGACTTCAACCGTTTTATCGATACAGTAACTGATAATTATAAACAGGACGGTTTGTCTTGTTTGTGTAAAAGTGCCTGATACGTGAGTTTATGTACCAAAGAATAATAAATGTATCTCTATGCAAGGGACTCTTCTGGATGCTGTTGTGGCCGATGTGTCGTCTTTTTCCTATGTCTTGTCCCAAACTTGAATGTTGTGACAATCAGATTTGTATTTCAATGGTAATGCTAGGGATTAGTTGCAACAAAGACAGGTTCCTTAATGTGAATAGCTCGCTCTGGGTTGTATTTAGAATAAACTTTTGGCTTCGATCGTTGTGGGCGTATAGTTTGTTAGGCTAAAAGCTGTTACTCGTACCAAATGTGAGTTTTGTTCGTTTTGGCTTTTTGGCTTTTTGGCTGTTTTTTGTTTGTTTACTTTTCTCGGACAAAAAAGAAAAAGTATGACAAAAGGTGGACTTCCGGAAAACCAAAAAAAAAAATAAGTTACTTAGATCTAGGATCTCTTTAATGAAGTCCGGTACTGTGTACGTTTGCTGAAGATCCGATGAAGATTGAGAAACCTTTTGTGAAAATGGTGTTGGTAAAAATTGCAAATCCTTTTTTTCAACTATTTTAAAAATTATCAGGGAATTGACTCACTATATAAACACTTGTGTTCGAAGTACGATTTCTCTCTTTCTTTTCCTTCTGATTCTTCAAATCTGGCCATAAAAACAATCGAGGCATGTCTGCCTAAATGCCCTCAGTACAAAAGGAAAAATGCACATTTAGTCCATTATGCATTGAAAAAAAAAAAAGTGATGACAAAAAGACCTTATATCACAGACAAATAACAATAATAACAACACTACAAAAAAGCTCTAGAAATACTACTCTCTGCATACCTGTATGATCCAAAATAGCAAAAAAAAAGAAAAAAGAAAAAAGTTTAAACACACCATTGCCTGTTGTTTTGTTTAGTTTCTCTATTGTTTACAGTTTCAACTTGATATGTACATACGCAGGTGACTTGACGCCCAATAAAAAAATTACATACAGTGCAGTATCAACGTTGTATAATTGATTGCGCGACTCACTACAGCAGCTCTGGATACTAGGATTTGGGCCAACGCCTTCAGTTTAATGTCTTCTAATTAGCGCTGTTTCATTTGGCGGCAACCACAAATGAAACTGATATTAAGCTTTTTTGTTTATGTGCAGTACCATAAAATAATGTTCTGAGTTTGTGTTTTGTGATCGTATTTATTGTCGGGCTTTGTTGATTGTTGCGCAAACAGAAAAGTTATCCTTTTTCAAAAAGGGTGTGTTGGGTTCTGTACTCCAAAACAAGGTTTATGGTCATGCATAAACTAAATTAGAACGAGATTGAGTTCTTTAATAAGTGCTTAGTAAAAAGGTTAAACCATGAACAATAATTTAAAAGGAATCCAAATTTAGGTCGTCACGCATGTGGTATGCTATTCTCGATCCAATTTCTGACGACTAGTACTAGTTGTTTGGTTCAATCTAGAACCAATCTTGACTAGGATGTGTATGGTACACATTGGGTGTCCTTTTACGACTGCAGAACTGTCAATGCGTTCAACATATTATAAAATTTTGCAGCTCGTATATGTTCCAACGGCACTCTAAGAACAGCATATGCACCGGTAACAGCGCGCGCAATTAAATTGCATCTCGTTTGCCACAGTGAAAAAGCCTATTGTTTCGATCTTGGTTAAGCAGAAAACTGTAATTGTAATGCCAGCAAGGGAATTCTTCTGCATCGAGTAATACATAATCTGGGCCCTTACATGCTACATAGACACCCCTCGCTTTTGCAATCATGAGCTATCCGCTATCAAAATTCCCATCTCTAGAGAGTTATTTCGTTGCTTCACCTGGACATCATCTTGGGCCATGATTTTCTTTCATCCCATTACCTTCGTATTCGCTATTTTGTGTAAACTTAATCCATCACACACGACCTTCTTTTGCATTTGGTTTATACTTGGAAATGTATGCAGTGTGGGTAAAGCCCTCACCACATTGTCTTTTCAGACTTTGATTATCCGTAGCTCAATATCACACAAACTTGACAATAGAGAGAATGTTATTTCACCCAACCAAAATTTCAAAAGCAATTGAAAAGAAAAAAGAACTGGTGCCCTCAAATCAAGCTCCTATCACATGTGGTACCGTTGCGGAAATACCCTACAACAATAGAGCATGTCAATTTGGCATTTTCCGTAAGAAAAGAAAATGTTGTGTCTATTTCCTTTTGTTTTCTACCTCATGCATGGAAAAAGCATGCAAACCCCAAACGCAAACTTGCATGATGAACGATTTGCAAAACTCATCACTTGCAATCGCTACCTTAAAAAAAAATGAGCTGAGAACAATAGGATCCATTTGTGGTATTAGCAAATGCAAATCTTCGTCGCGTTCTCAAATATTATTTTTGGCAAGTCTATTCCTCCGAAGTAAAGAAATTTTCTAATAATAGATCTCTCTAATTGTAACGCAAAAAAAAAAAAGAGACTTTTGTTGTAAAGAGCTTGTATTTGCAATACATAAAGCATCCCCTCCTGTCTTCTCCTCAATGTGACCTGTCTAAACTTGTTTAAAAAATCTATGAATCAGCTGTGCCGAAACATGAAACAATGACCCCCGTCGGCAACACTTTCCTGCTCTTTGTTAATCATAGTGTGACAAAACAGTTTGCTCTTGTGTCGATATTGGAAAGCACTTTTAGATCGTACATATACTTCAAGTACCCGCGGATTTACAATAGAGTTTGAAAAATGATCTTGCTTTATTTTAACCCCAGTGCATCTTCCCCATCACAAAGCAATGTGAAAAACAAACGATAACTCCATAAATCATTTGATGGATAATCCATACTGGAGTAGGGCCATTTTAGTTGACAAAGACATAGTGATTCATTAGTAATAAGATCAAACGTTTTGAAATGGCAATTTGTAAAATGTACTGCGGATAAATAGTAGTGAGTCGTTGCCGCCAATGTTAGTTTCCAATCCATACTAGTGCAAACATTTGAGCATTATTCGTATACGTTTCTAAAGGGATGAGTCTATAATCGCGCCACCAGATACTTCGAAGCTGTGCGCATCACTTGGCAAAGATCTAAATCGCAATTCGGGCGTTTCGTAAGTGGGCAAGGTTTCTTATTCAAACCCGTAATCAATCAAATTAGCTAAGTACCGCATGCATGTACATTCTCCCTATGCGTAGTTCAACTTTTGGCGTTTTGCTATTTTTAAATTATACGAAAACAAGACACGTCGCATTTTCGAAGAGTGGCACTTTCACTTTGAAGATGGATGCAAAATCTTGATACTACTTATGTGTTTTGGAACAGCTTTAGCTCAAGAATGGTGCAAAAAGTTTAAAAGCTAACCATTCGATACTGTCCCTTTTCCTTTGAGCTCAGAAAAACTATTTCAGTCACAATTACCATTCAGTCAAACTTTTTAATTCCCTCAACTAAACTTTCTGAAACTTTTGTATGCACCTGCTGACAAGTTTATTTCCACTGTGCAAGGAGAGAACACAGTTGTCAGGTAAATAGAGCTGCATTGCATGCATGTATGGCGTGAGTTTCAATTTTAATCTACGCAACGTAGTTAGATGTTGCATCGGTCAGTCTTGTCTAACAATGTACATGTCGTACGATTTTCTCTACACCATCTAAAAAAGCTAAACTTAAATTCATTGCAAAAGGGGAAGCATTTTCGATTGTGCCTATTGCAAATACCAAGCGTTTGAACTACTTCCTTTGTCTTATCTCACGTATTCTGCAAACAAGGATGGCCAAGAGTATAGCCCCTATAACAGAGTCTAGTCGCGATGTACAAGCGACCTTATTAGCCACATACGCACACATTCTCTCTTTCAAAACTCAAAAATAAACAATGTATCAAAAAAGTGCGCAAACCCGGAATCGAACCGGGGGCCCAACGATGGCAACGTTGGATTTTACCACTAAACCATTTGCGCTTGTTCGTTACATTTTGGAATTTTTATTAAACCTCATCCTTTAGATTTTAATCACGTTTTTAATTGACAATCAAGGGGATATCTTCAAGAAAATGACATGTCTGATCACAGTTGCTCTTCTAAGTTTATGATGGAACTACTGGTAATACACGGGTGACATTTCCTTGTTTTCATGTGTCTTGTTTTTTACATTCACTTGATTAATCTCTTTATACATTTTGGTCCAAATATGGAACAAATATTTGAGTTTGTTATGTACCAGGCACTTGCCACTTAATGTCCAAGAGAGCCCACGAGAAGCAATCATTAACGTTATCGATAGAATGTTGAATAGCTTTGAGCTTCGCCGAGAGTCTCTTGATACTGGTACCAAGACACCTACGCACCATGCTCGCTTTCTGTCCTGACCAATTTTCCTGACGGTAATTCCACTGATCGAGTAATGCGATTCGAAGGAGTTGTTTATCCTCACCACTCTAACTCTCTTGTGTATCAGAACCATTTACCAGGAGTTAAAGTGTAACGCATGTTTAAGTAGGGAGTAGATGCGCACAAGACCTTTTCTCAATTCTCTGAGGACTTGCAAATTTGCAACCATTTTTTTCTTGTCTCGTCAAATTATACAGACCATATTTCACGCTGAAGAGTACCTCTGAAGATACCCATTACACTATCACTGCTTAGAAGCTTAGCATGAGAGCATATTAAAACAGTTTTCGTGCAACCCATACATGCTGATATTAAACACAATAAGGAATTTAAAACAAAGGTAGTACAAGAACGCATTGTCGGCTCCAAAACTTTGTGGTGTAGCAAGACGAGCAATACCTTTTCCTATTGACTTTGAAATCACCGAAAGCTCAAACAAGAGTGTAAAAAAACAAGGCATTTCTAAATTGTTAAAAGCGGTCATTGCAGATGTGGTACTATACACAAGCTGTTACACCCACGAACAAAATTCAAACAATACACTACTTGTGGAGACCGTATATATCTTTGAACGTTTAGGATATACTGCTGTGTGTACAAATTTCTCAAGATTTGTTGTGGGTGACCTTGAAAACATTGTCCTAGATCAAGCTTCGCTTCCCCAACTTCCTTATCCTTGTACATTGGTGGTGTTACTAAATTCATAAAACCAGTCTCTCCGCTTCAAGTTGAGTTAAGCCTCTATTTTTAACCGCCTGGGCTTGTTACAAACGATGTCGAAGTTTACGTTGAGCCAAGAGAAAAAACAACTCCAAAGAAAGTGATATCTTTGAAGAATACCCCAGAGACCTTGCTACACAGAGTGATGTGAACTGAGGGACCAACTTGTCACACTGAGTGATGCGTGTTGAGAGAGTTGTTCTCACAAGACGCGACGCGACAGAGGTCCACATATATAGAAGCACCTATTATTCGGAATTGGCCCTTTTTTGGAGGAGCTCAGAAGAACTTCCGCTCAACACTCTGGTACCACACCTCATGTCAGCCCTTCATCCACTCCATTTGCCACGATAAGAACATGGACTGGATTTTGGGTTATTCAAGACCATGCGGAATCGGGATCTGTATTCTAAAAGTTCCCTAATGATGCACTCGACATGAGAAGAAAATCGTTTGGTTTCTGACACCCAACCGATGGTAAGAGTGTCTCCACCTGAGTCTCACGTTCAATCTATTTGCAAGGTGGTCAACAAATTAGAGGCTGAATTAGCAATACAAAGAAAAAAGTAACCCTGATGGTAGTCCCTGCAAAGTGAATAACCATTTCGATTTCAGCTGATAGCCGTGGTATCTCTTCACTCGAGACATCTCACCATTTCTTTTGTATACACCCCGTCATTGGCCAGTTGAGCACATGCCATTTGATCTTGTGCCATGAACTCACGAACATTACATCCTCGCTTCGCAATCAATTTGAAAGATTCATGAGCGACAAAAACTCCATCATGTGATGAGCAAATCTTTTTAAAGTTAAGAAGGTGGGGATTTCGTCAACAGTTTCTTGTCTCGGAAAATTTCTTCCCGATTTGATCGTGATATTCGCATTCAGAGACAAGCCTTTAGTTCTATAAGGAGGGACGACTCGACTCTAAAGGAGTTTCTCCCCTAGTTGATGATGATATTCTTGCACACTCTCGCATTCAACAGAGGTGTCGTCAATTGATCAATAGAGAGTAAATCTCAGTGAATCATAATAATATTATGCATTAACAATTCAAGGAAGACTGGGTAAATCTGACTTGCGCGAAGGGGCAAAAATGGAATCCAATGTTGGGCAGGGCAGTCGAAGCATTCCCCATTTCATAAAAAATAACCACTTTTGTTTTTTATGATCTACTCTAAAACCTCAATCGAAGTTGCGTCTACACAGCTATACAAGGTAAATTTTTTAATTTCATTTATCTATACTTTTACTTTGAGTCCTTTTTTTGGCAGACTGACAAACCCTTTATTGTTCTTAGTGTACTCATTGGTAACAAAGTCAAACAAGTATCTTGACATTTTTGGTTTATTGTATGGTACCAAATGACTGGCATTGAAAACATTTATAAAAGTTATGTCTCTGTCTTGCAAAACCCATCCAGCTTTCTTGTCCTCAACAATCCAGTCGCTCTTGTTATCGACATCATCAAACCCGGTTGCACCATTCCAAGTCAAGTTTGACAAGTACTTCAATACACCATTCGTGTTACATATAATGTCAAGATCCCCATTATACAAAACTATTGGGATTTGCGAAACAATACCTGGTAAAAGCTCTTTGGCTGGTGGTGAATTGGCGGCAGTGAAGGAGTTTTGCACAATAGTGCTACATTCTGAAAAATTGACCGCGTTCTCCACATTCAAGTCATGTTGAATTTCTGTACTATTGAGATATGGTGTAGTAATATCTGACACTGGTGGATAAGATGAACCGCAAGATGGATATGAGTCACGTAGTTGATAATCGTAGATATTCACACATTGTTCATCAGTTGGGGCTGAGTCATTTTTTGTAGCTTCTAAAATGATAGGCAATATCGATCGACAAGAAAAGGCATAATTTTCGTTTGGACTTGCTGCTTTGCCATCGACGACATCTTGACATGCTTGTTGAGCGTCATTTATATCACCCCACTTTGGATTTGAATCACTAATCAAGGACTTTTCTTTAAACCAGTCGATGTAAGACAAACTCTGCTCGTCTGGTGATACCAACCCATTACCAATAAGCAATCCTTTCAATTTGTATTCTGCCTCCCCATCGGTTAGGTTGTCGTTTCTCTTGAGTATTGCATCGGCAACGTACGGAATGTACTGACCACCATAAGATTCACCGGCTATATAAATATCATTTTCAAGGTCATCTGGAAACAATGCAAAATACTTTTCCAAGAACCTCATAAAATAAACCTGAACTTGGTACAAGTTACGGATTAACTCGCCATCGCTGTATCCAACCATGGGTGGTTGATCGACATAAACCATGTCGGAAATCTTATGCCATGAGGCTTCATTTACGATAATATCTCTTTGTTCGTTTAATTTGAATGGACCATTTTCAGCAAATACCGCTTGAAGTGAGGAGCAACCAGGACCCCCTTGAAGCCAAAAAGTGGTACGATTCTTGTTTTCTGATATCTTTTCAGAATCAACAACTTTCCAGAAAAAGTAGTCGGTATTGTTTTCGGCAAAAAGTTCCAATTGCCCAGCGTATTGTATTGGTTTGGCATAATCTGAGGGCAAATCGTCCCATCCTGGTAATGGTGAAACTAGATATTCTTTTGGATCATTTGAGTCTCCACGTTTGAATGGGATGGCTGCCGTGAGCACGGCCAATATTGGTAAAAGTAGGGTGAAATGAAGCATGTCTAAAGTAAAAAAGTCGTGAAGAATTGGGAAATGATGCAAATGACTGGGGGTAGATAGCCCATTAAGTATCAAATGTCATTGTCGATGAGTGGGATGAACGTCACATGTGGATAAAAATTCAACAACGTCATGCTTTTATTTACCCTATTGTTGACCTCATAAGAACAATAAAAGGGAAGTCAAAAGAAAACGTTTAAGTATTGAATGTTGTTGAAACAAATGACAAGAAAAAAAATACTCTTTGCAATTGCATATTGTTGTTCCTTAATTCTGACGCGCTCCACATTTGTTTGTGCAACCTGAATGAGAACAATGCCCAATGCAAGATTTGTTTATTTACTAACAAATTGTAAAAGATCTAAGAATAGGAACCAACATCAAAGAGGCGCAATGACTCTACAGTGTTAAATAGGTACCCAATAGTTTGGTTTGAACAACCAGTTTAATAGATATGAGATTGATACCTCTTCGACCATGCACAAAGTATAATTTTTTGGCGTTGCATTCTCTGTACTCACATTCTGAAACAGAAAATTCTCTCAGCTCCTTTACCATGACGTAACCTTGCATTGATTGACAGTTTCCAGGTGAAGCAAACGTCCCTTGATTGCTGTATCACACAGAGGAGGATTTCACCTGCCACATGAACAATAGTAAATAAAATGCTTTTCTTTTCAACACACTCGATAGACAAGACGTTGTTTGGATATGCTTGGTTTGGAAACACCCACAAAGTCGGCGTGTTATTGCTCTACGTGTGAGCTGTATCGCGCTTTTGTCGTAACTCAAGGGCGACACGATACAAATGAAGCTAACCCTTGTATCACCATTTATTTCATGTGTAAATTCATTTCCTTTGTGTTTATATCTATATTCCCTTAGCTTGAGAACACAGTAACGTGGTCTATGTTGTCACCTGACACAATTTTTTTTCTTTTTTTTTTTTTTTTCTCTTGATCATTTTACACGCTTCTATTCAGATTATTCTCCTCACGCAACGGTTGACCGTTTGGCTGCAAAAAAAAAGAGCGAGAATTTTTTCAAAGTTGGGCCAATGCGTCCGTTGAACCTTCCAAGAATACACTTCCCCTCATAGTTGATGAGAGGGTATACAGTTGGATTCGAACACAAAACATGCCGAGTAAACCCAAAAAAAGGAAATACCTTCTCATTGTTCGGCAAAAAGCACCACTGAGCCAGAGCACTTTGCTCATGCTATATAGAATTTGCCAGCTCAATATATCTTGTCGGGGAAAATTTTCGAGGCTTCGCCTCGAATAAAAAGAATCGAGCTACAGAAATAAGGTTATATAAAAGGGTAACAGTTCCAAGGTTCTCCCCTCTCTCTTCTCCTCCCTCCTCCCTCCTCCTTTCCTACATCTACCTACACCCCCAACCCCTTCTCAGCTAGGGGGAACGAGCCTCTAGCAAGTACCCGAAGGGAAAAAAATACTTGCATAAAGGCTCGAGCATGAACAGCTCATCACAGGGCTGATGACATTAGAAGAGAACTTCTGCTGTCAAAGCCAAATGATGGAGTTGCCAGTAATGAAGAAAGAGAAAAAAAAGTGGCGGGAATTGGAAAATTTTCTCAACAATAATTTTTTTCCTCAATATTCTTGCCAAAAAACAAAAAATAAAAGGTGAACGCGAAAACATCTAAAAACAAAAACAAACACACAAAACACGATGCAACTTTTTGATTCTTCGATGTCGGCTCTTCCTATCATACCGAAGCAGAATTCGGTAAGCGTTGGATTGTTCACCCACTAATAGGGAACGTGAGCTGGGTTTAGACCGTCGTGAGACAGGTTAGTTTTACCCTACTGATGAATGTTATCGCAATAGTAATTGAACTTAGTACGAGAGGAACCGTTCATTCAGATAATTGGTTTTTGCGGCTGTCTGATCAGGCAACGCCGCGAAGCTACCATCTGCTGGATTATGGCTGAACGCCTCTAAGTCAGAATCCATGCTAGAAAGCGATGATTTTTGCCCTGCACATTTTAGATGGATAAGAATAAGACTTTTTAGTCGCTAGACCATAGCAGGCTGGCAACGGTGCGCTTAGCGGAAAGGCTTTGTGTGCTTGCCGGCGAATAGCAATGTCGACATGCGCGGGGATAAATCCTTTGTATACGACTTAGATGTACAACGGAGTATTGTAAGCAGTAGAGTAGCCTTGTTGTTACGATCTGCTGAGATTAAGCTTCAGTTGTCTGATTTGTCTACGAGTTTGCGGGCGAGAGCTTGCGAGTTTGTAGACGTTTTATGTGGGGGAGTGCCGGGTAAGCGTTGCCAGGGTTGAGTGGGAGGAGGTTGTAGGAGGTTGTGGTTTTTCAATGGAAGAGTGCCGGGTAAATTGATAGAGGACCATGGCGATGTCTTGTTAGATATATATGCCATACCAAAATTCAACAGGGGGGTAAGCCATAATGATAAAGATAGATAAAATACACCTGGCATGCTTTCTTTAGCTATGCCATAACATAAATGAACCTTAGGGGTATTCCATCACATATCATGTAAGAGCATCGGGGTTTTTTCCCAGGTGGTCAAAGTGCAAAGTACACTGTAGTAGATAGACTTAGTTATGCCATATCAATAAAAACGAATAGTACACCTACCTCATGTGCTCGTGCTCCCTTATGATACACCATAACATAAATCAACTTAAGTATGCCATACCAAGTAAATCCATATGCTTCTCTCACATGCTTACGACTCTGAGCATCCACCTTTTTGTTTTCACTTACTCTACACACACTCTTAGCGAAAAAAAAAAGAAAAAGGAAAAAGGTAAAAAGAAAAAAGGAAAAAAAAGATTGCAGCACGAGAGTTTCGCGTATGGTCTCCCACTACACTACTCGGTCTCGCTCTTAGCAGCTTAACTACTGTTGATCGGACGGGAAACGGTGCTTTCTGCTAGATATGGCCGCAACCGAAATACTCTCATTTTGAGGTGCCTATGGTGGGTAGTGACAGGTAACGTGACCTCATTTTGCGGGAGTGAAATTTTTCTTTTTTTACCAGAGCATAACACCACATATCAGAAGATCAAAGGCAACAAAAATTTTCCTTTTCTTTTTACTCTTCTTTCTTTTATGTTAGGCGAGACTTGCACAAGATTATGATATGTGCGACCACTCTCCGCGCTAGTTCTTCCCTGATGCCACCAACACCCATGTTAACATCATCATCAACAACACACAAACAACATTTTCACCAAAAGAGCAAGCGTTCGTCACGACAACCTACCTCCCCAAATACATCTATGATGCTTTTAAGTTTGTAAGTTTTGTTTTCTTTGTCTCGACCTATTTTCGACCTAAATCGGTTGACCCTCTACGTCGATATTTATCTTCTTACAACGACGCTCTAGCACGGTGTCTGCACTAAATCCTTTTTTTCTCCACCAAGTGCGCGTTCTAGCTCTTGTAGGGCTCCACACTATCTCCGTGCTAGAGCTTTAGTTTTTCTCCTGCGCTACCATAGTTTTACCCTTTTTTTACAAAAATCTTCAATTTTTTGCAATTTCTCACTTTTTTTGTATGTGTTTTTTCGTTTTTTCAAAAAATGCGAATTTTCTCCTGGGGAAAAAAAAACCCAAAAAAAGAGCCATTTTTAGCATGTAGAAATGTAAGAGTAGGTTACGCATTTTTTTCACACACAACATTTGAGCGAAAGGATATTTATGCGAAAGCAGAAAAGACAATTTGGAAAACAGTCTTGACAACTAGTCAAGACATTTCCAGTTGTTTAAGGCCACGTTATTGAGTGGAGAGAGTCTGTAAGTGATGCACAATCACAAACTGCTCTATACGCTACAATAACATGGGCGAGTTTCCTTATGGGAAACAAGCCTGAACAGTCTTACACCGGATATCTAACGATTTCGTGTGTAAGCACTGACGGATTTAGTGGATTACTAGCTGATAGCAAGTGTTCATCTAAAACCACTCGGGGGTCTGCCTTGTTAAATAGCCGGAAGCAATTTCTGTGATTTCTCAAGCGTAACTCCCTCCATGGTTGGCCATGTTAAACCCTGGGGATTCATTTCCCACAGGTGTTTAGCGGAAGTCACACCAGGAGAACTTAAAGAGGGCTATATGGATGTGGCTAGTTGCAGAGAGTAGTAAAACACTTTCAACAACGACACCACCGGAAACAGTTTCGTTTCTTGCAATCACAATAACTTCTTACACTTTTTCAAAGTGTCTAATGTAGTTATCTGGTTGATCCTGCCAGTAGTCATATGCTTGTCTCAAAGATTAAGCCATGCATGTCTAAGTATAAGCAATTATACAGTGAAACTGCGAATGGCTCATTAAATCAGTTATCGTTTATTTGATAGTACCTTACTACTTGGATAACCGTGGTAATTCTAGAGCTAATACATGCTTAAAATCCCGACTGTTTGGAAGGGATGTATTTATTAGATAAAAAATCAATGCCTTCGGGCTCTTTGATGATTCATAATAACTTTTCGAATCGCATGGCCTTGTGCTGGCGATGGTTCATTCAAATTTCTGCCCTATCAACTTTCGATGGTAGGATAGTGGCCTACCATGGTTTCAACGGGTAACGGGGAATAAGGGTTCGATTCCGGAGAGGGAGCCTGAGAAACGGCTACCACATCCAAGGAAGGCAGCAGGCGCGCAAATTACCCAATCCCGACACGGGGAGGTAGTGACAATAAATAACGATACAGGGCCCTTTCGGGTCTTGTAATTGGAATGAGTACAATGTAAATACCTTAACGAGGAACAATTGGAGGGCAAGTCTGGTGCCAGCAGCCGCGGTAATTCCAGCTCCAAAAGCGTATATTAAAGTTGTTGCAGTTAAAAAGCTCGTAGTTGAACCTTGGGCTTGGCTGGCCGGTCCATCTTTTTTGATGCGTACTGGACCCAGCCGAGCCTTTCCTTCTGGCTAGCCTTTTTGGCGAACCAGGACTTTTACTTTGAAAAAATTAGAGTGTTCAAAGCAGGCCTTTGCTC